TTGGTTATGGCTGTACGCGGCGAGGTTGTACACAAGTGCCGCGGCAAGGAGACGGGCATTTGCATGCGGGGAGAGCAGGCATTGCGATGCCAGCGACTCGATCATCTGGTTCAGATCGCCTGGATTTGACTCTGCGTTCTGTCCGCGAAAGACACGCTCCTGGAACACGTTCGACCCGAACAGGTTACAGGCGAGCTGCAGCGAGACCGACTGGATGTTGTAGGGCGCAGAGGAGAAATCGCCCCCGTGGTTCGTCGTAGACAGCAGAGTCGTGAGAGTGGTGTACCCATGCTCTGTCGCAAGGAAACTCGACACTCGCGGATCGGCAGCCGCAACGCGTACAAGGTCTATGACCGCAAAGTGTGTCTCCACGGGTAGAGACGGAAATGCCGAGACAAGGTAACCACTGAAAGCGTGCAAATTCGGCAGAGGGGCTTCAGTCATACCCTTTGCGTCGCGGGCTTTGATGTACGCCACGAGGTCTTGTACGGCTTGGTCTTTGGCGAATTCGGGCCCGATCTTGGCAAGTAGTTTGTCCAGGGGAGGAGTGCGGTTGTACATGATGGGAGTGTCGACGATGCGCTGGAAAGTAGTTAACTTTAAAGCGGTATGTGGGTGCGGAGACAGTCTCGCCATCTGCAGAAGCAAGCGAACATTGCCCGTCAGCCGTGCCGGGTTGGCTCCAGACCATTCATCCTGTTTCTTGCCCTTGAGGAAGGTGATGAAAGTTGGGGTGGCGCGAACTTGGTATCGCTGCGCCACGGCATGCGCGGACGGCGAGGTGGAGATGTCGACTTTGATCAATTTCGCACCGCTTTGAACACCAGCTTCGGCGGCTAATTCATCGTATGTGGGATAGACGATCTTGCACGGCGCGCACGTGGCGGAGGTGAAGAATATGACAGCGCAAGATTGTCTCGCTGCGTCAAGCAGACTATCGAGCTCGGCTAGTGATGTGATGTGGTAGACATGTCCCGGCGTCTCTGCTGGAGGCTGTGCGTTGATGATGGCTGTTGGGGGAACTTTGTGGGTGGTTGTGCCGTTGACGGTGGCCAAAGCAGGAGTGCCGTTCGCCACCGGTGTCGAGTTCGTTCTGGCGACTTGGGGACTTCGGGAAGCATTCTGGCCAGAAGCAGCATCGGGAGCCTGGGTCATCCTCCTCATGGACTGGTCGATCTGTCCGCGCAACATCTGTCCGATCGGGGTGCTCAGAAACGTCTCGGGCAGACTTCGAATCTCGTCCGGAATACTCTTGCCCACGAGGAACATAGCCAGGTCCTGGGAGAAGTTGTTGCAGTTGTGCAAGAATAAGTCGTACGACTCTGGTGTGTAGATTTCTTCCAGAGACTCGATGTATTCTTCAATGACATCGAGGGGGAGATCGGTCTTTCCCAGTTCCACTATCGACATGGGCCGGCCATGGTGAGTTGAACCGGGGACTTTCCTGTGGATGCCCTGGCCAAAGAAGTATTCGACATTGCTCAATACAATGGATGTGTGGTAGATAGCATCGATCTGGACACCCGTCAACGCGCGGGAATATTGTCTCGCCAGGCCCTGTATTCTGTCAGTATGTTTGTTACTGGAGTGAGATTACTTTGAGGAGGCGAACCTGTGACAGGTCGTAAACATAGAGCTGGACGTCCATGGTTGATTGACAGAAGCGCACCGTTGTAGCGAGGCCATCAGTGCATGGCGAGGACGATCGTGGCGGGAAGTTGTAGATGAATGTGTTCGAATTGATGTTGTTGATATCAAGGGGACTTTTGATCAGGCGGCAAAAGTACGTCAGCGGGAGTAGATGTAGACTTGGAGAGGTATAGAATATGTTGTAGATACCTCAGGTAGAGCTATCTAATAAGGTAGTAGTAATAATAGTAGGACCAACATCGTCTCTCTCTATACAGACACAACATGGATCAGGCAGTTCATGGTGGCGTCACCACCCATTCCATCTTCCATATTCCATCCCTATCCTCCATCCTTCACGATTGCCACACCGCAGTCAACAACACTTCGTCGTCATCCAACGTTGCCTGTGCCTTGCCAATGTTACTCTAGCGACCATTCGCATTTCCAGCTCAATGTCGTTCACCCCCGGTCATGGTTGGTACCTCAGCTATTTCCCTTGATGCCCATCATCTGACCTTCGCAGCCACCACGTAAAACGCCCTCCAAAGGCAAATCCATCGCTTCTTCTGCACGAGCCGGCCCTGCCGCCCCCAAGTCGCGCCGCTCGAAACTCGCCAAAGAAAACGATTTGACGGCGGAAGAAGAAGCCGAGATCAAAGAAGCATGGAATCTCTTCCGGCTCGATGATGTCGACGAGTACGAGGACGAGAAAGCAGGAGTCATTCGCACGACAGATGTGCGGAATGTTCTCAAGTAAGTCACCGTCACCATTGTCAAGAAGCCGGGCCAGGTCTCTATGTCCTCCTTCGCTTCCACCCCATGCTGTACGATCTTCGCTTTCTTCCTGGCCGCCAACAAAGACCACTGAGTTGACTAATTGGCTCTTCGGCGTCTACAGAGCGCAAGGCCTCGCGCCGAACGATCCGTCGCAGATGCGGGAATTCATCGAGACGCTAGATCCAGACGCGTCCGGCTACGTGACCTACCCTCACTTCCTCGCTCTGTGCGCCATCCAGCTCAAGTCTAAGACGGACGACACGAGAGCCGAAGAAGTTGACACGGCATTTCAGCTGTTTCATCCCGGGCACGCTGCGCAACCGGGCCAGCAGCAGGTGATCCGTCTACATGATTTACGGGCTGTTGCGAAGACCTTGAGGGAGGATGTGAGCGACGAGGTCTTGAAGGCCATGATCCTGGAGGCCAATGGTGGGAAGGGCGTCGGGCAAGGCGTGAACATAGAAGACTTCCGAGCCATTATGACACGAGCGGGCGTATTTCAATGATCACGATCATGGAGTTCTACGGCGTCGAGGCGATTCTGCATCTATACAACAATGACACTTTCATTTCGAATTCGCGTTCGAAAACGGCCACAGTGATTTTCCCTGTCAACCGGGTTTCATATGTTAACATGAGATCCTGGACTGGTTGTATGTCTCCAATAAATTCGAACCACAGCCCATGCGAAACGCGAAGCTGCAGCAGTAGAGATAACTGGAAAGCCTCGCGACAGAGCCATAAAGGCCTGGTCGTTGGTCGAGGCTCGATACTATTCTAGCTTCCCTGTCCACACTGGCTCGCTCTGGGGCAATATGAAACGGCCAGCTCTAGCATAGATAGAAGCGGTGCAAAAGCACAAGACATGACAAGATAACGATGCAAGTGAAGAGAAACGCGATAACAATTCATCGTTGACCGGCCCACGGGAGGGCTGGAGGCATGCAGAATCCATCTGGTAGCAGAGTCGTGGCTGTCAATCAACGCCCGGCAGTTGAGCAAAGGCATAAACATAAAGACAGCCGACTTGTCAGACCAGATCATGATACCAATTGAAGAGGAGGAAGATAGGTAAGCTACCTATCATATAGGAGTGGTGTAGCATGGATGAAGTAGAAGTAGAAGAAAATGAGGGCTGAGAAAAGCTGCGGAAAGTGTGTCCTTAGCCGGGATCTCGAATAGACACTTTTAGAGTGCCAAGAATGGTAAGTCCAGATGTGGGAAGAGGTGCGTAGTTGCATTATATGATTGGCTAGAATATATATTGGCAGAGTATCTCTAAATTCTCAAGTCTCATCACCATGGATGGGCCCCAGCAGCCTCATTCTTAGAATTACAGTAGTAGTCAATGTAGAATACGAGGAATGGTAGATATTACATTGCACTGATACAGTTCGGTCGCTGTTTACCCTTGAAGCTAACGCCCAAGACGCACGTCAAATAATATCCATGGAATCCATCTTCCAGATCTCGACGTCCTTGACATCATCCTCCGTGATACGCTTGACTCTCCGCCTGCGGACAATCTCTTCGCGCCATCCGTTGGCTGTTGTACCGTTGGCACTCTGTGGCTGAGGCTGCCCATTGCTTAGTTCCCAAGCGCCATCTTGCGCAGACAGGCGGACAGGCGTGCGCACCACCTCTTCAACAACCTTGCCGACTTCCCAGATCGAATCACGACTTCCGAGTCCAATATACCGCAGGTTGGGGAAATCGCCCGGGCTGTTCCCGACTCTTTGTTCAATTTCCTGCGCGATCCGCTCTTCATTTTGACAGTCCATTACACAGACGACGCCGTCGCGTGGCGGAAGCTGTTTCTGAACGGCGCCGTCACAGTCACGCTCGTCACTTTCGAGATCGGAAATCGGAGCCAGCAGACGGAGGGCCCACAGATGGGACAGAAACGGGACCAGAAGCCGGAGTAGGTCGTAGTCCGCGCGCTGAAACGCCGCACTCAACTGCGTGAGGTTGGGGCACGATCGAATGAGGCGTGCGGTTACTTCGGTCGGAAGAAGCCATCGAGCTGGAAGAATCAAATGCTTTAGTGTCGGTCCGCACACATTGCAGATGTTGTCCAGATAGAGATCACGCAGAGTGGTGTTGAGCATGGGTGTGTTCCTGGCCGAACGGTTCGCAGGGACGGACGTGGAGGTAGCACCAGGAGAAGCTTCTGCCGAATTTGGGCTGGATTGGACGTGCCCACCCTTCCCTTCAGCATTATAGCGGGCATTGATAAGATACAGGCGTTCCAGGCCGGCGCTTTTGCCCAGGTCTAGCGCGTGTCGTTTGTGTAGCTGATCCACGCGAAGGGACTTTGGATGCTTGGGTCTGTCCTTTTCATCGACAGGCACCAGCCACGCTCGGTCAATGAAGTGCGCGGCGGCTCGTTGGCCCATGGTGTCTTCGTCCAAACCGAAAGTATTTAAAGCAGTAAAGTCCTCGCACACGGAAGAGTCTAAGGCTTCCACACATTCTGCCGCATCCAAGTAGGGAAGAAGATTGTAAATGCCGATTTTCCTGAGCCGGAGTTTCCTCTTGGCCGCAATGTTCTTCCTGAAAAACCGGGTCATCACCACGGATGCCTCGCCCTGATCTCTCATTCGAGGCGAGAAGTGCAAGTTCAATGTGTCCAGGTTCGTCGCATGAAAGAACAGGTTTGAGAGTTCGTCGGGGTAACACAGGGGATCGTAGTGCGTGACAGTCAGTGACTTGAGATTCGGCAAAGCAGGAGCCTCCACCAAGGGTTGAGGCGACCTGTCCGTTGGGAACCTGAGCCACAGACACTCGAGCTTTGAGAGTTTTGCAAGGCCGGCATAGACATTAGGTTGTCTTCTGACGTCCAAGTCCCACCTGCGCAACGGTTAATCAAGGTCAACGCCTACTCCGAGGCTGCTCAAATGTGCGTACCTGAAGCTGGTGAGGTGTGTACACTGCTCTATGGCCGCTCTGATGGCGATGTTGAGGATCATGCTACTCTCCGAGACGCGCCCGGCTTTTGCATACGCACCCAGGTCCGTCCCGCCGAATTCTCCCTCCAGGTTCAAAGACTGGACCAGCTTGGACACATTGCGGGTGACAAGCGCATTGAGGCCCATCGAGAATGGGCTGGCTCCGCCGAAGCCCTCGGGCAGGTCATCTCTGTAGCGAATGCTGCTGTATGCTTTCAGAGTCACGTTTTTCCACAAATGCGGAAGCGTCATATAGAAGAGGACCCGGGACGTGCGACATAGTCGGACAAGAGAGGCGACATCGCCATCTAGACAGGATATGATGTGGGCGACGACCGTGAGCGGAAGACTGTCCACCCCAAATGCGCCTTGAATATCAGGACCATTGCTGTAGAGATGGTTGGCTCGAAAGGTCATTCTGCGGCGGCATCGGTGCAATGAGGAAGGCTGAAGCAGGCATTTAGACCGTACGAGGTCCTTGTGGTTCAAGGTGTGATCATATCAGTCTGGCCGTTGGAGAGTCAACGGTGCAACGGTGAAAAAGATATCGTAGGCTGCAAAGGATGAGGGCGAGGACGGGGGATGCGCAGAATGGCAAGCCCATCATATTGGATGTATTCCGCTAGCATTTACATACCAGCTCACCAGGTCAAATCTGACAGGCAGACACCGGAAACGCAGGGACGTTGACTGCGTACCTCCACCTGTATGCTCCACAGTATTAATTACGGTGACGCACAGCGCGTGCTAAGTGTTCGGCGTGCTCTATCATGGATATATAGTAAGTACATATTGCACCTATCCTCACATTGAATGGAACATTAGATACATTCATTTACTCTCAGCAGCGGAAACCTGCCTCAACTGGCCCAAACGGTCATGTGCCCCGGTATCTCCTCTGATTGCGGGGTTGGACCGTCTTCCTGTGGCCTCTCGTCGGCCAGCACGTCTGGTGAGCCCCCAAGCTGTGGCCGTTACCTCAATCTCCGGCACCATATCCGACGCTGCATCTGTGACTCCATAGTAGCCTGACGCGGTCCCCATCGATCTAGACGTGTCGCATCCCGCCAGGGATGCGTCATGTTCCCCTCTGCGGCGCGCCCGGATCGTCCTCTACCGTGTGCTCCGGGATCGGTGGAATGGTCGAGGCTGGCACGTAAGCCGTTGGGCGCAGGACGGCTGGTTGAGTAACGCCACCATCATGACTGTTTCTTGGATCAATTGATGAGATGGTGGGGTATTCGGTAGCCGTCGTTCCACCCTCAGAGGAGGACGCGTGGCTCGGATTGGGCGCTGCAGGTCTTACGGCCACAGCCTCGGGATACTGAACGCTGCTGTACATATCCCGGCCAGTGTCGCTAGGCTTCACATAGGGCTGGGCACTTAGCGGCCGACCGTGAGCAGCAGCTGCTATAGGAGCGACCGGTGCTGGGTCGTTTGATCCTTGCTCTGCAGAAGCCACACTCATTGTGTTCATCGGGATTGACTCGTCAGCAGTCGGATCGTCACGCATGTCATCCGGCGACCATGTCCGTTCATTGCCCTTTGGAGCCGGAATCACGGTTACTGGTAAAGAGGCGGATTGTAGGTCCCCTCGGTGAGCCAAGCGTTCTTTCTGCGCGGAAGCAAATGCCCCGATTCGACCGCGCAGATTCAGACTGCGGTCGATTGGTGACCGCCGGATACCACTGGCAATCTGCGCATCGGCCACTTCGACAGGAGGTTCAGCCCTCCGGCGCTTGAATGGACTAGTCACTGAATGCCAATTCAGTCGCCCGGCAGAGTCCCCGGGCGCGAAGATCACAGGTACCACTGCCATCTCCTTGTCAGTGGTAGAGGGTGCAGAGCCCGACCCTGATCGGTCCGATGATTCGGGCTTTGGAGCGTCAATCGTCGCGCCGGCTTCCGGCTGGGAATTCAAGTCATGTTGATAATCTGGTGACGGGCTGGTCAGATTGTGGTATCGGATTGCGTAAACGGTGCTTGTAGCGCTCCCGGTGTCGCTCCCATTCAGAGGTGTGATGCGATGTTCTGGCACCACGAGCTGGTTTTGCGGCGGAAAACGCTGTCCTGTGGAGTCCATCGCGTCTGTGCCTGTGCTGATGCCATCTGGAGGCGCCATTCTGCGGCGTTTTCGCAAGGGAAGCCGGTCCCGGAGTCGCTTGTACCGCGAAAGCACGCCTTCGCCCGTAGTCTTGCGCAGACCGCCCTCGTGTCCGGTGCCCCGACCGTGGCCGTGCCAGCTCGCGTCTTCTGACGGGGTCATGTTGAGCATTTCATCGCCGTCAAAGACTTCTCTTCCGAGTATTCCATCTTTTCTTTCATCCCTCTCGAGGGATTCTATGCGTTCCACCCATTCCCATACCACAACACTGGCAGCCGCGGCGCCCACCCACCGAATGTACTCGCCCCAGCCGGCCAGGTCGGGTTGAGCTATGTCCAGCACGAAAAACACTACTGGGATAACCACAGACATCAGAGACAGCAGTGCCACGAGACAGATATTCTTCATCTTTGGGTGCCAAAATGCAAACCGCCGCTTTGAGAGACAATAGTAGACCACACATGAGGCATATATCAGCGAGATGGCCAGTTCGAACAGGTAGTTCAGGGCTGGTATGGCGTCCGAAAAGCTGCGCGGACGTGTCCTCGGATTGCCACTAACAAAGGAATCCAAAATGCTGAAAATGGTGTCGGAAGAGACCATGGCGAATCCGAGCCATTTGATGGCGACCTTTTCCTTGTGTCTAGGGAACAACCGAATGAGCGTTTGGACCTGAGCAAGCCAGAGAAAGGTGTCCGATATGACCCGGATGATGCGGATTTCTAGGCTGTCCACGACATTGTCGACCAGTAAAGTAGAGTCCATGTAGCCCTGATTGTATTGGTTTTCTGCGACTGAGAACGTGTCGGCGGTGGCTATGGTGAGAGAGATGGCCACGGTCACGGTCGCAATCTTCTGCAGCAGCGGTCTCCGCCCGACGCCGACGATGGAGGATGATCCATATGTCCCCGTTATGACACCGCGCCGCCCCAGCAATCTTGCGCCTCCACCGGGACCTCCCACAAAGAATGTCCTCGGCGTGATGAAAATCAGGATCACCAAGACATAACTGATGACGGTCGCGGTGGCGAGCGCGTATATCTGCGGCGAAATCGAGGCATAGAAAGGATCTTGGAAGCCGATGACCGAGGAATTGCCCGTGGTGTCGGGGCTAATGATGGAATCCGGGTTTTCGCAGGGGAGTTTGAAGGTGACTCGGGCGCGTAGGGTGCTGGTCTGGTCGGCGCCAAAGACGAGAATACCTGCGACAAGTCAGTCCGGCCTATGTGTCTGTCTCAATGTTGTTGACTCACCCCCGCTGGGCAGAATAAGAGGTGTACACCAGACACTGGTGGGTGTCTGGCTCGCAACGGGAGTGCTCAATTGACCCCATAGTTGGCGAGCGGTGACCTGAGCATCGTAGGACATGCCGTGACTACCGATTCGCGGGATCGGAGAAGCAATCTGCGTGCCACATCGTAACGGTGTGCAGACTCTGCAGGACGGGCAGGATATCGCGTGTTGGAACTCAAGCGACCATTTCTCGGGGGACTGTTCTCAGTGTCAGCGCGGTGTCTTGCGGGAGGAAGGCTGTGAGTGAGAAATGGCCGAGGATGGTCGAATAATGATACAGCATGACAGAAACGGCAACTTGAGTATGGTAATAGTAGTCGCTGGCAATATTGTGATATCGAAGAAGATCATGCTACAGTGAGAAGACGATGAATACCTATGATTAACGATTTGATGATATTGATGATCGACCCGATCTCGGCGGGGTTGGCACCAATCCGCGCTATAATCGCTATACTCGCTATACTACTAGTATCTGGTAGTATATTTACATTTATTCATGGGTCCTTCATCAACCTCAACGAGTCGACAGCCCCCTTGAAAGCAGGAATATCGTCCCCATGTAACATAGTTTGGAGACAGATCAGAAGTCGTGGTCTTCGCTTGCTCATTAAGCCGTCATCCATCATCATTAAGTGGTCATTGGTATCGTCAAAACTCCATCTAGAATTCCGGATCTATCACCGTTGTCTCGAAGCGTCGTCGAACTCACGGCCTTGATAACCACTGGTCTCGCCTCAGAAATTATTGTATCCAAACGTCTGTTCTCCGTTCCACTGCATCTGGTTGTAGTCTTGATTCGTTATCACCTCCAGCATGTCTCGAGTCCCCACGGTCGGGCCAAGGCCGCCCAACCCCTGGTCAACTGTGTTTCCATCATTGTGCCAAAGATTATCCAACGGAAGGGCGAACCAATCCATGGAGAAATTCGGCATTGTATGGTCGAGGCTCGAGTCGTCCAGTGCAGAATCGACCTCGTGGCCGTTGCCGTTGAAATTGGGGGGAGGTACGAAAGTCTGCGATGCGAGTTCCGCCATAGGTCTGGCTTGGATTCCCGCCAAAGGGTCGTTCAAGTAGAGTTCGGGACTTTGCTGAAACACGCTCATAGCCTGTACATGGTTCTGTTGCTGATCGTTGGAATTTTCATGCCCGTGACCGTGGTTGTAGTTGTTGGGCGACTGTGGCCGAGATTGCTCGCGACTGGGACTGGCTGATCCAGTCCCCGGCTGTTGCACACGGATCAAGGTCTGCTTCACATTTCGAACAATGTGTCCCACCAGGCGGGACGTCGAAGATGACAGGTGAACGTCATCTACATATTCTTTCGACATGGCAGCGAGAATCTTTTCTAGTTGTTGGAGGCACTTTCGAACCAGAGCCTCGTGAGTCCCCACGCTGAAACGCTGTACCATACAAGTCAGTTTCCAACGATATGCGAAATTCAGTACTCAGACGACATACCTTCAAGGTGAACATCATGCCGGATAAGCTTCGAAGATAAATGCGAACGGGAGCATTTCGGAGGTAGCCTTTGGCAGCAATCCGGTCCACCACAATGCTGAGGATGTTGAGCGCGGCATCGGTGACTTCATCGATATAAGGCTTGTTGTCTTCCGCAATCTTGAGCAAGGTGGTCTTGCGAATGTTCGACCCGCCTTCAACCCACGATTCCACCACCTTCTGAAGACCAAGAGAGTTAATGTAGAGTCGAGTGTACTCGTACTCCAGAAGTAGGATGCTCTGCATCACGGGATGAATGACGGCCTTCGACTTGTCAAAAGCGTTCTTCCACTGATGTAGCAACGGAGCGAATGTGTTGATGGATTCTTTATATCTGCCACTGGAAGTAAGGTCTCTGGTAAACTGCGGCGAAGAGAAGATTTCCCGATTGGCTCTGTTGAGGATTCTGGCGATGTGAACCCAACAAGCTTGCATGGTATCAACAGGATGGTCGGCGTGCCCTGGACGTTGATCTTGGCTTGTCTGGTCCCAAATCGTGTCAGTTTCCCATTCTTCAACGTTGAGCGACGATTGGATGCCCATTCTCCCGCTCGTCTGGGCGACATAGACAAGGACAAGATGCTTGATGCGCCTCTTGCGCGCGCATTCCGAATCAGGTCCATGCTCGTGACGGCAATTGAAGTGGTTGGTGTCAAATACACCCAGCTCGAATGCCAGGCTTTGGGCGAGACCAAGGAGCATCCACGACATTCGATCTGACCTCCAAGCAGGTTCAAGCCAGCTTGCGTATGGGACATTGTCATAATCCCTACTGCGGCTGGGCTCGTCACCCTGTGTAGATGTAGCAGTGTTTGATTCCGAGGATGTGACGAGGCTCTGGTCAAGAAGACCCGTTTCGTCATCATTGGGAGGAAAATGGAGAGCCTGAGGTTGCCAGTCCGTGAGCAGGAGGAGGGCTTCGATCGTACCAAAAGTCCGCAAGCTCCCACTCCAAGTGATCTGCCCGCTCTTGGACTCGCGGATTTTCGCAGAACTTCCCCCTCCACAGAATCCTCCACCAAACTGCTCTTGGCCCCACAAGAGCCGCTCCACCTGGCGGCGCAGACTGTTCCAGAGTTTGGCTTGGATGTGGTGGGATCGGGTCGTCGCAGCGTGGCCAGAAAGCGGCATATGGCGCGAAGCAATAGCCAGAATAGTGAGGGCGAGGATCGGCTCGTTGATCAGCAAATCACGATGTTTGAAAGGTGATCTGTAATCGGGAAAGACCACTGGTGTCATGAGCGCAAGCTTCTTGTAGAAATACTCCACGTATTGCATGGCTTCCCAGGCTGTGAACCATCCATTGCGGACGAAACGCACTTCGGACCAAACCTTGAGTCCGGCTTGTTGCTCCTCATGCTCTTCCGGGCTGAAGCCTGCTTCGTCTGGGGCTTCAGGGCCACCATGATCAAGGTTGAGGATCGTACGCTTGGACCCAGCGCGATCGGAGAAGGGACTGTGGTTTTGATGCGGAGCGTTGTTGTCCGAGAATGCAGCGTCGACCAGAATGCCCAGAGCGTCCTGCGTATTCGACACCGGGGCATGTAGTTTGGTTGCAGCAATCTGACTGTGCAAATGCACGTCGGAGGGATCTCTCTTTTCGGTCGGTGGATTGCTATGTGCAGACGTAGTCCGTGTCCGAAGAGCATCGGCGCGGGGATGAGAAGTCATCGATGGCTTCGATGTGACAGGTGACCATCCCTCGCGAGAGAAAGCACTGGTGCTGGCCAAGGGCGGGGACGGCTGATCAACCGTTCTGGCAACACCATAGGTCGGCAAGGCACCGCCCATAACAGAAGTATCTGCACCATCTGACACATCGTCAAACGAAACGTCTCTTGCCGTTCCATTCAGCCTCTTTTGCCGTTTCCGGGTGGGCGCAAACTCGCACTTCAGCCGCTCGCGCAGACAACGCTTGCAAGGAGGATCGGCCGGGGCGTCGACACCTAGAACAAACTCACCGTCAGTCACGAGCCTGCAACAGCGGATTGTGTAACTCACTGCCTAGATCGCATTTGACCTTGCGCTCACGACAGCGTTGACAAGCCTGGTAGCCGCGACGATGAGGCCGACCATCGCGGGGTAACGTGGCCGTAGGATCTGAGGACTCTGGAGACAAGGACTCGTTTTTGTAGGCGGTAGAGCCGGTCAACCCTGCGCCAGACAATTGGCTGGCCGCATTGTAACCCATACTGGGCTACAGTGATGGTTGGCAGGAATGGTAGTAGGAAGGGGGCAGAACGGGCTCAATTGAGGTTGATGGAATTCCGAGGGGCCGAAATAACCGGCGGGAGGAGAATGGGTCGAGCGGGATGCTGTCGAATTGAGAGGTCTCTAGAGACAGCGGGCCGGCATTGAACTGTGGCTAAGGGGCGGTGGCGCGGGTGGCTAAAGGGCTCTGTAGCGCCTAAGGGCCCATCATGATCATGTCTATCTGTACCTAACGTACTATGACCGGGCGCTCAGCCTTACTAGTACGTAGGACTACAGGCAAATTAGGCGACGAGGCTGTAACTTTCCCTGGCCCCCGCCCCTGACTCGGTAGTAATGGTGTTCATGCTGGTGTCTTAATACAACAACGCTGTCCAGGCTGTCCAGGCTGTCGATAAGGTCACATGTGGTACCGACATTGTTTACGTCAAACAACTGATTGTGCTGCCAGTGATCGTCTTGTTTTACTGGTCGCTTGACTGACTTTACTGACCATCGTCCTCCCCTCAAAGGGATTCATGGCCGTGACTAGTTTATTGTGGTTTAGAAAAGCCAAAAGCAGAGAAGGCCAAGGCTTATACTGCTAAAAAGAAAACAAAAGTTTCACTGCAGAGGTCGAGCGTTGGGCACACTTCAGCAAATAGTTCTCACCGGACACCCACCATGTGCCAAGTTGAGGACGTGTTGTTAATGAGGGCCAACATCACATACCGACGTGAGAAGCACTGACAACGAAGAATTTTTGGAACCAGGGCCAAGTCCAACACTGGAATGGTCTTCATTTTTGCAACGATCCTGATTCTGCTCAGGAAAGCCGGTTCTCTATCATAGGTCCTTGGCCGATGATTTTGAAACCAAAGAGACAGGCATTTCTTTCTCCTTAGTGCCGGCGATACCTCCGTTGATAGCCTCTGCCTTGAGTGTCTCTTGCATCAGAGGTGTTGACGTGCTCTGCAAGCTCTCATTGCTCGCTCGCCGTGACAGGTCTTGGCTAGTGCGACCACCAATGAGACCTTTGATCCCGCCAGCCTTGCGAGCAGGCAGTTCCCCTGTGCCAGCCGTCAAGACATAGAGCAAATACTTGAGATTGGGCAATGTATGCCGGATATCGAGTATCCGCAGGCCTGCACGACTCATGAGGAATTCGATGTCCTTGTTGAGCAAGAAGACGCCATATTCGAACTTGTAGGGCACGCTCGTAGGATGAAGAGGATACCTTCTTTGACTGAGCCCGAGCGATATCGGATCTGAGATGAATGACGTGGAGCCGTACGGTTCAACTGGATAGGGTAATGGCGCGGACAGATACAGCGCCAGCTGATGGACGAGCTGGGCTGTAAAACCAAGAGCTGCAGCTATCTCGTCACGGTTTGTGTCATCATAGACAGAATTCGGAAGGAATATGCCGCAAATGGTGAATTGTAGCGTGCGACTTTTCAAGGGTTCAATAGGAAAGATGGTCAATAACGTCTCACATATCCTTCGAATTTGGCCGCGGGATTCCTTTTGGGTTTGCTGCAGTTGTGCTTCCAGGTCCTGGCATGCCTGCGTCCTCGACTCCAAAAGCTGCATAGACTTTGACATCATGTCACGCCCGGTAGTCAGGGCCTGGCGTCTGTGATCCAGTGAGTCTTTCAGCTCATCCCTTCGTTTCTTCAGTTGACGCAATCGTTTCTGTTCCGCTGCTAGTGCAGCCCTGGTCTGAGGACTGTCATCGGCAAGTCCAGGGTTTGCCTCGTCTTCAGCACTCAGCACGTTGGCTTCCGACAGGATCTTGTTGATATCATTCTCGATCTGAGATCTGACCTTGACCGCATCCTGTATGCAGTCGTCGAGATTGGCAAGTTGCATCAGAGCATCGAAGGAAGAGCCTGGTTTACTCGTGCCATTCCGATGGTCGACCACATCATCTACCACGGGGTGGGGGTCTGCAGGCAGGTCGGTAAAGCTGGTGTAGATACCGTCAGATAAGTGTAGCAGGATACAATTCTGGGGCAGAGGATGGTGGAAATTCTCGAGACTCCGTCCGATGAATTGCAACGACCTCAGATTCAGGTCAAGTTCGACTAGGAGACAGTACTCTTCCGTGTTGGCGCTTCTGGCCCACACTCGGATGGTACATTCATCAGACCTTGAAACATGGATGCCACTGCTGTCCAAGTCGAAAAACGCAAAGCTTGGGTTCATGGAACTCTCTATTACCTCGGTGATGTAGACCGGCTCCGGAACGCCTGGACAGTGGACAGACACCCATGAATCCGCCAGACGGCTTACGAGGATATCTTCCAACTTCGATTGCCGAGCTCGCGGACTCGCTGATGCCCAGTGCAAAGTACTGCTCCGGCGAAGCCTGCCCCCACCGGGCCTATCGGACTGTATCTCATGCTTTTCATAGGAGGTGGCAGCTTTGTGAAGGGCAGCTGGGTTGGAGGGTTCGTCAAGCGCGGAGTGCAGGTCCGTGAAAGAGCGCGACTGGGTCAAGGGCTTTGAGTCGTTCTGCAAGGCACGCTTGGAGGGGGACGCCAGGCTGTAAGGTGCGTCGTCGTCGGTGATTGTCTTTGCGCGACTTCTGGGGATGGGGGCCGTCACATGGAGATTGCGCAATGAGATGCCGTGCAAATGACGCAGACGACGGTTCTGGCAAACAGTTAGCTCAGCTACAGATAAATTGTTGTGCAGCCACACTAACCCAAGGATACAGGAACGGACGTTCGTTGCGAGGTTTGGAGGAAGCACCTGGCTCATCTCCCTGCTCAACCATTATTATGCGTGATGTTGGACCGATGCATTGCGAGGCGTCGAGCCACAGCAGCAGGGATCAAATGGTACGAGAAAGTTGGTGTCTGGCGCGAATTAGGATGGCGACAACGTGAGATCACGCACAGCGACCATTGGAACAACCGATACAGTGTGGTGTCGGTGTCAGTAGAAAGGCAGGAATAGTCAAGCATGTGGCGTAGTAAGCCGAAATTGATGTTTGTACTTTGGTTCGGCGTTGAGTCTGCATTCGTTTATGACCGCGCAATGGGATATCGACTACTACTAGTAGCGGCTTGCGACGGTGACTGCAATCCGCCAATCACAAGCAGGCGCAGGCAACGACCCCTCGAATGATCCAAGGCAGCTTTGCCGAGACTGCGACTTCATCCGCTTCCATCGTCGCCTGTTGACAGCAGCATCTCAACGCTCATCCATCCACTTCGGTCCCATCGCCCCGTTCCTGAGTCCTCGATTCGTCAACGGATCGACATTGTGGACTGTCTTGTCCAATCTCGGGCAGCATCAAGAGCACAGACACTGAAGCGTGTCTCGTTTCGCAGGAGACTAGAGAGTCTGAGATGCATGGTAGAGCAGAAGAACCAAAAAGCGATCTCGCACGTCTCCCGACCCGCGGGACCCCAAATTGATGTTGATATGGACCATGCTGGGCCATGTCGCGCCAGACCTGTCATCCCGAATGGTTGCAGACACCGACCTCAAAGTCAATCTTTGTAACCTGCATTGGAACCAGATGGTACAGGTTGGTGCCGTGGATTGACAGGTTTGACAGCCTCCTCTACGCGTCCCATTTGGTCGACTTCGCTTTCGCTCCTCTTCTCTTAACGCAGCAACCTGCAATTTCTCGAATCAGTGTGTGTCACGTTGTCAAGTTACTCCTGACATCCTGATGGGCTCCAGGTACTAAGAGGCAAGCTGGTCGACCAGTTGCACCAGCGCGAACCTTCGAACACACTTCTAACGGCTAGAACCTCCCTTCACCTCCTATTCGGAAGCACCGCAACTTCCTCCAGCAGAAAAGGGGGCCTGTCCAATCGTAGGTGGTTTTCTCACACCTATTCACGGGTCTTCTGTTACCTCCAGTTTCGTCGGTCCGCTCCCCTGGCGCGCTCACGGTACCAAGTGAGCTGTCTAACGGTATATATCGGCTCAACAACAGACACAGTGCAGACATGGCCCCGACTGGTCATAGTTCCTGCTCGAGCACTGTCATGATCTAGGCGGGAACGGTTGTTCTGACAGCAGTCCATGGGCTGTCTAATCTCCCTCGACTCACCCCGACAACAGACCCTCCACGAGCCCAGTCTTGAACAGGGCGCCCTCATAGTAGCACCACTGCTGCGAGGCCACGATGGGGGCTCCTAGGAAACAACATATACTTCTGGGGTGCTGCATTGGTTTCCCCATCGTTAGGGACTTCGCTCTTTTATTTTCCCATCCGCAGCACAGACACTCACTCCAGTCGCTCTCTTTACTGTGCTTTTATCTTTCGCTTCTTCGCTTCTAGTCCATCCTTTCCTCTCGGTCTGCTGGTACTGCCTGATCAATTTCGTCTCCTTGTCTTGCCATGAAGGTCGCTACTTCCGCCTTCGTCGTGCTCGCTGCGAGTGGGCACGCTGTTGCCTCCTGGCTCGATTGGTCTGACCAGGATGTCACCGTCACAGACACCTTGACAAGGACGATTGAGTACTGCCCTTGCAATGGAGAAGTCCGAGTTACCCCTGTTTCTCCTGCGGAGGGTGTCCAGGTCTATACTACTACAACAAACGCAGTTGCGCCTGTCCTGACTACTGGGCCGAGAACCATTACAAAAGCCGGCCCTATCGTTGTCGTCTACACCACTGAAGGATACTTGACCACGAAAACCGGAATCGCCATTGAGCTGTGCCCGACGGACGGGGCCCCTGGGGAGACCGTGACAAAGACCGTCTGGACTGGAGCACAGCCTACAAACGAACTGGCGTGGATTGATTGGACTGACGACGATGCGGTGGATGGGGCGACTTTGACCAGGACACACACCGAGTTCACCACCGTCATCGGACCTGCGCCGACCAGCGACGAGCCTGAACCATGGTCTGATTGGGTTGCGACGACCAACTCGGTCAGGACTACATCAACTACGTCCGGTCTTGTTGGACCCATCGGTGGCTCGACCTCGTCTCTCACAACGAGCGGATACTCGTCCTCCAGCTCCAGCTCCAGTGGCTTTGGCGTTGGGCCGATCGGCGGTTCAATCACCACTTCATCCAGCATGTCAACTACATCCAGCACCTCTATGACGAGCTCTTCCGGTGGCGCTGTTGGCCCTATCGGAGGCAGCACCACAGCCTCGTCCAGCTTGTCCACCACCCCAGCCGCGAGCTCTACCAGCGCCGCGTCAACGACCACCGGTATCTTATCACCCATCATGCAGACCACATCTGCGGGAACATCATCCACTACTGTGGCTGTTGTGACAAGCTCAACCACTGCCGCCGTTACGACGACCCCTGTTGTGGCCTCGACTACAACCTCTGCAGCAGCATCCATTCAGACAGTGAATGTGGGCACTGACTACATCTCTGGAATTCTGGAGGCTCACAACATCCACCGTGCGAACCACTCTGCGGCTGCCCTGACCTGGGCTACCAATCTGGCAACCATTGCAGGGGAGACTGCCGCAACGTGTGTCTATGCGCATGACGTGTAAGTATTTGCATTCTTGAGATTCCTTGGGCTTTGGCAGCAGACGATACTAACACGCTATCTCAGCACCACCGGCGGCGGCGGTTATGGCCAAAACATCGGTGCTGGCTACACCCCCCTCCAGGTCCCTGGCATGATTGGCAATGACATGTACAACCGTGAGATGCCTTTCTATCCCGGCCCCTACGACACGAACAATGTCGATACCAGCAACTTCGGAAACTGGGGCCACTTCTCGCAGATCGTCTGGAAGGGCACCCAGCAAGTCGGCTGTGCCACTCAATATTGCCCTCAAGGGCTGACGAACGCCGCGTTTGCTCAGTACTTCACGGTTTGCAATTACTATCCCCCTGGTAAGTTCATTTCTGGCAACTGTCGTCCTTAACGGTGCTAATCAGGCAACAAGGCAACATCGAAGGCGCATACAGCAACGTTGGAGCTCCCCTGGGTGAACCCATCACGGTTGTTATTACCTAGTAAAGCCCGCCGGAATCTAGTTGTCTTTTGGGGATGGGCAAGGGGCAGGACTTGAGACTGGCTCAAGAAGACTTGCTTAATTGGACGTCGCCCGCGTCTGCACTGTTATATATTCCACATTCGGCTCTAAGTTTGGGCCTTATTTTACCTTGGCCACACCAGCGCTGGAGGAGCGAGGGTGCCATGCATTTTATGGGAGGAGGGACACTAGGGAGCGTTTTTATATATTCAACAGTATAGCTGCAGTAGCTGTCAGCAACAATATCAATATTTTGGCTACTCGGCGTCGCTGATGATACTGCACTTAACGTGGAGGGTGTGGGAAACAAGCCTGATTGTACATACACTTAAGACCTTTGCATAAGCACGGAGTCCAATGATCAGAAGGTACAATCTCTATCTCAACGCCCGGGCGCCGTGCTTATAGATGCAAAAATCCAAACCGAATCGCTGTTGAAAGACTACCGTCGCAGACTGTCAAGACGGGCTTGCAGATCGTCGTCTTCGGCAACTCCGCCCACGGCCTGAGCCACTCGCCCTTCTGGGACGGCGGCCTTTTGTATACCAGTAGGAGTCTCGCCGAGCTGGGAGGTTGTCAGTAACGCTGTGCCTGAAACGTAACCTTCAGGTCGTAGCCGACTCACCGCATTGTTAAGGTCGACCCCGATTTCGTCCAGAACTTGGTTGACAACTTCCTCACCCTCTTCTTCGTCCTCCAAGCCCGTCACATCATCGATAGCATCGTCCATCATTTCCTGCCGCTGATCCATGATGTCGTTTTCGCGCTCAAATTCCATTGCAATTCTCTGAAGAGCAGGCAGGTTCATCTGCCTGTTCATACTTCCCAGAAGCATGGTCGCCCCTTTCATAGATTGCATCATCTGCTCATTACTGCGTACGGTCTGTTCCATAGCTCAGGGTCAATTGCGTTGCCCGATACCAAGCCCGCCAACTTCCACGACGTACCTGTATCCGCAGCGAGATAGCCTGCAACTGAGTCCTCATCTGGTAGAATTTCTGGATATATCTCCGAGTGCGGACCAGGTCCTTTGCCTGGATCTTACAAGCCCCAATCTGGCCATTCTTCGCGCTTTTCTTGATATCTGCCACTAGTTTCTTCTCTTGGTTCTCAAGCTTGACCCTCTCTCGGTCGAGTTCTCGCTGTGTCTTTTCGAGTGCGCGCTGATGTTTGCGAAGTCTCTCAGCCGGCGTCATGCGCTTACCGAAAGCCCACTCGATGATCTGGTAGAGGTTAGCGGGTGGGCGGGTTATCACTGTGACATTGGCCATCCAACAGTACTCACATTCATCGCGAGAAGCCAGGGTGCGAGGTAGTGGGAGATAAGAAGCGTTCCACAGGTGACTTGTTGCCTCAGGAGGGCTCATGGAAGTCTCACCAAGTTGTCCTCGCTGCGAGTCGTGATTTCGGCTATTAGCCACGGGCGCAAGGTATGGTGGGGGTCCGTTGTTGCTCTGCAGAGCGACGCTTTGAAGTTCAAGTTGTTGTTGGTGGCAGCCTTGGACGTCGCAGCCAGTGACGTGGCGGCAAACTTGCAGCGGCCCGGCGGCCGGATCACGATCCTTTTGTGTCTCCTCTAGTTCCTCTGAATACGTGATTATTACCTTACTATGGGCGGCGACCACCACAATTATTAACAAGCATTACCTAGAACCACGCAGCTCTGGACTTTGCCCATTACCACCACCCATCATTCTTATATAGCCAGCATTGTTAATGGCGATTGATTGCCATTCCGTCTGCTGAAAGTTACCTTCCCTTGCACGCACCCTCTGGGTGCGCTTCAACAATGAGCCAGTCTTACTTCCCAAGTGAGGGTTCATCCCGAGAACCATCAAATGACGAGCCAAATAACAACCCCGACGATACATCTCCTGCGCCGACCGACCCTCCATCGTATCGACCACAATACATGACGGTGGGCAGTGGAGGACAGCCTACGCATGCTGCAGCCCTGATGGAGCAATTGGAGCGGGATTCAGGCTATGGCAGCATGCCAGGCGATGCACAGCAACGTGGTGGCGAGATGCGCGCATGGGAGGATCAACTTCTACGAGACAGACCTACGCCGGCTCATACTCCGCAGATCGATGGACGTCCCACGACCATGTCAGAAACCGAGAAACGGGCACTCGCAAGCCATGTCCATCAACTCCACTACAACCAAAACCGCTTTGCATTGGCCAAGGCAATCGGTCAAACAGTGGAATTGTTGAAACAACTACAAGAAATGAATGCGCAGTGGCCGGCGCATTATCCATCGGTACAGCGCCCCGAAGATGATACCCAACCTAGCAGACCAGCCATCACCCAGGCTCAGTCAACCAGAGAACAGGCCGATTTGTCACGAGACATGTTCCTCAAGAATTTGGGACAGCCCCGACCAGGATCACTGCGGAGGGCTGGTACTTCGCTCGGAGAAGACACATCAGCAGAGTCGAGTGCGCAGGCTCAGCGTAGGTCAACTCCCGAGCCACGGTTGATCACGCCACAGATCGCCCAGGAGTTTTCCATCCTCAAGCTGGATCTCAAAGTCGGAGCTCTATCACAGACGGAGCTTGTCCACTCTCTAGAGAAAAAGTCAATCGCTTCGTTGCTTGACGGCAAGATAAGCCAAAGTGTTCGACACCTGCTCGCTCTTCGGGACAGAATAGAAGACATTTCCAGCAAGGTTCTGATCACTGGAGATCTCAACGCCGGGAAGTCGACCTTTTGCAACGCTTTGTTACGGCGGAAGATTCTCCCCGAAGATCAGCAGCCCTGTACCAGCATATTCTGTGAAGTCCTCGAGGCGAAAGAAAACGGCGATGTCGAGGAGGTACATGCCGTTCACAAAGACTCGATCTATGACAGAAATGATGAAAGCACGTACGACAGTTATTCCTTGCAGGAGTTGGAAAAGATCGTGGTGGATAATGACAGGTATATGCAATGCAAGGTCTACGTCAAGGACGTTCGGAGCATCGACCAGTCGTTACTGAAGAACGGGGTGGTGGATATCTCATTGATTGACGCACCTGGGTTGAACTCTGATTCAGTCAAGACTACTGCAGTATTCGCTCGGCAAGAGGAGATTGATGTGGTTGTGTTCGTCGTCTCTGCCGCAAATCACTTCACCCTCTCGGCGAAGGAATTCATCTGGCAAGCGGCACAGGAAAAGGCCTACATTTTCATGGTGGTCAACGGCTTCGACAACATCCGAGACAAGCAACGGTGTCAGAAACTAATCCTCGAGCAATTGTCCAAACTGAGCCCTCAGACGTTCAAGGAGGCCCAGGAACTGGTACACTTCGTGTCCAGTAATGCCATCCCCATGGCGCCTGTACCATCAAGCGGACCAGATGGTGGCGGTGGCGGATCAGGTCCGTCCAGCCCTCCCGACGACGACGACGATGATGGAGAGGACCATGGAAAGGGCAAAGGAAAAGACAAGGAGAAGATCCAAGATTTTGAGGTATTGGAGGGAGCCCTCCGGAGGTTCGTCCTGGAGAAGAGAGCACGCTCGAAACTTACGCCAGCGAAGACTTACTTGATGAACTGCCTGGGTGATTTGAATGTACTTGCCACGGTGAATCGAGACGTCGCACAAGCGGAGCTCGACAGAGTGTCGCAAGAACTTTCCGACATCGTGCCCGAGTTTGAAGATCGACAGAAGCAGCGCGTGGCTATTGCGGAGCAGCTCGAAAAGGAAATCGACTCAACATCCGCAGATGTCTACAATCATACCCGATCGACATTGTCCCGTACCATTGCCAACGTTGGCCAGGAAGATCATGGCATTGAATACCCAGGTCTGCTTTCGGCCTTTCAGTATGCTGAGGACCTTCGAATTGCCATGCTCGACCAGATCTCTGGCGCCGTTGCCAGCTGTGAAGTCTATGCCAGGAGCAAAACTGTTGAAGGGGTCAGCATGATCAAGTCTCTGGGCCTATTGCACGTGGGAGGCAGCTACGAGAATCTCAACTTCCAAGCAGACAAGATGTTTCAGCGACGCAAGGATGCGCTGGTCCGCTCTGTTGACACGGACGTGGAGCTCTGGGACTTCTTTGATGTGGCAGGTCTGTGGGAGCGACAGGAGAAGACGGTCGGGACTGGTCTGGCTCTTACGTTGGTTGGGACAGTGGGCTCCAGAGCTATTGGCGGTGTGGGCTGGATTGACGGTGCCTTTGGGGCAGCAAAGATCATGGGCAGTCGGAATCTGAGAAGAATGATCGTGCCAGGTGTTGTTGCTGCTGGTGAGTTAATTCTCTGTCCATTTGAAGCAATTCTGTGACCGTCTGGACTATCTGCTAACTGTTGCTGTAGCCATTCTGACCGTGGCCTACGTTCTGTCCACCATTCCTCAGACGCTGCCTCCCCGACTGGCATCTAAAATGTCGGCGACCCTGGCGCAAATGGACTACACTCACAGCAATGCTAATCGCATTGCCGGCGAGGTCCGAAGAGTGCTCCGCTACCCAGCACAACAGCTGACCACGGATCTTACTCGCGGCGTCGATGAACTGAAGCAGAAGAAAGAGAATGTGATCAAGGTCAAGCACGAGAGCGAAGTCGCACGGAAGTACTTTGGAAACTTGGTCCGAGATTCTTCTGAAACGAGGCGGAGAGTTGCGGGTATCGATCTGGAAGGGCCCCCAGGAGCCATCGGGGCTTATGCGGGTTAAAAAAGTCATTGTTCATGAGATGCATGAGATTGTGGGTGCGATTGAGCGTGAAGGAGTATCGAATCGGGCGTCTCAACTGGTAGCTTTGCTTCGACTTCTCCACTTGATTCCATACCTTAGGTACTGGTAGATAACAAGACCAGGGTTGCTGGTGCCACACCACCGTAGTCAATCTTGAAGCGCACTGCACCCAGTAGTACTAGTACCTCGGATACCTGCGAACAGAAGACGAGTTTGTAGGTATATCTTGACTGGTTTCCCAATATTGCCCTTGCTTTGGGGACAATCACCCCCTAACCTTTGCTATGCCTATCCCGCGAGGTTTCACGCAGGGTGCGGATAAACGCCCTCGGCTGGCAAGCTCCTCGCTTCGTTTGTTAACTTAAGTGGGCGCTTCGAGTCCCGGGCGCCACGGTAGATGCTTGCCGTACCAGTAGGGTACATCCAGAGCCGACGGAGCACCGAGGTGGCTATTTGGTACTTGGTAGCGCCAACAAGGGTTAAGGTGGGTGAGGATGACAGACATGGCGATGCCTGGAAACGGGCCAAAGAGACAGGGCGGTCGCTGTGGAGGACAGAGCCTGGCAGGATGATACAAGTCGGCGTATCTTTGGACGTAGGTACCTAAGGTAGGTACAGGGTAAAGCCCAGCGAGAAAAGCGCAGTGAGCGGTGAAAGAGACTGCGGAATCAGGCCCTAAACTTAAGCGCGGCTGTAGTAATGATGAAAGAGGTCCGCCTGCTTGCAGCTTGATTGAAAGAGAGTCAGTCAGTGAACCTCCATACTTTTCGCACCTGCATTTCCCTTTCCCCTCCCCCACAGCCATCGTCGGCACCTTCGAAGACACAACAACCACTGCACCTCCATCCATTCATCCATTCACCAACCATCCAGCCAGCCAGCCAGCCTCCATTCCTCTCTCGATCTCCAGTACTACCACGTCTCACTCCAGCCAGACCTTTGATCCCATTGACCATCTTTCTATTGCGCCACTGACAGTACCTGGTTCTTGTCACCTCTACCTACGCACCGCCATCCCACTCGTGGCCGCTGTTGGCCATCCTTCTACCTATTTTCGACCTTCCCGGTCTCCCTGGGCCTCCTCACACCCTGCCTCGAACGACGTCCTGTTTTGACCTCAGGTCCGCCGCCTTCCCAGCCGATATCGCAGCAACTGGTCAGGGAGGATCTTCCCTGCATAGTTGATCGGTTGTCCTACAGCCTCACGGTCGCAGCGCCGGTCCTTTTCTGTACGAGAGCAATCGCTTTGCCCGTGCCACCACCAGCAAGTCGTCAAACTGGCTGGCACAACCGAGCGGAGGTCCTCCTCACATGGGGGCCTTTTCAATCGCATGTTTGGAAGCAAAAAAGACCGGGATGTAGACACGGATAGCATACCTGCCCGTACCAGCACCGACGGCGATAACGACAAACCCTCATCGCCAACAAGTGGTATCACTGTCCAGACCAACGACCTCGCTCCCAAATCTCCAACCAGTGGTCAATTGGAAGAGAAGACTGCGTCGCCAACCACCGACCCCAGCAAGAAACGCCGGAGTAGCAGTTCCAAAGCCCGAGACATCTTTACGCAGGCCAAAAACTCCCTGATCCACGGCGACAGGGACGGTCCTCTAACACCCATGCAGAAACTAGCCAGGACTGATCCCGCGCTGAGTGTGCCTCAAGGTTCAAACAACAACTCTGCTGGCGAGTCACAACCGACGCCCAACTCTTCCTTCTTAGTCGGAGTCACGGAGGATAGGAACAAGAAATGTCGTCGAACGATGGAAGACACTCATGCCTACCTCTACAACTTCCTCGGCACCCCCGCCCCTGTCCTGGCCTCCTCTGACATCTCGTTATCCAAGAGCAAATCTACAGAGTCCCGCAACAGTCTGACGCATGTGCCATCGGATCCAGGCCAACATGTGGTAGAAACGGACAATGGATATTTCGCCATCTTCGACGGGCACGCCGGTACTTTCGCTGCCGAATGGTGTGGAAAGAAATTGCATGTCATCTTGGAAGATCTGATGCGCAAGTATCCCAACACCCCTGTTCCAGAACTACTTGATCAGACATACACCACCGCCGACAACCAGCTGGAGAGGCTGCCATTGAAAAATAGCGGGACCACTGCGATTACTGCTGTTCTGCGATGGGAAGATCGGGTGCCGACTAACCACTCGGCAACTGGATCACAAGCCATTGCAGCGCTAGCCGCAGCAGCCGCTAAGGAAGCAGAGAAGCACGACAACGCGAAAGAAGACAAGGATGCCAATGCCACACCGCGGTCCAACTCGACTGCAGAAGCAACTGCGGCAGCGATTCAAGAAGCGAAACAGAAGGCTACGCGTCAGAGGGTGTTGTATACTGCTAACGTGGGCGATGCACGCATTGTCCTATGTCGGAACGGAAAGGCCCTTCGTCTCTCGTACGACCACAAAGGGATGGATGAAAACGAGGGCCGTCGCATCTCGAAAGCGGGCGGGTTAATCCTCAACAACCGCGTGAACGGAGTTTTGGCTGTAACTCGGGCCTTGGGCGATTCTTATCTCAAGGATCTGGTCACCGGACACCCTTATACCACCGAAACGGTCATCCAACCCGACCAAGACGAATTTCTGATTCTAGCATGTGATGGAGTAAGTTCAGACCGAAGCACTGCCTTGATTCTTGCCCACTGACTTTGTTTAGTTGTGGGATGTCTGCTCTGACCAGGAGGCGGTGGATTTGATCCGCAATGAGCGAGACCCTCAGGTTGCTTCGAAGATGCTGGTGGACTATGCGTTGGCTCGATTTTCGACCGACAACTTGTCGGTCATGGTCGTCCGGTTCGACCCGCAAAAGTTGCAGCAAAACACCAAGATTGATATTGGAGTGGAAAATGAGGCGACCAAAGACAAGAGCGCAATCAGTGAGGTAGAGATGATTGTCGGAGAAGCTCGTCGCCACTCCGGCATCGTGCAAGAGAGTGCTTTTTCTGACCAGGACTCGGAAGAACTGAGAGAGATGGTTATCAAAGAGCAGGAGGAAGAGGATCAGGAGCCAGGACCCGAGCTCACCCCCGAGGGCAAACGCGAGGCAGAGAAGATACTCTCGGAAAAACAGGGGAACCCAGATAAGAGTGGCGAGAGTTAGGACTGGCGGATGGTACGCTTTGGCTTCTGCTCAGTTGGCCATGGTTGGGTATTCTGGGCAGCGATGTGCTGCAACAATTACGGGCAGCTGCTCGGGAGGCGTCTTCACGTTGGACTGTCTTCCCTGCAAAAGCACCGCTGAGATGGAACAGTCAAAGTGTGCGCTTGGATACGAAGGCGAAAAGACGTGCTTTAGACCTTCCGGCAGTGTCAGGTGTCAGGAAGGCTGGAGAGTTGTGGTCAAATGGGTGTCCGTGGACTCGAATCGCGTGGTCTGGATGATTGTGAGCGGTGTGCCGAGTTTGAGCCACAATGGCACCAGCCAATATCGATGTCGTGAAGACTTGTTACGTGAGACGAGCCAAAGGGGGAGGTGTCAGGGCTGACTGACGGAATGAATGACCTGTTGCTTGCGTAAATGCCTTGTCACTTTCGATGATTCCTGGTGGGAAAGATACGATACGTACCTAGTACTCAGGGCGTCGGGTTTCCAGCTCCCATAAGTTGTACGTGCGACAGGAGATTGGACACCTGCCCAGGAACCTACTGGCGAACCGGAGTTTTGTTATGGAGAGAAATATCACATTCCCTTATCGATGCAGTGTATAATATGGTTGGGTGTTTACAGGGGGTTGTTGCAGCACCTGTGTCCACAAATTGGGAGATGAGGCATATCAACGGAACCTACAAGACGACAGCTCAAGCCCCCTTCATCCAGAGATGCATGGAGTAACTATAGGTAGGTACATACCTGCTCACTTCTACGGTGCACCGAGTGCCTACAGCGTTGATTTCAGACAGATACTAGTAGTGGAGGTGGCTCCTTTAGCATCTCCCATCTGTCCGTCCGAGAGCTCATCTCCCTCCCTCGGGTAAGTAAGGTACCTTATGCAGAGTAGACGATGATGATTTTGCTTGCTCGGGTTGGCGGATACAGGTGCTGCTGCGAGCAAGAATGACCACCTCCCTTTGATCCGGGCTCCATCCCGCACTACTAGGACAGGCTACCTCCTTATTAGGATACAGGCCGATGTGTCCTCCTCATCACCCTGTGTGGCCACTAATTAGGCCTAATAAGGCTGGGTCGGGGAGGCTTTAGGTACCTACTTTAGGCATGTCTAGGCGCCAATTTGGTCGCTTGCCGGTGGTTCACGACTCTTCAGGCGCCTCGAATTGGGTGTTTTGGTGCTTACTAAAGCTGGTGCTCGTCATGGCCATCGCCCTCGCCATCGCTCCGTTCTCAATTCTCCACCACTGAAGCCCACTCGCCGCTTATCCAGACCCGCATTACACACTATAACAGTGGTGGTGGTGGTGCACGCTGCGATCTGGGTATCTCGAACCTCCTATCTCGTCTACTAAGTTAGGTAGCTCGCGGTAGTATACCAACCTGGAATCTACCAGATACCTTAGATGTCTATCTTACTAGCTAGGTACTTAATTACTCTGTATACCTAGAGCTCGGGCAAATCCCCGACTCGCCAACGGCTTATTTACGTAGTAGTAGTAGTCGTACGGACTTTGGACGATGTGGTCCGGCTCAACTATTATTATTGCTTAAACGTTACTAGTCGCCAACGGGACTCAAAGGCTACTGGAAGTTTGCCAACGACATCTGCCCATCTTGGACTGCGGCCAGAAAAAATACAACAGACCTACCTACCTAAGGTACCTCTATCTATAATCCCTCGCCGTCAACGCCGCGAATCTCCCCCCAGGCACCACTGGGCCTCTCTTCTCATATCCTCATGATCTCCTCTTAGGTCCATTCCTTGACAATAGCCGCCGTCATGGCAAGCAAGCTCCCCATGCGCATGAAGCCCGTCAGCTTCGCATGTGCGTCACGCAGATCGTTGTCGTCCCTAGCTTCGACCAGCTCGGTCTGCAGACCAAACACACCTCTGGTCCAGAGGCAATCTGCCTTTCGCCCTCGAGCAGTCCTCCCTCGCTCGTTTCGTCGTAGCTATGCTGAAGATGCAGCTCCTCAAGCACCCCAGGTCATTCTCTCTCCCGCACCCACGCCCAAGAAGCGATTCAGGTTCTTGCGCACCTTGTGGCGCGTCACATATATCTCGCTCCTTGCAGGCGTAGGATACACGGCCTACACTGTCTGGGAGCTCAACCATCCTCCCGAGCAGCTCGACCCGGACCCGAAGAAGAAGACTCTGGTGATATTAGGTGAGTGAGACTCGTTGCGCAGGCTTAGGGCTCAATGCTGACAGTGCCAGGAACCGGCTGGGGGTCGGTCTCTTTGCTCAAGAATTTGGACACGGAAAACTACAATGTCGTCGTTGTCTCTCCCCGAAATTACTTCCTCTTCACGCCTCTTCTCCCGTCCTGCACCACTGGCACCATTGAACATCGCTCTATCATGGAACCGATTCGAAACATCCTTCGGCACAAAAAGGCCAAGGTGTCATACTACGAAGCAGAGTGCACCAAGATTGATTACGCGAAGAAGATTGTCTACGCCAAAGATAACTCGGAAATCAAGGGCGATAACATGGAAACCGAGATTCCGTTTGACATGCTCGTCGTGGGTGTCGGTGCCGAGAACGCCACCTTCGGTATCCCTGGCGTGCGTGAGCATGGTTGCTTCTTGAAAGAAGTCGGCGACGCTCAGAAGATTCGCAAGCGGATCATGGACTGTGTCGAAACTGCTACTTTCAAAGACCAACCCGCTGAAGAAGTCAAGCGTCTCCTCCACATGGTCGTCGTCGGCGGTGGCCCCACCGGCGTCGAATTTGCCGGCGAATTGCAGGACTTTTTCCAGGAAGATTTGCTGAAATGGGTCCCCCAGATCAGGGATGATTTCCACGTCAGCCTCGTCGAAGCCCTCCCAAATGTCCTACCTATGTTCAGCAAGCAATTGATCGAGTACACCGAGTCTTCCTTCAAGGAGGAACATATTGAGATCCGTACCAAGACCATGGTCAAGAACGTCACCGACAAATTCATTGAGGCGGAAGTCCAGCAACCCGACGGTACAAAGAAATTGGAGACCATCCCGTACGGTCTGCTGGTCTGGGCTACAGGTAATGCGCTGCGTCCTGTCGTGAAGGATCTCATGACGCAAATTCCCGCGCAAGCCAAGGCTCGGCGAGGTCTTGAGGTCAATGAGTATCTTGTGGTCAACGGTACCGAGAACATTTGGGGTGTGGGTGACTGCGCCGTTGCAAACTATGCCCCAACCGCGCAGGTGGCTGCCCAAGAAGGTGCCTTCCTGGCTCGCCTGTTTAACACCATGGCCAAAACAGATGCCATCGAGGACGAGCTCCGAGATCTTTCCGCCAAGCAGGCTACTACTGCAGGAGACGAGCGCAACGCCATCCTCGGCGAGATCAGAGAACGCCAGAGACAGCTCCGCCGCATCAAGCAGATTGGCCCCTTCCAGTACTCGCACCAGGGGTCGCTGGCCTATATCGGGGCCGAAAAGGCTGTGGCCGATGTCTCCTGGTTCAGCGGCAACATCGCGTCTGGTGGCACACTGACCTATCTGTTCTGGAAGAGCGCGTACTTGAGCATGTGCTTCAGCGGTGAGTTCTCCTCTACAGTCCCTCATATTAATCCGGGTATCCCTTTACTGACTATGGACGATTGTAGCACGAAACCGCATCCTCGTCGCGTTCGACTGGACCAAGGCCAAGTTCTTTGGACGAGATGTGTCGAGAGAATGAAAAGCAAAGCTTTCTCGCCCCGTCGACTTTGTGTTTATCTGCTTTCCAGCGCTGAGGGGGGGTTGGCGGTGGGGTCGGATGGATGGATGGGATGTCTGTTTTTCTCCTCCCAGAGAGGCTTTTGGTCCTCCTCGGGCCCTGGTCATGCTTACCGTGGGCCCTTGAGTCGAAGGATGGTTATTCTTAACCGTTGACGGTCTCTATATCCAATTGTCGGAAAGATCAGGGGTGGTTTTTACAGAAAACTGTGGCACCGGGCTGCAGATCGCGGCCGGTGTCTGGGTGTCTGTCTATCTGTTTCTGCTGGGCGAGTCTAGACGTGCCGGACCTCGAGACGACTTGTGTACCACGACTTCCAGTAGTCAACGGTCCGGCGACCTCTTCGGTATAACACCAGGCGGTCTCTGACCATGACCCAACCATTGCCCGGGTACACCTAGTCACCTGCCTTCCTAGTACCTAGTTACCTTTATGTTACAATAATCTTTAGACAATAGACGCGACATGTTTTGTTGTGCTTGTGTGCTTGGGTGTCCGCATAATTGACGAACTTGGCAGTCGTACAACCGTTTGTGCTTGCCTTTGATTTCAATTGTTTCTGAAGCAGTTGCGCGTATTGGCATGGCAGTCTGTTGAGGGAGTTGTACTTAGTAGTAGAAGGCTATATAGCTGTCTTGTACTTCGAGCATGCAAGGGCTTGAACCCCGCAGGCACAGAACATGGCCTTAACGTAGAATAGGTGTGTAACCCGTGCACGGCTTGACGGATACTTTCTAGGAGTAAATACCTACTGGCAGCAACCTGTGTATGAATGTTGTCGGTAACATGGAAGGTACCTAAGTATGTTTATAATTCGAGTGTCGGTAATTTATATCGGTGCCATGACTGTTTGAATATAACCTGATTATATTTTTGCTGCTTCGTGCTCTACAAAAGTATACAGATATATATCCACTACCAATAGGACAAGACCGACGTAGAAAAGCTCATCAAATCCAGCTAATTCCCGCAGATGCTCCATTGGATTTATAAATTTGTTCTTATTGTTTGTCGTGAATTGTTTCTGGAAGCGCGACACCGTTGATTTATAGAGTAGGTTTCATCGGATACGACACATTGTACTCTGTCTGGCAGCGCGTTACCTGCTATCAGATACCCTCCATACCTCATGCGTAAAGACTTTCGGATCTCATACACTGGATACTAGTATCGAATGCAGAAATGTACATTAATATATACATGGACATGGCAATGTGTCCCAAGTCCCAAACAAAAACGGCTGTCGGGAGCATGTATCCGTGGTCACGGGCAGTGCTGATCGTCCCCTATCTCGGGGAAGAGGTAGAATCGTAGGATTGATTCCCATGTCCATTCATTGTTGTCCTGGTCCTGGCCTTTTGATTTGGATGTCCTATCTCGGGGGTTCTGGGTCCGAGGCGAACTTGTCCCAAGATCTTCAGGAATGTCCAAGTATCAGCACGCCGTTCTGCTCTGCTGCGCCTGAAAAACCGCGGTAGGCCACAGGACATGGGTTATGAAGCCATATTCCTTCCACAATCGCCGATCAGTCTATCGGCCAAAAAGAGAAGACACATCAGCTGTAGATCTGACGCCCCCTGTCTACCACAGCTTGTTCTCCTCTCTAGCCTTTGCGGCCTGTCCGGCCTTGCCTGAGGCGCTCCTCTTCCTCAACACCTTCAGCTCCTCCTCGCTGATGGGCGGCTTGAAGTATAGACTAGGTCCTTCTCCCTGTTTCACGGTGTGCGCCAGGTAACCCCTATTCTTGGCATCGCGGTAGTACTCGAGATCCTTACGCGAAGTCGGGTCTGGTAGGCGGTACTCGTAGCCCATGCCCGAGACACGCTCTTCCAGGGACCGGCCGCCTTCCACGGCAAGAGCTGGGTTGTTGAGCGCTGTTGGATCCCAGCGTAGGGAGACGAACGGGTGCATCTGTCGCAATCGTATCCGTCGTATCGCCTGTGGAGTATAGAAGCGTGTCGTAACGGTGCCGCCTAGGGCTTCGACAGCTTGAATGGCCGACTGTGATGCCTTGGACACGATGACATGAATGGGGGTCTTCAGCTCCGCTGCTCCGTCTCCCAGCAGTTTTACGCCATCTTTGATCCCATGCAGGGCCCTCGAGCGGACCAGATCCAAAAGTGTAATAGGTTGGGTCGGATCAAGACGTTTCTGGTCGATCCACGATTGTATGCGGTTAAGGTTGATCGGCGACATTTCCGTCGCGTGCCTGTAAATCAGATCCCGCAAGTCAGCAAACCCTACGTTGGCTCCGCAGGAAGATTCCATAAACAGAAGAGGACATTACTGACAGGTTCTTGAATCCATATTTCCCGTGCACGATATGGTCCGGCGTCTGACCTCCATTGAAGCCTGTAGGGACCTTGCCGTGCTGTTTTTGCCCGTCAGAGCCGCGACCCGACTTTCCTCCTTTGCCGGAGGCTGGACCCCTTCCGCGACGTATTCTTCTGTTGTACGCGCCTGGTGTGTCGGAAAGAGAACTCAAGATCGATGCATTGCGGGATTGCACGTGGAGGAAGGGAAGAAGAAAGGAAGGAATCGGCGCTATCGAGGCGAGAGTATCATATAAAGAGGAGGATCTGGGCTGCGAAAGCCGCAGCGAAAGTCGTGGTGGCATTGTCTCCGGAGACTAGGAGACCAATGCAGTTGCCGTCGTGGGAAGTAAGCTGTGAAAGCTGGGATCTCAGTGTTCAACAATCATCTGGTGAACTTCAATCTGCCACAAGTTTGAAGTTGAGGTTCGCGCCAAGGAGAAGAACTGGATGACTAAGCCTGCTCTCCCTGCTGCTACTTAGACCGAGATCACGCCGCTTTACCACTCTTGTTGCTGCGCTTCGCTCAGCGGTACTGCTTGACAGTACCAGCTACTAGTACAAGGTGTTTCCTGGACATTGCAGGCCGCTGCTATGATGATTGTAGCGTGTGTATCTGCGATACGGATCTTGAGGAATTAAATGACTGCGTTTGATCGAAATACGTACTAAGTGATACGGTTGGTAGTACCAAGAGCCCAGCCACAAGACTACCAGTCTCGCAGTGCAAGTTGGTGTGCGCCACACCTGGGGGAGGCGCAGATAAGATGTTTAACCCTGAATACAGGTAGACATCGCAGATATACGCCCATGGCCTGATCCCTCCCTCGCTTTCTCATATTCTCGGGTGATTTGCACCTCCAAGTTCCCGTTCTTCATAATGATATTATCACGCGTCTTCTCATGCGTACTCAAGTAAACCAGATCAGGTTCTTTGTTGTACTCCAGCATTTTCTTCTCCTTATGTATCGGTGACCTCGCACATCCATGCCCAGCAGCAGGATGGCTCCCATCGAGTTCAACAAACGTCGCATCCTCTTTCTGGTCGCCGGCATCCTAGCCTTCTTTATTGTATTTCACGGCCTTTCGGTACTCGACAGCGACAGCATCAGGGATGTCACTGCACATATCTCCCTCCCTGGTATTCAGAGCCCGACTGGGCACAAGACGCCCCCAGAATTCGAGTCGGATGCAGACGACATATGGGATTTTGACTCCGAAAGCTCTCCCGTAGCGCAATCCAACTCCTCAACGACCGAGCCAAAGCCTGCGCAGCACTTCGACCTGCATCCCATTGCCCAGTTGATGCAAGCGGCCGATGACCGGTTTAGAGCCTACGAGTCAGGAATATCTACGAGCTTCAGGCAGACAGTGGAGAAATACAGGAGCCGGTATGGCAGACACCCTCCTCCCGGGTTTAAGGATTGGTACAAGTTTGCGCGAGAGAGAAATGTCTTCAACATCGACGACTTTGAGCAGATCATGGACGACCTGCGACCCTTCTGGGCCGCCAACCCCTCCGAACTCCGCACCCACGCCGCGCACATGGGAGAGGACCCTAAATTCGGGGTGGCAGTCATTCATATTCGGAATCATACGATCGTGCAGGCGGATAACCCTAGCTGGAGGTCAGAGACTATGGAAACGGTCATCAGCAAGTTTGTCGAGTTCCTGCCCGATATGGACATCCCTATGAACAGGTTGGATCAGCCTCGCGTCGTCGTGCCGTGGGAGGACATGCAAGAAATGCTTCAGAAGGAATACGAGACTCGGACAATGCCTCCTGAAGTCATGGACACTTTCTCTGTCGGCCAACCCAACCTATTGGACATGACCATCCAAGATCGGGCGCAGGACAATTCGACCCGGCTCGACGACGGCTGGTTCTTCGCCCCGGGCAAGCAGTACATGGACATTGCTGCAAAAGCGTGCCCGCCAGAATCCCCAGCACGGTCAAATATGACCATTGCGGAAGCAGACATGTTGTACAAGGAATCCATAGCCGGGTTTGTGACAAACTTCAATCTGTCGTCGGATCTTTGCACGGTGGGCCCAACTGTTCAAAATCTCCACGGCTTATTGTACTCGGCCAGCAGCATTATTGCGTCCCACAAGCTGGTGCCCATCTTTGGAGAGTGCAAAGTCAACGTCAACAGTGACATTCTGTTTCCGGCCAATATGTACTATCGACATGACGATCGATATGACTACGACCCCTCGGAAGATCTCGACTGGCGCGACAAACAAGACAACATCATCTGGCGTGGTGTCACTTCTGGTGGTGTCCAACTCGAGAACAACTGGCAGACCATGCATCGGCAAAGACTGGTGCAGCTGTTCAATGGTACCCATGTTTCGAGGTCAGGCACGGAGGTCAAGGTGCTTACGGAAAAGCTTGATGAGCCTGAAGCAACCAATACGACTTATGAGCTGTATGACCGGTTCCACCCCTCGCGGTTCGCTGATGAACACTCTGACATTGGGTTCGTCGAGGCCTGGGGCTGCGTACCGAATTGCGCATTTTACGACACCGTCTTCTCCTGGAAGCCACAGGTGTCGCTCACCGCTCAGTTCCGGTCGAAATACCTGATTGACGTTGACGGCCACTCTTTCTCCGGTCGCTGGCGCGCGTTCCTGCAGAGCAAAAGTCTCGGCTTCAAAGCAACCATCTTCCGCGAATGGCATGACAGCCGACTTCTAGCATGGAGGCATTTTGTGCCTGTCGACAATCGATACGATGATCTATACGCTTTGCTTACGTACTTCATCGGTTATGGAGACTCAAAGCAGGACAACGTCATGGATGGCGAAGAGCTCAACCCGCAGGTCTATATTGCGCCGCACGAGAGAGAGGCACAGAAGCTGGCCAGGCAGGGTCGAGAATGGGCCAACAAGGTCCTCAGGAGAGACGATATCGAAGTTTACATGTTCCGACTGCTTCTGGAGTATGGTCGCATCATTGACGACCGTCGAGATTTTATTGGATATTCCGGCGACGGCAGTGAGTTGGATAAGTTTGATGCTGGGGATGAACATGGCAAGGGATGGTCTTGGGGAATTGGGGGATGGAAGACGTGAAAGAGGATCTTCCCATCAAAGGAGGAGTTCAATCGATATGTCGGCACAATGCCTGGCAGCGCGAGTTTGTCGAGTCGCGGTCAAGCCGGCCGCCGATCCGAGACGACATACCCCGGCAGGTTTCGGGTCAGCCATTAGACGCAACGGGATTGCCTCAGGCTTCTGTCCCATCCAAGAAAGGTTGGGTGCTCCTCAGCTATATAGCGCTGCTCACGTGTCAGGTTGAACCCGAGAAGAAAGCCTTGCGCCGCGCCCAATAGACGACATTGTCAATGGTCATCATTGTTGTGATTTGGGGGTATGGCAAGCCGGGTATGAAGCTAGCTGGTATCTGGTGGCTCTGGGAAGGTACATATGAGGGGGATATATCGGCTGGGTCACATTACGGAAGGCTGCCAACCCTGGGATGGCGCCTCAGATGTAGTCTGTGTCAAGCTGGCTACGCTTGGAAAAGAAAATTCACACTCGATGCTTTTTAAGACACGAAAGTCACAGTCTGATATGCTATACATGCTCCATTCTGTCTAGCCAGGGAACACAGCCTGATCATTTCTTCAACTTCCGTTTCAATCTCTTCTCCGCCCGGACATCCTTCTTGAGTCTCGCATCCACAATCTTGTATTTGCCCTTGACACCACGAGGGCGCCCACTGAGACCTCTGTTGGGCCCTCTTGCAACGACAAGCTTGACCTTCTCCTTAGGCTTGCCCTTCTTCACCGCCCTGGCCATCAGCCTGCTGATGGTGGCAGCCTTGTCCTTCTCGCTGACGCCCTCGTCGTCCAACAACAGCGCCGATTTCTTGCGCAATTTCTCCAACCGTGCCGCAGCCCTCATCTTCTTACGGCCCTTGGCCTCGCGGACCTTCTTGATGGGCCTAGCGTTCAGGGCGCGCATCTTCTCCTTGATTGCGGCTGCGGCGGCCGCGCTGATGGGCCGCTGAGGCTTCGAATGTTGCGTTTCGTCGTTCAAGAACCATTCTGGAAGCCCGTCCACATCGCGGAACGAGTATTTGTTGAAACTGTCATCGACCAAATCGCCTGGCTTAATGCGTTTCGTCGCCAAGTCCTGCGCGACTGTCATGGCTTCCGCGGTGATTATGTCAATGTCTAATTGACCGTTGGGCAGGAGAGGATCTTCTGGTCGGGTCGATGCTGACGAGGCAGGTTTCAGCGACGTGTCTGGTTCCGACTCGGAGTCCGAAGCGTCGTAGACTTTCGTCCGTTGGGAAGCAGCAGGCTGGGCTTTCTTCAAGGCGGATTTCAAAGGCTGCGGCTGATTTTCTCGAGACGGACCCTTCAGCGGTGGAGACTTCGTTTGATCCGATGACTCGTCTTCCAGTGCTATCGCGCTATCATTGTCGTCATGTTCGTCTTCGATGCCTAGGTCCTGGAAGATGTCTTGGTCAAAGAACATAGCAGCCTGTGTTGATAGACCGTCGGATTTTGGGAATTGCCGCACAGGGAACGCTTCTTCGACATCGGACTCGCCGTCAGTGGTCGCATCGCCAGGCTTGTCCTCGTCTGATAGGCCGTCCCACTCATCTGTCTCTTTTTCCTTTCGGGCTCTCTTGGCTCGTAGCTTTGCATCGGCCTCCTCACGCCTCTGCTGATACGATTCGTACAGCATGTCGAGTTCGCGCTCGAGCCTGTCTCCATCATCGTCCGAGTCTTCATCTTCCACCTCGTCCTGTGAGTCATCTGACTCCTGGGCATTGACTTCGTCCATCTGTGCGTCGGTTATTTCGGCTGGATCTTGGACTCTCTTGGCCGCGTTGAGGGTGAACATGGCCCCTTCTCCGGCCGGGCCCTCTTGATCCAGTCCGATGTCATGGGGCGTCGTCATGTGCAGCTGCATTCGTACGATTTCTTTTTGCTTCCTCTCGTTTTCCTTCCGACGCGCTTTCCTTTTCTCCTTTGAATCTTGGTCTTTCAGCCTTTGCAACTCCTCTTGAATCTTCAGTTCGTCATCCATCGACTCGACTTCTGCGACTTCTTGGGCTTCCTCTTTGTTGGTTTCAACCTCCTGTTGCTCCTTCTTCGCTTTGCTTGACATGCCGAACTTGTCCCTCACTTTCAATCGCCATCTAAGGAGGGTCCTGAATTCTTTTTTGCCCAGAACCTTCAAGTCTGCGCAGCATTCTCGGACCTCTTGCGTCGTCTCAGGTAGTCGATCCAAGGCAGCCAGAGCCAGGTCGCCATTCGCTGATTGTTCAAAGCTGAGTTTGTTGACCGTGCCGAGAATGGCAATAGGGTCAGTCGTATGGATGAACTCGCTAACAGGGATCTCCTTATGTTGCGTGTAATCTCCTTCTTCATAACCTTCTCGCTTTCTTTTCTTCTTCTCTGGGTTGAACACTTTGGCCTCGTTATTGGGTGTAGGCTCCTGTACTTCGGCGAAGACGTGCTTCGGATCAAGGAACTTGGGGTCCATCCTCTTTGGGGCCTTGAAGCCTCTGCAAACCACAAAGATTTCTGCAGACACATTTCTTGATGAAGGAGGCTTCGTAGCTTCGACGGAGGAGAATAACTGTTTGAACACCCACAATAGTGCATTATAATCCTTCGACCTGAAGACTTTAGTCACGAATGTGCCACCCTCTTTTAAGAACTCTGTAGCCAGTTTCATTGACTGAAGCACTAGTTCCGCCTGTGAAAAGGCATCCTGGACCCATGCGACACCCACATTGGGTGCACCATCGTGCAGGACAGTATCCGCCTTCAGATGTTTAAGATGTGTTCGGATGGTTGCTCGACATTTGTCCGTGGTAATATCACTTTGGAAGGTAATCACTCGAGGTATGGCCTTGATGGGCGCCAGGTCGACGCCGACTATCAGACTCTGTGAAGGCATAGTCTCTGCGGCAACTTGACACCATGATCCTGGTGCGGCACAGAGATCCAGTAGGACTCTGCTCTTCTCCAGGAAGCCATATTTTTTGTTTAATTGGATCAATTTGAAAGCTGCTCGAGCCCGATATCCTTTTTCTTTCGCAAGTCTGTACCACTTGTCTAAGAGAGGTCAGTCAATGAACGAAAGAGACGAGCGTAGCGAGGCATAGTGGCGGAGGGCTTGATCTTACCAAGTCTTCCTTTGCCGTGTTTCTTTTGGATCGCCATGGTAGCGACGGACAGGTGAAGAGGGAGCTGAATCCACTGCACCCAGATGGCAAAGAAACAGAAGAGCAGATTCTTCCTCGTGTCCAGGAATTTCCTAGGCTCGACTTCTCCCAACTTCAACTTTTGGAGTCTGGACTTAAACTTTCTTCGGCGCAGGCAAAAATGGTGCCAAGGGCCGATCGGAGGAATCCACTCCGAACACCGACCACCTACTTTCTGCTAAAAGCGGCGGAATTCTGCCAATAGCACAACACGTATTTGGCTTCTGTAGGGGAGGAAATGTCAACGGGACCTTATTATCGTTTGATCCGCATAGGTGGTATTTGACTACTTCAACATGTCATCAAGGCATAAATCACAGTGTCGACCGCCTTGGGCCGTCAATGATGAAGCTCATGGATTCCTATAGGAGTGCTCTCGGGCCCCAAGCGCGTAGGCACAGATAGATACTGAGTAATGATGAAATTCCGGCGCAGCAGACTCAGTTGTCTTGGATAGGCTCAGTCGTACAGTAAAAGAACATAGAATGGGTGCCAATGACCTCTCCGCCTAGACACTGGGGGCATTCATAGAAACGCCGCTCTTGATCGCAAAGACACTGTCGCAGTGAAGTTTGGTGTTCCAACTGTAGATGTATAGGTTCCTGCCCTTACAAATATTGTACAATCCGGCGTCGCTCGGCCTCCCTCTCAGGGCCGTTCAAGAATTTGAGGTGTTTGCCTAACAGGGCCTCCAGCGCGGTTCTCTCGATCACGACTCTCCCGGTTTCCAAAAGATCCTTGACATCCACATCCTCGATATCCTTGAGCGAACCATGCTCGCCGACTTCTCGCATCTCCTCGAATATGTCTGGATTCTGCGATTCAAGTGTGCTAGTGACCAGCAGACTTCTCCCATCGGCCTTGCCCCAATTGTTGGCCTCGAATACATTGTTCAAAAACCTGGCCCCGGCATCTTCTGGCAAGGCAATCTTATCATCCAATACCATCAGTTCACCTTTTCTATGCCGATAGCTTAGTGCGATTTTGAAGGCCTGGTAATAGACCTTGCGCTGTAGTTCGGTGGAGAAGTCTCTGGGCTTCGGACCGAAAGCAACGCCTCCACCTCTTCTGATGGGAGATTTCTTGTCTCTGACACGGGCTCTACCAGTCCCCTTTTGTGCGTACAGCTTGCGGTTGCTGCCATGGACATCGGCCCGCCATTTGGTGCTGGCTGTGCCCCGTCTAGTTGCGTCGGCCTCGAAGATTACCGCGCGATGGAGGATATCCCTTCGCATAGGAGCGTCGAGATATTGTTGTTCGTACCAGGCATACCTCGTCGGTTCGAGATCTGGCCATGAGTATAGAGTCTTCAGAATAGGAGAATCGAGAGTATAGATTCCGGAGGAGGTTTTTTGTACTGCGGAAAACTGCTGAGGAGAGTTCGTGGACCCGGGAGGGGAGAGACCTGCTTCAATCTCTTTCGCAACCTCACTTATGGGGATCTGGGTCTGCGCGGCAAAATGCCGAGTAAGTCGAGGCGCAAGGCATTGCTTCATACAGTCAGCCGACAGAACGCAGCACGGGGCGAATGGGAGCATACCGTCAGAGGATCTGCAACATTGAACCTTTGGAAACTCCGGGCGAGCCCAAGAAGACTCTGTGACGCAGAGAGGTGCGCCATGTGGCAGAGTGTGCAGGAGCGCGTTCACCCACTATGGAAGGTCGTTCGCAAGAGAACGATGCAAGTTGTCTACGCTGGAGGTCAATTACTAGTAGTTGGGTTCAATTGAACTTGAAGTTCAAGTTTCTGGCCCACTGCGCCAAGGCTGGATCACGTGCAAGGCCCCTTGCTCCTAGTGGCCAGCCTCGTGGCAAGGTCGAGAGACTCGGACATGTTGGGCACCAAGGGATGAATTTCGACTGGAGCACAAGGAAACCATCTTATCATAGGCGCGATACCATGCTGACGTTTGGCACGTGCTGGTATGTATATCTGAAGTCCGGATGCTGGTCACCCAATGTTTCGAGCTGCCGCACCGTAGGTAGCCAGGCCTTTGACCTCTCTGAGTGAGCACTTTCTCTCTTCCATTCCGGATCCCCTTATGCACCACCAGCATGGCATAGACTGGCTCTGTCTCTCTTCTCATTACTGCCCTTTTCTTGCTTCCAACTCCTCCCTCCATCTCTGGCCAGCACCATCTAGGATGCTCCACACTCTTGAGATTTTGCCACCTTCTAGGCTGTAGAAGACGTGCTCATAGAAGGTCTCTTTGGTGGACTGCTGTGAAGTAGTCTCAGGTGAAGGATTGGAAGCGGCAACGCTACGGTCGTAGGATAGCTTGATTCTGGCAGCAATGCTCCCACCACCTTTGGCGCCGTTGGCATCATCTGTCACCAACATGTCGACTTCGAAGAGTAGACCAGGAAATGAGGCCTGGCTGTCGAGGATGATCTGTGCATAATCGTCTACCGACAGCGGAGAAGAGTCATTATGGACTATGCCATTGTTGACATACTTCGCCAAAGCGCCTGAGCCGCAGCCGGCATTGATCTGGGCGATATAGTCGGTGTACAGCTGTCGAAGGTCCATCATGAGGCTAGCAGGAGACGCGAGCTAATGTTTTGATCCGCGTCTGTGCAAGAAGAGGTGATCGTAGTCAGCGCCGAGGAATTGTACAGGTCACGTCAAGACTTTTGACGCATGGGTGATATGGTCTTTGCAATGTCGCCTTACGTGATGGAGAAGCCGAGGCTGAAAGAAAACTGCGAGACCTTCTTTGCTGCCCTGACTCCAGTAGCAATAGTAGCAATGCGGTTTGTACAAAGTGTATTACAGAGTAGAAGGCAACATAGAGCGGTATAGAGGCCCTGGTTAGATGGGTTCTCGTTCAGTACCTGTGACCTTATGAGTTCGTCTAGCCTGTGCCATCAGCTGCCATCGGCCATTATTGACATCAAGTACATATTTGGCATCTTGGCACCTATACATATCGCATGCATGAACTGCTCACGTTGAGATAAGATACCGGGGGACCCTGCTGGAACCAGATTTGCCCTTTACAAAGAAGTTCGGTTAGCTTAACCTGGTACGCACCCAGAAGGAAGGCCGGCTCGTCACGCTGGGCAGTAAGAGTAGCATGAGAGCAATTCAAATGTTTGAGAGACACAGGGGCCTCATCCAGGCCTCGTCTGGAGCATAGATTTGAAGGCAGGAGCGATTGAATAGCTAATGCAAGCATGCACCAAGACCATTTTCAATCACGTATCCGGCCACAAATAGCCACGAAGCCAATGACTGTTCTATAGCATAGGCGATCCTGAAGGCTGTCCACAAATGAATTCATTGGCGTAACTTCGATACCGTCGTAGAAGATCCGTCTCCCGCAGACCGGGACCAGGATTGCCTCCGAGCGACTGTGTCTGGAGGTGAGTGCCAAAGTGGACAACCATGGCTGTGCCGTCCACCACTGCAGGTCGTCGTAGTTTTGACGGCAGCGTAGACGTCCACCAAATATCATCGTAGCCCTGGACCGGGTGAATAGTCGCGTCGTCGCCAGAAAAGGCGATGAAGTGAATGCTGCGGGCTTCATAACGGGAATTCCAGATGTCGAATTTGTATCGCTGCAGTCGTTTCTGCTCAAGGTTCTCGAGAAAGGAATAGTGGGCTAGTCCAGGACAACATGTTAGCGAGGCTAGCCTATTTTCAAAGACAAAGTCTAGGACATAGCACCTACCTTGTGCAGCAACTGTCCACGAAATGTAGCCGGTATGGTTCTTCACATGCTCGGAACCTCTAGACCGCCCTAGAGCAGCAATCGGCGTGTTTTCGATATCGCCTCCAGGTACCGGCAGCCAGCGATGCCCGTTGAACGGGGCTGGATCTGTTGCGCTGAAGTTGAGATCTTCGGGGCCTTCCCAAACCGGTAGAGTTGAGGGTCTCCAGTCGACCATGAATCTCCGGTCATCATCAACAAAATCGACGGGTTTCTGTAACTCTGGCAGGTATGGCCGTGCAGTGTCAAGCTGGTAATGGACCCAGGAGAGATCTGGTTGGTTCAACACATTTGCGCTGACAATGAGATACTGGGCATTCTCGATTTTCCTTTGGACTAACGCTTGGATGGCATTGTCCTCCATAAACACAATATCGTCGTCAATCTTGACGCAATAGGTGTTGGGTTGGCACAACTTGTAAGCGTTTGTGAAGGTGTCCAGCCCATCGCCTGCGTGGGTATATAACTCATGGCTTGTATACTCCGGCACGTGGTCGGCGAGGTCATGAAGGTAAACAACATCCATCGTCCGATTGATCTGGTGGATCCACATCACCTCGTCCAGCCAGCCGCCGTTGCGAACCAGGTTCCTTTGCAAATAGCAATCGAGGATCGAGACGTATTCCTTTCGTCCACCGTATACCATTGCAACTATCCTCTGAGAGGGTTTCCGAAGTTTCCCAGGTGCTCCATTTTGTAGTCCAGGACTATGTCCATGGGAACCATCGGCGGAGCTTGAGGTCGATGGTACGTGAAGACTGGCGGTAGCGTTCACCGGCTTTTGGTCACCCCGTTGACCAGAGAGGTTGATTTGTAGTCTATCAGCCCAACCCGGGGGACGAAAGCGGTTTGCTGACGCAGAGAGCAACAGTACAACTGTGAAGAGAGCCCCCGCTATGAGTATGGAGGTCTTCCATTTGGAAAGGTCTCCTGCAAGCATGTCCGATGCACGAGAAACTATGATCCTGTTGAGCTCGTCCAAAAACCCAAGGACGACGATATCAACCTTTACTCGGCAGAAAAGAGGTGGAACACGATCCTTTTCTTTCGAAAGCCTGTCAAGGGCGGGAATGACCCAGGCGGGCTGATGTTAGGTCAATGCGCTACACCCGGGTCCCACGCTGCGTCGATTTAGTGTAAGTAAGGGGCTGAGATCGCAAGACATATTTCAGGGGTCGAGGGTGGCGCGATACCGCACCAGGAAGGCCTAGCCCTTTGGTCAGATCAACAAGATCCTGTTTTGCATGGAATGAACAATATCGTGCTGTGCTTCTGTAATGGCAACTTGGCAAGGGATGAGTAGGAATTTGGCAAGTGGTTCAAAGGTGTCACAAGCACAGTCCCAACAGAGGAAGGGAAGTAAAGGAATGAGTCCAGTATCGAGTGATAGGGTATTGAACCCCATCATGAAATGCGGATGTCTTGCAAGATGTTAGTGTGCTGCATCACGGTTCTATCCCCTGGTTCAAGTTCTCTCGTCTCCTCAGCGATTGAACAACAACTCAGCCTTGTGGAAGGACTATGCACTTCGGGTCGATGCTCCGCCGAAGAGTGCTGTGCACGTGACGGTACGTAGGTGCATAGAGTCGCTTCTGGTAATGCGATTCTACAATTGACGCTGCAATAATACGCGGCATAGCAGTAAATGAACCACATCACTAAGTGTTGCTGCGCTACATCGCCCGTCCCTGACAGAGCATACAGACAAAGATTGCGGCTACGTCCACACACAACGAGGCCTCCCGGAATGCTACCAGTCCCCCCGCTAGATTGGAGACTCTTGATATGCTGAGTGACTTCAGTGGTCGCATAATTCAACGCACCCGCTCCATGCGACGACCAAGGACAGCAACCTCGAAGGCCTTACCCATAACCCACCGCTGTCCATGACCTCGCCCAATGATGGAGACCATCTTCAGCAGCCAGAAGACCTACCCTCCATCTCAGTCCCGACCCTCGATCTACCCAAGACACGACTGTCCACGAGAGACGAATCACCCGAGACATCCAGCGCAAGCCTACCAATCCGCACCTCTAGCTCGCCTGCCCTAGGCTCACATTCGAGTGCACTGTCGGACGTTCTCTCTCGGTCCAGCTCCCCCAATGGAAGGCTCTCGCTGTCTTTTGCGAGACTTGGAAGATCTCAAGTCAATAGCCCCTTGGGCAACCCTTCGGAAGGCTATGATGATACAAGGTCTTTGATTGTGCGGGCATTTTCGCCCACTGTTGCAATCTATGCTGCTCCGGAAGTCGACGAACTTGCCGCGCAGAAGGGCCTGAAACATGGATTCGTCGAACTGCTGCGGCCGTTTGGCGATAGAATCTCTGGCAAAGTCGTGGTGCGGGACAGTACGGGTGCCAGCAGGGCTTGGGATGATTTCGGTGTCCATTTCACTAACCTAGCCCAATTGACCGGAGATGGCTCAACCCCAATGTCGGAGGTCAACCACCTGGAGAGACTGGAAGAGATGATGGACTACTCCATTGGGGACGGGTACAATGAGACAGCTGACCTACCTGGTCAAGGTGAAGTCTCTCACCTCTACAAGCTATTCTTGTCCAGGCTCCTTTACTCCAAGTCCATGAGTCCGCATGAAACCTTTCGACATCCAGTCGGGGCCGTCATCGCCATAAGCTCTTCTACCCAACAGCCTATCGACACATTGCGGAGTCTTTACCAACAAACCGCCCAAGGTGCCCAAGCTCTACCTCCATATGCCAATCCAGAATACCTCAGATACTACGTCCTTGTTCACGATGACGACAAAGATGATTTCAGCAAATCCTCGGCCCTTTTCGATCAGATGAAGCGCCATTTCGGCCTTCACTGCCATCTTCTCAGGTTGCGGTCCACGTCCTGCACTCAATCTGATGATGACGCTGAAGAACTTCCCACCGCTGAGTGGCTCACGCCAGAGGAGCAGCTATCACTATTGAAGGATACTGCTGATCTCCTTGAGCTCAATACCGCGACATCACCTTACATATTCTCCTCCGATGCATCAGCATTGCGATCATTCGTCCGCGAACTTACAGCACAATCCATCATCTACCATATGGAGCAGCGAATCGCTTTGTGGAATGATCAGGTAGCTTCCCGCCGGCGGGGTATTTCGGGACGGTTCATGTCCCTTTCGAAGCGGTGGACAGGACTTGGAGGCTCTTCGCGCAATTCATCCTCGGGCACTCCCCTGGTTGGCTCTGGAGCGAGCGGCAACTATGACAGTTCACAGGGCGCCTATCGCTGGGAGGCCCCAGAAAGTCTTCTGCGCAAGCTAGCAGATTATGCATTCATGCTTCGAGACTACAAGCTGGCAGCTTCGACCTACGAATTACTTCGAACAGATTATGCTAATGACAAATCATGGAAGTACCTTGCTGGAGCGAACGAGATGTGCTGCATTGCAACTCTCCTAAATCCCTTGACCAGCAGTGGAGGTTCAAAGTTCAAGGTTGAAACTTTCGACCTGATGCTTGAAACAGCGAGTTATTCATACCTAACTCGCTGCTCGGACCCTGCGTTGGCATTGCGCGCTCTTCTCCTAGGTGTCGAGCTTCTCAAAGTTCGAGGAAGAGCGGCAAGTGAGGTGGCCGCGAAATGGGCGATCCGAAGCCTCGAGCTGGGTCTCGTCGGCAGTGTTGGCCACGTTCTTGTCAGCGAGCGAGTCGCGTCCTGCTTCTCTGACCGGGTTGGAAATAGCAACACTGGCTGGGGACTGCGTAAGCGAAAAGCCGCGCTATGGAGCATCATCGCCGCCGATGAATGGATGAAACTTGGAAGGGCGGAGATCGCAGCGCAACGACTTGATGAAGCGCAGGAATATTACGGGGAAACCAAGCACAGTGAAGCGATCAAGCACTTCAAAGAGTTGGCAGAATACTTGGAGCAACTGCGGCTTGCTGTCAGGATGAAGCTGGGCGAAGCGAGGAAACGGGGTTACAGCGGCGCCACACGACAGCTTGAGCTAGAAGATGATGGTCAGGGCAATGGAGAGGTAGAGGACGAAACTCTGGAAGAGATGAATCCACTGGAGAAACTTGACAGCAGAGTGAACAGGATGAGCCTGATGGGTGGTGCTTCAGGGGTAGCCAGCCCTCTCGAACCTGTTCCACCGCTCAGTCCAGTTCGGTTGACTAGACCGGACCCGTTGTCGAGAGAAGACGACGATTTCGAATGATGAACCGACAAACAGGTGATACGATTCTTGACATGTAACATTCACATAGAAGACTTGATGTTATTGTAAGAACAGACGGCAATCAACACATGAACGAAATCCACCGATTCATACATGATTCATATACCCAATGTACCTCGATGTGTAATACTAGATACCTACCTACCTAGATACCTTAGTAGGTACGTTGATGTTACTCCCTGCCAGTGTGCTGCGACCAATTCATTAGTCAGCTTAATTCCACTTTACGCGTTCATGACACGCTACACGTCACGTGGCTTGGCGCGATTTTCGAGGCAGCCGCATGCGGTGGAAATGGATCCTTCACCGTTGGATTATTAGCAACTGTCCAGTGAAGGGAGTTGGTTGTGACTCGCAGTGGTGTACGTCCAGTCTGCGGCAATCCAAACTGGCATGATAAGAGGAGGAGTAACCTGAATATCCTAGAACGCTCCCCAGCCTCATCTGCAGGCGGTCGTCAGGATGCCAGAGCCCTATGACTTTGCCGACAGCACAGATTGGCTTCCAACACCGCTTGCCGCCCTTGCGCCACTCGAGTCTTCGTTGCGATGTCAAGTATGCAAAGACTTCTTCACCACACCGATGATGACGAGTTGCTCTCACACCTTCTGCAGCCTGTGCATACGACGGTACTTGTCCCAGGAGGGAAGATGTCCCGCATGTCGAGAAGCCGACCAGGAGGTCAAGTTGCGCCGGAACTGGGTCTTGGAGGACTTGGTAGCCAACTTTACCGCTTCAAGAAAAGGATTGCTTGAGTTTGCGAGGAATGCAGCTGTGAAGCTAGAAGAGGACAACCCGGCAGAAGCACAGCGGCCGAAGAAAAGGCGGAAAGTGGAAGGCCACAGGCCCGATGGTGTCGAGAGACGAAGCACTCGCAGCCAGAGCAAGAGGACGGCATCGGGCGCTAGTCAGCACAGCGTACCATCTACACCGGAAGTTATAGAGGACAGTGAGGAAGGCAGTGTGTATGAAGACGTGGAAAGCAAGAGCCCGCGCTTTAATGGAACCCATGAGCTCAAAGATGGCCTAGTCGAATGTCCGTGTTGTCATCGGAGAATGAAGGAGAACTTGATAAACTCTCACCTGGACAAGTGTATCATGGGCGACAGTCATACGCCGGTCGACGATACATCCTCTCCGGCTCCGCATATCGCTCCGCCGGGAACGATAGCATACATGCAGAAAAGACCATCGAAACAGAACGACCGCCTCCCTTTCATCAACTACTCATTACTCAACGACAATGCATTACGGAAGAAGCTAAGAGACCTTGGAATCCCCAATCATGGTTCGAAGGAGCTGATGCGCCGGCGGCATACCGAGTGGGTGAATCTTTGGAATGCCAACTGTGATTCGACCAACCCAGTGTCCAAGAGACAGCTGCTGCAGGAATTAAAAGTGTGGGAGGATACATTGGGGCGGCAAGGCGACAAAGCGGGCAGTACAGGGTTTATGGCCAAAGACTTCGACCGCGACCATTATGTGAGGAACCAGAAGAGTAATTTTGACGATCTCATCAAGCAAGCAAGGCTGAAAAAGTCGACGGCCTCTGAAACTCCTGCACCGACTGCGGAGGAGGAGGAGGAGAAGCCTACACCGCCACCACGAGAGGACGCAGTCCCTACCCGGCAACCGCGGGCTCCCGACCTTTCGCAGCTAGAAGATGGACCTTCAAAGCCGAAGCAACACTCAGATGCAGACGGTACGACCACGTTGGCGTCAAGGTCACAGCCTTCGGCGCTTCATGGAGAACTTTCCAGTGCACCTGATCAACAAAGTCGACCGAACCCTCCAAGTCCTGTCCCCAAGGATGTTCCTCTGAGTACCACGGCTGCATCTTCAGCTGCAAGTGGTTCTTTCCACCGTTCAGCGTCACGACGCCGTCCAACATGGCAAGAGTTTGCGGAGGCCAACCCCGGGGCGCCTTACAGCGCTTACTACGGGTTCTGAGCGTACAAGATCGCTTGGTCAGATACTCGCTTCCCCCACTTTTCGCGAGGCCACAGGTCAAATAGACCAGTCTTGTATCAATGGTCTCTGCCTCTTGTACCAAAAATCGAGTCTCGAGCGAATGGTTTGGATGCGGGTTTGTAGCATGATGCATCAAAATGACCCGCATGGAGCATCATCAAGTGCAAAGGCCATCGGGGAAGATAAACCCGGAAAGAGTCTTTGATGAATGATTGCAAAGTACCCTAAGCCCGCCTGGTCGTTACGTTCGTATTGCATATGTGAATCTCTGTCCATCATGTTCCTTCTGCAACCTTCTGTGGCTGTTGATGTTGCTGGTCTTCGTTCTGTCGGTGTTGCAGACCATCGATATCTAGCTTCTGAAGTTTGTCGATACTTGAGGACAATGATCGCTCCAAGTCGACGTCGGCTATTTGCATGTTCTCCTTGTTCTTTTCGGACTCTGTACTTGGAGCCTGCGCAGCTGGCTGCCCTTCCAGCTCGGCCAGTCGTCTTCTCGTGACTTCGGCCTCTTGTATCTCGAGTTTCTTCTTCTGCTCGCGCGACTTCTCTTCGCGCTTGATCCGCTCCTCGCGCTCCATATTCTCAAGCTCGTCATCGACCTCCGCCTCGTCTAGGACGGCATTTCCAGCGAGGGGGTCCGCTACCACGCCACTGACTTCGTCGACCTTGCTCATTTCCTCGCGCAGCGAGTCCAATACGTCGTCGACCCTCTCTACACCACCGATTTTCTTGTTCAGGGTCTTCAGCACTCCGGCGCTTGCCTCCATTGCCGCCACCACTTCTACCTGGTCCACGGCGGCCTCGATCTTGGTGTACACTTCTTCCAGCTGATGCAGCGTGTCGATACGCGACTGTAGGGACCGTTCGGCAAGTTTCTTCGACCGCAGCGCAGAGAGCGCGGAAGCCTTGTTGCCAGTTTTGACAGCTATTTGCGCATTGCTCTGAAGCGTGGAGATGCGGCTGGTTAAATTCTCAATCTGGCTGTTCAGATTCGCGATCAACGTCTTTAAAGATGCGATCGAGTGGTCTTCCTGTGTGATAGGTTCGGGCATCGGCGCCGCAGGAGACTTGAATTTGATCGTGGTATCGTCATAGCTGAGGGCATGCTTGTCGCGAGCCAAGTACCGTAGCAGGACATTGATATCCTGATCGGACAGGGAGACGGGGCCTGAGAAGAGGCTGTTCATTTCTTTGAGAAACAGATCCCTGCTCACAATTCTATCCGTAAGACTCTGTGTCTGTGTGTCTTGCAGCACCTGCATCTTCTTCCAGACCTCCTCCAGCGCCGGAACAAGCACAAGACCACCCTTCTTCAATCGACCACCCGGTACCTCGTAGCTGGCGGTTCCCACAATGCCGACCTGGCGTAGACTCCAGCGCAAGATGGCCCACGGGCTCGGAAGCCACGAACGGTTGTAAATGCTCTTCTCGCTGACGAGGAAGTCTTGCAAGTCTATCATCTTGCCGTGCCGAACACAGTCATCGAGTACACATCCCAGCCCCGAGGGCCGACCGTAATGCGGGCTGGCGAGCGCGTTAAGCAGGTCGTCGGACGTCTGGAGGATCAGCCGCTGCTCGAAGGGAAGTTGGCCGGCCAGCGCCGCGCGCGTGAGTGCAGCTTGCCATGCTGTCACATTGGCGGCGTAGCCTTCGGGGTTCGATGTCTTCTGGACGGCGAGATCGGAGTAGAGGGACGGAAGACGGGTTCTGCAGACATAACAAATCGTTGTTAGTATAACCTGACCAGATGCAGTGGATAGATACGAGGGAAAGGGGAAGCACACTTGCGAAATGCGGGTTCATTTTCGACAAGCCAGTCTATCAGCGAAGACATTGCGCCCGCTTGCATCAGCGGAACGCAGTTTGAGATGGCGAAAGTCGGGTGAAGGTCTTGTTCAAGTTGATGGTCGAAGTTCAAAATGGCGGCGGGTTTGTTTACGTCACGCAGGGCTGACCCGGCGAGGCTGAGGATGTGGTTGATTGGGTATGGTTAGTCAAGTACACTCTTCTCAGACCAACCAAATGCAAATGAAACATAGCTTCACAGGAAGAAGGCAACGAGAGTTGGACACACATGCGAATAAATCAGTTTTGGGTCAAATCTGGTATGTATCTACCGCCACGCCTCCTGAACTGCCTAGGTCTGATCAACCAACAAGTAGCCTCCATTCGAACTATCTTCAACAACAACCTTTTCATCCTTCACGGACTGGCGTGACTATATCTTTCCACAGATTTTCGACAATACTCCAGTATCTGGTTTCATCAACCAGTACATGTCCCACATGTCTGCTTGTCACAAAGTCCTCGAGCTGGACTCTTTCCTCGCCAATGGCGCGCATGGCTTCCTGAGCGTGTAACTCGACATCAGCTGCTGGGATGAGCTTGTCTGCTTGAGAATATATATACACTCGCTTGGCCTTGCCCTGCGTGAAAGCACCTTCAGGGTCATTCAGACGTCTACGCAGCGAGAGCGTGATGTCTTCTTTTTGTGCAACTTTATTCACAATTTTCCCGAACCCCAGATAAGCCCAAACCGCAGCACTTCCCAGTGCACGTAGAGAGCCAGATTTGGGAAGGTACTCACAGATCGCTGTGTGACTTCGCGATGTGGATGGCAAGCTTGGTGTGCTGTCCAGGACCATTGCCGAGACAGGCAGCAGCTCGCCCGTAGAGCTCCGGAACGCGTCGGCGAACTGGCATGCTGTGTACGAGCCGCCATTTGAAAAAATGTGCACCAACACCCGTAGAGGGTCTGGCCTCCTAATGTCAGCAAGTCTTTTGACCACTCCAACTGCCGGCTCAAGGTTCTTCATCTGCTGACTGACTGGGCGCCAGAAAAGGTCGCCTCCGTCCTGCCGGAGCAGAAGGATTTTGGAGAAAGGGAACCGCGTCTGGATGGTCTTGATGTATTTCTTGATATTGCGTGATCTCGCGCCCATCCAGGAACAAACAATATATAAATGCGGATGATTTGACTCGCTCAAACCCGCAGAGGAAGCTGGTGTGACATTCGTGTCCAGCACTGTCGGAGTGTACAAGAAGATCTCCTGGCCCAGGCGTTCGAACTCAGGGAGGAATGGGTCCGGTACGAGATCTTCTTCACCAGACCGGAGCTCGGGAACTGGGCCTGCCAGCTCCATCGTGGAGTGTAAGGATAGGGTATTCAGGACAAATGTTCTTGGCGAGACTATGAACAGCAAGGCCAGCGAGATTTAGGAGAGCCAGAGGTCCTCTGTCAGAAGCTGTTATGCAGTTTAAGTCTGCCTTATGCCAAAGTGTCGAAAGCCACAAGTGTAAAGATGACCGTTGAAAGCTGATCGTCCGAGGAAAGAAGAGCTCTTAAGTAGCACTGGGTATCGTGTGAAGCGGAGGCACTGTCTTGAGCAGGTAGTCGTTTATCGTCGAAGAATATGTATATATATGGCGTATCGTAACATTGAACAAAGGCGACTCTGCACATTTTGTTAGTGTCTCATGAAGATGTCTCAGCAACTTCCATCGGCAATGATGTACTCAACCCGAGTCTGCCAAAATGAGGCAGCACTTGAAGATTGCTCCACTGGCAACACTCCTCGAACGGGATACTGACTGCCATATTTTCAAGGAAAAGAATACTATGTTTACCTTTTCAGATACAGGCGGCGGTGCCGCTTCGCCAGAAGTAGTGGAGTCGCAATATATATAGACTTATGCTAGGCAGTAAGCCCTCCACCCTTGCACGAACATGAAGAGAGGAGTGTCTCAATCAAGGTTCACAGAGCAACATAGGTGCGCACGTGAGGTAGACAAAGCAACAAACAAAGGAACGGAAATTGCTCAGGTATCTGTGGAACAACGATGTACCAGATGGTAGGACAAACGTATTGTCAGGGACATTTCTTTTGTGCCGCGGTTCATGGTGTTTCTTTGAGATAGTGACTGGTTGACGGATCTCGAGATCTTGCAGCAGGGACCATCTGATCTACGGCGGGCCAGCCGACTTGAAGCCGCAAAACATCCCAAAAGGGGCTTGAGGACAGCCTTGCTTACCTAACACACAGGGCTATTGCCCAAACTCCCTGCGGCCACCTTTTTGGATTTCCATGTCCAGCGGCAGACATGCTTCATGCTGACTCACTATTTACATAGTCATAGGTATCTCAAAATTTTTTTTGAATGTTCAGGGCAATGGCCTAATATCAAGCACGGTGTAAGGGTAGGTACCTTTCTTACGTAGTACTGCGCCGTGTATTGTAGCAGCGACTCAATGTTTGGACGTAGTGCTTTACGCGTCCGTCAGACCGCGTCTTTTCTCAGTTGCGCGTCATCTTTACTTGCCGCGAAATAAAGCAGAATGCGCACTGCATGTCCTGATTGAACAACATCATCGCCACGACAGAATTGTTTCTTGGAATCCCGAAATATGGCTGACGAAGATTTCAAGAAGTATCTTGCGACAGAGATTCTTTCTGAACAAAGAACAGTATCCTACCGCAATGTCGCGCGTGCTCTGAAAGTGCATGTGAATGTTGCTAAATGCATGCTTTACGATTTCCTCGAATTCCAAAATGGGAAGAAGCCCGGGTCGGTGTATGCTACCTACCTGCTCTCCGGAGTGAAAAAGCCCCAAAGCACGGTTGGGGACACCAACGGCACAAACGGTCACAGACATGGCGAATACAAGGAAGACGATCCGATTCCCTCCAGTCCCCCTCCCTTCACCAGTTCCATGCTCGAACCTAGTCAGCGAAGCAGCCCTGCGGCTGAGGACGAAAGACCACATGTCCCGGTCTGCACGATCACACTTGTGCGTGAGGAAGATCTGGAAGGTAGGGACTTGTCGAGACACAATGTGGTTACGGGCTGCGATTCGCTAATTCGAGTGTTATGGTAGCGATGAAGGAACAATACGAGATAATCACCTCCATACACGTCTACAGCCTCTCTCCCGGACGAATCCAAGATCTAGTCACGTTGACCGACATCAGCCGAGGCTTGTTTGTGGAGACATTCACAAAGGAGGATCCCTTGCTGAACAACAAGACATACGGCATCATTCAAAATCCTAATGTTCGCAGAAGGAAAGGGAAGAAGCCTATAGTTCCGCAGGACCCGCCGCCGAAGTTCCAACCTGTGAAAGAAGATTTTAAGTCCCTGAAGTCATCGTCCACACAGAACAACAGACCTGCTCCGAAGCCCGCAACGCCTGCTTCGACAAACGCCAAACACGAAGAACCATCACGCCCGAGCTCTCGGGACAGCACATCGACGGCTACCTCAGCCCGACAAGCCCCGCTGAAACGTGACTCCTCCGACCTCTTCAAGGCCTTCGCAAAGCAAAGCCAGCAAAAGCCCAAAACCAAACCTACACTCTTACAAGACCAAGACACGCCGATGCACGATGATGAAGACGAAGGTGAATCCGAAGATGAAGCTCTGTTTCTGGAGACGGAAACGCGCAAGGGTGCCACGACGAAGAAACGAACCAGCGACGTGAGGAAGGAGCGGGAAGACAAGGCGGCCAAATTGCGCAAGATGATGGAATCTGACGACGAAGCAGAGCCAGAAGTTCCCAATGTCGAGAAGGCAACAGGCGTCAAAGATGAGCCCGTGACGGCACAAAAGGGCACCGATGCAGCCGAGGACGCCGAGGAGATTGCATGGTCGGACTCGGACACGGAGAAACCGCGACAGTCAGCACCGAAACAGGACGCTTCGGCTGACGGCGAACACATAGCCACTTCCGCTCCGGCTCCCGCGCCCAGGCGGCGCCGTGGCAAGAGAAAGGTGATGAAGAAACGCACCATGAAAGACGAGGACGGCTACCTGGTGACGAAGGAGGAGGCTGTCTGGGAGAGTTTCAGCGAGGACGAGCCGGAGCCAACACCTGCACGGGCGCCGCTGGCTAAGAAGGAGACCACAAGGAACAGTCTGGGTGGCGGCAAGGGGCAGGCTCATACCCAGAGCCAGGGCCAGAAAGGAGCTGGGGGGAAACCGGGCGCGAAGAAGGGAGGCACCATTATGAGTTTCTTTGGCAAGAAGTCTTGACAAGTGCAGGGCTGTGCGCTTGCATACCAGGAGCATAGGATATCAGTTCTAGGAAAAATAAACAGAGTTGACGTCTTAGAAGACTGGGTGCGCAGAACGGGGCATGATTGCCGATTATCAACAGCTCGACCTACACTGGAGCGATGTCATACGAAATGGAAATACACCAGGAAAGCATGGTTGGTCGTTGATACCAGACCTGTAGGCATAAATCAATGACAGGTGCCGCCCAACGCCATGCGTGTGTAAGGTACGTGATAAAACACATGGTATGCAGCATATCCCAGAGTCAACCACCCTCAAGCTGGAAGCGTGGATGGAACACGACCAGCAAAGGACATCAACAGCAACCAGATGGTGAATCCTACGTCTTCGGCTGAATGCAGCAAGCACTTATAAATGGTGGCTTAGTCGACCCAGCCCTTTCCGAACTTATACCTCATTTTCCCGCTGCCATCGTGGTTGAGGATCAACTCGGGCTTCTCCTCCACCAGCCACAGAATGGTCTGAGCAAAGACACTGTTGGCCCACGCGAACCAGCTGCGGGTCATGCCCTCGCCACCGGGCCGCACGCCGCGATGGACGTCGACGCTCTCATTGATAAGGCCGAAGACGCTTACGTTCTTGACGCGGTCAAGACACTCCATGATCTCGGTGTCGGAGTTGCTGGTCATGGCCTGCACGAGTACAGACATGGGCCAAGCGTTGCGTAAACCAATATGAGGCCCGCCAATACCTTGGAACTTGGATCCCGAGAGGTAGTATGGGTTGCCGTGCCGCGAGAGGACCATGCGGCGGGTGTTCTGGTAGATGGGGTCCGAAGCATCAACGAAGCCGAAAAGTGGAAGGGACAGCAGTGATGGCACGTTAGCGTCGTCCATCAGCAGATGCGAGCCGTAGCCGTCCACCTCGTAAGCGAACACCTCGCCGAACTCCGGGTGCTTGACAACGGCGTGCTTATAGATGCCGGCTCTGATCTTATCGGCGCGGCTGTGGAGATCCTCGGCAACACGAGTCATCCATTTCGCTTCGTTGGGAGCCGACCAAACCCCCGCAGCGGCCTTCAGCATCTCGGCTGTGCGCCGTAACTGCGCAGACATCATGGCATTGGCGGGGATGAGAAAGCCGAATATAGTGGCATCGTCTGAGGGTCGGAACGCCGAGCGGATGAGGCCTGTCCCTCCTGCCAGTGGATTCCCAATTCCCTCCAGATTGAGAGTCTCCGTGCCGAGTCGCGTCCATCTGGTAAATGTATATTGGTTCTTGTCATACCACCCGTCCTCAGCATTGAAGGTCGGTTTTGCCTGAGTGTCAAGAACACGAATAAGTGCCTCCACGGCCTTGAACCAGCGGTCCGTTAAGTATGCTGTCGAGCCCGTCGAATCGAAATATTGGTTGGTCAGAGAGAGGAAGGCCGCCAGGCTGTCGAGCTCATACTTGCATTCGAATACAACACTGGGTTCGTAGGTAGGATGAACAAAGTCATCTTGACCCGAGTGGACAGGCGGGAGATGTGACGGGTCAGGAGGTTGAAAAGCATTGCAATAAGGAGAAGAGATCACAAATTCAGCCTGCGTGTTGATGGCGCCCAGGAGGAGGTTCGAAATGTCCGGGGCAGACCTGGCAAGGGGCTGATATTGTGCCAATTGGTTGGTCGAGTCTCGTAGCCACTCTGCATTTATGTCGCCGGTGACAATAAACGTCTGCGCGCCTTGCCACTTGTCCTTGTCTCTTGCTAGCTGCGACGGGGATGCATGCGTTGTAACTCCGTCAACATGCCACAGAACAGTTGTGTCTAGGGTGTTGGGAAAGGCATTGCGGAATATGTGTGCCAGGTCTGGATCTTTTATTCGAGGATAGAGGTCTTCAATGACTTGCTCCACCGCCGGCGAGGTGAATTTGCGACATTGAGAATGCGGTCTCTGGAACGGAAGTTGTAACGGGCTGGTGCTCAAGGGTTTACTGCAGACACGTCAGCACCGCTTCGAGTAGTGCATGTCTCGGAGACAGCATACTGATTATGACGGGCGTAGCTTGTGTAGTCGGGACATAGACCGGCGAGGGTTTCCTGGTCCGATATCTTGCTGTCGTAGAGCGGAGGGTCGTGTACAGCGCCCAAAGCAGCGTCAACGTCGGCAATTTGCAGACAGATGCTTAGGCGAAGGATCACAATCCATGCCGAAATACGCATGGTGACAGGACGGAGCAGTACACCAGAGCCATGCGACTGTCGCAGCACAGCCTCGGTCCCATCAACGGTCGCTGCGGGAAGTGAAGTGGTCGACGTGATGGATGCGGTGGTCACTATGAGCAATTGACTCTGGGGTAGTAAGTACGTAGTAAGAAACATCGAGAGGCACAAGGCTGCGTCTGACGCCCAAGCACCATATACTCCACAGTATTACAGCTATACTAGTATGGCGGAGCAGATCCAGGTCGATACGCAACGAGGCACGACACTGGTTTTTTGTATACATGCCAGGTACCTGAGGTATGGCAGTGATACAGGTCACAAAACAATTACGCCGTGTCCATCGTCATCAAAGTAGGATAGTTGTATAGCTCAGTCTATGGCGCGTCCTCAACACCAGATGTTTATCTTCTCTTTCCCATACCGTACAAGGAATCAAGTATTTACCAAATCCCGGTCCCTGCCCATTCTAGGTCTTCTTCATCCAATTGGCCGTGCATTGTCTCCACAACCGTTATAGCCCTGCAGCTGCCACATCTTGACGCTCTTGATCTTCATTGCATGTCCATTGTGATTCTCCCAGGTCGGATACCACTGGTCCCTCGCATCCCAAAATTGCTTCTTCGCGATTTGGCTCGAGTCTTCCCAGGGCTTGCCGGCCACTCCATCTTGGAACCAGTTGTTAGTGCCACCAACGGCGACATCTAAGATCAGGGAAAAGTCTCTGTCGAACGGTGCCGCCACGGTGCCGTTGCCCCAGATATTGCCCACAGTGGCCAGACTCAGCCCGGTGAACCCGCCAATCTCCCAGAAGGAAGTGAATTTGTGATAGAGGACCTGCAGGAGGCGACTGTCGAGATATGTATAGATGTATTTCTCGGTCCACTCCAGGCCGAAGGTATGGAAGCGGTCGGAAAAGGTCGAGTGAAGTGCCTTTTCCTTATGATAAGTCCGCCACCAACCGTCATGAGCTGTGTCGGGGCCCCAGTGGAGGGTGGACGAGATGATATCATTCCCACTCTGGGGATAGGTCCAGTTGTTACCACGGGTTTCAACGATATCGATCTCGCCGCTGGCAGGCCAAGTCCCGTAATCGGAATTCGTGGGGAACATCCAGATCGCCGGCCACAGCCAATCCCCTTGAGGCATCTTGGCCACGACCTCGACACGTCCGAATCGGATATTCGCCCCTTTACGGGAGTTGAGGCGGCCCGATTTCACCGGGTTGACAATGGTACCGTTGGTGGTGTTGGTTGTCGCCACGCAGTCGAACCACCCGGTTGCCGTACAAGTGCCCCGTTCAAGTAGATTGATGGTCGTATTCTGCGTGATGAGACGTTCATCTTGAAGGGTTGGCATGATATGTAACATGTGGTCTTTGATGAACACGTTTTCCTCGTCGCCAGTGGTTTCCTCGAACTGGCCGTTCCCGAAACCTCCCACCTGCACCTCTTGGAGCCAAACATCTTTGTTCAGCTTGGGCTCGGAGAAGTCATCGTCGTAAAGAAGACAGTAGTTGTGGACAGGGACACTTCTGTAGCCCATGTATATGTTGACCCCGGAAATGCAGAGCCCGAGAAACAAGCCCAACAATGGCAGTATACTCTGCCATTTCTGTCGAGGATCTTTGATATGGTCTAGCCACGATGTATCCACCTCACCGGCTTTCACTCTCCGTGATCGGAAATAAACCCCGGGTTGCACTGGCGCCTTCTCCGCAGTTCGAATCTTGTAGAGAGGCGCGTCGGCCGTGGTTTGTTTTGTGAGGCTCATGAATCGCGACAGCCCCAACCCATCCTCTTGCGAGAGTGGCTCAGCTGCTTTCTCGTTGATCTCCGCGGCCTGGCCATTTTCGCTTCCTGCCTTGCCAATCTTTTCGGGCGAAGAAAACGAAGATGAAGGAGTAGTTTCTGCTATGTGATTGTCTTTGTCTGGTTGAGGAGTGGCCGCTCGTCGCCAGAGCCTGCTGATGCCGGATCGTATGCCAGTGTAGCTGGGCTTGACAAACCTACCTGTCTCCACATCGGGTTCCCTCTCGGGTTCTGTATCTTTTGGGGCGTCTTCTCGAGACACAACTTTCTCCCTTTGGGGGTATGAGAAAGAGGCAAAACGGCGTGGGATGTTGCTTTCTGAGTGGGTGACGGAGCCCTGCTCCAGCGTTGGAGTGGGATATGGTACAGCAACGCCGACATGCTCAGAACTCGCACGTTCTGTGGATGGATCTGTTCCTTCCATTTGACTTTCAGCGTGCAAGAGTATAGGCGTCCTCAAGGTGCATCTTCCGCGAATTGTTGCTGATGCTGTGGCTGCTGGGAGCTTCTTGGAACTGTTGTATATGCTGCTATTGACCTCAATGATGCGCTGTCACTTGGGAGGGCGATATTCTACCCTCGGCGTGATGCTATAAGAGAGTCGATCGGTGGTCTTGTCTAGGTGCTTTCTCCCGCCTCGGTGAGGGATCGGCGAAACAAGAGTTATGTCTTGTTTGCCGAATGACCAGGTGGCGCCAAATGGTTGCCGAATGGACGGCCAGGCCATATTTTCCCTCGTTCTTACCTTTGTTCCGGCAGCAGCGTTCATCGTGGTCTCAGCGTTGGACCACGCTTCCGGCCATAGCACCACAAACGAAGGGGAAAGAAAATGCTCGTGCGCACAGGCGCTATTCTCATGGTAGGAATATGCTGGAATATGCTGTCGATGACTCCAATAGTTCGCTGGAGGCTGTGGAAGCGATCGAAGATTAGGGAGCCAGAACCGTTCGGCCGCCGGGCACGGGCCAGCCTCGTGGATACCAAGTGTCAAACGCCTGACTCTGTTTGTTTCAACGACCATGAGTGGTGTGCTGTGTGCTGGAGTGTATGTTGGGCGACACCGTAGGCGCCACCCGGCCTATTCTTTCCAGCATCGCCAATAGATGCCTCTGGCCGAGCAGGTGAGCAGGCTCATGTCAATCCTGTGGGGGATTCACCAGATCGAGTCTGTTTGATACACACCCTTGCTCCACGTCCGTGCCTTTCTGACCTTACCTTTGCCTTCTTTGCTCCGGTTTCATCGCAATACCTTCTTCGCATCGACCGAGCGATATGATGTGCCCCGCATGCTCGGCCTAACTGCCAACGCTGGCAAGGTCGGCTGTCGAAATCTTTGAGATCTTCCAGACCATTAATTGTCGTCAAATTTTACCGACTGTCACCAAATGCCAAGGTGTCAATCACTGACCGCACGGACCGGCAATAAACGGCCGGCAGCGAACTACCCGTTGACCTGGTGGTCCAGGTGTTGTAAAGTCTGTTGTAAAGTCAGGCTATGCCAAATGTGCAACGGCGGCCGGTAACCCCGAACATCCGGCACCATTCTCGTCGACGGCGAGCAGTGTCGCAGTTGTCTCCCCCTGCAAAGAACCCGGGTCTATTGTCTTTGTGCAAGCCCAGCACGGGCCCTTGCGTGCTCGGTTACAGAACGAGTCAATGCGTCCATGAGGCGATTACCCAACAAAATTGGATTCTGGCTCCTACATAACAGCATGTGGTTGCAGGAGCCGGACTCAACACAGCCTCGTTGGGACTGCAGGACCCTATTTCCGAGAGATATCCAGACCGGGGAAGATCTGGGGCATACTATGGGTGTCTCGACTGTTGCAGGCTCATGGAGCTGTTGGCGGTAGGGTCGAGGCACCTCCAGCAAAGCCCAATCCTCCTCCGCCGGTTTTCTCCAACGCAGGGCCATGGCGATCTTTGATGCGATGCTGGCATCTATGTCCTGTCGTGCAGAATGTTAAGTTGTTCCTTGGCATTGAGACCGGTGGTCCAATTTGCAGCGGTAGCGGCGAATCAGTCCCGGCTGTGGCGCTCAGCCTGGTCCGTGATACTCGTCAAAACTCGGTTCTGTGAACGACGATATACAGCCGAAGCCATGTGGTAGACTCTTCACAGACACGAACATAGTTCGTGGAGCCAGCAGCCGAGGAGCCAGCGCCGGGGAATCAGCTATTTGGACCGAAGTAGGGTACCTATGGAGACGGAAAGAGTTCTCGAACTTCGGCGTCTTGGACAACATAAAAAATTGATGTCAAGTTAGCCTGGTCGTGAGAGTCCGATGTTGTCCGTCATGACATCGGAACGATGTCCCGTGCCTGGTCTGTACTCTATAACCCTGCAGTGTTGTAATGCACGGGGCCGTACATAGTACTACACACTTCCTATCGTTTGTGACCTCCGGGCCGAGAAGTTCAGAGATATCACTGGTCCATGTAGCGTACTGAGATACGGAAAAAACATGCTGAAACAAAAGGTCGGAGCGTCGAGCAATCCATATACGAAGGCCCTTTCCTGTCAAATGGAGGTTCAGATACACGCTTTACCGTCAGTCTACCTTAGGCTGGGTGACTGTTGTACAGACTACCTACTTAGCCAAGCAACCACTAGTGCATACCTCTGCGGGCTTGGGTGGTTGGTAGATGATGGCAATAGCCTAGTGTCAAGGGTCGCGATGGCATTTCTACCCTTGCTGTCTAATATCCTATTGAAATTCCACTGGCATTATTCATCCATTACTAGGTCAAGGGCATAGATGGATCATTGGTCGACACCCTGGTCACCACTATCGCCAGGAAGACCGCACGGACAGTATCATCATATTTCGGGTGAAATTCGCGCGAAGTCCCGACGATGTCTGGATGCCTCTGTTTGAACTCATCAAGATTTGATTCCAGAACCTCCGAGAGCATCACATTGTGCTTGCAGTTTGCGGACTGTGGCGAGAAGAAGAGACCAGCTCTCGCCTAGACTTGCAGACAAGATCACTAAGGCCATGATGTGCTGGTAGAGTTTGAGGAAACCTCCGGTTCTCGTATTTGTGTACGGTGGATACTCTACCAAAAGTGGTATATAGTGGAGCCAACTGTGGAGTCGACCAACTAGGAAATATCCACCCGGTGGTAGTAGTAGGGACTCTGTACATTATTGTTGTTATGATCGGTATCGTCTAGTCTCGTTGCTCATGCGACTATCACAGAGTAGTGCTACTGTGGTAGATGTTTCAACATCCGTGTGTAGACATGGTCGTGTGCACAGGCCATATCTCACCCAATGTAGACAGACTGAGGACAAACGGCGACTGCCTCCTCTCGCCCTATTCATCACACCACTGCCATAACCTGTAGACATATACAGCTCAGCGACGGGCTAGTTCGCCCTCGGCACCACTTACGACCATTCCTTTCGTCTCCATAACGTAGAAGTTGGGCAAAATGTTAGCTCCCTCCTTCCAAATCGGTACAGTTTCTCCGGCCTCCCCCACAAGACCCTGTTGGGGATCTACTACTGGCACCCAATATCTGTGGCAACAAGCAAGCACCTAATGAGGCATTGAGCGAAAGCGCACAAAGGACAAAAGTTCGATGAGGCTCTGGCCACCAATCGGCCCCCCACTTATTTTGCTTTCTAGACACGGGCAGCAGAGTGCAAGACCTACAAAATGTAGCCCAAGAATCTCCCATGTGCACCGTAATGATGTAGCTATCAGTGTGAATCTCTCGTGAGCAAATACAGTGCGAACATGATGTCGCCGGCCCCAAAGGAGGGGCATCTTCTTCGAGGGCGTCAGCAGCCATCAATAACAGTCGGCAGCCGATCACAGATCCCAGAGCCGAAATTAGAGCCGCATTCGAACCCAGAAGCAAGGCCATTACCAGGCCCAGAGTCAGTACCAGCGGTAGAATCAGAATCAGAATCAGAATCGCAGCCACACTCACAGCCAGAGCCAAAGCCTGTGCGAAAGCCAGAGCGAAAGCCAGAGCCTGTATCCCCGGGGCAAACGATACCTCGTTATTTCGGCTCGTTTGATTCTAGCAATGCGGCATCTGAGGTTGCCTTTGGCGCGCATGTCTCGCGGCAAGGCTCTACCAACTCGCGAACGTCTCTGGTCAGATCCAACAGAGAGTCGGAGATGGATGTATTCAAGTCGGAGGTCAGGCTTCTTTACCTACGCCAGGTGCAGTTGGAAAAGCGGTGGGCAGACGACGTGGCACCAGAAGGAGTCTTATTGAAGTCAAGTCGGGGGAATTACATCTGCCAGCCTCGCGACCTACCGACACGTAGCGGAGGCTTCTACCAGGAAATGAGAAAGCTAAATGTCAAGGTATGCAGTTTCGCCCACTGCGATGCTCCACTGCCCCTACCCGTCAAACAGTCCTAACGCACTTTCTAGGTAGCCATGACAGTCCGGACACCTATGATACAAATGTTCCTGGACACATGCAAGCTGAAGTATATGCCCTATATTCACGGGCAAAAAATCGGCATCATCGACACCATCAACGGCCTCGCGCCGGTCCATCGGCATCATTACGCTGTATTTGTCCGTGACCCGGGCATGCTTGTCGTCTGGGACGAGGAACCTACAGAGATCGTGAATCGGGCTACGGGCTTGGAGAAGTACCTTGTCGACATGTCCTGGGCCCGGCACTTGGAGGATGAGAGTGGATTACAATTCGATGTCCTAAACACAGCCATCGGTGAGGCTCCCAACTCTCAAGAAGCAACCCCACAAGTGACAAATACCACGATTGCGGACGAAAGAGGACAGTCCGGGGATGACCCCCGGCCGACTATGCTGTGGCAACCTCTGGTGGTCGGCTGCACCGGGATATTGACTATCTACTGTCTCTCGACTGGGTGGAGGGCGATTGCGGTCGAGATCAAATATGATCACAGCTGGACTCGACTAGCACTCGTGATTGTCACTCCCCTGCAATTGTGGCTCGGTTGGTTCTTTTTCATGACCGTCGTTAGCATCGTCGCTCAGATGTTCGGTCCCGTTCGTCAAGTAGCCCACAACTCCAAGTTCTACTCTGCAGTGCCCTCCAAGCGTCTCAAGGACAACTTCCCTCATGTGACAATACAATGCCCTGTCTATAAAGAGGGTCTCGAAGCCGTCATCAAACCTACAATGGCCTCGGTACGAAAGGCTATCTCTACGTATGAGCTCCAGGGCGGCACAGCCAATATCTTCATCAACGACGACGGCATGCAACTGATCTCTGACGAGGATGCCCGAAAGCGAGTCGAGTTCTACGAGGACAACAATATCGGCTGGGTCGCACGGCCCAAACATGCTCCAAAGGGAGATGCCAATGGGCAGAATGTTTTTATTCGCGCAGGCAAGTTCAAAAAGGCCTCGAACATGAACTATTGTCTCAATGTCAGCACCCGTCTGGAAGATAAGTTGGTCGAGGTGGAGCGGCGGCCTAGTTGGAATCAGGCGGATGAGGAAAGACTATATGCATCCTGCTTCAAGCAGGTTATCCTGGAAGATCAAGGTCGAACCTGGGGTGCGGGCAACATCCGCATAGGCGATTACATCCTACTTATCGACTCTGACACTCGTGTTCCCGAGGACTGCTTACTCGACGCCGTCTCGGAAATGGCTACTCCGGAGGTGGCCATCATCCAATTCTCCTCGGGTGTTTTGAACGTCACCACGAGCTTCTTCGAACGCGCCATTACCTTCTTCACCAATCTCGTCTATACATCTATTCGCTTCGCTGTCGCTTCTGGCGACGTCGCTCCATTTGTCGGTCATAACGCCCTGCTCCGGTGGACTGCAGTCCAAGACATCCGATATACAGACAAAGATGGAGTCGAGAAGTACTGGGCCGAGAATACTGTTTCGGAAGACTTCGATATGGCACTAAGGTTACAATCGCTCGGCTATATCATCCGATATAGCACCTACTGCGGTGATGAATTCAAAGAAGGCGTTTCTCTTACCGTCTATGACGAGCTGGAGAGATGGGAGAAGTATGCTTACGGCTGCGCCGAGTTACTCTTCCACCCTTTCTATAAATGGCCGGTCAGGGGGCCATTTACACCCCTGTTTCGGAGATTTATTACCAGTCGCATTAACTGGACTGGGAAACTCACGATCATGTCGTACGTCGGGACATATTTCGCAATCGGGTCGGCCTGGATCGTTACTCTTCTCAACTACTTTCTAATCGGCTGGTTCAATGGCCACCTCGACAAGGACTACGAAGAGAGTTTCAATCTTTACTTTGGCCTGGTGGTCGTCTTCCAGGGTGCCGCCACCGTCTCTTTAGCCGTACTGCGATACCGGACAGAAGATCGCTCGCTACTCAGCTCCCTCGCCGAAGGTATGACCTGGATGCTGGTCCTAACTATGTTCATTGGTGGCCTCTCGCTCCACCTGTCCGGGGCTCTGATCCGCTATCTATTAGGTATCGACATGTCATGGGGCGCCACGGCCAAGGAGGCCACCGACACGTCCTTCTTCCGCGAGATTCCTGTCATCATCAAAAAGTTTAAGTACACTTTCATCTACTGTATCCTCTCTATCGCCATGATCCTCACGCTTGCCGGCATCGGGCCTCTCGGTGCACTGGTTCCTCACGATTGGAGGATCAACAGCTTCATCGCGCTCTACCCCCAGCTGATCCTGGTCGCTATGCACTTTCTATGCCCCTTGATATTGAATCCTGGGTTGATGCATTTTACCTTCTAGTATCGTTAGAGAATATAATCTAATTTCCTTCTTCTCTTCACATACGTATCCTCATGTACTTTTCTCTGTTCATTGCATGTATTGTGTCCAACTCTCTGCTACTCATATCGCTATGTGGACTTCAAGAGCAGTGGTGCAGTTTTACGGACGGAGGTCAGCACAAGGCTGAGTGGGTCAGGGGGGTTTGACATAGGTGGGCCTCTAGTTGCGAACTTGATATGATGTTATTATAACACCACATTCCTATTTGAATAATCCACACCCCCCGGACTGTGACTGCATCAGTAACCGATCGTCTCACCCAGGTATTATGTTCGAATGATATCCAGATATGTAATCATGTCATATAATCCTGATTGCGTATTCTATCGTATGCAAGGATCGGTTTCACTGAGCTAAGACCCATTGCGCCTCTCCATGCCTGTTCTACAATTTGGATCTAATCCCTTCCAACCGGAATTTGACATCTTTGAGCGCCTTGGTCATCGGCTTCCAGTCATCAAATTGCGCCAACAACTCTTGCGCTTCTTCCTGTAATTCTTTCTTCACGTAATCTTCCTCTAAGATCCCTCGCATCGCAAACGGCAAGATGTACGGATTTGTTCCGCTGTTGCCGATTGGTCTTCTGGACACCGGCACGTCTGGGAAAGCATTCGTCTCCAAAGCAAAAGCAATTGCGATGTCATAAACCGCATCGTCTTCGTAAATCCGTGAATGGCCCTCACCGCCATATAAACTCCCTGCTAAAGGCGACGACAACTCTCTGATTAGCCCATGATCCGGCACGCCAACATTGCGCAACTTCAACGAGAAGCCGACCAGATGTGCGAGGAAATTGGGCGTGTGGATTCTCGAGTCGATGAAAACTGCTCTATAGATATGGGGATGGGATATTGGTGCGTATATGGACGATTCCATGGACACGAGCTGGTCGTCGATACTGCCGACAAACGTCAACTTGACCAGTCCGGATCTCAACACAACGTCGAGCGCGGAGGCGTATTCCTTTGACACCTTGCTGTTGGGGTCGGAAAATTCGAAAAGTTCACCGGCCGAACCGCTGATCCATCGTGACTTGTACTCTTGAAAGGGGCCCATATTGACTCCCGCCATCGCGCAGATACCCACCCGCGCAGCACTGATACATCCAAATTGCAGTAGCTTCGCCACCAGCATAATAGCGACCGGAACTCCTTGACTGTGGCAGGCTATCATGACGAAGTCAGATCGGCGAATTTCGTCGATCCAATTGAGCAGCAACTTCCACAGCAGTTCCACCCTCTCAGCGATCCGGCCCTCACCTTCGAGAGCAGCGCTCTTGACCTCGCAGTCATAGCCATGGTTTCGAGTCCACTTCTTGATACATTTCGCAGCCATGTCAGCGAATTTGATAGATGTGCCAGTAGGTTGGCCCAGAACGGTTCTAATAAGGGGTGCAGGGAAATAACCATGGACGCCAATAGCGAGGGCATTTTTAATCCGCGGAGGATTGCGGGTAAGGGACAAATGTGTGAGCTCAGGCTCCTTTGTATAATAGAGGAGTCTTGCAAGTTGCTGCAGGATCGAAGGAGTTTCTTCATAATTTAGTGTCGCTTTTATTGGGGGCAACAATAAATTGGGAGATTCCATCTTCGACGGCGCTGGAGATGCTGTACGAGGCGTCCCGACCTCGATCGGATCCCGTGAGGCGGCAGCAGCAGTGGAAGTTTCGAGTTTTGTGGCCGAGTCATCGATCGAGGCTGAGGGCTTTCTCTGCAATTTCAATGATTTGGGTGCCTGTCGTTGGTCTGCAAGTGCCTGCTGCAACCCGACGACTTTATGAGCCACGGCAGGTTTGGTCGACTCTTCCTGTAGTGAGATCGAAGCACGTCTCGGCCTCGTCTGTGATGGAGTGTCAGACACAGCAATTTCCCCCACATGTGGCTCGTTTTCCGTCTGCATTGACGAAGGCCTCTTCTTGTCTCGAGACCAGAATACCCAGCCCGAAGATTTCGTGCCATCCTCCCGAAGTCGTGGAGGTGGCGCAGTCTCCAGGGACGATGCTTGGGAGGTTGACTTGGAATTTGATATGCCTGCGGGAATGGCAAGACTTTCCGTCTGCCCTTTCGTCGCCTCAGGACTTTCACTCACAGGTGAAGGCGCATTATTTGGGGAAGGTCCATCCATCTTCGTTGGCCTGTCAGATGTGTTGCCGGACCACATGTAATACCAGCTTCTCTTGTTATTAACATTCAAGCCTTCTTCCTTTGGCTGCTCGTCCGTTGCCGACTGCGCATCGGACATTCCGGCTGTTGAAGTAGGGGGTGTAGGCGCCGGTATCGTTCCCGGTTTAAGGGCGGGCTGCTGTACCTCACCACCGGCCGCCTCAGACGTTGCGGCATCTCTTCTCGATAACCAACCCAGCCATGTGCTCTGGGATGCTTGTGTTTGCTCGCCCTTGCTGGGAGGCTTGATATCTTCAGCTGGAGGTGTTGAACCACGCTCCTGCTGGTCTGTCTTTTCTGGTCGTTCCTCTGCGGTCCTGCTAGGGCCCTCCTCTGCTGACTCGCCATTGGCGCTGCGTGAAATATCCGACTGCGATCTCTTGCTAGAAGACGGTGAAGCCGATTCAGAAGTGGCGTTCACTATCGTAGTAGTTGCATTGACCGGGAGGGATCGGTTGGCATTAGATCTTCCGAGGGTCATTGCCAGAGAAGGCGACCTTGTACTCCGAGCTTTTTCCTTGATGATTGACGCCGTCTCTTTAGCGGTGCTACTGGCGGACGATACAGTCTCTCGAGCGACCTCTGCCAGAGGCGAAGTCTTACGAGGCCACGTCCGAGTGATCCATGACTGTTTCTGCCGTGAGTCGGTGATGACTTTGCTCGGAGGTTGCTTACTGGTTTGTGTTCCCTCTGAGGAGAAGTCCCAATGTTCTGTGCGGGTGTAGCAGGTGGTGAGTCCGCAGGGAGGGGCGTATTTACAGCCTGCGCTTGGGTTGCCGAAAGGTCTTCACTAGGGTTGGTCTTCTGGCGTTTCAAAGGCCTCGCGGGCGCCATCAGCCCTCCGACAGAGCGGCAACAGGGATGTGGAGCAGGAAGAAGAGATGGCTCCAAGCCGGATCGTCAAGAGGAGAGCACAGTGTGTATCCAGCAGGTATATCCACAGGATGGTGACTGTGAGGTGGTGTTGAAGTTGATGATGAGCCGGAGGCTGGCAGCCAGCCGCCTGTCCCTTTACTCCTCCGTAGTATGCGGCTACGTCACTTGTTCACCGCCCGCATCAGCCAATAATAACAAACAACAATTCAGCCACGAATTGCCATCCACTGAAAAGTTGTGGCAGTTGTGGCAGTACTTCAAGTTTCGCCAAAGAACAGGCATATCCGCTCCAGGTATCATCCTGTGCTGAAGCGTACTTCAAAAAAGGACACTTTTGCCATATTCGGTGTCTGGCTCTATGGCGAAGACAGGCAAAGTCAAGCAGAATCCTACTGGTATGGCCATGGATGTTTTTCTGCGCAAAAATATATCATTCTCCATACTGACTGATGAAAAGCAAACCCGAGATCTCGAGCGTCAAAGAGAGCCACTTCTCCATCCGTTGATTTGGACAGATCCCTTCGAGACGCTCCCCGGGCTTCAGATGCCACACCTGTCCTGTCAGCCCGTTCAAATGGCAGGGTAACTAAGTCAAAGCCGAAGCAAAAACAGTTGAGCCGGGGTCAAAAGAAAAGGCATGAAAAGGGACTGGCACGGGCAGAGGCTGTCCAGGACCGGTTAGCCAAGAAGTTAAACGATGCGTCAGGAAAGCTCAAAAAGATCCGGGAGAGGAAAGGGATGTGGGACGAGGTGAACGGCACCACCAAGCTGGAACAGACGAGGGAAGTTCTCAGTGCACACGTGGACAGGCCAGAAGAGAACGAGTGGGAAGACGAACCCATGCAAGAGGAGGAGGTCTTTCGGAAAGGCCAATTAAAGGTCGTGGAGGGGGTGATTGTGCCCTCGACAGCGCCTGTGAACAAATTGCTCGTTGTTGATCGAACACCCTCTGCGCCAATATCGGATGTGGAAGACGAGGCGGACAAGATTACATGAACGTCGCCTAGCAGCCAGCAGCCCATTTCAACTTTCAACATGTCTATCTCTTGGGCCGCAGCTGAGTGAGCATCCTTTCGATCTCCACCAATTGCTGTCCGTTGGCCTTGTCTCGGAGCGACTCCAGGGCAGTGCTGTCTTTTGCCTTCAAGGCTTCCTCGCCAGCCTTGACAATCATGCCGCATTTGATCCACATCTCGATCCTCTCTGGCGGTTGCAGGCCAGTACATTTTGGGATGAACGAGGAAGCAAGTCGCGTATTGCCTGCCCCGAGGACTTCGTTGTAGAAGGGCTAGAGAAGGTATCAGCTGAGGCACGGTCTAAGTTTCAAGGGACCACGACATACCTCCCAACCAATAGGCGACTTTTTGTTCTTACCAATTTCCTCCACCTCACCCCAGAGGCGAGCAGCAGTCAAAGCTCGAAGACGAACCCACCACCAAGTCTTTTCCGGGACTCTGAACTCACTTTGAACCTTGGCCGCGCGTTTGCTGTAACCGGATTTGACGAGGCGGAACATTGTTTCATTGACACTCAGACCAACATAGCTGCCGCTGCTGTCGGTGATATCCTTGTCAAACGCCTCCTGCATCTTGAGCAATTGCACTGCTTCCGCGAGGATTCTGCTATGGAGGACGGCTGTCGGATCTTTGGTGTCCGTTAGAAGTCGGGCTGCTAATCTGAGCTTATCAATGACTGCTTGCACCTGTGGCTGCTGCATCGCCTCTTCGAGCAAGAGGTTCGAACCTTGCACAGGCCTGTCGTCTTGATAGTACAGATCCTTTAGCAGCTCCCGGTCTTCTGTTCTCGCCGAGCTCTCCACCAGCGCTGCAGCAACGGGTCGGTCACTGATGGTTCGGAGGAAGGCGGCCAAAGGGAGTTTCTTCTTCAGCTCCAGGAGCACGAAAACGATGAGGTCTGGATCCCCTGATTCAATGGCTTTATCAAGGGCGACTTCATCTTCTTCCATGTTGAGTAATAACGGTACTTGCTTTCCGGCTCTTGGCTCGTGATTGAGCAGGCTTGTTGCAAGATGGCTTCGACCTTCGTCGTAGGCAGCTTGGGCAATGGTCTCAAAGGAGATGCCTAGCTTGCCGCGCAACCGTTCCACCACAATCTCTCGGATAGAATCATCGTCTGCGGATGATGCCCTAACTTTCTGGCTTGCCCAATGGACATAGATCTTGTTCAAGGGCAGATGCAGGAATTCAGACAGTTTGATCGCCAGAAGATATTCCCGTCGATTGACTAGTCGTGCAATGAGCCTCTCTGGCGTCAGTCGTAGGTACTGTTCATATGACAGATGAAGGCCGATGCGGTAGTCTCGAACTGCATTCATCACCCTAAGATCTTCGCACATGTCGACAAATTCGTCACTGCTGTAGAGATCAAGCACTGATTTGCCAAACGAAGCGGCACGGAGCAACTGCTTCTGTAGGCTTGGATTGAACTCGTGACCAGCTGCTCGAATACATGTCTCAACTGCTTCTGGAAGGTTTGGTTTGATCCGCTGTATGTTTTCGTCCGCCTTGGGCGATTTCTTTTCCAGGAGCTCGATCGAGTCGAGCAACACAGACGCGGCCGAGCTTGACCCAAGTTTGAAGACCTCTTCTAAAGAGTCTGGCACCTTACGAAGGAATTCGCAAGCTTCGTTAGTGATCAGGCGGACGCCGTCAATGTCGGGCACAACGTGCACTTGGTCATCGTAGTAAAATTTCACGGCGGCGCCGTCGGGTCCGACCATGTGGATCTCATCCTCCCAGGCCAGGAGCACCGAGTCGTTTCCACACCAGTAGATTTGAGTCGGTGTTGTTTTCGCCTTCGAATCATATTCACTGTACTTGTTCTGGAAGTCACTCCCTACCACCCAGACTTTGCCGTCCTCTGTGAACAACGCCGCGAACCTTCCGTTTGGCGAGACGCTGACATGCTTGAACGGTCCGTCAGAAAGGCCCCTGTCCTCGGCTTCGGAGGCATCGACAACATAGATGGTCTTGTTGACTGCCAATAATACCTCGACAGATCTGGACAGGGTGTAGGCTGGCGGAATCAATGACCAGGAGTGAACCTCGCCCTCAGGTGGCTGTGCAAGTAGCCTAGGTCTCGGTTCGTCGAATGATGACACGGCTACCAGAGCGTTGTTGGAGAGTAGGGCGACCAAGCCATGAGACCAAAATTGGCAAGACTTCACACCAAACTCCTCAGCGCCGTGGCCTAATGAGAACGGTTGAAAGTCGCCATGGAGGCCGAAGTAGCAATGCACCGTACCATCCTCGGTGACTACCAACAGCCTCTCATCATCTGACCAGCCGAGTCCTCTGACGGGCCCCTTCTCCCAGTTGATGTTGCTGATGAGTTTCCCAGAGGATGAATAGATGTCGATGGTTGGTTTAGTTGCCTGGCCTGTCCGATAGCGAGCAATCTTTGCCGCATCCCGCCATAACGCTGTAGAAGAGTTGGTTCAGGTGTGCGGCAACCAGGAGTCCTCTTACCTAAAGCCCCGCCGTAGGGCGCGCCAGCCACCAGATAGTTCTCGAGCTCGAGATCCGGGTCAAAGATTGACTCGTACAGCTGGACTTTCTGGTAGAATTGATCGCCAACCTTTTCCCAGCCAGCCCTGGGATTGTTGGTGGTCATGGAGATGCACAGTCCATCAGATGCCGATGCTCTGATACAGCGTAATGAGGAGTAAGGCTGAGGGAACAAAGATATCAACTTCGAGCGAGATTCAGTGTCGTTGGTTGCCGGAGGTTGTATGAGAGGCTTACTTTGGCTAGCACCACAGGATGTCATAAAGCAGCGTCATCTCTCACCCATATTCATCTCTACTCGCTCTTGGCATGTTGTTGATGCACGTGACCCGCCCTGGACTTCAATCAACCATCAACCAGCTGCTTCGTCCAGATGCATAGAGTTGTCTACCTGCGTAACCAGATGGTTAGCACAGTTCAGTACCTAGAAATGCCGGCACAGGACAGTCACAAACGATAGTCATTTCTCAAACAATGAACGGCTCCCCCCACGGACAATCATCATGGCAGCCCAGAGCTTTGTCGACCGCGTCGAAGACATGACAGACCTGGAGTTGGCAATGCTCCTCAGTCTGATTGCACAGCACCACTGTCTGATTGAGGTTCAAGACGATCTCGTAGACAACCTTGCTGCAGAGTTGTCCCTGGTATGGATTTCGGGGTTATATACTGCACCTTACGACACTGACTGATGGCCTAGATTGCCCGAGATGTCTTCAACCTTTCATATATCATCCTAGAGCGGGCAGACCTGCAATCTGTCGACCAGTTCGTCGCTGCGATTCTGGAAGATAGTGGCGATGCTGTTGACTCAACGGATCTTCCCAATGACGACGCTAACCAGGTACGCTTCTCTGCTTCGATGCTTTGATCCGGCAATACTGATTGATTGACTTCCAGATCGGCATGGTTCACTCCAAACTCACGGGGTCCAGTTATCGGGCAGCATCGTCGATACAGGCTGACCAGTTTCAGTCCGATAGCCGGAAGGTTGTCAATGTGGTCATAGTGAAAGATTTCAACTTTGCCGAAGAGGATGTCCAGATCCAAGTCCTTGAGGTATGCTTATGCCTTCATCGAGGGAGAGAGCGGCCGTGACTAAAGACGCTAGTAGCTCATCCGGAAACGAAGAATATACAGTCGAACAACGGTTCATGTTGCCGCGAAAATGTTTCTGCTGCTTCCGATTGTGTCCAGTTCGTCAAAGCATGTCCGGCTGAACCAACACCTCGTAAGACCATTGGCAAATTCGTGTAATGTATACTGATGTTGATAGAACGACCGTATTTTCATGTCCCATTACCATGAAATGGACGACGGCTTTCCAAATCTCGAGGAGATGGGTAGTTTAGGTCATTCCGATGACGACGACTCTGCGTATTCAGATTCTGGCTCACCCATTGCGCAACGTGCGGGGGCGATCATGAGTCGACGGGTTGATGCAGAGGTACCGCAGCCTGGTCTTTCAGTGCCCAAGGATGTCTGCTGAGCATTTCTTCTAGTTGATCACCCAGCTCCGGGCTCAAGGAAAGCGGGCCACGGTTACGCCTGAAATCCGGCGATACCTCCAAGATATTGTGGCCTTTCTGCGAATGGCCAGGGGTGTCGATGGAGGAGTCACGCCTTACGCGACAACTCTGTTCCTTGCCCTGGCAAAGTTGGCATCACCGTACCGGATCCCGACCATGTTTGGCTGATTCTGTCTGCAGGTACCTTGCGCCGTTTCACGGCATAGGTTATGTGACGCCCGCTCTCGTCGCTTTGGCCGCGAAGAAAATATACCCTCATCGCCTGATAATAGCATCTCCAGAACGGGAGCGCAGTACGCAATACGGCACCGATGTGGCCACAGCTCGAGAGCTGTTAAGAGACCTTAACCCACACAAGGTAATTCAGCAAGTACTTGATACAGTCGAATGCCCGACCTGAGTTGGTGTTCCACAAAGTCAGAAACGCAATGGTCAGTATGGTAGACCGTCTTTGTGCAGTATATTTTCTAACAAGCCAAGTCCAGGCGCGTTTGAACTACTCACTTCTTGCGCAGCCTTACTGTATAGAGGCGTGTCTAAACAACGAGTGATTAATACTCTCCAGCCCGCATTCTGTCTCAGTCTTGACACTTTCTTGTTCAAACCCATTCCATCTCAAAATCAACAAAGGTATCCGCTTGTTCCATCACCAGTTCAATCCATACTTCTTACTACCTTACGGCAGTATCTGCAACTACAATGTCGTCCCCGGCGGATGCGCTCGGCATCAAACGAAAGTTGAGTCCAGACTCGGAGACTTCGGCGCAGCCCGTCTCGAAACAGCAGAGAGGATCACCTGCGACGATACCGAGCACAGGTGAGTTCCACACTCCCTTTCCAGTCTGCTAATCCGATCGAGACTGACTTTCGTCGTAGCATTAAGTTATCCAGTCCGTTCTCGCGACGACGACGATAACCCGGGCACAAACCGCAATGTGGCAGCAGGCAACGTCGCAGAGCAGCAGCCGAGTTCCAATGAAGAGCGTGGAGACACAGGTATTTCTTCCCCATCATCAACTGATGATTCGATTCATCTAACGACTGCAACAGAAACATCTTCCTCGGCCAGTGCTCGTGGCGACATGGGAGAACTAGGGCCAGGCATCAACGTGTCCACGGGCTCCATCGCAGAAGAACATAACATTGACGAAGAAAACCGTCAGACTCCGCTTACAACTGACGATGCAGCTAAAGCTCACGCCGATAAGATCAAGGCTGCCACCACCAGACTTTTGGACCTCGGTCGAAATCGAAGAATTCAAGCTATTTTCCAGGAGGCAGAACAATCGAACCCTAGCCTGCATCCTCGATCAACCACGATGCAAGAGTCAGGATCACAAGTCCATCAGGAGCCGGGAGCTCGCATGGAGCAAGTGTCACGCCAGAATGCAGAAACAACCACCGGTGCTGGTATGGCCGATATGGCGACGCCGACAACCCTCCCTCTCCCGTCGACTGTCACAACTCAAGCGACCTCTGGAGCTTCAGGAGCCCCGGCCCGTCGAAGAGTCTCACGTCGAGCTAGGACTGCAGTTACGGCTCCGGCTATCACAGCACCTGTCACTGCGCCGGCCGTCCCTGTCCCAGTCCCAGCCATGCCTGCCACACCCGTCCCGGCCTTCGCCAATCCGGTACCCATGGCGCCTGCCCTACCTCTACCGTTTCAGCCAATGCCGGTGCTTCCAGCACTGCTCGACAGCGTAATGGCCTATTTGCCGCCCGACAATGACTCCTACGTCAATCTGCTGACTCCGGCGGAGTTCGAGTCGGTGTCGCAGCAGCATTGGCAACTGCTAGTGCCCCGAGTGCAGGGAAGGTTCAACCCATTCATACTCTATGATGACCAGATTCATTATCTGCCAGGACACAGTGTGGAAGCACGGGTCCAGGCTATGAACCTTGGTCTTTTCGTACGTTTCCAGCTTTCCACCCGTCCCTACAGATGTTCGTTCAAGCGAGAACTGGCTTCTCTCTGCGTCACTTCTGCCGGAACTCGTTCATTCTTGCATGCTGTCGCATTCCTCAGGATACGCGTGGCTCTGACTAACCGCGAGACCATCTCTTTAGATTCCGAGGATCGACATCAGCATAACCAATGTCACGGACCGGTGGATTCATCCAGCACACGGTGAGGACGTTGCCACACTCAGACAACTCATTCCGGGTAAGCATATCCCCTTCCTTTGCCAAACCAGACCATTCCCTTTTTCATCTATCCCTCAGAATCTTGTTGCCCCCTAGCTAGGATCATAGAGCGTTCCATCACGCCGCACAGCGGTCTGAGCCCCATGATGCCGAGCGGAGAAACTGCTGCACAACATCATTCTTGGCCGCAAACACTTGACTCCCGTCCGTATGTGATACAGAGAAAGTGCGAGCTAACTCTTATCTACAGAATACTACAGCACTCAGCTCTTCCTTCACTACCAGCTTCGAACGCTGCGCAATGGGGTCGATCGCGATTTTGCCATTGAATGGTGGTGGCAAGTCACTCCTGAACGGGCCAGCCGTATCCCTGTCACTCATCCCACCAACATGTTAGAGTTCGAGCGCTATGTCTCGGCCTTGAGAGATGAGGTCAGATTCATGGTCGAGCGACGACTTCCCCAGGGCTTCTTCCTTCCTCGGGTGCTGATTGGTCGGTTTTTCGGTCTAGGTTGGTGGAGCCCGGTCTGAGAGACACCTGTGTCGAGATACCCTGACTGTCCAGACATACGCGGAAGTGAGCCAGGAAGAAGAAAATGCGCTCCTCAGGTGGTCAAGTGGAGGGTCCAAGGAAACAACGCGAAGGCTGATTGATGGTGATGTGATGGTAACGGGCAATCAGTCCGCGAATATGTATGAGGGAACGAGGGTCTTCCTCCGCCAGGCAATGGGCGAACGACCTGAGATATGTACTAGTATCATGAGATAGGGTCTGTCCCTCCCGGACAGGTCAGGAGTGTGAATTGCTAAGATGTGTACAAGTAACTTCAAGGAACCAAAATCCTGTTCTCTTCTCTGCCGACAATTGAACCACACGCCTCGTAGTGAGCTATAGCCACCTACTGGTATGTGGGCACCATTGCATAGCATATATCGATCTATCTACATACGATATCACGACTACACCCCAGCATGGCTTCGATCGTAGGCCACCTTTGTTGTAATGCTTGCAAAAGCCCGCCATCTTCGAGCTGCTATCAGTGCTGGTCATCCACACAACTCAGACGTGCAATCAAAACAGAGAAACCAGCTCGCCAGCATAGTGTAACATTCTCAACATGCTACACCCGAAACTCGCTACAAAATCTGAAGGCCCTGGTCTTCTGCTCTCGCCAGAGAACTAATAGCGGGCAACTCGACTAAAGCTAAAGCTCGAACAGAACGCTCAAAAAGCCTTGTTTGAACTCCGGCCTTCTGAGATGAAGGCGAATCGTGACTTGTACATTTCTCTTCCAGCTCTGCAAAGAAACACTGACATCGAATCGATGCCCGCCACCTTCTGAAATGCGATCTATTGGGCGCATGGTGTCAGGTGTTCACGAGCGAGACGCATCCTGACTGGTGACTTCAGGAATCCCGGGGACCATCAAATGTCCAGCATCGGATCGACCAGCGCTTCCATCAAATACAAATGGCCCAGCGTTATTTCTGGGGGTGAGCGGCCCTTCCCCTGCGATGATATGTTCAATATCTGGAGTTTGCGTCCTGGTAGCTTCGAGGTGGACGCCCATCTCGTCCCCATCTGGTTGGTCAGGCATGTCAATACTACCGTTCATGGTATGTAAGCCGACCGAGGCTGGATTTGCAGCGTGTCTCCGTGCCAGAAGTCCGGAGGTTCGAGGTGGCAACGGAGAGGGGTTGTTGTCCGAGTCTCCTTCACGGCTATGTGTAGTCACAGGGAGGTCGTCCGGGACGATATCTGTTGTGGTGATATCGACATCTATGGTATCAATCGCGGCATTCGTGTCTACCTCACTGGCTTCGCTGGTGACATTGCCGTCTGTACGTGGCAGGGCATTGGCATCGGTGTCGTTATTGGTGCCGCCATCTGCATCACCCGTTTGGTTTTCTGCATCGTCTGTATTTTCCATCCATTCATCGATGTCGGATTGAGCAACGTCCACGTCAGCTGTCAAGTCGCTGTATGCCCTGCAGTTCGGGCACTGGAATTGTGGATATGAGCTGTTTCTGCCCTCGAGTAAAGGACGAATGCATTTGTAATGCCAGCAGTGGGCACAGGGAGCCACGAATAAGGCTTGACAAGGCTGTAGGAACAGTCAGCCATCACCAAGATCAGTAGCATGAAGGTCAAATGCTTACCAGAACTGAGCCAAGACAGATGGCACATTCACCACTGTTAGCGTTCGTCGACAACTGGTCCTTGGCGAGGCTTTGTAGTTGCTGATGCCTGCTTTTACTATGACTGGGGTCAGTTTTGGCATGACTTCATCTTGGTGTGGGTGGACGAACTTGAAGTTGTTTGGTTTCTTCTGCCACGCCCGATTGCACTCGATCCGAATTTTGACGCAACGGAAGATCATCTCTTCGCCTCCTCGAAAATCGATACCCAGCTGCACAATATCCCCGTCCTTGATTGGAAACAATCTGGACTCTGTATTTGGCTGGCTGAGCCTAATGTGGTTGAGAAACGTCCCGGAGGAACTGGCGACATCTCTGATCTGCCATTGACCGTCCACAAAGCTGAACTCGCAGTGTTTGCGACTGACCACTTTGGATTTGAAGCCCACAGGCGCGTCGGATGGCGTGTTGGGATTTGCTTCCGGGATCCCTTCTCGCTCCGAGTACCGACCGACTCGGATTATAGACTGTTCGCTGGGCAACGTCCTTGAGATGGGGGCAAATGTGAGAGAGGGCCGGCCATTCCTCATTTCTTGGTGAGGGTAGAAGCGTATGGTAGGCAGTTGATGTTTAGATTCTCCATCGTGTGTGTCTCCCTTGGTCCCCGTTGTCTTTCTTCTCGTGTTCGTGGGCCGCGAGGCAGGCTCTGATCCTTCCGTTACTGCACTATCGGCAGCCGGGTTGCTGGTTGTATTACGTCGAGATGCCGAGTTTCTGTGTCTTGCCATCTCGTCTGTGGTATTCTGCTCGAATGTCTCTGGTCTCGAGTCCACCTCGTCAGCGCCCTGCTGAATTGGGCGTTCTGCAGCCGAAGGGGTCGAGGGACTCGTATCGTCCTGAGAGGTGCTGACCAGACGAGGGTGGATTACTAGCGGGGTCGTAGGCTCGTTCGGCCGTGAAGCACTTCTTCGACGGGTAGTGGTCGGAGGCTCTGCTCGAGTATCGTTGTGGCTGTGAGATCGTTGGAAATAATGCCTCGGAGACCGTGAGGGTTCGCTCGGGCTGGCCCCGCCAGAGGGACGACTGTGTGACAAAGCACGCAGGTAGCTCAGGCCTCGCCGACGAGAAGTGGTTCTATTGAGGTCTGCACCTGGTTGGGAGGTGACAGGGGCAGGCGACGAGATCATGGGATGACGTGAAGGTGGAGAGAGGAGGGACGACGAGGTCTTTGGTGGTGGAACAGGAGTAGTACAGAGAAGCTACCGTACTGTGACAGTGATTGTCAAGCAAGGGTCGTGAGCAGCAGAAAGTGGCAGCAACCAGTCGAGTAACAGCAGCGTGGTCTGGGAACTCCGTCCTGTTGATTGAGTCGCTGTTGCTTCTGAGCCAGAGGTCGGTCAGTTGGACGGGAAGCTGCACTTTGATCTGGGTCAGGTCGCACGCCTGATACAATGAATGATCACGGTGTCACCGCGATCGATGTACGCTCCTGTTTCCTGCGCGCAAAGGCGTCTTACGAGACGACTCGAGTTCGAGGGGGGCGGTGAATTGCGTCTCCGAACAAGGACAGGGGTTTCGAGGCTCGAGGAAGGGCGCAGGAGGAGGTACCCAAACTTGAAGGTGGTAGGATGTCGGGGTGTGGTGCTGTAGAGACAGAGAACTGGATAATGATGCTATGGTCCGCAGGCAGGCTAGAGAGATTTTGACCAGCCTATTACTATGGGCGAGGGTTATTGGCGCACTCCAGTACCTGAGGTACAGGGTACAGGCCAGGTAGGTAAGGGACAATAGGAGGTAGTCATATAGAGTGTTAAGAATGCAGGCGGAGGACGAAGAAGGATGGATGCTTTGATCGTGTCTCTACAGAATAGTTGCACTTCTCTCCATTCATTCTCGTTGCCCTCTTCGCCAGAGCAGTTGGACGATGGGGTTTGCGGCTACGCCGACGATGTCATCGATCGTCAAAAGGCAGATAGAGGACTGCGCTGCGTACTAGGTAGAGTCTTGATCCTCCGCGCTCCAGCCCAGCGGTTCGTCTACGACCGGTACATCCAAAGGCGACCACTGCCAGTTCATCTCCATCATCATCATCATTAGTCTCTTCCAAATGGCTGAAGACTGCATCGACTATTCTCTCCGTACCTTGCCTAGATCCTGAAGGAGTCCGGCTGGCGGCGAACCTATCATCTCCCCAGACTTTTGAGGTCCACTGCGGCATAAACCTCTCAGGCTTTGGCAGGGCTCCTTAGGCTAGGGGTCCCAAGGCTAGGGAGGGTCTTAGGGATTATTACTATAACGCCTTACTAAGGTACCTACCTAGTACTAGTTAAGATGGGTACCTAACACACCCTACGTTGCCTTAGGTACATGATGCCCGCCCTCGAACCTTTTTGCCCATCATCATCCTCCCAACTCTCCCCATACCAACTCGTCCCTCGTCCAACTCGGTGATCTCGGCCATATTCGCCGTCAGCATGCGATCTGCCGGTGTCAAAGCTTTGCGGAATGCGAGGCTTGCGAAGCCTGCGAGGTCTTTGACAAGAAACTACGCCACCGTCAAAGATCCTTCACAAAAAGTTCGTACGATCTCAAGAGAGCAGATGTCGACGGTGAGCTAACTGAGTACTCTCGAAAGGACCCCGCGGAATTAGATCAAATAACGCAACTCCCCAATGGAGTTCGCATCGCTTCCGAATCACTCCCAGGCCCTTTCTCAGGCGTCGGAATCTACATTGATGCAGGTTCTCGATACGAAGATGCCTCGCTTCGCGGAGTCAGCCATATCGTTGACCGGCTGGCATTCAAATCAACAAAACAAAGATCGGCGGATCAAATGCTGGAGGCGTTGGAGGCATTGGGTGGAAACATCCAGTGCGCCTCGTCAAGAGAAGCCTTGATGTACCAATCGGCAACATTCAATTCCGCAGTGCCCGATACAGTTGCCCTGCTGGCAGAAACAATCCGTGACCCCCTCATCACGGATGAAGAGGTGAAGCAGCAGTTGGAAACGGCCGAGTACGAGATACAAGAGATTTGGTCCAAGCCCGATTTGATCATTCCCGAGCTGCTCCATATGGCTGCCTACAAGGACAACACACTGGGTAACCCTCTGCTCTGCCCACGCGAAAGACTGCCTTACATCACAAAAGGGCTAATTGGGAAATACCGCAACATTTTCTACAAGCCGGAGCGGATAGTGGTCGCTTTTGCGGGCGTTGAGCATGAAGCCGCCGTCCGCTTGACAGAAAAGTACTTCGGAGATATGCAACCTGGCGACGAGCCCTCACTATCTCAGGTCGGTTCGCAGCCGGAAGCGGACGAACCGCAAGGCTCCGCGGCTCAGCAAGAGGCACCGACTGCTTCGTCAGCTACGAGTAGATTTCTATCCAAGATTCCCGGATTCAACAATTTTTCGACGTCAGCACCGCACCAAGCCACTGTTTCTCCTCTGGATCCTTCGCTCCTTCAACCTGCTCCGAACTCTACTCTTACACAGCCGTCTCACTACACGGGCGGCTATCTCGCACTTCCTCCACTTCCTGCTCCGCAAAACAACCTATCGATCCCACTATCGCACGTCCACATAGCCTTTGAAGCCCTACCCATCTCTTCGGAGGACATATACGCGCAAGCAACGCTACAAACGCTACTCGGGGGAGGAGGCTCTTTCTCCGCCGGCGGTCCGGGCAAAGGCATGTATTCACGGCTCTACACGAATGTCCTGAATCAGCATGGGTGGGTGGAGAGCTGCGTCGCGTTCAACCACAGCTACACAGACAGTGGTCTGTTCGGCATTGCCGGTGCGTGTGAACCCGGCAGAGTTGGGCACATGGTGGATGTGATGTGCCGAGAGCTGCAAGCATTGACTCTGGAATCTGGATTCCCCAGTCTCCAACTGGCGGAGGTGAACCGAGCCAAGAATCAGTTGCGATTCAGCCTCTTGATGAACCTCGAGTCACGCCTGGTGGAATTGGAGGACCTTGGGAGACAAGTCCAGGTCCATGGCCGCAAGGTGGGCGTGAAAGAAATGTGCGCCAAGATCGATGCCCTGACCGTGGCGGATCTGCGACGAGTGGCCAAAAGGATATTGACCGGCCAAGTGGACAATAGAGGCCACGGAACGGGAGCACCAACGGTGGTCATTCAAGAGAGCGAGGATGCTTCCGGCAGGAAAATGAAGCAAATACCCTGGGAAGATGTGCAGTCCAGGATAGCGAGGTGGAAGCTAGGAAGGATGTGAATTGTCACTACTCAACTGAGGCATGAGTAGCATTGCATTCATTGCCTCTGCATTTTGTACTATACGTCTCCGGAGAGGCGGGGATCGGGCGGGCTCGGCCGAGTCCCCTGCCGCCTCAACCAGGGAGGACTCGAAGATCACCTACTCATAATGAAACATCCATGATGGCTCTACTCCCCGTTGAACTGGTCAGTCTATGATTGAAAAGTGTCATCGCAGCTACCAAAGATCCAAAGCGGCGAGGCTGAGCGAGGCTGCGCGGGCCTTGAACCGGCCGCTGATTGGCTTCGTGTCCAGCGCAGTCTGCCTGCGCTCCTTTCGCCCGACTCTATCGCTCTCGCTGTCGCCCTTCCTCCTCTCCCTTCCCAGGACCTCGGACTTCCATTATTTCCCCATTTCTTAGGGAGGGACCTGTCAGGTCTTTCGATACTTATCCATGCTGCACCCCGAAACAACCGGTTGGACACCCGCTAGAGGCTGATGAGGGCGCTGACTGTCCCACTACAAGGGGTCCAATGGACTGAACCCGTCCCAATCTGCGCCCCAGAGATACCTAGCCTTATCTCAGTTGTCCTGCTGTCATGATCCCGGCCTCATCAGCCTGCCTACTGCATGGGGCGACAGAAGGCGTCCCGAACCCTAACCATGATAGGTCAACCCCCCTACCTCTACTACCTCTACCTGTACAGGTCCAACAAAGTCCGACAACAACGCACCCTGCCCCATGGACAGCACCCTGTTCGGCGCCTTCACAAAAGTCTTATGCAAGTACTAGTCCTGTGGTATCTCTTTTCGCAGGCCCTGTATGGCAACTGCGTCGTACTCGATCCGACCCCGGCGCCCGTTACGCGTGATTGAGACGGCGCCTCAGAATCGCAACATGTGTGTCCTGTCCTCAGGCAGGACGAACTCCTGTGCGAGCTCAATTGAAGCAACTCGGAGCGGTCATGTCTACCTCAAAGAGCAACCCAGCTCCAGGGTCAGCCTTGCTCTAGATTTTCCATCGCTTCTACAGTGCGAAGCCTGACCCTTGTACCCGGTTGCAGCAGCCTTAAGCTCCATCTGGGAATGGTGTCAACGCATTGCAGCACTTGGGTAGGCTGGTAGGCTGGTAGGCTGTATGATAGATGCCCCTCACTACGACCATGGCATCGCTGGTCTTCAGCCGCACGGCTTCGTCAAGGCTCCTCGAAGCTCCCAGCTTTCCTTCGAGTTCTCCACCCCGAAAATTCCATCGGAGCATATCGTGCCACCATGACCGACCAGGAGAGCCCGAATGATGGTCAGCAACATGATTCGATCATCCAACCACCGGCCATGTCGAGACCATCTCAGGATTCCCAGGTCAAGAAAGCACAGAGGACAGATACCAATGGATCGTCCAAGGCTATGGCTGCTCCTACAGAGCAAACAGTCACAACTGATCCCACTCAATCGTACAGAGCGAAGGTCCCATTTGCGCGGGTCAGGCACGCTGTAAAGAGGACTGCTTCGACAGATGTGGTTGATGAAGCCTCTCTCAAGAAACCAGAACTCCTTGAACATGTGCGACAAAGCGCGGTTGAAAAAGCTACTCTTAAGGTGCTATCTCCGGGATCTTCAGATGTTTTGGTTGACATTGTGGCAATCCGAGACTATTATGATGATCAATCAACTGCTTGGACCTTCAATCTCGAGACTCTGCGGAAGCAGCTACATAATATCCCCGAACTGTTGAAGCAGCCGTCCGGGGAGCCACGCAAAGCGCCTGGTGAGCCTCATGAGGAGAAGACATCACAGCAATTGGAACAGGATCCCGCCGCGACCACAAAGTCTAGAAGCCCGGCTGTCGACGGGATCCGGGCCGAACCTCAGAGCCAACCTCATATGCCCATCCTGGGATACCCTTCTGAGATAAGCCTTTTTGGCCCAAGAAACAACCAAGAAGCCAATCAGCCATTGTCGGGACCGTATATAACACAGATCCTCCACCAGGAGACAGCTCTAGAGGCTGTGAAGAAAAACACAGACAGGAGCCGAGACCATGAAGATTCAAACACACTGCCTCTCAAGCCGTCGCTTAAATCCACGCCGATGCCTGTATTCCGGCGGAAGTCTCGGACGGACGCACACGTGGGACAGTTGCAAGACGAGATCACACCCTCAACCGATGCCGCCAAAGAGAGAGGCCTCATCATATCTGATCACTACGTCGATCTGAGCATTAATTGGCTTACCCATCGCCAAATGCTTCCTCAACAGGTGCCGTGGGCGAGAATCTTTAGCTTTGACTACCTGCGGCAGCACAAGGAACGCAGCCTCTCGAAGGCACCGCGGCTGCAAAGCCTTGTGTCACGTTTGCGTTCCCAACTGCAGCAATACCGACAGACTGAAAGAGAGAGGCCCATCGTCTTCATCGCTCATGACTTTGGTTTTGCTATCTTCCTCGAACTCTTATTCTCCATGAAATCACCCAGTCCGAAGACTGATCAGTTTCGGTTGCGGCAAGCAATGGCGGCAGCATTCATCTTCTTGACCCCGACTGACGGCGTTTTCGGTGATGTTCGGATCTCCAGGTATATCAGAAGCCAGAGCATGCATGAAGGGGTCCTGCAAGACAGCCTTCCATACGCAGAGACGAGAAGCCAGGAATATGTCGATACGCACCTGCAGCAGGTCGATCGCCTACGAAGACTCGTGCCCAGAAAGAGTCCGAGGCCATATATCCAGCTCATGTTGGATGATGGCAAGCAATTCAAAGATCCGTTTGATAAGTCTTTCTCGCATCTTGTCAAGAACCTCACAAAAGCAACTCGTGCACGGCTACTCCTCCAAGCTGCAGTAGATGGCAGGGAAGATCTGTTGCGACGCTACGAGGAGCGTGGCTGGGATCTTAACCTCTCGGATAGTAGCGGGCGTAATGCGCTTCACTTCGCCATCATTACGAACCGCTTGGAGATCCTGCTATTTCTGTTGAATTGCAAAGACATCAGAGTCGACGCAAAGGATGCTGCGGGTCAGACTGCGCTTCACTATGCAGTCAAGACCCTTTCAAGACCGCAAGGGGCCATTGCAATGCTGGTTGACAACGGTGCCGACGCCACCATAAAGGATAACAACGGGTCAACGGTTCTGGACATTGCGAGGGAGAAAAACATTCAGCAATCCCTCAAGACTTTCCGTGCGATCACAGGGCCCTCTAGTGATCCCGGGTTGATTCTCCGGCTGCCCGATCCGAACAGTCTTAATGAGTTGAAACAGCTCGCTGCCGAAGATTGCCTGATGGCCGTCGCTGAATTTTTCAAGGTCCAAGAAGCAGGCGTAGATGTCGAAAAATTCATCATACAGAGGCCGTCAGTCTTTCAGGCTCTTTACCGCATGTATCCTGATGAAATCTTGGATGTTGCTCGTCGTAAGACAGATATGAAGAGGGAGACTCGAGTGTGCAGATGGTTTCATATTCCCTCCAACCACACCGAGTGGGTTGACGACTTGTTTGCTAGACTGGGACTAGCAAAGGAGTCTGTCCAGGTCGACCAGCACTCTGGAAAGACGTACTGGAGCAATTATCTCCGGCCACATTGTCGTACGTTCCAAGCAGTCCATCATCCAATGCCAACCACACCCGATAATCCGCGACGAGGCGTGGACGTTGATAACCGGCGGGCCCCAAACGAGAGACAGGTGCAGGGAACTCTACTTTACATGCCTTTCTTGACGTTTGAAAGGCATTGTGACCAAAGAGTCATTTATAATACGATTGTCGGCGATAAGAGGTCCCTGGTCCAAGACTTCTACTTCGTAGCTGGTCGACAGCTTTTGCCTCCCGAACCTCCCGAAGCCTCTGATGAGAGCGACACCGAGGGGCACGTGCGGACTGAACCGACAAATTCTCACGGCCGCGGGGATGGCACCGACGACACAGGAAATGCTGATCAGCCAAGCAGACCTGCGTCGGAGAAAGCAGAAAGTTCCGATGCTGAGTCCTCAGCACATTCAACCGCCTCGACGAAAGACAATGGGAGGGATAATGCGCGGTTACGTTCTGAACGTGAATTGGTCTATGCGTTCAGGGACAGTATAACAAGCTTGGGGGCACCGCTGCACGTCCGAAGGACCCTAGACCAATCTCATTACCTGATGCTGGAGGACACAACCAAGCGTGACCGAGATCAGGTTGTGCTTCGGCGACAGCAGGGGAGAGATGGGTCAAAAAACAGTCCCGCCTCCACCTCCCACGATACCGACGCCGAGGCTGAGACCGAGGCCGACGATCTGAAAGACGAATGCCCCATGGTCATGGTGGATCAGATGTGGCTTTGGGTCACGGGCGACACTGTGATATCGAGTTTTCCGCGAAGCTGGCCACAGCCTGAGTGGGAGTGGGAGTGCGATGTGCTGGACCGCTTGATTGAATACATCAACGCAACTCAGAAACGAGGACCCATCCGCTCCAGCAATGACTTGGCCAAATTGATAGTCAAACACTGTGTCGAGGTGTTCAACCATCCACAACACGATGACCATTATCATCGGCTTTCATTACATGATGCGTTTGAGACGTCTGCTGGAATTGTTGGAGACGAAGAGATGAAGCTATTCCGCCAGTTCGAGCAGCAGGTTTTCCAGCTGAACGAATTCGAAGTGCCAGAAGAAGGGACGACGGCGTCAGACAGTGATTCTGAAACATTGTCAAGCTCTTACTATTACGAGTATGAGTTCACAGCCAACGATCGGAAAACGGTGTCGACAAAGCAGTCGACCAAGAAGAAGCAGAAGGAAGTCTCTCTACCCTCCGAGAACAAAATTCTGGATCAATTATTCGATATCAAACAGGAGATTGAACAGCTGGACGAAGCCAAGGATGTTCGCGACGAGCTTCGTATGATTTTGAGGATTCTGGGAGAACAAAAGCGAGTGCTGGGCGACTGGTTCGATATCCTAGCATCACCATCGAAGCCGGAGGTCAAGCCGACAATGGAAAGAATCCACGACAGACATGTATCGGCGGGTTCGGTTGGAGTCGGCGCGATGTTTGAGGAAGCCGCAGAGGAAGGCCACAATCAAGCGAGAAACGTCTTCCTCAAAGACGCTGCGGACGAAGCATATGTGACGATACAAAGCAACTTCAAGGACTTCTCACGGATGTTAGACCATGTCACTGCCACGGAGAAAGGGATCAATCAACTGCTCAATCTCAAGCAGAAGGAAGCCAATTCTCTCGAAGCACGCTTTGCGAGGAAAAGCGCCGAGGCCGCAACCAAGCAAGGGAACACGGTTCTTTTCTTCACCATAGTGACCATTATTTTCGGGTCCCTCTCGTTCATCACCACCTTCTTCGCGCTGAACGTGACAGCGTTCCCTCTCGACCCAGACAGCAACGAACCGGTATGGGGACTGAAGTCGGTGATAGGACTCATTATTGGACTCTCCCTTGGACTGTCAATCCCTTTCATTCTCATGGCGTTGACCATTAACTCAACAATGGCCTTTGGCGCGAAAGTGGTCCGGAAGGTGACAAAGGTTCTGTCATTCATCAGGTTCTTTCCATATTTGATCCTCGTGGCCCTGTTCCGGATTGGCCGACTCAAGAGACGGACAAAAACTTCTACGTTTTCCTCTTACTATGTTTCCGAAGCCGGTTACTACGGCAGTCGAAGCAGAAGCTCGAACGGGCATAGCAGCACTCGCTCCGGCAGTCTCCATGATGGGGATCGAGGTGAGGAGATGAAGATTGGATGGGCGGCCAAAGCCGGACAATCTCTGCGACAATTGAGGCCCCGATTCAAGTCAAAAGAGAAGCGACCGGGTGTTGCGCGCAGCAGTGGTGCAAACGGAAGCAGTGTAATCTCGGTGTAGCCTTGCACAGGCTGAACGGTCGCCTACCGGGGCAGAAGCAACATGACTTGGATCTACCTTCATGATCATTTGATAAGCGAACACTGCGGGAGATGCATGATGCTTGAGATGAGGATACGGGGCGGTCTTCACCTCCGATCTTCTAACAACGTCTTTCATTGAACACGGTCACATGTTTCTCACCGTTGCGAGCCGGTGCCGCCTGATGAACTGCGAGACCGTTACACGTCAAAACTTTCCAAGATCGTCGTGTCATTCTCTTCTCCACTCAGTGTCCATCAAATTGTGACGACCAACTTCTTTGCGCTGACGCCCTTGGCCAACAGATCCACGGCCTCCTGCACATGCTCCAACCCATGACCGACCACCTCCGCAGGCGGCATGCACTTGAACCCACCATCTTGCAGCGTCTCCTCCAACCATGTCCACAGAGCCCTCGCCAGGCCGCTGTCCACAAAAGTCGTGACGAAATTGGTGGTGATCCTGACCCCTTTGCTGGATTTGGCCTCACACCCAGGCATCACTGCGGCGACCAATTTCCTTGCTCCCGGCGCCCGATCCAGAATCTCACAGACCGGAGCGAGTGTGGCGTCTGTCGAAATGGCGTCGTAAACTCCCACCAGATGTTTTCCTTGCAAGCTGTTCACGACCTTGTCGACGAGAGCAGGATCGGATTGGTCAAAACATGCTGTCGCGCTGAGACGTTGTTTGACCATGTCATGGTTTCTTGCGCTGGCTGTGGCTATCACTTCGTAGCCTGCGAGCCTGGCCAGTTGGACTCCACAGGAGCCTACACTGCTGCTAGCGCCCCAGACCAACAATACCTCCTTTCCCCCTTGACCATGGGCGTCACGGGTCTCCTGGGCCGGGGTCGGTCTCTGTGTCGGTGGCGTCCGTAGACCCAGACACTCTGCCGCGAAGAGACAGCTTGCAGCAGTATTGAACCCCAACGGGAGGACCGTCGCGTCCTCAAATCTCTGACCGCCCGGAATCTTTGCGACAGAAGGCATCTTCAGGACCACATATTCCTGGAACGACGAGTAACAGTACACGCCGTCCTTGGTGGCCAAGGGTGTAGTCTGGCCGATGACTCTGTCGCCCTCGCGAAACAGGTCTGATAGAGACGGATGCACTTCTACGACTTCCCCTGCGACATCGCAGCCTAGAATGGCGGGATACTGCTCGTCAGTGGTGAGGAGAACGCCCTTGGCCTGAATACCCACGTCGGCTGGGTTCACGGCGACGGCGCGGGCGCGGATTACAAGCTCATTGGCGTCAGGCAAGGTGTATGGTGCTGACTCGATGACCATGGTCGGCGACTGGCGCGTCTTGACCCATGCAGCGCGGTTGGTGGGCATGATGCTTGTCTTTCTTGTTCTGGGATCTGGGTCTGTTTGAAAATGGGTTCGTGGCAGCCGAGGTGAGATCGGCTCGGACAGTAAGACAGCAGGGCTACAAGGCTTTGGGTGATGCTCAAGACGCTTAAGGAGCCGAGTGCATCATGCCATCTTAGATGCCATTTATATAATTTTCCAATACAGTTGTCTACTGTCGAATGATTCCTACTGGAAACGACCATCTCCATCTCTTCTTCTCTTAAATCCGATCCGATAGAGCCGATTCTGATCGAGTGCGGGCGTGATGACGGCCCTGGGAGATCTTTGACCGGTCATTTTAGTCGTCAGTGCAGAGTAAGGGGGAGCAGTATCGCGGTGAGACACGGCGTGGACGTTGTGAATATGTCCGTGGAAGGGGTAATGTATCAAATCGCGGAACCTTGTATACGACAGCGGGAATAGCTTCATATCTTGGCAGATAGGAGCGGGAACAGAAGCCTATAGCAAGCCGGGGAATACGAGACAAGGCTTAGCTTGCGACTTCTGTTCCTGTTCAAATACGAGGCAAGGTTAGTTCAAGGGAATTATCGCTGGGTTGTTGGAGGTCTGAGACTCCAATGCACGCTCTGGACGATTTTGACGATCGCATCCTGCATGCAGCGTTGCGTTGACGGATATAACGGTGTTAAGTTCAACCAAACGTCAACATCGACAACGACAACGACAATGACAGCAGCGGGAGGTGATGTCGGTGCCCAACCACACTCAAGGTACTGTATTACCCTGTACCCTGTCAGTACCCATTCATCAATTCCTAGCCAGCATTGTCGGGAGACGCCCCCAGCCTTTCAATTACGTTTGTTCGAGCTTCATGATTACTGGGTTCTCTCAAGAGGGGGTTCCTGAGTCCTGACCCAGGTGCTCAACATGAATTACATTGTGGTTCGGAAAGTAGTAGTCTGGTCAAGGACATTGCTGTCACGAATACACGCAAAACACATGATAGAGATACCGAACCAAATGCGAGACTGGAAGGAGGTCCACGACCAGTTCGCTCACCGCTCGCATTGACTCTCACGCAGAGAGCAAGCGCTGGACGCGCGACGCAACCTCCAACAACACGCCTTCTCTGAAGGCCGGCCCGACGAGCGAGATGCCAAAAGGGAGCCCTTCCACCATCCCCATCGGCACGGCAATCGCCGCCAGATCCAGAATGTTGACGGCACTGACAAAGGTGCCCAACTCGAGATTGGGGCCGAGCGGGTCTTCCTCGACCTCGCGAAGAGTGGGATGCCGTGGTGCGGTTGGCAGGACCAGGACGTCGCATCGGTCGAACTGACGCTCGATCAGCCGGGTCAGTCGCTGGGCTTGGTAGATGTCTTCAAAGGTTTTGCTGCCGGGGATCGACGCGGCCGCGTCGATGATGGCGGCCGTGACAGGGAGCATCGATGCCTTGTTGGCGGCCGAGCTGGTGAATGATGAGAGTGTGACCGCGCGCTCGACGACGAAGGAGCCCTTGTACACGAGATCCGACGCGGCCAGGTACGAGGCGAAGTCAAAGTCGACCTGTTCGGCGCCGACGAGTCGTGCGAGTAATGCTTCCGTCTTGGCAAACGCTCGACGGTACTCGGGGGACAGTAGGCTCTCGAGGATGTTGTCGGGCGGGACGGCGAAAGTATATGTGGCGTCCTCACAGAGGAGAGCACGATTGGTCAGTGCCGTCAGCGGGAGTGAACTGCGCGCGTACGGATCCTCGGCGTCGAAGGCTTTCGCCGCAAGCCAGGCCGTCCTAGCGTCCTCGAGACTCCTTGCGAAGAAGGAGACGCAATCCAGTGTCGCGCAGGCCGGAACCACGCCTCTGGTAGAAACGGTCCCTTTGGTGGGCTTGAGACCGACAATGCCGTTGAAGGCGGCTGGAATTCGACCCGAGCCCGCGGTGTCGGTCCCCAGCGAAAAAGACACTTGCCCGAGAGCCACTGCCACTGCAGAGCCGGAACTTGACCCGCCCGAGATTCGAGAGTCGTCGAAAACACAGTGGCAAGCTCCATAGGGCGACCTCGTGCCAACCAGGCCTGTTGCAAATTGATCCAGATTGGTTTTGCCGATGACGATCGCGCCCGCGGCTTCCAGTCTGGTGACCACGGTGGCGGACTCTGATGGCGTATAGGCGAAAGACCGACATGCCGCAGTGGTAGGCATACCGGCAACGTCAATGTTATCTTTGACGGCGAAGGGGACCCCATACAGAGGCAGACTGGTATCTCCACTCTCTTCCAGCATCTTCGCCCTGCGGAGAAGCTCATCGTGAGGTGTCAAGCTGATCCATGTCGAGGGCTGGCTCGCTTTCCCTGACTTGATGTTTTCCATCACCCTCTCCACAACGGCGACAGGCGAAAGGCCTGACGCGTAGGCCATCTTCAGGGCATCCATATCCGTGGATCCATCCCACGCTGCAGGTTGGTTTATCTGACGAGCCGAATATGCCGACAATGCTGCGAGCAATGGCGGCGAGGAGCTCACAAATCCAAAGAGCCCTTCGGAGAAATGAATCATGTCCAAAGAGGCTTTCTTGAACGTCGACACGAACCCGTCCGTGCAGTCACTCAAGATGCATGCGTCGAAACCGCGGTCGTTGGCCTCTCTCACCGTCGTGGTGACACAGCATTCCACCGTGACACCCGCCACGATAAGATAAGTGATGCCTCGGTCTACGAGATGCTGGTGCAGGCCTGTCGAGAAGAAGCTCCCTTTGCCCGGTTTATCGACGACATACTCTCCCGAGACAGGCTGCAGCTCGTCTATAATGTCATGCCCATACTCGCCCCTGGTGAGGAGTCTTCCCATTGGGCCCTTGTCTCCGATCACCATGGAATGTCGAGATTTCGGGGCGCGAGCCTGTCGCACGAGTTTCGTGGTGGGCAAGTCGCGCAGATCTGGACGATGCCCTTCTCGCGTGTGGATAACATGCAGTCCACTGTCGCGGAAGGCTCGAAGCACCGCACGTGTGGGTTGGATGGTCGCTTGGACGGTTGCCACGCCTGCCTCGCCTGCCTGAATGTATCCGAAGCCGGCTTCGAGGAGAAAGTCTCGCTGCATGTCAATAATGACGAGTGCAGTCTTTGTCGGGTCAAACGAGAATGCATATGGCTGGGCCTCGAACGAGATCTTGCCTTGGTCCGGCGTTGACGAGACCTCATTTGAGGAGGGACGTGTTGGCGAAGACATGTACGGCGCCATCTTGCTCGCTGGCAACAAATCTCTGCTGTCGCGACAGTAGAGATGAAGATGTCGACGTCCCAGAACATATGACGATCTCGAGAGATCAACATCCGCCGGAGAGGGCGTAGAAAGATAGTACCATGTTGAAGCATGTGGTCGGATTGTTGCTCGACCCTCTCCGGACAACCTCATTGGCGGGCCATGGGCAATGCTTGGAGAATCCCGTCGGGCTCGTCGGCGCCCGCCCAAGAGCAATTCGCCCTATCGCGGCCCACAGGGGGGGCCCGGCTCAGGTGTCCAGGGTAGGGATCTCCTTATCAGAGAGATAGCACTTGCCTTGGCAGTCATGCCGCTATTCAGTTATCACGACGTGGCTGAGACTGATAAAGCTCGTGGACCCTGGACGACAGGGACATACTTTGTCGTGTCGAGGCCAACGAATCAGAGATACAGAGATCCAAAGGCTGGCCATCCTACTCTGTATATCTGAATGACTGCATAGTACAGAGCAATAGAATACTACTCGATTAGTAGGTGCTCTGTACTGTAGGCAAGTATACTAATGGGTCAAGTCCCGGATTGGGACTAGGCCTGCCCCGTGATTGCATGGTGGACTTTATTCCCTTTTAAGGGTCCGAGGGGTCTGTTTTGACTATCTAGGTATGTGGGTAGGTACCTGCCTTATCAGGTAATCGAGAGCCTTTCGTACAGAATACATGGCTGTACGAAGGTCCTCAAGGGCTGTCGGCGATTGGCGCGGCCGAAGCCACGTGAGACATAGTCACGTGACACTGGATTAAAGTATATCACGTGATGGGCCGTTTTCTTGCCCTGGCATCGCTGCAACTATTGGTGCAACAAGACTTCAACCTCTCCTCCGAGTCAGACTTTGGTCCCCGATCGCGGCTCCGACATCAAACTCGTCTCGAGAGGTGCCTCTGGACCCGGTGCATAGAATGAGAGCATGCGATGTGTGCCGAAAGAGAAAGCAGAAATGCAGGACACAAGACGGGGCCTCGTCCTGTATGACTTGCCAGTCGCTCGGAATCTCCTCGTGCACTTTCCTCGAGCCCCCTCCACGCAAAAGGCGCGCCCTGGCCACTGATGTGCCTGGCCCAGTCAGCCCCGTACAGCAACAAGCTACGGTGTTCCGGGGTCACAGACCGGTCGGGTCGCAAGGGGCCGCATCTACATCGCCATCTCAGTCTGTGCCCATCGAGGCCGATGACCAGCCCTTTGACTACCCTCAACAGTCCCTTCTGACCAAGACCTTGGGCCTGGAGAAGGGCAGGTTCTCCGAGCTCATAGGACCGGGTGGAGAACATGACTGGCAATTGCTTCAGAAGTATCGCGTTGGGGACTCCGAACCCATAGCTGCGGCTGGCCCTGGTCAGAATGCCCCCGAAGCCGCTGCGCTCCATGCTGCAGGCGTCAAGAGGACGATGCGCAAAGTCAACGAAGGTGTCTTGTTCTCAATGGCTCCGGATGCCGCCATTCCTCAGTACCTGGCCAAGAACCAGTTGCGAGCTGAAGTCGACATTGACGACATAGAGATGCTCGCTCGTCCCCATGGGCCGGCGCTGATCAAGCTCTACTTTCGCATAGTTCACCCATCATTCCCAATCCTGCACAAGGAAGTCTTCATTGAGAAGTACAACCGCACCTATCGCGAAATCAACCCGCATCTACTCGCCGCTGTCTACGCCCTGGCTGTTCGTTGGTGGTCATACGACGCCGGCCTCCTGCTTGAAAAGAAGGTCGATGAGGCCGCTCTGGTCAAGATCGCTCTTCAATCGGTGCAAGATGCAGTGCACCGCCCTCGGCTGAACACCATCCAGGCTGGGCTGCTGCTCTTGCAACGCCACCGAGACCCCTTTTTCGCCGACAACTCCTGGATGTGGTCGTTCACGTCGTCTCTGATCGGCTTGGGTCAACATCTCGGTCTTCATCTAGACTGTAGTGACTGGGCCATACCTGAATGGGAGAAGGGGCTCCGAAGGAGGCTGGCCTGGGCATTGTTTACTCAGGATGCCTTCGCGGCCATGATCCTGGGCCGGCCCTGTCTCATCTCGCCGACGGACTGGGCGGTGGCACCTTTACAGAGTGGCGATTTCTCGGAAAGCTCCAAGGACGAGGAAGCCAACAGCTACGGTGGTAGCGTAAGCATCGAAGATGGAAAGCTGTTGTTCATCGAATTGGCCAAACTGAGTGACATCACCGCACGCGTGTTGCGTGAGTTGTACTCCGTCGACTCCCTGGCCACCGTGACCGAGTGCCAGCAAGTCCTCGCCGTGGCAAAACCCTTGGGAAATGAATTGGCCGACTTGCTCCAAAGGTTGCCTGCCAACCTGAAGATGGACAATCTGCAGCAAGTCAGGCTCTGCGCGAATGGTTTCTTTCATCTTGCGCTTCAAGCCACCGCAGTGGTGCTGCACCGGCGCCTCCTGTGGTCAATGCACGCGTCCGCGGCTGGAGTTGATGCCCAGTTCGTTCATTTCTTCCGCGCCGCCCAAAGACAGCGTGCGAAGAACCTGGTCCAGTTCGTCTCCCGGCTGCGCCCGGAGCATATGGAAGCATTCTGGTTCTTCGCCGCCGGTGGTTGTGGCGTCATCATCGGTAGTTTCCTGGGCCTGGTTCGGGTCACGAGCACGACCGTCGACGAGTCGGAGGAACTCAAAGCTCTGATGGATGAGTTCGAGTGGCAGCTTCGAATCAAGGCCAAAATGGGCGAATGGGTGTCGTATACGCTCACACGACTCAGAATGCTGGGCTGGGATGACTGGAAGAATACAGAACCCGACTTTGCTGCCAATGCAGCGGACATAGGTGCGCATTCCAAGGGTCTACCGAATGTGTTGGAGACGGACCGCGCTGCTCTCTCCTCGCACTCGACCATCAATGGACTACAGCACGGGACGCCCGAGTTGTACAATTCTACCACGTGGCTGACCGAGGATCTCGATGGCCTGTCGTCCAACTTCTTATCGCTCGAGGACGGGTTCGAATTTCCCTTTTCACTAATGACTCCGATGCTCGAGACATAAGAAGTGGCCAAGGTCCGCATTACAGGATAATGAACTTCATTACAGGCTGGATTACAGGCAGCACGGTGGATCTAGTAGCTTGACAGGGGGGAATAATGGATGATTACAGGGTCGACCTTGAGTACTCGACGCTCAAGCCACCACTCCCGTGTACCGACTTTCCATCTCCAACAACTGCCTTTCGTATTCGGCCTTGTCGAGCCTGCTGATGGCTAGTCGCTTCCAAACGTACAGCCCAGCGGGGATCGCGTCGTACTTGGCGCCTTGGGCGAGACAGGTGGCAAGCGGCTTGATAATCGTGTCGTAACTTGGGCCGATGAAGACAGGCAGAGAATACCGCTCTTGACCTGTGATGTTGAGGACGCGGTGGATGGTGCTGCGGAATGTATCATTGGACCATCTTGCCAACATATCGCCGATGTTGACGACAAACGTCCCCGGGATTGGCGGTGCCAACACCCATTCGCCATTGGGATTCAGGACTTGTAAGGCGGGAATATTGCCTCCCTGACACAAGATGGTGCAGCATTCAATGTCGGTGTGCGCTCCGATGCCGAGTGGCACATCCTCGGGAGCCCGCTTCGGCTGAGGCGGATAATGCAGGACCTTGCCCATGGAACCCGGGCTTCGCATCATGTCGTCGAAGTAGCCTTCCGGCAGGCCCAGAGCCAGGGCAAAATAGCGGATCAAGCGCCGTGCCAGTGTGAGCACGTGGCCATAGTATTCCGTCACATCTCTCCTCAATTCTGGCTTGGCCTCGGGCCATTGATTCTGGCCGGTCAGAAAGAGCGCCTGCTCATCGTCATTGCCCGGGCCAGCCAAGCCGCGGCCGCTGCTCGAGGTGTCGTCGACCGGGGTTGATGACGACGAGTCCTTGTTGCAGGTGGGATCAAGGTCGGGCGAGTACCGCCAGCTGAAGGCTTCGTTGAGGTCGGGCTTCCTCGTCTCGTCGGTGTAGACGCTCTGAATGCCCTCGTAGCCGCACAGGGCCTTGGAGTTCTTGAAGTGGCACTGTTGTTTGGCCTGTTCGTCGAGGTTGAAGAAGCCTTGGGCCGATGCAAACACGCGGTCAATGGTGTCTTGCGGCACGCCGTGGTTCTTGATGTAGAAGAAGCCGACGCGGGTGCAGGCGTCTCGGAGCCGCGCGACCAGTTCATCCCGGGGCAGGCCCAGATCGATCAGGGGGATCTCATCGAACCCGCTAATCTCTCGCGCCTCGTCCGACACGATCGCGTAGCTGTTGCCCGCGAAACTGGTGAAAGCCATGAGGTGTTGACTCTCACAGTGGCGCACAGCAGAGCGCTGCTGGTTGGGATCTGGATCTGTGAAGCGTCACGAAAAGTAGGCGGTTGATGGGCCCAAGAACGATAAATGGTCTTCAAGGCTGGAAAGGCGAACCGATTCAGGACCGAACAGGCGCAGAGAATGGTTATGGACGTTAGATTGAGAGACTGAACCAGAGCATTTCCCGTTCCTTGACAGCCAGAAACATACCTAGCTACCGAGTACGACAGCAGGTATCCGTACTCTGCAGATAGGAGCTTGTCTTTATCTTGTCGCTATGGCCGGGACGGGGCCGCGGGGTCTCATCGGCCGTGCAGGGGGATCGCGTTGGCGCAGAAGCCCGCCGAGTTCTCCTCTCTCCCACTATTCTCTATGGTCGCACCAATTGGGCTGATCCTACTATGAGATGGCCTATACATCTACAGCATATGGGGCTCACGGGGCGCACTAAGCTGAGAATAGTTACCGAGCTTCTTATTGCGGCTTCTGACTGGCTGCGATGTGAGCAACATATGCCCAAAGTGGCAAAGCGTATTCCGGTGGAGCGGATTCCGCCGCCGATAAGGCCAAGAGGAGACCTTTCACCTTTTCGGCACCTCACAGATTTGGATATCCAGCTTCCAGACCCGCTGGCGGAGAGGGAAGCCTTGTCTGCTTGCTGGACCCTACCCGCGACGCTGGGCCCCGTCACAGTGTGACTTGTTCTTGGAATTCCTTGCGGGAAGATTCTTCTCCACTCAACTATTGCGAACAAGAGTCGAATCCCGCCGGCGCCCCGATGAATGAGCCCGATCAGCCCTCGGGCTGCTGGGTCCGGCGTCCATCTTATCAACGACTTTGGTATGAGTGTGTGTGTTCAACGTCGCCTTCGAAGCCTTCAGGCGTCATATGCAAGCGGCGGTCGACCATCTATAAACCATCTCCCATAAAACGCATCTGTTGCCTTGCGATGAGGTTGCACTACAACCCGCCTCTCATCACCACCCGCCTTCTCGATTCCGAGGCTCCTTGAGGGCATCCTTCTCCTTCGTCCCACCAGCACCACCACCATGGCGAACCGAAAAGTATCTAGGGCGTTGCACGACTTCAAGACCGACGTGCGCGCCAAAGCCACGTCCCGAAAAGCGTGGGAGCTTCCTCGGGAATCGACGAGCTTTGCGCCGCCGGGGACGTGGACGAACATCGACTACGACGTCACGCCCCTGGAGCGTCGAACCTGGGGACACTGGAGCTTGATCGGGTACTGGATGAGTGACATCCTGTCGGCACAGTCGTGGGAAGGGGCGTCGACCGTCATCGCCGGCGGCTTGACGTACCGGGAAGCGTTGCTCTGTCTGATCATGGGCACCTTCATCGTCTCCCTGCCCATGTGCCTGAACGGTTCGATCGGGGCCAAACTGCACGTGCCGTTCCCGGTTGCGGCGCGATCGAGCTTTGGCTATCTCTTCTCCAAGGCGCCGGTGGTGATTCGCATGATCACGGCGCTGTTCTGGCACGCCATCCAGACGTACGCGGGCTCCACGGCCATGACCCAGGTGATCCGGTCCATCTGGCCCTCGTACCTCCACATGGCCAACCACCTGCCGGCGAGCGCAGGCATCACCAGCCAACAGCTCCTCTCGCACTTCATCTTCTGGACCGTGCAGTTCCCCTTCCTGCTCACGCCGCCGCACAAGCTGCGCTGGTTCTTCGTCTTCAAGGCCGTCTTCGTCATCGCCGCGGCCGTCGGCACCGTCATCGGCGTGTGCACGCGGGCCGGCGGCAGCGGCGACATCTGGGACCAGAAGCCGCTCTACCACGGCAGCGAGCGGTCGTGGCTGATCCTGTCCTACATGACCTCGCTGACGGGAGGGTGGGCCACGATGGCCACCAACATCCCGGACCTTACGCGGTACCTGAAGAAGCCGCGGGGCATCTGGCTCCAGGCCGTGCTCGTGCCCGGGATCTGCACCTTCATCGGTGTGCTCGGCATCCTGGCCACGAGCGCGAGCAAGGTCCTCTACGGAAGCTACCTCTGGGACCCGTTGGAGCTGATCAGCCACTGGCACGGGGCGGGCGGCAGGGCGGCGGCGTTCTTCGTCGGGCTCGCGTGGGTGGTGGCCCAGATCGGCGTCAACGTCAGTGCCAACGTGGTCTCGTGCTCCAACGACCTGACGTCGCTGTGCCCGCGCTACATCAACCTCCGCCGGGCCGCCGTCATCGTCACCATCGTGGGCGGCTGGGTCATGGTCCCCTGGAAGATCGTGACCTCGGCCAACAGTCTGGTCAACTTTATGGGCGCGCTGTCCATCTTCCTGGCCCCGATCGCCGCCATCCTCGTCGCCGACTTTTGGATCGTCAAGCGCCAACACGTCGACGTGCCCGCCTTGTACCGGCCGCACGCCCGCTACCGCTACGTCAAGGGCTGCAACTGGCGCGCCGCCGTCGCGCTGATCATCTCGCTGGGGCCGAACATGCCGGGCCTGGTCAACGCCGTCAACCCGCACATCAACATCGGCGGCGCCGCCAAGATCTACGACTTCAACTACCTGTGGGGCTTCTTCAGCGCCTTCGCCATCTACACCCTCTCCAGCCTGGTCTTCCCGGCCATGGAGACCCTCATCCCCGAGACCATCCACGACGACGCCGTCGTTTTCGAGGGCAAGGACGACGGGGACTCCGCAACCCGTGGGGACGATGGGATTGGTCGAGAAACCGTGGGCGCCGACAAGCAGGAAGTCGTCTAGACTCTAATGTGGGACTTGCAACTGGGAACCGTCGTTCGCATACAGCTCTCCTCTCATCCCCAACGTCGCTCCGATGGAATGGGGTCGAATATGCGAAGGCTTCATCGTTTTGGACCCACACGATATTCATACATACTTTCCTGGGTGGTGATCTTCTTGCGCTGTGATAGACTATTGACAAAGATATACGTTGCTATTGAAGTCGTCTAAAGAGACGAATCAAGAGCTGGTAGAAATGACAATGGTGTTGTGTCGGTTCGAGATATCTGTACAAGAGGAGATTTGCATCGACGAAATCCTACAATAATGGCTCTTCGCCCGATGTATACTAGTATAGAGTGGCCCCGTATTTACGCATTCTTATAGTAAAGATACTTATAGGTAGTAGGTAGGTAGGTAGTTCAAAAAGTATTAGCTTGACTACAGTATCCTATAAGTATGGGGGAGAAATAAAACTAATTGGGAAGTCGTGTCCGATTAGGGAGTCAATATGCGAGGCGATAAAGGAGTCAGAGCAGTGAAGGTGAGGCAGGCTCCATAGACCCTCCAGTGTGTCATTATAGTAGAGTATCTAGTGGTGGTTATTGGTAAGGAAGCTACTACCGGCCAGGTGTTGCGTGTGAGATGGTGGATGGCGGACGAGGGATGAGGGGTGATGGGGAGGGAGGAGCTTAGGATCCTATCTAGATCCTATCTACCACTTTGGTACCTTAGGTGACGATCCCGCCAGCTACTTCTGCGGAGTGGTTTCTATAGGATCACAATGGCTTGGGGGTGGGCTCCCAAGCCTCCCAAGGCTCCCTAGGCTCCATAGGCACCCACTATGGGTGATAAGTAGTACGTGTACGTACTCTTGTAGGCATCAAAAGGCGAAGGGGCGGCGTACTCCTTACCTGATGAACTCTAGCTAGATGCCTAAAGATAGTACCTAGTAGGCAGACACCTTCCCTGTAGGGTTCTGTGGGTTGAGAATACTCCGTACCTACTCCGCAGGCACTGCCACTATCCCACCACCGCTGCGTCACCACAGTGTTACACTGCACCATACAGCCACTGGCGTTCCAAGTTGCATGTTGGATTTTGTTCGATCTGTATCTATTGTATCTCACTCGTTTCAGTCGTCTCTACCGTGTTATTACAGTGTCCTCTGTAGCAGAGCGCTCAATGCCCTTTGCGCCCGTTCTTTCCTCCCCGCGATGAACCCGATGAATACTACCACTCTCCTTCGGTAGACATTGCCCCGATGATTCGATTGCCGCTGCCTCTCAGCCCACGTCGCCCAACTTCTCCCAACCGTCGCGATGCCACCAAGCGCGCCGCAAGACAGAAGTCAGCACAATGACAAGAACAAACAAGAGCTGGACTGCGATGCCGCACACCAGTCGGCAGATCAAGGCACCCAGAGTTCAACGACGCCTGCAGCCCCCTCCAGTGCCATGTCTAGTGTGCGATTCTCCGTGGAGATTCCAACCGCAGACGAGGCCGCCGTAGAACCAAGAGACCCGCGTCCTTCTTCTGAGTGGAAGCCTCATGGCATACTCAAGTCTCCCTCCAAGGGTCGAAATCGAGGTTATTCTTTGAGGCGGGCCCTCTTTGCTCAAAACATCCAGACGCAGAGTTCGAATGACAACGGCGCATTCGAGCTGGACTCGGCGAAACGCTCAACAGGCGACAGCCAATGGGATACTTCTGACAAGACTCGAAATTTATTGCCCTCCACCACCGTCACTGTTCAAGAGACTGGAGAAACAGAGGGGTTGGCCGCTGATGGAAGACGACTCTCGGAATGTGCCCTGGAATTGCCCTTGTACCAACGGTGGCTGTCCAAACAACATTCACGACCAACCCCATTTCAGCGCCTGAGGCAGAGCTACGTGCAGTTGCGTGAAAGGTTTGTCCGTGCAAACGATGTTCCACCCAGCTTGGATGGAAGACATGTCAAAGTGAATGTGCTAAGTACCGCTGGCCCTGTTGACGAAAGAACTGGCAAGCTATATATCAACAACAACATCCGTTCATGTCGCTATACGCCATGGAATTTCGTCCCCCGTCAACTCGTTGCCCAATTTGGCAAGCTGGCCAACTTCTATTTCCTCTGCGTCTCAATCCTTCAGATGATCCCGGGTCTCAGCACAACCGGCACCTACACCACCATCATACCCCTCCTCATTTTCGTGGCGATCTCAATGGCCAAGGAAGGCTACGATGATTTCAGGAGGCACCGGTTGGACAAAGAAGAGAACGGACGACTTGCCACAGTTCTCACATTCAAGTCGTCTCCAGGCGGTCCTGGTGGCCTTGAGTGGCAAGAGAAGAAATGGGCAGACCTTCGAGTAGGTGATGCTGTATTGCTGAAACGTGATGCTGGGGTCCCAGCCGATCTCGTGCTCCTGCGCGCCGATGACCCTACGGGGACAGCATACGCAGAGACGAAGAGTCTGGACGGAGAGACTAACCTCAAGCCAAAGAAGCCGGTGCCAGAAGTGAGTGGTGCCTGTCAGTCCCTGGAGTCTATAGCAGATCTGGCCGCCGACTTCGTCGTCGAGGACCCCAACCTGGACCTCTACAAGTTCGATGGCAGGGTCACAATCAATGGCAAAACACTGCCACTGACCAACACCGAGATTCTCTACCGTGGGAGTGTGCTGCGAAACACAATTTCTGCAGTCGGCCTGGTCATATACTCTGGCGAGGAATGCAAGATCCGCATGAATGCCAACAAGACTCCACGGGTAAAGGCTCCAGCTCTACAGGCCAAGGTCAATCGGATTGTCGTGCTGGTTGCCTCTCTGGTCTTCTTCATGGCCATTATCCTCACCATCGCTTATGAAATATGGCGCCGGACCACAGAGAACAAGTCCTGGTATCTACAGTCTGCAAGAGTCCCATTTGGTCACATCCTAACATCCTTCATCATCATGCTGAATACTATGCTGCCGCTTAGCTTGTATGTTTCGCTTGAAATCATCAAGCTGGCGCAGATGTTCCTGCTGAATGACATCGACATGTATGATCCTGAGTCGGACACGCCCATGGAAGCGCATACCTCCACCATCAATGAGGAGCTCGGCCAGGTCAACTACATTTTCTCCGATAAAACTGGCACACTCACCAACAATTCAATGAAGTTTCGCAGAATGAGTGTGGCAGGAACAGCTTGGCTTCACGATCTTGATCTGCAAGAAGAGGCCGCAAATGAGGCCGGCTGGAACAAACTGAAGCACAAGAAAAGAGGTGGCAAACGAAGGGATGCCCGTCTCAGTAAGGAGCAAAGGCAATCTACCTCAAGACTGGCACGGAAGTCTGCTGCATCTACCGGCGTCGTTCCGGGACATTCGTCTGATCCTGGTGAGGTTGATGACAAACCGCAGTGGCAAGCTTCTGAAGGGCCGGGCTTGACCTTGGAGACAGGCAGGACACAAGAACTCCTCGACTATATCCATCGTCGTCCCCAGACCATCTTCGCGCGCAGAGTTCGATTTTTCCTCCTTTCACTCGCTCTGTGCCACACTTGCATCCCAGAGAAGGATGAGGATGACAACATCAGATACCAGGCTGCATCTCCCGATGAGATGGCTTTGGTGACGGGGGCGCAGGAGCTCGGGTACATTGTAACTGATCGACAGTCCACTACGGTGACCGTCAAGACGTTTGAAGACGGAGATGAAGAGAATCCAAGCTATGAGACGTATGAAGTCTTAGACGTGATCGAATTCTCTAGCGCTAGGAAGCGGATGTCTATCATCGTCCGTTTTCCCGATCAAAGAATATGTCTCATCAGCAAAGGCGCTGATAGCACAATTCGAGGTTTGCTCCGGCTCTCAGATCTAGCGGCCTCAAAGGTGCAAGCGGCTGAGAGGCGGGCGAGCCAGAGGAAGAGCGTCGAGGCGCAACAGGTCCTCAGCAGAAGAAGCCTGCAGCTGAGCCGGATGTCGAATTCGATACATGCCATTGACCCGGTCTCGCCGCGACCGAGCAATGTGTCAGTTGATAGATCTCTCACAACCCGAGAGAGTGTTGATATCTGGCTGAGAGATAGGGAGCAGGACGCCGGGGCGTCGAGACAACGCATCGGCTTTCATTTCTACTCTCGTCCATCGGCTCAGTTCGGTCCATCCAGATCGGAGAAACATGCAGCCAATTCCCAGCGGTCGCCTCAATCAACGCCACGTGCCTCCATGCAGGTTGATGAAAAGGAGGAACTCGTCGAAGAAAGCCTTGTGGTGGATGAGAATGCGGTCTTCGAACGCTGCTTTCAACACATTGACGACTTTGCGACCGAAGGTTTGCGGACGTTGCTTTACGGATACCGATTTATCAGCGATGAAGAGTACAAGACCTGGAAACAAGTCTATGCGTCGGCAGCAACAAGCCTCGTGGAGCGGCAGGAGAAGATCGAACGCGCTGCCGAAATGCTAGAAAATAAGCTGGAACTTCTGGGTGCGACCGCCATTGAGGACAAGCTTCAGAAAGGCGTCCCTGACGCCATTGACCGATTGCGCCGGGCTGGGATTAGGATGTGGATGCTCACTGGCGACAAACGCGAGACTGCCATCAACATTGGACACTCTTGTCGGCTGATCAAGGACTACTCAACAGTCATTGTGCTCGACCACGAGCTTGGAGACTTACCTGCCCGCATGACTTCAGCCTTTGCGCAGATCAACAGTGACAAGACGGCCCACTCCGTCCTGGTTGTCGACGGCCAAACGTTGATCGTCATTGACGCGGATCCGGCCGCGAAGGCACTGTTCACGGATGTGGCAATCCGAGCTGACTCTGTCATCTGTTGTCGAGCATCTCCCAGTCAGAAAGCATCTCTCGTGAAGACAATCCGAACCAAGGTCAAGGGATCTGTCACACTGGCAGTGGGAGACGGCGCAAACGACATCGCCATGATCCAGGAAGCGCACGTGGGCATTGGCATTGCTGGGAAGGAGGGGCTCCAAGCCGCCAGAACATCCGACTATTCGGTGGCTCAGTTCCGGTTCTTGTTGAAGTTGCTTCTGGTACACGGCAGGTGGAATTATGTTCGGATCTGCAAATATATCTTGGGCACCTTTTGGAAGGAGATGCTCTTCTATCTGGTACAGGCCATCTACCAACGATGGAACGGCTATACCGGGACCAGTTTGTATGAATCTTGGAGCTTGTCCATGTTCAACACGCTGTTTACCAGTCTGCCCGTGATCTTCATGGGTGTGTTTGAGAAGGACCTCGCGGCCTCGACGCTTTTGGCCGTCCCTGAACTCTACAGTTTCGGGCAGCGCAATCGCGGCTTCAACTTTAAGCTGTATTTCTCCTGGGCGATACTTGGGGCGTGCGAAGCCGTGATTGTCTATTTCATCATGTACGAGATCTACGGGCGGGCCCTGTTCACGCGTGATCAAGAACTTTACGCGATGGGGTCATTGGCGTTCAGCGGGTGCATCATCATTATTTCCCTCAAGCTTCAATTCATCGAACTGCACAACAAGACGGTGACCGCCGCGGTTGCTATTTTCCTGTCGGTGGGCGGATGGTGGCTGTGGAATATTTTCCTGTCTTGCGTATACCCTGATGATGTGGTATACAGCGTCAAGCATGGGCTCCTGGATGGATTTGGGCGCAATCTGATGTGGTGGATCACGTTACTCCTGATCGTTTCCACGGTGTATCTGCTGGAAGTGACGATCAAGGCCCACGGGACGGCCCTGTGGCCAAGTGACGTCGATATTTTCCAAGGATTCGAGCAGGACCTTGAGGTCCGAAAGCGATTCGAGGAGGCCGCAGCCGATCTTCTACAACAAGGGTGGGATCCAGGCATGAAGAAGTCGAGCCTGGAGCTGGCCAGAGAGGCAGCGGAACAGGCCGAGCGAGAAGCCCATGTACAAGAGTTGTTGGAGAAACCGCGTAACATGGGGGAGCGGAGGCCGTGGGCCAGAAGGACACCGTCCGGTCTAAGCATTCACAATGCCGGTAAAGGAGTCGCTGTGCAGAAGAAAGAAGACGGTCGAGACATGGAAGAGGGGATCCAGAGGAAGTCGACCGACATTGGCGAGCTCTTCAGCAAAGGCTTTGGAGCGGTTCGCAAAGGACCAGAGTTACGATGATAATGACAGATACCCTGGGGCAGGCTACCTACCAACGAGGAAACGCGAAGACGTTGGAGGCAGAGAGAATAAGTTTGGGGGCGCATTTACGTACATACATAGGTACATAGGTACATACTACTACTATAGCTCTATGTATCGGACAACGGAAAAGTCCTGTTGGGTTCGAGTCTACTAGTATTTGTAATCTGTTCTGCATCGTGTACGTATTCGAAGGTCAGGGACACAGTGTGAAGGACAGAGAATTCAGAGTGGTGATGAAAGAGTCGGCATGCGCTGGGGATGAGTGCAGTACCTATAACCATAACTTCAGTGCGTGGATACGGAGCGTGGTTGGCAATGGACCTCGAGGTGAGACAAGCGGGAGAACTCAGGAGAGGGAGAAGGATAAAGGGGGTGGTGCAACAAACGTGACCTGCACTCCATCTTTGAGCCTCATCTCAAGCGACATCTGCGTCAGGCGGATATACCTGTCATATTGGATGAGACAGTTGCTGTTTGGTCAGCGGAGATATCACTTTTGTTTCGAGTTTCCATCACGATCGAAGCCTGAAGACAAGAGCTGGACCTAGATTCATATGGCTGCAAATCGACACAGGGGTTACTGTGAGCTGAGGCCCCCAGCGAAGAGACGGCGGTGAGCGAAACTGTGATACATCCAAGGCCCCGTTTGCAGCAGGTAAGTGGCACAATCATAGTTTGGAGTTTCACCTCATTCCTGGTGTGGTGTGTTGGCTTTCTCTTCAACAGCTGGAAGTTCTTGTCCTTTATTCCCATAGGTCTGGCTGTCCTCTGGTCGTCTCGTATCGCTCGACGTTTGCCAGATCCAGAATCTTCGGCCTTCAGACTTTCACAGGTAACCCCTGGTCGGGTGGAGCAGCCGATGGAAATTCGATGAGGTCAGAGGAGAAAACGGTCAACAGGGAAGCTCGGGTTCGTCGCGTTCAGTTGTATGTGTACCTAGATGTTAGTGGTTCGCTTTATGTGACAGCTGCCGTCAAACTGGCATGTGGCTGTCGGGGGAGAACACGAAGAAACAAGACGCTCGGATGCAATGTCGATGACAGCTAAGATGACATCTGTACGCCGTGTCTGCGAGATGAACATACGCAAAACAAACCCGAGCCTCGTTGAAGATGCTTCCGGGCTTGTGTGGGAGCCGAATGAAGTTGCCAGCCATGCCTCTGGTCTAACAACCGTGTCGAGAGCGATATTGTGCGGGCCCATGGAGAGAGAGTGCATTGGCAAGAATTGTTGGCTCTGCACGTTGCAAGATTTCTCTGCGACGTGTTCAGCCCCTGATCAGTGGTAAAATAAGTCAGATTTTGCAGGGACGTTCGACTGCGGTGACTCGCAACACAGACTCGCGCGTGTTTTCCGAGGTTCCACTGCTGCCAAGAAGCGTGAGTCTCGATCAAGTTTGGCGTGTACACAACAAGGTTCAAGTTGACTGCGGGGGATTTAAGCCAATAAGCAGCCTCTGGGTCCTGGCGTTCCTGGCACCATCCTTCATCGGATCTAGTGTCTGTGTCAGGGGAAATCAAGCCACATCAAATTGGGATTGCACCGCAAATACTCTGTACACAGAACTTGAACGCTGTAATCGATGCCACTGCCATGCTACACGAGTCCTTTTCGTCCAGTGCTTCGAACTTCCATCGTCGTTGACCCAGGATCCGACAGACTGCCACTGGCACCAGGATGCTACGACCCTCATCGGGAGCATCTACCGCTCCGTTTCAGACCACAGAAGACAGTGCACTTTTCCCAAGGTAGTAATACAACTACCTAGGTACTGACGACCAGCCGCTGACACGCAGAACTGGCACTGGGCGGTCGATGGCACCACAGGCGTGACCGTTCAACACCCATATCCGGGTCCACCATGTACCTGTCTCAATGCCGTCCGTCGCGGAGATGCCCCAACTTACCCACGCAAAAGGCCCGTGGTACGGAACGTCGCTTCTCCTATCTGTCCCTATCGATGGCACCCTCTCCCGCTCCAAGGCCCGGGCTGTGGGTTGTCTTGTGCTCAATGCCATCCAGACTGTCGTCTTAATGCCATCATTATGTCAAGAGATACAGCTTCGTGCTTCGAAGAGCATTGACTACAGATCGTAGGATTAGGTAACGGGACAGCTGGTGACGGCAGTCGAGCATCGACCAAACGAACACCAGTCTGACCGGCGGGCAAGCCAGTGTCCGTCTTCTTCAGCCAAGTGGCGAGCTCCGTCTTGGAGCACACGTTCTTGTAGCGCGTTATCATGCACGACATGCAATGCCGGCCCAGACCCCGGCCATGTTGGATTTTCAGGGGGAGAGCTCGTTATTGCCCGACGAGATCCTAGCACGTACGACACCTGAGGGCTTTCTCTCCGAGCAAGATCGGTCGCACGTAGGACCGAGTAGGAACAGGAAACACTACTGTGTACGTATGGTGAGACAATTATAGGCCACAGCATACAGGCATTCCCAGCATTTCACTGGCTGTATGGGAACGGTGAGGCTTCCCGAAGCTTTGTGTGCGAAACACCAGGGATATCGCATTCTGGACGTGAACCGTCTATCCTGCGTTTGAGTCGACACGAGTTGTTATGCTCGTCCATTTGCTTGATCATGGCGCCTAGAGTCGTTTGACGCCTCCAGAGAGGGCCAATCATAACTTCCGTCACACTGTCCTTGGCTGGTAATTGTTTTCCCCAGACGATCCAATCGCGCTGGTCCGACCATCAACGATATCGACGCGATAAGGTGGGAAGCTCTTGCTGTCGACCATCATTGGCCCTATCGTAGCAGCGCACTGACTTGGTAACAACCGAAACCATGAAAGTTGGGGGAAAGACTAGACGAGGCCTTCAGACTCGAGTCGAGTCGAGGACCATCTTATGAAGGGGTCGAAAGACTCCTTGGGAGCATCCTCACATCGGTGTGGCCAGCGCTCAGGAATTTGGTTTAGAACAGCCGCCAGCGTACGGGCGAGTATCATTTGCAGAGCTTCATAACCTCAAGTGGTGGCTTCTTAGCTGCAGCTAAGCGTGGCTCTATGTCTCGGACGCGTGCCAACAGGGTTACAGAGTACAGCTTGGTAGCTTTCTCTGGCTGGTAGGGTGCGCGAAAGACAAATCGCAGGGCGCTTGTGCAAACGCCTAGGGAAGACCATCCAAGGGTCTGTCAGAATTCGACTAGGTATATCCGCGTTGTCAACCACAGGCCTGTTCTTTGATGCTACCGGCATTTATATGCTAAATGCTGCCATCCCTTTTGTGTAATGCGTGTGGCCCTATGTCCCCAGAACCGGAGCGTTCTCCACAGCGCTCTTTCGACCCATCCATCCTCTTCAGGGTTGTTTTCCTTTTGGGATACGCGCGGTGGGCTAGACGGCGAGACGGGCAGCATCAGTCCATGTTGTGACATGCGGTGTTTTGACTTGCTACTCCTGGAAGGCGTTCGGCGCGTCAGACAAGGACCCCAGGGGACGGGACCTGAATGGCCAGGTCCCAGGCCGGCCGGGAGGTTGGTGGTCGGTGCGAACAAGGTTCATCGTGTTGTTTGTCGCCCGACAGCTAGACTGCGCGAAGCCTAGCTGGGTGACAGGGTGGACGGCTTCGAAGGTCGCCCGCGACGACAATTGGATAGGAAGCGAGGTGGGAGTCGGGCCAAATGACGCTGCTGGACCTCCCTCAGCCAGGGTTAAAGCACCTAAACTATCCCTGGAACGGCCTCCACCAGAGCTTGGGCCTTGGGGCTCTTCAGGCTCCGGGCTTAGGAGGCCTCCCTAGTCCCATGAGGTTGCTCCTGCTGGTACCTGCATCAGCGCGCCCATTGCCCAGTCTTCGGGCGCCCTCCACCTCCCTGAGTCTCCAGAAGCCTCCAACCTTCCCAGGGCAGACGGCAGACGTCCGCCAGTCAGCACAGGCGCTTTCGCCCACTCCACTCCACACGCTGTCGGTTAGTTGGCTGCCGCTCACCTCCTGCTTGCCGGCCTCCCTTATTGTCTCGCAGCTTTCCACCCTATTCCTCTTTTCTTCCCTATCCTCACTGTCGCCTACCTTCTGGTATCTCTGTTCACGTCTCGACTACGTTCTTTCTTTCCCTCGTCTTGTTTATCATTGTCTCGCCTCGAGCGTGCCTTTCACTCATTCAAGGCCCTCGACCACATTCATTAAGCTTTGTGTTTTCAGTTCAACCCTATACGGTCGTTACCAGCTTACCCCCTTCCGAAACCGAGTTGTTCTCAATTGTGCTGCCCGGATCAGCCTTCGAACACGCGTCGTCTTTTTTGAACCACCAAGATATCGACAATCACCTGCTTACGAGCATTTCATTCCTTTGATTCCCCCAAGAACTCCCATATACTATACTGCCCTCGGGCACCAAGACCGACGTGATGGACATGTCTTCAGATCCCACCGACATGTCTCCCGCATCGACGCCCGAATCCCCCTCGCCTGATGCCACTCAAACTACGCCGGGGACCTCGAACAGCGGCAGTCAAGGTTCAGGCTCCGCAGCTCGTCGGCCGCCTCGGAAGAGTACTCTGACCCAGCAACAAAAGAACCAGAAGAGGCAGAGGGCGACACAAGATCAGTTGGTGACGTTGGAATTGGAGTTCAGCAAGAACCCAACTCCCACTGCTGCCACTCGCGAACGGATTGCTCAGGAGATCAACATGACCGAACGGTCGGTCCAGATCTGGTTCCAGAACAGGTGGGTAGTTCGAGCATGGGCTGTTGTGATTTGACTAACCTTGGATGCAGCCGTCGCCGAGCCAAGATCAAGATGCTCACGAAGAAGACGCTAGAGACAGGTGAAGACTGTGACAACATCCCCGAATCTCTGAGACAGCTGCTGGCCATGCAGGCCATGGAGGCTGGCAGACCATTCCCTCGACAGTTGCTCGGTCGTCAAGGTGGGCCGATGGCTCACTATGGAGGCGGTGGCATGTTGATGAATGGTGATCTCACAGGCCAGGGCAAAACTGGTGTGTAATTAATCTTCAGAATGCCCGATATTCTTGACTAACGTGGACCAGTCATCCAACATCTCACCTGTCGCTCTCTGAGCATCGGTACCTGGCGTCGAGTGGGCCAAAACGCCATGGACCTGGTTATCTTCTACTCTCCCGACAAGGCCTGCATCACATACTACATCAACAATGACTCGGCAGGCTACAAGATCGAATACCCCTTCGCCTATATCAAGAGCATCCATTTGGAGCCCGGTGACACGGTGCCCAATTCGAACGGATCTCCTGCGCGGCTCGGCGGGCTGGTCATTGAATTGACTCGGCCACCCAACTTCTTCATGGACTCTTCCGGATCTGGAGGTTTCTACCAATGTGGTGACTTCACCGAGGATCAACAGGCCTCGCAAATTCTGAGCCACCAGTTGGGAGGTCACCCTAAGGTGTTGAGCGGCCAATTAGCGAAATTGGTTTCTCTCGACTCATTCCAGAACCGCCACAACCCATTCGACATGGGTGCTATGCCAGCATCGGCGCCCGTTTCGCCCACCATTGGTATTGTTCGACCTGCATCTCAACCTTCCGTGCAATTTGCTCGCCCGCATCCTCCTCATGTCGGCATGTTCCAAGAACAATTTGGCGTCCATCAACATCTCCACCCTTCTCGTATGCACCCGGGACATAAGCGACAACGTAGTCGGTCAGTTCCCATCGCGCTGGACTTCTCGATGCTGCATGGACCAATGCCCACCTTCCATGTGCAACATCCGTCACCTCAACTTGGGCCGGACAACCATAACCTATTTCAGCCCATGCCACAGCAACCCGTCCAGACCCCCCTTGGCCCGACGTTGCAAATTGACACATCGGCCGGTTATGGCATGGACTTCCGTCAAATGCCCATGTCGGCGACGGCGACATCGCCCTCAGAGTTCGCTAGTCCTGGCTTCTTCCCCTCCAACACAGCTCATGCACCGATGTCATCCTCCGAGTTTGGTACACCTCAGCAATATAATGTACCGTTTCTCTCCCCGTCCCCCATGGTCGACCACCATATGATGGCCAACTCAATGTCTCCGTTGTCTCATATGGGTCACCATGATCCCGTCATTGCCGATCACTCACCACCACTGTCGGCAATGCACCGAAGTGCGTCGGCAGACATGTTCAGCATGGGTCATCATGATCACACAGGCATGATGGACGAGACTTTGATGTTGGGCGAGATGTATTCGAAACAGAATCTCAACATGCCCATGCCTAGTCCCGGATTCGACGAAAGCACCATGGCAATGATGAGTGAAATGTCCGACTTTCACACGCCAAGGGAGCACATGGACATGCCAATGACACCATTTGGTACCATTGATCCCAACAACCTGCAAGGTGGTCTACACTAAACATCGACGCCGCAATCTCCTGTAACAGTTTGAACGACCTTATGCCTCCCCTCTAGAAGCGTGACGCCCTCAGGGGGGTTACCTTTTGCACAAATTGGAATATCCATTCGATTCCAGCTCTGTCCGGACGGTGCGTCGTCATCCTTCGGCCGACTTGTTACATATCTGTTTTTTGTTGTTAGTACAAGCGGGCCATGGTTGCCTGCAGTTTGATAGCGTGGATAGCTATCAACTTCTGTTCTGTTGTCCTGTCATCAGTTTTGTGCTGTGCAGTCTAGTCATGTGGTTATGTATTAGAAACGAAATTTTGATTTGTGTGCCTGGGCCTCGATTGGGTCCTTGGTCCTTGGTGTGACCTGGTTTCGATAGGATGGGGGTTCCGTGGAGAGTAACAAAAAGCATCAATGGGGAGGTTGTCGAGCGACGGAATTTGAGCGAATTGAACCTGATATCTCACTCTCCTTCTGCCTGTGGCACCAGTTCTGATAGCATGCTGCATTCGATGAGGCTGTGTTGTGTGGACAGATGAGGCTGTGTTGTGTGGACGCCGTGAGTGGAACATAATTTCTGTCGCAACAAAACAACCAGACGCCATCAGCCTGCTTGCACGGTGGCTGATCCCTCCTCGCATCATGGATAAGTGTCTGCTTCGAGCAAGATGACCTTCAGGCCCGCGTGAGTGGTTGTTGGAGGGATGTCCTTGTTGAGAAGTCGAGTCAGTGGCCGCCTGGATGGGTTGTTGCAAGCGGTTTCGCCCTCTCCGTATAGGTGCATGTGTTCTACTCTCTCATGACGAAAGTGCCCTCGTCTGTTCCCTTCCGTGTGATGGGAACAGAATGAGGGTTTGAGTTGGGCCAGAGAGCAGCACAAACTGAAAGCGAGAAAGTTCAAGAGAGAAAACAGCAACAGCAAGGGAGGGGGTTCAAGGGCTGCTTATAATGATATTTCCATTTCTCCATTATTTGTTTAGCATTAGCACAGCTAGCTAGCTGCAGGTATGAATTTCGGTGCAAGATTGGATTGCAACTGTTTTGTATATGTCCAGATGAATCTTCAATCTTCTTGCCGGTGGTGATGGCTGGTTTCGCGGGGCAACTGAGGGCCACTGTGGTCCATTTAATCAGTGGTGAGATTGGGTGTAATCTGTAATCTTGCATCACCGAGGAGAGAATGGAGTCGGAGGAGTTCTGCGAGAAGGCTGACCGTTGGAAGGCTGAAGCGCTGAAATTGGACCCCTGCGCTGCCCCCCCCGAATTGGGAGAAGTCAGCCTTAGGGGGCCCTCCCTAGGCTGGTTGCTGGCCACGCTGGGGATTTGACGGGCGGTTGAGGCTTAGAGCTGCCACAGTTGATTGTTTTCTAGAGCACTGTTCGTGTCCCTCTGCTTCAGAGTCAAGTGTGATGCCCCACTGCGAATCTGATCTGAATGGAATTGAGATTGATGGCCCAAGATGGACCTGATAAAAGTCCTTCTCTGTGAGTTGGTTTGTGGTAGAGACAGACGGTAGGTACTATAGTAAGGAGGACTCTTGTGTAATTAGTTAGTTGGGTAGTCCTAGGAGCATCAAGTTGGAGATTCGACCAATTTCATGGTAAGATGAGCATTTCCATTTCAGCGACCCGACTTTATGGAGCTGGGATGGTCCGATTGTCCTTCAGTAGTAGTATGGTGTTGATGTTGATGTTGATGTTTCCAAGGCCATACTAGCATGGCGCTGCAAGACAGTCTCTGGTCCGGCAACAAACTCAAAGCTAGGACATTGGATGAGGCTCCGTATCTAGGTAACCTTCGGCAGGTAGATCCCAGTGTGTAGGTAGGTAGCTACTCATCAACAGCTACTAGTATAGCATGAAACAACTTGAATCCTGTGAAATTGGTGGTGTTTTCAAGATCCACTCTTTTACTGCTGGTGGGCCTATCATGATTGGATACCTGATATTGCGGGCTTGGCACAGGAGGCACGTGCTCCCACGTGACTGCTCTCGTCTCATCCAATCCTTCTACCGTATACAGGTACCTTTCACTGTTATCTACCAGATGTAGTAGAATATACGAACGCAATCTCAGGTGCTCTCAACTAGTATCTACTACATGAACATATTGCAATCCTGCCCTCAGTTTCCGAGATGAATTTGTCGTTCAGTTTCACGTTCAGGATGCTGCAAGTGTGCAGGTTCTCAACCCATCCAAATGAGTTCTCACTTACCTGAGATACCTACCATACCTACTCTCCTCACCTGTGGGAGGCCTGCAAACATCTCATAAAAGACTTATTACTGCTGACACTCCGCATTCACAACGATGACCGTGGATGTGGGCAGTGAATCCTCGCGTCCATTGACCGAAATACCCTTGATTGCGGTCGAATACGGGCACACCCATTAATGCCATTGGTGGTTGGGGCTGTTCGCTATCGCATTTCGCTGGTGCCTGATGAGCAGCCGACTGTGCAATGGACTCTGTACACGCACTTGTGTCCTACTAACTTCCTCGAGGGACCTAGTGTATCTCGCATAGCCACCACTTCCACTGCCACCAATATCGACACCACCACCAATGATACGTCTGCGTCTGCATAGGGATCAGGATGACTACCATGATGGTCTCCGCACTATTGGAATGGCTGCTAGGCTCCCGCCAAAATGAACTTGTTGCTCGGATCGGAGACGATCATGATAGGGCTAGTCACTGGCCGTCTTTTATCTGTATGCATGACACGGTGAGATTCGGGCCCGTCGTACCGCGGTGCGATGAAAGTCGCCCCCTTTGCTTTACCGCTCGTAGCCCGGGTCGCTGCTTAGCACAGCCCGTTGCCGGGAGGCTGGAGGTTGCACGGAGGGAAAAGGTAAGGCCCCAGGTCTTCGAAACGATCAATAGCGGGGAAGAGGGAGCGATATACGGCCGAAAAGGGGCTGCCTGTTCGCTGTCTCCCTTATAAAAGTGGACTGGCTGCCAACTCTCCATGAGAAGACAGAACAAGGCATCAGCACTTCAAAACTCCAGTACAGCCCTTATCACCTCATACCAGCCGTACACGATATCGCAACCCCCTTCTCCACCCTCATCATCACCACTCACATCATTCACAATGGGTCTCATCAAAGCAACCGTCTACGCCGGCGCGGGCATGTACATTGTCAACAAAGTCATCCAGAGAAGCGCCGATAAACGCAAGAGCGAAGGTACACACGCAGGATGCTCTGCCGCGAACAGCTCTGCCCATGGCTACCGCGACGCCGACTATGCCTACCAACATGAGTACCAGAACGCGTACGACTATAACCCTTCTCCCAAATCCGGGGCCGCGACGTCCAACGGCCAAATGTCACGCCAGGTTCCGGCGGAGCGTCAGCCTCAAGGTCAGAGTCATGGTCACCCTGCTCAAGCGTTCGAAGACCGTCGTCAGGCTCCTCCTCGGTACGGCCACCAGCAGCACCTGGAGCAAGGCCGTATTCAAGGCCAAGGACAAGATCAGCCGCCTCTGTATCTGACGAACGACGCCTACTCGCCTCTTCCGTACGATCGTACGGATTCGAAGCAGCCATACGCTGCGGCGCGGTCAGTCTAGTGGCTCGAATAGGATACGTGCCCTTGGGACGATAGTGATGGTTCCGGTAGGGAGAGAACAGAGAGAGTTGGAGATCCAGGGAGCGAGAGCGGCCGAAGAGAGGTGACACTGGTGCTGGTGACATAACTGTCTTGAATGGTGATTTTCATAAGGGTGAATCGGAGCGAGGGCGAGAAACTCGGGATACTGTACAACCCATTTTTGCATTAGAGCGGTAGGAACATTGGAGTTTTGATTTATAGAATTATTGTTCCGTTCATATTGACACCTTCGTCGTTTTCATAATCTGTCTTCTTGCCAGAATTCTAGAATTGGTCCCGATCTTACGAGTCATGCATTATTTAGTGGAAAAGCGAACGTTGTTGATGTTGATCTTATATATATAGTATATGCATTCAATACCTATGAGAACTTACAGCCTGGAACTAAGTATTGGATTCAGCATGTCAGGAGGCAGGCATTCCCATTTCACTTCAAATCAAAACAATCGTATCTTCGAGCTCGGATGACAATAAGACATAGTATCGTTTTGCGAATCTAAGTGCCTCCAGCCTCCTCTGCACTGGATGTGTTGTAGTTATGTCGGGTCGCCGTGGGCTGACATATGAGCCCAAGACCCAAGTTCAGTGAACAGCTCGCAAATCAGCCGACTCCCCAGATCCCAAGGGGATCCTCGCCCTCGGCGCTGCCACTTTTCATTCGCTCAGCTTGCAGCCTTTTGACGCGCCGCGCCAGAATCCCCAAAGCCAGAGGTCCAACGATCGTGCAAAGTAGAATCGCCCATGTGACGATCAGGTAGATGTCTGACTCGAGATTGGCGGCGGACGAAGTTCCGCTGGTGCTGAAGATGCCGTTGCTGGCTGCAAGCGCGGAGATCAAGAAACCAATCTCGCCTCGCGCCACCATGGCACAGCCGAGCAGAGAAGCTGGATAAAGAGACTTAGGCCTGGGAAGCGGCTTGCTAGAGCTTTTCTTCCTCTCCTGCTCATTGCCCGTGTTCGGCGCTGTTGCTGAAGCTTTCACGAACCGGATAAGCCATGCCCCGCAAAAGAGCTTGCCAATCGCCATCAAGACGGAATAGACGAGTCCACGCCAAACGATGGAGCCTTGGAACATTCGCGTAATCGGGATCGAGAACCCAATGGAGGCCTGTCTCTTGGTTAGTTGAAAAATGAACAAAAGATAGGTTGGGGAACCAGTGAAGGTCAAGGAAATGGTGCCTACGAAAAAGAAAGGTTTCAAGATTCTTTCCACTGCAGCTCCGTGATATGTATTGTACATATTCAAGCTGCGGCTTTCATCTTCTGATGCGGGTGACGAGGTGGTGGGCACCGCCTTGTCGTCGTCACGGTCTGTGCCACCCTCTGGAGGAGGTGTCGGTAGCCGCGTTGAACTTGCCGGAGAAGTTAGGTCCTCGTGTGCTTTTCGAGACGATGTCGCGGCGACAACATCTGGATCGATGTCTTCTGGTGCTGCCATGGTGCCGCGAGACCGTTTCGAAACCTTTACAGGGCTCTGTTGATGCATCGTTGTGGCCTCTCGGCCTGATTCCCGTGGGGTCGCAGCTTGGTTCTGCGCTACACTCTCGTCGAGGTACGCGATACTGGCTCCAGCAAGATACGCCGCGAATAAGGCAGACGTACCCGCGTAGCTAGCTGCGCAGACCAGACCCATCAACAGGGCTGTCGAGAGGAGGCAGTAGATCGATGATCTTGACAAGACTCCATCGACCTTGGTCAACAGCCAGGTTTCGGCCCGGTTGTTGCAATAATAGTTCAACGCCGGTTTGGCCAGAAGTCTGCAGGCCAATGGCAGGACAATTGCAAACCCCAAAGACACAAAAACCGGCCGGATCACTGTAGTCGCTTGGATGGACTCATTGCCAGATCCTAGATTTGAAATCACTTGAACCATGATCAAGCCTACGACATCATCGAGCATTGCTGCACTGGTCAACACAGTGCCTAAACGACTATTGGTCAGACCTGTGGTCTTCAGTATGCTGAAAGTGGTTCCAAGGCTTGTCGAGCATAGTGCCGAGCCTGCAGCAAATGCCTGGAGATTGCTGGCTTCTGCAAGGGCGAGAAGCGAGAAGGAAAACGCCATAGGCAAGATAATGCCGGTCAAAGCGACGCAGATCGAGAGAAGAAGTGTTGTTTGGATTGACTTGGCGGAAGTTGAAAGACCGCCTTCAAAGACAATGAGTATCAAGCCCAGATATCCGAGCTGTGTGATGACTTGTTCGACATGATGGGAAAGCATCTTTGCCCCAGGCGTTCCCCAGGCCATGCCAATGAGCACCTGGCCCACGAGACCACAGTAGAAGACATTGTCGAGGATTGAGTTGACAACATTCAATGCTAGAAGGAAAGAAGCCTGCACCAGTATGGTCACAACACCGGGCTCTTCATATGGGAGGGCGGCATCTGCCATGAGGGACGGTCAATGTCTTCCTCTTGTGACACGACTCCATGGATCAGAGATATGGAATATATATTGCCTTGGACTGTTGTTGTCCCTCAGATACAACGCCAGAAGATGAAGGTAGAAGAAGGGATTGCGGTGAGAAGTGCATGCGTCAAGGAAGATATCAAGGATGTCAAGAGACCTGGCGAGGCTGGACAAAATGGACCAAACACGACTGTATACTTGACAGTAGCAGTTGATACCTCAAAGCTGATTACTAAGGCACCGCTCCGATCAAGAAGGTCAGCCGAAGAGAGGTCGAGTGCCAAGCCTCTAATGGGATTGGGACATACTTCATTCCCATTGGCTGCTACAGAGTACAGGATTCCTGCCTTCAACTGCGTACTATTGTCTATAACTTTTCGTAGTCGCAGCAAACTGTTGCAAGAGACACACCTGCGTGTTGTGCTTTCGTCGCGTTCCCAGTGTTGACCATACTCGCTCCCTCCAGCCTGCGTCGCGACCATGTTGTGCGCAAGTATGTCCCATCCTGTGTCTCTTGTGTCCATGTACGAAAACTAACCTCTCACAGTTTCTGGAGAGAGCCCCAAGGTGCCTGTGGTGTCGAGCAAGTCTGGTAAGTGCCGAGATGAAGCATTCTGGACTGATCTAATCAATGGCAGGCCGAGTTTACGAGAAGAGCCTCATTGAAGCATATATCAATGACAATGGCACTGAACCTGGGCTTGGAAACCCGCTCGCTGTCGAAGACCTTATTGAGCTCAAGACCGAACCCACAGTCTATCCCCGACCTCCGTCGGTGACCTCCATACCAGCCATGCTATCGATGTTTCAGAACGAGTGGGATGCATTGGCTCTCCAGACATACAAACTACAAAAGGACCTGGAACAGTCACGCAGAGAATTGGCCGTGGCGCTTTATGAGAACGACGCTGCTGTACGGGTTATTGCTCAGGTCACCAAAGAACGGGATGAAGCACGGCAGGCTCTGTCCAAAGTCAGTGTCAATCGAACAGTTGCACCAAGCACGAACGGTGATGCTATGCAAGTGGACAGTGTTCCTCTGCCAGCACGCATTTTAGAGAAGATCGATACCACGAAAGACAGGTATGCAGCCCTCTCAGTCATATTGTTCGTATGCTTACATATGTCTCTAGTCTTTCCAAAACAAGGCGAAAGCGACCCGTCCCAGAGGACTGGGCCTCCCCGGACGAGATCTCAAGCTATACTTCGACGTCAACCTTGGAAACGCCCTATTCTGGTGGAACTGTGCTCAGTGTACACAAGTCTGGGAATCTGGTGCTTGTGGCTGGCCATGGTAGTGCTGCCGGAGTTCTCTCTGTGACAGAGAATAGGACAGTGCAGACTTTAGAAGGTGGTCAAGGTTCCGTGACTAGCGGACTCTGGGCAGACGACAAAGCTGTTATTGCTATGTCCACCGGAACAGTGAGGATCTTCCTTTTGGGCAAGGAGATCTCAACGTTCACTGTCCACGCTGGTAGTGCGACCAACGTTGCCCTCCATCCCAGCGGCAGCATTCTGGCATCCGTGGGGGAAGACAAGAACTACGTCCTATATGACATCGATTCGACACAGGTGCTCACGCAAGTCCAGACCAACTCAGGTATGTCACTCCTCTCCAAGAAAGAGAAAGAGATCCAGTTCTTCTCTAACCCAGGATTAGCCCTCAACTGCGTACAATTCCACCCTGATGGTCATCTGCTGGCTGCTGGTGGCTCGGACGGACAGATCAAGATTTATGATGTCAAATCCGGCACGCAAGCGGCTGTCTTCGAACTCGCTGGACCGGTGAAATGCATCTACTTCTCGGAGAACGGCACCTGGCTCGCGGCCGTGGCCGAGGGCTCTTCGTTGATTTCCATCTGGGACTTGAGGAAGGCTGCCGAGATCAAGAGCATTGAGACTGGTAGCCGCATCAACTCGGTCAGCTGGGACTACACAGGACAGTTCCTGGCTGCGGCCGGTGTGGATGGAGTGACGGTTGAGCAATATTCCAAAGCATCAAAGGAGTGGTCACAGATTCTCAAGAAAGCAACCCCCGCAAAGAGGGTGGCCTGGGGTCAAGGGGCGCACAGCCTGCTGACTCTCGATGAAAGAGGAGTAATGACCACCCTGAGTGTGAAGCAGGAGTGATCTCAGGGGGCAGGCATGCCAGCTGGATTGTACGACTAAAGAAGAGAGAAGAAGAAAAGTTGCTTTTATACCCCGGACTGGTGGCGGCAACATCTTGATGGATGAAAGGTGGAAGGGGGATGCTGGTCTGATGGTGGACGACCACAGGATACTTTGATCTTTGTTAAGTGTCTACAAAGGGAACAAGACATGGCATAAATGGGCCAGTCAAAGTGACTCCAGTTTGCAATTGCATTTGTTCGTCTCTTGCCTTTGTGACCTGTGACCATTTACCCAAATCTTCATCTGGAATGGCAGCTATGTTGGGCCATTGGAGGGATTAATCAGCTGGACAATGGCATAGTGGAATGGTGGCATGGTGGCATGGTGGCGATAGGGGAAAATCCCCTTACAAAAAGCGCCTCATTATTCGCTCGCATTTATCTAGGAATTAAGGTCGGTCATAACTCCGACAGCGCAGTTTGGCCACTGCACACGGCACTTCACTTGCAGCCCGCAATTCGGGGTCTTAAACAACGACATTCCAACACTCAATTCCCTCTTGAAGATCTTGAACCACCGCCTGCTCTTTTACCACGACCGCGTCCTCATGAGACACTCCTCTTGATACTCTTTGGCTTGCCCCTGTAGGCAGTGTTATCATGCCTCAGCATCCAACCCTATCCCTGAGCAACTTTCTCAACTCTGCTGCGGCTTCTTCCAGTCGAAAGGTACGTCCAACCCAGCGACCACGATCCCACTCACATTTATTGACTTCAATCTGGACATTCACAATTTACAATCACTTGAGGGAACCTTGAGAATCTAGAGCTGACTTCTATTCACAGAGATCTCACGCTGAGATCACTCGTTCACAAAGCCGCAGCATCAGTCCCGCCTTACCTTCCAAGCGCCGTCGCATCAGCACCTCCCCTAACTCGTGCCTTTTTTCCTCTTCCTCGCCGACACCAACTCCTCCTAGCGCATCTACCGTGAGAAGGTCAGAGCGTGACGGCTTTGACTACCGTCGACCTGTCATGTCATCACACAATAGTCGGCCGTCTCGGGGTCCGAACGATCTTACAATCGATCTGACTGTCGACAGCGACAGTGATGGCGATACGGCATCCGGCGCAAGCATTCTGCTGCGTCGCAGCCCAAGGCGCAATCAGCAACCGCAGCCACCGTCACATCCACAGCCACAACAACCTGCTGTCAGTAGGAATGCAGGTGCACCGCCGTTTGGTAGGAGACAACGACAAGAGGCACAGGAGGTGATAGATCTCTCAGACGACAATTCGGACTTCCAGGTTGAAGACTTGGAGGGAGGAACAGACTGGCCGTCCAACGAATCAGGCTCCGACAGCGGAGATGTCCAGATCGTCCACGAGAGGCCAGCTCCTCCAGGCAACCGAAGGCCTCCTCAGCCAGCAAGACCTGCGACCAGACGGCCTTCCCCACGGCATGCAGACCGGGGGCCGTGGGTGAATCTGCCGGATTTCTTACGAAGGAGCACACAGTTCATGTTTGGCAATGTGCAGAATGCCAATGATGTCTTTTTAAACCGGCTAGATGGTATCCGCTCACGCGCTGGTGACGGTCGGCAAGAGGGAGAGACCCGAGAGAATGAGGCTGGAGGAAATTTCATCATCAACCTTGATTACAGACAGCCTGCCTTTGCCCTGGGTGGCCTCGAGATCTACGATCGCAGTTCGGAAACACCCCAGGTCATCAACGAACCCTACAAGGCCCCTCCGGCACCCAAAGAAGGGTTCATTCGGACATTCGCCGAGGATGATGTGGTGCTCTGTCCCATGTGCGGCGATGAACTAGCAACCGGGAAAGGCGACACGAAACAACAAGTTTGGGTGGTCAAACAGTGTGGACATGTAAGTCACATTCAAGATCTGCGTCAAGATGGTCGAAGGCAGCAAACTGACGTTCATTCCAGGTCTATTGCGGAGAATGCGCTACCAACCGATATGCTTCGAAAGCACGTAAGAAAGACAAAAAGGCGCCTCCCTCCAAAGTCACACCATTTTCCGAATGCAAGGTGGACGATTGCAAGATCCGACTCACCCACAACACCGCCATGTTCCCTATCTATCTTTAATGGGCGAATCGCATCATGGCCCGAGCCCTAGGACCTGACGAGAAAGCACCCCTATCCCTGCTCAATATGCCGGATGAGAAAGCTACCGGCATAGAGACATTTATGATCCCATGAGGAATGATACGTGATGGGGAGCGGTGGACGGGGTTTCATGTTGCGGACGCCTTCCGTGCTATTGTACATTGCAGCGATCAGAGAGATGCACATAGCTTCAGATACCCCAGTTCGCCAATCGTGATACTGCTGGCAGGCCTATGTGCCAGCTAATTCCAACAAGCAATGGCTTGTACATGCCCTCTTGTGTTTTATGCGACCATTGAATGCGGGTCTATTGGTGTCAGCTATCTTTGTGCTTTTCTTTGTCCCAACATGTGCCATGTTGTTTGACCCGGCAAACGTGCCAAATGGGATTCTTCTTGAGTGTCATGGTGATTGTTCCATGACCTACTACTTGCTGTTGTTCCTGTCTATCCTGGCTTCGACCCAGTTGAAGCTTCCTTTCAATGTCTGCGTCCACGGTTCACTGCCAACGTCTGCTCTGCTCCTACTCAAACACTGCCATACTTTCCGCCCAGCACCTGTTCCGTTCCGCAAGCCCAATATGTAACCCGTCCGTCTCTTCTTTTATATTGGCCCCCTCTCTTGATCTTGGACTGCGGACGACCGATGAAGCGCTGACCAAGATGGGCCAGCGAACAAGAACGCCGTTACACTCTTGCCAGCGCAGAAACCAGCCAGCTGGCTATTCTCCATTGAGTACACTTCAGGATCATATCCATTTCTTTTCCCTCGACCTTGCTTTTTGTTCCGTTCCCATTTTCATTCATTCATCGCTCTCCCCACCAACCCTTCAAACATTCTTGATCCCACCATGCATAGGACTCCAAATGCCTCGAACATTCTCATTCACCGAAACGACATTTTTGCCTCTGATCAGCTCATTCTTCTTCCCGCTATTGGCGACCAGGAACTCGGCTTTCTTGACGATCTGCTCCTTCTCCAGGTTGCGCACACACACGGCCTTCTCGCGCCCGTTGATGAAGTACGCCTTCAGGATCGGATGTCTGTTAGGCCGCGGCGACACGCGGAACTCGATGCCGGGGTATTTCGCCGTGAATTCGGCCAGGAGCGGGGATGTTAGGAACGACTTGAGGCCGCGTGACGAACCGGCCCAGTCGCAGTAGTGGAAGTCGAGACGTTTGCATTGGAGGATGAATGCGCCGATGCCGTTCTAAAGAAAAACAGATGTAAGTAAGTATCAATTCAAGGGTCTTGTTCGTCGTTCGTGGGGGTGGGTTTGGAATATACAAATGGAGAGGAATCAGAGGCAGGGATGGAGGGGGGAGAAGTAACAGCAAAGACAATGTTTGGGTTATCTTCGGGTTTGCAGATGCTGCGACTGAGAACGGCTTGCTTGGTGTGTAGATAGATGGTGCAGTGCAAGTGCTTGCTTACCCGTGCTGTCGAAACCGTCTTCACTCCTTGCACGACCATCTTGGTTGATTGATTGCCTGCAACCTCGAGAAGGACCTGGAGAGAGCGACTCGGAGGATCGGAATGGCACAGTCCCTGGGATGCCGCGCGGTTGTCGACTGTTCCACTGGGATGAGCGAGGTCTGTTCGCTGTATGGAGCAATACTGTTGCTTTGAGGTCTGGGGCTGCCAAAGGCTGTGAAAGCGCAGTCTGCGTTTCTGCTGGCGCTAAAGAGATATCTTCCGCGAGGCTCGCGGGCTAGTCCCGAAAGGGGTATGATGTTTCAAATGACAGCATTCCCTTGACTTTCGAAACTCTACCTATGTTTGGTCAAGTCGTGGGACACTGCATGTTGACATGGAGCACTCGACTGGAGGCTTCGAATGGCAAGCTCAGATCATGTCCATAACACTCTGGCTTTTGTCTTCTACAACGGGTGCACGCTAGAGCAGTAGGGTCGCTCCGCCAGAAGCTGTGAGTATGTTGGAAGCTACAAACCATACGAGAACACGCTGCTATCGCTGAACAGTCATTCCTTTCCGTCCGTGAAGGGATCCATTTGTAAAGGACAGCTGAAAGAGGAGATCGACTGTCTTGGAACCCTCGTTGACACTGGTTCTGACCCTTGATCATCCTCGATGCGCCGCTAACAATAGGTCTTCAACGACCCAGACCACCGCTTTTCTTACAGATGCGACCAGGGATTTGGCCAATACCACCCTCGACCCCCCAGTCACTGTCAACCACCCACTGACCGTGTCCAACACAGGGTATACACCAGAACACTCCGTCCGGATCCCAGTAGTTCTTCAAATTCAGAAGTCGCCCATAGTTGGACCCCCAAAATGTTTGCTACCAGTTTGGCTCGGCCGGATCAGCTTCGTTGATATAGGCGCCAGTATTCGGCGCGAGTTGACGCAGCGCCTCCACCTCCACGTCGCGAAGAAGGTCCGTGACAGCAAGTTTCGCCGTGTTGTTGAGAAGGGCCACGTCCGGGGCAGAACTGCCAGAGGTCAGCCACTGGCAGCAGCCATCAGCATGATACGACCGTGTCTTACCAATATGAACATACGCATGGCGCCAGGCAGGAAGCACAGAGTTCCCGCCACCTGGAATGTCGACATTCTTGAGGCCGCTGCCTGCAACAAGATGGCCAATAATCGTGTTGTGAGGGCCACTCGTCGTCTGCTTGAGGCGCTGCTTGAGCGTCTGAAGGTCCGTCTCAAGATCTTCGCGATCCAGCAAGCGCGAGCCAAGGCGCAGCTCTAACCCGACGCCCTCCGGTGGGGAGTTCGCCCACGCAGCTGTAAAGTCGGGTGCCTGGATGGTAACGTTGCCGAGTCAGACGGGGTCTGCCCATTCGAGAGTTTTGTTCGTATCGCCTGCTCCAGCGGTGCAATGATCTCCTTGGTCTCTTCGACCGACTTTTCCGGCACGATCTATATGCCGTATAGCCTTCCTCCCAAGGCCGCATCGGACTCGGTTGGGGTATCTGGTTGAGCCCAGTAATAGCCCATGATTCCCCGGTCGGACACTGTGGGGAGCTGACTGTGGAAGTAGGCCAACAAAGACCAGAACGTGTCGGTGTTGGCAGTAGTATTGTAAGAGAAGTAGTACAGCGCCACTCCTAGCCTCGGGTATGCTCGAACAGTGACTGAGATCAAAACGGCGAAAGTGGATCCCCCGCCCTGAAGGGACAACGCAAGTCAGTATATGACACACTGCCAATCCCTTGCAGTAGCTCAGTGCAGACGTACCCCTCTCATAGCCCAGAACAGATCAGGATAAGACCTCTCGTTGATGGTCAGATGTGTCCCGTCAGCGGTCACTACCTCCATCTCAAGTACTTGATCGGCTCCAAGACCGTACTTGCTGCTGATGGGGCTGTGACCTCCACCAGTACTCCAGCCGCCAATACCGACGTTGGGATCTGCTCCGCCGACGATTGTGATATTATATTTCGAGATCTCGGTGTATATCTCACCCATGCGCATCCCTGCAGCAATCTTCACTGCAGCCACGCCGCCGTGCTTCTTCGCGCAGGCATTATCCATGCTGACGTCAACGCCACGGATATTGTGGGTGTAGATTGAGAAGGAATCGCGCCCGGACGAACTGGAATCGAAGTCAATACATGTTGCCGAATCAATTGAGACGCATTTTACCGTCCAAGAAAATCATGTCCCGTCCCCTTGACTATAAGCCTGACGCCGGTCCTTTTGGCAAACTTGACTGCGACTTGAACATGACTGACGTTCGTTGCATTGACGACATATGCTGGGTATCCTTCCGCAGAGCAAGGTGCTCGGGCGTCAGGCAGACAGCTTTCGTCATTGTAATCGGCCGTGAAAGGATCTTGGGCATGCCACGAAGAGTTGGTCCATTGTGAAAGAACGCCGACACAAGCATCGATATTGTGTGAAGAACTGTTGGTCTGGCAGACCAGACCGGGTGGTACTGGTGTGAGTAGTCTTCCTGCGACTGACTTGTTCAAAGCCTGCCAGTCTGATACGGACGGCCAGTCCAACGATCCAGGAACAGGTTTGCAGAAAAGCTGCGGAGTATTTTGGTAAACCTGGGGAGTGATCAAGGCCGCAGCAAGAATGGCCGCTGTAGAGAGTCTGGCAGCCATGATTGGTCAGATGTCTGATCTTGTATTTGTATATGCGGTTTTATAGAACAACTGGAGGCACGTACACGGCTCGAGAGAAATGTACGGGGGCCATCTTGCATGTTATGTATATAGTGTGACACAGTCAAAAGAGGCGAACGGTCGCCATTTCTCAGCATCCTCGTCCTCGATCTTACCAATGGATGTTTGCTGCCAACACTATCCAAAGATCTTTGGGGATGCCTGGCCGTCCAGGCTGCATCATTTCGATAAAGTTTGAGGCAGGCTATAGCCGACAGGGGTCATTTTGCGGAGGATAACAATAGCGCACTCTGACAAGCATGGACTCACTTATGCTCGATGAGGGAGCCGAGGGGCAAGGCATTCCCGAGGCTGTTTCCCAGAGAGAAGCAGGAGGTCATACTGCGCTAACCAATTCATGATATCTACATACCTAGTTACCTTCTTAGTAGTGAAGGAGGTTGAAATAGTAACATTGCTCCGTCTCCTTCTTGTACGAATACGCCGCGAGAAACGGCGCAGCAGGTGGAGCTGAAGCGCAGGCTGGTGGGTGTGGCTCAAGTGGCGCTGTTGCATTTGTGGCGGTGCATAAGCAAACACCGCTAACCCTGTTTCGGCCCATCGCCAAGGCTGCGCGAAACCATTGCACGTTGAAGAGGTTCGTTCGAGTTGTCCAGCAGTCCAGGTTGGACTCCTTGCTTTAACTGACATCCCGCAGGCACGCGAAGTGCCATGCAATCCTTGACCTGCTTTGTATTCATTGTTTCATGATCATGTAATTTAGTAGTTCTACTACTTTTCTATCTCTTCCGTGCCAGTGTTCTGCGCACCAACCATCTCCCAGCTTCCCCCCAACAGTGTCCTAGGCGCTCTTCAAGATGACCGACAAGCTACCGCCAAATCTCCTGGCGCTCTTCCAGCCCCGACCTCCCTTGCGCTACATCCCGCCTCAGGACTCTGCGCCAGAGGAGAAAGCCTTGAAGCGGTCGGAACTTTCTGGAGTAGCTGCATTTCTCCCCCAATACGAGCAATACAAGGAAGAAGACGTCTATCATCCCACAGAGTCATGGCTGCAACAACGCGACCGAAAGCGATGGGAGAAGACGAAGTATCTGGAAGAGATTTCAAAACCTGAGTTCTCCGGCTATCGCCCACAGGATGACCCTAAAATCAAGGGCGACGCTGCAAAGACCTTGTTCGTCGGCCGTCTTAGCTACGAGGTCAAAGAAGCAGACTTGGAACGCGAGTTTGGAAGGTTTGGTCCCATCGAGAGAATAAGAATCATCAAAGATGAGACCAAGCCCAACCCGAAGAAACCACACCGAGGCTACGCCTTCATCGTTTATGAACGAGAAAAAGATATGCGAGGTAATATTCTCTTTTGTGTTGCTTTTTCCTCCCGACCCCGACCCCCCTATCCACAGATCGCATGGTAAGATGTTGTTGAACTGACCTTGACGCTCTTCACGCTCTACAGCTGCCTACAAAGAAACGGACGGTCTTCGTATCAAAGACCGCAGAGTCGTGGTCGACGTGGAAAGAGGTCGCATGGTGCCCGGATGGAGACCAAGAAGATTCGGTGGTGGCCTGGGCGGTAGAGGATACACAAAACAAGCACCGGCAAAGCCAACATTCGGCGGACCACCTGCGGCTGGCTTTACAGGCGGTTTCCGTGGTGGCTTCGGAGGGCGTGGAGGATTCCGTGGTGGGTTTCGCGGTGACCGAGGAGGCTTTGGTGATCGTGGAGGATTTGGTGACAGAGGCGGTTATGGTGGCCGAGGCGGCATTGGCTACCAAGGAGGAGGTGGCTTTGGCGGGCGACAAGGAGGATATCAAAGTGGGCCTCCGCCTCCCAATGCGCCTAGCGGGCCTGGTGGGCGGGGCGGATATGGGGGAGGTTACGAGGACCGAAGAAACGGTTACGGCGGCGGCAGAGATCCTCGCGGCGGAACTGGAAGCAACAAAGATCCTCTTGGCGGACGAGACCGTGGGTATGAAGAACGCGATCGTGATCGTGACCGAGACCGCGACCGCGACCGAGATCGTGATCGATATGGGGGCGGCCGACGAGATGACGACGTTGGCTCCCGAAAGCGCTACCACGACAACGATGGCTATGACGATCCAAGACAGCGGCGAAGGTATTGACGGCCCTATCCATATGGTTGATTTTCTTCAACAACAATCTCGTCATCTTCTGGTTCGTGGGTATGCTATGCGCGGTGTATTCAAAGCACTTTTGTGGGTTCTCGATATACTTCTTTCTCATCCATGTGCCATGGTAAGAAGCCTTTGACTCTTCGATCTGGGCAGTTGGAGCTCGGTGAATGGGACCCGGCTCAGAGCTGCTGCTGGGGCTCTTTGTTTGCGTTCGCCCACTTTGGCGATTGTCCTTTGCCGTTACGGCCTGGGCGCGCTTTCATGGTCACCCATGCCATCTCCTGATGCTACCTGCTCAGCGCAGACCAACGGAAAAGCTGTAAGATTTGCTTTAGATCTTGCTTCCCTCAAAAGCACCTGATCTATCTCGGGAAATGTATGTATTAGCAGCACTATCCTAGCAGTGGTCAGGTCGGGTAAGCGAGCCCTTAAGTGTAAGATAGGAATGGGTTGAGAGGCATCACAGACGGCACAAGGTTGGTGTACGAGATAGGAAACAGTACGGTAATCAGCATTCTTCGAACCCGACGCGGTTGCGGTTGTGGTAGCCTCTTACAGTCATTCACCATGCAAGGTACGACCAAGGGGGCATCATCATATGTAGCCCTACGGTCACGTGCTCTGTCGCCTCCTTTTCCCGTCACTTCAATTGTTCTATTTTTTCCTTTTCGCCCGCTGCAAAGCCACCTTTGAGCTTCTGGCCATCGACTGGCAGTGACATCAAGGAGAATCCCCCTTGTCTCCACGGACATCTGACTGATCCACCTGGCAGCTTACACCATGCCGTTGACTGCCAAGTGCGCGAAAATTTTAGCAGAAAATTTTCATGGCTCTGAGTGGCCGATGCGACTATGACTAAAGGCAAACCGCTAAAAGCAGGAGTACACGCGCCTTGACACACGGCTTCTGTTAACGACAACCGCACACGCCCCGGGCCACAAGGGCGCGTCAGCCTCGTCGACTGATTGGTGTGATTCCCACTTCCAGGTCTCAGACACTGGCGATTTCGAGAAGGTGTCATAGTACATCATGCTACACTGCAACAGGGCGTGGAGCGGGATTGCAAGTTGCGAAAACACACAGACAGATGACATGGACTCGGGCTGGAGAATTTTCATACAAAGTTAGGTGTATATAAACCGGTGCCCCAGATCCCCAGAACCGCTTGTTGTTGCCCATCTCACAGACCAAAGAACAAGAAGCATTCAGATCCTAGATATATCCAGTCCTACATCATCCAGACCTCCCAAGTCAATTCATCAAACAACAATACCTACACTCCCAGCTCCCCCCACATAATTCACCATGCCGTCCACATACGCTGCCTACTACAACCTCGTGGAGGCTGAGAAGAGTGCTGCCGCAGCCCGTCGCCGCTCCTCCAACCAATCCACTGCCAGCGAAGCATCAGTCGCTTCGCACAAGAGCAGCAAGTTCTCCCTGAAGCAGGCCCTCAAGCAACTGCGACCAACCCGAGAGGCCCTGACCCCTGCTGGGATCTATGGCCCAATCATCCAGCAAGGGCCTCTGTTCGGCAGCAAAAAATCCACTGGCAAGATCGAACAACTGAAGGCATAAAGTCTTGAGGATGAACATCTTGACGAATTTCTGTTTCGACTTTCTTGATATTATAAAATCTTCGACATGACCATCATGATAGGCATAGGGCGCTTGGGACAGTATTTGAGCTTTAGCAAGGACCCTGGACAGGGACGGGTCAGGGAATGGATAGCAAACAGAACAGCAGCAACTTCTCGCCTTGTGCTTGAGAAGGAGGATACCCCAGTTAATCACATAAGCATTGGCATTATTAAAAGGACTTGTGTAAACCCCCGCATCTTGACTTTACCTGGCTCAATCCACATTCTCTGCCTTGCCGCTTCGCTTTCGCTATCGACCAGGAATGGTGTATGATGACGTTGTCAGCATGTGAAGGGACCACGGTTGGGGTTGGAAATGTTGCTGCAGTCATCGAGGCGACAGGGGCAGGTTCATGATGCGGTGGCATCCTCCTACTCGTCGACTTGAACATTGGTGTCTACCAAAACCATGTGTGGTGGTGAATGGTGAGAGGCTCGGACTTCTTGGACTTTGGGACAACCCAATATTTGTTACTGATGAGAAAGTGGGAAAGCTGAAGGACAATGAGGGTTATTGATGGTATTACCGAGTATGTTTGTTGAGCTTCGGGATACCTTCTGGTTTCGCGTATGCAACTGTGTCTAATACGTCACTAGACGGTGAATGGTGCATTACCTTATACCTTATCCAGCTTAAGGTATTAGTAATGTGTACTAGTACAGTAGCTGCGTACTAAGTCCGTTGCAGACCAGAAATCGCGGCCCCAAAGATCGCTAATTCCTCCCGGTTCCACTTCCCTCGCTGCCCCAAGAAATACACACAACTGGTACTAGTACAACAAAGACGCATACATGGACTGAGCACCAGACCACCGCAGCTTCAAGTTCATGGCATCCACCTGATCCTTGTGAACTTACCGCAGTCGAACTCGACGCCAAACTCACATCTGGCCGACAGTGCTCCATCTCGCCTGCCTTCCTCGATAACCTCATTGCAGTCACGCACCTCGCTCTCGCCCGCCTGAGAGCTGGGTCATTCCCCAGTGTTGGTCGTGCCTGGCGTTGTCACGTCCAGAGCTTTTGACACCCACGCATGTCCCAACCGCACGACGGCCGCCCTCATCGAGCTTTCTTCGCCTTTCCACAAAATACATCGAGCCCGGATTAACATCGTTCGGCTTTGCATCACCATCGGCATCGGCATTGGCATCGGATGACCTTTTTACCATCTACAATTTCGTCACCGGCGACAGCATCGACGCAGCCCCGGTCCTAGCACGACATCCGAGCATTTGAAACCCATAAACACCATCCTCACAGCGTCCCCTTCCGGGGCCCACGCCTCGACATGGGGAACACGCTCTCCTCTTGCTGCAAAGGTATGACTCCCAAAGTTGTCGTAGCTACTCAATTCGCTAATCATGGCCGCCGCAGGCCGGCCCAAGGATAACCTCTACGAGCCCGCCCTCGCAGACAGTGAACGAGAAGCCGTCGCCGATCTTCTACAGTACCTCGAGAACGTACGCCATTCTTTCCGCTTGCATTGGCTCCTTTACTGATAATATCAGCGAGGCGATACTGATTTCTTCTCCGGCGAACCACTGCGAGCTTTGAGCACACTCGTTTACTCGGACAACGTCGATCTCCAGCGGAGCGCCAGCCTTACATTCGCCGAGATTACTGAGCGTGGTATGTTATGGAAGAGACACATTACATACATTATCAAAGTGCTGATTGGGTGGCAGATGTCCGCGAAGTCGATCGAGACACGCTCGAACCCATTTTGTTCCTACTGCAGAACCCCGACATCGAGGTGCAAAGAGCGGCAAGTGCTGCACTAGGCAACCTGGCCGTCAACAGTAAGTGGCTCTTTTGGACACCTGCTTTTTGGCTTTACTGACCGCCGGAAGATGAAAACAAAGTCGCCATTGTCCAGCTCGGCGGCCTGCCTCCTCTGATCCGGCAAATGATGTCACCCAACGTCGAGGTACAATGTAACGCGGTTGGATGCATCACCAACTTGGCCACTCACGAAGACAACAAGGCCAAAATTGCGAGATCAGGAGCACTCGGGCCATTGACAAGGCTGGCAAAGTCGAAAGACATGCGAGTACAAAGAAATGCCACCGGCGCACTGCTCAACATGACGCATTCCGGTAAGTGCCTATCGCTGGTGTACAGGACACAGTCTCTGACAGCTAGTAGACGACAACCGACAACAACTGGTGAACGCCGGCGCTATTCCCGTCCTAGTTCAGTTGCTTTCATCCCCCGATATGGATGTCCAGTACTACTGTACCACCGCCTTGAGCAATATCGCCGTCGACGCATCCAACCGGAAGAAACTAGCTCAGACCGAATCACGGCTCGTCCAATCTTTGGTCCAACTCATGGACTCCGGCACTCCGAAGGTTCAATGTCAAGCGGCTCTAGCTCTACGAAATCTGGCGTCGGACGAAAAATATCAACTTGAAATCGTGCGAGCTAGAGGCTTGCCACCACTTCTTCGCCTTTTGCAGTCGTCTTATCTACCACTTATTCTCTCTGCCGTCGCCTGCATCCGAAACATCTCCATCCATCCTTTGAACGAGTCACCCATCATTGACGCTGGCTTCCTCAAGCCGCTCGTCGACCTGCTCGGCTCTACTGACAATGAGGAGATACAATGCCATGCCATCTCTACCCTTCGAAATCTCGCTGCAAGCTCTGATCGCAACAAACAGCTTGTTCTGGAAGCAGGCGCGGTGCAGAAGTGCAAGGAACTGGTTTTGAATGTGCCACTGAGTGTCCAGTCCGAAATGACTGCCGCTATCGCCGTGCTAGCGCTCAGTGACGAGCTCAAATCACACCTCCTGAAGCTCGGCGTCTTTGACGTGCTCATTCCTTTGACGGACTCTGAGAGTATTGAGGTTCAGGGCAACAGTGCGGCAGCCTTGGGAAACTTGTCTTCCAAAGTGGGCGACTATTCGATTTTCGTTCGCGACTGGAACGAACCAAACGGCGGGATTCATGGTTATCTGAAGCGTTTCTTGGCCAGCGGTGATCCGACCTTTCAACACATCGCAATCTGGACTCTGTTGCAGCTCTTGGAGTCGGATGACAAGAAGCTCGTCAACCTCGTCGCCAAATCTGAAGACATCATCCAGATGGTCAAGACAATTGCCGACAAGCACGTGGAGTCCGACGATGAGGAAGGCGAAGAAGGCGAGGGTGAAGTCATTGCCCTTGCTCAGAGATCACTGGAGCTGCTCGGGAAAGGGCCCAAGCAAACACTGGTGGAAGGCTGAACCCGTCCAACGCAAGGGTGTCTGGATTTGGTCGGACGCCTTTTCTGAAGTTATCATATACCCCTTACATGGAAAGTGTGCAACGAATCGCTGCGTATGCATACTGGACATGCGTATATCAATGAGCAGCGGCATAGCGAGGCGTTATGGGATCTGTAGGTGACAGAGGCATAGTGGTCTCAAGAGGATGGGAACAGGACTTGGGTCTGGGAAGCACGCGGTTTTATTACTCTTGTGAGCGCTTCTGTTAGTTACACGACTCTTGTATTGCACAGTCCACGGCCCGTATTGGCCGAGCATTGGAGACGGCCGGTTAATCTATCCTTTCCCAAAATAACAATGCTACAGTTTAGTTCGGATCTGGAGCCAATACTGTGTCTACATCGTTTGTCTCCTCCCCAAAACCGCTTTCCAACATCCCACCGCCAATCGCAAGGGATGCCAGACCTGGATGATGGGAGGAAATGAGTCCATCCAGCCACAGACCCCTCATTCCAAGTGAATGGCTTGAGAAAGCCTGAGTCGGGACGGAACCATCTGGGTTCTTCTCCCTCCCGTGACGAACACAGCCTGACATTGTAGAAGTCGTGACCATGGATACTGGAGAGGGTGACAGTTGGCTACAGCTGTGAGCTGGGCAGGAAGGGGCTCCGTGAGATGACATGCTTAGAATCGAAATGGAGGGATCAAGCCATACCGACTTGGACATGATAATTCATAATCAACGAGACATATAGTCCAGGTGGAGTGGTTGTTCTTTTGAGGAGCTCCAACTCTAGCGGATCCGATCCAGCTTGCCCCTTTTTTCTCTGCGTCTTTCGCCTCAAGCGGGCTTCCACAATGAGAGTGAGTGCCACCCTAACGGCCTCTGTGTTGGGACGAGGTCGGTCCTGGTCTCCAAGAGATTCTTTGTCCTTGCCCGAGTCGGCCAACACCGTCGACATGTGAAAAACGGAATGATACCTCGGTCATCTATATTGGATGCAGTAGAAGGGTTGGGTATTGATTCCCGGACGGCGTGATGATAACCCCGTAGCCTCGCCTTTCAATGGGGCAAGACGAGTCAAGGATAGCAGTCCCTGTGGGACTGGGTTGTCGTCTCATTCATTGTAGCTGGTCGCGTCGGTGCCTGCGGTCGCAGCACTTTGGAGTTTGGACCATTTTGGTAGACGACCAGCAGCCGAGACTGATTCGTTCCCGTGTATGCGGCCAATCGCAGGCATCTGGAGGACCACGATAACTTGTTGAGACATCAAGGTCGCCTCTGCGGTAGCAGTGCTCGAATGGAGGAATCCTGTGCCGCGTCTTTGGAGAGTTTGATCCTGTTGTACAAAGCACATAAGATGGCTTCTTTCCACTTCAAGCAAAGGCTAAGATGTCGGTCTGCTGGCAATGCTGGCTGGTGAGATCGATGCTCGACGACATGCTCGACATGCGCCTGTTCCTTTGACAAGGCCTCCGTATATGGAGCTCACGATGGTTTTGCGACCTTCCTGCTCTCGCCCTGACCAGTCACCACGTCCTTCATTTCCCTCCAGCTCGCGGGGACCATTGCATTCCCAGCATCACTCGTGGCGACGACCACGCCGAACTCATTACCCGCCGTGCTGATGTAGTAGTTCCGCTCGTCTCCCAGACTGATGACCACGGCACGAATGATATCTCCGACTCTATACATGTCGTTCATGACGACCTTGTCCTTTTCATGCGTGCGGATATCCTCGCGCCGCAGCACGGCTTGGAACTGCAGGTCGTCATCGGTGATACGGGTGTAGGACGTGACGTCCTGGGGAGACGGGTCGACGACCAAGATCGAAGCGGTGATCTGCCGCTGCTGGACTCGAGTGATTCGACAGAGGACGGTTGAGCCGACTGCTGGCAGGGCGTTCGCGGTCTTGGTTGCGGACGGGCTCGTGCCGGGGCGAGGGACGGAAATGACTGCCTTGCTGGAGCCGGACTGGCCCTTGTCTGCGGGAGTCACGATGGATCTGCCGATGATTGAGGCCAGGATGTTGTTCTCGTAGACATGCGTGCCCGGGCCTGCACGGTGGGTGGAGAGATTACCCAGAACCTGACCGGGAACAACCAGTGCAGAGGTCGCCATCGGGAGTTCGCAAAATCTGCTTGGTAGGCACAATAAGCTAGCGGATCAGCATGAAAACAAAGAGTCTTTTGCAGGCCTGGAGAAGTCGTGCAAGCAAGATGGTCTTTGGCTGGGCAAAAGTCTCGGAGAGACTGTATCACGGTCGCAGAGAGCTCGGGTCGACCTGCTTGACAGTCTGTTCGACTAGTCAGCCATCAAGCATCGTCGAGCAGATCTGCTGAGGAGTTGGATAGCAGGAAGTAACAGTGAAGAAGTACCTAGAGACAGATGCACAGACTGGAAATGAGCGACGGAGCAAGTAAGCAAAAAGTCATGTCACGTGGATTTGCCAAGCCTGGAATCATGCAGTGGAGAAAGACCATTAGTCATCATTTATGTCATCGCAAGGCTGAGGCTCACAGGGTTGATGACTGGTTGCTTCATATCAGTACGACATGCAGTATCTGTCTATGGTATACTCCTGGTAATCGGATCCCTTGTACTCCTCACCCAGCGGGGAGTCTAGGTCTGCTAAGAGCAGTGAAACAGGCCAATATGCTATTATTGTCACTGCATCTTGATCTAATTTGTCTTCAACGTCTTTTGCTTTTCAGCGTCCCTTCCTCCTCTGGCGCCCTTGACAAGCAACCCCTTTCTTCTCCTCACAGCGTCGACGTACTTCTTGGCCACGTTCTCTCTCTCGCCGTGGACACCGAGATCCTCGAGCTCCTCCTCCGACCGGGGCACCCAGAAGGGATCGACATCGTCAATCATCTCAAACCCGATGAACCTCAGCATCGGCTGCGCCAGGCCCGACGTGCGCTTGCGGATCTCCTCGCTGAACCCAAAACTCTCGGCCACGGGAAGCTTGGCCTCGATGGTAAAATATGGCGTGCCTTCAAGAAGGGATTCGGAGAGAATCAACCCCCGTCGTCGCGTCAGGACACTGTATACTCGGCCCAGGACATCGGGCGTGGCTTGGATGGTGCAGCTGTACATGGCCAGCAGAATGCGAGAGGACCAGTCGAGAAAAGCGCCGCGGATGGCTTCCCGCACCGAGGTAATGAGTTCGCCGGTCAACCGGCCAGACTCGATAGTCGGGTCAGATGTCTCGGGTGAGAGTTGTTGCGTGACTTCTTCCAGGAATACCGCAACCCCTTGCATGGGTTCGCGGCACAAAGGTCCTTGAGAGGTCGCGAGCTGGAAGGCATAGGCGATGGTGTCGGAAAAGTCCTGCGCTCCTTGTGCGGATGAAGAGTGATCTTGCGTGCCATTCTGGTCCCCGTTTGTCTCTTGATTGCTTCGAGCCTCGGACTGCTCCAACAAAAAACGCTTGCACATATCTGTCCCGGTGGCGTCAATGAACAGATTCGGCCCTACCCTGCGAGGCCCAAACGCGCAGATCTTGGACACCATTTTCTGCCAGACTTCTCTGTCCTCCTCGGCTTCGTCGAAAGCAGCTTGCAGTTGCTTCCGGAACTCTTGTAACGACATGCTGCTCCTCTCGTTACCAGACTCGATTTGCAGATCAGCGGCATCGTCTTTGGCAGCTTCTTCCGAGCTCTTGTTCCCTTCTTCTTGTGCCTGTTTTTCTGCATAAAGCCGCCTGATCGTCGCACCGTTTTTGATAAGGAATTCGGTCACGTTTTGTGGCAGTGGTCGCACACGTAATCTGACAGATACTGTTTTGGACGCTGTCACCGCGATGGCTGTTCCTCGGGGGAGATCTTTGTTCTTTGGAGGTTCCATCTCTTCCGCCTTCACAATAGTCTCTCGATATGGTACGATTGGTTCACCTGGCTGGATATCACAGCGGGCAAATCGTTCCCGCAGGTCCTTGAGACACCTTTCCAGATGTAACTCGCCCGCGGTCAAAATAACGTGCTCTCCACTGGCCATCTGCTCGTAAATTGCACACGGATCGCTCTGTTCTAGGAGCTTCAGCCCTTTGATCATCTTGTTCAGATCGGTTGGATCCGTCGGCTCCAGTGCCACTCGAACAATCGGTTGGCTCAGTGACGTGATGCCGGCCAAGTTGATAGCGCCCTCCAACTGAGAGCATAGTGTGCCGGTTTTGAGAACGTGCCCTTCTAGACCCTCGATGCCGACAACCACCCCTGCTGGTACCTTCTCCAATGGTTCCAATGAGCGGCCCATGAGGAGGTAGAGAGCGGTGATGGGCACTTTCCTCGGCTCCGGCGAGGCGTGCGGAAAGGCGGGATTGAACTTGGGCGGCAGAACATATATCTCATCTCCCACAGACAACGTTCCAGAAAACAGACGTGCAAAGCCAATGAAGTGTTCGGGATCCTCCGGTTGTTCTGGTGAGTTGTCCTCGTCGGCCTCCTCACCTATCCTCGTCGAATTCATCCCATTGGTAATGCCGTCTACACCAGACGAGCCTTCGGCTTCAGCCTGCGCTCTGGCGATCTCGGCTCGCTTCCTTCGAGCAAGATCTCTGGCTTCATCCGCCGTCATCGTCGCTCCCAACTTCCGCCGCTTCGACGGAAGCTCACTCTCAGGAACTGCAACCATCTTGCTGACATAGGCAACGACTGGTGCGGAAGGGGAGGTGTCGAAGTTGATCATAGCATCTCTCACCGAGGCACCGATACTTTTCGAGCTGACCAAGTCATCTATCATCTCGGGTAACCGAGTTGCTTGGGCGCTAGGGGGACTGGGCAACAATTCAATGACAGAAACAAGGAGAGTCGTCGACAGAGGCAGCCAGGACGAGAATAGAGCCTGTAGCACAGCTTTTGAATCCCGAGACCTGAGTATGTAAGCTGGCAAATTGATGGCCAGTGACTTTGTGATCTTCTCCAGCAACGCTGGGTCGCCACGTCCCCCGTTGATCCCGATCGTAGCATCGTAGGCCTGCCATATAGGGTCTAGGACAAGTTGGACGAAAATAGGTTTGAGATTTCTGCCTTTCAAGTGCTTTTGACCCAAAACCTTTTTCGTCTTTGGGTCAAGATAGAAGTCACCCCATAGCACCTTTTCGAGGATCGTCCGTTTGATGCCTAATTTCTTCTCGTAGATTCCAGCAAACTGTCGTACGCTGAATGCCCAACCATCGATTGCGCTCGCAAAAATGACATTGCTTTTCTCCGGGGCAAAGTACAGGTCTTCATCATCTCGCTCCTCAAACTGTTGATCCAATTCAGCTTCGGTGGTGTTTTCGTGCAGGGCATCCTGCTTGTGCTGTTCTCTGGCTGCTCGCCTCTCGTCAAGTTTCTCGCGCCACTGCAGGTCCTCTTCCATGCGCTCTCCCTGGTAGAAGCCTCCTATGACGGCATTCACGCCTTCGAGAACTCTTTCCAGGTGCAAATATGCCTCGGCAGGACTCATTTTCAACTCGGTGATCAGCCGGTCAATCTTGTTGATGACCAGCAGAGGCTTCAACTTCTCGATCCACACTTGTCGTAGCACGGTGACCGTCTGTGAGCACACCCCCTCGACGGCGTCCACGAGCACTATGGCGGCATCGCATAACCGCGAAGCTGTACTGACCTCCGAGGAGAAGTCAATGTGCCCGGGACTGTCGATCAAGTTGATCAAATATTCTTCCTTCTTGGGCTCTGCATTCTCTTGTTGCCTCCGCATCATACTGAAGTACAAACTGATTGCGCTGCTCTCCATGGTGATGCCGCGGATCTGCTCGTCCGGCCGCGAGTCCAAATATCGAATCTTGCCAGCCATCTTGGGAGAGATAATGCCATTGGTGGCAATGAGGGAGTCGGTGAGGGAGGTCTTGCCATGGTCGACGTGTGCAAGGATACATATGTTGCGGATGTTCTGCGCATTCGACTGAAGGGCAACAAGTTTGGAGGGCGGGATGGCGGGCATTTCGACTTTGGCTGCGCAGCCACGGCGGTGAGGATGGAGAGATGTTGGTGTCGCAACAAGACAATGTTCCTCTGCGATTACTCCTCGACCCCTGGGTTACACTCGATTTGCTGGTCTGCACTCGATGTCCTGTGCGGCGGCGGTAGGAGGCATAAAGTCTACGAAAAAAGCGAGGCCATAAATAAAAAAGGTATGACGCATTCAATTATTTTACTATCACAACTATTTTGCTCCACAGCCTCGGACCATCACTATCACCACCTGAACCAAATGCGGAGGACCACTCCAAGCAGGTCATAATTTGATGAAGCTTCTTTGTTGTTGCTGTATATGATGTCTCTGCGCCTCATCTTGAGTTTGGAGTTGGCCAAGTATGTTTGTTCTGCCTCCTGGAGTCTTGCTCGGCAGTACCAGGCACATTATAGCGGAGCCAGCTTCGAGCTGTGGAAGCATCCAACCTTCTGCGCCCATCTCATTCAGCCCTGACGACGGAAGACCTAGCTGTCAAGACAGTGCTCGGGTCGCCCGCCTAAGTCTCGTGCCTATAAGCGACTAGGTTCCAACCTCTTGCCATCGGACAACAGCAGTGCTTCGCAGGTGCATGCGCAGGTTTCACCATTGCCATATCCTGTCCTTCGTGTTGGCTCCTCACAGCGACTTCCCTTTCCCTTTCACGACTCTTCGCCGCTGCGCCATCATATGCGTGTACAGAATGTAGCTCCCCGGAACGTAGATGAACAACACAATCTTCAGCAGCAGGTCCACCCCCTTGCCTTGCTTGGCTGCAGGCGCCAAAGCGAGATACATGAGCAAACACTCGCTCGAAATGCCGATCGGGTACAGAACGAAGAACGTGCTGTATCGCAGCCAGGTCAAGAACTGCGGCACTCTTTCACTAATGGCTGCTTTCCAGACAAAGAAACCGTAGCGGATGATTTCGGTGGTTCCCCAGGCCAAAAGAAGCCCGGAGAACGCGATCGGACCGGTAGTCGAGCCTGCTTCCAGCCTTCCATAGATATTTGTCTTCACCACAATCTCCGGGTACATTTGTAGCACGACCCACACCAGCAGGATCCGTGACGCGACTTGCATGCCGGTTGTGAGAGGACTGGCTCTGACGAGCCCGACCACCGCATGCACCACCTCGAGGAGGGCTATTGTCTGCGTCCATTTGAGGAGGGGGAATAGAGCAGGAAGCAAATGCTCCAGCTGTCCCAGCGCGGTCAGGGTGGGGATGAAGAGCACGGCTCGCAGCGTGACTATCGACCACAAGATGAGACAGAGGGCATTGTATGCGAGGAGGTACTTTTGGGTTGGAGATGACGGCGGCGTCGCTTGTCGGGGAGTTTGATTCTCCATGGCAGTAGTCGACTGTCAAGTGTGTCAGACGTATGTAGAGGCGAGTACGGGGGTTCGAAAGGATTTTGCAACGTCAAAGCTCGTGCAGCATACCCTCACAGCTCCCTGGCGAGGTGTGCTAGGACAAGTCAACGGACGAGGATGATTGTTGGGGAGCCTCGTACTTTTGGTTGCGGTTCTGCGATTGTTGAACGTAGAAAGGCGGAACATCTCTATTGTTTCCTGGACAGGCAAGGCTGAGCAGAATACTTCCGCATTAGGCTAGAGTGTTTGGTTATCCCGCCAAAGGGGTCTAATTTTTTTCAACTGTCCGAACATCGGAGGTTTTGAAACGGTCTTCCAGGTCCAGTATACTGCTCGTGATGCTGTCGTCCGCCTTCAGAGCAGGATGCTCGGTTTTGGCACAATCCTTCAACTTCATTCTTCCTCAATAGTGCAGCTGATACGCAATGGGCGGACCAGGAGTTGGCTTTGAACTGCCATCCAAGAAGGTCTCCTGGCTCAAGCGAGACGTCCTCCTATTCAATATCAGCATAGGATGTACTGCCGACGAGCCTCATTTTCTCTACGTATGTAGCCCGACATAGCTGTGCGGCTATCCAGAGCTTAGCTGACCCGACCCCAGGAAGGACACCCGAAGTTTGCCCCATTTCCAACGTTACCCCTTGCACTGGGTAAGTGCTCCAAGGTACTAGTAGTTGATGCCGGTGTCCCCTGTTGACACAGAAGGCAGCGTTCAAGGGTGACAGTCAGGAGGTGATCGACTTCTACTCGGGCCAAACCATCACGTCTATCCCCGGGTGTCCCACCCTCGACCCTGTCCGCCTAGTCGACGGGCAACGACTTATCAGATTTCTCAAGCCTTTGCCTACCACGTCTGCCGGCAGGTCATTCGAGCTGCGGGAGAAAGTGCTCGGTGTGTACGACAAGGGCAAGGCTGGGACGGTGGTCGAGACGGAGCAACGCCTAGTCGACGCCGAGACAGGAGAAGCCTATACTCAGATCATAGGGAGTCTGTTCTACGTCGGCCAGGGCGGATGGAACGGTCCACGAGGTCCCAAAGCTGCAGATCTATCGCCTCCGCGAGACAAAAGTCCTGATGGAAGTTTCATCATACATGTATCTCCTCTGGCGGCGCATCTTTACCGGTAAGTCTTCGCCGATTGCTCGTTTGCGGAGCTTGTGCACAGCACGTACGTTTACTGAGATCCGACCTTTCACAGTCTGAACGGAGATTACAATCCGCTACATGCCACCCCAGAGCCTGGTCGTTTGATGGGATATGGCGGCATCATCGTCCATGGCGTGACCGCCTATCAAATGGTAGCCCATGTTTTGCTGAAAGAACTCTGTGGTAGTGATCCCGCGAATATCAAAGAATTTCAAGCCAAGTTCTCTGGGCCGGTCTGCCCAGGTGATCAACTAAAGGTGGATTACTGGAAGGTGGGAAGTGACGGAGAAGAATGGGAAGAAATCAGATTCCTAACCACGGGGTTGCATGATCGAGAGGTACGGCTTCGTGATGGTCGGGTGTTGCTCAGGACCCAACTCAGCAAAAAAGGGGATGACGAAGCTGTGATGCGTTGGAGGGAAGCACATGCATAGCATCCATCTCAGCCCTCCTAGATACTTCTCCCTGATATCCAAGAAGTACGGATGTTAGCCGGTTGGATGTTTTCGTTTCTCTGCCATGGCGGAGGATTCTCGGAGGCGCGCACGATTCTGGAAATCCATGTACGGCGACTGCAACAAGTAATGAGGCACCTCGCGACACAGCCACTGCGGGAGGGCCATGGACGATGCGGCTCATCCTTGGGCGAGCCTTGTCGACAAACAGCATTCGAGGAAAACACAAGGGCCGCAGCGCTCCGTCTCTGCAGTCAAGGCACCAGCTAGGATTAGTTCTTGAATTCGGTCTCCTTCTTCTCCAGTCGCACGGTTGTCAAACCCGCAGCAAGCCTAGCCATCTTCATGGGATCCTTGTTGACCTCCTCGCTCTCCCACAGTGCTTGCGCATCACTCGGGATCCCGATGGCCTCGGCCGTCTTCGCGCTGCGCGGGTCAACGAAAGGAGCCAGACACGGCCACACTGCTTGGGCCGCATCACAGAAGATGTCCACGCCCACGTCGCCTAGGCCTTTGATTTCCTTCAACCGCTTTCGAATCTCCGATGGCGAAGAGTCAGTTGCTGGGCCCGGCAGGAGGTTATTGAGATCGCCTTCTGTGCGATGGTTAGGCTGGGCTTCATATCCATTTAGAACTCGAGTCGTGGAAGGCGACGGACGCCCTAGTTCAACACCTGGTCGACAGCAGGCGATAGGTAGGAGCGTGGTGCCAGAAAAGATACAAGGAATACTTACGATAGTTCTCTTCCAGAAATTCTACCAAGTCTCCCAATGCAGTGGCCGTCTTCTCCCGGTACCTGGTATATCCGCCCTCTGTGAGAACCCGAGTCCTCTCATCCCATGACGTCTTCTTCAAGACGTTGATCTTGTGATAGCCGGCCTTGATGGTCGTGGTGAGGGTCTTAGCTGCCAACTCATGCGAGATCCGAGCCGAGGAGAACATGGCGTTCAATAACAGGGCCAACATTGTTTCCGGTTTTGGCGACAGAGGCTCATCAACTGCGCTGTCGGACAGTGGAAGCGAGCCATACTTTTCGATCAATGTAGCGATGGTAGATTTGGCCAGAGAGTCAGGCTTAGACTGAGTGGATTGGGACTTCATATCCTCTTTCTCCTCCTTTTTCGCCCTTTTGTTCGCCTTCACCTTCACCTTGTTCGAGTCATTTGACGCCTCGGTCTTGCTATGCGACCTCTTTTGGGGTATCTTCTGGCCCGTTGCGCTCGAGTCTCCGCCTTTCCCAATATCCCGAGCACCTGGTTTCCCATGGGAGCGTGTTTGCACCATGATCTTGGTCGGTTCCCGTGCAGCTCAGGTGAAGTCCCGCTATATTGCTAGATTTGTTCCAGATTCGACAGAAGAGACGGCTTGCACCCAACGTAAACGTTGATGTGTGAGATGGCAGTCCATGAACATCTTGAACACTCGTCTATGATGTCAGGGCTATTCAGGATCATATGTCATCGTACAGAGAAGTATGGGATTCTCGTTGACACCAAGCGCAGCCTTGCTCATCACGTGGCGACTGGTCCCAGTTCTATTGGACTCCTTTCGTCTCTTGAAAGATTTCTTATAATTACAACTCAGTCAGATTACAAGGTGTTTATGGTGGTTCAATGTGGACGGTTTCGGCAAGAACCTTTGTATGCAGGTCTGGACTCTTGAGGTTCCGAGGAACACCGCTGGCCTTGCATCCTCTGGCTTTTGTTATCGACTTCATACCCCAAGCCCTCTTGATCAACGGCGACGCATTGAAGAGGTGGGTGGAGTGCCACTGAAGATACTGCGCGTTGGGGTCCATCCTCTCTGTCCTTCAGACATGACGGGCTGCGAGTGGCATCGGACGACATCCAGTGCAGGACGGCATTTGGCAACATGTGTAGACTGCGCGTTGGCTGATTGGAGCTTGCCTCGAACCTGACAGAAATGGACGGGCCTTGAATCTACCGAACCCAGCCGATCAAATTCCACTCTTCCTCTCGAGCTCAGCCGAATACAACGATAACATCACCAGCGTTGATAATGAGCACATCTGAGCAAGCAGATAGCACATGGCAGACTGGGTGAGGTAGGTTGGCGTTTGATCAAACAGCCCGTGAGTACCGCGAAGGAGGAGCTGTCCTGACAGTCACTTGATACTCGGACAGTCGGCCCAGAGTTGCAAGTCCCGGCGAAGCTGGTTTGAGGCTACTTGATAGCCACAGACACTGATTCTCACGGCACTGCTACCGGGATATGCTGGCGTAGACTGTCGTCTACCTCCTTTGCGAGCTCCACTGTATGGTCCAGCATGTTGACAGTGTCTCGATCAATGGATTGGACTGGAGCACCACTCATACAGCTCATGTCCTGTTTCAAAGGTCCTTTCTCCCAGGTGTCATTGACCATCCATTCCGTGGGCACGTCAAAAACGAGTGAATCGATTTCCTTGTTCTTCAAAAGACTGCCGTTGTACCAGAGTAGTTTCGTTCTGTGGTCGACGTGAGCAATAGTGAAACCGCAGACCTTGTCTTCCATGTTGCCATCCTCTCCTGTCTTGACCTGTCCCACAATGGATGCGTAGTGCTACTCCATGGAGTAAGCGGTGCCGGTAAGTTCGAAGCCGAACCACCAGCTCTCCTTGTCACCGTGTCCTTGCCGGTAAGTATAGGAATCGCGCACGTCTCTCGTGTTCTGCCAGGCGATGTGAAGAAGACCAATGAAAACATCCAGACGTGACTTGTCAGCGGCGACCACCCCAGAGTCGCACTCCTCGGCGTAGCTTTCAATGTACACTTTCGACTGCTTGGTCGTCTCACTGAGTCCCATCCCTGCAAGTTGCTGTTCCCACCAAGCATGTCGTTCCGGATAGGCTCCTTGCCAGAGCAGTCGGTCATGAAAGAGCATGGTCCCCGTTTCGTTGTACCGGGGATCTTCGTCAAAGATTACATCTGGCTGCTGAAGGAAGAAATCGTCGGCATCGAGCAGAATGACTTGTTCGAACGTGCTTCCTAGAAGGGCAAACGCTTTGACCGCCCAGCCGCCATGTGGCAAGTCCAGAATGTCATCGTCAAAGATCGCTGTCACATCAAAAGTTGACACATTGGACGCCAAGGACGTGATAAAGTCCCGATATTCGCGCGGCAGATCTTCCTCTCCCGAATATGCAATCTGAATTGGTAGCTGGGACTGCAGGACATGTCGCAAGCTTGTCACCAGGTGGCAGGCGTAGCGGAACCGCTGCTTGCCGGTTGTCACAACCAGCCCCTTTGAACCCGGGACGAAACTATCTCGCAGCTTCTTCAAACCTCCCGTGCCATGAGAATGGCGGGTTCTGATGAACGGGACGAGTGCGAGAGCCACGCCTTCGATTAAATTCGACCATTCCTCATTCTGCGCCGGTGTCAAGTCCGAGTTCTCGGTGTGTGTAATCCACTCTTTCAATGTCTTCAGCCGCTGGCCCATCTCCCGGAAATCCGAGATATTGAAGGGAGTGTTCCATATTCATCCGGCGACCGCTTTAGCTGGCGCATAATAGGGATCGAGGAGAGGAGGGTTTGATGGAATCAGGAGCGGACCGACAGCCACGGTCGACTCTCGCCAGGTCCAGAGAGAGAAGACGAGGAGGACGGCAAAGCCAGCGAAGCCAAGGAGGCGGTATTTGGTGGTCAGAGATCCTGACATGAGGGTGTGCATCATGGCAACGGGCAGGAGAGCTCGACATCCTTGAGAAGAATTTTAAATCCTTCATTCAGGAGGATAAGAAGAAGCGTTATGCCAACAACATGACTTCTCGCCCAGTTGCTACGGTACTCGTGTACTTTACCCTGGACGCGCCATTGTGTTACGCGGTCTCTTGCATTGCACACTGTCAAATACACGGGATGGAGTCTACAGAGTCTACAGAGTACCAGATAAGTGTCCCCCTTTACTTTTGATGTATATGACTGCAGACTTGCTACCATGTATACCCCATGCGAAGGCGGCAGGCGTTACCGGGTGGTCTTCTTCCTGGGCATTGTTTGTGCACATCGGTGCTCGAGTTGCCGTCGACTGCTCTACCACCATCGACCAGACATCAATCAGGAGGTCTACGTCTCGAAATACATAACCGGCAAAGATGATCTTCAGGCCAAATGCCACCCCTTTTTGTTCTGCTAGTCTTCCACATGGTTATGTGGTACAGCCTTGCTCCTGAAGCGGCCACCCTGGGCAAATTCTCATCACAACCACTTTGAATTTGACGTCCACCTTCACCTTGTCCACCTGTGTTATCAATGATTCCGTGCCGCGCCCCCGACTTCGCTCCTGCACACCCATACACGCAGAACTTTGGGTCAGAAATACAAAACCCAACCCGACACGGCCACGCCCAAACACCAAAAACCCAAAAAACTTTTTCCTACAAACCCCGAGTCCGTCAACTTGGGGGTTGTAGGGAAGTGAAAGCCATGGTGATGATGGCTTTTTTCGAGTCGGTCCGATCGGGGATTCGAACAGGAGAGGAGGTAAAGGGACCCGGTGATTCTGCGCTGGACACGGTGCTTACTGAACCCGGGGCGGTTCAACGGCCATGCCTCTACACCATCATCCCAACTCAGCCACCATCCCGTAAACGGGGTCAGGCAGCTACCAGCTGGGGCAGACTTAAGGTGCGACTGACAGGAATTTTGCGATTAAAATATATGTACGGGGATTAACCTCGTCGGTCACTAGTAGCAGTGAATACCAGAGTCATATGATGATTTCTTCAAGCACTTCTTGCCTACCTACCTACCTACCTTGAATTCTGTACACTGATTCATGCGAGATGAAATGGTGATGGCTTATGGTAGTCCAATCATGTTTCCCTTACATGCGATGCGCATTGTAATCTGCCTTACCTTGTGACCGGCTCCTTCAACCCGACTTCGCTGGCCCACGGCCTGCCGCGAGACATGATCAAGAAGGTGACGGGAGCCGAGGGGATTTCCATTTTGCAACATCTTGCTCCGATTTATGATGTCCTTGTATAGTCATCGAACTTGCCTCAAAGTTCCCGATCACTTCGTTAACAGAGTTTGTTGCTAATTGGCATTCACCATACCATTGGCACCGGCAGCCTTGCTCACGCAGCCTTGCCGCCAAGCTATGCCGCAACTGGCATCATGCACTTTGACGCAGGCCGTGACGTCCATGATCTGTGCAAACGGGTAGCCATCCAAGGCACAGATCAACATTCCGAGACAGAGCTCTTGCGCACCCCAGGCTTGTGCCGTGCTAACTTCCTCAAGGCTGTCAAAGCCACCACGATGGGGGACGGAGAATATGGAGCTTGAAAGTGGTATATCTGGACTTTCAAAAGTTGGCTTTAGCTCGCTCATCACATGGCATGAATCCGATCACCTGAGATTTAGCCACTGGTGTAAGTAAGAAGGCTGCACATATGCCTGTCGGTGCGAAGTGGCAGTCAAGAGAGAAGTTACTAGACTGTATCATACAATCCTGCACTCAGGGGCCGAAAGACGTCGAGGTTTAATCATTATGGTTATTGTGCTGCGCCGTAGCAATTATACTCCGCCGTACCCCCGCGGAAGCGTTCCTCTCCTTGGCGCAGAACGTCGAAAATAATTTTTTGAAGCGCAGTTTCGAAAGTTGTCTGTCTCGTCCTTGGAGCTTTTCTTGCGCAGCGACACTTTCTGTTACCACAATTCAGATTGACTCCAAAGTGTCTATAGACCGCATATCATCAGAATGCCTCCGTCCAAAAGAAACCGGGTCATCCCGACCTCCAAAACCCGCAAGAACCGCAAAGAACTTGTCCGTCGACTGGCCTCCAATGTCCAAGAAGCGGCGGAGAAATACTCGTACATCTGGGTCTTTGATGTCCAGAACATGCGAAACAACTTCCTCAAACAAGTCAGACAAGAGTTCGACGACTCGAGAATCATGATGGGAAAGACAAAAGTGCTCATGGTCGGCTTGGGACAGACCCAAGAGACCGAGTGCGTTCCTGGAGCCCACCAGCTGGGTCCGTATGTGAAAGGCGAAGTCGGCCTGCTCTTCACGGACCGAGAACCCAAAGAAGTCGAGGATTTCTTCGAGGATTTCCTGGCAGAGGATTTCGCAAGGAGCGGCACGGTTGCGACTCGTGAGGTCAGGATCCCGCCTGGACCCATCCACACAATGTACGGCGTTGAAGGCGGCGAGGAAGATCCTCTGCCCATCCAGATCGAACCGACTCTGCGCAAACTCGGCATTCCAACCCGTCTGCACAAGGGCACGATAGTGCTTGAGGAGCAGCCGGACGGCTCCATGGCCGAAGAGGAGGGATATCTCGTATGCAGACGAGGGGACGCATTGGATTCCAGACAAACATCGATTCTCAAGATCCTTGGCGTGCGCATGTCAGAGTTCAGAATCGGACTGAAGGCAGTCTTTGACAAGAAGGAAGCGACCGTTCGGGAGGTGGGGGGGATGGACGTGGACGAGGCTTCTTGAAAGTGAAACACAGCCTCACCACCTCCTACTCCTGCCCGGGGTGTTGTTGGGTCGACGGCTTGATGAATCACGATATTGTATGAGGACGGGGAAGCCGGATATCGATCTCTGGCCCCAACAGCGAGAATGAGTTGAGGTCAGTCTCTCAACACTCATGTCCTTCCGAGTGAGAGCAGAGCTCGGAGTGTGAGGTCTCGAAAATACGCCTCGGCCGGGACTCCAACATCCACGGATCTCCTGGCAGGGAAGAGCGAGTCAGTCATACAGGATAATCAGTCGAAGACGTCTCTTTCCCGGTCTGACCCCTCGTCGTGCACAGAGAGCGCAGATGACTGCTTCTCGAGAGCTCGATCTGCTCCGGAATAACCCAGTTATCTGGGTTGAACTGTCACACGCCGCGGTTGACGTGCGACTGCACTAGGAATGTCTATTACGATCAGGAACAGACTACAAGTCAATGCCTACGAGGCTCATGGAACGGCTGGAAATGCGGCGGAGTCTCTTTAGCTTAGAGCCAAGTCAAGGGTCATACTAGCCCTCCGCTCTGTACCCCATGTATCCTCCAGCCTCGACATCGAGTACCCCTGCCCAGGATTGGGAGAAGAGCCAAGTCAGGGGTTCGCGAGTGGCGTTAGGACGAGATATACACCAGATCGTGGAGTTGGATTGAGCAGTACGCTGAGAAGCGAAACGAGGACAGTCAAGCCCACAAGTGTCACACAAACTCCAAATGACTTGGTCCAAGGTGGCTCAGCTTGCGACTACCACCGCCACGAGAGGGCTGGGCCATTGTATGGCTAAGCAGGTTGACGCCAATCGAGTCTGAACACAAAATCAGGTCACGGTCGTGATCAAGACCATCCCGTATCACGACATAGTAATGTCTCTTCGGAGTATCCAATCATGTTCTCGCGTCCAGAGCTTCCCTTCCTACTAGTACTCGATCACCTATGTAGTTGGCTCATTTCCTTTTTGTATGTCTCTGTCCTTCTATCTTGGTGTCAAGGCTTAAAGCGTTAATGCAAACTCCATAGAATTAAGGTCAGTAGATACAGAACAATATGTGTATATTTATATACACACACTTACACACACACACAACCTGAGTATCTCCCCGAGGATGCTCTCGCTTTGAGGGGATACTGAACAAGCAGCAGAGCCTCCCGTTGCTAGAACACCTTGGAGAGTTGATGCTATCCCTAGTTCTGCCTTCCGGTTGAACATTGATCGAGGGGCCTTGCCAGTTACTTGTGACAGGATCATGTCTTCTTCCCATGGCTAGGTCTTGCAAAGCATACCTTGTTTAGCATCATTTGGTTGGCTAGGAGGTGGGAAGACATCTAATAGGTCTTTTGGGATTCTATCGGTGGCTTCTCTGAGCTAACAATGCTTGCTATGTATATGTCGGATCCGATCTATGAGGATGTTATCTCCCACAGAATCGTCTTGTGATGATGTCGGCCTGGCACTTATTTGTGTGCCTGTAGTAATGAGATATTGATATATTGGAAGGCCTCCTCCTCTATTGATTTCTCACTTCGGCACTGTGGATGTGCTCAACCTGTGCCCTGCGTGAGAAACTTCGGCTTCAAATGTACGCATTTCCGCGTGCTCTCCACAAGTCAAATAGAGCTCGATGCTGATCTCAGTAAGGCCATTGCGGAATTCGGTGACAGAGTTATTATTCCAAAACAATAAATCCGACTTTTTCTGTGCAGGACATACAATGTCCTGCATCGTAGCCTTGCCGCCAATACATTTTGTCCGGCTACCGATTGGGACCAGGTGCGTGGCATGGTGTGTTTTGGGTCCCGAAATCGCCCAGAAAAGTTGATCAGCACCTTGACCTGGTCTCGAATTGCAAGGGCCTGGTGTTCTGAACAAGACGGCCTCTGCTGTTCCCATCATTCTTGGTCGGTCGTAGGCGTCGATCATCATGCAGCACAGCGTAGGCTCTCATGCAAGCTCAGCCGACCAAGTACAGACAGGCGAACGATCGGTCGATATTGCGACAAAGCACACGGGATATATATGTTGGCAGTCACAGGTGGTCAAGCTGCTTTGCCATCTGTTTTGCCATGAGAGCGCAACGTAGAATTCTTCGTCGTTGCTGCCCAAGGCTTTGGTGTTGATTTCTTTTCTGAGGCGGTGGCATCACTCTCATGAAGTTCGACTTCCTGCCAGTCGATAGCGTGATATGCCTGTTGTACGGTAGCGTCAGCGTCAACCTCGTCGCGAACATACGATGCGATCTGCGTTAGGTCTTCGGTAGTCTTGATGAGATTGACGAGGTTGTCAGTGCCACCCTCTCCCCCTTTTCTTATTATGGCGAAGATACCGGCGAGTAGTCCTCTGTGGTGTCGAACCTGCGCAACCGTATCGGTTATCTCCTGCATCATTGCCTGGCGATTAGCTGCCGTGCGTCTCCCGTCGGCGGCGGCGTTGAACCTGCATGACCAGTGGCGACGGCGGCAGTTGCTACAAGGGGCTTCGCCGTCGCATTTGATTTTTCTCTTTTGGCACATGAAGCAAGCCATCGAAGCGCGGGACCGAGTTGGAGACGAGGAGGCATTCAGCGACTGTCGCAAGGAGGTATCGTCTGTTGACATGATGAGACTTGCCTCCACGGGCAAAGAAGACGTGACCAGGCTCAGATTTCAGCTTCGTCTCGCCTGGCAAGTGGCTGCAGCTGCCACTGAGGCAGCGATTGCTGCCCAAGAGGTCCGAGAAGAAAGAGGAAAGAGTGATTAATGAGAACAGGAGCATGCACTCATGGGAGAAGCACTGTTGTATAATAATAGAGGCATTCAGGTTCACTCATCCTGGTTTGATTTGTGGGAACCGAGAGAGAGGCCACCGAGTGAACAAGGACACTAGGCTCGTCGCTGGAGCTCGGGCTAGTAAGAGTGAAGTCAAGGGATTTTGTTTCTCGGAGCTGACGCCTGTACGCCTTCTTGTTCTGGGAAGGACCATGAGTAGTGTGGATTGGACAGATACCCGGCGGAAATGAGTTCCTGTAAAGGTCCCGCAATACTGATTCGCCTAGGTCATACCCCGAAGACTCGGTGAAAAGCCAGATCCACAGGGGATCTGGTTAAATGCGTCAACAGCACCCCTAATGCTGTCCATCAAGGTCATGTTGCGGCACTGGATGTTTGTATCCGTCCACTCAACGGTACCATAGACAGGATTCTCGCGGGATGGTTCTGCCTACCTAGTCGAACGACAGAGACAATGGGCTCTGTTCAAGCAGATACGCGTCTTCTTCCGCGGGTGGAGATGCCTAGTGGACGTCGATTTTGTGAAAGACCAGGGGGAAGAAGGATGCAGGAGGGGATGTCTCCCATGGACCATGGTTACTGCGTCTGACCCTCCCATCAGCACCACGGTTGGAAAAGTACGAGACGTTCGAGGGCACAGTTCCCTCTACTCTGTAGTTTGACTGCTGTGCAATATCCAATGGGAAGCCGATCCGTTCGATTAATCCAGTGGCTTGATCGATGCCCATGTTCGAGTATTCTGATGACAACCAAGGGGTTGAGATCCATTCTTTCATCTTTTGAAACGGACAGCTACCGAGAGTCGTTAGATGGAAAGATTTTCCTGGTGATCAAGTGCCGTTCTAGGAGAATCATAAGCTCCCGTGACATGATGCTGACTGGACTGCCCCGGATTGCAAATTGTATTGCGTGTCCGGCGGAAGCAGTTTGGGCATTATGGTATACTCGACACGACAATCTCTCTGGCTCCGGGAAACTGATCACACTCCTCTTGCCTTGGTGTGAAAGCCCCAGAGTAGCCGTCTTACGATTCGATGTCGGCGGACTCAGCCTTTGATCCAAGTGCATCTTGGTCATTCGGCGTGTTATGATGGACCTTGGCCTCGAGGGTGGAGTGCGCCGCTTGCCAGGACGAGGACTTGGTGGGCTCTGATAAAATCCCTGTCACAAGACGTAGACTGTGGAGATAGAAAACTTGCATACCAGCTGTGGGATTTCCTGAGATCAGGAACACATCGCTTGCGTCCAGATTTCCCGCAGCGAGCGATGCGAACCTTCAAAGCGGGAGTCGAAGTAACCACTCGATGATGACTCTCGCCTCGATTCGAAACAGCCCACGAAGAATAACAGAGGCCGCATAGTCCCCTTCGGCCTTCGGTAAGCGGTGTGGAGTATTCATAGCGCTCTGAGTGGAAGCTGAGAGGCCCGTGGTGTGCTCTGGTTTCATGATCCAGTGCAGAAGCCATATACAGCCATCGCCCTGCTTTGTTGAGGCAAGTTGAGCAGTGGCAGGTAATCTTCCTGGAGGATGTCTTCTACCAGCCAACGTCACTCACGGTATAGGACGCAGGCGTTGCGCCGTTACACGATCTCACCTACTTCGGCACCCTGCACGCAGTCCCGCAACTCCGAGCATATTCTATGCAGCCAAACATGGATTCCTCCGGGTAAGGCGACAAGAATATGAGAGGATACATGTCTCTCACCCCAGCAAACCCGTTGACAGGGGTCAGCTCCCGTGCAAGCACCAGAGGCTGGTGAGGAGCAGCGCCGAGTGCAACGTTCTTGAATTGTACAATGGCGCTCTTTGGGCGGAGTGGACGCATATGCACTGCATTTGTTGCCAGGATTGCTGCTGTACTGTGGCAGTGGTGGTGCTATAGGAGTCAATGATGATGCTGACCTTACAGCAGGATTGGCCACTGCATGTCGTACCTGGCATGTCGGTCCTAACCGTGACACGCCAGACACGGCACATACTGCACCTCAGCCACTTTATCTCATGGTGCCACAGCATTGAGCGGTCTGTCGATCGGCCGAAGCTAGATCCGAAGAGCCATAGGTAGGTACAGGTAGGCGAGCAAGAGTCTAGACTCGACAGGGAGGTTAATGATCCATGGTGCCGAGCGTGGATCATGTTCTCCGATTCCAGCACAGGAATCCTATTCGGCTGTTACGGCCGTTGAGGCCCGAAGTTGGCGTCTAGCGGTCTTGCACTGGGAGTGCGAGAAGGGAGTCCGCCATGACAACCGGTGCTCGGGGACCAGCCCACGCTTCTAACTCTCGTGTCCGAGGTGGATATCTCATATTCATTAAGTATCGATCAGTCTCACATCGCCTGCAGGATGCCCGAATTGGTCGGAAGCGAGCACTCCACGCAATGTCAACGGCGGGTTTGGCAGGTAAGAGAGTCTTTTCATTGAGGATTCAGGACACTGGGTGCCTAGGGTCAATCGTTAGCTCATGAATTTCTTCTATGGCATTCAACATGTGGCTTTGTCTGTTGCGGTGCGAAACCAGAGGCCCCGTGGCGATTAGGTCGATTTCGAATTCAGCTCGAGACCGGAGTCCCACTTGCCGTCAGCCCAAACCTTCTCGGAGGCCAGTCGAGATGCTTGCTCTGTGGTGTGGTGGAATCTGGGGTAGACGGTGGCTCATGGAAGACCGGAAGAAACGTATCCCACTGGCAGTTGGAGTTATTCAGGCACCCGGCACTTTGACAGAAGAGGATAATCACGGGCTTTGGGCCACCCGCAGTCTGCAGACCCCAATTATTCTGTCTCTATGCTGCACCTTTGTATCTACCGGTGGTGGGATTTGCAACAGGTACAAGATATTCTGACGGTCCTCGAGTGCTACTCAACTCTACATCAGCGTTTGAGCCAGATGCTTTCGGGACGATACGAAAGAGTTACAGGGCGAGAAACCGCAACCACTGCGTGGCTCTCCCCAGACAAGGCGGCCGGATGACTTCAGCTGACGGTTGTTATAGCACTGTGATAGCAGTAGTACGTACCGCTAGTGGTGGACACCGAACAAGGATTGTTGGATTGTCCCTAGCCTCTTCGCCAAAGCATATGCAGGGGGACTAGTGGGTGACCCAGGTAAGCCTTTGCCAACGACGCTGCTCATCTTATGTACATGCGATGGATGATATGCAGACGCCTAACAATAAGGCGGCAACGTAGTCGGTCACTGGGCGATCACGCTGTCAACGAAGATGCCGTGGTGCTCATAGAGGGGGAGTCTCATACACCGAAGAGTCCCTGCTTTCGAGAGTCCGCCTGACATGGCACGTTCAAGCTGGAGAGGGAGGCTGAGAGGCCGAGAGGCTTTGGATTGTTCTAGCAAGGAAAGCTCTAAAGACAAGGCAAAGCAGGCAAGTCAAGTCCGAACAGGGGAGAGCAGGAATCCTTCATTCAATTATTGTGTTGTTGTACATTATTATCGTCATCGTCGTTGTCGTCGTGTCATAATCTATCCGTCATTACTCAGCGCCCTGGGTCCAGCCCTCCCATCCCCTGTTTTCCCGTCGTCATCTTGAGCAGGCTGCTGCTCTAGTATCGGGGACGTCTGTCCACTTATGCCCAACGCCGACTGATCATTCTATCATTCTTTCTCTGCGCCAGGCTGGTAAATGGAATGCCCGGGTAGGCGTGTAGTGTAGTAGTCGCCGAAAAGAAGAAAATACCGCTTGCTTTTGTTCCACTCAATGAAACCATTCCGCAGCGCTGTCAAAAAGCATTCAATGATCGAGGTGGCTTATCGTAACTCATGCAACATCTGTGTGCTTGATTAGATAGCCACATCGATCATGCTGGGTCTTCGCGCTTGTGGATAGTAGTCATCTGGGACAGTACGACCGTAGTCGTCGTAGTCGTACCCATACTGGACTTCTTGAAGGTCTTTGAGAAGACACTCCTCTAAATCCTCTTCTTCGTCGAGCAGGTCTTCCACAGCTGCGGAGCATCGATCGTGAGCCATTCTCAGTCCCTCGGTCTCGTCGGCGCCAGACACAGTGCAGATGCTGACAATGGAATTGAGTCGGGACCGCTGGGCTTGGAACTGAGCCTCAATCTTCTTTGATGCGGAAACGAGTTGAGGGTAGGTCATCGACCGCGACATTGTCCGTGAGATGGGTGATGAAGCGGTCGGACTGGACGGAGCGGATGGCATAGGCGAGTTGACAGGAGTACCGGTCAGGAGATCGTATCGAGCAGCCAGCGGCACATGTGAAGCAATCAGAGTAGCCAACTTCCAGATATCGCAGTGGATGCACGGTGTCGAGCATGCTGTATACAAGAGCTGCTGGGTCGCGCTGATTTGCTGCGGATTTGAGAGGCTGGGACGACAGCCTTTGAAGAGCGCCGCCTTGGTTCGACAATCCGAAGGCATTGTGAGTTGTGGCTGTTGCTGAGAAAAGAGCCCCGAGAGGTGCAGCTCAAAAGCCGGGCGCTTTGTAGCAGGATGTGAGAAATGTGAGAGATGTGAGAGATGTTGTGGCACTCGAGGGGTTGGTATTCAATGGGTTGATGTACGGATGCATTAATTTTATGGGCGAAATTGAAGGAGCGGGCACGGACGTCGTCGCGGGGTGATAGGGTGCACTGGATGCGAGAGGAGGGAGGGTGGGAGCAAGGAGCTCTGTTATATCCAAAAGTACTCTTGGTATTTACTGAGGCTTGAAGTCGATAGTGTGGAGGTGAGAAGCGTCGAGGGCGTTGTTTCAATGAGTAGCGGTTGTATATATCGCTTTAGCTGTGTAGATTCATCATGTCAGCTTCCCATATGAGTGTTTGGTCTGGTGGAGACCGGGGAGTCAGTCGTGGACTCATCATCATCATTCACCGTTGAAACATTTATCATCATGCAGCATTGTTCCTGGTATGGAGTCGGAAGGTAGCAGGGAAGAGATGGTAGGGGTCGATGTGTACATGCATCGTCGGGTCAGCCTCTTCCCAGCCAGCACCCACTCATCACCCACTGACCGCCACTGGGCAACCCGCCTTCCGCGGACTCAGGGCTGTCAATCGTCAATCAAGTCTCGCGACCCTTGCCTGCTCTGTCTTAGTATGCCAAATTGCCCATGCACCACGCATATCATACCTCCGATTGGGGTTAGTGATGGTTGGGTAGCATTGTCCATGACCAATGAGGGCTTTTGTTGCTTCAAGCCCTACACGTGGAGCGACGGGGAAACAGGGGTAGGATTGGTGACTGACCCCTTCAAGCCGCTCACCGGAAATGTCGCAGCCCCACTATGACCCGAACAAAAGAACACTGGCCAGGCGGTGACATGGGGTCATCCCCTCTTTGGCAAGTAGCAGTGCCGATCCTCAGATGCCATTGGCGGAACCATTGGCGAGGCAGGCACCAGGTGGGGATGTGCAGTACGTGACGTGCAGGAACGAACATGCCGTCTCTTTGTCCGGCAACCTTCGTGGGAAGGCAGACTCGCAGGGCGGCGGTGAGATTACTGTCGTTATTGGGAGAAAGCACGGGGATTCCTCAGGGTGTTGAGACACTCACCTCTCACTGATGAGCCTTGTACACACCCTAACCCCACCAACAACCCAAACATCCCTAGGTGCACTGCATCTGGTCTAAGCGAGTGGGTTAGTCACCCCTAGGCTTTTCTTGCTCTAGTGGTGGAGTATTGCTCTGCTGCCTGGTCGATCTGGCAGTTTGAATGTAGACCGAGATGTCATCAAGAAGCTACAATATGTCATCGTCCAGGTATATCTGTTTTATCACCTCTTCGGACTGTCTTACGTGGGTAGGTAGGTAGCCACCTAGATCACCGAGGTATCAGACCACTGTATCACTGTATCCGCTCCAAGACCAGCTCATCCGGTCCCAACATGCGACTCATTTCTCGCAAATCTAACCCTGAAGGGCAAGTCGTGAGAGTTGTTCTTAGGCCTACTACTACTACGTACCTAGTTGCCAGTTGGACCCTAAATGAAAGGCGAACAATCCCCCACTGCATCCCTGTCGATGGCAGCCTAAAGTGCCTGAAGAACGAGCCTAAGGAGCCTAATCCCGGCGGAGATCAACCAGCTGAACAGCCCTCCTTAGCCTAGCGCAGCCCTACCAACTCCCTATCGACTCCGTACAAATCATTCTTCCTATCAACACCATGTCTGTTATCGTGAGCAAACCCTTTTCTTGTTCCTCGCCTGCATTTGTACCTCATCATCTGCCAGCTGAGACCTGTTTATCACTTTTCTAATCGTCTCCTGAGAACCATTCTCTTCTCGTGTCCTAGAACAACGATGTCCATACCTACGCTGTCTCTCTTTATTCCACCACCAGCAGATCCGCCGTCTGTCATTTTGAGACCACGATCCACTCCTTTCAGCCGCCATTTCCTACTCTCGTATGAGGCTGCAACATCCCTGTGACTTCCACCCACTTGTCCTACATTGGCTGTCTCTGCCACCGGCCAAAACACGAGCATGACCATCCTGGCAACGCCTTACGGCCTTTAGACTTTCGTCGTCGTGATACACCCTTCATCTTTTCCCGCTGACGCTGGGACCATCCAGGTTGCGAACCAAGTCTACACCAGGAACAAAGCCAGAGCTGAAGAATATACCCGAGGTTAATGGGCTCCCAACCAATCTCTTTTGGCACAGAGATACTGAACTCGTCCACTGCAGGTTGGATTCATTGATGGTCTGTCCACGACTTGACCAATGGATCCAAATTCACTCCGCCTTTTCCTTCCGCTGCGCCTCGAAAACCCAAACCAAAGCCAGGGCCAAGGTTCGAAGTTCCTACTATTCGAATACGGTATGTCCTTATTTTCCTATTGAAACCTCGTGAAACTCTGAGCTGTTGCAACTGGGCAACCTGCAACGAAACAATGCGGTCACATCATCTAAAGATAGGCGCAGAAACATTTGATTGAGTGCTTTGGTCTTGCGTCTCATTCAATATCCCTGATGCAATGTGTTTGGCACTTTATTCATGGTTGCCTCCCAGCGTATCCAACAAATCAACCGTGACAAGGTCAAACGGTGTTACAACGCGCCCAAGATGGTGGTGGGATGCTGCTTGTCTTGAGCAACTTGACTTTGGGACTTTTTTGAGGAGCTACGGCCGTTTGGTTTATGTGGATTACTACACCGTTGTCTAACATGGGGCAGCATGATCAACCCGGAAGAACTATCCCTTGAATGTGGCCTGTCGAACACCTACTCACTTACTACAAATCTAGCACTGATATTCCACTAATGAGTCGCCAACAGATAACGTGCCCAAGGTTCTGTCATAGTCCAGGACTAGATTCCAAGGTAAGGTTGTCCTTTTTTGTCATTGAAGACACCATCTGCCTTCTCTTGTTTCTCTGGGGCCACATCTGGCCCCAAAGATCGTACCAGGCGACAAGAGTGCACCACAACACGAAGCAGGATCAGATATTCTGCTATTCTGGCATGGTTTAAATTGCCCATGCAAGAAAAAAGAATGTCCTGTTGCATCAACCGCTCCCACTAACAAGTCCGATAAAGCCGGTCACCCCACATACTCCGAGGTTCTGTATTGCTAGGGGGGCCCCGATTCTCCCGGTCTTCCTTTATTTGCGACATGATGATGGTATGGTGGCGGACCGGACAATCTCATCCGCCCCTTGCCGCGTGACATGCCAATTGCAAGCCATGCACAAAAGGACAGTACACCAATCCGCAAAACTTGCAACGGATTGCGTCGGTATGCTGCATGTCTCAAATCTATCAGAGCAGCCCAAACACAAATGCAGCGCAGATTGTAATCGAAGGTATGCTCCTAACCTACCGCTGACGGAGGTGCTAGCGACTGGCTCAATGATCGCCTACAAGTACGGCACATGTCTGGCGTAATGGGAAATCATGCATTACAGAGGACCACGGAATGGCGACACATAGACCGAAGATGGCAATGCAGCCATGCCCGCGATTGTCGGGCAAAGATGGGCTTGGGAAAATCTCTTGAACATATGCTTTCCAATCCTGTAGATTGAATAAATGATTGAGGTCGCTACAGTTATATATACGGTAGATAGCCAGCCGGACAGTCAGCAACGTGATCAGGAGCCAGCACCCTGGTCACTCCGAAAGCACGCATTATTATATATCTGATTACTGAACACTAGGACAGCTGTCCTTTTCTTCGGCTTTCACTTTATTTGATTCTGTCAAGGCTAATCGAACATAGTCAGTCGCCGCTGCTTTGACTTTTGAGCTCCGACTACCATCTGTCGTGGCATCAACTTTGCCGCAGTAGCAGCACTCTGGGCCGTTCCCCGTCCACGGATATCGTTATGCGTGACTACCTCATGGAGACAACGAGGCATCATCCTTCTCTCGAAGCCAGCTCAATCCCGACGCTTCGTTCTGACCTGTCGGTGCCCTCATAAGCCGACAGCGCCGGGACAAACTGCGCTCCTTAGACCTAATATCTCGGAGGTGGTGGAGGTGCACCATAGCCGCCTTGCTGTGGTGGGTATCCCTGAGGAGCACCTGGTGGAGGTCTGCCGTAACCACCTTGTTGTTGACCATATCCGCCTTGTGATTGTCCGTACCCTCCTTGTGGCTGGCCATATCCACCCGGTTGCTGTCCTCCATAACCGCCTTGAGGGGGGTATCCGCCGCCGTAGCCACCAGCACCGGGAGGGGCGCCGTAACCGCCTGCTGGACCGCCATAGCCACCTTGAGGAGGTCGTGCAGCGCTCTTTTCGTCTTTCGTGTCGTAGGATGAGTCGATCGCGCCCAAAAGCAACTTGATCAACCAAAGTTCAGGCGTCAACTGGACAGGAGGGTTTGCCCGGGACATTTCGTCGGCTTCGACTTCGTAGTCTGTTGAAATCATCAGTAAAAGGATTAAAGGCAGCAGAACAGAGGGGCTTCATACTGGATGTGCAGTCAATGATTTCACCAATGCCGGGTTCCTCATCGAGCTTGCTCAAGAACTCGCGGGCTTTCAAGTCATTTCCCACCTGTGCAAACTGAAACGCCAACGCGCCCTTGCCGTATCGAGGGTTTCTAGCCAGCTCGTCCGAGGCAGCCTTAATAATCCTAGCCACGTCAGATGAGTTTTCACCTGTTGGTTGCCCATCCGTGATCGTGATGACCAAGACCGGTTTGCGTAAAGTTCCGCGTCGTGCTGCGTCCAGCACCAATGGTCCTAAAATCTTGGCTTGCAATTCTCGACCCATTGGGGTGAGGCCTGAGAAACGCGTGTGAGAAATCAGCTCATTGACTTGTTGTTCGTTGCGAATGCCGTTGCCCTGCTCTGGAGAATTCATGAAGCGGACCTGGATCCCGTCTTCATCGAATAACGAAGCAGCGTATGCGACACGTGACAGTATCAGTTTCAAATCGTCGATACGCTCGCCGTTCTCCTCGAACTGCATGCTGCCGCTGTCGTCAATGTACAAGATTACATCGTACAAGGCCAGCTTGACAATGTCGGAGGCAATCTCCGGATTGATGCGCCATGTCTGAGCCAATTGCGCAACTTGCTGAGCACCTCGATTGGCAATCTGGTCAAGAATTGGGGAACCCGGTGGGTAGAAATTCTGCAGTGCCTTCTCTTGAATTGTGGCCTGTAGTAAACTTTTGTAGGCCTGAACATTGCCTACTGGTGCAGCAGGGGCGCCACCGTATTGTCCGCCTGGAGCACCGCCGTACTGCTGAGGTGGTGGGCCGCCCTGTGCTGGGCCACTTGGGTAGGGAGGTTGACCTTGTCCTGGAGGAGCACCCTACAATACAGACATATGTTAGCAATGAGCTTTGCAGGCATTGTGTGGTTGTTCAAGAAGCGCAGCAACGAACATATCCATATCCAGCCGTTGGAGGTTGTTGATATTGCGACTGGTACGAGGTGTATGCCGCTTGTGGTTGTGGTGATTGATATCCTCCTGCCTGTGGCGGCGGGCCAAGTTGCTGTCCATATGGTGTCTGCTGCGGCTGAGGCGCTTGCCAGGATGGTTGCTGATATGGCTGAGGCGATGCGCCTGGTCGAGGAGGCACCGGAGGTTGTGTGTACGGTGATGACGGTGGCTGCGGATACTGGGTGGTGGGTGGTTGCGGCGAGTATGGAGCAGGCGCGCCAGAATAGCCGGCACTTCCTGTTGCACCTTGCGCCGCTTGCGACAGGCGAGCAAACTTGCTCATGATATGTTCGTGCCGAAGTTGGACAGTAGAAAAGACCGAGGGCTAGGGCAGAAGTCGAAGATGAGGTGTAAAAATATATGTTCGTCGTTTGTTGCTCAGAAGCGGTTCGGAGATGGATATGGATATTCTCGAGGCACAGATGACGCAAGAACTTGCGAAATCGGGAAAAAGGTGCAGTGGCCGAGAGAAGAAGAAAGGCAGTGGGGGAAGCTCACCGAAGTAGGAGGGCCGCCTGGATATGCCTGGTACTGCTGTCCGCCGGATTGGCCGGCGGGTTGGCCCTGGCAGTCTGTCAGCTCTTGATCTCTTCATTTCTTCTGATGACCACTAGTCTATCTCACAGCCACGAGCGGCTGTGTGTAGGGTTGACTTACATATCCACCAGGAGCGCCGCCACCACCAGGCTGCAGACTTGTGGGAGGACCGCCAGGATACGCAGCGTTTGCTGCCGCAAGTTTGGAAGCAAGCTAGACGCGTCATCATCAGTAACTTGTTCTCGGAAATATTCGAGTGCTTTGAGCAAGCGGGGTGAACAGAGGGGCATCAGGGCATGGCGCGGGGAGATCTTACACCCATGGCTGACAGTTTTAGGAAGGAAAGTTGTTTCTTGTCCGATTCTGAGTAGGCGATAGAGGTTTGAGGAGGTCGAGGAGGATGATATCTGGTCAAGGAACGAAGCTGCCTTGTCTTTTAAAGGTTTGATGTGAGATCGTAGGTGATGCCGGTCGTGTTCTTATTATTCCATGCAAACAAGACACTGGGATGCCGAAGAACGTGCTAGTGACAGGGGCCTTTCAGAGTGCCACGGGGCAGTGCACGTCCACGGTGGGGATGGAGTGACGGTAGCTTCCGACTCGACCAGGACTCGGAGTGAAGGGACTTAGTAGGACTGTTGGCGATGAGGACAGCTGAGTAGGATGAGAGCAGGGTGATTTCACATCAGTTCCATCTGCTTGTAAAGGTTGTTGAACGCTGATGGATAAAGGTAACTTGTTAACTTGGTTACCAGGTGTTCACTCACTGCGTTGCAGCACATGAATTGAATTCAGAGATAGATGGAAGCGGTGCAGAGCAATTTCGAGAATAGTCGACAACCCCAAGCCACAAAATGTGGCGGAGACTGCGCCGGTGCATCCTTATTGGGCCATTTTGTAATGGCTGCCTGTGCACAGCCTTGACAGCCACAATTTACCCCTCGGTACCTGATCGACCGTACTAGAGTGTAGTGCACAGTGCACTGCACAGGCTTGCATCATTAAGGTACCTTGCCTTGTCCAGTGTATGCACAGTAGTATACACTGAGAGCAGTTGGGTGGACACAGGGGCTGAGTTCCTCATCAGAAGCCACGTTACTACTCCAAGAACACTACCAGGTATGTAGCACATCTCTCATTCTATCGATCACGGCTCCTTTTCCTATGTACTTCTGTAGCATGACTTACGTGCTGAATCGCGTTCGCTCTCAGATAGGCTGTGCAACGATCAGATCAGATGAATGCATCTAGGATTAGATAAGATTAGATGACCGGCATCACTCGGTGAACCTTCCCGATATAGAGGGAGGCCCTTCACCTCATTGGCGCCACATCGGAGCCTCATGAACAGTGATTTCTTGCCATCCAGCAGATCCGAGCCTTTAGATTCTTCGTTTAATAGATTCTTCGATCGTCGGGCAAGGAGCGCAATCGCCTGGGTCGTTCCCTGCTTCCACACCTGTGCGGCCTATCAAGCGAATTCTTCTAAGCAAGCCGTTGATCCCAGATATCTGAGAGAGCTTAGATCATTGTCAGACCTCGTACTAGGCGTCGAGATGCCCAGTTACACCCCTTCCCAGAGGGGTTCGATATCTCAATTCGTCAATTTTACCCAAGCGAAGGAGAGTATAGCAGCAAGGGTACGTTGTGATGGCCAGAGCCCAAGACCGAGATCGCATAATTAAGCCTGGCCACAGTATCTTAAAAGTCATGAATGGAATCTGGAAAGGGCGCTCGATTCGTAAGTAAGCCGTTCACATGTTGCAACGACCCATATGCCATGTCTGCTTCCTTGGAATTTGGCTGCCCGAGCTGCCGGGATCGCACTATCGGATCGTTGCAGGCTGTATCGATATCGTTCCATCTCCCAGTGATTGTGGTAAACCGACCGCAACGGACAACCGAGTGATTCCGAACAGTAACCTCGCGAGACGGGTGCCTCTGCCTTTGCGGGCTGCAGTGACACTGGCAGCACTGACTGCCTCAACTGGGAAGAGACTTCAAGTTGAAGTGCGTACAACTGCCAAGATCCCGCCGTCGTTCTTGCGCAGATCGGTTGCTATGTGACTGGCAGTTGCGGTCTCTCGCTCCTTCCTGAGTTCATTCCCAACATCCGCTTCAACAACACCACTCACACACCCTCTCTGTGACTACCTTGCCAGTATCCTCACTTTCACCAACCTATCACTATGCCACGAAAGCGCAAGTCTGTCGAGAAACCTCTGACGCCGGGCTCGGATTCACCACGGGACAAGAGAGTCAAAATGCTTCCTTCATCAAGCCATGGCAATGTAGCAGCGACCGTGTCTACAGCCATCACTACCGTCGTGGGAGGCATTGCAGCCAAGTTGCCCGCCAGAGTCAAGTCAAGCAAGAATGGCGCCAAATCCCACCGTTCAAAGCCCTCAGGGTCTGTCGTTTACACGTTGTCGAGTGGAAGAAACTAACGAGGGTGTTGTCGGACAGGTTTTATCAGAGCGGATCCAGCAACAGCCCTGTATCTCCCATTCAGCAGAACCTGAGTAAACTCTTCGACCATTATAGAGGTAGGTGCCTCGAATGGTTGCGCGTCTGCCAGGTGGCTGACAGGACACAGACAACCCGAAGGATGCCCCAGACAGAATCGGCATAGAGGGCGCTCAGAAATACTTGACCGACCTCAACGTCGAGCTCGACGAAGTCGCTCACTTGGCCATCTGCGACCTTTTGCAATGTCCGTCAATCGGCGAATTTGAACGAGGCCCGTTCATTTCTGGATGGCGGAGCGTCTCCACCGCCGATAAAGCGTATGACACGATATCTCGCCAAGCGCAGTACGTCGATATTATCCGGAAGAAACTCGCCACCGACTCTGCATACTTCAAACAAGTGTATCGCAATGCCTTCAAGCTCGCCAAACCTGAGGGCCAACGGAGCGTGCCGATGGATTCCGCAATCGACTTCTGGAACATGTTCTTCCGTGAGGGTAAGGGAGGCATCGAATGGAACACGTCGACGACAAAGTGGATGGACTTGTGGTGTGCATACTATGAATCGCAGAGCAAGAGACCGGTCAACAAGGATCTGTGGAACATGGTTGGCGAGTTGGTCCTGAAAACAAGGGAGCCGGGCGGAGAGTCTCTTGAGTGGTGGACAGAGGATGGAGCGTGGCCCATGGCGGTGGATGATTTTGTGGCCTATGTCAAAGACAAGAGAAAGGCGGAGGGCGACACGATGGATATCAGTTGAAGGATTTGCTTGGAGACACCGCACGTCGAACCTGATCGATGCACATTCAATATGTTGTACAGCGCAGAATGCCCCTGGCTTGACGTCGACGCCAGGCGAGAGACAAGACAAGCACAACTTGAAGGGCAAACTGAGGGTCTGAGCGCCAACCGTCAATCATTCCATACAATCAATGAGTTACTAATAGCTCAACATATTTAAATGGTTGTATGGTGACAACTAAGGAACCTGATTGTCTTCATCTGGATCTACTGCCTGTATACTTGTATATATGTATCCCTGTATGCCTTTCTCTTGCACGTGTTCATCTAGGCCGGATCAGGTGACCTGCCTGATCCGTTGCAAACAAACATCGCTCTCCTACCACAGCACTTGAACATACATAGTCCTCCGTGAACACAACACGATTAGCAAGTCTCAACACTCAACACTGCAAAGTGAATGGGTGCCCTCCCGCTGGGATGAAGCCTTGTCGCTTTGTTCATTGTGATGGCCGATGGGCTCAGTCTGACCTGAGAGGTCTCGCGACAGATCTCACAGGACTCTTCACAACATCCTCATCTCCCCAGTACCTTTCTCTTCCTGACTGCGGCTCTTTTCCCCGCCAACACCCCGGACTTCACATTCCCACAACAGTCTCTGTCTGTGTTCAACGGCCTGACTGATTTGCTGTTGTTCCGCAGACCCAGGCGCAAGAGTACTCTGATACCTTCGCGATAACATGTCCTGATACCTTGCGCATCTCCCATTCTTGCGGCCACGCCTGATCCCAGATCGGTCTGACCTGTTACTGTTACCCTGTCTCAGCCTGATTCCTCACGCCGCAGTCGCGCAATGCCTAGAAGATGCCGATACAGTCGCGGGAAGTTGTCACCCTCAATCTGATCTTTGATTGTTGGGTAGAGGGTGAAGAAGGCTCAGAAGACGAGCAAGGCCTGGTCAAAGACGCTCAAGTTGCCTCACGTCTCCTCCTCCTGCCTACCGAAGTCCGCCTCCGAATCTTGCGCTACCACCTACTCGTCGACAGAAACCGCCACGCTCATACACGCCGCCCAGCCGCCAACACTGTCCCTGAGCTTCTGTTTGACTCGCCCAACATTCTGGAGGCATCGGTGTTCAAACATAAAGGCGAACAAGAGATCAATGGCTCTCTACCAATCATAAACAGATGCACTCCTCAGACTGCGGTCTTGCAGACGTGCAAACAGATTTACCTGGAAGGGACTTCAATTCTCTACAACGAGAACAAGTTTGTTGGACTCCAGTCGCGGATCAAGGGCTTGGGAGCCAAATTCAGAAACTATGGCATACCCGTCTGGGGCCCTCTACCAGCATCTCGTCTGATCAACTGTCCGTCTGATCCCAAGAACAGCGGTTTCCAGGAAGCAAAGTTCAATCCGCTCATTCTGTTCAGTGCGCAGAGCAGCAAGTCAGACACTCCATTCTACGTGTGCAGCTACAAGGATGCGGCGGATTTCATGCATGCGCTATGGATCATGGTCGAATGTCCCTTCTCTCGTGGCATGCGGTACAACTTGACTTTGTCATACGAGCCGAACTCTCGTTTGATCAACCGTGTCGACAATTTCATGAAATACAACGCCTTGCCTTTGTTGCACGCTCACATCAGGTCGGTCGATTTCCACCGTCCAGCAAATACTGCTGCAGAACATGGTCAAGATATCATGTCCAAGCACCTTGAGAAGCGGCTGCAGTCCATCCGTGATGAGTATGCTATGCACAAGGCGCGCAGCGCAGCTGAGCCCAACCTTTACGCCTACAATGCCATTTGTACTTATCTGGAGAATGTGATGCAGCAGGCCGATTTGTTCGTCGAGCGTGTGGACTTTATGAGCGCCGAACTGTTCTACGAACGAGTGTACTACGAAGCATCGGGAATCATTCGCACGCGAACTAGTCCGCTCGTGGACGTGTCGGCCAGGGGCAGGGAAGGCATCAACCGCGTTTGCAAGCTGGTTGCCGTGAGTGCATACAGACTCTGTGAGCTCCGAAGCGGAACGTTGGGACACAATATGGCTCGACGACTGAGAATCTTCCTGATGCAACTTACGGAGGACACAATTGGTACGAATGATTCGACATTTGGCTCTGGCTCACAGCCCACCAGCACGGCTGGCCCTTCTCGTTCGTCTGCTCCGCTGCCTCCGCATCCTGATGATGGACCAATCTGGTCAATCTGGTCCGAGCAGGCATGGATCAGGGCCAGCCTGCGCCCCAGATGGCACGACGAGCGAATGAAACACACCGCCGCGACTTTTGGCCAATTCACCGACGACGGCGAAGCAGACGTCGAAGCCTCAGGATCTGCATACACTCGCCGTCTCACGACACGCCTCCACCCGACTCTAGCGCGAGAAATGGCCATCGAACACGGTCTCCTCGCACTCCGACTCCCGTGCGCCAGCCCGGTTCACGAATGGAACGTCCGTCTCGAAACCATGCTCCTCCGAGCGTTCGCCCAACGCGACGACGACCTTGGCAATGTGTTCTTGAGTGTCTGCCGCATGCAGACGCACGTCAACCTAGTCTGGCTCGAGGCCAAAGCCAACGCAAACACCGGCCCTCAGTGGGACGCACTTCAGGAACTGCTAGCCCGTCTTACCAACCAAGTTGTGCCAGGCGGCAAAATGAAGTGTCCCTACAACACGGCCGACCAGGTTCAAGATGTCGTTGCTTCCTTGTGGGGGGAACGCTTGAGACCCAAAAAGAGCTACAACAGCCTCGTCTGGACCTTTCGATGGGCAGGCTAGAGTCGAGTGAAATGCGCTTCCATAGCAAATGGACGAGATGTACCTTGAGAAGTCTCAAGATGGATGCGGAATGACTTGCCACATCTTGTTTTGTTCTGCTTGGCTCTGTTGCTCACGGTCTCGAGCAAGGGTTTGGCTGCTCGGGAAAAGACTGCGCGTGCTACAACATGAGGCGAAGCGAAGAGAAGTGAGACTTTCCGATCACACAGCAGTATTGACTGCTCCGTTTAGTGGTGATAGACACTAAATGAAATGTCCCACAAACGTGTCGTTCTTGTTCCATGTTCCCCTCCCCAGCGTAGTCTTTGCTCTTGTGCGCTTCAGTTGACATAGGGTATTTTGTAAAGCACATGAGGGGAATGCTCGTGTCCAGATTTCTCAAAATGCATCTCCCTTTGTGTATATTCCCCTCTTCCCCTCCCGCAAGATAAAAGGGGTATCCACGTCAAGCATCTCAGCCTCGTCCCTACAGCCTCGTCGGGTTTGAGGGTTATTACATAGGTACATGGAGGTACTCTACGGCAATGGGCAATGCGGCGAACTTCTTGGACATTATATTGTGTTACTTTCTGTGGTGAGCAGCATTTCTCATTGGTGCAGAATGTGACCATTGTCTTGGACAAATAGCGAGCAGGAAGGGCCTGCACTCAATTGACCGTAAGACTGTCTGGTGAATAGTCTCAAGGTTGAAGCAAGGATGGAAAGGATTGATAACCACCAACCGTGTAGAATATACAGCACTTCAAACTTCAAACTTGGTCCAGCTGGAGCACAGCCGTCATAATGCCGCCGCGCCGCTACTTATTTCTCCTACAGAACGCACGGTTGCCAGTCCCTCGCAAGGTTGACCATAATAGAAACTCAGACATATGGCGCGCCTCGGAGCTTGGAGCAAGCTGTGACAGTTCCCCACCGTGGAATGCTAGGTGAACCCTATTGTGCGTAGGTGCCATAACAAGCTGCTGGCTTCAAGGTTCTGGCATGATGAAACTAAGGCCTAGGAAAGATGGCCAGCCATGGGAGGCCTGACGCAGATCATTCATTCCATGGGCCGAGCGGGCGAGTTCCTGGCGCAGCCCCTGGACGAAGGGACTGCCCCCAAAAAAGGCCCAGAAGCAATCAGGCACCATCCCCAAGCTCGTCCATGTGCTTGCAACACGGATTGTCACAGAGATTTGATTGAAATGGGTTCGTTCGTGTAGTTAGGCAGACGTCTAGCCAGCCATATGAACCCCGAGGGTATGCTGACGGCATTTCTCTCTGTCTCTGATATTGATGGAATTCTGGGGTGACCACTGACCACTGACCAGCCTTCTCACAGTCGACAACGACAACAAACATGGGAAAGGTCCAGGTACATGAGCATACTCTTTCGTATCAGGCCATTTCGCCCAAGTCTCCTTATGGCCTGAGATGCCTGAAGACGTTGTTCACGGAATACGACAACGCTGAGCCCAGTCGTCTAAGTCTGAACAGTCTCCTTTCCAAAGACTTCCAGGACAACGAGAATGGAAACGACAGGAGTGTCGGGCGCGACGAGGCTATTGAGTCTATTATCTCCAGCCGAGCGAGGTGCTCTCGACATCAGATTGACCTAAAGTACGCATGTTGCATCGAGCATTCCACCAGCAGACAGACTGTCTTCTTCGAGGCCGTCCGCTTCATGGTGGTCAACGGCGATTCGGACTGGAGACGCATCCCCATCTCAGGGAGGCTGGAGGTGAGGATCAAGGACAATATGTTTTCGTTGAGAGACGCCGTGGCCGAGATCGTCTCGAGAAGAATGACCTCGGACACTAGTCAGTTGCTCAGGAAAGATTTGTCGCGGACATCGTCAACACCGCTGAGTCCAGCCGAGTCGCCAATGTCGATCGTCGGACGCTCTACCAGCCAGAGTGCTCTCACCGGGTCGGGGGCCACCGAACTACCAGGCATCTCTACAACGTCAATCGACAACAGAACGTTGCCTCCTTATCAAAGCCCGACGGCCGGAACTCCAACCTTTGCATCTGGCAGCTCAACCGATGGAGAACAAACCTTGAAGCTGTGAGCGTCGTTCTGAAGATCGCCCCATCCAGTGACCGGGTATGATGCTCGTTCTAGCCAGCTCCGACCTGTCTAGAGAAAAGTCTTGTGTTGCTGCGGTGTTTCTGGTCCTCTTGTGCAGCACATTGCTGAGCGATGGTATCGGTCTCGAAGGATACCGAACAATGGGGCTGGACCACGTATTGACAGACTAAACCCGGTAGAGTCGTCATGTAACCGGTTCGTCACGCTGGACACGGCAAAAGAGTTGGAGTAGGTATAGTACAGATTGGTATGGGCGTCGCTGGAAGCTGTGAGGTCCTCACAGAATAGCTGCCTTAGTCTGATCGGTCATTGACGATCCACAAATCACGTAACCTTGGGAAGAGGAGCAGCCTTGCCGAAACCTCCTCTCATGACCTTCTCGAAGCGGTTTTCCATCTTGCTGAAAAATCCTCTGTAATCTCGACCTGGCATTGCGGGATTACGCCAGCCATTCCTGCACCATATACTCCAGCTCCCCATTTCCCGGGCCAAGAGCACGTCCGTCGCCAGTCTGTCCCCCACCACAACGATTTCTTTTGGATCTTCTGTGACGCCATGATCTTTGAAGTATTTCAGGATGTCAGGGCCGCAGAAAGGCTTCTTGCGGTCTGGGTGTTGTCTCAGGACGGGAAGTCCGAGTTCGAGCTCCAATTGCTTCGCTTCAGCCTCATGCTCCAGGTCCGGACTGCTCCCTGCCGTGTTGGAGACGATGAGGATGCTGTGCGCGTTCTGGGAGAATTCGGGGGACTCCCTGATCTTCTCGATCTTGTTTATGTAGGATGGATGCAATTTGGCTGTCTGGGGCGGACAGAGCGTATTGTCTTTGTCCAACACCAAGGCTCGTATTCTAGGCTTTTGTCCCGCGCCATCGAGCGAGGGAAGCCAAGGACTAATAGGCAGAGGGAGCGAAAGGAGGGTTGGGATTGTTCTGTGTGGAAGCAGGCTCGAGGGATCATGGACGGCGTAGGCGAGGGTTAGCCGGAGAGCGGGCACATTCGAGAGGAAAGGCATGTCAACAAGGGAGTGATCGTCAGCCCAGAGAAGGGGCAGACTGAACTGGCACACACATTGTATTCAAAACATTTAGGAAAGTGTAGCTTGTCGTCGAGAGTCGGAGAGTCGAGGATCAAGAGTTGAAGTTGAAATCCATGAGCAACTTTGGCGGAGATAATGACGGAGATAATTCTGCAGCCTCAGATTCGATTTTCGTGGCTGCGCATTTCACAACTGAATGTGTCTAATAGTGATGAACATCTGCTGCTAACAATCACGACGACGACGAGGATACTGCGCAGCCTTCCATCCTTGACGAGTCCCAATACCAACATCTGTTGGTCTGCCTCAATTGCTCTCCGACCACAGTCACCCGATTCTAGCGCACCATGGGCAAACTTACATCCACCATCGGCATCCCGATCAAGCTGCTCAACGAGGCACAGGTGCGCTCCGCTGCGAAACTACACACCAACAAGAAGTGAAGCTGACCAAAACTGCCTACAGGGACATGTCGTTACTTTAGAACTCACCTCGGGCCAGGTCTACCGCGGCAAGCTTCTCGAGGGTAAGCCGTCAATATCCTGTTCGCGCCAGCCACAATTTCGGCGGATTGTTCTTTCTGAACTCTACTCCTTCGACGCATATATACTGACGACTGGATTTTATAGCCGAGGACAACATGAACGTACAACTCAAAGACATCACCGCCACGGCTCGAGATGGTCGGGTGTCGCATCTGGATCAAGTCTATATCCGAGGCAGCCACGTACGATTTTTCATTGTTCCCGATATGTTGAGGAACGCGCCTATGTTCAGAACCCGGGGCATTAGAGGCCGTGGTGTTGGTCTGGCAAGAGGAAGGGCTACAGTCAATCGGGCGAGAGCAGGAAGGAGGAACTAAAGGGACGGCTGGGAGGAATTCGAAGAAAGTCACAATGAATATCTGTCCGCGATGACAGCCCACCATCGATGGAACCCGGAGTCTGGCGTCTACTGAGACTAAGACGGGTGGTGCCATGCGACGTCTCCAACGGCGTTGGACGTTTGCAAGAGGCGCGGAACCGAGGTGTCAACCAACATGATACCCTGCAGAGGCTGGATGAGGACGCAGTTCGACGCGGTCTATTGTACGCATTGCGATAAGAAGAATCCCAGCGTCAAAGCTAGGGAGAAGTCTAGCAAATCGTTCAGAAGGATGTTTGATTCAATTTAGTCTGATTACTTAACCTGTAGTCATCTCATCCGGGGATTGATTGATAGCCTCGTCTGCCAAGGCTGAATATAAATGGTCTTTACAGAGTACCTACAAAGTAATCAGGTTGCAATGCTTCCGAAGTAGTTACTTGCGCATACACATTCTACCTAACAAATCATCTTGATATCGTGTCAAGCAGCCAGCGAATACCGTGACCCAAGAAAGATAATCCCAGGCAGCGTTCCCTGCCGAGCGCGGGGTGGACGGTCATTATGGCCGCCTCAACATCAACGCAACTATCATCCCTCCGTCTCCTCGTGCTCGCGCCAGCTTCAGAGCCCACTGTTGTACCGCCGTTCCCGAATCTGTTAGAGGCAATTACCGGGTCGAGGCCGCCTGATGAAGTCACCTCTTTCACCGGATACACCTCACACCCGCCATTGGCCCTGAGGACGAAATACTACAGTTCCGATGTGGGTATTTGGTGCGATGAGCTGCCGGCGGTGGCGGCATCAAGAAGCCCGGGGAATGATCAGAAAGCGTCTTCCTCTACCGATGTAGCCAGTACTGCAACACCGACCGTGGACATTGCAGAGGTCCAATTAACGAAGCGGCCAGATGAAGTCGGAAGCCCTCGGGCCGACCATGAACCCGACGCTCCTTCAACGCTCGAGGAGTGGAAACAGCAGATGCTCTCTCCTGAAGCCTCAGAAGTCCGCGCTGTCATCGGTGGGATTGTGCTGGTCTTGCCCACCTCATCCCATTCATCCTCGTCAATCCCGACCAGTTACTATTCATTCATCGAGGCCGTCCATGCGCTTAGAGAGGCAATCGAGGAAGAAACCTATGGTCGCGATGTTGCCTCGATTGTTGTCCTACAATCTACCTCGCCAACGATCTTCCCAAGCAGGTTGGCCAGTGCCATAGAGGAGATCGAAGACGCTTGCTTGTCAGATAGGGGGATCTTGGGGTGGGACTTTGTCGCCTGGGACGGCGCAGTGCAAAGACTCGGAGAGCCGGAAGCAGAATCAGAAAACCAAGCGGATGCCAGAAATGACTACGGCGAGGAAACAGGTATCAAAAGAATCATCGAAGTGTTAGAGGGCATTGATTGGTCTGTGGCGCCCGATTTTGGTGATTTCGAGGACGGCGACGGATTCGACTTCAACCTGCAGGGGGATGACGACGAGCAGTCTTCAACGGATTCTTTGGTCAACAGGGGTCTTTCGGATCTTGATCATGAACTGCAACGCGAAATGATGGAGCTCAAGATGTCTATGTTCGATACAGAGATGGCAGAGATGGCAGAAGATAGTGAGCCGGCAACGCAGGATGTGCCAGGGTGGGATTCCAGTCACGCCGTTGAGCCACAGGGCGAGATGACGGAGGTGGATATGTCAGAGCCTGACAAGGCGTCGCAGGATACCAGGGAGGCCAAACCAGAGGCGAAAGGAGGGTCCTTTGACGACGAAGAGTTCCAGGTCGAAGAGCTGCAGGGACTGATGGAGCGAGTCGTTGCCATTCGGGAGGCTGGCTCTGAGATGCCCAAAGCCGAAAGAGAGAGGTTCGCGAGGAGAGAAATCGCAAGGATCATGCGAGAGATAGGCTGAGAGTATGCCTTTAGCACATCTTCAGGGTTCATTCCTGTTGAACGAACCCACTCTTTGCAATGTGTGCTTTCCTATCCCTTGACGCAATGGGCCCACGATATCCTGTCCGTCGTAGTGCGGCCTCCCGGGCCATTTCCGACAGTCACTCGGACGCACGTTGTTTTTTTTTGGAGTGCTTCATGACCTGCTGATCAGGTTGGCCGAGGTTTTCCGGGAAATTTGTCGAGGCTGGCGGAGGGATGAGTGCGAGCCTCTTGCGACACCGAGAACCTCCAGCAACGCGTGGTACACAGCAGCGTTGATCGACATGGCCTGGACCAGGAAGGATTTTGTCGACAGCGCTTTCCACGCTTGATTGTGCTTGTTATGTTCATAACTTGCCCCAATAGCAATCATCCATCTGGGTCGTCAAAAGACAATTTGATCTTCTTCGCCTTCTTCTTCGCAGTGACAGAGTCTTTCTTCTTCGTAGGTTTGGCTTCGCTCTCCTCGGCTTTCTTGTGGGCGACTTGCTTCGAGTGACTACCACTATTGTCGTCTGAATGATTTTCGTTACTATCGCCTTCACCGTCTTCGCCGTATTCACCCACGACCTTGACCGCCTTTCTCTTTTTCGGACCGGTGGCGGCTCCTATCTCTGTGACTCTCTGCCTCTCGGTTGCCTTCTGACGTTCGGCCTCTCCTTGGGCTTCAGGTTCGCCTTCGCCATTCACTTCTCCCGCCAATTCTTTTTCGACTTCGTCCTCCTTCATCCTTCGCTCGAATTCGGCCTTGTCGACCCGCTCACCTTGCTCATCTAGGATCACGGGATCGTCGTCATCGTCGCCAGTCTTGAGTCTGTCCTTCTTCGGACGGGCGATCTGGATATTGTGTCTTCCATCCAGGCCACCAAATTCGCCTCTCAATTTGCGGAGAAAAGCAGGCTCTTGCTTGTTATATTCCAGGTTTTTGGCGTTGAATGCCATGTTGATATTCCCTTTTGCTTTATCCGCATAGAGCCTTGCAGACTCATACAGGAAAGGCGTATGGAAATGCTGTTTGACAGACAAGAAGTGCGTAGGAACAGTACAACACACACAGTTTGTACACAGAGGACATCGACCTCGACCGGTTCGAAGTCTAACCTGAACTAGACAAAATGCCGCCGCTTTTGCTCACAAGGCTGGCCGAGTTACTTAGTATCTCCACGTGACGATAAGACATCAGGGGCCTCTGCCACTTTACGGCCAAAAGCATTGGGGAAAACTACTCGCAGCTCACGTGCGGGCTAACTTAGAGCGCGCCGCTTTTATACCCGCTTACCTCGCACCTTACCCTACTCCCATCTTCCTCTTACCCTTCTACCCAGCTCGCCCTCACCCTTTAGCTACCCTCGCGTCGACGGGGTCCCGTTACCTCTATAGACCGTCTAGTCACTCCTGGTGATGGACCAGATGTCTACTGTTTCACAAGGCCACTAACACATAAGACCACCCGACTGACTCAAGGTATCCCTACCTATCTGAGATGTCCGATTGGCGGACAAGACTGTCCGACTAGGCCTCCGTTTCGCAATAATGGCTTATCATGACCCACTCCGGAACTGCTGTAGATAGTAAGGTAAGTGATCAGATCACGCGTCTGATACCCGACTGGCGGACAAGGCAAGGCCCCAATGAAATAAATGGGGCAGATAACAGACGCGTTCACGAGTTTTCCGTCCCCTGGGTACCTGATTACTTTATCAACAGGACAATCAACCTTGCACCAAATTAGTACTCAGCATTGGTCACGTACATAGTACAGCCTTGCCAGCGAGGCTAGGTACATTGTAGTTTTATAGTCGGCTGACCTTCCTTTTTAATCCTTCGACTTCCTCTCCAACAAGGTTAGTAGGCACTTAGTATATGCTCTTGTTATCTTGGTACTGTACCTACCTACTACCTGTAGTAAATTGTTCGGAATATTCGCAAACCCTTCACTTACTAGCTCTTGAGCTCTTGAGCTGTTGAGTCTCTTAAACAAGGAGCCTTGGCATCACAATATCATCTTGCTTGTATCAGTGTATAACGTTCTATATCTATCGCGGAGGTTTTCCTCCCATGTCGTTCAGACGATTCGTGGAGCCAGGCTGGCCGCCTCAGGCAGATCGACCTTTTCGTTCGCACCTTCATCCGGCCTGTCTATCCTGCCGTCGACGCAAATTGCGATGTAGAGTCGATCGTGGTTCTGAAGAGTGTGCCGTGTGCCAGGCCCGGGGTGAGAAATGCATATTTCCAGATCGGCCCAAGGGAGGAGCGGGAGGAGCGACGAGCCGGCGGATACCTCCACCACGACCGCATCGAGTCGAGCCTCAAGCAGAACCCATGGGCCAGATCAGGAATGAAGGGCAAGCTCTACAGGCCAATCCTAATACATCAACACCAGTTACGACCAAGTCTCGGGTAGATGTGACCTGGACTCCCACACGCCAAGGCACTGGCGCAACAGCTCCTGAGAAAGTTTACGACCACGAGCAGAGGTCTACTACTACAGTTCTCCATACCATAACCGTGGACAACGAAACGGACGAGGAAATTTCGCATGTGGTCGGACCTGCCGTTGCAAGAGACGCCAAAATCCTAGGGGACTGGGTCTCAAATCCTTCCGAAACATTTAACAAGCAAACCAGGTCATCATTTCCTAATGGACTGGGAACCAATAACACACGAAATTCTGGTCTATTCACTACTGTTCGCATGCAGCCTTTGGGGTTGAGGCGAGATAGGATGCAAGATTGGCGTAAATGCCAATTTATAGAGAAGTTGACCGAGCCATGTGCAGGGGATCTTGTTGAGATGTAAGTCGCTATTTGGGAGTCATTTTATTCAAGTTAATGCTTGGACAGATACCTTGAAAAGTCCAACGTATGCTTTCCCATGCTCGATGATATCAGTTTTCGGCAACTTTACTCCGAAAAGAAAGAGGATCTCTCGCCAGTTCTATTGTCCTGTCTGTATGCTAACGCCACGGCCTATTGGGGAAAGTCCAACAAACTGCGACTCGATTCTCTAAGGTGCCCGGACATTCCTTTCATATGGTCTCAGGCTCTGGAGTCGCTGTTCAATGCTCTCCTATTCTCACCTGAGCTTTCCACTGTCATTGCCGTCTTGCTGAACATTGGAGGTCGTCCAACAACTACTACAACTAGTAACTCAATAGCATTGGGAGGAGCTGTTGCTTTATCTCAGTCGCTCGGCCTGAATCGTGACTGCAGCACCTGGGAAATCGCTGATTCAGAGAAATCTGCACGTGTACGGATTTGGTGGGGAATACTCATCCATGACCGATGGTAAGCATTCCCACGTTCTTCTCCCAAGACCTTTTCAAAGCACCTCGTTGATGTCCACCCAGGTCTAGTCTTGCGTATGGCACTCCTTATCATGTTCAGAACTGTCATCATGATGTGCCGGTGCCATCCATCACGGATATCGTGGGACAGGTATCAGATGGCTTGAAACAAGAAGCAGGCTTTATATTCATTGCGCTGTGCAATCTGACCGAATCTGTGCTTGCCCCTTGCCTCGAACTGATCTATAGCATGCCGTCTCGATCACAAGCATCCGAACCGCGTGAGAGGCAACTTAAACACCTCGAGCTAAGACTAGATCAGTGGGAGCAAGGTCTATCCGATGGCTTACGAAAGCTTGTTGTTCGTGGAACCCAGTTGAAAGTCCCGGGGGCGGCAAATCTCAGGCTCTGCTACCTGTCGATCACGATGTTATTCCGGAGAATGGAACTGAATTTTGCTAGCCAAGGACAATTAGAGCTGGATTTGGACGCAAGCATTCATCGAAACCTCCGGGCACAGAAATCTGCAGAAGAAATTGTCCATTTTGTTCAAGACCTAGGTGAGGATGAGCTCAATGATTTTTGGCTGTCCGAGGCATCCTTTCTATTGGCCTATGCAGCAACACTGCTACTAGGGTGTGCTCTAGATAGTCCAGACAAGTCATCTGGTCTCAGCAACCATCCTGCTGTGAGAAGAACTCACAATCTAGTGACCGCCCTAAGATCACACAAAGAGATATATGGCTGGGAGCTAGGTGACCTTTGTCTAGCTCAGTGTGGCGAGATCGTCGACAAATTATCGACACCAGAAGAGATTGACATCGAAGACTTTACTCAGGAGTTGCAGCAAACTCTTATGAATGAAAGTCTGGCCGTGGATGAACTCTTTCCCAGTGTGTGGGATATGTTTAACGGCACATGACTGCGTTCTTGTACTAGTACTTTACTGGAAATGAGATGCTGGTGTCTGGTTTCGGAAGTGCAAAGGCGATGGAAGAATTTCTACGCATTTCATATCAGAATCATAGCGCTCTCTTTTATCACCACCTGCGTGCCGTTAACCGGGGGGTTAGTTATTGGAAATTGGAGGTACTAGTATCCAAATAACAATAGCTTCGACCCAGGCTACATGTTTCGATGACAGTTGGAATAAGAATACTGCACTTGGCACCAAAATTGTCCAGATATGTCCCATTCTTGTCTGAGTTGTCTGTAACAAAGCAACCGATATGATCGCGGATGCTAAATTCGTGAATGATCTCCGCCACTTTGAATGCGAGGTTCTCATCATTATATCGTCCCTCGATTCGAGATAGGCCAACATACATCGAACCAGCAAACGTTCGGAGTGAGGAGGATCAAAAGAGGTAGTGAAAGCGGTCAACACAGCTCGGTCGTTCGGACGATGAGAGGCCGGGCTTGCCATGTCAGAAAGTGTCCATCGCTTCTCCCCCTGTGGCAAAATTGGCCCGTCTTTGTTGATTCGATAAGCATTTTCCATATGGCCGTTCGAGTGCCGTTCGTTTGGCTTGAAGATGCTGCATCGTCCATGTGAAGAGTGGTCTGGCCTTCCTTCGATAGCACTCTTTGCAGAGTTAGGAGCAACGACCATATACCTCTTTCGTGATATATCCCATGCTCCCACACTCAACCCATCCTCAATCTCTTTCTATGTTGGCGCACGTATAAAAGAAATGTATCATCAAGACTTCTCCTGCCTAGTAGGACAAGTCAATCGCCATAATAGGAATCAGTTTCGTCCGTCGTATAAGCCTATATCCGACGTAGAGGATGGCAAATCTGGAAATATCAGTGGATTAGCCCTGACGTGAAATCATCTTTGGAAGCGAGCCCACTTACATAACCAAAGTTATATATGCAACGATGAAGTTTTGATAATCAAACTCCTCTCCGATGAAAGTTGCGAAACCGTTGAAGAACACTGTAGTCATGACAATTTAGACAGATGTGTCGAAGAGAGACCATAAAGACTGATTCACTTACTCACAATCCCGATGAAGATCATTGTTGCCCATGCAAGATATGGTTGGAAATAACTTCTGAAGACAAAGCTTTTGCGATCGACTCCTTGAGCCACGCACGCCTCTAAGTCCGGTGAGACAGTGCACTCAAGTTCGAAGATGGTGAAACCTACTATGAAACCGTATGAAGCAGACGCATACGCAAGTCCAACAAATCATGTTGCAGAGAGCTAGGCGACTTGTCAGCAAGTTGGACTGTAATGCCTGGTGGGAGCATAGGACTTACTTGTAAGGTTGGATAGCCAGTTGAATGCTTTGTTGGGGCCATTCGAAAGTGCTAAGAAAGAAAGGCAAAGAAAGACGGACTGGATCACAAACCCATAGATGGGGACGCCGTTTTTGGTCACTCTGGTTAGAGCCTTGGGGCCGTAGCCTTGACGACCGAGAGCAACAAGCATTCGTGAGCCCATGAAAAAGCTGTAAGAAACCAATTAGAGATCAATCGCGATACATAAGGTAGAGTTCAAGAGATCCAATACCTGAAGTTTCCCGCAGAGAACGCAGACGTAAGTACAACGGCATTGATTATGTGTGGAAGCACCGCTGGACGTCGTCAGCTACTCTGATAATCTTGGGCAGATGAATACTCACAGATTCCAGCACGGTTGATCATGATCACAAAAGGAGATTCGGCGACAGATGTCTTCCCTGATGCAAGCTCGGCAAGAAGATTCGGGTCGTTTCGTGGAACACACATAGAAATAATCCACATAGACACCACGTAAAGGAGGCCGATACGCAAAAACATGCGTCTATAAACGCTAGCCATAGCGACTCTCGGGTTTTGGGCCTCACCGGCCGCCAAGGCAATGAGTTCGACTCCGCCGTATGAAAATGCGGCTTGAGTGAGTACGGCCCTTGTCTGCGTGTTAGAAGGGGGTCGTAGAATCTCAGGTCAAATCAACCAACCAGAATCCCAAGAAGCGAGCGGTTGTTTTGTTCGAAATATCCAAATAGTCATCGTTGAATGGATACTCTTTCCAATATCTGCAAGTCGTAAGCATAAGAGACAAACCTGCGGAATAGACTGCTTCGACCTGAATCCGAGCCGATCTTTGTTGGGTGCCCCTCCAAGATCGATAACAAGTCCGAGAATAATGAGTCCAACAATTGCTGTAACCTGACACCAAGGTTGGGAGTCAATGAAGCAGTTCACCGTCTTTAGTTGTATCATGTCACGCACCTTCAAAATACCAAATCCGGCTTCAAGTTCTCCAAACCACCTCGAGCCAAGCATGTTACATGCCATGACACCACCCATCATCACAACGAGATATATGGCCATGTGATCAGAGTTTGTATCCCAATACCTATCAGATGAGGGTCAGGAAATCCGACTCGGTGCTAGATAGCACATGTTGAGACATACTGAATCAATATTGCAGCAGCAACAAGCTCCACGGCCGGGATAATTGCTGGAAAGAGGTAATATGTCCATCCGACTTTTGAAAGCTGCTATCAGTCTCAAGCAAAGTAGGCAAAGTAGGAGGGTCTCTGAGCACTCACAAGCGAACGCGAAGGAGTCGTCAACGAAATCGCCAGCGAAGGAAACAATGCTACCGGCATGAGGCCTGAAGACCGTCATTTCGCCTAAGCACATCATCTGCGCGTCGTTGTAAGAGCCCAATATCCTCAGGGGATTTCCCACGATTGTATTGTACTTACCATACACCCGATAGCCACGCCCATAACAGTGTAACCCAAGACGGCACCAACGGCGCCACCATTGGTGACCGCTTTACCGCTGCCAACTTTCTGCTTCTTAGCGAAATAGCCCTGGGGTACTTGACGTGATACATACGGAAAAGACCTGTACCGATAGCTCCCGCGAGCCCCATTATCGTGATACTTCTCCCGTGAAGGCCTCGACGCAACTTGACCTGGCTATCCGCAAAAACATCATCGATGGCATGGGTGTGCGAGCTCGGATCGAGGTTGTCATTGCCAGGTTCGATATCAGTAGCATCCTTGACAGCAACCGCCCTAGCCGGAGCGGCGTTGGTAATGGATTGATTCTTCGTCGGAGAGTCCATTTGAGCGATTCTTCAAGAATGCAAGGAGCAAGATGCAGACAGAGTCGAGAAAAGCTGCTGTTGATCGGCCCAAGGTATATATGCATGGCACAAAGGGGCTGAGATAATGAAAGTTAGATAACCAGACTTACAGCCTCAGCAAGAGCTGCCTCCAGTGATAAGGACCGAAACATCAAATCAACATCGGGAAGCCCCTGGGAAAGAACAAGCATGATAGGTCCTAAGACATGATACCTGCACCTGTACCTTTGCGTATCAAATCTGGTTGTGTAAGGTATAGATCGGGACTCATCCTCCGCTGGCGCTTGTGTCCGGCCTATCTGGCCCGGTCTAAGAATCTGTCCAGACCGGACTTTCCAGCTTTGGCAGGACCGATTCCGCCGGCGGGGGGTTTCCACACTGGCATTATCTGTTATTCCTTGTCATGGACTCGTCCCTTTCCACAACACCCGCAGCGGCTGACACGGACTCGTAATTCAAAATGATGGGACTCTAAGACCTGTAATCCGTGTAAGCTTCTCCTTGCCTTATCTTAGGGTCTCGGGCATGATATGCTATCTCGGAGGTCTACCCCACAGTTTGCCGGTTCGGGCCTTCTAAAATGGGAATAGACCACTCCCGACTTGCGATGCTGTCGGGAAGATCGCGAGTGGTCCTCACCACGGAGCGCGCGACATGCCGATCTCTTGATTCCGAGCAGTTGTGGGTATGAAGTATTGCACACCTCAAAGCACAGATCCATGTTTGGAAGGCTTCTTTGGAATCACGGAAAAACAATAAAACAAATCCAACTGCCTTCTACGACCAGATGTCTCTTTCATCACAGCATGTTTATTTGCTCTTCTTCTGGTGTATGAGTTGTCGCCATGGCTTCCCTCCGCCCTACCAAGATCACGACCGACGAAGGCTTTGAGACCGCTGTCTCTGACAAGCTCATCCGTTATGGAGGCCCTTGGGCCAAAGTCCAGATCAAGAGTGCGCATGGCTCTTGGCTCTATGATCCTGCTGGGAAGAAGATTTTGGACTTCACCTCCGGTCAGATGAGCTCTGTCCTAGGCCAGTAGGTGGAATTTGCGCCAACCCTTTCCTCGCTCAAAATGGACGTCGCCTAACCCAACTATAGCTCTCACCCGGAACTCGTGGAGGTCATCAAAAAGCAATGCGAAAACCTCATGCACTTGAATCTGGTCATGGTTTCCGACCCCGTCCTAGATTGTGCCACCGCTGTCACCTCGATGCTTCCAAAAGGTCTCGACAAATGTCTCTTCGTCTCCACAGGATCCGAGACAAACGAAGTCGCCATCAAGATGGCGAAAGTGTACACGGGCAAGTTCGAGGTGATTGCCCTCTCTGCTGGTTACCGTGAGTTCGCTATTCATGCGCAATATATGTCAGCGGGGGAGCTTATGGTTTGCGTGCTCTAGATGGTATGACACACGGTTCAGCCGCGGCTACATTTTCGTATGGCCGCCATGCGGCAGGTCCTTCTGTGCCCGGCACATTTATACTGCCGACACCTTATCCTTACAGGTCTCCTTTCAGACATCCTGACGGAACATACGATTGGAAATCTGAGCTCGACTATGGGTTTGCCTTGATTGACCGTAAGTGACATTCATTATAGCACGGTATCCCTATTCTTGCTTATAGCGGTGTAATAGGCCAAAGTTCTGGATCGTTGGCTTGTCTGGTGATAGAAGGGATTGTCTCAACAGGCGGTATTCTGCCCTTGCCAGACGGGTATCTCAAGGCTATCAAAGAAGAATGCGTCAAGCGAGGAATGCTCCTCATTATCGATGAGGCCCAGACCGGCTTTGGACGCACCGGCAGTATGTCTTCGTTCCCCTCTGGAAACTCCTTACATTCTTACAAATACTTTCTCAGGCAACTTTGCTTTCGAATACTATGGTGTTGTTCCTGACATCCTCACCCTGTCCAAGACGCTGGGTGCTGGTCTGCCTCTTGGCGCCGTCGTCACCTCTACCGAGATCGAACGGGTATGGCACGAGAAACGTGGTTATTATGGCACAACTCACATGAACGATCCTCTTGTCTGTGCAGTCGGTGCCAAGGTAGTAGAGATTATCAAGAGGGACAATATGGCCGAGCAGTCGGCGACAAAAGGAAAATTCATGAAGACCGCTTTTGAAAAGGTAACCATATTCAAGGACATGTTTGCATCAAGTTATACACCTGTGCTAACTATATTGCAGCTCAAGGAGAAATACTCTGTCATTGGCGAGGTCCGCGGCCGCGGGCTTATGATTGGAGTCGAGTTTGTTCAGGATCCTGTGTCTAAGGTCCCTGCCGAGAATCTGGGTCAGGCCATCGCTGCTCGTTGCATGGAGACCGGCTTATCATGCAATATCGTACAGTTGCCCGGCATGGGAGGTTCGTTCCGTATGGCACCGCCCCTCACGATCACCGAGGACGAGATCCTGGAGGGGGTCCAGATTTTCGATGAGGCTATTGCTTGGTGTCTTCAGAGAGGATTCAACACCTAATTGCATTGGCAGCCAGGGGACACAACTGGACTAGAATACCTTCACCGTCCGTCATAGTTGGTGTTCATGGACGATGGTTGGTCTAAGATGTTCCGTCCTGTCACAAAATGAAAAACGCAAGCAATTTGCAAATGCCACCAGTGGCACTTTGAACTTTCGATCCTCATCCAGATTGAGCATCTTTCACAGACACAAGGTCCATATTGAACGTGGGGGCAGACTTCGCCGCGGAGGCAGCAGTGGACGCAGTCTCGGTAGTAATGTCGGGCTTGCGATCGTTGCTGATGCGAGGCAGCTCAGTATCTGGGTCGTTATGACGAGTAGTAGCCTCCTCATTGCTAGCGATTGCGAGACCTTGAACTTATTCATCCCGATTCACAGCATCTACGGCTGCACCTTTTGCAGCTGTGCTAGTATCCATCTCCGGGACATACTCGTGTGCGGTGAAACCACCTGTCATGTCCTCGACGACTGCTGGAGAATTTTCCCTCATGGCTTAAATACCTAATTTCGAGACGACTAGTCATGAAGTCCAATTCATCTATTGGAAAACTGATTGAGCTTATCTTTTCGTCGTACTCCCGAGGGTGACGATCGAGTTTGGAATTGGCCGCTTCGCCCTCGGAGGAGTATACCCAGCATAGAACGAGGTACCCTGGCCGTTCAGCACCTAGCCGTTTTCTTATAACTCTCACCACAGAGGGGTCGGTATGCCACCACTACTCCGTTCCTGAGGGGGTTTCAGGAATTTCGACTGAACCGAGGGGACGGCGCCCAGGGTAACTCTTCCTGCGCCGTCGCTGCTGGGTTGGTACAGCTTCCGGAGGAAGGCCTGACGGAGGGTCCAGCCCGTGCCTCACTATCATCGCCGGACAGAAGGGCTGAACGCTGCTCTATCACACTATCCTCCTCGCCGTTAATGTGAATGGGAAGACAGTCCCTCCTTGGTGAGCGGACGGCGTCTAAGTTACTGGACGCCTCATCCTAGCCAGTATTCGTTCTCGGCCCTCCATTTATGGCGGCGGTGTTTTCCTCTATACGCCTCTCTGCTCGTTAGACATCGAAGGAGCCAGATCATATACTGAACTGGCCGAAGAGGCTGGTGGCGGCGTCGGCGTCGGCGTCGTAGATTGGGTTGAGTCGTAGGAGGTGGTACTGGCGATATTAGGGGTGGTAGGTCTGAGATCTTACCTTATTAGAGGTCGGGGCCGAGGGTCTTGGCTCCTGTCGCACGAGACCGGGGTGAGCACAAGGCTGGACGACTACTATCTTCACGTGATGATAAGCTATCAAGAGCCTCTGCCAATCTGCGATCATTGCCATCTTGACATCTGCCATCTGCCATTGTAACGATGTCCCGCCTCCTGAAAAGCGACGTCAAGATTCTCCTCTTGCTTTCTTGCAAACAGATGCCTTCGTGATGGCAAGGTGACACGAAACACGACCGCACACATGTTGTGGCCTCCTACCCCGGCGCAATGCGCGCGAGGCTACATCAGAACCTCCCAAAAATTCAGAATACACCAGGCATATGCATCCAGAGCGGCCGCCATTCTACGACGCCGCTACGCCAGCGAATCCGAAAGACACGATCATCCAGACACAACCCGCCAAACCACCCTTTCCCAGTCAGCGCATCCAAGATTTAACGATATCGGCGTCCAGCAACTAAGCGACTCTCTCCATCCACAGGTCTTCCCCAAAGGCGCGACGAGACCACGACCTGATCTGGTTGAACTCTCGAAGGACCACCTCCGACGCCACGAGTTGTTGGGAAAGAATCAAGATGACACACCGGCAATCGGACTGGATGCGCCACCGCTCCATGGGACTACCCTGGACGAACACTTCACAAAATTGGGCATGGATGCCTCGGAGCCATACCTGTCTTACGGCAAGTCATTTGTGAGAGCGAACACTCCTCAAAGACCGCGGAAATGGGTGACCAGAAGTGGCTGGACAAAATACAATTCTGACATGACGACGGAGGAAGTAGCAGCTCCTGACGAGACCATGCTATCGTTCGATGTGGAGACGATGTGGAAGGAAACACCTTTCGCGGTCATGGCCACTGCTGCAAGTCCTACCGCCTGGTATGCTTGGATATCTCCATGGCTCTTAGGCGAGACGGACAACCCTAGACAACTCATCCCGTTGGGTGATCCAACCAAGCCCCGAATTATAGTCGGGCATAACATCGGCTATGACCGAGCACGTGTCAAAGAGGAGTATGACCTCAAGCAGTCGCGGAATTTCTTCATTGATACAATGTCCTTACATGTGGCGGTCAATGGCATGTGTTCAAGACAGCGCCCGACTTGGATGAAGCACAAGAAGAATCGAGATTTGCGCGACAAAATGTCTGGCGATCACAACTCAGTGGAGCTGCAGACAATGCTGGAGAGCAAGATGCTGAGTGAGGAAGAGGAGGAACTGTGGGTGGCAAGGAGTTCCATCAACTCTCTCCGTGATGTTGCCAAATTCCACTGTGGTGTCACCATCGACAAGAGCCAGAGGGACTACTTTGGTGAACTGGACCGAGATGGTATCTGCCAAAGGCTTGAGGAACTATTGGACTACTGCGCGGCAGATGTTGCAATCACCCATCGGGTCTTCCAAAAAGTCTTTCCAAATTTCCTGGAGACCTGTCCCCACCCGGTCAGCTTTGCTGCACTACGACATCTGTCATCCGTCATCCTACCTGTGGACAGCTCCTGGGACGAATATCTCAAGAGAGCCGAGAAGACATACCAGGAAAGGCTGGAAGAAGTCCAAAAGAAACTCCTACAATTGTCAGAAGCGGCTCTCGAAGTCAAAGCGCAGCCCGAAGTATACAACAAGGATCCATGGTTGAACCAGCTGGACTGGTCGGGCCAGGAGATCAAGTACAAGAAACCCAAGAAGAAGGGTGAAGAGCCTGTGCCAGTTGCTCGACAGAAGAAGCCAGGTGCTCCGAACTGGTACAAAGACCTATTCACTTCAAACACCTCCCCCATCAACCTGACAGTCCGAACGAGGATTGCTCCTCTGTTACTGAAACTTTGCTGGGACAGCTACCCGCTTGTGTGGTCTGACAAGCACGGTTGGACCTTCCGAGTACCCAGCCAAGATTCTGGCAAATACGAGAACAGCAATGTTGTTTGCTGTGACATGTCCGAAGAAACCAACCCCAGTCTCCAAACTGACTACTATCATACCTACTTCAAACTTCCTCACAAAGATGGGCCGGCAGCGCGCTGTGCTTCCCCCCTAGCAAAAGGATATATGCAATACTTCGAGTCCGGCATTCTGTCGTCGCAATATGCTCTAGCTAGGGAGGCATTGGAGATGAACGCTTCGTGCTCCTACTGGATCTCGGCACGGGATCGCATCACCTCGCAAATGGTTGTCAGAGAGGCTGATCGAGAGCCCCAGCTAGCAGGAGAGTCTGATCAAGGATTCATCCTTCCGCAGATCATACCCATGGGCACCATTACACGGCGAGCCGTCGAAAACACCTGGCTTACTGCTTCGAACGCCAAAGCCAACAGAGTCGGTTCAGAGCTGAAGGCAATGGTCAAGGCGCCTCCTGAATACTGCTTTGTGGGTGCCGACGTCGACAGCCAGGAACTATGGATTGCATCACTGGTGGGTGATGCACAGTTCCAGCTTCATGGTGGCAATGCAATTGGCTTCATGACTTTGGAAGGGACCAAGGCTGCGGGGACCGATCTTCATTCTAAAACGGCGAAGATTCTAGGCATCTCGCGTAACGACGCCAAAGTGTTCAACTACGGTCGGATCTATGGAGCAGGTCTCAAATTCGCGGCCACCCTACTGCGACAATTCAACCCTACTCTTTCCGAGACGCAGTCGAATCAGATCGCCATGAAGCTGTACAAGGAGACCAAAGGCACCCGCACACGTCGCAAAGCATTTGGAAATGGATCTTTCTGGCGCGGAGGAACGGAGTCGTTCGTCTTCAACAAGCTCGAAGAGTTTGCAGAGCAGGAGCGTCCTCGGACCCCGGTGTTGGGAGCCGGGATCACCGAAGCCCTGATGCGTCGATTCATCAACCAGGGATCATTCATGACCTCGCGCATCAACTGGGCGATTCAATCGTCCGGGGTCGATTATCTGCATCTCCTCATCATCAGCATGGACTACTTGATCCGCCGGTTCAACATTGATGCTCGGCTCGCCATCACGGTCCACGACGAGATCAGATATCTGGTCAAGCATGAAGATCGATACCGGGCAGCGTTGGCCCTGCAGATCAGCAATCTCTGGACCCGGGCCATGTTCAGCCAGCAGATGGGCATCGAAGATCTGCCTCAATCATGTGCATTTTTCTCCGCGGTCGACATCGACCATGTCCTCCGCAAGGAAGTCGACATGGACTGCGTGACGCCCAGCCATCCCGAGAAGATCCCTCACGGAGAGAGCCTGGATATCAACCAACTCCTCGCCAAGGGGAAGGATGCGTTCTTGGATCCCACCATAATCCCCAAGGGCGGTCCGATCGACCTCGATAGGTATACCTACACACCACGACAAAGCGTCATGTCGACACTCAACGGCTCCGACGATGTGAATTATATTCGGGCCCAAATCACCGACGACGACAAAGAACTCAGAGCCATCATCAAGGATGCTGAGAGAGAGTCAAGTTTCACTACCGAAACCACGACCTTCTCTACCCCCAATTCCAACAGCGAGCACGGTGGCAGCAGCGTTTCCACAAAGAAAACCGCAGCGACCACGGCTACGGCAACGGCTGCTGCCAAATCTGCTGCTGCTCCTCGAGGCCGACGTCCCAAAGCAAAAGTGCCGATCCCGCCTCACGCGCAGCCCCAGCGCGCCGTGCTCATGGAAGTTGAGGACCGGTGGAACATGGGCTACAAGAAGGCCTTTCCGGGGCCCTCACCGTCTCATAAGCCGTGGTTGACGGAGGAGAAGCGATCACCGGCAGCCCAGTGGACCAGTCGCTGGGCGAATGATGGATGGGAGGTTTGAATAGAACCAACCACCCACCACGACCACCTTTCCTATCATGTATTATACTGTCATGTCATGTCACTATCATGTACCGTGTTATCTTGTTATCTTGTTGTGTCCATGTTCCCGTTTTGACTCCTCAACCGAAGGCTCCTTGTTAATCTTAGCTTGACTTGCCCGCTGATGCTGGGCAAAGACACGAATCATGTATATAAGTATTTATCGAGATATCTGAACGTCCATGTATTTATCTCCGTTCTTATGTGCGTTTTGTACCATCCATATATGTACGAAACCTCACGAGTTCCAACTCCAGACCGGATGTGGTGTGCTGGTGGCCCCTTGCGAGGTCCCGTACGCAATGGCCTAGAAGTTGGAGGTTGGAGGTTGGGATCAAGCCCCATGGATCATGCATGACAGAGACAGAATCAGAACAATGGCCTTTCCTACAGAAAAAGCGAAGTGAAGCGAAGGGATACTTTTGTGTTCATTCTTTCGTAATATCGTGATTCATATATCCCTGTCCATAGACATCTAGACGGATAATCGGGAGTGATGCAACATTCACAGTCTGAAAGTAAGAACCGTTCATAACGCCTTGCCTCGCCCGCGCGCTCAACCTGAATCTTTAATCCAGAGAATCCTGGAGATTTGAAGGTTTCAGGCGGGACGAATAGATATAATTGCGAGTCTGCCGTATCAAGCATAAGCAGCCCACCCACAGTACAACACGGCCAGGTTTTTCTCGTCCGTAGCTTGCCGAATGAGTTCGTTGACAGTGGCCTCGACACTGAGGGATTTGCTAAGTTTCTTCGCCACCACAGTCAGCGCACGATCCGCCTCACTGGGCTCGCCGACCGCGTCTCTCTTGTTGGGCCCATCCCCTCCGCCCGCGCCTGGATTCAGGACGCCCGTTGCGGCGGGGGCGTCGTCCTGGGCGTGGTTCTCCTGCATCTTCTGCAGGCGCAGGGGCGAGACAGACCAGGAATAGAGCGGATCGTAGCGCAGGACGTCGAGGATGGTCATGATGGCTTCCTGGTCTCGGCGCAGGGCCTCGAGCGTGAAATTGCAGCATCGGCGAAACACGCCCTCGACCCCCGTCAGGCCCATGCCGTCCACCAGATCTCTAGTCAGGCGGAACGGCACCACTTCTGGCACCGGCAGCACGCGGCCTGCCTCGAATGCCACGCCCAGGTCGATGTGCACGACTTCCCCGGACTTTTCGTCCATGAGGATATTGTGGCCATGTCGATCGCCCAGTCCGAGGACATGGCCTAGAATACTCACTGCGGCTGTGGACCGACTGTAGTTCAGTCGCTTGTAGAACCAGTCGTCCGGGTCCGGGAACCGCTCCATGAAGAAGAAGCGCATCACTGGGTGGAAGTTGGCGATAACCGTTCGATAGGCGCGGATGCGGTCCACGAGCAGCTTGCCCTGCGCATCCGAGATCTCTTTTCTGCACCGCGTTGGCTTGAAGTCTCGCGGGAAATAGCGCGTGTGTGCAGGCAGGAGGAAGTCGTGCAGCGGGATCGTGTCTTTGACAAACTCGATGATGCCGGCGTTCGTGTTCAGGGGTATCACTTTGTACGTGCGGATGCCCAGGTTTCGTTGCCGCGTCGTGCGGTGTTCTTTGAGGAGATTCGACACTTGTTCGAAGACTTGTTCCATGATTGCGTCCTGTCGCAGATCGTCATTGCCACCCTTCAAGAGCATCTTGTGACGCGAGCCGTCCGTGGCAATCATGGTCATGATCTTTGGAGCCGAGACGCCTCCTGCAATGGTGATGATTGGGTCGAACTTGCTGAACGCCGCTATTGCAGAATAGTCGCGGTCGGGGCGCAGCGGGATGGTCATGGTCGGTGGAGGGATCTTGACATGAGCCGTGCTCAGGGTTTGTTCCAGTCTTTGGGCGGTCGGCAGCTTTCGAAGCTGAAACTTGGAGCCCGTCTTTAGGTCTTTGTCCGACGGCCTCTCTTGGGTCACTCTGTACAGAGCGATGCTGCAGTTATGGATCGCGATCCAGATGGCCGACGACACGCTTTTTTTGCTGATGAGCCCGGCAAGCTTGTTAGCTGCCGCGTTGCGAGACATGGCCACCTCGTCTGCCTTGGATGCCTTGCTCTTGCAGGCGGCAAACACTTGGTACAAGCTGTGGTACGGGTGGTCAGAGCATATTCGAAACATGAGCTCCATGAGCAATTGCTGGAAGTCATCATGGATATCCAACAGCCGCGAGGACAGCTGGTTGACGAGAGGAGCGAACTTGTACGACGGCACCGTACTGAGGTGCTTGCGCACCGACTTGTTGGCTTCTTTGCTGTCGGCTTGATTCAACCACAACGCCAGAAACCGGAGGGTGTCGTTGGGATATTCATCTGACGCTCTCATGGAGAGGAGATAATTCTCCAGACACTGGAGGATCAGGGTCTGTCGGTTCTGCGAGACTCGTTTCCATTCCTGATCGTCGAGCTTGAACCACTCCCTCGCCCTTTGCAGGTGTGACTTCAGTTGCCTCTGCTGCCGTTCATCACCGTTATTGCTCATTCTCTCCAGGTCCTCGATATCGCGCATCTTTCGATCTCGGATTTTGCTGATCCGGGTGAAATCATCCAAGTTATCGGGATCCTGTAATTGCATATCACAGAAGGCGGCAAAGTTGTGGAAGACTCGCCCAGCCTCGGGGCCGACGGCGCGGCCATGTAATTCCTTGAAGGCAGGTAGAAGATAGCCTTCGATGATCTCGTCCGGCTTCTCGAGCCGTGCTTCTGCGACCTTGTGCCCGAGATCGGTGAGGAGGTCGGCTTTTGTGATGTGGATCGCCTGCTTGGCTGTGTCATTGCGTTGTTTCAAGTTCTGAAGAATACCAATGCTGGCCGAGACTTCATTCTGTGCCCAGAAGGTCGTCGCGAGATCGTACTGCACGGCTATATCGACTTTGAGGCCGGCCTGAACAGCCAGCTCGTTGAGTTGGTTCAGATAGATGGCACGATTCAACCCAAACTGAGGTACTTCATAGTTGGAAGCCATTTCCAGTGATTGCCGTGCGACTCGGATCTCACACAGCAAAGCTTCTCCCAAGCTCACAGACAGGGTACTCTGTAGGCTGGCATTTTTGCGGATGGCGGTGAAGGCGTTTTCTCGGCCCACTAGAATTGGGGATAGCTTTTCGAATCTGTCATCGTCAGTCAATGAATGCCTTCCACAAACGAATATAGCCTTACTCTGCGAACTTGGTCTTCTCGTTCCTCTTCCCTATTGTGTTGATGGTTGTCGTCAGATTGTTTATTGTTGATCCTCCTACGATCTGCTTCGTCTCCGCAAGAACTGCCATCTGGGAAAGGAGTTGAGCTGTGAGGTCCTTATCCACTGCTTCGCTTCTCAACATGTCCACGACCTTGAGCAGAGACCTATCCAACTCTTGACAAAGAATGGTCGCATTTGGAGTGCTAAACATACCGGGGAGCAAATCTGTCACACTCCTCGGATACTCGTTCGGTTCTTGAGCCGGTAAGATGTCCCAATGCTCTTCAGGTGGGATTGAGAGATCGTCCAAGCTTTCATAATAGCCCCTTACGGCATCGGAAATCCCTTGCATATTGGCAGCGCTCAAAGTCGTGGCGGTTCTCTGCGCAACACTGCTCAAGCCTTGTTCATGCTCGTTCATCCGTAGTTGCGAGTCAAGCATCGCGCTTTGGAACAACAAAGACTTTTGACTGGCACTTTCATGACTCAATTTGTGAATGACAGACTGTAAATCAAATTCTTCATGTTTCCCGTAGAAGAAATCCGGGTCGTCGACATTCTCGTAGATCTTGGCCACCACGTCGGGTGGTACAGAATCCGCGTTGACCAACGACCTGCGGGAGGTGCGTCCTCCTTGGAGTTGCGCCTGAGAATGCTGTAACTCGAGAAACAGCAGAGCCTCGTGCCACATTTGGCAATTGGCTGCTGCGATAGCGGCGTCACCAAGGTCGATATCGAGCCACAAGTTCCGCTGGGCGTTGTTTTCTTCGCGGGGGATCTTGCACTCTCGCAAGTACAGTAGCGTTCTAAGTACCAGTTGCTGAGCTTGCTTCGTCGACTGTACCTCACCACGCAGGATCTGAGAAAAGCTTTGTGACAGATTCTCCTTGAAAGTTTGAGGCCTATCTAGCTCGCTGAGCAAGGCAAGATGGACAGCGTAAGGGAACAACATGTCGACACAATCCGGGATTGCAGCAATGAGGTGATTGAGGAAGGCTAAGACGGGGTCACTAGCCGAATCGTGACATATAGCTTGTAGCGTCGTGGCAGCCCATGCTGGAGGCTGGTTACCTGAAGTTTTGCTGGCAGCCGCGTTGAGACCCTTTTCAGGGGCTAGATAGGACGACTCTCGAATAGGAGGACAAGGGAAGTCGTAGAACCTGAGTCCATCTACCAAGACCCGGTCAAACTCCGGATCAAGCACCACATGCTCGGTTGCCGCATTAAGTGAACTGAAGATGTGCTGTAGAGTTTTCTCAGCAAAAGCGGACGTGGTGAAATCGGCCTTCCACAGCATATCCGCCAGATAACTCACGATCCCTGTATATGAGGAGACTTCATCCAGATCGTGCCCCGCCAAGGAGACCATTGACTGTTCAATTTTCAAGATCTCACTGAATTTCAAGTGCAGCCCGCGGACAATGTAGCCTCGCCCGATCCCTTGAGCAGCCCATATGCGGAAGGATTCGTTCAAGCGAAGTCTCTTCAGGACTGAAGCCAAAGCAGAAGAAAATCGAGCTGCAGTCAGATCGTCACCGAGAATGTCATCCTGGGCATCGGCTGAAAGCGAGAATTTGTGGCATAATATCTCGATGGATAGCTCAAAATGCAGGTCGGTGAGAAGGGGATGCTCACTGCTTCGGTCTGACAAGAGTGCATGGAGTAGACTTCCCTCGCTCGTGCTTCTGGCATTGTTCCCTGGTTGCGTAATCGCCCCGGCATGCTGCACAATTCGTTTGAATGTCGCCAGAGCATGCTTTGTCACATCCTTGGGATCAAAGGTCTCCAGGTATTGACCAAGGAATGTTCGAAACTCCTGGGCCTTCGTGATGGTTGCTACAAAGTGGCTATCTTGTGTAGTGCTTTCTTGAGGGGATGCAATGAAGCCGGTCAAAGAGGCAAAAGTAGCTACACCGAGACCGGCGACGAAAGAAAGGCGACAACGCAAATGTTGCGCTCCATGAAGCAACAGATAGCGATATATGCCCATGGTGTCTTCGGCACAATCAAACACAGTCAAATAAGGCCGCAGATTGTGAAGGAGCATTTCCAACGGATAACCAGTCAAGGCCATCGACCCGGCAAGGCTGACCACTATTCTGATCTTTCGGATGACGTTGCAGATGTGCAATGGCCCAAACGCCGGCCTGGCCTTGTCCAGCAGCTGGCGGTAGACATGTACCAACAACGCTGGGGACCAGAGCTCGTCTTGCTGGAGATTCAATCGCATGCAGATGTATTTGAATTCATCCACAAGGCATCTTGCGCGAAAACATGGCTGCTGGGAAAGGGGTAGCTGGATATCCTGGGTAGAGTGGCCGGCCATTTCCTGCCACGCTTGGAGTATACCTGCTTGCTGGTTCTTTTCAAAAGCCTTGTCAATGCCTCGGTCATCTTTGAGCGATATGATGAGGCGGGCAATGATGTCCGGGAGCGACGAGCGAAGCAGCTCGAGATGGTGCTCAGATCCCAATTGTTTTCTGACCAGCTTCTCGGACCCGTCATATAGCCGCTCTTCGTTGGGTAAACTGGTCTCTGATGAGAGTGTGTATGCTTCCACGTAGGCGAATTCCTGGACCAGCAGGGATTTCCAGTCTTGCCCAACCAGCTGTCCAAGCTCCTCGGCATGACTAGATCCTCGAAGTGCAATCTGTCCTGTGAGCTCGGATATGTTGTCCAAAGCCAGTTCCTTCAACGTGCCGTAGTCGAAAGCACGGAAGGGCATGCGAGAAAGTGTGTCTCTCGAAAGCCAGGTATAGAAGATCTGAGGCGAGAAAAGCTTGAAGAGTCGACTGGGATGTTCAATTTGCAGTTTCTTACAGGTATTTTTAATGCAGCTCCGCGCAATCTCTGTGGTTGAAGGGACGTTGGCGACTGTCTCAAACAGATGATAAGTTGCTCGGCGCAGAACCGTGTGCCATCGGGAGTCCAGATGGGCAACAATGTGTAATCGCACAGCAATTCCTTCCTTCTTGTCTGCATCAGCTGGCAGGTTTTCCACAATATCATCGAAGATGGCCTCATGCTGATCAAGAACGTATTTCTCAAAAATATGGGATAGCTTCTCTGCCATCCGATACTGTCCTGAAGCATCGCTGACCTGGAGGATTTTCAGAAGACTTGTCCTAGGAGACGCCAAATCTTCGCCTCCGTAAGACGAGTTGACCCGTAGCAGAACATCTAGCAAATCCGCCAAAGTAGACAGGACTTTCGGCGATGCAATGTTTTTAGCTAGGACAGTGTTGAGGAACCACTCATAGATGTCGAACGCAACCGCCGCGAGATCATCGTCTTCCTCATCCACGGCCCAGAGCGCCACAAGGCCGCACAATACTCTGAGACAAAAACATTGCACAGATTCACAACGTTCGTAGGCCTCCTCCGCGAGATAGAACTCCGCGAGTCTCTCAAGAAGTCGGTGAGCGTCTGCACGTGAAATGCCAGAGCCCAAAGAAAGAAAGTCTTCAACAGCGCCGCGCGCTGCGATGAGTGATGTTGGATCGAGCGTCAGGATTTCATCCACGACGCAAGCAGCGGCTGCTGGGTCGAGAGTCTGCTGCGATTTCACCGTTTGAAGAATAGTTGTTAACTCGATCAAGCGTCTTGCCAGGAGCGTTGGCACATCCTGGCAGATAGGGAGATCGACCCTCAAAACATCGGCAGTAACGCTGGCCTGGGCGTTCCAAGACGCTCTCGTGTCCGTTGTCTCCCAATCCAGGAGGTCCGGATCAGAAGCATCTGCAGGCGCCTCAGACGGCATGAAACGTCTAGCAAGTTCCAGCGCCGACTCTATGATAGATTGATATTCTTTGCAACTCAAGTCTGCCTCCTCGAGGTCCAACTGGTTGTGAAGGTCGGCAACGAAGCCACAAATTCGGGCGGCCATGTGTTGAGAGGCACCATCGATATCGTGAAGTACGAACTGCATGACAAGTTTGCGGCTCTTCGACCACACTGATGGCGGGTGGGCTTCGGGTTGAGGTCGACCGCAACGCACCCAGAACGCTAATGAAACAATAGAGGCGACTGCAACGATCTCGACGATATCACTTCCTATATTCACACTGCGCTCGGCGTGTATCGCCTCCCACGAAAGGACGAACTCCTGCAATCGTCCGGCCAGGAGATCCATCAACCCTCGGGTCAGGCGACCAGCTGTGGATGGATCAAGCTGAAACGTATTCCTTGGTCTACTAGACTCAGTCGGTGCCGTGTCTTCAGGAGACAGCCCGAGAAGAAAGCGCAAAAAGCCGAGATGCAACGACGAAGCCAGCGAGTGCTTCCACAGCTGGTGGCATGGAGACCAGTCATCGCTAGGATGTGCAGGGGCGGGTTTGCCGCACATGGCCACTAAGAGCATGTACAAATACTCTGGTTTGGCATGGAAAGCAACGTGGGCGTTGTGCAAACGATCGAGCGTCGTGGCTTCGGAGAGGTCAGCATTGCTAATAGAGTCGTTTGCATCTTGACATACGAAGAGTCCAGCGGGCACTAAGCCACGCTACTACCTTGAAGCAGAAAGCTTCAAACTGCTTCTGAGTTTCCAGTATGCCGGCGCGTAAGATGGTTGTAAACATGTTTAATGATGTGTCGGTTAGGATGGAAGGCCCGGTGCTGCCTCCTCCAAACATGGTGTTTTCAATAAAAACACCGTTCAGTGCTGGGCCTAAAAGCCCTGCCTCTACCATGACCCCCAATATGTGACATGCAGCTCGGACAGTAGTCGTGACAGACATTCCACGGCGGGCAGCGTCCCAAATGTGGCGCCAGAATACTGGCGGGGTTTGCTTGGTGAAGTCGTCGTGAAGAGCAAGCCTACAGAAAGTGAGTCGATGCAGTATCAGACCTCAAGGCATGACCTACCGCCCAAAAACAAGAAAGATCCACGTCTGTACACCACCATCTTCTTGGGAAAAATCAGAGAGAACTGTGGTCACTCTGTAGAGTGATTCTTGCTGGATGTGCGTCGATTGGTCCTGCAGGAAGAAGACGACCTGTAACGCGATGAGCTTCTCTTGACCAGCACCTTCGGCCGCAAGCTGTAAAACCTCCTCAAGCCGTGTCTGGACTCGTCGTCGCTTGCGTGGAGCGTCTCCGTCAGCGACATCGGCACTTTGCGAGTCCACTCTCCGGCTCAAGGCTAGGAGAATGCTGGCGATGACCGACAACGTCATCCAGGAGGACACTGCTCTTGCCGAGTCACGCAGCGGCTTGAACTGTTTTACCTGAAGCGGAGATTTATCTCCTGCAAGAACGGGTTGCAAATCGTCAAAATGGAGTAGGTCTCTTCCATTTCTCGCAGTGTACTCGGATAACAAGGTATTCAAGAGGTGTTCGAGATTGGACATGTCAGTCCACGGCCATGGGCCTTCTGAAGCAAGGAAGAGGTATCGACAAGGGAACAAGATCGCGATGATTCGTTCCCGAATTAAAGCTGATCTCGACGACAGTCTTCGCATCACGGGCATCAAGTCGCACAACAAACGTTGCGTAAGCGCCACATCTTCGGTCAAAGAAACACGCACGACGTTGTTCACTACCTCGAAGGCCACTTCTTGCGATCGTGTAGCGGTCTCTAGAAACTCTCGTACCGTGTGCCCAATGACAGAGGAACGAGTCATGATCGGAGCATTCGTCACCGAGGTCAAGTTCTTCAATGCAAGAATGATTTCTTCGGCTCGTAAGGCTATGTCCTTTCCAGGGGTTCGCGCGCTTATTTGGCTGACGCGCACTGACATGTGGTGGCCGTCCTTGGAAGCCACACTTGTAGCCTGACTGTGTGCTGAATCGCCTTCCGGCATGCCATCATCAAAAGCAGAAGACAGTGCAGCCAGAGTAAAGTCCACGTACGTCTGCCATTGCTTGCGACGCATGTGCTCTACATGTGGAGCATGATCGAGCAATATTCTGAAGGTTTTGAGGTAGTCGTTGACAAGTGGCTCACACCAGGATCCATCGGCAGTAGGAAGAGTATCGACGATGTGATCCAGTACTGATAGAGCTGTCTTGAACCTAACAAATGGATTCCCAATCTCAACAGCAAGGCGTAGGGCAGCAGCAGCCACTTCTAAGCGAGATGCAGCGCCATTCTTTGTCGTAGGTTTGGTGGCTCGCAGATATGCCGGTCTTTGCTTGGACACAACCTTATAGAGTAGCTCAAAGGTGACGTGGAAGTCATCCTCATCGCTCTCCTTGAACTTGCCTTCGGCCTGCCCTTGTTTGACATGTTTGCTGATTGGGAGGTCAGATACCAGGTGACAAACAAGCCATGCGAGGATCCTTACCTCTGGAAAGTGCCTCTCACGTGGGTCAATATGCGTTTAAGGTCTGCGAACATAGTCAACATAACTGTTGAATGGATCCCCATATGGCGTAATGACCTACCATCTAAACCTCTCTTTCTTTCGTCCTGGCTAGAGGCCTCGAGCTTCGCTGAAACAATTGGTCAGTCCATAAGGCTGAGCGGCAGGACGGCGAAGTGCAGGTCTCAGATGCATACCAATAGCCGTCACGATGGAGACGTCCGCCATGTCTCCTACTGCACAATGACCCAGACAAGGCTGATACTGGACTCATAATTGATCCAGAAACTATTGTTAGTGAACTCCAACATGAGTTGTGACTACAGTATTCACTGAGATGAGCATTCATTCACTCGTTGCTTACAAGCAGCAACTTGAAATGGAGACAAGTCGCAGTTGGAGGCACGTTCATTGCGTGGAAATAAGGTTACTTGGCACAGACTAGTCCCCTTTCGGCAACTTGACAACCTGCGTCTCGTCGCTCGTTTTGTGAAGGGAAAAAGAATTTCAAGGTTGGACACGCGCAGTTGATTCAGACGACGCGTCTAATGTGTCTATGAGGTGTTGCTTGTGATGTTGTCAAGATGGAGAGTCTCACCCGCCTACAAGACCTGCACTCCGACCTTGTTGCCTTTGCCGAAACGCGCCTCGCAAACATTGAGCGTCTCTCGTTGGAACTAGAGGATAGCATCCAGGATTTCAGGAAGCTGCTTGACAAGCCAACCTCCACAGCGGGCGATAGAGATGCTTACAACAGTGGTATGCTACGATTGAGGACGGGTCTTTCCAGGGCATCTTCTGACTATGGGTAACTGCAGGGAAAATCACGGTCGGCGACGTGGACTATGCTATCAATGACGAATTCAGACATATCAGCCGTGCCATTGCCACAACCCTTGAACTGGATGAGGTTGAGGCCGGCCGACTCCTCATCCAGATGCAAGCCGACCCGAAAGCAACAAGCGACACATTTGTGGTGGATGCCGTGAGCAATTTCCACAATAGAAGAGATCTGCTGGTTCAATGCCTGCGGATCACGCTTCAACAATCATTGAACACAGAGATCGAGCCTGGAATCCGAGAATTCTTTCGGAATACCGTGACGAAGGTACTGGAGACTGATGGTGGTGGGCCGACGGCGGGCAATGGATCGCTCTATGCGAGAAAATGCCTGAGCACACTGGAGGATATCGAGAGGCTTCAGGTTAAGGTCTCAGATGCGCTGCAGAGCAAGGCAGTACTGGGAGAGCCACGAGGTCCTGAGTTTTATGCGACACTCGAGTTTCAAAGAGACAGTCTGTTTAAGCAACACGAGGCTCTCGCTTGCAGTCTGGCATACCTTTTTCAAGGCGACTACACCCATCCCGAGGATCTTCGGAAGCTCAACAGCGCTGTCAAGCGCTTCAACCGCCTGGAATTCAACCTTATTCACTATCTCCCGGCCTTTTCGTCAGCCTTTCGGCAGTATGGGTCTCCAGGAGCCCAACTCTCCCAAGAGAGTTGTACCTCACTAGATGCTCTCTTTGGCCCGATACCCCAGGATTCGGCTTCTGCAGCCGTCCGGCCCTTTTACGCCGTGCTGAGTCTGTGGTGGACAGTGGAATATAGTGGACAGTTCCGAGATCTGGCAGGCCATGATGCGGATTCAGAGAAGAGGGCAAATGCGGTGAAGACGGCTCTGAAAGAAGATTCCTTGGAATTCATGCTTGCCATATTTACGAGCATGAACTCTGATGTGTGGCGACATCCGGCAAGACAGGAATTAGTCGCACTTCTTCTTAGCGAAACCGCTTTCGCTCTTGACGGTGACCAGACGTCATCCTATTTCCGCCTGCACTTCATGGAGTCTCTAGACAATTTCATCGAAGCATTCATTTCAAACATGCCAGACTCCATCCGAAAGCTCAAGACCGAGGAGGACGATCAGCGGCTGAATCAGCTCGTTGCCATGCAAGAAGGTCTCCCGCCCGATCATAGAGGCGGAGCCGTGAGCAGGCTGCATCTGGAATGCCTCCTGGTTCTCATCTCGTTCTCATTCGAAGGCAGACCGGAAGCGGCTGAACAGTGGTGGGACGATCCGGACAGCAATCTCTATGGCTTCCTTCAGTGGGCGTCCAGAAGGCAGACAGTCCCCAGAGTGTGTGCCTTCTGTGAGCTCTTGTGTTCCATTTCTGAGGAGCAGGAATGTGCCGAAGCGGCCCACAAGTTTCTGCTGGATGAGTCCCAGCCTGCTTCGACCCGTGGGCGCCGCAACCCGTCCATGAATTACCAACAGATCTTTGCCGAACTCGACCTCTACGCGCACAAGGTCCATGAGCGGGCTACAACGTCTCAGTTACCGACCATGCGAAAAGTCCTACCAACAGATATGAACGAGCTGGAAAGCCCCGTCATGCTGTCTTGCTACCTGCGCCTTCTAGCCCACCTGAGCCGGCAGCCCAGCGGAACTCGGGACTATATCCTGACTACAATGAGTCCGGCGTTTCCGCAGTCTTTATTACTCCTCAGCTCTGGGCCGATCCCCAGCTATTTAAGAGCGAGCGTCTTTGCGGCTCTTGACGCTCTGCTCACAGACAAAACAGCGCAAACAGCTACCATGCTTTGGCAGATTCTTGATGACTGGGCATCCCACAGCCATGAAATCCTTCGATCAGCCACGGACAAAGCTGTCCAGGCTTCCAAACCGACTCTCCTCGACCTGCAAAACACCCTTATCTCAATTGCCGTGTCGTTCGACCAGTATGACACGTTTGTCGTCCTGCTGCGCGATCTGACTGTCACACTGCCATCCACTGGCTTGGGCGCTGATTTGCTTCCGTTCCCCGGTGACCTAGGCTCATCCTACCGGAGTCCTGGCATCGGACCATACGTCGACTTTGTCTGTGGTCAAGTCTTCGTCAAACGCGTGCCCGAAATTGGTGATGAGGTTCAACGATCTATTGGCTCGTTCCATTGCCTGGAATTCGTGGCTGTTTGCTTGGAGGGTTTCAACGAAGACTTCGTGGCAATGGCAGATCATACTAGCAGTTCTCAGCGCCAGCCTGCGCAAGACACACCGCTTGCCGCTGTGTATGCTCGGCGTAGTCCGTTCGCGAGACTTATGCAGTGGTTACTCAGCGTTGAAATGAACAAGGCGCTCTTGGAGACTCTGAGCTTGTCTGCAGATGTGGTCGAAGGCGCCCTGCCGGATTCGCCCTTGCTTCTCAACCTGCAACGCGCCATCGACATCATCAATCGAGTGCTTGACTTGCAGCCGACATACTTCGACATAGTGAAACCAATCATTCTGGCCCAGCCAACACAGGACGCGCCCCTTGCGCGAACCAGCGTCAGCTGCATCGAGGACAGTGTGGCTGCTCACCCGGAAGTTATACTCAATCTGTGTCAATACGCAGCGGCCAGCCACTCTGAGCTCGCGCTTCGGGCTCTTGCATTGTTGCAGAAGCTCTCCAGCTCCCCCAAGCTGAACAATCACTTTCTGATGACGGAGTCGGTTCGAGGCCGTACAAGAAGGATAGTTGACATGTTGGGTCCGAACGTTGGGTTTGAGCTCGACCCAGTTGCCAAAAGCATGTCCTCCAGACTTCGATTCGACATCAGAGAGCTCGAAGACGGCTTTGAGTCAATGGGCTATCTGATCAAGGATGGAATACTAGCGTTCTTCAACGCATGCCTCGAAGCACAACCAGAGCTCCCGACGCTTGCACATCTCCTTCTTGGTTTTAGCAAGCTGGGCGAACGTCTGGCCATTTCCGACTCGATTGACGCAGGGACCTCTGTCTTCCATGCTGTCGTCGACCTGATTCAAAACTACCCTGACAATGAAAACGGGGTCCTATTATCGTGGCTAATCCACATCAAGGCTGCCGCATTGCGGGTGATGAGGCAGCTTTGGAATTCGCCTTTGTCAACGTCTATCGTGGTCGGACAACTTCGCAGACTTCAATTCCTGCAGTCGCAATACCTGAGTCAAGTCGTCGTCTCGCAGCAGACTGTGTGGGATGGCAATACTGTCCTCCACACCGCGTTTTGGTATAGCACATCCGCCGAAGGCCTAGCCGAGTTTCTTGGGCTGCGAGCATCGCTTTACAACTACACCGCAATGGAGTTGAGGGCAGCTTCTGCGGACCAATTGTCAACCACACTGCGACAAGCTTTGTCAACACTGCAAGGAAAGACCACCGACTTTGACGGCACGCTCATTACAAATCCCGATGTTTTCACCCTATTCGACTTCCTGGAGCTTGATCTTTCCGCCTCGTTTGATCTGGAGTCGGAATTTTATGCTTCGATCGAGTTCGACGCTTACCTCACTGAAGCATTCGAGGGCGCGCCGAGTCTGTATGATATCAAGCTGATACGCGAGTCGCTCTATGCTTACCAAGTCGAAATCATGCAAAAGGCGATCGAGAGTCCTGGAAGCAACAAGATTGACGAACAGGCCTTGATAGCTGATGCCGATCGCATACTAGCGACCCTGGAAGCGCGCAACCGTTGGACCATCGCCCACAAGGCTAGGAGTGACGCTTTGCACGAATATGTGGAGATGATCATCGCCATCATCGAGTGTTGCTCCATGGATCAACCAGCAAAGTCCCAGTTTATCCTGCGGATGCTCCAAATCCTTCTGCCCAAACTCGATGTCTTGATCGTGGATGAGTCTGCCGATGTGGTCGAACTCGCTCGGGCAGCGGATGCCCTACTCTTTTCACTTTCCGACACGCCGCCGGCGAACACCCATACAAACAACCTCATAACGGAGAAGCTGTTCCAGCTCTTCCGCGCATCAATCGAGGGAATACCAGCGACAAACTCCAACGCGAATCTTCGAGCTGTCTTCTACAGTATCTGTTCCCAATACCTCGCCAGAATCACAAACTTCGGCAGTGACAGCACAGATGCGAATGCCAAAGCTCGCAGAAACAGCATGGACTGCATCCGATCAGCCAGCCAGCGCCTGGTGCAGATTCTGTGCGACGACGCGGAGGATGGCGTGGATCCATGTCGTCTCAATGCGCTGAACCTCCTAGCCCTGCTTACTTCACTGGCGCGGATGGAGAAATCCAACTACCTCCTCAATGCCCTTGTCAAGGCCAACGCACTGGAGATCCTCATAGAGCCCTCGAAGCATATCGCCCTCGAGTTCCAGAACTCGGATCCAGCCTGTAAGTTGTTTCCCCAACAACTGTCCACCCCGAACCCTCTTTCTCTCACTCGACCTCTCTCCTCATCATCACCATCGTCGTACTAACAGATATGCATCACAGATCGCCCCTATCTTCTATCCATTTTCGAAGCCCGTATGCTGCTGCTCCTCCAGCTCTCACGGACGCGCGAAGGCGCCAGCGCCATCCTCGACGCTGGCCTGATGGCTGCGACGCGCGAGTCGATGCTCTTCCGCGCCGACCCCGACCTCGGCATTTCCATGGTTCCTCTTGGCCCGGCCGACGACATCGACATACCATATCCAAGCATAAACGCAGCTGCAGCTGCAACCGCACTCGGATCAATCGCCTCAGCCTTGCACACGTACTATGTCCTCTTGTCGTCGACGCTGCGGGTGCTTCTGTCGACCTTCCTCTCGCGCGGTGCGCAGAACGAGCAGATCCAGTTCCTGGCGCGGACCTTCCTCACCGACCACCGTGCGAACATGGTGGGCGTGTTCAAGAAGTATGCCGGCGTCAATGGGAAACTGGACGCAAAGATCCGGCCTCTGGTCGCGGAGTGTGTCAGGTGCTATACTGGTCTAGCTACGCTGTCTGGGTTCATTGATGTAAGTCTCCCGCGCTGCCCTGTTCGTCTCCATATCTCGTGTTGAAGAGGATTTTGATGCTGACTCTCCGTGTTCTCGAAATAGTTTGAGGATGCGTCCGGCTTGGATCCAACACAATACCAGGGCTTCTCGTGAGCATGTTCGGTCGTGCACTGGCGTGTTAGTCTTACATAAAAGATGATGGATAGATACTAGGACTCTCCCCTTTACGCCGTCAAGCGAAAGATAAGAGATGATGTAGAGAAAATGCATGTCTGATTCGAGACTGATCAATGAGAAAAAGTTATTATGCTTCAGTCCATCGTACCTACCGACACAACCTCACCCGCCCTGCTTGCCTTGGATATTCGTCGTACCTATAAGGGGTGTAACAGATCTAGTTCAGCATCATTGAAGCGGCGGTAACTCGCAGTGATTGCTGTGACATCGCTCTTTGCCAGTGAAGTTGACCTACTGACTACCACGTTGCTGCAGGCTGACTTTTCGGTCTCTCAAGTTAAAGTCCATAATTTACAAATCGATAGACCATGAATCTTCGTTTTGGGGAGGGAATTTTCTTTTTCCTATCTACTCTAAACAAACCCTCTCACTCTGACAAACGCATTGGAGAGCCCTTCATCTCAAACGAGATGACTCCGAATTGGCACTGACAATGACCCAAGGACCAAGACCGGCCACCACACGCCAGCGGCGAACTGTGATGTCCGATCTTGGCCCTTGGTCAACTCCGACAGCCAAACCAGCCTCAACGACACCCCAGCCACCCCCAGTGACAACCAAACAAGTCCTACCGCAACCCCAACAGGACCCCTAGAGCTCTAACCCCGCCGCCCCCGACTCCGTTGCCCGCCTAGCGGCGAACAGTCGGACCGGGACCGTTGGAAACAACGGTCTGCATTGGTGTGACAGTGCGGCGAGGGGGATGGCCCTGGACCCAGGTGCTACTATCGGCCCTCGAGGGACCCACCGAAGTGGGAGACCGCGAGCCAGCAGCGCCACGGAGACCAAGCCCCAACGGGGCCCGGTCGGGAGTGATGGGGAAGACAGCAGGACGAGCAGGCGGAGGAAAGGTTGGTGCCGTCCCTAGAAGACGGGGAACAAAGACAGGCGCCGAGGGCCGAAGGCGCGAACCGTTCGCTGGTGCAGATGGCCGTGTTGGTGGCACGAATGCTGGTGCATCCGTGAATGGATCTGCCAAAGTACCCATGGAAAAGGGACCCCTAATATCACTCACTGTAAGGAATTGAGTGCGCAGTTAAGGATGAAGGTGAACTCACTGGGTTTGCTCTACACTGCGTTTCTTTGGCTCTGCACTACCTGCGGTGTGCTGCTGACCGGTAACCCACGGTGGCAGAAATTGATGTCTGGCAGGTACTGGAGCTCTTGGGCTGTCAGAAGCAACGTTGTAGGCATTGCGGCTGGATGACCAAGTGATGACTGTTGAAGGTCGGGAGACTGGTGAGGCATTGGGCAATGCGCGAGAATGAATGTGAGGTGGCTGTTGATTATGATGACGTGCTGACATGGATCGTACAATTTCAGGGGGGTTGAGAGGTAGAGGTTTGTTATGGTCAGCCATGTTTGGCTTTATGACCGCAAAGACAAGTGCAAAGGCACCGTCGACTCAGGGACGCAGGCACGATCGCGTTGCGTGTATTTTAATTGAGTGTTTGTAAGAGTCTCTCCAACGAAAGAATGAGAACTGGTTGGAGCAGTCGAGTGAGACTGAGTAATGGACGAATGAGACGTGGATGAGCTGGAGGATGAAAAGGCCGAACAATGGTTTGAGGCTTCAACCGAATCAGAGGCACCGTCAAGTCCGAATAAGTAAGCAGGATGACGATAAGTTGTCCTCAATTGAGAGTTTGGTGCCGTCTGCTGGGTCGATGAATGGGAGGAGGCGGTCTGACGGACGGTAGAAGGAGGATTAGTAGAGGGAATCGAGATAGAGAGATCTGAGCGCTGGACTACGGATTCTGCTGGTTCCAGAACTCCGTCAAGTCCAAAGGCGTTGGCAGGGCGGCGTTGCTCAGGCATCGAGGAACTGTCTTCGGCAGCGGCTGCAGTCGTAGGGAGATGAGAGATTGAGGGAGGAGTGGTAGAGGTATGAGAGTTTGATGAATGGGGGGTAGCAGGTTCAGTAGTAGATGGCTTGGTGACTGTGGTATGAACGGTAGAAGGAGCTGAATGCTGCTGGGCTGCAGCTTGGGCTGAGTTGGTTGTTTTCAAGTTCCGCGAGGATTGTTTGGCCTTCTTGTCTTGGCTGTTGCGGCGGAAGAGAGTTAACACACTGCTGGCCGTGTTTCTCAACCAGCTCTGGCGTGACTCGATTTTCTGCAGCACTGGCGTCCAGCTGCGCCGGACAATGGAGGCTCGTCTACTCTCGACATTGCCCGTGCCAACCTGGCCAGGGCTACTATGTGATGACACTCTCTTGCGTGCTCCTGGATGAAAGATCGTTCCATCAATCAGGCGGAATTCTCGATTCATCGCTCGCGTCCTCATACTCAACGTGAGCTGCTGTCCCTTATTAGCTCTACCAGAAGGTCTGGCATGCTCTGCGGATTCCGGCTCGTCATCTGCTGACTCGTCTTGGTCTAGAGAAGCAGGAACTTCATTTTCCACTGTGGTAACATCTGCGGCCGCGCGTTCGGGAGTGGCAATGTCACTTGACGGGGGTTCGACATTGGCAGTCTCTGCCTCGGGCGTTGCAAGCACTGCTGGACCAGGGTCGCCCACTGACGGGCTGACCTGGTCATCAGTGTCGTCAGTGTCATCATGCTCATCAGTGGTCGTCGGCGTGGTCGGGGAACGGACTTGTTGCAGCGTAATGACTTCTGCTTGCCCACCTCTCAGGCTGGGTCCATAGCCGGTGGGAGATGACGGGTCATTTGTGAGCATTTCGAAAGAAACCAAGAGCGAGGGATCGACATCGGGATCCAGGTTTGACCGGTCTACCTCAATGAACTCCTGCTGGGATGATGCTTCAGAAGACGTCGAAGTTCGGCGACTGCTGGGCCGCTCTGCTCTGCCAAACACATCTAAGGTCAATGGAACTCCCGACGCCAGCAGAGTTCGGGTTCTCTGATGAGAAAAGGTTGTAGCTGGCAAAGTATATTCGTCTTCGGCGTCGTCAATCTCCACCGGCTGGCTAATACCTGCTTCTGGAGACTGTGCTTGGTCTTCGGTGCCGGATGTTGCCGCCAGTGCTGCTTTCTCGGCTTGGGCACTGGCCTCTTCGCACTGAAGGATGAAGTTCTGTGCTTTGATGCGACGAATATGAGGCTCGGTTGGCGCCTGAAGAACGAAGTTGCCGATTTTGGGGATGAAAGGATTGAGAGAGTCATCCTGCCATCGACAGTCAGTCAATCTGCTTTTGGTTTGTGTGGGGGACCTTACATTTCGGTGTCTCCAGCTATGACGCCAGGAGCGCCAAATATCACCATCATCTCCAAAGCCGCCTGCAACATCTTCCTTCTCTAGCAGTTCTTGGAGGAGACTGGTGGCATCTGGGATCCCAGGATATCCGAACCTCTCGAGGATCAAGCTGTATACCTCTTCCATACCAAAGTTGAAAGGATAGAATGGGACAACCCGAGATCCAACTTCACGAAGGAAGTATCGACATGATTCTTCGTCGAAACAACCCAGCTCTTTAAAGGGAGGTGAGTTCTTGAAAGCAGGAGAAGATGGACTGGCCGAGATGACTCGACGACGCGCTATGTCAACCATGATGGGTGAAGGAGGCTGTGGCGGCCGAAACAGATCGACGACGCCAGAGAGTGCTCTCGCACGGTCTGGATGTGATCTTTTGCGACAAGGAAAGTCGGCGAACGACAGCAAAGACTGTACAGAAGGAATTCACAGGAGAGAAGAATCGAACCAAGCAGTGAGAACACTGACGATGTGAGCTAGATGGATTGGAAGAACAGTGAATTCAAGATCAGGTTGTGCAGGGTGGGAGTTGCATGCCAGGCCAGTTGCAGGCCAGTGCCAGTGTCTGCACTCGCCGTCGCCAAGCGAAGCATCGGAGGTGTCGGCCGTTAGTTTCGCCGCTCCGGTGGTCACGAGGTATGGGATGAGGGCAAGCAGCTTGTTGCAGAGGAGACACTTTTCTTCAGGGGAGTTTTTCATTTCATCAAGTTGCACCATTACCATCAAGGCCAGAGTCAAGTTCATCCAATCCATTCAACATGCACAAAGACCATTTCACCTCACCCAGACTTCCAACAACAAACCCCCCGACCAGCCAGGGCCGACAGTGCAGAGAAATCCTCATCCATTCTCCGGCAATGCCATCGTCCAGCATACTCCCCCCTCAGCGCAAGAGCTGGCCATCTGCATTTGCAGATGTTATCATGGACAGGCGTCAAGATGAAGACGGAATCTCAATGGTGTGTGGCCCAGGCATCCAACCTATAGCATGACAGAAGCCAGACGTTCAAGACAAACCTCCTCTCACAGCTGTTGTGCACTCCTTACTGCCTATGTGCAGTGTTGTGGGCAAACACAGGAGACAAAAGGAGGAAAGTGAGATACAGGAGGTTGAAAAAGGCAGCGACGTGCCAAGCAACTGACCAGATATCTTATCGTCACGTGAGGTGAGGTCCCGTGACATGTCGTCGTCCAGCCTTGCCACGTGACCACCTCGATTGCCGTCTTTCAGACCCGGCTTGCGGGGTGCCAGCCGTCGATGTTGCCCACAGCTCTTCCTCTCTCCACACTTCTCCAGCTGATGGCCACCGAGGACGCCGGCTGCGGTGCCTCTGTCCACTGGGATGGCAGGTAGAGGTCAGTCATGGGACGTGGCGGCCATTCGGGGCGGAGCGAGCTTGGGACCTGAGGTGACCTCTCCCTCCTGAAACCCCGGGTGAGTCGGACGAACCCCCAATTTGTTTGGGTGAGTACAAGCGGCAAGGAGACTCGGTTGCTCTGCAATGAGTACACGCGGCAAAGAGATTCGGTTGCTTCTCTGCAGCGCTGACCTAGACGTCACCCCGAAAAGGCCGACATCTGCCTTAGTCAAGATCCGACAAAGACTAGACCGTTTGTGAACTCTCATATAACATCGTTATCCTCCCTCGAGTCATCCTTCTTCGTCCCACCTAGCTAGCCATCTACTCGGAGCTGACCACTAACACTGTCCACTTCGGCGTCACTCCAATACAACAGATCCTCTCCCAGCTCTCGCACTAACTAGTTTCACTGGCACATCCAAAATGAAGAAGGAGATACCGTTGTACGATATTGTCATTGTCGGGGCCGGCCCTGTGGGGTTGCTGCTGTCCGTCTCTCTTTCCAGATGGGGTTACAAGGTCAGACATATCGACAACCGCCCGGTACCAACGGCGACCGGCCGAGCCGATGGCATTCAACCACGAACTCTAGAGATGCTCAAGAACATGAAGTTAAAAAGCAAAATTCTGGCTTATGACCCCGCCCGAGTATTTGAAGTGGCTTTCTGGGATCCCGCTCCCGGCGAGAAGATCGTGAGAACCGGCACATGGGCCAGTTGTCCCGAGTTCCTAGACGCCCGATATCCCTACACAGCACTTCTGCATCAGGGACTGATCGAGAGAGTTCTGATCGAAGACCTGGAGAAAAACGGGACGAAAGTGCAACGGCCATGGACGATCACGCGGTTCGAAACCAACCACGTCAATCCCGACTATCCGGTGGAAGTCGACCTGAAGAACCTCGACAGCAACGTCACCGACACGGTGCGGGCCAAGTATCTTTACAGCGGCGAGGGAGCGCGCAGCTTCGTGCGCGACCAACTGGGCATCAAAATACGGCACAAGGACCCTATCTCACATGTCTGGGGCGTCATGGATGGCGTCGTCCGCACAAACTTCCCCGACATCAAGATGAAATGCACCATCCACTCGGACCACGGAAGCATCATGGTGATTCCGCGCGAGAACAACATGGTCAGACTCTACATCCAGATCGCCAGCTCGACGGACCCCGACTTCTCGCCTCGCAAGACGGCAACTGTGGAAGAAGTGCAGACGGCAGCCAAACGCATCTTCCAGCCCTACTACTGCGACTGGGACCGCGTGGAATGGTACTCGGTGTATCCGATCGGGCAGGGCATCGCGGACAAATACACGCTGGACCATCGGGTGTTCATGGGCGGCGATGTCTGCCACACGCACTCGCCCAAGGCAGGACAGGGCATGAACACGGCGTTCCACGACGCGGTCAATTTCGCGTGGAAGATGCACCTGGTGGAATCGGGCTTTGCCAACCGCGACATCCTCTCGACGTACGAGGTGGAACGCAGATTCATTGCCGAGACCCTACTCAACTTCGACAACAAGTACGCCGCTCTCTTCTCGCAACGGCAGCCCACGGCCTCCGAGGTCAGCGATGCGCACAAGCACGACGCGGGCGAGACCGAGAACGAGTTCGTCAAGATGTTCAAAGCCAGCTGCGAATTCACGGCCGGCTTCGGCGTCGCTTACAACGGCAACATCTTCAACCACGGGCCCGAGCACCCGTTCCAGCACCCGCTGATCATCACGGGCTCGCCACAGCTGCGGCCCGGCCGGATCATGCCGCCGTCGAACGTGACGCGTGTGGTCGACGCCAATGTCGTCCACCTGGAGAATGAGATCCCCTACAACGGCGCCTTCCGGCTGTTCATATACGCCGGGTTGAAGCAGTCGCCGAAGAAGGGCCAGCATCAAGCCCTGCTCGATCTGGCTACAGGCTTGACCGGGCCCAACTCCTTCTACACCCGCTTCGCCAGTGCTCACCGCAAGCTCGACAATCACCACGACATGGACAACCCGCATTCCAGCTTCTTCTCGCTCTGCCTGACCATGGCGGCGAAGCGGCCCGAGATCGAAATATCCGATCTGCCCGCCCTCTTCCAGGACTATGCCGGCCGCGTCTACGCCGACGACAGAAAGGACATGAGAGTGCCTAACGCCCCGGCCTCGGCGCATGCCAAGATGGGGCTCAAGGAGGGTGAGGGCGCCGTCGTGGTTGTGCGGCCAGACGGACACGTCGGTGTTGCAGTCAGACTGGTTGAAGGGCCTGGCACGGTCGAAGCGCTGGAGGGCTATTTCCAGGGCTTTACGGTGCCGGAGGGGAAGGCCGTCACAAAGTCGCCGTCGTCGTCAGGGTTAGGTGGAGGGTCGGAGCATGTCAAGGCTCAACTGTGATGGCGCAATGGAAAGGAAACCTGTCTCTGGATGCGTGTATCTTATTTTTTCTGGTTTAGAGCAAAATCTGGCCGCTTGATTCGATTTACCTTAGTACTCGGCTTTGCTTTTGGATTTGGATTGGCCTATATCTAAGTAGCATAATTGACATTATGAACCTGATCATGTCCAGCTCTGGGCGGCGCAGACAAGGTCAGCCAGTTCCACGGAGGCAGGCAGTTCTTTTCAATGCCAAAGCATGCTTTTGGCCACCTTCGATCTCTGGATTCATCCACACTACCTGAGTGATGATCTGCAATCGTGGATCAGCCCCGCTGAAGAAGCTGAGCATGGAACATATATGGTTGGATTTTGTGACTATAGTCAATGTGCATGACTGACTTCCCGTCAACTTAGATAGGTGTATATTATGTATATTACTGTTCGCTTCAGCCCATCCGCCTCGATCATGCCTTTGTAACTGAGTGCTGCCTGTCAGGTACCTCCATCCAGCCGGCCCTCACTCTTTCAAGCCTCCTCCATCAATCCTCCCCTTTCAATTTCGTCTCGATCTCCTGTAAGTCGTCTGCATCCTGGATCTCAATGACGCGATTGACTTCGGCGGTGTTGCGCATGAGTTCGACGGCACCGGCATAGCTCATGCGCATGTTCGGATTGCAGTTCACGGGGAGATAGTAGATCAAGACGTAGGGCACGGAAAGCCGACCGGATGGCTGTATAGGTGTGAAGGGTTCATGTCAGAATGAGTGTCTGTGCAGTACTTGGACAGTCGTAGGATTGTGGATGGGAGGGCGAAAAGTAAGGCTCGGGCCAGGCAGTATGATGCTGTACACGAGCAGAGGGCCCCCAGAGTCACAGTAGATGTAGATGCCATCAGGAGAGGATAGTGCCAGTAGGGTATAGACTAAGGATAGGTGGACAGGAGTGCTTGGATGGTGCGAAATGCGTGTAAGGGAATGTGGTACCAATGTGAGTGGATAGCTCAGCAGGACGAACCGCGGCGATGAATCCGGTAAGTCATCAGCGAGTTCGAGGATGTCTGAGTACGTGTCGTCGGAGGATGGTTTGATTTCCTGTGTCTTGGGATCAATCTGGTCTAGATAGAAACAAGTGTCAGCGAGGGAAGTGTTGGCATATGCGAAGGGATCGAAGCGAAGGTAGCAATGACGGTCTGACGCCAGGTCCGGGCAATGCATTGGAAGTTTTCGCCATGCTCTCACGAGTCCAACTCGATCGCAGGCCCCAAAACACAGGGAAGTGTTGAGGTATTGATAGATTTCTCGACTCGGGACAAGGACGGGGACTCACAGATCCTTGCCAACGGTGTCTTCGCCCGCGACGTTCCCAGTCGGAACTTGCGGAGCTGCTCTTTCGTCTCTTGCGAGAAGGTGTACAGGCGTGACTCTGACTGTAGAACCAAGTGGTTTGATGTCAGTTAATGTGCTGGGTGGACAATTGGACATCTCGTGTGTATGACCGGTTAGGGGTATGGGGGACTGGGAGAAGGATGGGATAGATTGTAGGGCAATGAAAGCTACCATCTTCGTTGGTTGTCCTAGTTGACCACAGCCCAGGACCCAGCGTGCCAATTGACGTGTCGTCCTGTCTTCGGATACTGCCTGCAGACGAGGTTGCGAAACGTAGATTGTTTGCGCCTAACAGCAGAGCCTTCTCCCAATCTCAGCCTTGTCCGCCTGGGAAGGGTAGGGGGCCGGGCTGTTTGGGGGATATTCGCTGCAGACTGTCGATGCCTATAGGAGGGATGGATAGCTCTATCAGCTGCGAAGAAGCGTTGAACGGAATAAAAACTTTGAAAAGGGCAGTGATAAGGATGAGGATGCTGATGGTGATGGTGACTGTATATAAACCTGTTACCTATGTTGTTGGTGGTGGGGCAGAATCCCGAGCTTTGTCGAGTGTCGAGTGTCGAGTGTCGTCCCTCGTCACTTGCATTGAATCTCCATCAATCCTTTACTAGCTTATATACCTCTACAGAGCATACACAGATCGACTCTACTCTGCACTCCTGATCGATGTTCTCTCGTCTGTCTCAACTCGCCCGCCATCTGTCTCGTCCACTGCCCAACTACGCCCACCGCTCTGCTGCCGCATACTCGACGTCGTCCTCCTCTTCCTCGTCGTCCTCCTCCAACATGACATCATCATCCTCGAATGTCGAGGCGACTTCCACGCCTCAAAAGAACATGATAAGCACGGCGGGATGTATCATCATTGGCGATGAAGTGTTGGGCGGAAAGGTACCATCTCCAGCCTCCTCGATGCACGAAACGCGCAGACTGCGCACCTCTACGACGTGGTGCAATCCAATACATGGCTAATTCGGCGACTGACATGGCTGGGACAATTTACAGACCGTAGACACCAACTCGGCATATTTCGCTCGATGGTGTTTCTCGCTCGGCATGCAGCTGAAGAGAATCGAGGTGATTCCCGACGACGAAGACGACATAATGGAAGCGGCGCGGCGCATGTCCAAGAACTACGATTTCGTAGTGACCAGTGGTGGCATTGGGCCTACGTAGGTGTTTGCATCTGTTGGCCCATGAAAACATCCTCGCCATCATGCTAACAAGACATGTTCAACCGCAGACACGACGATATCACCTACCAATCTATAGCCAAGGCGTTTGGCCTCGAGCTGAAGCTTCACGACAAGACCGTCGAGAAGATGAAGAAGTACTCGCGGCCTCACAAGTCCCAGCCCAACTTCTCCTGGGACACGCCTTCTCCTGCTCTGACGGCCAAGCTGCGCATGGCTCAGCTCCCCTACGATCCGAACATTCCAGACGAAGACCAAGTGCTATTTGTTAAGGAAGACCTCTGGGTTCCCGTCTCGGTGGTGAACGGCAACATCCATATCCTGCCTGGCGTGCCGAGGATATTCGAAACCATCCTCGACAGCTTGAAACCACGCGTTCTCCCACGGCTGAAGGACCCCGAAGGCAAGGGCATGTACCGAATGCTGTTTAGTACGCCTTTGGCCGAGAGCGAGGTTGCGGACTACCTCACCCAGCTTGCGGCGAGGGTTGAACCAAAAGGAGTCAAGGTTGGAAGCTATCCGAGATGGGGCAAAAACAAGAACGTGGTCACACTGGTTGGGAGCGATAGAGAGTTCATGGACAGCCTGGAGGCCGAAGTCGCCCGGGGTGTCCAAGGGGTGAGAGTTCAGGTGGAAGGCGAAGACGACACTGACGATGAGGCCGATGTCAAGAAGGGCAAGGCCAGCTGATCTGGGTCAATGGACAGCCAGGAATAGCTACATCGTGCAATGCATCATCGTCCAGGCGCCCGTCATATCGGTCTGTTGGCTTTGGATCCGGGAAATGTCAGATATGTAGAAGAGTACTCCGGTGTCTGTGTTATAAGATCAGATCCTTGATGGTGCACGAATCCTTTCCTACCGAATTCCTGGAGCCGCAGACCATGTTGTAACTGACGAACCTTACACCTGCTGGCCCCTGGAACTTGAAACGAAATCTTGTGGTTTCCAGACTCCTTCTAGCGGATCAACAGACGATCACAGCTTGCAACGCGGCGCGGGCAATCTTCCAGAATGTCACTGTGGAGGTGGATCTCCGGGTTTCTTTGATTTACTTCGTCCCAAAGATGATAGTGTACGTACCAGAGGTAACATTGTACTTCGGAGCTCTCTATAGGTAGGTATCATTGCGCGTTGCTCCAAAATGGACTTGTGCGACAAGAGCCTGGGGAGAATCGGAAGCCGACTGCCGTCAAGTCACGGCCAGGTTTGCAAGACTACTCGCTTGCCCAAATGCAGCCTCACTCCATCCTACAGAGCAATTTGTAGTTCTGATACAAGACTATTCCTTCTGTATCAAGCGCGAAACCTCTTTACTCTGTACATCAACATGGGACGTCATCCCCGAGCCGTCGTGGGGTTATCTGCCCTGCTCGTATTTGCTTCTGCAACAACGGACTGCGGAAATGAGGGACGTAGAACCGCCATCGTGCAGGGGGAAGCGAGACATGTTCTGGCAACTGTTCACGGGCTAGACATCTAACCGCGGTGCTAAGTTGGAGAAGGTCCGCGACGGCGTGGCCCGGGTGTGACGGGATATAAGGAGGCACCTATCAAGAGCTGGACGAGGTCTCGTTGTGGGCATGGATGCTGGCCTGAGCCGATGGGTCGACTTGGTAGGGCAGCATCGGCGGGTATCGAGCGGTTACCATCCATGCGGATACTTTGGCGTAGCGTCTGCGAGATAGACTCCAAGGAAAAGGAGGTCGCCGTGGTGGGAGGCTACGGATGAGTGTTTCTCATGATTGGTTGTAACTTCAACGTCTTGAAGCCGCATTGACCTTTGAGCAACGCTGTGTTCTGTATTCGCTGTTCACATCTGAGCCATACTACCTCAAGCAGCGCATGCAGTAGAGGATGCAAGTTCACGACATATCTTTTTCGAAACGGGGTTCATTGTAGAGGACCCGAAATAAGGACGGCTCAAATCGATGGGAGACTGACAAAAGGAGGATAGCGAGGAAGCTAGGGAGTGGCAGCGAAGCATCCGCAGCGCTGGGCGATTCTGTTTGGGTCGGTTGCGACATAGTGGTAGCAGTAGTGGTCGAGTACTAGTCATGTAGTGGGTGGGATTGTGGATTGTAGTGTCCAGAGTAGAGGCCGAAGGGAGGCAGAAAAGAGACGGACAGCAGCAGAGACAGACAGACGGACAGAAGATAGAGTGACGCTACACATATTGGCACATCTCGTGAGGGAGGAGGAGGAGGAGGAGGAGTAACACCTCTACTCTGTATCTACCTCCCTCTACCGACCACCGACTACTCTCTCTGTACCTAAACTTCGGATCTCTACTGCTTGTGCTTTCTCTTCTCTCCCCGATTGTGCCAATCCACGACTGCTGAGTTGATGTCAGTTGTTGTCACTTCTTGACTTGACTGCGGTGCATTGACATCTTCAGATCCGACTTTTGCTCTGTCCTGTCTCGCGTCTCGCGGTCCTCTGCCTCCATCGAAGCATCCCAAAGCCACCAACCACCGTGATATCGCAGTCACTGGCAGTGCATATCAGCAAATACACTCCCCTGGTCGCTGCCCACCCTCATCCTTGTCCCCTGGTCGGAGAAAAAAACTGGAGTTTCTGCTGCAGTGCCGCACTGCACTCTTCTCCCTGCGCTTCTGTTGCTACACCCGAACCACCACAAACCACAAACTGCGACTACAACTACAACGACCACTGCTATCACTCTTGCCCTTGACATCCCTCCCATCGCCCAAACCCTTACTCCGAACTGTTTGATGCGACTTGCAGTCGAACTTGACAGTGCCATCCCTCCCTAGAAACCACGAGATATCATCCTCCCTTGCCAGTAACCCGCGACTAGTCCGACCACTAAAGCTATCAGTGCCTTCCCTCGCCATACGGACAGGGCCTGAGTCAACGTTTCACTCCGATTCGACTGCCGTCCGCGACTCGACGACCTGTTTGTGATAGTCCTACGATACTAGCTTCGTCCATCACATCACGGAATACGGAGATTCTCGTTTCGAACACTGCGCAGTCAGCCCCCCTCATAGATCCTCCCTGCAATTCCTCCTTGTCGCATTTCATTCCCGACCGTGAGTTTCACGCCACTTGGACTCTTTCGGAACGCCTGCCTCTAGCCAGATTCGGCGCGAGACCTTTCTTATACGTTTGTCCTGTGCTGGATCTAGTTGCCTGCGATGGCCTCAAAGGTGCGTTTGGACACAAAATTGTCATCTTGTACTTTTTCACTCCAAGTTATGGCTGGGCTAATACCACCTTTGCAGTTTTTGCGCGAATACAAACTGGTGGTCGTAGGAGGCGGAGGTGTGGGAAAATCATGTTTGACCATTCAACTCATACAAAGTCATTTTGTGGATGAATACGATCCTACAATTGAAGGTGCGGAACCTCACAGAGATCGACGTAACCGCGGCTTACTGAACATTTCTCCCCACAGATTCCTACCGCAAGCAATGCATGATTGACGATGAGGTCGCCCTTCTCGATGTCCTAGATACCGCCGGGCAAGAAGAATACTCGGCAATGCGAGAACAATACATGAGAACAGGGGAGGGGTTCTTACTTGTCTACTCCATTACTTCCCGACAGTCGTTTGAAGAAATCATGACTTTCCAACAACAAATTCTACGGGTCAAAGATAAAGACTACTTCCCCATGATCTTGGTGGGCAACAAATGCGATTTGGAATCCGAGAGGGCGGTGTCTAGGGAAGAGGGAGCAGCGCTAGCTCGACAGTTTGGATGCAAATTCATTGAGACGTCGGCCAAATCCCGGATACACGTTGACGACGCATTTTACGACCTCGTTCGAGAAATTCGACGATACAATCGGGAGATGGCAGGTTACTCGGCTGGTGCACCTCCACTCGGCTCACATGGACCGGGACAGAAATTGGAGATGGACCATCAATCACAAAGCGCAGGATGTTGCAGTAGGTGTGTGGTCATGTGAAGAGAAGAGGAAAGCTTGAGATCTCGAGCGCACGGACAAACCCAAAACACCAAGAGCTATACACTGCCGGCCTCTTTGCGGCATGGAGTTGGCGCAGGAGCTGTGTCTGATGTAGTGGGATGGATGGGTTAAGCCGGGCTTGCAGCATTTGGGGATGGTTGCAAAAGTCATTGACACTTCAAGATTTCTTCCAGGCTTGCGCCGCGACCAGAAAATGTTACCTGTTATTTATTGGAAGGACGGTCCAAGAAGAAGGCTGTTGGGCGTTCGATGGGTTGGCAGGGAGCTCGAGTCCTCCGCTTACAGGCGACGGCGGGACTCTATTGATGAACCGTTGAAGGCGTTGTATCCTAGCCAAAATGATAGATTCGCACACTTGATGATGTCTAGGTTCGTCAATGTTGCAATCAGTGACCCGTATGCTATTGTTGCAATGGTTGCAATGGTTGGGACTGTGGGATGTGTATTCCTTCCTGCGCCCTGGAGTGCTAGATACTAGACCATACCGAGTACGCGAAGACAAGACAAAGTTGGCGCATGCAATGAATCCTCACTGGCTGCCTCGTATCCCTTCTATTATCCCTCAAGACCTTTCACTTCACACCTCATGGCTGCAGACTCAATTACGACGGACTTCCTTTGAAGGCGAAAGCAAAGGTGAATGGAGACTTCTGCAAGGCGGTTGGATGATGTGAAGACAAGCACGCCTGGTGCCTTTCCCTCTACCTTCGTGGCTTCAACCACCAATATCCCAGTCCACCACAAGACATGTCATCGGCCACGGACAAGTTGAAGAAGGCAGCCGATGACTCGGTTCAACCTGTATCATCGCCGGCGAGCAAACGCAACGCCTTCTCCGAGCTCATGTCTCCCAGACCCAAACAGCCGAAACCGTCAGTGTCCAAGCCCGGCATGGGGGGCGGACTGCTTCCATATATCCTCGAACCCTCCAAGTTCCCTTCCCACACGGTCATCCAGTACAACGACCGGATAGTTCTGATTCAAGATGCGTTTCCCAAAGCCACCGTCCATCTACTTCTTCTCCCGCGAGACTCGAGCAAATGGCATCTGAACCCGCGGGATGCGTTTGACGACCCAGAGTTTCTGGAGATGGTCCGAAGCGAGGCGGCAGCAGCTGTCAAACTGGCAGCATCGGAGCTGTCCCGGCTGATCAGTCCCTACTCGGAATCTTGTCAAGCGCGTATCGCGGCCATGGAGAGTGATGATCCTCCAGAGACTCTGCCCGCTGGCCGCGATTTCACCAAGGAGTTCAAGGTGGGAATCCATGCTCATCCCTCCATGAGCCATCTACATGTGCATATCATCAGTCGAGATATGCATTCGGACCGGCTGAAGCACCAGAAGCACTACAACAGCTTCAACACGGATTTCTTTATTCCTTTAGAGGACTTTCCGCTGGCCAAGGACGACATCCGACGGAAGACAAGCTATCAGAACGCCAACCTCAAGCGGGACTACAAATGCTGGCGCTGTGGTAAGATGTTTGGAAATAAGTTCAAACAGCTCAAAGAGCACCTGGATCACGAGTTTGGGGCGTGGAAGAGAGAGTGACGACAGCAATGTCAGCCGAAGCGGGAGGTCTTATTAATATCCTTGCCTGTCAACAGCCTCATTTATCGATATCTCCCCCGATCTCGACTGTATCCTTGTGTTTGGCCTGGTCTTGCGCGGTCAATACAGTCTAGTTCAACATCCTCGACTCTTGGTCTTCCCCTATCGACATCAACATCGACATCGACATATATTCTTCCCGGTTTGACAACCTCATACTCAACGCGAGATGCCGGAGGACTCGTCTCTCTTTGCCGTCCCGTGTTGCTCGCCTCACCCTCACGCGGTCTGAGGATGTTGTCTGGTGGAACGCGGACGACCTCCCTTTCTTCAACTTCTCGAAAGTGACCTCCCGTCGTGCTGGCATGACGACTCAAGTGCCTAACACTACCTGGTCTGGATCTGATACTACGTTTTCGGATACCTGCCATCCGTCCTCCTCCTCCGCCTTCTCCTCCCCCATCACCGGACGGAGTACGAGAGCTACTGGCGCTGCCGCTTCTTCCTCCTCCACCGCCACCGCGCCTGTTTATTCTCTGCCAGATTCGCTTGACGAGCTCGTCGGTCTCAAAGACATCACGCTCCATTCTCCGGATTTGGACCCTGTGGACTTGATCCAACATGTGCACCACCGACGTCTGGCCTTGCCACCTAGCAACACGCGGGTCAGTTCCAATTTCAAGTTTGGTTACCGGAAGTCTGACTACGACTCGTGTTGGTCATAGAAGCCAGCCATATTCCGCCAAGGTGGATTGGAGTTGAGTATGTCAAACAGAGGACACAAGTGCAAGCATGCAAAGATCGACATACCAGATAAACCGATGGACCAGGCCAGTTCGGCAATACCGCTGCTGATCCGACGACAACAACGCCTCGCCATACCCATGCGGTCTTTGAAGTTCTTGACACTGCGCTCTCCGCTACGGCCGCCGCCCGGCCGAGCATAAGCTTTTTCATCGACATCACTTTCGCCCCAGTAGTCGCCCTTCTGGACCTGTTCGGTGCGGAAGGGATCTCTGATCAGAAACGCGCGCTCGACATTCTTGAATTGCTGCCACAGGTCGTTGAGGTTCGATTTGAGAGTCGCGCCGCCTCCTGCTGTTTTTGTTTCCGTCGACCCCGTCGGCGTTGCGCGCTGGGGAAGACGGCGAACCTGTCGCCTTCGCGGATGCGATGTCTTACAAGCACCCTCTCGGCCTCGAGCTCCTGGCACAGGTTGCCGAGCATGATGGGGATCAAGGTATCTGCGTTGCGCATGGTTGAGATAAGTTCTCGGTAGACTCCTGAAGATGGCTGTGTTAACATGGCAGCGTGGCTGGAGAAGAGATTCTTCAAGAGAAGCGGATGGACGAGGGACAACAGGTCAAACAATTGGCATAACATCGAGGCCAGGACCATGACCAGGTTATGGATTGCGTGGGTGTGAACTAGGAGTATGAAGCACTTGTGTGTGTAATACGTAACATACCTAGCAGAGTCATGATCGTTATGGCGAAGGATACAAACCCAACAATCTGGGATGCTAGAGCAAGACTCGTGTCGTCGATCAAGCCGACCCGGAGTGGTCCTTTGGACAGCATCCAGGTTGTGGCCGTGTCACAGCACAGCGAGGTGGTTATGTATGTGATTGAACCTCATCAGGTCAATATGTCAATTGGTCAATAAGCCAGATAGAATTATGGCGAAAGGGAGGTTATGGGCGGGCCATCGGTTCCTCCTAACAAGGGAGCCGGAGTGATGAAAGATTTATTATTACTGTTTTTGATTAAAAGCTATAGAAGAAGCTAAGGTTGTCAGTAAGTTCCGAGATACCACAAATACTAATATCTGTGATTACAAGTGAAGGGAGTCTGTTATTGGGGTATTAGTATGCCAATATCAGTATAGATCTGGGAATACTACCTTGTCGCTATATTCACGTACAGCCTCGCCGGCACCGACAATCAACCTGAACCTCACCAACCATCACTGCTGTTATAACATCATTGCGATCTTCACAATGTCATCCAGCCACACCCCCGGCATCCACACAATCACCTCGACAACGCCTTCTATCCAGACAATCCTGGACGGAATCGTCCACATCCACGCGTCCTGCATCCTACATGACGGCACCATGGCCACCTTCCTCCCACCACTAGACCACGCGACCATGTATCGATGGTGGGAGGAACGACTCAAAGAGGCCGACCAAGGCAGCAGACATATCATTGTCTATCTGTCCGAAGTCTCCAGTCGGACTGTATTAGGACCAGCATCAGAATCAGAAGGAGGAGCAGCAGAAGTCAAGCCGCCCTTCGAGTCGGAAGGGCTTGGATGGCCTATCATCAGAAACGATACCAGTACCAGCATCGGCACGAGCAAATCCCCAGACAAAAATTCCACTTCCACTTCTACTGCAGAAACATCAACATCTACTGCCAAGCTAGAACTCGAAGTCTCCGGCGTCGTCTCCTTGGCTACACCATACTCCCAGACTGGCCCGTTTCGCGGCCTGGTCGAGAAATTGTTCGTCTCGCCGCTTCACCGTCGCAAAGGCATCGCTCGAGCCATCATGACCAAACTCGAGGAGATCGCGTGCGACCATGGTCGCTGGAGTCTCATGCTGGACACCACGGTCGGGACGGAAGCCGAGCATGTCTATCCTAGACTCGGATATACCACGCTCGGAGTGGTGCCGGAGTATGGGTATTCGCCTAGGGATGGAAGCTTGTTGGATGAAGTTTGGTTTTGGAAGGATTTGAGGAAGACGAGGTTGGGTTAAGGGTGAATGCCATTACAGAGGGGAAGGTGCAGATGAAGTGCATGGGGAACGGGGTTGAATGAGGCCATGCCGGTGGTTTGTGGAGAGAGAGTCGAGTGTGGTACAGCTGCAGGCTGGTTTCCGGACATGGCTGAAAGAAATACATTCAGGCAGTGCTGGAACAGCAACTGAGCGACACCAGAGGACGGAATCAATCGCACATATTTTGACCGGTGGCTGGTCTGTCTAGAAACAGTCTGGCTGCTCGCGCGTGGTTAACACCGCAATGGTCGAAGAGGAGCATGACGGCCCAGATGAACCATCCGTGCGCTGAGCATGGCTAGATGATACAAAAGCAACCATGAGCGCGCTGCAGATTTCATGCATTGGTTTGGGGCCCCAAGAGGGGAAGGTATCAACGGCAATGGCAAGACGAGCACTTGGATTCCCTGCACTGCTCACATATTTTGAGAACGAGACGATTCTGACTTGTCGAGTAATCTGAACGGAATAGACATACAATCCTCGTGCAGTATGGACACACTTGCCAAATCCAGCTGGAGACGCTTCCCCTTAAGCACGGTAGCAAACTTGAATGGACACTGCAACCAGGTTGTACCGAGAAGTCCTGGCAATGGTCCAACAGATAGATAATCGAAGACAAGGCTGTGCCGCAAGGCTGAATGATAGATAACCCCTTGAGCTAAACCACATCTGGACAGACATATAGCAGTCACGTGAAGATGAACCTATCAAGCTAAACCCTTCTAGGAAGGTACCTCGATTGAACACTCCGGGCCAATTTTGACATTCATCCAGTTCTCCAAGACGGCATCGCAAGCTTCAAACCGCAACTTGCCCTCTTCTACACCACCTTCCTACCTACCTTTCAAATCATTCAGAACTCGACACGCGGTCGATATCCCGAGTCATCGCACCACTGCTTATCATGCCTCCCATCCCCTCCCCGTCGGCTCTCCAAGCCCTCCGCGCCCTGACACGGCTCAACATCTCGAAGCCCGTCTCTCTTCCTCTTCCTCTTGCTCGACAGTCGCGCTCGTTCACAACCACGCAGTCTCCATGGATGACACTGAACCAAGTGCGCACACGGCCCCGGCAGCCCAAGAAAGCGCGCCACGCCGTGTCCCCGGCCCTGGCGGCCGAGCAACGACCGGAGATGAAAGGCGTGTGTTTGAAAGTCGGCATCACCAAGCCCAAGAAGCCCAACTCGGGCCAGCGCAAGACCGCCAAGGTCCGATTGTCCAGCGGCAAGATCGTCAGCGCCTATATTCCCGGCGAAGGACATAATGTGCAGCAGCACAGCGTCGTGCTGGTCAGAGGCGGGAGGAGTCAGGATTGTCCTGGTGTGCGGTATCATTTGGTCAGAGGCGCTTTTGATCTGGTGAGTTCTTTCCGTCTTCTTTGAACTGTTGAGGTTTAGCACGGGTTTGCTTGCATGTTTGGATGTGTTGTAGCCAGAACTGCTCTAGAGAACCATGGAGCTGGATCGATGCCTCGGGAGTGCATTAACTTGGAAATGCATCATTGCTGACGTTTGGATTGCTTTAGGGTGGTGTTCCCAGCCGGGCGACTAGCAGGTCGAAATACGGCACGAAGAAGCCAAAGACTGAGTAGACGAGGATTTGATTCGCAAATTTGGAAAGAGCTATATGCGAGGAAGAGATTGCGTCTGCACTATCTGCAAGCTGTTATAGCGGGATTTCGAGTTGCGTTATGCAACAATAAAGTTGCACGAATATGGGAGACGCAATGGCGAAGATACACGCGGGTCAAGAAAAGAACGAGTTCACTCCCTGCGGTCTGACCATCTTTCCATGGTCTCGGGTCTCCTTGTGGGTTGGTTGTCATGTCCCGGCTCCCACGATCTACATTCGACAAGGAACAATTTATATGCGTGCCACAGCACGCTATCGAACGAACAAGACGAGCCCAGCCCAGCCCAGCCCAGCCCTACGGTCTCCGGCAGTCAACCTCATATTCAACCATACCTTGAAATCCCGACCGGGGCTGGGTGCCATTCATCCCTTCCATCATGCAAGACACGGCCGAGCTCCACGACAAGCGCCGGTCTGGACTTCCGACTCGAGCTGCATAGCTATTTGCCTCAGTCCGCGAACAGGGAGCTGATGGCCAGATCTACCTAAGTGGGTGAGCTTGGCTTGATATGCGAGCTGGTATCGTCTAGAGATAGAGATCGGATCCCGTAGCACGCATCAGGGCATGATCGATACTGGGGCGGTCTCGATCAATTTTTATACGTGTACAAAAATTGGGAACGAAACATACCATATGAGCCCTGTCTTTTGTAAACTGCCTGCGATGGTGTACCATCTTCGACTTTAGACTCCATCCAAGGAAACATTTGCATTCGTCCTTGATCGTCCTTCTCCTGTTCGCCTTCGGTTTCTTGGTTTTCTGCCGAAATGTAGCAGTATCTGGGAGTCTGACATATTGGATTGAACATGGTCATGTCTCCCAATGTGCGACTGAATGGCGATTGCTGAGGAGGATTCTCTACACGTCGACTCCGAGTCTTTTCCCGGGTACAGCACGATGCACTTGGAAGACGTACGGGATAATAGCAAAACGAATTGATCGAGTAAAAAATCATCAAGCTTCACGGTCCATATCCATTTTGATATTTGCCGTCCTCTGTATAGTTTGCCTACTACGTAGGGAGGGAATGGGAGGTATGTATCCAGGCATAACGCAGACGCTCTCCCGTCCCAATCCGAGCAGAGTGAATACCCAGGTCAGGTCTTGATGCACCACCCTGATATCGATGTCGCACCCCTCCGCTCCATTGCATGGACGTGTGATAACCATGCCCTGTTTCCCGCTGGTGCATGTCATCATGCGAACTCCTGTGAAAGAAAGCCATTTTCCGGTCGTTAAAGAAGAGCAAGCGTAAAATGCTGTACAGGTGAAGTGAAGCGAATCGAGGTCGGGTGGATGTCATGTTAGACGCGGATGCGCCTGGTAAGAACTTTAGCCCAGCATAGACGTCGCGGTAGGGATGATGAACGGGGGCATGTGCGAAAACTGGCAGGACTCGTCAAGACACTGTCCCAGTTGACCAAGACATAAGAGGATCCCGTCCAGTCGAGTATGTTGTGTTATCTCGATCAATCTGAGTTCTCGGCCCTTTCCAACCCCCTTTCATGCCATTCAGCCAACCGATCTGCTGCGGCCAGGATCTTACGTCTCGTTTTGGGGATTTTCATCAGCACAATCAGGATGGCCGACCCGATTCCGAACGAAAGAAAGGAATAATGCCATATTTCCCAACTCAACTTGACGATCTTGCGTTCTCCACCGCCGGATAGTCATACTTGATCCATCCAACCCTCAGGTTTGGCGATTTTGTTCAGGTCAAAGTATCGCGATGTGCAACTGTAGCCTTTCCAATCAAAGTTGTCGGCGGGGTTGCAGTGACATCGGAGTTTCAGTCGAACGTCTTCCCCAGTCGGGCAGTGAGTAAAAGGCACATGGTAGTAAGCAATGTCGTTGAAGAAATGTATGTCATCTTTGGGGAGGAGAAGAGCCGCGGCGATAGAGTGTACGGGAGCATCTCCCCAACGTTCATAGAAGAAGCCGCCATCCTTGTCAAGGGATTCGAAGAAGTCGATGTAGGCTTGGGATCGGAGCCAATCAAGGTTACCGATTTCGAAGTTGGACCACTGTAAAAGACGTTAGAATATGGGGCAGTATTGACATCACGGCACGACCACTTACAAAGTGGCACTTATTGTACGTCTCACCACCGTCATCACTCAGGAAGGCCATGGAGTTGTCGGGTGCGATATGCTCCGGATGTGCCTTGATAAACTTTTTGACGCTGTCCCAGAGAGTGGGAATCGTTTCGACATATTCGTACAAGCTGAGCACGAAGCTGTACTTCTTCTTGTTGTCCTTCATGAAGCGGAATGGGTCATAATGAATGTCGCAGAACAGTTCCACGCTTGGTTCGACTCGCCAGTAGTACTCAAACTGCTGCATCAGTGGGTGACGGAAGAAGAAGCCGGATTCGAATCGACACATATGGCGGTAACTGATAGAGTCGCCATAAATGATCTTCCTGCGACGCATATCTTCCCGAACAGCCTCGGCTTTCTTCTGATCGATCCATGGGGGAAAAGACCAGTGCTCGGTGGGGATTTCACCATAATGTGTCGTTCCGGACACCAAGGACGTGGTGATCTTCTTGAACTGATCATCGAAGGGTTTGTCGTTGAGAAATACCCAATCGTAATTGTAGTTTCTATTGAATCGATCCTCCACTTGTCGAATGGAACGAGCGATCTCCCAGATATCCGAGTTTCTTGCCAGCGTTACAAACGTAGCATTCACACGTTCCCCAGGCGCAGGTGGGGACAGTTCGAATATGGCGGAAGGATTGATGTTAGGTGTGATGGATTGCAACGGTTTTGTTTCTTCGGAGGTTGCAGATGATTTCTTCGGAGCGGAGAAGGCGTCTGATATATCATTCGGGTTGGAAGAGGGCTTTTCATTCTTTGGCGAGTCCCAGGAGAATTTACCTCCCGAGGTGAGAGGCTGTGCATAGGAGGGTAACGATGAAGTGGAGATGAGATAGAGGATGGCGATGCCCTGGTACGGTCAGTTGGGTGGTCCTCGATCTGTAGCCTTCTCCTACTTACGAATGCGGCAAACAGAATATAACGGAGGTATCTCGCTGACCCCGTCGCCATCTTGTTGGAGCAGGCAGGCCCCAGAGACGAGTTCGGATCTGGAGATGCCCTGGGCAAGTAGAACTCAATTAAGAGGCCAGGTCGACGAAAGTCGTGGGCGTGAAAGCACGGGGTGCCTTATTCGTTGGGTGTCCGTATGGCAGTAGAGACCGAGGAGGAGAATCCGTGGGTTTCGTCAAGTCGATCGGCGCATGAGGCCTGACAGTCGGTTTCGGCTGTGGTAGAACAAGAGACAATGGATTGTTTGACAAAAGAAAGAAGAAACGTGATACAGGGGGGGTTTAAAGAGTGGTAGATGAAGAATAGGAGCAAGACATCAAAGGGAACACATTTGTTGGATACTGGAGGCCGGAATGGGTCCAAATGTCATCCAAGGGGAGTTGAACGCGCAAGCTGGCAGTGGCAGTCGTGTCACAGAGCAATAAGTTTTAGGGAGATTGCGGACATAGGAGACAGTCTGCGATGTAGGCAAATATCCTGTTTTGGTCTAGATGACCCCTGGTGCCGAGGGTTAGTGCAACGGCTAGAGTTAGCGTTGGCCGCGTGCGGTGCAGAGTGGCCTAGTATGACTAGTAGTAAACCTACCCACTGAATAGAGAGCTTCTGTCATCGCAGAGTAGCTGAAACAGGCCTTACTTGATGCCGCTTTACTGGAATCCCGTGACTCGACGATGGCACTGACACCAAGGATTAGATCACCATTCACACTGGCAGCCAGCGATCTGCCCACAATAGTTACTCCTCGTTCCACTGCTGCTGTTTATTCATCTGTTATTGCATTTCCGGCTCATATCGTCTGGACCACAACATCTTTTGTGTCCTTTGCGCCAAGAACCTTCACCTCATCTACTGCCCGCTGGATCATGTCCATCTGCGCATACTCTGCATCCGTTCGAGTCAAGAGTGGGAGTGGGGCAGAAAGACAGCAGCAACAACGACACCAACAACCCTGATCTTGACATCAGGCACGAGTTCGGCAGCAATCTTTCATGCCACCGTAGCCATGTCGTTCTTCGGGTTTGATACAACCCTGCCCAGGGACAAATCTGGAGGTGCGAACAACAAGGGCATCTTTGAGCACACGAATCCATTCAGCGAAGTAGCCAAAGCTCGCAAATTACAAGCCTTCCAAAACAAGGAGGAAGATGTGTAGGTGCAGAGCAGAGGAGGGTCGCGTTTCCAAACACAGAGCTAATCATACTATCTAGCCTTGACTTCGATGATACCTACGATGGTCTCGGCGACCGACTGGAAGAAGCTGGCGATGATCTGAACGATGACACCTTTGGTGGAGGTGCCGAGGGCACCAACGACCGAGGCGGGATAGGAAAAGATTTTGATTTCTTCGGCAACACTGCGCAAGTATCCAATGTCATCGAGGAAGAGGCTATGCGGTTTAATCTACAACATACTCCTCGAGAGGCTGCGCCCGCTCAACCGCCCAAGCCAAAGAAGACTGGCTACGAGAAGTATCAAGATCCAGGTTACATTCCGGAGATCCAAGCCAAGTCAAGTGCTTGGAGTCACAAAGCGCAAGTTCAGGCGGAGGCATATGCACAAGCACAAGCTCAGGCACAGGCCCAGGCACAGGCGAGCCAGCCTGAAGCATTCCGCGTTAATACAGCAAGATTCGCAGCTCCCGCTCCAGCACAATCTCACCCTCAAACGATGGCACCACCGTCTGGAACGAAGATGATGAGTTTGGAAGAAGTCGAAGCTGCTCTCCTCGCTCAAGGGCAGGCGGCTCAGGCAGCTCAGGCAGCTCAAGCAATGCACTCACCGTTCCCTCAGCCTCAAGGGTACCCATTTCCTGTCCAGCAGATGCGGCCTCCTCAGCCGTACCCGCCCATACAGCCGCCCATGCAGCCGCCAATGCAGCCACCGATTATGCCAATGGGTCATCAACAAGGCCCCCCGCCACCGCGTGCGGGTAGTCCTCGACGACACAACCGCATGCCTTCGCAGCCTGTTCAGCCCGTGCAGCCCGTGCAGCCATCGCAACTCCGACCTGCTCAACCGCCTCTGCAAATTCTCCAGAATCCCAACCGACCTCGTCACTCGCCGCAGCCCAGCGTCGACCGAGCTCAAGGAATGCCACCATATGGCCCACCACCAGGCGTATCTCATCCTCAACTCATGGACTTGTCCGACGAACAGCGTCGGGCTTACCTGGAGGAAGATGCGAAGAGAGCCAAACGGAATCATAAGATCTTCATGCTATCCAAGGGGAACGGGTTGATGACCCCACAGGACAAAAACTTCATCACCCGCATCCAACTGCAACAGCTTGTCACCGCCACTGGAACGTCGGCCGACCCGAACCCCGAAGCTGCTTTGACCGAGGACTTTTACTACCAGGTGTATAGTCAAATCCGGGGAGCTCCAAGGCAACATCCTACGCAACCTTTGGGACATTTTGCACAGACCTATCTGTTCCAAACCGGTAGTCGCACAGGCGGTGGAAGAAGACAGCATGCCAATGGTGACAATCACATGCAGAGAATGCAACAGCAGGTCCAGCGGGCTGTCGAGGCTGCCAAACTCAAGCCCAAGAACAAGCAACTCATCATTGAGGGGAGCTTGGGCAAGATTTCCTTCAGCAATGCAAAGACGCCGAAACCGCTCCTGAACATCAAGCGCCAAGAGAGCTCCGACGCTCGGCCGGCAACCGCCAAGAAGGAGGTCAGTGCCAGCGACCGCAAGACCATCCTGAAGAATATTGAGGCGGTCTATACCACTTTGATGCGCCTCGAGGATCATGAGCGGACGATGCCCCCACCTCCGACTGAAGGTGACGCCGATTCCATTCAAGCCCATCTGGACTGGCGGCAGAAGATGCAAGAACTGAACTCGACGCTGTGGCAGGAGCTGAAGGTTCTTGATCCCATCGTTCCCGGAGCGGCGGTCCCCCACCCGTTCATCGCTTTTCTCTCCTTCGCGAAAGGCAAGAAGGCTATGCCTCGCATCTTCCGTCTGATAGACCAGGAGCAACGGTTGACCATTTTGACCATGATCGTGGTTCATCTTGACCAACTCGATGTGACCAAGGATGCTCGCCTGGCGCCCGGAGAGACCCAACCACCTCCAGCGGTGCGCGAAGAGATCGAGCTTTTCTCTCAAGCGGTCATGCCGTGTCTGTTGCAATATGTCAACGAAGCTCCCATCAACATTGTGATTGGATTGCTTGGGTTGTTGATCGACCAGACCAACATGGCAACGGTCGCGATGACGAAGATTGGGCTGGGCATGATGACGATGCTGTTGACGCGTGCCGAACTCCTCAAAGAATCTGGCGCGGTGTCTGACCCGGAGTGGCAACAATGGACATCGTTATATAACCGTCTCTTCGATCTGTTGGAGCCTCTTCTGGGCTCGCTCTTCCCGGGCCCGGTGAACTCTGGAGACGACATGTATATCTGGCAATTCTTGGCCACGATTGGTATTGGGGCCAGTCCTGAGCAACAGCAAAGGCTGGTGATTGGAGTCAAGGACCGGGTCATGGAGACGGTGCAACAAAGCAAGACGTTACCTCCGGAGATGGCCAGTGTGCGCCTGGGCAACGTCAACTTGTTCATGAGAGCCATTGGTCTCGACGTGGAAATGCTGGGCTAGTCGTGCCGTGGTTGGAAGGGTTGAGACGTGGTGTCTCATGCCCCGTTGTTCTTGGGTTGTCTATGTATTTACAGGCTACAGGCTATTTTTGAGGTGCCTGAAGTAGACCAGCTGTCGACCTGTTTCTTGAAAGTTGAAGAGACAGAAAGATGACGGCAAGATTAGGTCTGGCAGAATTGAACTGAATTACTTGGTACTTAGTATATGTGCGCCGACCTGGGGAGCCGTGAAGGCTTTTTAGATCCATATAGGTTACATGATCTTTTACGATGTTCTTTCTGGTCGTATACTATAGAACCATGCGGGCAGTGGGCAGCAGGCAGTGGTTGAACGGCAGGCAAATGGTCAGGGTTCATATGTGCTGGTGATACAGGGTCGTACGGTCCCTACTAGGTACTAGGTACTAGGTACCTAACTACTAAGTACCTGACTCTGTAAGCTCTGCTCTGCTTCAAGCCGACGGGAGCTTGTTGAGCAACCCGTGAGGCGAGCACCTTGTAGAGTACCTAGACAGACCCTATTTGGGTTGGTTGTTCGAACACATACATAAGATAGGTAGGTACCCAACCACGTAGCCCCTCTCCCCCTTTTGACTCTTTCCCTTTCCCTCTCCCTCTATCTCTCTCTTCCACAACCCCAAAAAGGAGGCCTTCGACAAAAAGAGAAGCCCCACGAAAAAAGAAGAACGACACCTACAGGATTCTGCAACGAGTATGAGTAAATGAGTTTCATAGAAGTAGTGCTATGCCAAACTCACCGAACCTGTGCTCCCGAAGGAACTGCCTAAAACCGCTTAAACCGAGAATGTTCGATCCATAGCAGGGCAGCTAATGACAAGTATTAATGGGGTGATCATTTTAGTACATATCAAGTGTTGAGGACAACCTACCACGTTAACCACTCCGTCAAAGTGTCCATGATTTGGTTGCACTTGGGCAGTGCAGATATTAAGGGCCGGATTTTGGCATGTTTGATACTTGAACCACTCACTCTCCGTTTCAGTTCAGGGGTTAGTTTAGCTACTGTGCGTTTGACGTGCAGGGAGGGGTCTAGGGAGTCCTTAAGGTCCCTAGGGGAAAATGGAAGAGAGGGGATTAATTGCATGCTGCGAGTCGGATCAGTATCAGTCAGGGGCCACAGGCGGGCACAAGGGGGGCTGATAGTATTAGTAACGAATTAGTGCCACGTCACAGATAGGAAAAGGGGCTTTTCCCCAACTTATCTCTTAAGACAGCGCCGAGTAGAGCCAGAAACTTAGAGAGGGAAAATGAGGACTCACAGAGAGGATGGACATATACTATTACTACAGGTAGGTAAGGTACGTAGTAGGTAGTGGAGTGGTTGAGTACCAGAGTCATTCGACTATCTGTTTGATTTTTCTGCTCTTCTACCAGGAGGGCCATTTGCAAATGTATTCCATTTCGCCTCCCATGACCAAGTCACAGTCTCCAAGTCCCCTTTCTGAGCCCATCACAGAGGGTTCAATTCGAGATGGGAGAAGGGCCTCATACTCTGCCCTCTGCATGTAATGTACTCCTACGAGAACCCGAAGCCTGACATCCAGACCCCCATCGCCAATTCCAATCCCAACAGCAAACCCAAAACCAAAAGCTAGCTCATAATCACGTCGTGCCCGGACAACGTGTCTGGAGGCGTGTAAGAGTCCGAGACAGAGAGGACGGTCCATCGCATGCAGTCCTTCCACAACAGTCCTCCGACAGCCGGGAACTTGCTCAGTCCCATCTTCTCTGGATTGTCAAATTGGCCTGTGTTGGTCGACATGTTAGCAGGACATCAACCAGACAGTACTTCCGACACTTACACTTATTGACCAACGTCTTCCACAGATTGTCGTGGCATTTGTGCTCGCCATAATCACTGAAACTGATCCCGTCCTTGTGCTTGTCGTCCGGGCTCGAGCAGCCGTTGTAGTCGAACGCCACGGCAATGGTCATGCCGAAGTTGTTGTTGGCCGAGAATGGGAGCTCCTCCTGATTCAACAGCCGTCCCATCACATAGTGTGCACATTCTCCCGGTGCCTTCTTGCCATCCGGCCGTCCACTGTAGATGGTGATGTCGTTGAGGACCATGTACTTGCAGAAATCATCGATGAGATCCTCGTCTGGTCGGAACGGTTGCAAGACATCAGGCGAATTGACTCCCGGCAACCCCGTCCCATCCGTCGGGAACGCACAGTTGTACTTGCCTACCATGGCAGGACTGCTCGTCGTCAAAGGACCCATCCACGAACCGCAGATCTCGGTCTGTTCGGACGGAGGCGGTGTCGTCTTCGAGATCAACACCAGCTGTGGCGATTCCGTGCAGCTGGAATGCCCGGAGATCTCAAACCCTCCGCATCGGAACACACTGACCGAGCTGGCGCTTCTCGTCGTGCTGAGAATCGTCACGGGCGTGCCCCTGTCCAGATGGGAGATTCTGGTCGACGAAATCCATGACGTCTTGTGGTCCGAGATGCTCACCACCCCACTGAAAACATCGCCATTCGATGCTGTGGATATCACCGTCGGAGGTAAGGTCGGGAGAGGCGGCTTTGGAGTTGTGCTTGTGGTGCGTGATAGACTCGACGAGGTTCTAATTGACAAGGTTGAAGGCGACGTTGTAACTGGAGAGCTGCTACCATGTGAAGTGGACACAGAACTGATGCTGAGGCCTTGAGTCAGTGCGCATATTGCATCTGAACATGAACTCAGGGGAGAAGAGCTCGACGAAGTGAGACTGGACGCAATGCTGGAAGACGAGGTCAAGAACCCCGTTGAGGTAAGACCCTGTGTAAGCGCACACACGGCGTCAGCACAGCTCGTCATCATGGTCGCGTTCGGTCGTGGCAGGTTCCCATCTGGAGGCGGGGTCGGGTCGGGGATAAGTGGAAACTGGGACAGCCAGAGTGCCACTGAAGCCGATATAACAGGGTCGTTCCACCAGGGGCTCGCCGGGCAAGCAAAAGTACTGATGGCCGCACTGTCTGTCCCAGAGCATTGAGTCGTGGTGATACACGATGTCGAACATGTTTGCGTTGCAGTGGATGAGAGTGTCGTCGTGGAACAGACGACAGTACACGAGGACACGGGCGATGCTGAGCAGGAGCTGGTAGAACTCCCTGAGGATGTTGCGGAAGAGGTCTGTGATGAATTCTCCGATGTGGTTTCTGATGACTCTGCTGTTGTCATCCCAGAGGAGGACACCGAGGTCGTCGACAAGGACAGCGAGGAGCCGCTTTCAGATGAAGACTGACTTGGTTCAGAACTGGGCGTGAGATCACTAACAGTGCTGGGAGCAGTCTCGGGCGCAGCCTCGGGTGGGCCAATGGGAGGAACAACGGGAACCTGCAGAGTCAGCCTCACGTCCAACGCTGCGATTTGCAATACTTACAGGAGGAAAACTCCATCCGTGGTTGTCTGGAGTGCTGCAAAGAAAGGCAAGCAGGCATTTGAGGAGTGAATACGAGTCGGAATGTCCGCCTCCACCACAAAGATCCCCTTGACAGGACCAAACACGGAAAGGCACAATCACATGACTGCCATCATCACGCGAGAGTGTGCTGGTTGACAGTGAAGCAGCCCACTTCACGCTGGTCGTACTCATGCTTCCGTCCGTTCTGGTAATCGTTTGCCAGGTCTCATTCCAAGGCGTCGGCGTCGAAGTCGGCCATGTGACGCCAGAAGGCAGGTTTAGCCAGACGGTCGAACTGTCTGTTGGAATTGTGACTGAGCACGCCCATCCAGATGGGCAATTAGTGCCGGTCGGTCTGGCGGCATTGCACAAGTCACTGGCCACATAGCAAAACGGGCACAAGCAGTATTCTGTGCTTGCAGCTGGAGTTGTCGGCGAAGGTCCACACACACGGCTCACACCATAGTCGCAACTTAATGCAGCAGTTGTATCTATGGATGTATTCGAAACATCGGACGCACTGGTTGCTGGGTTGTCAGAGGTTGTATTTGTACCTGAGGTTGGATTGTCAGACGAGGCAGAGTTAGAACTGTCAGATGAGCCTGAGTTTGACTCTGCATTGGCTGGAGTTGTTGAATTCCCAGGGACTGACGATGAAGACGGCGATGAAGTCCCCGATAGCTCGGCAGATGAGGATAGTTGTACAACAACAGTAGTGCGTATCACCGTGATGAACGTGGTTGAGCTTTGATCAACCGTGCTGGTGAATGAAGATATGACCTCAGAGCTCGAGGCAAGATCGGACGATGCTGGCACGTCAGATGAATTTGAATTTACAGAAGAGCTGTTGATCGAGACCGTGCTTGTTAGCTGAGAAGAGATGCCTGTATCTGTGGAATTTTCCAGGCTTGAAGTGAAGCTGATACTCCCACTGGTGCCTGGGGCTGTAACGTTCACTGAAAGCGACGATCCATCGTCGGAGGCCACGCTCTGGGACATTTCGCTGGTGGACGAAGCGCCACCTTGCTGGCTTGTACTTGACGTACCAGAGGAGCTTGGGAATGCTGTCTGGCTCCCAGTGAAGAAACTTCCACTTCTATTGGAACTGTCGCTCGAGGATCCATTTGAACTGGAGGGAAAGTCACTGCTGGAGCTTACGCTTCCTGTCGAGATTCCTGTCGCAGCTTCAGATGATGCTTCCACTGTGGCTGTTGTGTTTAATGAAGTAGCAGACCAGGAACTAGTTGTATCAGTGAAGTTTGTCTCCCCAGCTGTCGTGGTCAACTCGGATGACGACCAAGTAGCAGTGCTGCTAGGGGAAGCCGAGCTCGGTTCGACTTCAACACTGCTGGTCTCGCCATCCAAAGTTGAGTTTGTCCCCTCTCTTGTAGTCCCGCTTGACGGCCCAAACGTCGTAGTATCAGAAGTGGTCGCGTTGAAGGATGTGGTGGCCTGCGATTGCTGTGAAGAGGGAGATGCCGACTCGGGGTTGGACGTCGAAGATGTCCCGTAAGAGGACACAATGACAGATAGAGAAGATGTTTGCCCATTCGACATGCCTGTACTCTGCAAAGAGGGGGCTGTTTCAGATGTTGCATTCGAGTTAGAGCTGGTCGTCCATCCGCTCGCGTCGGTAGTGGCTTCTTCTCGTTAGCTATGTGACAAAGGCTCGACAAGAACATACCATTCATGGAATTCCCATCACTGCAGGTCGAGCATCCCTGGTCCACGGCATCGCGTCCATAGAGTTCCTCATACCACGAGGCTGCGACAAGGCCATAGGAGACAAGCATCCAACACACCAAGGTCAGAGTAACGACTGGAGAAACCATCGTCAGATGTGCCAACGGTCAATGAATGACCAGTAAGTCTGTCATGCAGATACCACCGATCGCAGGGGGACACACGGGAGAAAGGCAGAGTAGAAGCGCCAATAAATAGCCAGCCGATTCAAGACCTGAAGTGAAGATGGAAATGGCTGGCACTTTGCTCGTCACTGAAATCATTTGGCAGTCACAGGGAGAGAAGGCTTGTTCGCTTTCCCATGTAATCACCGCGATTCACTGCACTTATCTTCTGAAGGCTGGAAAAAGCTAAGTTAATGCTGTTGTCTGCTTAGATGTCAGACTCGCCCGCGTGGTGCCATATGCCTTCACCATGACAAGGCTGAAAGTGAAAGGGGCGGCCACACTTGACATGGCATCAAAGACAGCCCAACCTGCTGGCTATTTAATTCTTTGTCGAGCTCGAGATCGCATTCCAACAGACAAGAAGAAACAAATACGTGAATGGCCTGTTGACCGCTTGACATTGAGCCTTCTGCTTTGACTCTGGACAGCAACGAACATGTGGCCAGCCCTGAGCTTTCCCATGGTCACGGTCCTGCTTGTGCTATTTCCCTGGTCAGCCTTTTCAACCGGCACTCTCGCCCTCAGAAACTCCACCAACGAACTGCAACGTCGCCAATGCGTAGAGCGGGTGGGAGCCAACATTTTTGAGTGTGATTTCTTCCTGCCAACGCTGGCCGACCTTGTCGCGCGCTTTCGGGATGCCAATAATGGTGGGAGAGCCACCCCAGAAAACAGTGTATGGTTCTACACGAATGTGGATTTCCTAACAGCCCCTGTCGACCCAGATGTCATATTGGGCTTTTGTCAGGGGTGGATGGTAGGGCAGCGCATCCCGTCATACTTCATCTATGATGGAGTTAATACGCGGTGGTTCACAGAACAGAAGATTTGGATCGCTTCCCACGAGGCCGAGTTCTTCAACAACGGCCAACAGTTCAACACGGGCCTCCTCGCCGCCGAGGTCTTTGTTCTATGCTACTACCAAGCCGCGGCCGCAGCGGCACTGGCCTCGGACGCATACCTGTTCACCAAGGCTGATTCGGAGTGGGACCCCGGAAGTATCTGGGCGACGGTTGAATATCCGGAATTGACCAGAAACCCGAACATCAAGAGGATCTGGCGAGTTGATCCACGACCAGGATCTCCCGACTGTGGACAGAGGGTGTTGATGTGGGATGCAACGCATGGCGACAAACCGAATGACCCTCCTAGGCGATGGACATGTCCAATATGATCGGCCCAGACAGTTGAATCACAAGGCTGTTTACTCCCTTATCGCCCCGAACAGACCGGATATATGCCAGGAGTGGTCCACAAGGACATGCAGTGGGCTGAGGTTGAGGATGTGGGAAGTGGTGGAAAGGGGTACTAGTAGTACATAGTACTTCATCAAGACCAGGCTAGCATTCCGTCTGTTAAAGCGGCAATAAAATAAACCAAGCTCTGCCACAAATCTCTCTAGTATAATGCATCAATCAGTGACCAACTCTCGGTAATGGAAAACTCGGTCACCTCTTCAAGTGTGTCCACGATGAGATCGCATGTCAGTCAGATTCGGTGAGGACAGTATATATACCTTGACAAGCACTATGGATGCTACTTAGTAGCTAAAAAGGATCCAGTGGTGGGCAGGTACAGCGACAATGAAAGAGAACAAATATGTAGTTTGGTGGAGAAGAGGCTGCGACAAGAGGGACTTCAGCAGCCCTTTATTAGTGTAATCACTTTCTGTGTGGCCACGCTAGTATACTCTAACGCCCAACTAGCAAAAGCTTAGCCAGAGTATCCATGGGATTGCAGCTCAGAATAGAGACGATAGGCATCAATCTGTGGTTAGACTACTGTATTCTGCATGGCATAATCTGGCCACGATTGCACTAATACACCATCACTATTCTACCCTGCACTACTACTGCTAGTGCTGTGATACATGCGAAATCCGTCACCTCCAGCTCCAACTTGGACAACATAGTACCAATACTCCACGTTCGAGAGAGCAGACCAAGTGCAAGGATCTCAGTACCACTGCACCACTAAGTCGAACGATCCTTTCATCCCACAACTTCAACCCTCACAGTTTTCATCTGCCTCTAGGTCTTTGCTGCAGTGACAAACCGACAAACCACCCAAACCACGATCAGCAACGCTCCGCGCACACACATTTCACTACCAACGGCAACGACACCCTTTACTTCTCTGTCCGCTCCGCAGGCCTGCACCATATTGCACTGATCGTTCAACACAATAAGGATCGTCAGCTGACGAACCACACTGATTCGAAACGACCGAAAGAAAACCTGCCTTGCTTTGCCCTCCACGTGCGCAACCTCTGACTTCGCTCTTTCCTCTGGTGTCCTACGCTTGAACTGCATGTCTTAATGGTCCTACCAACACCTTTTTGCCCCCGCGCCTTGATGAGCCTATGCTAGTACTGCCGACTCCAGCACACTTCCAACATGCCTGGAGTATATTCTGTTGAAGATTTGTTGAAGTTACGAGCGTCCCCGTTGATATGCAGACCGGCAAATCTACCGCCAATAGAAGAATGGATGGGGTATGAAACACGCACGATAGTTTGTTCATGTCGAACATGTACTGACGACCCATCAGAGTGCAAGAGACGACGAACAAGAGACCGGCTGCTCGCACAAAACAAGATGAGCTTTCTTCCGTACAGTCTGAAACATTTCAGAAACGGCCTACAGTGCTCGACAGCCAACGTCGAACAACTACTGGTAAGCGCATGTGGCCGACAGTCCTGCAACCGTCTTGCTAACTCATACGTAGCAGATCCGGAGCGTATCGTTCTCGGGCCACCTCGTCGTTCGTTCGCTTCCGCGAATCTTCGCACCTCAGGGAGATTGCAGGACGGGTTGGAAGAGACACCGAACAAAGATCGAACTAGCCTACAAGAGAGATCGAGGAATGGGGAGGGTTTAGATTTTACCTCCAGCGATCGGAGAAGTACGCAGTCGAACGGCCGCTTCAGCTCCCGACAGGAGAGTGCAGATCCAGATCTCGAAAATCGCCGTGACTACGATCGGAGGCCGAAGTGGGCAGGAAGAGATAGGACCGAGCAGGGCGTGGAAGATGAGCAGGAGGAATCGGGCCGGCCAGGATTCCGACGAGATGCGCATTCGAGAGCCAAAACATCCCAGTCATGGTTCAAAAAGGATGGCTTGGAGGCTCAAGATGAACCACGACGTGATGCTGACAAGGGACAAGAGTGGCGTCGTAGCGAATGGGGAAGAGAAAGAGACTGGGATCGATCGGGCAGGGCCGAAGCTGAGCCGGAATGGATGGACTCGGCAGAACCGGAGGAGCCATTCCAGGTGCGTACCCAGGAGGATTTCCAACGTTGGAAGGAGAAGATGAAGGCAGGGGGAGCGACCTCTCAGAGCAAGACAGACTCCGCCCAGAGCGCTGGCGCACCTGAGACTATTCAGGCCCAGCCGGCAAAGACGGTCTTCTCGCCAGAACCAGACGATTCGATGGATAAGTTCTTTGCTCGATTCGAGTCCAAAACGGTTGAGCAGAAGCCGGGGCCTGCAAAGCAACACGGTAGGACTCGATTCGCCTCCTTTTTCAGTCCTCCACCCGAACAAGGCAAGCAAGACGAGGCTCCGCCGCCCATGCCGGCTGTGGTGAGACCGTCGTCAGCTTCACAACCAGGATCTGCCACCGACGCTGATCAAGCGGGTTTCGCCCGTATCCTCGAAATGCTGCAGACTCGCAGCAGTAACCCGACACCCCAAGCCCAGGAAACCACCAAGACCCGGACTCCTTTATATGCCAGAAGGGCGGACTCCAGAGCCGAATCTGAATCTCGCCCGTCTCCTCAAAACCTGCTCTCAATTCTGGCCGGCCAGAACGGTCCTCAGCGCCAGGAACCTGCAACGGCACAACCACCCGCCAACCAGGAGAGACTGGCGGAGCCGCAGCCGCAGCCGCAATCTCAACCGCCTGCAGAACCACACACTCATACGCGACAGCAATCGAGCATCAACAAAGATGAAGTGTTGCTGAACTTGCTGCGGCAAGCAAGTCTTGCCCCGAAGCCTCAGCCGCCTGCTCCCCGTCAGCAAGCGGAAGGCCGAGGTGGTGCAGCCATGTACGCCATGATGTCCGAATCTAACGTGAGGATAGGCACAGCCAGAGGTCAAATACCGTCTCCTGTCCAACTCCAGGAACTCATGATGCAGCAACGAAGAGAGGTGGGCCGTGCCACATTTGAAGAGTCTCCCATTTCCATGTACCAGAACGACCCGACTCAACGCGAACAGGTCCCAGGACGACCTGCTAATGGTAATCGATCTGGACTCTCAGAGGATCCATTGATGGCACTTTTGCGTAGCCAGAATCCACAGCAGCGATCCATGCCACCTCCGCAACCGCCTCAAGGTCTTCCTCCTGGTCTTCAGAGACCGCCTGGACTAGATTCGATGGTACGACCAAATCCGAATTGGCCACCTCAAGAAGCACCGTCGCGGCCTCCTCAACAAGCTCACCGTCAGCCACCGCTTCCGCCTGGCCTGGGAGGCAATGTCCCTCGCGGCATGATGGGCGCACCTCCGCCGAGTCAGCTGCAACAGCTACCTATCCAGCCGTCCATGCCACCGCCGGCTCCTCAACCACGACCACAGCAGCAACAGCGCAAGTACACGGGAGATTTGGGTCCGATCCCGGCAGGGCCGCCTTCCCTTCCTCCAGGGATGTATCCGCCTCCAGGATTCATGAACGCTGGACCTCCTCCCGGCTTTCCTGGATCGATGGCAAATCATCCTGCTGCCCGCTACCAGGGTGAGCCAGGTCCTCCCCTGCCGGGCATGAACCGCGCTGCGTTCTTGGATATGTATGGCGATGTCGCCGGCGGGAGGGGTGTCGGGTTGAGAGGGGGGTCCGCGAATGGAGGTATGCCGCCTTACAGATGACCGGATCGCGAAGTAGAACATGACTGGGGCTTGCTCCAAGGGGGCAGATGTTTCTGTGTTACACTGCATGCAAAGTCACGTCCTGCTTGCGCAGTTGCGATTTCGCATGCCGCAAGGAAGGACTCTAATGAAGGGTGACATGAGACCGGGAAAGTGTGGCTCAGATGATGGATTCAAGGATTCAAAAGTTCTACAGATAGCGTGGCACGATGAAGGAACATGGCATAGCACGACTCAGTCCCCCGGCAAGCCATGCAGTGCATGATGCACTGGGATGTGAGACGAAAAGGAGAGGCACCCCTTACGCAGCAAGTGGCCAAATATGAAAGACATTGAGTAGTCGAGCAAAACTTCAACACTCAAACAGTCACCAATGGCTTTGAAGGGTTTAACCCCAATACTATGCCTCCTTGCAGGAAATCACAGATGCTTCCCAAATACTCTTTAGGAGCCCGTCGGGCAGAACCACGTATGCGTTGTGTTGTACACATTCGAAGTTCGAAGTTTCGCAGGCGACGGCGACATGATCCAGCCCAGGACTAACACCACACTGGACATTAAGACAGTCCATTCCCTCTTTCATCTGCCACCATCTGACCTGTTCGTTGTTCGACTGGGCCCCGATTCACTTCTTACTATGCCGTTGCTTGATCTTTTCCACGAGACTCTTAACATCTGCTGTGCCGTCGTCGTTGGAGCTGCCATTTCTGTCATTCTTGCCCCTGACACGGTCTTCCCGTGTGGACAGGCCAGCGTCGTTTGTGCCCTTCTTCTCTTTCATCCTCCGCCCTTCCTGCAACAAGGTCTTCATGGCCTTTGTACCCTTGAAACGCGGATTCGTCGGATCAATGGCGTACTCATGGCTCGTGAAGAGCCGAGCGAACCGCGGATCGGCGGCATCCACTTTGAACTCATCGCCTCCATTCGCATCGGGCTCTGCGCCGGCCTTGTCTTTCCGCTTCTTGTCCTTGTTCTTGTTCTTCTTGCGGGCCAGCTTCTCGGCCTTTTCGATTTCCTTCATGTCGAAATGGCGCAGCTTGGGCTCGCCATTGGCGTTGGCGTGGTCTCCGCCGAGACTGTCGTCGGCCATCAACAGCTCCAGCTCGGCGCGTTGCTTGCGCTCGGCTTCTTCCTCGGCCTCGCGCTCGCGCTTCTTCTTCATGCGTTCCTCTTTGCGCATCTTGGTGCTGGCCGCCCTATCGGATTTGGCGGACGGCTCGTCGGCGAAGAAGGGATCGTCAAATCCAAGATCGGTCTCCTGTCCCGCTCCCGCTCCCGCTTTATCTCCCCCGGCAGCAACGGCATCGTTGTCGGCGGACTCTGCATCACTCCCTTCGTTCCCTGGCGCAGTCGCCGTCTTGCGTCTCTCTTTTCGCTTTTGTTTCCTCTCGCGCTCTTTGCGGATATATCTCTCCACCGTCGTCTCCTCGGGCTCGGGCGAGTTCTCGAAAACTGATCTCTTCTTTCTGTCCTCACCTGTCGGCGCGAGCCCCGATGTGAAGGTGACCAGCATGTCGCCGACCGGGGCCTTTTCCTTTTTGGATTTCTTCTCCGGCTCAGGAGCTAGGCCGAGCAGGGCTCGCATCCGCTGTCTTTCGGCTTCCTTTTTCGAAAGAGGAGGGTTCATGTTCGTGTTCGTGTTGGACGAGTTGGTGGTGGTGCCGTCGACGACTTCCACTTCATCCTCGTCGTCCGAGGTGTCGGAGCCGAGATATGCTTTGAGATCATTCTCCTCAATCTCTTTCCTGCTGCCCTTGAATGCTCGCGCCACGGCCTCCTTCCGACTCTTGTCCTCTGCATCCCACGTCAATTTCACTTTGCTATGCTGCAGGGCGTCCGTGACGAAATCGTTGGGTCGATAGTCGTCGGGGATCTTGTCGCATTCTTCCCGCGGCACGTCGCTGGAGAAGTCTGTCTCATCGGGCACAAAGCGAAGGTCGAAGAAATTGGCCGTCCGTTGATACTCGGTACCGTCGACAGCGTCGTAGATGTGTTTCGCCACTTCGGGGGAGGAGAAAGTCAGGATGCAGTAGAAGTAGCGAAGACGTTCGAGTTGGTAGCGGCGAAGAGCCTTGGAATCAAAATCGGCGCCGTCGTCAGATTTGAGAATCGATTTTTTAATAGCCTCTTCAGCATCCTCGTCGTCGTCGTCGTCGTCTACATCTTCATCCTGTTTTGCGCTGGTGGCGAAGATTTCTTGGGGCGGGCCTTCCAACTCCTCACGCTCCAATCGCTCCTTTCCAAACTCGCTGGGGTAGATGGCCACTTTGAGCAGCGAGCCCGAAGATGGCAAGAAACTGCTGAACACCGCCATCAGATCTGCCGCCCGGATGTTGTCCCAGTCCAGATTGACGATGGCGATACGAGAAGTGACCTCGCCTGTAGGCACATCGGTCTGCTGAGTCGGCCCCACGCCAGCCTCCGCATCGATGTCTTCTTCTGCCGACTCGTCTACATCTTCATCTGACTCGTCGTCGCTCGAGGTGGTCTCGTCGGAAGACGATTCGGTGTCTCGACCTTCCCGTAGCGGATCGTGGACTTTGCTCAAGCGGTGGAGTTCCTCTTGGACCTCGTCATGCTTGTCCGGGACATCGCTCCCGGCTTCTTCGTCTTCGAACTCATATTTTCGTTTCAGTCTGCTCCTTTCGGCGTCGGCCGCAATGGGCCGCCCATACCGGTCGACTTTGGCTCTCCGTGTGAAATCCTCGTCTTGTAGCGCCCGAGTGAAGCGCTTGTCGAGTTTGACCTTGTCTTTCTTTCCCGGTAGACGGTAGCGAGGATCAGACTGGATATTGGCGAATCGAGGGTCGGTGATCTGAGGGTCGCTTGAGGCGTTCACAGGTTTGGACTTGAGGCCTGTCTTCTGCCTTTTTGTTGATGGTTCACCCATGGTGAAAATGTCTGCCAAAAAAGTGTGTTGTTGGTTGTAAGTAGCGGCAGGTGAAGCAGCGCAGGACAAAAGCGAAGCGGAGAACAGAAAAAATGTCGGACAATTAATTAATCGATGGTGGGGAAACAAGATGGCGGATGGCGGTCTCAAGCAATCGATCGACTTTTCCCACCCATAAGCCGAGGGGTCTCCAGCTTAGGGGCCCGATTGAGCCAGTCGTCAACTTGGATGCGGGATCCTCAACTGTCCAGATGCCTAGGTACCTGTGTATGAAGGTGGTGCATTGTCCAGTGGTGGTCACTGTCCCTCTATACTGTCTCGCTGTGTACCTGTATCCTGTAGTGCGACATCACACGTGCTGGTGGTGTGAGTTGAGCCGAGTTCAGCTGCGCTCCCAGGAACTAGAAGTAAATAGTAACAACCGTGGCTTGAGGCTTTGCAAAGTCCTCTCAAGATCATACACTTCCATCCTCATACCTACACACTGCGACCGAGTTGACTATTTCCTGTCTTCACCAACATCCCCTTGCTACTTTGCTACCGTGAAACTTGAACAACAAACCTGTCGCGGCCACAAAGCAAACAATCGCACCCCCCACCCCTAAGTCTCGGATATCGACATCGACCTCCAAGATGCCTGTTGGATCGTGCTTGATTACAGGGTATGATATTCAAACGCATGTTAGTGCAGGTCTGAGACAAAGGGCTGACGCCGGTATAGTGGCACTGGCTACATTGGATCCTTCACCGCCCTCGCATTGCTCGAGGCCGGCTACAAGGTCGTGATTGTCGACAACCTCTACAACTCGTCCCCCGAAGTCCTGAACCGAATCGAGCTCATCTGTGGAAAGAAGCCGGAATACTACAATGTCGACATCACCGACGAGAAGGCTCTGGACGACGTGTTCGCCAAACACCCCGACATCGACAGTGTCATCCACTTCGCAGCGCTGAAAGCGGTCGGCGAGTCCGCCGAGAAGCCTCTCGACTACTACCGAGTCAATGTCTACGGCACCTTGACGCTTCTCTCCTCCGCCGCCCGGCACAATGTCACCAACATCGTCTACTCCTCCTCCGCGACCGTCTACGGCGACGCGACCCGAGTTCCCGGCATGATCCCCATCCCCGAAGAGTGTCCGCTCGGCCCAACGAACCCCTACGGAAACACAAAGTTCACGTCGGAACTCATGATTACAGACCACATCAACGCCGAGCGCGCCAAAGCCGAGAAGAAGGGCGACGCCGACGCCGTCAAGAGCTGGAACGCTGGTCTGCTGCGATACTTCAATCCCGCGGGCGCGCATCCTAGCGGCATCATGGGTGAAGACCCGTCAGGGACTCCCTACAACCTCCTCCCTCTGCTCGCACAGGTGGCGACGGGCAAGCGCGAAAAGCTTCTCGTCTTTGGCGACGATTATGCATCTCACGATGGCACCGCCATTCGCGACTACATCCACATCCTCGACCTCGCCCAGGGTCATCTGAAGGCTCTGGACTATCTCCGCCAACACCATCCGGGCGTGCGGGCCTGGAATCTGGGAACAGGTCGCGGCTCGACGGTGTTCGAAATGATTAAGGCGTTCAGCAAGGCGGTCGGTCGCGATCTCCCCTACGAAGTCGTCGGCCGTAGACCTGGCGATGTGCTAGATCTCACGAGCAACCCGGCACGCGCGAACAAGGAGCTGGGATGGAAGGCCCAGCGGACCTTGGAGGACGCCTGTGCGGATCTCTGGTGCTGGACGGAAAACAACCCCGAGGGATACAGACAACCGCCGCCGCAGAAATTCCTGGATGCTTTGAAAAAGAACAACTAGAGATCATCAGGGCTTAATGTTCAGATACACGCGCGAACCTCGAGAACAGAGCAATTTCGTTGGAACAACATCCACAATCAATTGGAGCCGGCAAAGGAGAATCATGGGCCAACGGACCTGTCATTTACTTGTACAGTTTATGTGAAAATGGAAATGAACATCAACCTTCTCAACAGTTCGCCGGCTTGAAGCGACAGCGAAAATTTCAGACTAGAGCCACAGATCGAATCGCCGGGAGGCTTATCATAAAAGGGGACACGAGGGATGATATCAATCGTCATGATTCAACTCAGAAGAGGGATGATCCAACAGACATGAGCAGGTATCGAACCGCATTCTACGCCTTCCCTTTTCTTTATTCGGTTACTGGATGGTGTGGAACAAAGTTTCGGACGTGATCACCTGGCATCATGTGTATGTCACTGCTGTTGTATATGTTATGTTTTGCCACGGCTGTTCATCTTCAGGTATGGGCTCGAGTAAATAGATTTGGTAGAGGCACTACTGGCATGCCTGAGTACCAGATCATTCCGTCTGTGAGACCGTGTCATCTTCCGTACACCTTGTAACACCAATTGGTGAACTCAAGTCGTTTACCCAACCAAGATGGGTACGTGGTCAGGTTTGCAGATGATAAGATATACCGGTGAGAAGACAGTACAGGACGCTCTGTCGCTCTATATATAGGCGAGTGCCCCCAAGCCACATTTCCTTCAACGCCGTCGCTCAAGAAAAAGTACGTCAAGATCATACAAGGTGACTCAACCGCGGTAGATCGTTAACGCTATACACCTCAAAACCCCATCATGCTGGTAGGTACTCAAGTGGAGTAGGCAATGCTTACACCCACGGAACCAGTCCAGCGTTTCACGCTCGGCCCGAGATCGCCATCCATGCTGGATCTGGAGACGACGCCATTCATCGCAGTGGTCGAACTCACAGCGTATTTGGTGACAGGGCTTACACTGACGCCTGCGGAGACGAGCAGGCTCTTGACTCGTCCGGTCCAGAGGGCTTTGACGTTCCAGGAATCGTCGACGCGGAATTTCAGGACGTTCTCTTCCTCGCGCTCCGTGCGCTCGTCTTTGAGAGCTTGCTCGGCTGGGCTGAACCAGTCCTTGGTCTTGGTTCGGACCCAGGAAAGCCCATCTGCACCGGTATTGGTGGTGTTGGTATCCCAGGGTTCGGCGGAAACGGCGCGAGAATTGGAATCACGACGAGAAGGCCGCCATAGTTCGCCGCCAAGCACATATCGGGACTCCCAGGAGTAGAAGTTGAAGTCGAATTGCGATGATAGAGCGAGCATGGGTGTAGGCCGCACCGAATAGGTCGAGGAAATTGCGCCGGTCAGTGGCGTCAGCGTCAGAGTCATCGTGTAGGGAAACGATGAGTGAGATATGTTGGAGGGCGTCAGGAGGCTGTGGCCCGCAGTGGACAGCAACGATGCAGAGGTTCCAGCCAGAGGCTTGCCTCGGAATACAGAGTCCAACGTCGGACGCGGTGTCGGGGATTGAGAGGGCGTGATGTGCGGCGCCAGTGTGGTAAATCGGAGGCCGGTGGACATTCCTATGACATGAGAAAAGGGACTGTAGTAGAACTCGGCCCCTGCGGAGAGTAGAGAGGGTTTAGTTGCAAGTCGGTCGCGGTACACGGCTTGGGTATTGGTGTACGGCGGGAGCGGGAGCCCTGATGGGAACTCGGTGAACTCGCCGAGTGGATCGGTCTCTGGTGAAATGATCGGTATCGATGGTCCATTGTCGTCGACTTGTGGTGACAGCCCGAAATTCCATAGTCCCCGGACCCCCAGAAGCGCATTGTCCGTGGACCCGAGCCCCTCGATCGAGTAGCGGCCTGTATCGCGCTGGATGTGAGCGAGAACCGCGGCCGGCGGAGGCCCCGAGTTCAGCACGGATGTCGACCCTGACTTGCTGTACAGAGATAGCGAAAGGAGAGTCTCGGGACTGACACGCCGCGCATAGAGTGCTGTGAGAACCGACGGCGGCGGCAGGGCAAGTGTTGCGTGTAGTAAGGTAGGTTTCCGTGTTCGTTCATCCTCGCTCTCTCTTCTGGCACCAGCCCTTCGTTCCAGCTCATCCAGTGCGATCGGGAGTCTGATGTCCCGATATCCTCGGACCAGATATCTCAGCGGAATGCTCGGTGCTTGCGAAGGGATGTGGCTAAGCGGAACGGTCGAGTAAAGGTATGATATTGAGCCATCGATCTGCCCTAATGTCGACAGAGTGTATGAGCTCGCAAAGTTCGGTGTGCTGAGGGATGACACGTGCAGCGCCAGAGTCGTGGGAGTCTGGAAGGACAGTAATGCATCCGATGTCGCGGTCAGCGAGGAGTAGCTGTTGTCGGGATTCCAGTCGGTTGCGGTTCCAAACGCTTGAACCACGTAGTCCATGAAATCGATCATCTTGAGGAAGCGGAGGGAGAGGGCTAGCTGGTGAGCGCATTGCGGCGCTATCGTCCGTCGTCGTGCATGTATTCAAGCATCGGGGTATGACTTCGAAACATCTTTTGGGGAACACTTCGACAACACGCAGATGCGGTCGCGAGTCGTCAATTGCGCTTGGAGTTTGAGATATACTCCGCGGTAGAGGAGATGTACGGTGGAGTACTCCATTTCTCAGCCTCGTCGGCCCCTTTTTGGCGCCGCCTCGTGGAGGTTCTGCCGACACGGTCTTCGGACTTGCCGTTAAATCGTGGCACAATGAGACGGGATTCGAGCGACTCACTACGTAGTGATGTCTTTCAAAGTCGTAGGACACAGGTACACTGATAGTTTCATGCGAAAAGCGATCCCTGAGCGCTCCCGGAAGGCTGCTTGAGCCTTTTGGTCTTCACTCTTGCTCTTCGTTCAGAACACGGAATTCTGTCAGCTTTAGACAATGGGACGGTTTAAGATGCTACCCTGCCTCTTCTCCCATAACCAGCAAGTACTACGTAATATCTAGCATTGCCGCTTCGCCTCGAACATAATCAACCCAGAAAACGAGTGATAACGAGTGATAAGAGGCGATAAGAGACGATAAGGGCAAGCCCTCCTTTATCCTACTACTACGGGAGATGCTGCTCCAAAGCCTACCTATACGTAGTAGAATATGTCTCCAACCAGTGCTATTTTGATCTCGGCACCTCTGTGGTATGAATGTGGCGTGAGCATCATCTCATCCTTCCCAAACCCGGGCACCGGTCTCTCTCCTATGAAGATGTCTTCTTATACATGCTCGGCGGATGCTCGGTATTGCAAGTGATCCGCCATAATCCGCGATATTGACTCGCAGTATCTGCTTTCTACTAATGCCCTTGTCTTGTTTCCATACCGTTTGAATCCCAGGTTGTCTACGGAGAGATCCTACATGAAACCGAGCAACTCAGTACTGATGGCGCAGAAGCTCTCCTCGTTAAGCGGCAATCTTGAACGACGCGCAGTCGTTTCGGTCCTCCTCTTCCCGTTCCACCCCTATGCCTCTAAGCCTTACCGACTACTCCTCTTCCGCCGTTCCAACAAGGTCAGCACGTACCGAAAGAAACTAGCTCCCATCGCGGGCTCAATCGAGGTCGATGACAAGACACCACTAGACGCAGCATGGAGAGAACTCGGCGAAGAAACCGGTCTCGGCCCGCAACACATTGAGCTATGGCGCCGCGGTCCGGGATTCGAGTTCACCGATGAGAAAGCTGTAAGCGGCAGCGATGGAACAAGCGTGAAGAAGGGAAGAATATGGACCGTTCATCCTTTTGCGTTCCGGATGAAGCAGGAGTTTGTGGATCAAAACAACAATGTCGATACCTCCGTCATGCATCTCGATTGGGAGCATTTCAACTGTGAGTGGAACAATGTCGACGACATACTGAGCGGCAAGATATTGGATGATTGCGTGCCCAGACTAGAAATCACGCTCGGGCAGGTCTGGATTGAACCTGGAAGCCTCCTACATCAAGCGGTTGAAGAACTTCGGCTGGATCATGTGCACGGTGCCAGGGAGTTGGCTACAATGGCCGTGAAGAGTCTGATCAAAATGGTCGAAAGTGACCAGCAGGCTAGTGAGAACGACAGCCCCGAGGACATCACAAGATGGTGGGAGAGTTTCAGACTCAAAGCGTTCCATCTAGCCGTGAATGCTCGGCCAAGCATGGGAGCAGCGATATCGAGTGCTGTTGTAACTGCTCTCCAGGATGTCAAAACCCACATCAACGAAGGTGAACAGGGCGTCCTCCACAAGGTGAAAGAGTCACTCGAAAGAAATGTGACCAAGCGAGGTGAGATCTCGAAGCGGGTGTGTGAACAGTTCTCTACCTTCCTGCAAGAGAAACTCCGAGGACAAGCGGAAAGCAGTAAGGACAAAGGAAGCATCAAGGTTCTGACCCTCAGCTCCTCGTCCACGATTAAAGCAGCAATACTACATGCTCTCGACGCCAACCCTACTCTCAAGATCGAACTTCGCATTCTGGAATCGCGCCCACTTTGTGAAGGTGTGGGATTCGCGAAAGCACTGACCGACGAGGCAGAGAAGCGCCGGTCAGGCCAGGCAACCGGACCCACGTTCCATGATCGACTGCGAGTTGTGGTTGCCACCGATGCCTCGGTAGGTCTTCTCAGCAGAGAAGTTGATCTGGTCCTCGTCGGAGCAGATCGTATTTCCGAGTCTGGAGATGTGAGTAACAAGACCGGGTCGCTGCCCGCCGTGTTAACATGCAAACACATCACAAATGGCTCGGCAAATGTGGTTTGTATCAGCGAGGCAGAGAAAATCGCGCCGCCGGGCGCTGCTTCAGAACATCCTGAAGAAGATAATGACCAGCGTGAAGTTGTCAGTGGCTGGAACTTGTCGGCCACATCGCCGTTGTGGAACGAGATGGTTGGAGTACGCAACATCTACTTTGAATGGATTCCTGCGAAATATGTTGACTACTATGTGTGCGAGGATGGCGCCCTGTCTACTGAAGAGATTCAACAACGATCCAAGCAGATCTCAGAGTTGACTGCCGAAGTCTTCCCTGTTTTCAAGGTCGACGACTTCCACGGGTGAGACAGAAAGAAATGATTCCCACACAACGACTATCTACGCCTTTATGTCAGACTGTCAGCCATGGAAACTTTGAGGTCACTCCTCGATAGGATTGTGAATGTCTCCCATGCCAACAGATGCGCTCAAGTTGCCCCGTGTCGATGCAGATTATCTACAATATCAATAGCCTACCATTGCGGTGTCCGCTCCAGGGTCGCTCGCAACGCCTTATAGATCCTTCCTGTTGACGCGTGTCTCTCCCAAGTTTTCAACGCCACTCACTGACGGAAATTTGGGAACCAACTTTTGACCTTCTGGGGGAAATTCAACCCTTCGTCATGCTCTCGTCCGTTTGTTCCTTTCGATGCAGGTACTGAACCATTTTGTGTCGAATTGTCCTTGATATCATCTGTCCCGTGGATGAGACAGGGTTCCCCGCCGATGGAAGTCTCGCTATTGCTGGTGGTCTTTTCGTTGGGAGCAGAAGTACCGTTGGCTTGCGGCATCCTGTTTTGAAGAGCGTCACCGTTTGCCGCCGGTTGGAACAATGCAGAATCTGGCTCGTTGACCAGTTGCTCCAAACAGGCACCTAGGTCGTCAAGCAAAGACCTGCCAACATCCAACCAATCCTCAAACGTAACGATCTCGAGGGTGAGGGAGTCGCCCTTCAAGTACGCCTGTATCTTCCATTCACGGAGTGGCTCCAGATGAGGATAGAATGTCTCCATTCGACTGTTGGCCGAGAGGAAGGACAGATTTTCAACGTGTTCCACATCCTGGTGCACCACTGAATCGAACCAGTCGATTGATTTTGGCCAGTCGGTGCATTCCCGGACGATTTCCTTCAGGCCCATGCCCTCGAAACGGGTACTGTCGATGTGCTGCTGCTGGACAAAGTTGAGCAAGTCTATTGCTTTCCAGTCATGGTCGAACTTCACTCTAACTGGAATGTATTGCCAAGTGGGACCCATCACCGCATCACAGTTGGGAAGGCCGACGTTGCGCCCGCTGACAACCTCTCCGAATGTCACATCCTGTAGAGACAAACGGTGGGCGAGACAAAGCGCCCAGGCCGCGGTTGGCAGGGTTGCAACGGTGATGTCTTTATTTCGACCGGAGATATCGAACGTCCTTGATACAGCAGCTGGGTTCTTCGACTTCAGCGAGATCTCTGGCCGCAACACTGTCAATGAAGAGCCCTTCAAGAGATTACGCCAATAGTCAATGCTCTTTGGGATATTCTCTTGCAGAACATGGTACACGTACGACGAGAACGGCAACGAGTCAGGCACGGGCTTCTGTTCGTAAAGGGCGGCCAGTTGGTGCAAAAGTCGAGGCAGACAGATCTCGTCGTACTGAGCGTGCGAGATCTTCAGGATCAGACAACTCCGGCCGTTCTCGCCCTGCACAAAGAAGAATTTCACGAAAGGTGTGCCTTCAGGCATCCTTGTCTGAATGTCGAGAGCACAGAGTTTCTTTGTGAAGCCTTCAAGATCTCCCTCAATCTCATATTCGACAATGGGGGCCTCTAGGTCTTTCAACACAACCGCGTAGCACGTCTCTTGATATGTGGCAAAGACAGTGCGGAGTATTTCGTTTCGGGCAATCAGCTCTTGACAACTTCGGAACATGCGCTCACGGTCGATGGCGGTGTCGAGATAGAAGAGCTCATATCGTGCGGAGTATCGAGGCAGTTGTGTGGTCCCTCTCACGGCAATTTCTTGCAGAGGACGTGCTGGAAGTACGTCTGTGATCTTCCAAGTTGGCTGTTTGAGGACTGGCAGAATTGCTTGAGAGATGAAACCCTCGACGTCATCGGTGTTCAGTGCTGAGAAAGGAGCCGCAGCCTTGGAAACGGACTGCTGTGGGACGAGTTGCTTCATATTGTCGGCCATTTCGCTCAACACTCTGGAGCGGAAGACTTCTGCCACGGTCAATTCGAGACCATCCAACCGAGCCTCTGACACCAGCTTCATCACACCAATCGAGTCGCCACCCAGCGCAAAGAAGCTACTTTCAGGCCCGATTTCATCCTCTGGAATGCCCAGGATCCGACTCCAGAGGCGGCGCAGCTGTTGTCGTCTGGCTGTCATGGGCAGCGACGTGCCATTGGAGCGGCTGATTTGAGGCTGTTCTGTCTTTGCAAGATCCGATTTTTCATTGCTGTGGCCCAGGATGACAATGGATCCGTTGCTGTTATACTTCGCTCGATGGGCAGTGTTGTAAAGCGTGGTCCGCTCGGCTGTGCCACTGGCGGAGCTTTCCAGAAGCCAGCCTGGTTTGTCGATCGACGTGAAAGGCAACTCAGTCACACTCTCAAGCAAGAGCTCTCCCACAGCACCAGGCGGTAGAAGTTGGTTGAGATGAGTCGGGTCCACAATCCAGGTTCGCTTCACATTTTCGTGGACCTCCCTTATGGCTTGATCGCCAGCCTGAGGCAGGCTCTGAACCCCAAGCTCACTGAGAGGTAGAAGATCGACTGGACTGGGTGCCTTCATTATGTCCAGATCGGAAAGGAGCAAGTTCGTGTCCTGGCAAAGCTCCTGGACGGTGCGTCCAAAGTCCTCCAGCACCTTTTGCATCTGACCTGCGTCCACTGTTTTCGAGTCGAAACTCGCCATTGTCAAGAAGCCACGCGAGTCCAGTGAGCACACCAGCATCAACGCGTACGAATTGAATTTCAATGCCTCTTGAGCTGCTTCAATGTCATTGACAGGAACAAAGCCGTCAGCGGGACATTCAGTGGCTGTGCCGGCCTCTCTCTCCTCGCCATCGGCATTCGGATGCAAGACCATGCCTGTTCGCAGCTCACAGGCTTCACGGGCATCTGCACTGAGACGTCGGATATGTTGGAGACCCATATGCTCATGTGCAATGCGTAAGACGGTATGTTCGTGGACGCTCTGCAGGTAGTCGGCAACCCGCATGTTCCTGTCCACATGAATTCTTGTCGGGACGGTGGTGATCAGAGGCCCTTCGATCTCTGCAATTCCTGGAATAGGGGCATTGCGTCCGGTGAGAGTCTCGCCAAATACCGCACTCTCTTCCGATGTGTATCGAGCCGCCACCAATGCCCATGCTGCTCTTATAGCCGTGGCAACGGTGGTGCTTGAGCTGACAGAGCTAGGGAATTGGACATAATGCTCCAGCAAAGAGTCTGCCCGTGGTTGGTACCCAGGGAAAGGTATCACCGGGAACTGTTGTCCTGTGGCACCATGCAATTGTTCTCTCCAGAACGCCGCCGAGCTTGGGCGATCTCCGTCATTGAGATACTTGATGAAAGACTTGAACGCGGTCGGTTGCCCTGTCTGCAGGCCGCGGTATGCCTTATTGACCCTGTCAATGATTAACGGCATTGACCACCCGTCATACAAGGCATGGTGAATGGTCAGCACGACGTGCACTTTGCTTTTCTGCTCATCAACCACAAGGCCAAACCGTGCGAGGGCATCACTAAGTCCCATCGGTCTATCACGGTCGTCTTGTAAATACTCCTCTAAGCTCTTGCTCGAGGACCATGGCAATTTGCCTTTTACAACGACCTGCATCAGGCCGTGACCGGGGACTTGCACGATCCGAGTGCGCAGAATTGGGCTGGTAGTCGCTACTGTCTCGAAAGCCGCCTTCAGCAGATGGGCGGTCTGGAGATCCTTGAGGTCGACTACCCTCTGCGCAATGTATGCGTCGCTGACTTTGGCCGAGAGAGCCATCAGCCCTTCCTGCAGCGGTGTGCAAGGGAAGACATCTTCGATGGCAGAGGGCAAGAGCTTGCATAGACTTGCCACGGCTCTCTGGGCGTCTTCTGCCCTCCAGCTGTTGTCCAGCAGCGAAAAGGGAGGGATTTCTGTTTCAGGGGTACTGCTTACTCGCCCAGCCGTTGCTGCCATCCGCGAGAGCGAGGGATTGGCAAAGATCTGAGCGACGGTGAGAGACAGACCCTCTGTGCGAGCCGCAGCGACAAGCTTCATTGCTTTTAGGGAATCACCTCCCAATGCGAAGAAGTTGCCTTTCACCCCAATGTCGGCCTCTGAAGCCAGAAGCTGTTTCCAGATTCCTTGCAAGATGTGCTCTTCTTGCGTCTGGGGCTCGTGGTTATCTGAGACCTCCATCCGGAACTTCGCCAATTGTTGCGGTGTCATGGCGAGCCCGATCCCCTGCAACCGTTTTCGATCAATCTTACACGACACCAGGAGTGGCATAGCCGGCAGAGGGATGTAGGCCGTGGGTACCATGTAGATTGGAAGCTCTGTGGCAAGGTATTTCTCCATGGCCGGGAGCAACTGGCGAAGCTCGTTGGAGAAAGATATTGTCTCACCAGATTGGCCTTCACTGTTTGGAGGCTGTTTGTCCTTTTGCTCTGCTATGAATGCCACCAAGCTGGGCTCGCGGTCCTTGCCGCCTGGAGTGATGACTTCGGCTGCGACGCTGGCTCCCTCGGGCAACTTCTTCAAAATGTGATGTTCTATCTCGGCCAGCTCGACTCGTTGGCCGCGCAACTTGACCTGTCTGTCCTTCCGGCCAACGAAAACCAGATTCCCTGATCCCGCAGGATCGTATTTGACCAAGTCACCTGTCTTATACAGCCGCCCGTGTCTTCCCGGAGCCGACTTGGATCCGGCGAGTAGCCATGTGGGATCCTCAATGAAGACCTGTGCTGTCCTCTCTGGGTCGTTGAGATACCCGACACCCACTATTGAGCCTTCGATCAGCAGTTCGCCTACCGCACCGACAGGAGTCAAGATATCGTGGTCCTCCGGATCTGTTATCCAGGTCACCCCGCCAACTCCTTTGCCGATACTTGTATATGGCCTTGTGACGTCGATCTCGTTGTTGATGGTGCAACCCACTGTACATTCTGACGGACCATATGCAATGACGAGCTTTGTGGTCTTGCTCCACGCCGCTGCGTCTCCTGAAGATAAAGACTCACCGCCTAGGCCCAATACCTCCAGAGAACTGAAAGCATCTGGCGACAGGAGACGAGCGACCGAGGGTGTCATATGTGCCATGTTGACATTCATGGATTTGATGGCTCCGCTAAGATCATTGACTCTCTGGTCGTCCGAAGGGACGCAGATACAGCCTCCGTTGGCCAAGGTGCACAACATACAGTCGATACTGACGTCGAAGGCGTATGATGGGAAATCGAGGACCCTGGAATGTGGTTTATATCCGACGGCTTCTGCTCGTGGGATTGCGCCTGTGGTGAAGTTTTCATGCGAGATCATCACCCCTTTCGGCTTGCCCGTGCTGCCGGAGGTGAAGATGATGTATAGCAGAGTGGATGCAGGCACAGGTTGCAGCGATGACGGTGCTGGTTGTTCGCCTAACCGCAGCAGCTCTGGGGCGACCACAATCGTCTTCGCATGGGGTGCAATGCGCGAACCCAGCTCGGCTTGTTTCTGAGACGTGACAACAACCTGGGCATTGACTTCGGCGGCGATGGTGCTCAACCGGCCTTCAGGCTGTTGAGGGTCTGTCAGAACAAATGTGCCGCCCGCTCTCATGACGGCCAACAACGCGACGACAGTCCACATGGACTTTTCGAAGCATAGAGGCACCGACGTGCCCAAACCGACACCGACTTGCGACAACTGTACAGCCAAATGACCAGAGAGCCGATCCAGCTGGCTGTAGGTCAGTTCGCCATCCCAAGATACTACCGCCTGCTTTTCGGGGTGCTCGGCCATCCTTTCCGCGATGATGTCGTGCGTGCATCGCTCGATCGCCGGGGGAACGTCTTCGTTCCATTTCCAAAGTCGCGCCAGCTCCTGCTCGCCTAAGCTGAGCGCCGCTGTTACTGACTGGTCTTGATTCAGTAAGACAGACTGAAGAATGTCCACAAATGCACGGATCTCGAAGTCTGCCATCTCCGTAGACAACGAAGTCCCCTCCCGTGACGGCCGCACATGTAGGCGATTGTCCACAAGGCGCACCTCTATACCAAAGCTTGAGGTCTGCTGAAGATGCTTCATTAGTTTCTACACATACCACCCGGGGCAACACTAGCAGACATACATTGGATTTTGGTTGCGACGCTAGATCCCCGGTTTCCAAGAACAACGCATTGTCCTTCCATTCTGACCAGCTCTGAAGCTGTGGTTGAGACGACAAGCCCCTGATCGATCTCAAGACGTCGGAAATACTGCTCCCATCTCGTGAAATGAGGTTGTCGAGTCTAGTCGTGCCTAGTTGCCGTGCTGGCGATGAACCTCCATCATACAAGCCCCAGGAGAACGAGTCATCGTCTCTGACAAAACTTCCGCGATACAGCAGAAGAGTCCAAGCAAGTAGGAGGAACTCAATCTGTTCTTGTATCGACTTGCCACTCAGAAGCGGAAATTCGAAGAAAGGGACGTTTTCCCACTCATCGTCGCCAGGGTAGATGGTGTCATGGTTGGGTTTCTGGGAACCTTCGCTCCCTTCCACGTGGTTGGCCATTGAGCATATGGTGATGTGCGAAATGGCCTAACACTCGCTTGAAAATCAAGACAAGAAATGCTCACTTCTGTCTGCAACTGCAACTGCAATGGCACAAGTCTGCTGGCAGACAGCAGGCCGCAGACGGCCAGACGAACCAAGTGAGTAACTTGTGACTGGTTGCTGATGTACAGTAGTAGACCGTCCAGAGCCTCGCGTGCCGTTGGTGTAAGGGCTCTTTTACCGGAAGTTGTTCCAGACCCCTACTGCCCACGACGCAATACCAAATACCTGCGAGGTGCCTTGTGTACTACTAAAGAAGGAGGAAACTCGGGCTGCCACCAACCGATCCAAACCAGCAGCACACAGACACGTGAACTGGGTCTGGCCGTTATCGCAGTTCGTCGTTCTCAGTTTCCACTCCAACGGAAGAGAAAAACTCTTTTCTCTCAGCCTAGCAAATTCCGATGTGATCGGACGTTGTTGATCGATCCTTTGGAGCTGACGGCAGTGCGCAGTACGGTCATGGAGCACACTCCTAAGTCTGTCTACCGCATGGAGCAACGATGGTGCAGAATACATACCTAGTCTGACTATCCATCCTCCTTCCACAATTGGACCTTAGGCCGGGTCTGCTACCAGGACCAAACTGGGAGTGGTGACACACTGGAGAGACCAGCCTCCACGGCTCCACCCATGCTGGTTTTGTTACCTGCTGCGCTGCCGTATTTTGTTACGAGCAGAGTTACAGAGGGCAAGATAGATACCTAGATAGTGATACCGGTCCTCCACTACAGACAAAGCCAGATCCATCACCAAGCCTCCAAGCTTTCTCCGGTCTCGCAGTCATGGCATGGCATGGCATGGCATGGCATGCAGTGAGAGTATCTACTGTATAGAGTATCTGGGTATTGGGGTTGTTACTAGAACTGTACGGTGCGTACAGATACAGACACGGATACCTGCGGATACGGATACGGATACGGATACAGTCTGTACACAGGTACAAATAAATACGGTATACCAGGATCCACCAGCTGCCCTGACCAGGTTCCACTGCATTTGATGTCTTGTCTCGTCTTGGCACAAGGCTCCATCAAGTGAGGGGCTTTTTCTTTGACAAACACATACAGATACAGATACAGATACCCCAGCAAAGCGAACAAGGCGATCACGGAGAGGCACTTCGTTACCTTGTTGTGTTCTTGTGGACCCTTGTCAACTTTCATGTAAGGCGGATCCATGATCATCACAGTACTAACTAAATACGTGCGTACGTAGTAACTCGGTATCACAGACCCAACTGGTCACAGGGTTGTCGAGTAGAACCTCGGAGTCTTGCACGAGTCTGCACGAACATCGATCGATCAACACGCATTTTGGAAGAAACGTGGCTACCTAGACAGTCTACTCTGGACTCTGTTCAGCCATCTTTCTCCACATGCGGCATTATTTGTCTCGTTGACAGACAGACAGCCAGACCGCCGATCTTCGCACACCACACCGAGAACCTGGAGCGGCGACTGTGGTGAGGTAGTCGACATACAGGTCAAGGAGTCCATGAGAGTAGACTGGTGATCGCAAGTTAAGATCTAGTATCGTCAGGTCCATGGCCTACCTGTATCCTATACACATCTACATGTATTGATAAAGTATGTAGACTGATACTAGAATCCTGCTCTGGAAAGGGCTGCGCATTCATTGCCCCGAGATTGATGAAGAACACAGCATTTTTTACAGGCTCATAACGAGTACTTTCCTTATCATCTTGGCACCTTCAAAGCCTCTCGATCCTCTCGAGTATCCAGCGGATCAATGAAGAAACAGACCCAAGTGACCAAGTCTTTCATTCAGAGCTTCGCAGCCGCCTTCTTTTCAGGACCTGTTGCAGTCTTCTTGCCTCCCGGTCCCTCGGAGATTCTGACATTCCCACCGGGCAAGCCAAATCCCACACACTGAAAGAACCGAACACGCTCACATCTGACAATGGCGGACCGCTTATGCGGCAGGTCGGCGACTTTATGGATATGGAACCCATTGGCAGCATCGTAGCCCAGGACATTGGCATTGGTGTATTTGGGCTCTCCGACGATTGTCATGGTTCGCGGCTCGTCAAGGAACAGGTAGTGTATCAGGCTAGACCACCATGCCGAAGCGCGGTGGGGGCCTCTATACCGTACATCGCCGACCAGCGAGTGTCTTCCGCGGTCCCAGTCTCCCGGGGAGGGAGAGATATAGACGCCCATATGATCCTCCTGAATGAGAAGTAATCAGTAAAGATGGGCTTTTGAAAGAAGAGATGTTATGAATGAAGGCATGAGAAAGTAAAGACAGGATATAAAGGGCTGCAGAAAGACAAACCTTTGCCCAGTAGATCTCGAAATAGGCGAAAAAAGTATCGTTGAATTTCGCCAGAATGGCCATCTGATGCGGATCTTCGTCAATCTTGCGCAGATATTCACGGTGCTGGTCCAGCGTGCCCGTCTCGTTCCAGCCCTGTGACACGCGCGGGTCGTTCTGCCAGACATGGAACAGCTGCAGGTGCGTCTCGTCCCGCCAGTCTAGATGAACCATGGAGAAGAACTCGTCCAAGTGAGGCACGTAACGGCTGTAGATGATGGAGCCGCGAGTTGGCTTCGGCGGCCGGATTGGATGTTGTGCGTGCACTGGGCGCCCCTCAGGGCTGAATGTCACTGTATGCTCGTAGGGGAAAGCCGGATAGGACGACGTGAACGACGCGGAGCCTGATAGATGGCTGTAGAGATCCGGATGGGCCACCCATACCGGTCGTGTGCCGAACGGCGAGGCCGCCCCTTGCCAGAATGCCGAGCGTGATATCCAGATCTGGGAACGACCTTCTGGTAGGTCTCGCGCCGTATGTTCTGGTCGCGACGGTGTCGGTCGTGCTGTCGCAATGCCAGTGGCTTGGAGGGTTTCGGACAATAGCTGGGCGCTGTCATTGTCGCTTCCAACCAGCTCCAGGCGGAATGATTCTAGGTCCGGATACAGTGTGACGAAGGCGTGTATGATGTTCCAGATCTGGCCGACTGTGGCAGGCACTTCGCCCCACGACACATAGGATATCGGCGTCTGGTGAAATCGCGCCCATGCCGAGTTGTCGCCTGCCGCTGGGACAAAGGCGTCTGGTTCGGTTGTCAGGTCGCTGAACGTCAGGCTGTCATTGTGCAGTTGGTCTGGAGGCAGCCTTGCATTGGGTAATTGAGTCTCGGCGAGTGCAAGGCTGAGGACAGGAAGATTGTCTGTCTCCGACAAGACGCGAATATCGTACGTCGTTTTCCATGGCTCAGGCAGGCGGACTGGCGGCAGGTATTTGGAGGACATTGATAGTGACAGTGAGGCTTCCGATTGTGTCTTTTTCGGCGGTGGTGTTGAAGCCCCAACGGCTACTGGTGTTGCCATCGAGTAGAATGTGTTTGACGAAGGCACTTAGTGTTGATTCGGCGCCCAGCAAAGAGTACAGCTCGTCAGCCAGTGAACAACAAGACTCTCGCCAGTTGCAACGCTGCAAATGAATGCTGCAACCATGAACTTGCGTACTGCAACAACGAGGTCTGCTAGCCTCTTGTCAAGGATCTGAACTGTGGCAATACTGCAGACTTCGACTTCGATCGCGAACAAGCTCACCGTAATCGGGACGCGGTCATCAAAATGCTTGTCGGGGAAGGCCATCATCCACTCGCTCCCGCCATCAGCTTGTGGGTTGAGGCTTGCAACATGCTCCTCACCGTTTGACAGGCCGAGGCTCGGATGCGAGCCGATTTCCAGTATCGGACGCTTTCCCGGACCGGAGACTAGGGGAGGATTCCTGCGGTCTGGAGACGGTGGGCACCATCCGTTAGAGAAAATGAAAACATGCGGAGCGGGTGGCGGGGACCCAGTCCGTGTCAACATGGAATGGAAAGATGACAGAGACACATGGGAGACTGCGAGAAGAGACAGACAGACGGGACGGCACAACCATCCGTCATCACAGCGGACAGTCAAGCATGGCGGAAATGGTACTGAATGACATAGATGTGGTCAGAACTGCCGTCTTGAATCTTGCAGACCAGTCCATTATCGAGAGTTCCTGTCCAGCCTGTTCGCACTCGTTCTGCGCCAGGGTTTGTAAGATCAGAGCTTCGCTTCTCTCGCCGCTGGAACCGGGGTGGCATGTACGCCCTGCGTATGGGTAATTCCCTCGGTGTGAATTTCCTGTCGATGCCCTCGGAAGCGCTTCTATGTATGCCAAGCAACAAGAGGAGCTCGACTGAGGCGCAGTGTTGGACGGTGTGACCGGTGTGGATGGTGCGGATGCGTTGAGGGTGGATGAACGATGGAATTCGCAGGCAAACAGGGGGGTATGTGAGGTTGGATTGCCAGCGGATCAGATTAGATCAATTATCTGATCATCTTGGCAGCTGTGATCAGCAGCGAAAAATTGATCTGATTAGATGAAAACTTTTCACTCTTCCTGACTTTGCCGACAGGCAGCTTCCTGATCAGATAAGATACCCCGCAGTGGACTATCGGAGCTTGTGTGGACCCCAGACTTTGCTAAGAGAATCCACCCACTGCAGTGTGGGCTTGACAAGGCTCGGCGCGGTCAGGGGTCGGGTCAAGATCGGGGCCGGAATACCGTACGTTAGGCTGCGTATTGTTCTGCTGTGGTATTGTTTTGTTACCAGTCGATACAGGTGGATTGATGGGGGACGGAACGCTGCCAAGGGAGCTAGCTCAAAGTCATTCCCATTCTATCCGTCACCTCCAGGGTCAAGCAATTGCTTATCAGATGGTGATGATCTTATTATCAGATGAAAACTGACCCCGGTGGTCCATCCTCCGCCCGCAATCGGAGCATAGAGATTTCACTCTCAGCGGGACACCACCTAGCTGGAGCAAGCCGTCCTGGGGCTGGTCCTCGCTGGTTGCCGCCGTTTAAGGCTTTTATGTGCAAGATGTTGGTCTTTTCTCGGCGAAGAAGCCAGTGTTCTAGGGGCTTGCAGATGTGGTTGACTAAGCTTCGGGCGTCGACACCCATAGACAGTACTCAAAGTCGGGAGAGGACGCTGGACTGCAAGGCCTGTTTAAGCAGACCATGTCAAGTCAGTCCAAGGCGATGCCAGTCAATGTGTCTGAAAGTGTAGAGTCCATCGGAGTGACAACCGCACACAACGCTCCCGCGGTCCACGATGCTCAGGAGCAGAAGATCAAGAAAACCAAATCGGTTAGTTCAGCCTTCTCAGCAATATCCCGTGTGGAGCGTGAATGTGTTGGATGTCGCTAACAACTACGAGCAGCCATTCATTGTTTACATCAGCCTTCTGAGATACGCCTGCTCAACATGGCTCGACATCGGGCTCATGCTTGTTGGCGCAGTATGTGCTGCAGCATCTGGAGTGCCTTTCCCACTCATGGCAATCTTGTTTGGAGAGCTCGTCAATGACCTCAACGGTGCTTCATGCGTGGTGGAAGAGGCCGGTGACGCTTTCGCCTACGAGTCAGCCATCGACGACAAAGTGCTAGAGTTGGTCTACATTGCCGTGGCAGCTCTGGTCTTGATCTTCATCTACGTTGTCTGCTGGAGTCTGCTGAGTCAACGCCTTGCACATCGCCTGCGTGAGCAGTACTTTGCCAGTTTACTTCGTCAGGATCAAGCATTCATCGACCAGCATCAAGCGGGAGAAGTGTCTTCGCGTCTGAATGGAGATATCCAGGCTGTCCAGACAGGGACCTGCGAGAAGGTCGGGGTTTTCATCGCCAGCATCTCCTTTTTTGTGGCAGCGTACGTCGTCGCCTTCATCAAAGAGGCAAGGCTGGCTGGGATGTTGATTTCCCTGGTCCCTGCATTCCTGATTGTCGCCGTCGTTGGGGGCGGTTTCTTCCAGAAATATGCCAGTCAGATGTCTGACGCGACAACCGCAGCATCCTCGATCGCTTCTGAGGCACTGTCGCATATTGCGGTCGTCAAGGCTTTTGGTGCTGCACCGCGACTGGAGAAGAAGTTCTCCGAGTACATGACGGTGAGCCGCAGCCAGGGAATCAGGAAAGGCACCGTTGCTGCAATGCAGGCTGGGTTTCTCTATTTCATTGCCTACTCAGCCAATGCTCTTGCCTTCTGGCAGGGCAGTCACATGGTCGCTGATATGCTTTCCGGCAAGGGCAATGGCTCAACGGTCGGGGAGGTATATACTGTGGTCTTCGTCCTCGTTGACGGTACGTGTCTGAGTAGCTTGACAATGTCTGACGCCGAAGCTAACTGTCGTTGTGCTAGCATGTGTGATCTTGGGCTCAACGGCACCTTTGCTACCATTGTTTGGTAGCGCTGCGTCGGCCTTTCAGAAGTTGAAACAGGATATTGACCACAGGTCTTTGATTGATGGCACAATGGACCATGGCGAGACCCTACCGTCGGACACTCCTGGCGCCGTCAAGTTTCGAAATGTCTCCTTCGCATATCCATCCCGGCCTGAAGAAAAGGTCCTGAAGAACGTCGACTTGCTGTTCCCAGCTGGGGGACATACAGCCATCGTCGGGCCCTCAGGCAGCGGCAAGTCCACAATCGCTGCTCTCATATCTCGGCTGTATGATCCCATTGACGGCAGTATCTTATTTGACGACCATCCCATCTCCGATATCAATATTCGAAATTTGCGAGGGTTCAGCAGCCTCGTCCAACAGGAGCCGTTGCTGCTTAGTCGGTCTATTCTGCAAAATATCGCCTTGGGTCTGATCAATTCGTCTGTACCATCACACGAGCCACTCAAGGAAGTGCTCGTTGGGCCGATACTCACTACCCTCACAAGTGAGACCACAGACTTCACCAACGTCGAGCAAACCCACGGGCCGGTTGTCGCCGAGATTGTTCGCCTGGTCCAGCACGCAGCACGGCTTGCAGATGCTGACAGCTTCATCCAACGACTTGACCGAGGATATAGTACTCTTGTTGGAACTGGTGGTCAATCACTAAGCGGTGGACAGAGACAAAGAGTGGCACTTGCGCGAGCTCTGGTTCGGGATCCAAAGATTTTGATCTTGGACGAGGCCACCGCGTCCCTCGATTCGGCCAGCGAGCAACGTATCCAAGCAGCCATCGACAGGATCGCAGGCACGAGGACTGTCATCTCCATTGCACATCGGCTTTCCACCATCAGAAATGCCGACAACATCATTGTTTTGAAGGCTGGCGAGATCGTTGATCAAGGCACCTACGGCCAGCTAATGGCGCGGCCAGGGTTGTTCGCCGACATGGTCAACCTGCAGGCACTGAATGCTCCTCACCAGAGCCCCGGAAGCGATGGACAGTCGAGCTCGAGGTCAAGCTGGAAAGGTGATTCGCTGGATGTCTCTACAGAGAAAATCGAGTCTGGCTCTGATGTTGGAGGTACGCCTCGGGAGCAAACTACGTTTATGAGACAGCATGATCCGGACGAAGACCTCCCTCAAGATAACGCTCCCACCCCTGTGAGGCTGGATTCGACACTTTCACCTTGGACGGTGATACGAGGGATGGGCAGGTTTATTCGACCAAATCTAGGCTGGCTTGTCATGGCTATGATAGCCGCCACCATAGTCGGTCTGACGTTTTCGGCGGCAGCATTGATTTTCGGACATGTGGTTGATGCACTGGGCGCATGCAACACCAGCATAGGCCGGATCCTGTATCTCGGTCGCTTCTTTGGCGGAATGCTCTTCATGGTTGCCAGTGTGGAATTCTTTGCGAACCTCTTCAGCTGGACATCCTTCGCTGTTGTGGCGGAAAGGCTTCTGTACAGTCTAAGAGTACTGTCATTCCGCTCGTTGCTTGACCAGGATATGGAGTGGCACCAGTCTACCGCGCAGGATCCATCGACGCTTTTATCTGTGATCACCAAAGACAGTACAGCCATAGGCGGCTTCAGCGGATCCACGATGGGCACCATCTTCTCAATCCTCATCAACTTCGGCGTCGCCATCATCCTATCCCACATCATTGCCTGGAAGATTGCTGTCGTCTGTTTGTCAATGATCCCGATCCTGCTAGGGTCGGGCATAATGCAGCTATACACCTTCGCACGCTTCGAAGAGCGGAACTCAAAGGCCTTTGCAGATTCCGTCGGCATATGCATGGAGACAGTGACCTCTTTCAAAACCGTGGCTACCTACTCTCTCGAGCATGAGATCATGGACACCTACACACGGGTGCTCAGCAAGCCTCGAAGTCAAGTCCTTGCCGCCAGCATCTACACCAACTTCTGGCTAGCGATTGCCAACAGCACAGGCTTTCTGATCTACGCGTTTGCCTACTGGTGGGGATCGCGTCAAATCATGAAGGGAGAAAACACACAGGAAGAGTTCTTCATCGTCCTCGTTTCGATGCTGGTGAGTGCTCAGCTGTGGGGCCAGATGTTCAGCCTTGCGCCCGAGGTATCCCGTGCTCGTGCCGCCGCATCTCGAATTCTGAGTCTACTCGGTGTGGGTTCTAAGAACAACAAGTCGGAGCTGCTGGCACTTCCCGATCCAAAGTCGAATACTGGCAAAGATCACGACATCGAAAAAGATGCCGCAAACGGCGAGAACACCTCGTCAGCACCCAGCCGTGGAGCCAGCGTCGCCTTCCGCTCCGTCTACTTCTCGTATCCATCGAGCCCAAACGTGCAAGTATTGAACGGCGTCTCGTTATCCATCCAACCTGGACAGTTCTGCGGGCTGGTCGGGCCATCAGGAGCGGGCAAATCGACAATCATCACGCTTCTTCAACACATGTACCGTCCTACGTCCGGTAGCATTGAAATCGACGGCGTGGACGTCTCGCACCGCGAATTCCGCGACGAGATCGCCGTGGTTCCACAAGACAATGCGCTCTTCAGCGGAACCATCAAGTTCAACGTCGGTCTGGGCGCACGACCTGGTCACGACGCCACAGACGCCGAAATCCAGGAGGCCTGCAAGCTGGCCAACATCCACGACACCATCATGGCCCTGCCCCAACAGTACGACACCGAATGCGGGCCCAACGGCTCCCAGCTCTCAGGCGGCCAGCGGCAGAGACTCACGATCGCGCGTGCTCTGGTGCGCAGACCTCGGCTCCTGCTGCTCGACGAAAGCACCAGCGCTCTGGACGCAGAGACCGAGCATGCCCTCCAGGACGGGCTGGAACGGACGATCCGTGAATCGGGCCTCACAGTCATTGCTATCACGCATCGGCTGCATACTGTGATGAGGGCCGATGTCATTTTCGTCGTCGAGGGAGGCAGGATCGTCGATTCCGGAACACATGCTGAACTGATGCAACGGAGTGCAAGTTACAAAACGAATGCCCAGACTCAAATCCTGGAGTAAAAGTACTAGCTAGGTACATGGTACATGGTTCGGTCGGGGAAAAAAAAGCTGGGGACCTGGGGTCGACTTATTGCAATGCGGACATGATACTCGGATAGGTTAGGCAGAGTAGTATGGGGTACATTCGAAATGTTGATCTGATTTGTTTTGACCCTGATGCGATGTGATTTTGTCGTCGGTCGTCGGCCAGATCCATGAAATTGGTGGGTTGACGTTCATCGATCGACGTTCTGCCGAAAAGAACGGGCCGAGGTTCGAACCGAGACTTCAACAACTGCCTAACATGTGCTAGAAGCTCATGAACATGAGGCTAGAGATAGGTGGAAGGGGGATGTATCCCGGTACCAACTTCTACACCAAGCTCGTAGTACACCAAGCTCGTAGAACACCAAGCTCGATATATTCGGTCCCTGTTTAGAGACTCTCGTCGCCGTCGCTATATCGATATACTCTAGTTACTGCTCTGCTTACTATTCTACTCGCTGCTCCTCTCGCTTCTATGCTCGTTGCTCTGCTTACTGCTCTACTTACTGCTCTAGTTACTACTCTGCTTGCTACTCTGCTTACTTCTCTCCTCGCTGTTCTCCTCGCTGCTCTAGTTGCTGCTCTAGTTGCTGTTCTACTTGCTACTCTGCTTACTACTCTGCTTGCCGCCGTACTTGCTGCTGTACTTGCTACTCGTATTACAACTCGTACTATCAAAGACTAGGTAGTCTGCGGAAGCAAGAAAAACTTGTAGCGAGCAGAGTAGTAAGTAGAGTAGCCAGCTAAGCAAACAGTATAGTAACGAATAATGAGGAGAGTAACGAGTAGAGTAGAGCAATATCGAGCAACGCAGAGGAATATAGAACAAGGGAGCACGCAGATTACCTAGAGCAACGCAGAGTACGTAGAGCAACGTAGAGCTACGTAGAGTAAGGGAGCGCGTAGAGCGCGTAGAGCAATATAGAGCAACACAAAGCAATATAGGACAATGGAGCACGTAGAGTAATACGGAGCAATAAGTATAGGAGAAATGGGAGTAGCGAGTAGAGTTAGTAACGAGTATTATAACGAGTATAGTGACGAGCAGAGAGATATGGAGGAGTAAGTAGAGGAGCGAGTATAGTAGTAAGCAGAGGAGCAAGTAGAGTAGCACATAGAGCAACGAGCAGAGAACGGAGCAAAGCAAGGAGCAGAGCAAGGAGCAAAGTAGCGAGTAACAAGCAGAGTAACGAGTAGAGCAGCGAGTATAGTAACGAGAAGAGAAAGCAGAGTAACCGTAGCAGAGCGTGTAGTAGAGCGCATAGTAGAGAGAGTAGTGGAGCGAGTAGAGCAGTAGGTAGCAGCTAGAATAGCCAACAGAGTAGCCAGTATAGCAGCTTATGCTAGGTGGAGCGACGAGTAGAGTAACAAGCAGAGTACAGAACCTGATATCAGAACAATAATTAGAACAGTTGATCTTTTGACGAATAGATTAATTATATACACAAGTATACAAATTTGTAGTTAATAGCGCTCCAGCAAGAGCCTTTGTTGTGTACGGTCTCATATTTCCATGTCTGCAGCATCCAGCCCTTTCGTGTAATGAGCACCTTCGATACCGCTGCTCCATTCTCAAGAAGTCCGATAGCAGTCTTGCCCGCTGGTTGTCGAAGCTGGGGTGCCATGAACCAGACCGCTGAGCGGACCTTTTGTCTCTAGGAGACGTCTACACTGCCGCAATCAAGCCGACAGCGACGGCGCCGACCAATCCCGCCATGCCGACGCTCTTGCCCACGACGGCACCACCTGTGGAGCTGGCGACAGCAGGAGCGCTCGTCTCAGCAGCGGTGGCAGCAGCGGAGGCGGAGGAGCTTGCAGATGCGATCGAGCTGGCAGCGGAAGAAGAAGCAGCGCTTGAAGCAGCCGCAGTCGACGCGGCAGTCGAGGCCGCAGCCTCGCTGCTGCTACTGGTGCTCTCAGGCGCCACTGTGGTGGCAGCAGCAGATGCGGATGTCGAGGCAGCTGATGATGCGCTGCTTGCCGCGGAGGAGATGGAGCTGGCGACGGTCGATGCAGCGGAGGTCGCTGCTCCCCCGGAAGCCGAGGCGACCAGGCTGGCCGCAGGTGGGAGATCCAGCGTCACGTCGTACGCGCTGCAAAGCTGCACGGCGAAGTCCTCGGTTGCTGTAAGGCAGAAGGTTAGTAACTCAAATTCTCACAACATTCGCAGACCCACAACTGAGATGTCGGGAGAAGTTGGAGCGTTCTTCTGCTCTTTTGCAATATGGGAAAGTACTTGTTCTGCCCAGTGCTAGTGACTGATATGGGAACCGGGGGAAAGCTTACTGGACACCTCGTCGACAGTGCAGAGCGTTGGAATTAGGTTCAGAAGGCCATCGATGAAGTTATCATTGCCGCAGATGCATTTGATATCGGTCAGAGGACATCCAGATGCGCTGATGGCATTCAAGATGGGGGATTGCTATTAGAGATCAGCATCAGTCGGGTCCTGGCTCATCGGGAGTGTCTGGACTTACCGCGCACTGAGGCAAGCTCGTGATATCCTGGGCAATGGCTGGCAGGGCCAAAGCCAGAGCGACCGCGGCACTGATCGTGAAGGACTTCATCTTGACTTGGACGTTGGTGAATCAAAGACGGATGGTGAGGCTGGAGACTGTCACGTAGAATGCAACAACGAAGCAGAAAAGATAGAACTGGTCCAGGACATGATTGGCCGTGGACTTACCTGGATATACATATGTTCACATAGCTTTTGTTCTTCCTCGTGGCCGACTTTCGGAACTTGGACGTATTGTTCTGGAGCTTCGTCGCCATCCCAATCCTTTCCGGCCAAGCACCTTGCCGAGGCGGCTTTCTTACTGTCTTGCCAAGTCGCTTAAGCTCCTCAATATCGGAAATTGACAGCTGTATGAAAATGGCTCAAAAGAACTAGCAGTAGATGGTCCTACCGATGCTATCAATGGCGGGTAGTCCCTGCGGTTGAGGCTTTGGAGAGCGCGATGTGGGCTTGTTTACCGATGGTATCGATACCTGTCCTCATACCGTATCAAATACCCAGGTATCTGTCATGACGAGCAAGGGAGCTGCCGAGGTATCGGGCTGGTAATATCTCGTAATATCATACGCGCCAAGCCTGACCAGCTTGATCTGCTGAGTCAAACTTGACGACCAGGGACAATGTGATGAGAGTTCATCACACCGATGTAAGAGGCTGGCCGAACAGCGCCTCGCTTACTAGTCAACTACGCTGCCCAGGTACCTTTACCTAGCTACTCATGTGGCTTACGGAAAGGTAGGGATTAGCTATAACAACAAATGGACGAAGACAGTCCATCTCCACCACCATCCGGAATCAGGGACAAGCAGGAAACCAATTCAGCGCCAACATAACGTAAGTTAAGACCGACAGTTCTAGCTCGGCACCCTTGTCTGCACAAAGCTTCTTTTTGCCTGTTGCTTGCAGAGCTAGGAGCTTTCACTGGAATAGGTAAGGTCAGGCCGAGAAATACCCTGCCTTGGTTGCAGCAACGACAATGTCACCATCGACTACAATGCAAAGCATGGAAGGTTGGAACCGGGCTCTGCACAGTACGTCTCGAAAAGCCAGCTACTATGGACGTCGCTTTCTCAACCGACCCCTGTCGAAGAGATTTTTCGAGGCCACTGACCGCCAAACAATTCTCTACTCTGAGGCAACGTTAGCATTCATGATCCAGTCACAAACCCTAGGTAAGCAATACCTTGCTTAGTGTTCTCGGAGTATGAGGCTTCTGGAAGGCACTGCAGCACAAGCATTCCTGCTGCAGGCACTTGTCTCAGTCCGCCTTAAGCTGGAGTCATGACTGGGGCAATGCTGCCGGCTTCCACCGCTTGACTAGGATGCTTCTTCCACAGGTGAGCTTCGCAACCAACTCCAGTCCAGTTCGTATGGAGTTGTTTATTCCACTCCGAGGTCGGCATGTGCAAACTCCATTTCAGTGAAACCGGGGTTGTTTGCAAGGTTGGAAAGGCTCTGGTCAAGCGGCCACTTGCCGTGGCTGGCATGAGGACGTTTACAACTCAGACTCCGAGCATTTTATGTTGACGACGAGTCTCACAATGATGGTATGCGAAGCAAGCTCTATCTGCCAGAGGATTCTGCCAGACGCAAAACCTGATTTGTGACACTCAATTCCCGTGGTACCTATGCATGAGAACGAGGCTAGAACGAGCACCTCTGGATCAATCCAGCCCATCCGATCGGCCGACATCTATGTGGCCAGCTTTTTGACCATACCCACCTACTACCCCACCATTACGGAGCAAGCTCTGCAATGTGACGCAGATGGTGCTCTCCACGATCGTCAGTTCCAACAGCCATCTGCTCTCTTCAACATCGTTGGTCAACAGCTAGGTCAATAGCTGTGAGGTAAAAGTGCCTTGCCGCCTTGGCCGTCGCTCACTATGCCTTTCTCGACTCAAGGTGAACTGACTATCAGCACCGATATGAAAGTATCATGCATCACGGAAAGTCCGTCCAGAATTTCCTCAAGCCCTTGAGCTCCACTGGCTATTGAGGAAACTAGGAAGGTTTTAGGCGCCGGCGGACTTCGGCATGTTGACCATCACCATCCTCCGAACCATCAGCTAGATGCGCTACCCTCGGCTGAGGTGTGGTGAGACTTGAAGATCAAGAAGAAGCAGAGCAGGGCATCTCTTGATCTAGCTTGTGGCTCTCTTCCCCTCACCTTTTGCAAGCTTCGACTTGGAGCTTACTATGAAAGCTTTTCGAGCATCTCTCATTCCACTCGTTTGAATCGACACACTCGCTTTCCTCTGATTGCGGTTCAGCGATGACACTCCCGAGCGTGAACTCAGGTGTGTTGGGTCGCATCAGGCGTCGGATGTCGAAGCAGGCGCATCGAGGGCTGTCAATCTACATTTTCTGCTGCGCGCTCGTTGTGCTTGGCCTGTCGCAACTCAGCTCTCATGGAGCCCACATCAAACCAGCCGACTTGATGAGAAGAACGATCTATCCCTTCCAGGCGACGTTGGCGGCAGGGTCGTTTCCCCGGAAAATCTGGCAGTCATGGAAGGTTGACCCGTTGGATTTCGAAGAAAGAGACCTGATGTGCGCACGTTCGTGGGTCAGCAAGAACCCAGATTACCGGTATGAGGTCTTGACTGACAGTAACGACCTACAATATGTCGAAACCCATTTCGGGCCCAATGGCCTCAACCGGCCTGATATCGTCTACGTCTATCAATCACTCACGGCCAAAATAATCAAGGCCGATTTGTTGCGCTACCTGGTCATGTACATAGAAGGAGGCCTTTATGTCGACATCGATGTGGAAGCACTGAAGCCTATTGACAGGTTCATACCGGACACGAACCGATTCAGGGAACAGAATATTGATATGATAGTCGGTGTGGAGATTGATCAGCCACAATTCGCCAACCACTCGATCCTGGGTCCGAAGTCCATGTCTTTCTGTCAGTGGACATTCATGTGTAAGCCTCGCCTGCCGGTCATGCTCCATCTGGTCGAGCACATCATCAACTGGCTCTACGACCTGGCGGAAGCGCAGAACGTGGCGATCTCGGACATCTCTTTCAACTTCGATGACGTGATTAGCGGCACTGGCCCTTCAGCCTTCACGCAAGCCATACTGGCTGAGATGTCAGAACGCGAGAAGAAAGAGGTCACCTGGGAGGATTATTTCCACGAGATGGACGAATCGCGGCTGGTGGGTGGTGTACTGGTTCTGACGGTCGAGGCATTTGCCGCTGGCCAAGGACATTCCGATTCAGGCACCCACAACTCCCGCAATGCATTGGTTAAGCATCATTACCATGCGTCAGGATGGCCAACATTACACCCTCGATACAAGCACCCTGTTTATGGCGAAGTGGAAGCCTGCAATTGGGATCCCGAGTGCGTGCGACTGTGGGACTACAGCAAAGCTGTCTTTGAGGCTCTCCCACCGGAGGAGCAAGCAAGACAAATCGCAGAGAAAGAGGCTGCAGAGCAAGCCCTCATGCTTAATCAGCTTGGCGCGCCGATGCCGATCGACCTTCCGCAGCAGCCTGATGTTCCCATGCCGATAGAGCTTCCACAGCAGCCTGATGTGCCCATGCCAGTCGAGCATCCTGGCCCTCTCGACCTACTACTACCGATCCCTGCTCCTCCGCCGCCTCAAGAGCAGGTAGTCCCTCCCGAGGTCAACCCTCTCCAAGAGGTCCCCAACCCAGGTCAGCTGCAGGCTAGAGGTCTACAACAGCCTGCTCTTCAGCCATCAATCAACACAGTCGCCAGCTTTACAGTCAAACCGACTGTATCACATCACGGCTGGTGGTGGAAGCCAAATACAGTCGCCAGCTTTGCGTCGACTCCAACAGTTGCCCCACATCAGTGGTGGAAGCCTAGCAACACTGTGGCGAGCGTTCCAGTCAGCGCGACAGTGTCACACCCTGCATTCAAACCGGCGGTGACGGTTGGGTCGCACATCTCAGCGCATTTTACAGTGACTCCATCTGTTGGGGCGTGGGGCAATAACAAGTCGCTGCTCTCGGGCTTTGCTACAGTCTACTCTCAGCCATCAGCTATACCTAGCAAATAGCATTGTGGTCGAGGTCTCGTTTTTTACTTTAATTCGAGCTGATGGTGCCCGATCTGGGAGGGAGAGATACACTAATAGAGGCAACGCTGTAGACGAACCGATATGGAACACCTGGATCCCATGATAGTGGTGGTGGTTTAATACTATCAAGGACTTGAAACATGATCATCTACCATAAGTATTGATTAGATTCCTGTCTCTTTGAACTCTAGAAGTCACTGTTCTTGAGATACCGTCCTTCTATATATGTTGGCCTGTCTCCATCCGTGACTATCAACCATACTTACGAGCGGATGAGTCTTGGGGTAGAACGAATGTGAGCTTTGAGGTATGCTAAGAGGAAGAACAGGTATGAGAAGAATCCATGAAGCCATGTCTATCCGATGACTGAAAATACCAACAAGATGAGAGCAGCTTGAAGCCATAGGATAAAACAATCAGCAGCTACCGAGCTACTTTTCATCATCTTCGTCCACAGATCCTCTCTGCGTCAAACTAATGAGCCCTTACAGGATGAGCACCTTTCTCTTCCTTCATGTCAACGTCTAGAGACAGTCCTCTGTCTCAACCTTTTGTGTTCGTCCAGATGCCACAGGGACCGGCACTGCCGTATAGTTACGACCGCGCTGACTACCACCACCCTGGACGACGACTAATGGCTGTTATCTGACCCCTCTATGCATTGATCCTATTCACTGGAGCGGGCCGCTTGCTGAATGTGGCAACCAAGCGTGACAGTATAGCTTCTCTTTCGCCCTGACAATGCCACCAATACCAAGGAGCCACCACGGCAAAGAACGGGCTCGACGAAGTCAGATACAGTGGAGCGAGCGACGACAATACCGGCATCGGCCAGTTCATTTATTTTTGGGTCTGATGGCTTCGCTCTGCGCGATATTCCAGAAGATCGAGAGATAAATTTCCAGCAATTGGAAGTTCTTGCGATTCGTCTCAGCGACACAACTTGTTGAATCTCCACTCGACAGTCTTTGACTCTCAACTCTTCGACCAGCCTTCGATCCACTACTTAGACATGAATGACTGGAATACAGCAATGGCTCAGCCACGAGACAGAGGGATTGAGACATCACACATTTTCCAACAACTATATTCGAGTCAACAAGTGAAGGCATGTGGATGATGTTGTGCCTCACAGAACTAACCTTCCCTAGTAGTCGCCTGGGTATCCATAAGGACCTGCTCCACTACAAGTCCTGGTACCTTAGGTATTGACAAGTGTTACGCTGTACTGCTGGCCGTATTCTATTGTATTTTTCCCTCTGTCTGACAAGAAACATTTGATCCACGCCAAGGAACGCTAGGGCCCGCTCAAGGGGGCAGAGCCTTGTCGCCGGCTGAACTGACTTCTTGGCCCATGATCTATGCATTTCGCTTGCCTGTGCATTTGGGGGATTTCCTAGATCTCCTCTGGCCCGAAGCCGGACCTCGACTAGACCGGCAAGCTCTGTGTCAACTTGACCATCATCAGGTATCACGCCGACGCAGGATGACCTCTCAAGATTTTTCTCTTACTGTGGATTGAACCGCGACGCGGCGGGATCGGCGCCTTCAAGACAGACATCAAGACTCTTGACGACTACTATAGTGAGTACAGAGTACGGCTTAGCACCCTCCACGACACCCGCATGCACTTGAGGTGCCTCCACAGGGTCGGCCCGGTTACCACATCTTCCACCCTCGGGTATTTTCACAAGGTTCAGTTCACGGACAATTTTTCGTCTGCTTGCGCATCTGATGGCGGAATCAAGCTGGCCAGAACATCAAGAGGCAGGCTCATATGAAAACTTCCATCAAGGAAGAATGACACTGTAGCGTCAGCATGGATCAGTTCAGACCTGTTCAGTGCGGCAAACAGCACTTTCGTGGCTAGCCCGCGAGCTGTCTAGAGAGCCCTCAATCCTCCTGGCATAATCCTACCCTTCCCCACTTGACCACACAATAGCTCTGCTGTCCGAAATCGGTCATAAGACGATAGCGGATGAGATCTGCTCGTGTTCGAGCGGCATATATTCCTCTCTCTGGCGTTTTACCAAGCCACGGTTCCGATCTGAACCGCAGATCATCACGTGGGCAAAGTGACTTTGCCCGTCATCCGTACCCTCCTGCATCGATTGTGGTCGTTGTTAAGCTTTAAGTACCAAAAAAGCCACCAGCTACGAGACACCACACTGTGTTGTTTCAACAACGAGCCATGGCTACGAGGTCTAGGGACAACATCGAGACTCCTTCTGAGGAAGAACATGTCGAGAAGCATGGATTGAAGGGAAAGATCGAAGCCATCTTCAAGTCGTCTTCCACCCACGATGCCAGAGACGTCGCTGCAGAAGAGAAAGCCGACGGATCCGGAGCAGGGCAGGAAGAGACGCTGGAGCCAGATGCCCAAGCTGGTGTCCAGGGTATCGAGGCAGCCACGACAGTATGGACGAAATCTCATATGATTCTGGCCTACGTTTTGTGAGTATTGTGTCTGGCGCGAAATCAACGGAAATCCGAAGTCACTGTCGCTGACGAGGTTCTTGCTCTCAGTATTTGGCTCATTTATTTCGTCATCTCGCTGCAAGAGGTGGCCGTCCGCTCCTTGACTCCTTATGTGACCAGTTCCTTCTCGAGGCACTCCTTGACCGGTGCCACGAACATCATGTCCAGCATCATCGGGGGGGTCGCGAGGGTTCCGACCGCCAAGATCCTCGATACCTGGGGCCGTCCACAGGGTATGGCGCTGATGACCATCATCTGGGCCATTGGGTTTGCCATGATGGCCGCTTGCGAGAATGTTGAGACGTATGCAGCGGCGCAGGTGTTCTACGTGACTGGGTGAGTCTACGCTACGGAATTGCTCTCGATGGTCGATCGATCTTCTATTTCAGAGGCTCTTTTACTAATATCATGCTTGTTTCAGTTCTCAAGGAATCAGTTACTGCCTGACCGTCTTCATTTCCGACACTTCCTCGCTCCGGAATCGAACGCTCATGCTGTCCTTTGCCACGTCCCCATACATCATCACCACGTGGCTCGGAGGGCCAGTTTCGCAAAGCATTGTCAATGGCTTCGGCTTCAAATGGGGCTTCGGCATCTTCGCCATCATCGTGCCGGTGACAGTGGCGCCGTTGACCTGGCTCTTCATCTACAACCAGCACAAGGCGAAGAAGGCAGGACTGCTCAAACCACGCCAGATCAGCTTCAAGCCGAGCGCATTGATGAAGTACTTCATCGATGTCGACCTTCTGGGAATCCTCATCCTGGCAGCCGGCATGTCGCTGTTCCTCCTGCCCTTCAGCTTGTACTCGTACCAGCCCGACAAATGGCGATCGCCCATGATCATCTGCATGATCACGTTCGGCGGGGCGTTGCTCATCTTTTTCGCCATCTACGAGAAGTACCTGGCCCCCAAGACATTCATCCCGTTCGAGCTGCTCATGGACCGAACGGTGTTTTTCGCCGGCCTGATGTTCGTCTTTGTCTTCTTCAACTCGGCCGTCTGGGGCGCCTACTTTTTCTCCATGCTCCAGGTCGTCTGGGGTCTGAGCGTCATCGACGCGACCTACGTCAGCGCCATCTACCGAGTCGGATCGTGTCTGTTCTCGTTCGCGGTCGGACTCGCGGTCCGCTGGACGGGGCGATTCAAATGGATCGCCCTCTACTTCGCCGTTCCCCTGATGATCCTCGGCGTCGGGCTGATGATCGAGTTCCGCCAGCCGGACAGCGACATCGGATATGTGTGTATGACGCAGATCTTTGTCGCGTTCGCGGGAGGCTCAATCGTGCTTTGCGGCGAAATGGCCATGATGGCGCCCTCCAACCATCAGAACATCGCGGCCGTCATTGCCATTCTGGATCTTTTCGGCAGTATTGGCACGGCGGCGGGCGGCACGGTGGCCACGGCCATCTGGACCGGCGTCTTCCCCGACCGGCTGCGCAAATACCTGCCTCCGGGCGTCGACGCGAACAAGATCTACGGCTCCATTGTGGCCCAGATGTTCTACAAGCGAGGCACTCCGACACGAGATGCCATTAACCGAGCCTACGGCGACGCTCAGCGATACATGCTCATTACCAGTGTCAGCTTGCTGGCGGGTGCCTGGATCTGCGTCTTCCTCTGGAGGGACATCAAAGTCAAAGATCGCAAGCAGGTCAAGGGTCGTGTTGTCTAAATCACCACAACACCTGTCGCACTGCCTCCTCTGGTGGTCTCAGACAAGTTTGGTCAGATAGGTGTGTACCATTTTGCTTTGCCAGCGGATGAAATTGACTTGAGACATGGAGTTGGATGTCCCCAGTCCTATTTCAAGCTGGCACATATTTATTCAAGACAGTAAAATAGAACCATTGTAGTTGGACTTTGCTCATTATCAGAATCTAGCATTGCCATTGCTTTGAGAACAACTCTAGGCAGGTTTAGATATATATTATTTCCATTACACAGATATCAGACATATCATATGTGGCACTAGCATGCTCGTCTATCATCGCAGAACCCAAGATCCTGCATCAAGTCTTCAGCAACAATATCAATGCCAGCCGACTGCTCATCTTCAATCCCAAACGCGATGAACAGGACATCATCTTTGTAGCCATGGTAAGTCTGTTCGCGAGACTTCCAGCTTATGGATGTGGCGTAGAACATCTCGGTCTGGTTCCAGGGGTCGGCGAGGCTCAATGGCAGATAACTCGGTCTCTTCTCTCCCGGTCTACCACGGCCATTGATCCAGAACGGCTTCTTGGAAATGGCTCGAATGTCGAACGGAGGATCCTGTCTAAACAACATCAAGTATGGCTCGTAGACGCTGTGGTAAGCGTCGAATGTCTTGTGCTGGAAGAGGGTCATGATGTAGGTGTTGGTCTTGTCGACGCGGCAGGCCCGGTCTGCGCGCGCACAAAGCGTGACCAGCAGCGAATTGGTGGCCTGGTGGATCGACTCGGAACTGCGTTTGGTCGTGGGCATGTATTTCGCCATGCAGAAGTCGTCGCTGGGTCTGGCGAAAGAGCCGAGGTCTTGCACAGCTGAGTCGCCATCCATAGGAAGCTTGGAAAACACTCGTTGCGGAGACAGGTCGTGGTGGATATAGATCTGCCCGTGACTGTCCCAGAAGGGGAACCAGTTCTTCTCCATGGGATGGTATGGAGCTGGGCGTTGAAGGTCGCGCGCTGTGCGGAACCCCCAGTCCACGACGGGCGCGGTTCCCCAGTCTACCAGAAACCGCAGATCTTGCATCCATTGTCCGAAGCAGGTGTAAGCCGAGTTGGAGCCGTAGACCGTATACGGCGCCGCTGGGCCGTAGAACACCCGCGCGTCGTGAGGACCGTCGTTGTTCGACACGTACTCTAGATCACCGGTGCAGTGCGGCCCGGATGTCGATGCGATGGGCAGCGCGGACGGCGGGTCAATGCAGCGGAGAGCACCGTCCGTGAATTGCGCCGTGCATGCTATCTCTGCATATCTGAATTCGTCTTTTTGGGGGTCATGGTGCTGTTGCGCCACGATGATCCACGTGTCTGCCTGTCTGGGATGGGGAATGATGTTCGGGTTGCTGGCCGCGACGCTGTCGAATATGATGGGGAAGTACCTTCGGTCTGGCCTGGAGGCGGACAACAGTATGGTATGTGTGGTTGAGATGTTGGCCAGCTCTGGGATCAATGAGCCTGGTGCTGTATCTGTATGCCCCTGGTCCGAAGAGCTGAATGTGCCATTTTGATATTTGCTCCATGGCCAGAAGGCATTCTTGGTGAAACTCTTCCGGGAGAAGTGAAGGCCATGTAAGCTGTAGACCTCGTAGATGCTGATGACGGATATGAACAATACCGCGGCAGCAAGGAGAGGGATCGGGCGTCGACGACCTCGGAGCAGCATGTCTGCTGAGGAGCCACGACGTTGTTGATGATCAGCTGGGCTCCTGGCCGATGTCAGCGTTGTCGTTGTCTGGAGAAAGAAGCGGATGATTGCTCGGAGATATCGAGGTCATGGCATTTTGATATCTCGAGAGTCTACCTCTACTTCAGACAGCCAAGCCTGCCGCCAATACTCGTTCGGTATGGGGCCGTTATACTAAGCAGGGGTATTGGGGTAGCCATCCATGATCCTCGGCTGATCACTGCCAGCAAAGGAATTAGAAGCAGCAATGGTCACTGGGTAGTTCTTCAACGGTTCATTCATTACATCTAGCTAGTGGTTGGTGGATTCTATCCTCGGTCTGTTCCTCTACAAGTAGAACTACTACTAGTTGACCACGGACCACCCTATTCCATGCAGAGCGCCGTCCTTGTCTCATCTTTTTGAGAGAGTCCGGTCGGTAGCTTTGCCCTCTCGCTCTTGCATGGCCTCCCCCACACCGGTCGCTTTTTCATAGAGCCAGCGGGAGACCTTGATGCTAGGCTCATCAAGCAGCGTTGTACCGATCTCCGCAAGCCACAGCGTTACAGGCAGCAGAATCAAATTTGGGACAAGGAAATTCAGTTCCAAGCCCATAGGCCCTATATGGGGAAGTCGGACTCTATCAACCCAGCCCGGCACCTCGGGGATCTGCCAGTCTTGAGCCAACCCTGTGGCGGCGTAGAGTCTTATGCCCAAAGTCCACAGGACTGGACCATGGACCATGTAGAGAGCGAAGGATATGCGGCCAAGATACTGACAGAATCTGCCTTCGAAGAAACTCTTGAGCCATGGTATCCTTGGAATCGAAGCCACCGTGAAAACTGAGGCCCAGAACAGGAAGAACCATTTATAGTCGTAGACGGCCTGCGGCACCAGGAAGGCAAAGTGTCCCCAACCGGGCGAGTCTTTCAAGAACTGGATGTCATCAACGTGAGTCGGACAGCCACCGAGCACGAGGCCGAGGACGAACAAGACATGAAAGATGTGACTCTGGAACCTCTTCAGCGACGACATCCATTGCGGCAGTTGTTGTCGCTCTGCCAGTTGATCCAAGTCGCCGAGCAGCATCCCGGCCGTGAACATGGCAAAAAGAGCCCCGTCGGCGATGTAAAGGAAGTAGATGATGAGGCCGACCTCGCAGCAAAGTCTGGCCGTCTTGGTGCACCGCGAGAAAGCCATGACGGCGGTGTAGATGGTGATGGAGCCGCGGAACTCGTACGGAATGGACCAGGAGTGGAAGTGGTAGCTGAGCCAAGGGACACCGCCGAGGCGCCAGACAAAGCTGACGTTCTTGAAGTCACAATACCATTTCCAGAGCTCGTCTCTCCACGTCTGTTCCGGGCTGAAGTTGGCCTGGATGCCAAAGACGTGCGGCATCATGGCGACGACGAACGTGACGCCTACCACTGGGATATAGAGCCTCAGCCACCGTCGGAATAGAGCCGAGCCCACGTTTTCGGCCAGTTTGTTGTAGTCGCCAGAATGACTGAGAGCCAAAGGCTTCGCTGAGAGCACGTAGCCAGATATGACGAAGAAGATCGACACGGCCAGATGTCCTCCCGTGAAGAATATCCGTACTATAGGCAGACATGCCAGGTAGTAGTGGCCATCGAAGCCAAATGCGCTCTCCAACGCGAGCCCCGAGTGATTCCAGAGCTGATGGTGTAGACAGTAGACAAGGAGCGACGCAAAGCCTCTGAGGCCGTCCAGGTACGCTGTCCTGTGCAGCTTAGTGTTTCGCCCGTTCTGCTTGCCGGAGAACGATTGTTTGGCGGTGGCAGCAAGCCATTTGAAAGGTTGTTGGATAGGAGGATGGTCAGACTCCTCGGCAGGCCTCCCAAGATCAATGATATCTGTGCAGACACCCTTCTCGAGTATGCCTTCGTACGGGGGAGACATTTGTCTGTGCGGGAGCACGGATGCAAGAACGGCGGGAGTCCTCGATGAAGTATGTTGATCCAGAGGCGAGACACATCTTTGCCAGGACTGCCAAACCCCAGCACAGTGACTGATTCTTGAAGACTCACCCGATCGGCTTCTGGTGGCTGGATGCGCCCGACTGTCTACTCCAAGTAGTTCAGGATTCCTTAGGATCGTCTCGTGGTGGGAATCGACGGAGCATGTGCTTTGTAGCGCCGCCACGAAGACCTAGCAGGAAGACTATACCAGGTTCCGAATCAGCCGGACATGGACGCTATAACAACAATGCATGGCGGGGGGAAGTGGTGGCTTTTGGTGGGGTTGATTCACCTGGTACAAGATACTTACCGACCCAGTACCTACCGAGGTATTGCAGGATGTAAAGACTGTAGACCAGGGCCGGCGGTATCGTCACACAAAACGGTGAGTGTCTGACGAAAGTTACCCGGCCATGGTAAATGTCTGGTAATGCGGCTAGCGTCAAGACCGGGCTGGCTCTGCTTCGATAGACCCCGTATCGGCTTGGCAAGCCTCGTTAGTACCTGGGCAGACACCGGGCAGGCACCATACACCCCCTTCCGCCCCGCTCCGCTGCATGTTTTACCATATAACGACAATGCCGAGCCCGACGGACTCTTCAAGGTGGGGATCTAATCTTATCCATCTTATCAGATTGTCTCACAGAGCTCTTGGCGGATCAGATAGCGCTGCTTGGCATTGGGTTGGACATCTACATACCGGCAAGTAGGTCTCCAGTCCGGGCTCATCGTGACCATCACAAACAGTCCTTGGTTCGGCTACAGCATCGTGGCAGCTTCATGCCGCAATTTTGTTGAGATGCTTGTGTCTCACCAGTGGACCATGTCCTTAACCATGCATGGCCACCTGCTAGTTTTGCCGAAGCCATTCCACCATGTGGCATTATGCCGACCTCGCAGTGACGGGCGACAAGGTACAAGCCTTTTCACGGCGTCTAGGTTGAGGCTTTTCACCCATTGTACGACATGTTCGCCGAGACCCGGACTCGCTTCGGGCTGAAGCGCACACCAGCGACATGAGTGACCCAGGGACATCAAGGACAGCCTCTCACCCAAGTCACGCAGCACTGACGGTTCCGACCGATCGGGGCTGCCAGCCACATGGCTGCATTGACAGGAAGCACCTCGTGCCGATGGGGTGTCCGGTGGGCAAGCCAATTCTGCACCGGTCGACTGGTTGAAGCCCGATGCCCACCGCAAGGGCAAACGAAACCGCAAACGCGGGCCCAGCTGGACATATTGTCCTCAGAAGAACTACCAGACTAGGGCGTTGGATAGTGATCCAGGTAGGTAGGCGCTGGTAGAGTCCTCACGAACGGTTGCAAACGGTTGGATGAATCTGGTGAGTCGGTCGACTGCTAACAATAGGCACTTGCTTATATCGAGGTCACGCCACAAGGCTCTCAGTGCAAGACAAGTTCACTTGGAACTGTTACGCGATTTGGGCGCTCAAACTATTGCCATCTGAACATTCTATATATTGCAACTCTTACCACCTTTCCTGCAGATCTGCAAGCACGCATAGCCGGCCGCTCTGTGCAAGACCGTGGATTCTCTCTGAAAGAATGACCAAAGTCCAAATCCCAGCAGGCAAGACCTGGTTCGACGTCCAGACACGGCACTTTGCAGACGTTCCCGTCTCTGCAGAGCAAGAAGTGTCGACCGCGGAGTTTCTCGAAGCGACCGAATCTACAACGACCATCTTCGACCTGCTGGGCTCTGCGATATTCACACCCATGAAACAAGACATGTTGTTCAACGTGAACCGGGTGCGGGAGCGACAGAAGCTTGCTCCCGAAGTCTCGTCCACACTCCAAGGCCTGGTCAAGGACGAACTGACGGCAAAAGCCCACAACGCCGCCGACGGACTGACTTGGCTGGTTCGCGGACTCGACTTCATGGTCCAGGCGTTCAAGGCCGACATGACGGCCAACAAGGGTGTCGCGGCGTCGGATCGATACCCGAAGAAAGAAGTCGGCGATCTCTTTCGAGAGAGTTACAAACTCACCCTGGCTCCATATCACAGTGTTGTGATCCGACCGATCTTCAGAGCAGCGATGGTTGCCGCACCTCGTCGCAAGGACTTTTATATCCGGCTGAGTGGGCAGGGCACAGATTTGGAACTTACACGGGAGGGCTTGGAGAAATGGACCGCTGCACTGGAGCCAATCGTGGCTATTCTACAGGCGTTTCTCGCCAGTCAAGAGATCAAGCGGTGAAGACGATGTAAAGGATATGGATTATCCTCAATGCCCACATCAGTATCTCTAAATATCATTTTGACGCCCTTTGTATACTTGAAAATGATGGATCCGATCGGCATAGGCGTTTTGATGAGATAAAGCATCCAAACTTTTCGATTCTCAAACAAGACTGAAGCAATACAAATCATAATCATTTCATCTCAGAAACGCCTTTCAGTCTTCTTCAAAAGGCGGGTATCCCTTCGCCCGCCACTCGTCAAAGCTCATACCATTTGCCGACGAAGGCATCCTCACCATGAGGGGGACTTCGATGTCCTCCTCCGTGCCCAGCAATTCTTTACTGTGCACCAGCTTCTCGTTGATCACTTCGAAGCCTACTCGTGTGTACAGCTTCCACGTTGACGGTGAAGACTCGATGTAGACTGGCAAGTCTGAGCGATCAGCCAGCTCGATTGCCCAAAGAATCAGAGCCATTCCTGCCTTCTTGCCCTGGCTCTCCGGTTTGATGGCGATGGCATGGACGTCTGGCGAGAAGATGTAAAGTTAGTATGTTGTTCGGATTCAACCTGGCCCAGAGCACTCATAAACAACCAGGCTCAGAGAAGCTCTCTGCCCAACTGGCAACATCTGAAGGAGGCAGAAACGACACTTGAAGAAAGAAAACCCCACAGAAGGCAGAAGTTGCAACAACTTCGTCAAACCAGGGGTACAACTGTACAACACTCACAAATATATCTCCGACCACCAAAAAGCTTCTCCCTCATCGCCCACAGCGGCTTCGTGACAGCTTCGGCACGCTCTCTCTGTTCGCCCTGAAGCCACGGGATGCCCAGCCAGGCTCGTTCCTCCTCGGAGCGTTCCTTGAAGAAACAATCGGCGAGGATCATCCCGATGATCTCGCCATCGTTGCCCGCGTCGATCACTTTGTACGTGTACTGCGTGGAGCATTTATGCCACCAGTCAATCGTGGCTGGGGTGTGGGCTTTTCGAAATTCCGGGGTGATCCCGCCGGGAAACAAGATCCCCAGCAGCAGAGATGCCATGTGTTCGTGTGTGAACGCGTCGAAGTAAACATCGTAGACCTGTTCGATGTCTGGAATCAAAGCTGGGAGGACCAGGACTTTCATGATGGCGAAATAGGAATCAGAAAGGCGATATATTTTCCTCCTAGACAGCTTTCACGACTTTGCCTTTGTCTGACTCTGTCTTGACCTTCGATGGCTGGAGGTTTGGTATAACGGATAGCGGACACTGCTGGAATAGGTAGTGACAACGACAGATCATCGGAATGACAGGGATGGTATCATCAGATGGGGATTCAATCGCACGTGGCGGTGGCCTTTTGTATATAGGTACCGTTGCCCAGCGCCACTCATCATGACTTCAGGGTAAGAGACCCCTGGGAGTGTGGGTTCTTGAGTGAGAGGGTCCCAGTCGTCTGGGAATAGCAGGCCGAGATCGGACGCGAAGGATCCGTGTTGACAGCTGTGGGCAGGACAGAATCCATCTCAGATGCATGCCACAATGCCAACACCAACCAGATGCATGATTCGCTTTGGCATACCTTCCTGGAGACGCAGCTATCTGGCCTCTGCGCTGGGAATGTAGAAAGGACCGGCCAAAGGGGCTGTGGTGTGGTGTGGTATGTCGAAGGCGGTGACCAACACTCTCCTACTATAATGACGGCGGGTCCCGGCCAAGAAACCGGGGCCGTCATGTACTACTAGCAGTATCTGTATCTGTACTGACTGACAAGAACCACAGAAAAAACCTGAACAAGACCTACGGCCCACGTTTCAAGAGATTGACCGAGTTTTCAGGCTGAATCGGCCCGGTCAGTTGGAACCAAACGGGGTCGTCGACTAGTACAAGAGTAGTACCACTCATATATGTCTAGCCTTAGCATACCCAACACAAGTTCAATGACAAGGCACCACGGAAGCTACAGCAACCACCAACGACGAAGCAAGAGTATACACCATCGGATTCGCCAGTGATGGCCTATCCCCTGTTAGAGCAACATTCAAGGTGGCAGCGAAACCAAGACAGATACGTCTGATTGTGAAGTGTATCCTGGACCATACATGATACGGTCATAAAGTGGCACGTCCGGGTACAGCTCTGCTGGGAGCCAGGCCACGCCCACAACGAGGAAAATGATACCGCAGATCAGACTGCTTGCTTGCTTGCGCGAAAGTGTATCGCAATCAGGGACCATTGTGTGCACACCCCGGACTATCCCACCCGGCAATGGGCCACTCATGGCTGTTCAGCTCCGGGAAGAAGCGCCAGTTCGTCGACCACGACACCTTTGAAATGTAACCTCCTTCTTGTCCCGGTCTCCTGTCTCCTCCGCAATTCACAATTCATGTTCTAGGCCCTCCGTCCCCAGGTCCGCTGGATCTTCCATCCTCCTGCAACGGAGCAACACTTTGTAAAGCCCACGAGGCACTGTTGCCAAGTCGGTGTGCGATTTGGTGGGAGCACCCCGTCAGAAGAGTTTTGGTTGCGATAACCCCCATCATCTCCTGATCCATTATCTGGCATACCCGTATTGCTTCCACGACTGCTCGCTGCAGGCCTCGGACCCCTCTGTTGGGCCTTGTTATATGGCGCCAGCATTTGATCGTACCATGAGCCCCTGAAATTGTCTTGAACTGACGGTGCGGCCCAGATTGCGGTGCTGCAGTGGTCAGCAACGAGATACAACTCGAAGGCGAGAAGTGAATCTGATAAAGGACTTGGGAGCGTGTTGGTGGCGGTTCCGCCAGTTTGGACTCGTCGTGCCCGTATGTAAGCCACAATTGGATCAGGGCTCGTGGTACAGAGTAGAGTGGAAGTAATGCCATCGGCCTCCTTGGAGCACCATTGCAGGCAGCCGACCCAGCCATTGATTCGAGGTTGAACAATGAACATTGAACACTCTCCTCCTAGTTGATGAACGTCATGGCGTTGACGAGAGCTTTGCCAGCTTATGATCGGAATCGGTGTGCACGTGGACCACATGGACCACATGGCATCTCCCCATCTCTTGCCATGCGGGCTGTCTGTTGAAGAGTCGGACTCTCCACTGCTCCACGATTCCGTGGCTTCTGGCGTGGTTCTAGCTGACGCGAGATGACGATCCCTGTCAGATTCGAGAAGCGCGAGCTGAATCCAGACGGCCTCCAACGGCTGTTTGAGACGCTCGAACTGGTATCTCCGCAGTACCCGGCTTTCGGCATCGCCGCCCATGTTTCCAGTCTGGAATTAAAGGCTTCCACCAGATCAGAAAGAGTCACAGCATTCGTCATGGTTGTCAGGTGGTAAGGCCTTCCTGTTCGAAATCTAAGCGAGGCCAAACTTCGAGGTTCGTGCGTATGATTCCTTTGAGATGATGCTTTGAGATGATGCTTTGAGCGGTGACAGCGCCGCTGCTAGCCTCGCCGAGGACATATCGAGTGGATGGGCATCGACCAGCATAGTCGAACCTCGAGAGGCAGCCATAGCCGCTAGCGGAGGGAAGGGAAGGGACGCGATAGCTATCCTCTGCGGTACCACTTTCATCCATAGATGTAGCCCGATCACGGAGCATTAAAGAATCTCATGTGGGTCGTTGTTGTAGGAACTATGACAATCTGTGAGGGCGCATCGAGTTCGATTGCCCTTCAATTTCCATACCTATCAGACTTTTGCAAGAGAGGGCAAATAGATCATGTCATGGGTTTCTCGGCAGTGACGAATGAGCTGCGGGCGGAAGCCATCAGCATCCACATGATACTCTCGTAGGACGGAGCAACTTACCAGAAAGTGTAGAGATGCATTTTATTCTCCGCTATCTCCCTCCTCACATTGGCGCACAGGACCTGAAACTCCAGCAGGGACCAGTTCCCGACTTCGCACAAGAGCTTCAACGAGTATGCCTCCAGGGCACTGGCGAGGAATTGTTCTCGGAAGATTTTGCCAATCACCTTCAGTGACTTATCCTTGGGCCAGGTCCCCACGGGGACATGCTTCTGGACGAACGTCACATTCGTGAACCCGGCGCGTTCCAGCTCGTCGGGGACCTTGGGGATGTGGTCGATGTCTAGGTTGATCAACGCTGCACAGCGGTGAAACTCTTCCAGCCACTGCCGGGTGTAGCTGTCCGCGGGCAAAGTGTTGTCGTCGCAGAAGAAATTGGCTCTTCCCTCAGAAACCTCAACCTTGCCACCGGGCTTGAGATGTGCGTAACATTTCGCCAGGAACTCGGGAAAGTCCCTGATGCCGGCGCAGATTGTGCGGGCATGGATAAAGTCGAAATGGTTTGCCGGGAACGTCCATTCCTCGTTGGCGTCGTCCACTTCGAATCGCACATTGGGCGGTACCCATGGTGACTGGATGGGCGACAGGTCCGTCCCCGTTACGATTGCAGACGGATACAGGTCGCCCATATCGATGGCCCATATCCCCGTGCCGGTGCCCACGTCGAGAATGGCCTGCGGGTTGTCGAGTCGGGTCATACAGTACTCGCCCTGCAAGACGAGCGTGAACAAATGGTGCGTCAGATCAAGCCGGTCCTGCTCCTCTTCGTCGTTGGGAAGCATGTATGGTGCAGGACGGTAGCTATGATACCGCCGGCCATTCTCGTAGACCCAGTCGAGCACGGACGATTTGATTGACGTCGTGGCAGTCTCGATGCTGCCCGAATCATACCCCGGATCTTGATCTGCCCCTGCCTCTGCCTCTGGGTGAGGATCCGGCACCATCGCTGGAGATCCAGGTGGAGGTGGAGATGGAGATGCCATGATTGCGGAATGGACCCAGCGACGGAGAGACTGAAGTCCAGAAACGAGGCGAGAAAAACGTTCCACTGCAGTGACAAGCAGAATCCCAAGTGCGAATTAGCGCCCACGTGATAGTGGATCCCGGTGACCGACCGGTGCTCGTGCCTGCCACCAATCAGATTCAAACGGCGCTTCTAGTGCAAAGCCGGCCCGTTGAGAGCTGCATTTTGATTGGTTTGGACCGGGCAAATTGCGCGCCGGCTCCTCGGCTATGAACATCAAGCGTGCAATGAATGGAGCAAAAGATAACGATGGACAACGGACCAATGCCGAGTTGTTTATTCGCTCTGGGGTTTGTTTGTCGCCGCCACTTCCCGAACGACAGTCTCAAGTATCATCACAATAACTACGAACACTCTGCTGGGGAGTCCTGGACGGGCTTCACAGTGAGTGTTGCCATCAGAGAATCAAATATCATGCTCTTCCCCGACCTCGGCCCCCTTGGGCTCAGCAATGTCTTGGTTGTGGTGGTGGGATTGAGTATCTTCTATGGTGCTTGCGTGGTTATCTATCGGCTCTTGTTCCATCCGTTGGCCAGTTTTCCAGGGCCAAAACTGGCGGCGGCGACATTATGGTATGAGTTCTACTACGACGTGGTGAAGAGAGGGCAATACACTTTCAAGATCAAAGAGCTGCATGAGAAGTATGGTAGGTCAGAAGAACTTCACCATCTGGACCATGGAAGATACCCACGCGCCGTCAAGGTCGACCGGTATACGCGACACATGCTCATGCTCACCTTTCACAGGCCCAATCGTCCGGATCAATCCCCACGAGATCCACGTATACGACCCGAAATTCTATGATGAGCTGTACACGAACCCGCCGCGGAAGCGCGACAAGTATCAGTGGTGGGTAAACCTGGCATCGGCGCAAGGCTCCGGGTTCAGCACGGTCCCGCACGACCTCCACCGAATGCGCAGGAGTGTACTCAACCCTTACTTCTCCAAGGCCAACATTTTCCGCCTGGAGCCCGTCATCATGGAACGCATCGAGAAGCTGTCGAAGCGTCTGGCCGAGGCGGCCTCCAGCGATCAAATCGTTCGACTCGACGTCGCTTTGATGGCATTGACCACAGATACCATCTCCCAGTATGCGTTCGGCCAGGATACACGATACCTCGACGAACCGGACTTTTCGCTCATGTGGAAAGAGACAATCAGAGGCGGCTTCGAGACGGGCGCCCTCTGCCGCCAGTTTCCCTGGATGGTGCCCACGATGAAGCGACTGCCGCCGAGCGTCGTCGCGGCCATGAACCCTCAACTTGGGTTCTTGATGCAGTGGCAGAACCGTGCCAAAGCAAACGTGCAGGGCATTCTGAACGAAAAGCCGAACAAGAGCGGCAAAGGAAACGCCGCCGCCGGCGACGGCCAAGAGCGCCAGACCATGTTCCATACTCTGCGCGACAGTGATTTGCCAGCCTCCGAGAAGTCACTGGAGCGACTTTGTGACGAAGCAGAGATCATGTTGGGTGCGGGCAGCGAAACTACAGCCGCGACGCTCTCGCGGATCTGGTTCTACCTCCTTCACTCGCCATCTATCCTTGAGAAGCTTCTCGCAGAACTGCGAACAATCATCCCATCCCCAGACTTGGCCATCCCGAAACTGTCGACGATCGAGCGTCTGCCGTACCTCTCGGCCATCATCAGCGAAGGTCTTCGAATCAGCTACAGCGTGACCACGAGGACGCCGCGCATCGCTCCCACAGAGACGCTACGGTATGAAGACTGGTTCATCCCTGCTGGCACCCCGGTGTCCATGACCAACGCGCTGGTTCTGATGAACCCAGATCTCTTCCCTGAGCCCGAACGGTTCAAGCCAGAGCGGTGGCTCGACACCGGCAGCGGCAGTGGTAGTGGTCGCAGTCTGGAGAAATACCAAGTGGCCTTCTCCAAGGGGTCGCGGCAATGCTTAGGCATGAACCTGGCGTATGCTGAGATGTTCTTGACCATGGCGACGCTGTGGAGTCGCTTTGATTTCGAGCTGTACGAGACGACGTTGGACGATGTGCTGTGGAAGCATGACTTCTTCACTGCCTTTCCGGAGGATGCAAGTAAGGGGATCCGGGTGAAGGCGAGACAGAGAAGCAGGTAGTACATACGGGATATATAACCAACATTTGCGATGCCACGACATGTTGTCATGTTCTCCATATTCGGACGGACTGATGGTGTCCTGGAAAGCTACTTGAAGCTTATCAAGGCGTGCTATAGGTTCTGCCATCTCTCCTACCCATTTCGTCGATTCTCTCTTGCGTATCGTAAATCGTGAAGAAGATTACAGTTAGACCGAGACAAGTTGGAACTGCCAACTCCAATTTGAAGTGGTTGAGATTTAGAACTTGAACAGCACATGAAACCTATCTCTATCTCAGCCGTTTTTCCAATTCAACACCCATTGTTCGCGGCACAATCTGATTCTCTTCAAGGAACATAGAGCCTCACAAACCCTTGCACAGGCCTGCGACAAGTGACGCAGCTCCCGAAATTGTTCAGCGCCAGACTGACCCGACAATCCTCGCAGACACAAAGACACCGACACGGCCAAACGATGATCGTCCTCGACGCCGACTGACACACCACGCAGAGCGGGCCGGCATTGTACATGGCCTCGTCGCCGTCGTTGTTCATGTCACCGGGGACACGACCACTATCTGGATCGTCAATCTTCGAAGAGAATGTCGCAGCACGTCTTCGGCGACGACTTAAGATGAGTGATTCAAGCACTTCGGCTTCTTCGGGCGATGTCAACGGCCGCGGTCCCGTGGGCGGATAGGGTGCGTCGTACAGAGATATCGCAGGTATGTTCGTCGATGGGGACGGTCGTGTATGGCCACTTATAGGATCATGCGAAGTGCGGCCTGCGAGCAGGACTCGAGCCCGTTCCTTTTCGACTTCCTGCCGATAGCGGGATCGAGTCATGACACCAGAAGATGATGACGACGACGCAGTGGCGAGATGAGCTGCGAGGATCCGCGCCTCTTCACGAGACTCTTTGTCTTGTGGGTTCAGAAGCCGGGCAAGAGTCGCAGGGTCGAGTGGTACATCTGGCACGTCTGGTGTAGATTCTCTTGTCTGCACGGCCGAGAATGACCAGCTTGGCCCAGTGGTCGATATCTGAGTTGGAGTCTTTCGACCTTCCGACTCCGACTCCCAGTTATTCTCTCCATCTTCATCAGCGTCGACATCGACGTCGCTCCGATCTGCAGAGCTGGCTTCGGTGGACATGGAAACCACACTCGTGCTGTCGTCCAACTCGCCGCTGATCGAGGGCTGGTAGTCACCGCTATCATCCCTGGTGCCGAACCAACCTCCAGCTTTCCACCACTCGTACAACTTCGAATCGAGGAGCTCGTCGACCCTTTCTTCCGGGAAATCTGTCATTAACCGCCTCCGCAGTTCGGGTTCGACGTCCACCTCGTCGGTCGCCGGTATGGCAAGCTTTCCATCTTCTGTCAAGATCCAGAGATCACGTGTCGCAGTGATGTGTCCTGGATTGCCTTCGGCGTTCATTTTCTTGATTGATCGACCTACAATCTTCCTCAACCAACCTGGTCGAGCAGTGATGCCCAACGCATCCAATAAAACGCCCAACCCGAAGCCAATGTAGCCCGCGACCAGGAAGATAATGCCACGGAGATAGATCATGAGCAGATAAAACCGAGTGGTCCGTTGTACAGCCCCGACTCCACCGGCCCTAGGCGTAGGATACACAAATGAGTCTTTGCCTTCCAAGTCCCCTTGCTTCTTGTCGAATTTCCGCTCCTTCGAGTAACCCGATTCCCAGACGCCGCCTTTGTCCGTGCCACCCGGACTGGACGGCGGGAGACCGTATTCTTCAAGGATCTGGAACTGCGGATTGCTCGTCAAAGCACCCAGATCTCCTCGGGCAGCCTCGAATTCGTCCAGGCGGTCTTCTTCCAACCAGGTAAATTGTCGAACTTCGACTGCTCTTCCCTCGTTCAAAAAGACCGCTTCGGATGCGGCAGTCAAGGCGGCAAACCCGATGCGCAGAAGTGCTGTATAGAAGTCTTCATACCACCGGATGGTGACGCCCCGAGTTTGTACTGCAGCCTGTAGGTTGTCGTGGGCAATGCTGAAACGTTCCTTGAGGCTTGTCGGTCGGGGGATCCGCGGATTGGTGCCCAGTGATACCGCAGTCAACGTTAGAGCGATAAGATAGATGACCAAGCAAACGGCAATGCCGAATAAGATCACCATGTGTGGGAGGAACCCGACGATTGCAACCGTGGGGAAGTGCAAGATACTGCTGACGGGACGGTTGTCGCCATCCTCGCCACTTCGAACCATGACGCTCTTGGTGAAAAGACCCCATAAGAAGGACGCCATGAAAGCCATCCCCCAGACCCCGGTATTGATAAGTCGCCATTGACGCTGCTTGCCCAGCACAGCAATGACGTGAGACGAGAGAGAATTGCAGCAAGACAACAATGCCACCAAAAGGACTTCCACAGGCACATTGACGCGATCCAGAATATGCGGCGCTGTCAAAGACGCAGTAGCGTCAGCCAAAGCAAGGATGGTTCCCGATGCGGGAATTGTAGGCTGTGAGTGCATGTCGGCCGAGGCCGTGGTGGTCTTGTCGCCGCCCGAGGCCCTCGAGGCGCTGAAGAGACCAAGTCCTAGGGCGTGAGAGAGCATTGTCTCGGCCTCGGCAAAAGCCAACGAATGCTCAAAGATTGACATGCCGACTTCCGTCATGGTTGGAATCTGTTGCAGAGCACACGAGAGGTTCTCGACCACATGTGACAAGCACAGTTGCAAGAAGGACGGCCAGAGGAGTGAGAAAGATCCATAAGGTGCTCGAGCGTCCGGACCTGGTTTGGAAAATCCAACCGCCGCGCAAGCATCAGCATCTGTAGAACCGAAGAGTAGAAATGAAGTCAGCGTGTGTAAAGGTCCGCCATCTGTGGACCAGTCCAACAGGCTATACTTGTTGTTGTCGCCATGCCGATAGAGCGAGAAGTCTGGAGAGGTCTGGCACCTAACGGCTTGCAGGAGTTGTCGAATCTGGTTGCCGAGAAGAAGAATGGGAATGATGCGCAGGGCCAGTCTCCTCGTCCAATCCAGATATATCCGCTGTCTTGAAGCTCCGTACACACCGATACGATTCAGGATGAGAGCCTGGTGTTCTTTATCAATGCATAGCCCGAGCACCGGGGGGAATTGTGACCACCTACCATCGCGAAACATGTGAAAGCCCATCTGGACGTCAGATAGTGCAACATGCCCCAGTAGCTTTTGAACGAACTCGCTTGAAAGGCGTCCGCAAAAAAGCCCGTCCATCCCTCCGAGCCTGCTTCGCCGATTGCCTGCGCGACGGCCGGTTGCGCCGCTGCATCCGCCATCAACTGCGCCGCAGCAGTGCCACCCACTCCGTCAGCGACGGAAGTGTGTATTCCCAGACCTTCGAGGACGAAGTGGTGCCAGATGTGGAGCAAGACTCGATCGATTTGGGAGAAGATACGGTGTGGAAGACGGAGGAGATGTTCTATCGAGGGCGGAACGAGAAAAGGAGACGTCACATTTGAGGCCGTGGCCTTGAGGACGGTCAGGTTCGTTGTGAAGGACGAGGCGGGTAATTCACCAAGGGTAGATGCTGCCTGTCCGAGAGTGGATTCGACTGAGACCATGTCTCCTTTGCCTTCCGCGCGCAGGCGGGTGAGGAACGCCGATTAATACATTGGACGGCGGCAATCTCGGACTGCGAGGGAGACTCGTCGACGCGTGTGAGTCAGGATGTTCGTCTGGGGTATTGGAAGACACACTCGAGGAGTCAATCCATTAAGAGTGAAGTGCTGCTGATAGTAATGCACAGATGGAAGTCCCGTAATTCAATGAGCCGAAACCCGGCTCCGGCACTGCATCGTCATCAGGCTCCGGCCTTGGCGTTGTCGAGCTCACCAGCAGCATGATTTACCACAGTACTACTATCTACTACCAACATACTTACATGTACAAACTGGACCAGGCGTACGGCATCAACAGCTTGATACTAGTAGACCATGTCCATGATTCAGGTGGTCAACCAGAAAGACTGCAGTTGTGATAAGATCATGAGACAGAGCGGACGCCTTTCCAATCCCAATCGTTGCAATCCATTCTTCTCGACTGGCACGCATCTAACACTCAACCACGGTCGACTATCTAGAGAGACCATGATGCTGTCTGCTGCAGTGCTGCATCAAATCCCACTCTCATGGGCAACGTGAGTCTGTCCTGATGCGTTGGACAATCTCGCTGCTTCCTTTTCTGCGTCCCATACACCCAGGAAACTGCCCAAGTCATCGATCGCAGCATCTAGATCAAAGTCTTCATCGTTAATCAGCCCGGACCGCTTCTCCATCGTGTCAAGCCTCATCGCTCGTTGCGCGTCCTGCTTCGAGCAAGATGAGGCCGCTTTGCTTGAAGAGATGGGCGGCTCCTCTTTCGCCGACAGAGATGATTTGAGTATGCCTTTCGGCGCCGCCATCATCCTTGATGAGTTTGGAGCGCGCATCGCATTGCAGGGTGAGGTCTGTTCCACACCATCCCGTTCGTCACAGCCAAGCGACTGAGACAAGGCTGATTTCGAATTCATCCTGTTCTGACTCAAGACAGTGGGCTTCGCAACTTTCATAGCCGATTTGATAGAACCTTGCGATGATCCCGGAGACCGTTCACTTGCGACGAAAGACGCCTTTTTCCTGCTCTTTGTCACTCGACAGATTGAGCTCGTCTTCTTCAGGGAACTTCTATCATGCTCTGGGCTAGGCTCTGTAGCGGTATGAACTTTAGAAGTCACAGTGGAATGTGAATACAAAGTATCATTGGCGGGTGCCTCCGCAGCATCAACATGCTCCTCGTCTGCGGGTTCGCAGCGGCTTGGGGTCCGAGATCTTGTCAGACCGGCACACACAGCTTTCGCCTCAATCTCAACCTCGGCTGGCCTGGCTGATTTTTCAATTGTATTGACACCAATGAGTTGCGATACCGCGTGCCCCCTGGGCAATTCAAGCATGTCCCCATTGCTTGACATATCGGAACGCCTAGACCGCAGAGTTGGTTGTGGTAAGACCTGGGCAGATGGGAGGTCGTTGGTTGTGTTCGTGTTCGTGTTCGCGTTGGTTTGATCTTTCGTATATGTCGGCATGGCCTCAAGCTCATTCGGCAGTGTATTTTCTGGTGCCAGAGATAGGGGTGAGGATGCGACAGCAGATTCTGCATTGGAACCTCCCCGACTCTCCGCCTTCACCACTTTTGTCGCTACTGCTTGATTGGGATCATGTCTAGGAGGGAGAGTCGAAATTTCAGGCCGAGGCTGGCTGGATAGATGGTCGTAGCGGTTGTCAGAGCTGGCATAGAAAGTAGGTATGCTGGCAGCAGGCATTGAAGTAGACTTTGTCTCCAAAACTGCACCCTTTGCCCTGAAGCCGTCCATGGTGTCGCTTCGATATTTGTTCATCTCCTGTGGACCTGCAGCATGCCAGGAGGAGCTCCTCGTGGACTTCCTCGCCGTTCTAGTCCCAGTGACTGGCTGTATAACCCCTGCTTGCGAACAAGCCCCGTTCTTTTGACCGTCTTGCACCAACTCGCTGGTACCAAAATGGCTGCTGCGCCGCATGCTTTTGGCAACTTGGACGATGGCATCCAGCATCGGCGGTAAGCCCACCTCGCCCGGTGCAGACTCCCATTCCTTCGTTCTGGAGTATGGGCTTTTCTTCGCCAACGGAGAGGAAAAGGACGGCTGAGAAAAGTCCGGTTGCATATAGGAGTCGTTCTTCCTTAGCCAATCCTCGACTTTGTGATTCTCCTGCGAACAAGGTTGGCCTGGTGTCTTGGGATGCACCTCACCGGCACCGCCTCCCAAAGAATGATGCTGTGATATCACGCGACGAGTTGTCTCAGAGGAGATCTGGGCGGAACGTTCAGGTTGCGCAATTGCTTTGGCAGCGGTCTGTGGCAATGCATGTCTCTTCGAAGGTGCAGCAGACGACGAGGTCCTTAGTTTTGCAGGCTTGCGGACAGTCTCACATGTCGTGTCCTGTGCTGTCTTGTGCTTGATATTGGTGGCTGTCTTCCGTCTTTTCCATGGGTTTTGCCATCCATTGTCAAAAGGGCCCTTCAACTGGGCGGCAGAGATCAATAGAGACTCTCCCCGCAGATATGCAGTTGCATAGCTCTCAATGCGTCGCTTCGTTGCAATTGTCTCCGTGTGCCTGTCCTCCTCATCAAATCCTTCGGCGCCACCATAGTACACTATTGTGTCCTTGCAGACAGGTATCTCGTCCGCGCAGATGGGTGATACTGGTCGTGGATACACCGGTATTTTGGGTTTGGCAAAAGGCATGGCCAAGGGTGGGAGGCCCCCAGAATGGAGGGATGAACGACAAGTAAGGATCCAACACTCATGAAAGGCCAACGGAAAAACAAGAAGAAAGGGACAATGCTGGCGAAAGGGCTGCAATGCAACGCAGTCAGTGAGATGCAGAACTGGCAAGGCAACCGGCAGCAATCAAGATCCGCGCTTTGGACGCGTCGCGCGTTGCCGTAGAATTGCAATCACGTGAAATGATGATGACCACTTAAACTCTGTATCAAACAGTACCGACAACTACCCAAAGCAGATATTACGAACGATATAAGCATCTGTGAGATGGCCGCAAGTAGGTAAGCAGTACAGCGGTAAAGGATTCTTGATCTAGGAATAAAGATATTTCAGCTTTTTGCCATATTCTACTAGTACAAAACTGCAGTGACTCGACTCGGTAACAAAAGGAGACTGTCTTCGCCACTGTCAAGACAGCTAGCTATCTTCAGTCTCAACCATGGTGGCAACAACGGCCAAATCGAAGTCTGGTCTCGACCATGTCGTCTCAACCGAGCACGACCCTCTCTCGTCTCTCCTTCCCATTACAACATCCATGCTCAAAATCAATAGAAGAAACTGACGACTCCGGGACTGGGTATCAAGAAAAATGTCTCGCGACCAAAAGACTGGATTCCGCAAGGCCAACGGTGCTGCTTATTGTTGAGTTACTCCATCGTAATAGGTCTTGTTGGTGCTGCCGTTGGTGACGTTGGCAGAACCATTGGTGCCCATGGGTTTCTGGGTATCAAAGGCTCGGTCGACCTGGTTGCCGAATCCACCGCCGTTTCCAGTCGAAGATTGATATCCTGCTCCGGAGTTCTCGCTGTTAGGATGGTTTCCTCCACGGATCACTGGAGTGGTGGTGCTATGCGGCTTGCGGGTAACCTTCTTCGCCTTCGGAATGCCGCTGGTTTCTTTGGCGCTTCCAATGGAGAAGATTGGAGACTCCCAGCGTTCACCCTTGGCAGCAAGTTCTTTGTACTCGGTGGCCTTGGTTGAAATACCACCTGGCAGAGAGATGTTCTTGAACATGGAATCTTGCTTGGTGACGGCCACGTTGACGTTGGTCTTGGAAGCGACTTCCTTGGTCTTCTCCTTCTTCTCCGTAAGCTTGGCCTGCACGGCGTTGACGTAGGACTGGAAGATGTTGGGGGCGTTCTCCGGATCTTCTTTTGCCGCTGTCTTAGCGCGCTCAACTTCTTGATAGACGGTGTATGCGAAGGCATCCAACTTCTCGAAGTTGTCCTTGATCTGCTTCTCGATGATCTTCTGGATGACTGGTCGCATAACCTTCAAAAGCAACGGCTTGGCGATCTTGAAGAGCAGCTTGTGGTTGGACTGCTTGAGCTTGATGTTCAAGTTTTTGATGGTCACATCGACCTTGTCCACGGCCACAAAATGAGTACGGTCGGCCTTCTGGGCATTGCGAGCAGCGATCTTAAAGCTGAAGCCCTCGCCGCCCAAGAAGATGTCCATGACTCCCTTATCGGTGACGGACGGGAAGCCTTGCTTCTTCTTGATGTAGTAGGCAACATCACGGAGATCCATCTGGATGCCTGAGCCAGCAATCATGATCTTGTTGTCCTTCTTGTTCGAGACTCCCTTACGGCCCATACGGAAGTAGTTGTCGCTGCCGAATTCGAAGACGTTGGGGAACAGATTGTCTGTCTCGATGACCAAATTCTCGACCACAGCGTCGATCATAGGATCGGAGACTTCAATACGAGGAATGGGCACATAGCGGGTGTTCTCAAAGATGCCCGGGATGATAACCTCGGTCACATCCTTCAGAAGGTGCGTCTTGAACACTGGTTTGCCATTCTCGTCCTGACCAAGGTCAAGGAAGAGTTTCTGCACAGCGTCTCCGAACGCTTTGTTCTGCGGGTCTTGTTCGAACTGGTCGGCAAGGAACTTGACTTCATCCAAGATGCGGTCTGTGTGATTGCGGTAACGGTCCCGAAGGAGGAAGTGACCGTGATCATAGAGCTGGTTCCACTCATCGGTGGCAGCGTCTTGGAGGATGAAGCCCTGCTCCTGGAGACATTTGCGGATGAATTTGTCGAGAGACTTGAACCAGTCCTTGAGTTCGGGGTCTCGATCCGCATCCTTGTAAATGTCGTTCAACGACTCGAAGAAGTCATCGGTGCTGGTGAAGTTCGCAAAGCGCTCAATGAGTGTCTTGAATTTGGTTAGCGTTGATCTATTGTCACGAATAAATCCTGCACGTACCTTGAGATTAGCTTCGGCGCTTCTCAAGTTGTCGTCGCCATGTGCACCTTTGACAGTCCCGTGGGATTGTTCCTTGACGTTCTTCGCATGACCGCCATAGGTCTCGGCCAGGTCGAGCAGCGTCCCAACGGCTTCCTGATCTGCCAAGAAGTTAGTCAAAATGATGTGGGGGTGAGGGTACAACGTGTAGCCTTACAGTCTGAATGGCCCTGAATTTCAGCAATCATCTTCTTCAAGCGCCAGATGGTCTGGTCGCGACGCTCCTTGGGCATCTTCTTGTTGAGGTAGTTCTTGCTACGCTCCTTGGCGGCATCCTTTGTCTTTTTCGCATTTTCCTGGTGCTCGTCAGGAATGTTTGCTTTGGCTTGTTCCTTGAGATTCGCAGCGGTCGTCTTCAGGCCTGCAGCGCCAGACTGTTTAGGGTCGTCGGTGTTCTGCGACTGAGCGGTTTCCTTGCCCTGCTGCGCAGCTTGCTGAGCCTGCTCGCGATCGAATGGCTTGTTCTTGTCGAATGTAGAGCGAGCCTGGTTCTTTAGATGGTCCTTCGATGGAACATCGTGCCATGTGTTATCCTCCGCAGGATGATCGATCTGGTTCAGCTTATCTTCCGAAGGATTGACACGGTCGGCTGCACTCTGAGCAGCGTCGCCGGCCATGTCTCGGAGGAGGACGGTGGCGTCGTTCAACAGCTTGCGGAATTGGCCATTGGAGAGGATCAGTCTGCCGAGAGTCTTGATGCCGTCGAGGGCTTCATTGCCGTGTTGCTTAGCGGTGTCTTTGTCTGTGGGGGCATTAGGGAGGCTGGCGTTGTTGGCGTCCAGGTGCTGACTGTCCCAGATGAATTCCTGAAGCAGGTTGCCATCATTCTTGGACAGGAGCAGGTACTTGGCTTGCGTAATGACGTCTTTGAGATCGGCGACAAGTTCGCGACCCTCTGCCGAGAGCTTCTTCGAGGGCGAAGAAAGGGCGCTGGACTCGAGGGCGCTGTTGAGGGCGACATCGATTTGTTTGTTGGAAGGTACCTTGCCGTTCGAGAAGGCCTGGAAGATACCGTACAGCTGGAGCTTCTGGTTGATGTCTTTCTCCTTGACTGCGGTGTTTGTGGGACGGTTTACAGAGGCCATGATTGATGACGACTAGCAGTAGAAGGGAAACAACAGGACTGGGGGTATCACAACAGCAGGAAGAATTAAGATACACAAACTCAGCGGGGTATCAAATGAGGATGCTGAGAGTAAATGTGTTGCGCGCGTGTGAGTGTATGTGCGTTGTAAGGGTTGATTGGGTTGGAAGTGGTATGAATGAAGAGAGAAAAGGTGGGAAGTAAGGAACAGGGAGAGGAATGATGTATTTGAGTGAAGGCTGGGGGGAGGGATGGAGGACGGGAGGGGGATGTTGTAATGCCTTCATTCTAGTCCAGAGGGCAACACAGGGCACTTGCAGGGCATGGCAGGACAGGGCACGCTCCCACGGGGCATCAGACACTTGAGTCTTGCATCAGACATCAGACCTCAGACATCAGACATCACCCACTGCATCACAGACCCTGCCAGTGTCTGTTCCCTTTCCAGGTTGTCACTTCTTGCTTTGCCAATGGTGGCACAAAGGCGTCAAACGGCGATTGGCAGGCGCCCACCTCTGGTTCCCGGTTTGGCAGCGATCTGGCCATGATCTGGCTTCATTTGAACGCAGGGGTCAACTAGACAGGCTAGACAAGGAGGAGTGTGGCTTGCTAGGGACACATGGGAGGACAGGCTTCTACAGGAGTACGGAGCATGAGGCTACTACTGTTGGTACTACAGAGTACAGTACGTGTGCGAATACATCACACTGGGGCGTGAATGAAGAGGCTGGTGGAGACTGGAGTGATATTCAATGCGAGAAAACAGAAAACAGAGAGGCGAGAGGAGAAATGATCCAGAACTTTTGCAGCGGCTGGGGGCGAAGGAATTGACGAGTTGCGTGAGTTGGCCAGGGGCGACAACAACAGTGGGTGAAAGGTGTGAAATGATGTGAAGTGATGATGTCGTTGATGGAAAATGCCATGATAAAATATATTATGACATCAAGCGACCCCATGGTTGTGGCTAATACTGGCCACTAGTATCGCTACGGCTGCCTATCTTAGTCACTTAGGTAATAAGTGCCACACTAGTTGTTAGCACTATCCCCATGCTTATTACTCCTCCCAATTCCACAATTTCCACAATTTAATCTGCCATGCCCACCGTGACTGCCACTGCCAACTGCAACTGCAACTGCAACTGCAACTGGAAACTTGGCAGACGCGCAAATTCACTGGACTGCACTGCACCGCATGAGGTGGCCAGCTTGAGGTGCATCGTCAGAATCGTGGCATACTAGTAGTAAGTGGTAGATGGTGCCCTGCAGCTTCCACTTACTGCATCCCAGGTCTCATACCACTGCCAGTGGCAGATTTCCATGTGGTTGCGTAACTCGCCACCCACACAGTACACTGGCACTGGTAGATGCTTTGGGTAAAGTACATTCAAGCATTCATCCAGGGTACCTCCAAATGCAGTCTGCTCTCCCCAGTTATTCATGTCTTCCCCTGCTCCATTCCTGCTTTCCAGCCACACTGCAGGTACCACGTATATCATTGTTATTATTGTTATTGTGTGCTCTGGACTAACTGTTCAAAGATCCTGCTCGACCTTTCTGGATGTGTGGCATTTTCTTGTTCCCCAGGATTTGCCCACAAGCCTGTGACGCAGAGCATTTTGTCCAGTAGTAGCCAAATTTCCCAGCGTTTCCACGACGACCGTGACGGCGACGCCAGGTCTCTGCTTCCTCGAAGCTTCCACCACTGGCAGCTGCACTGTAAAAATCGTGGGGGCGGCATCGTCATCATCGTTAGATGGAGGATCGTAGGAAGGGAATCTGACGGCGATCGAACACCGTGACGAACACTGTCGAGCAGATCGCAGACATGCCAGGCAGTAGTAGCGCTTCATGTTGCTCTCCACAAGAATGACGTCGAAGCTAAGAACATAAAACAAGGATGATGGCGTTGGAGGTGGAGGTGGAAGAGACTCCCACCACTCAGCTTGGTGTTGGATGCCATGAGACACACTAAATAAATCCGGACCTTGCAGTGTGGCTGGTGTGCCAGTGGTCCATTTGAATAATCCCCCTGCCACCTCCAAAGTCCCCTTTTTGCGGCTGCGAAATGCGTAGGGTACAAATACAGATGTGTTAGTAGCGCGACCAGCCGGGTCACGTGGCTGCGCGTGACCTCTTCGAGCTACGCATCCTACGCGTTTTGCACTTCATGTTCACCTCATCCCCATTGCAGCCTGGTCGGGCGGAGATTTTTACGCGCGAAATCCCTACATCTGTTTACCACATACTACTAGTAGTATGATGAATTGGAAACTATCGGTAGATCTTACAGTTGGCTACTAAATCCCTCTTTTGGCCGGACACAGCCATCACATAACTGTACCTACCTTATTTTATAAGCCACTTCAGATACAGATTCAGTCATCCCCACTGTCATCATGGCAGGCCGTACCGGGGTGGGTGTACCCAGACGTTCGGTGCGAAATCAGAAGAAACAGACTACTCTTCAATTCTCACCCCTGCCATCTTCATCTCCGGCAAAGGCAGCCTACAGTCCGGCTGTGCAAGGTAGACTAGCGACAGTCAGGTATGGTGGTTCAAGACAGTCTTCGCCAATACCCCGAAAAGACGGCGAGGACCACTCAGCAGAGGCTGCAACCTTGCCTACTCCGGAACCCTCATCTCAGGTTGAAGACTCCTATCAAGGTATGCTCTCAAATGGTATACTATCTGGAACCAAGTCTTACAGTGGCCTTCAAGCTTCTCGCACCCCGTCACAAACCTCCCTACCCTCCTCTCCTCTTAGAGCTCGGTCGCCAAAAGTATACAAGGATATCAGTGACGACGAGGACGACGATGATGATTTGGTGTCATCGGCGAAGAAGAGGAGAAGACTTACACCTCGCATATCCGTTGCTGAAGGACCCGTCTCAACTCGCTGCAAACAGTCCACGCGCTTGCAGTCAAACTCAGCATCACATCCCACGTATTCTACACGTTCAGGCCAGGAGCAATCCGCAGTCTCTGACTTCGGATCACCTGAAAGCAGTGGCGATGAGGATGTTGTGATGGCGTCAAAGCCAGCCGCCCGACGCCGCCAGCCAAAAGCAGTTCAGCATGATGATCCTTTTATTGTGAACGACGATGAGATACAATATATCTCTGACGAGGATACCCAGGAAGCCCCACCCATGAGGAGTCAAAAGCCTCGTGGAAATGGTTTCGTTGTTGCTGACGATGAGGTCGAGTTCATCTCTTCTGATGATGCTACAGAACACAACGTGCAACAAAGGCCCAAATCCCACAGACTGTCTGCAAGCCACAAGTCGCCTCATAAGCGACGCAAAAGTCGTAGAGAGCAAGAAGAACTCGACGAAGACCTCAAGGATCTGCAGGACTCTGAGCAGGAACATGTTGGAGCGCAGACTCGAACTAGAGGAGGCCCTGTCACGACGCAACGGGATAAATTGCGAGAGCACCTTGACCTTCTAAGACGCCGACGTGCTGGAGAAAGGGCTCCGCGCGTGCTCGACTCGGAGGACGAGGAGGAAGAAGAGGAGAAAGATGAAGATGAAGCTGTTGATCTAGACCTCATTGGTCATCCAGACCACGAATTTGCGTCTGAAGGGTCCGCCCATTCTTCCCTTGATACAGACCGCGAGTCGCAGGGAGGACAACCCCAAGAGGATGAGGACGATTTCATTGTCGAGGATGCCACCGGCAGACTCGGTCGGCCGCATCCTGACATACCATTAGCCTTCACGTCCTTCGCGTCCGCTAAGCCTCGCGAACTCTTTCCACATATCATTGAGTGGCTAGTGAAGAACAAGATTGCCCCGGCTTTCGCACGCGACGATGAACTCTACAATCTCGCTTTCAATCGAATTGACGACCAAGTGAAGGCTCAAGCAGGGAGTCGACTCATCTCCTCCGCATGGGGAGTCGACTTCAAAAAAGCCATCCTCGCCAGACCCAACATGAAAGTGGAGGCGCTTCCAGGCGACGACGCGGACAATATACGCGATTGTGATGCCTGCAACCGCAGCGGCCATCCAGCCCGGTACGAATTTGTGCTTTCAGGCCAGCCGTATTTTAAGAAGACACTGGAGCCCGTGGACAATTCCGACGATGACGAAGAGAACTATGATGATGATGACGCCAGCCGCGATGAGGATGGATATGTCCTGCCTCCTGAGAATCGTCGCTTCTACCTTGGCCGCTTTTGCGCCGCCAATGCCGAAATGGGCCATAAGTTGACTCACTGGAAATACCATCTCAACGAGACCCTGATGTCGTACCTTGAGGAACAAGGTGTTCTGTCGGCGGAAGCGATTATCACGCGGGACAAGATGAACAAGAAGAAACGCGAGAAAGAAGCCGAGAATATTGTCGACAACATGGAGCAGACGGGCGTAATTGGCGGATTCTGGGCAGACTTTGAGAACGACCTCAAAGACGCCAGATTGGGTATGGAAGACTACGACCGGAAGGGAGGACGCTCCAAGGGCCGTGTCGGTGCGATCAGGGCCAAGGGCAATGGCTTGATCAGGGAGTGGGGAGGAGACAAATATCACGTCACCAAGGCCGTCGATTCGGATTCGGATTGATATTCACAAGATGGGCTCTCATCCTATCGATGCCTACATTGCAGCGATCTGCGTCGGATGTTCGGGGCGCTGAAAGAAATGCGCATGCAATACATGAAATTGGCAAAGGGCATTTGGCGGCTGCCGAAACACTCTTGCGCCTGCATCTGACTTCCACTCTTGGGCTATTGGAGGGCTGGTTGACGTGTCCGAGAGAGGATGACTATTGGATGCACTGCTCAGCCGCAGACAGGGCAATGGATGTTTTTGAGAGATACCCGCAACATGCAATGCCTATTCATTGGTCTAAGATACGCTGCTGGAGCTTTCAATCCGGACGTTTCTCCAAACAACTGTTCTCTCGACCGCACATTCCCTTGGCTCTATTGTGACATGTGTATATCGACATGTTTTTGAGACGAGAGAAATATTGCCATTATTTTGGATTTCAGCTTCTCGGAGCTCTGTTTTAGGCCCAGCAAACCGCACGCAGCCCCAATCCACACACAAACATTCCCATCTTAGGGCTTTTCCCCCACGCTGGGGAACCCATCGATGTATCGTACAATTGAATCCTCTGCCTTCCCTCTGATCCTCCTGACATGGTGTGTCGCATCAGACGGGAGGACAAGCCGGCGCTCCAAGCGATAGCTCCGACTCAGAAACAACACACAAACCAGCATTCCCTCGCTTAGTAGACGTTCCGTGACTTGTCTCTTCTGCACACAGCTTCGTCCTCCTTCCTCCCGGAACCGCTGGTATTGGGAGGCTGCTATATCTTCGCGCACGGCCGTCATCGTTACAACGCCGGCTTCGCTTCACCTTGGGCCTGGCCCTGGCCGCTCTGGATCAACCCCTGCGCACCTTCGGCCATCATGCCCCGCTGCCTCTCCTCTTCCATATACTGCTGCTCTTCACCAAGGGCGAGGGCATAGGGGATTCCAAGAAGCAGAATACTCGTGGCGAGCACCCACAGGCCCTTGCCGGAGTAGTTGACGGTTGAGGATGTGGCGGAGACAATAGACGAGGAAATGGAGGTGATGCGCGCGCGGGTTTTGGGGGGGATGATGTCGCGAAGCGCGCTGAGGCGGTCGATCAGGGATTCTTCGAGGGCGCCGGCGTCGGAGGCGTCGTCGGAGATTTCGGAGTCTAGATGCCAACAACGAAATATGTCAGTTATGTCGGTCATGGCCAGAAGAGAATATGAGATGGGATGGGATCGAGATCAAGCACAAAAGAGACAAGCAGCAGCAGAATGGAGCGAAGCAGCGCAAGCAAACGACTGTTAGGGTAATGGTTTGGCCGAAGTTGGTATGCCAATGACTTGAACCAATAACCAATAACAATAAAGTCTGAAGACTTGATAGACTGGTGATCAACCAACTTCTGGGGGCTGATGTATCATAGTCCTTTTCACCCAGCAAACAATGCAAGTCGTCGGTCTGTCCCGCTGCAGAGAACTGGGGAAGGAAGGCAAAGGCAAAGCAGAGGACAAGCGGCAAAGATGGAATCGGAAGTAGCCTTGCATACCGGTATCAGTGTAATCGTCGTCGTCGTCGACTAGCAGTGCTCCGTCCGATGTGGCCTCGGGCTTGTTGAGGAAATGCTCGTCCTCGAGTTCTTCCAACTTGACCATTTTGGCAGTGGTGTCTTCGAGTAGATGTCTATTGCTGTTGTCGTGGGAACTTGATCCTGGCGTTAATCCTCGAGGAGAGGCAGGAGATATAGGGATGCGTCTCGGGGGAGATGACTGTCGTTGCGAAAGATGATGGATGGGGACGAGAAGCTCAACTGACCTCGTCTAACAACTTTTCGGTCACTGGAGACGGCGGACTGCAGGCTGCGCTGTCGTCGAGCTGGGCTTGGCATATTGGTTAGTCATTATCTCATGCCGCTTTACTGGAAAGGCATGGACGATAAGGAGGAATATATCAATATCAATATCAATATCAATATCAGTTCAAGTTTTGACGAACAATCGCCATGATCTTAAAGCCATTTGATCGTAGCACGCTAATCTAATTGATCATTAGAAATACATTCTGCCTGTAATGATGCTCAACGAATTTGTCATCCCTGCATACCACGAATACCAGCATTTACCAGCCGGTACTCATGGGTGCTTTGCTAGAGACTCCTAGCAGGCAAGCACAGCAGCTCGAAAAGGAGTGCTCAGGCCCAGCAAGTTGTGATCATAACCCGTCTCGTCGTAAGGTGGAGGGTGACCATATCCATATGACACATCTCATACATCAGTCACCCCATTCAATCAGCATTCCATCCGCGCCTCTCAACTCGCCTGCAGCAAGACCAGATCCCCCTTCCCCTTCTCCATCGTTGTCCAGGTCGAGATTGACGTCTTTCTTTCCTTTCGGCTCCTTCCGGACCACGACCTTTGGCGGCGGTTTGTCCCGTTGCACCTTGCGCAAGAGGCTGGGAATGTGCTGTCGCTTGGACAGACCTACGCGGTAGATCACTTTTCTGCCACAGGAGAGGTTGAGAGCATTGATTGGTGAATGCTTCGTCGGCCCTTTTTCCGCAGCAGGCTTAGATGGTGTCGTGAGTGCAGACGCTGCAGAGGGATTGTTTTCTTTCTCCGGTGATGCAGAAGGAGGCTGTAAGTCGCAGACCGAGATCGGGGATACCGTAGGCGCTTTTGGTGAGAAGTCGCCCACGTCCATGCTGGGCACATTGGCCTCTTTCTCCGCTAGAGCGGGCCGATCGTTGATGATGTCCTGAGATTCATCGTCGGCGGGCCAAGTCTCCTCTTTTGACGGGACCTTCTTGGGTTTGCGGCCTCGTTTCTTAGGTCCTGCCACGGGGTCCTTAATCTCGGCGGCAAGGGGAATCTCGATAGTTATCTTGCTTTCACCCTCGTTTGTTGTGGTCGTATCTGCAGGGCCATCGTGTCTTGTCTCCTGCCCATCTTCCTCCTTGGGCGCATCTGCTTCCTTCTTAAGCACCTTGAGATCGGGCGGCAGGTCGAGCTTCACGGGAGCCGGCTTCGTGTCCATCCAAACAACGTCTTCTTCCCCTTCGCTAAGCATGGGATCCGCCTTTTTCAGTAGGGCTGCAGCAGATGTCTTTGCGCGCTTCACCTTGCTTTTGCGTCCGGACTTCTTGACGCTGGCCTTTGCTGGTGTGATTGCTGGTGTCTGCTCTTTGTCGTCTGCTCCATCTGCAGCTGTGGTTTTGGCCGGGGTGTCGTGTTTGGCCTCTGGAACAGAAGGCGGAAGAAGAATGGTGTCTTCTTCGTCGATGACCCTCTTGGATCGAGAACGACTCGGTCGCGGCTTGTACTGCTCTTTTGGTAGCCCAATCATCGCCTCGTCGCTGAGGTTCAGCTCGCTTGTTGGTTGTTTTGTGGGGGGGCTTTCTGCAGCTAGTTTTTCATGCTCTTCTTCGTCAGGAATCTCCTCTGATTGTCCCCGCTTCCTCTTCTTGACTGGAGCAGGATTGCCTGGTGCTTGAGGCGCTTGAGACAATGAATCCAGTGTCCCTCGTCTCGGTCGATTTGGTGGCGGCATGTTTGGTAATGCCAGTTCATCCCTTTCCACGTCTTCCGACACCCCAGGCGCCGGGGACTGGGAAGGTACCCTGGAATTCTTGGGTTTGCGTCCGCGCTTTTTCGGCTGAGGCTTGTCCGATTCTTCCGTTACAGCCACTGAAGGCAGTGTCTTCGCAGCGACATCGACTGTGGCTTCGTTCCCAGGGCCATGGCCTTCTGATAAAGAATCAAATGTAGCTCCGTCGTGTTGCATAAGACGAGTGGGGTCCACTACCATGGCCTGACCCAGCTCGGCTTGCGGTGGGTCGAACAAGGAGTCTTCAAACAAGACAATATCGGGCCCGGCGGAACTCTGCTCTTTTCGTTCCAAGTGTTGTAGCTCCTCGCTAGCCTGGAACATACTCGCAAAGCGTTCAGCCTCAGCTGAATTGGGGTCTTCATTCAATGAGACCTGGCTTAAAGAGCCAAATGGGTTGGCGTTGACGTCAAGACCTTGTCCCGAGCCACGAAAATCTAAGTTGAGGCTCTCGTACCGTCCCATCGAAGCCACTGAGGTCGTCAAGCGATGTGACCCGTCGGTGGTTGACTGGCCGATGAGACTCAGCATGCCACTAGGAATGGTGAGATCCGTCGAAAGGGAGCCGTTTGTGGCATTCGATTCTCGTGGCGGATCTGATATGGATTGACCCAAGCCATCTTTGACTAGGCGCGTTCTTTCTGGCGACAGCTCCTGAGTGCCAGCGAATAACTCGATGTCGTGGACGGTTCGAGACCTGGCGGGGTGGCCATAGACCCTTGGCTTCTTCGATCCCGACTCCTTTGCACCACTGCTGCCGCGGAAATCATTGGATATCTCGAGCAGATCACTATGGGGCCTCTTCTTTGACCGTGCAGTAGCAGAGTGGACAGGTTCAGAGGTACCATCCAGAAGACTTATGGAGCTTCGAAATCGCATGTCAGGCTGCCGTTGGCTCGGGGAGAGATCTGACAGTCGCTGCGTAGGATCCAGGAACTGGTCGAAGTCGTAGCCGGAGAGTGAAGGCTGGCTTGGAACTGTAGTATCGCCTACGAGATCCTCGGGAACTGCTGGAGATTTGATAGGCGAGTTGAAATCGGAGTCATCGTCTGAGTCTGCGATTTCGCACGGCATTACGGGCGAGAGTGGCGATGATGGATATGGACCAGGCAATGTTTATGAAGTGTGAGTTGACGTCGCCATCGCCATCGTCTTTTTGGGGGTCGACGCGCCTTACTCAGAAGGTGACGCGTAAAGAGCTGATCATGTGATTAGAGCGCGTCACGAGATCATGTGATTCAGGTTGTTCCAAAAGCACGTGATGCCTCGATATACGGCATAACTCACGACGTGGGCAAGTTATATTCAGTGCTACAATACAGAGTAGATACTGTACGCTGTGGTGAAGGGCCACCTTGCCTCTAGGTGCGAAGCCCAAGGAAGAACAACACCAGCACTAGAGTTCTCCTCACTTGAAATGATACAGCACGGGCTTGCCGTGTTGATTTCTTTCAGGGAAACACTATGTCAATCGATTCCAGAACCACACGTTACTTTCATAGCTGTGTCTCGGAGAAATAGAAGCGCATTGGAACGTCGTGAACAACCACACCCAGAGAGCGCCACCGATATCTGTCATCCGTGGACAGAACACTCCGACGAGGCTCGGTCACCGCATGAGACTGAGGGCAGCAGGCGGAAACCGTGCCCAGAGTGGCGATCAGCCAAATATCCGAGTAGGACAGCAAGATCTGTGAAGATACGGCACAACTGGAATATCTGGCCCAAACCTGACGCGTGAAGTCCCCCTTGTGCCATGGTTGGGCAGCAATCAAACAGAAACGGATTTGCATTGCCAACAATCCAGGCACCTGGCCGTGTATGGGACTTGTGTTTAGCACTTCGAGTCTTGCATGATAGGACCCATCATCATTGGTGATCCTTCAGCCCCGGTCATTTACCTTTTCAGCATCTTTGCACCTGGCCGGTTGCAAAGCACTCTCTGTGGCGTCCCTCTCAAGATCGAATCTGGCGGTGAGATGACGGAAAAGATGTGCGACCATCTAGGCTGGCGACGTGGCTACTTATCGTGGTCGATGGTCTATGCGGATCATGCCTTCCGCTGTCCGGACTGCGATACTGAGTTTGCACGGGAGTGCAACGTGCAGCGTTACTGCCTAGCGATTGGCTCTGGGGCTGAGGACCGATGGGAAAAGGCCGGGAGCCCCTGTAACAAAGAAAACTTGGAGCCGGGAGCAGTCTTGGAGGATGGACAGTGCCAGGTTGAGATGCAGGGGAGTGTCAGGGCCAGCAAGCGAAGGTCTGTTCGCAAAAGGGAGACTGGGATATATCGCAGCGAGGGGGTAAGAGTGCACCCGTAGAATCTCTCGTTCAGTTCCGTGGATGCGGCGGAGGAGGAGACAGACGTTCGGCAGGATAGCGCAGACAGTGAGCTGAGATACAATCCTTCTGTTGTAAAGGCTGGAGGTTCCTGTATACCGTGGGTAGGCAAGTCAACGTCATGGTCGCACCCGAGGAGGAAGACAGAGTTCGCGGATGATGGCAGATGGAATCATCGATGACCATCTCTTTCCTTGTTCCAAAGCGTGAATAGCTAGCTAGGAGCTGTGTAGTATATTGCAGATTGAATCCATCTCTTCAGCTCGTTATGAAGGTGTATGGTGTGTACTGGCGGACGCAGGAAGAAAAGTTGTCTTGAACACCAGCGCAGTTTTGACTTGAGGACCGTGACTGTGATTTCATTCCTCCCCCACAGCCCACAACAACTAACAATCCACCGACCGGCACCGCAAGTTCCTCCCTCGATCCTGTCTTGTCATTCATCATCCTTCTTCACCTCCGAGTCCATCACATCCATCACATCCAACCGCCAGCATACCTTAGGTACTTACTACACACTACCTACATATTGTGTTTGTATCCCAGTACCCGTGCACATCGCTCTGCGTCTGCGCCCTCGCTCAGCATCCACTCATAAACGCTCGCGCATCGAAGCGTCGCCGTGTTCGACAAACTGAGCCTCTCGCTCCCCCACGTGCCCGGCGAAATCTGGTCCTCATACCTGGCTCGTTCCTAACGCCCAACGAGTCCCGCCAAACAGCGCTGTTGGCATCCTGTGTACCCGGTACTTTGATCCTGGGTCGCACCACGTTGCTCGTCTCAACGCTGCCCGATCTCCTATCTCGCCTTTCCACTCTCCCGCCAACCGTTCCTGGCGAATCGATCCTCGCACGCTCAAGGACAATCCCTGACATCCGACAGTGTGCCCAATGTCCTCCCCATGTCAAGTAGCGCTCCCGCCAGAAGATCGTCCGCGACTGCCGCCACGGTAAATGGACACTCCTCCCCCCGGCGCCAATCCGGCTCCGGCTCCTCCTCCACCACTACAAGTCCCTCTGCGAGCACAAAGCCCATACCGATTGCAAGGGGGACAAAAGGGACACAGACATACAATGGCAGAGGACCGCTCTACAAACTTCCACGGGCGGCCACCTTTGACCAGCCCATTCCTCCATTGTCAGAAAGAGACAGCATCTTTGCGGATCATTATGTATCACCCCGAAATGATCCCACCTCTCCCACGCCAGGAGTAGCCCGGACTCCTTCTCCAGATACCTTCCGGCCTGCTCCTCAAAGTATGACCACTGTCGTCTCCCGTCCTGTTTCTTCTCCGGAAACACCCAAACTCTCTCAAATTCATTCCTCCAGGAAAGCTGATTGGGTCGGGAGATCTGACTCCTCCAATGAGAAAGACAGCGGTTCTCTCCCACCGTCTCGCCCGTCCGTCGGCACGATACAAGGGATCAGAAGAATAGCGTCTGATGGCCACTCATGGGCTGACAAGTTTCATGTGACGGTGGGATCAGTACAAGGACAGGACGCTAAAGTTCATGAAGGGAACCCCGCCGAACAAGAGCGCCATGATGTGCAGCTTCAAAGTGTGCAGAAGGCTCCGGAACGAGAAGTCCCTCAATACCTGGTGCCTGAAAGGGGTGGTTCGATAAGAGCAGCGTTGAAAGAAGGACCCCGGGCAGAGCGCAGCGTAAGCCGCGGTCGAGCCCATGTTGACAAAAGCATCGAAGCCACGGTCAAGAACCCAGAGACTGGCGGTACAGCACGAAGCAGAAAAGCCAGCCATATGATGGGAATTTTCGATCCTCGATCGGGCGCACAGACTCCTGTCCATACACTCAACGAACGTATTCCTGAGGCTGCTGACAACAAAGAAACCTCTTCGCGTCCTACAGGCCCTAGCACCGAAAGTAAAGACGCTGGTCCAGACTCAGAGGACTATTTCGACGCTGCCTCCGCGTCAACGCAAGGACATGGTAGTCTCGCAGGCGCTTTCAAAGCTTCCGGGGCTCCATCCCCGCAAAAACACCAGCATGATCCCTATTTCCGTCAGCAGGACCTTGCGGAGAGGCCTCACCTGCCCACGACACTGCTAGAAGAGATCCGGAGTGCCTACCGCACAGAGAAACCGGAGAGGGCGTCGCTCAGGACCCAAGATGAGTCGGGTAAACGGGAGCAAACTCATGCCTTTTCGGGAGTCAAGCTCCGTCCCTCGGATACCCGTGATGATGAAGAGGAACGTATTTCCGCTGCTGTCTATTACCCTCACCCAGGTCCTTCGCCGGAGGAGATTGAACAGTTTACATCTCCCGGAGAGGTTGTTGCCGACCTCGGTAAGCATGGCGAAGTTCGAACTCCAGCTGCGGAGGCCACGAAACCCTCTAACAACAACGAGGTCGACTTGCCGCGGAGGCCTGAGCACATTGACATTTCGGTTGTGTCGAAGAATGAAAAGAAACTGTTCCACGGAAATTACCACCCCATCGACGAAGAGCAACCAGAACGACCCACTCCGGCCTTGTCACCAGTGGAAGAGGCTCCTAGCGCTACGACGATTAGCACATCAGAATCGGAGCTTGAGTCGGGAGATGATTTGGGCCCTCAGAGTCAGCATGATGATATGGCTACCACGCCGACACAGCAAAGTACTTTTCTCAAGAAGCCTAGCGAAGTTGCCGTCCCGAACACGAAGGCAAAGGTCGTCCTGGAGCCGTACAAGCATCAAGTTGGAGGCCACTCTACAATCTTCCGCTTCTCGCGGCGAGCCGTCTGCAAGCAGCTCAACAATCGAGAGAACGAGTTCTATGAAAGAATCGAGCAAAGACATCCCGACATGCTCAAGTTTCTTCCGAGGTACATTGGAGTGCTCAATGTCACTTTCTCCAAAGTGCCCAAGCAGGCTCAGAATCCCGAAATTGGGAGCAAGGATCCAGCCGGGGCAGCGCGTCTCAATGGCAGCGATGGTCAGAACATCGCCGGCAATAAGAAAGCAGAATCCGCTGTCCGGCCCGGGATTTCGGCCCCTTTCGAGAAGCCACGGATAGTAAGCCACTCACAACAAATAGGCAGCATTCCGCAAGTTATTCTGGAACAAAACAAGCATATCATTCCTTCAAACTATTTCGCTCTACCGGAGCGACCTCGAAGTGTTGATCCAAATCATGGACGGCGGCGTAGCAAGGATCTGGAATTGTCTCCACTGGGCCCGAGGAATGGCCGGGAAGCTGAGAAGTCACCGAATCGGCCACCCATGCCAGATCATTCGAGTAGTTGGGGGAACACTTCGGTGAATGAGGGTTTGAAAGACAAGATCCTTCGGGAAGTGTTTGGACCACCACCCATACAGTACTACCGTCGACACCTCCCTTCGCACAGCACAGTGCCCAGACTGAAAGGTAACCAAGGCCCTAGAAGGAGAAGAAGCAATCTTTCAGTCAACTCAATACCAGGTGAGGAGTTGAACTCGTCGGAGAGACCCAAAGAGCAACCTCACATACCCACTTTGAATGTGAAACAAGCAGAGACACCCACTCCAGCAAATCACTCCACTAAAGAAGACGATGTTGCGAATGGCGTCTACTCTTCTTCAGTCCCGGCATTGGAAGAGATGAAATATAACCTTGAAAAGGTCAAGACAACAGGTAGTGACGTGTCAAATATGTCCGTTACATCCGGCACAGAAAGCAAACCGCTCGTCAAGAGACGTCACTCCGGCATGGGTCTCCGACGGCGGCGACAATCTGTCAACGGCAAAGAGACGGCTGACCTTGAATATTTTGAGGACGAGGCGTACGCTACTGATATTGGCCCTGACACCAACAGTGAGGTCTTCGCCATGGATCAAGAGAAGCAACCAGATCACGGCAATAAGAAACCCACATACTCGGAAACCTCTCAAGAGGCGCCAAATGAGTCTTTGTCCAAGTCTTCTGATCCGGCGAAGGCCTCAATAGTTACGGCAGGTGACTCCAGAGAACAGTCTCAGACAGATCTTGTTCCCACCAATCCCAAAGATGCGCAATCCTCAAGTAGTGGCGACCGGGTTGTCTATTTTATTCTGTTGGAAGATCTCACCAGTGGTATGGGACGGCCTTGTGTGCTCGATCTGAAAATGGGGACGAGACAGTTCGGCGTGGAAGCCAGTAAGAAGAAGATGGAATCTCAGCGACGCAAATGCAAGACAACCACGTCGCAACAACTCGGGGTCCGGATATGTGGCATGCAGACGTTCAATGCCAAAACACAAAAGGTGACGTACGAAGACAAATACTACGGTCGTGATCTCAAGGCCGGGCGTGAATTTCGGGAAGCCCTCACCAGGTTTCTGTACGATGGAGTCAGCTATGATAGTGTGGCTCGCCACATTCCGACCATCCTGCACAAGCTGTCCAAACTGGAAAGCATGGTGCGGCGATTACCTGGGTATCGCTTCTATGCGAGTTCTCTCCTGATGCTGTACGACGCCGAACCTCACAAGTCCCGCGAGGCCGAGGAGGCGGCGCGGAACGGACTGGATATTGCTCAAATCAAGAAGAAGGAGGGCAAGAAGTGGCCGCCGCCCATAGAGATCAAGATTGTCGACTTTGCGAACTGCATCACCGGCGAGGACGAACTCCCTCCGAACGCGCAAGCGCCGCCAGCTCACCCGCACGATGTTGACCGAGGATACTTGCGAGGGTTGAGAACCCTCAAGGCCTACTTTGAGCGGATCCTGAGTGACATCAAAAACAAGGATATCCAAGAAAATGGTGGTCGAGGAGAAGAATTGACTGCCGCCGTGGACGAGTGTACCAAGGTCCTATCGAACTCCAGTAACGGGGTCGAAGAGGATGATGATGGGGAAGTCAGCGTTTGAATTTGGGACATGGACCATAGGTGTTTCCGAGTCCTCGGCCATGAGCTCAGGGTGAACGGAATGAAATGGAATGGCGTGGCGTGGGATGGACATGATGGAGTCTTCTTTTATGGTTAGATGAGGGCGGGAGCAATCCTGGCAAGGTCGACACGGTTGAGGGTTTAGCAAGGAGTGAGGAGTTTGTGATGGTTTTGTCTGTTTTGTTTTGTTGTGTACTCTTCTTCGTTACGTAGTCATTCATTTCGTGTTGAGAATACAGTTGTGTATGCTCATGCTCAGCTCATGCTCATGTTCATACTCATACTCATTTTTCGTGTAATGTCACTATTTATTGTATACACTATTTGTTGCACTACGTATTTCGGAACAGCACGTATTGCTATTGCCACAGGTTCTTTCAAGATGATGTGTACCTGCGGGGACTAACGTTGACATTGCAATGGCTTGGGTACTGCTTCAACGGTGGCTATGGCTGTGACTATGGCTGTGGCTATGCGTATAGATAGACTGGACAATAATGGGCGACAGGCGACAGGCAATGAATGGGGAGGCAAAGACAACGAATGTGATTGTGATTGTGAATTGGGTCAAAGCAGGAATAGGAAAGGGATATGTAGGTATATATATATATGATATATATAATTGAAAAGGTAAGAAGTGGTGAATAGGATTAGATAAATAATAATAATAATATTATTATTATTATTCACGATGATGATGCTGATGATCGGAGTAGATATCGCCATGGAACTCCTGGGTTATGACTATTGCAGGAAAATAATGGATTATATTCATTCTTGGGAAGGGTCGTTAGGTACGTAGATAGGTAGGTAGATCTATATATTTATCTATTTATCTAAGGGAAGCAGTTGAGCTCTGTGATGGATATATGTGATGGATATATGTGATGGATATATGTGATGGATATATGTGATGGATATATATATATATAATATCATTCTCTTCTTCTCCATTGGAGATGTAGATATCAACCAGACGTCAAGATAGAATGAAACATGGCGACAGTAGTGGTAAATCGTGATTGTGGTGGTTGTGGAAGTCACACCGTGAGGACTAAACTACCTAGGTACAGGTAGGTATTCTATATCAGGCATTCATTGAGGATAGATAGAGCTGATCAATACAGTGAATGATATTGCTATTGGAAGATGACAGCCAGGCTGGACTGGTGATTTAGGTACTTGAGATATAATACTTGATACTTGATACTTAATACATGATTTATGATACAAGGACTAAGAGATACCACCTACAAATAACCCAGGCTGCCCTTCGTTCCGACGCTCCTTCGTCGAAATGAAGCTTGAAAGTGTGAGATTCCTTTCTTTTCTATCCAGAACGCCCGGGAAGGAGGAGAGCAGTAACTAAAAGTATAGATATCGTCCAGGCAGGTACGGGGGTTAAAGACTCGGATTGCAATGAGTCTGGCAGTCTCACGATGAACACAACACGTTACAGGCAACGGTACAGCATTGTCATGACGAAGCTGGACTGCACCTGCGCGACAGTGTTGCGGCGAGTTGTGCTGTACTTTTCACTCGGCGTGGAAGATGATTACACAATAGAGACGGTGGACTGTGGATAGAAACTAACCAAGACTCCAGGAATGGGAGCAACAACAGTACCAATATCAGTATCAGTGTCACATCGGGCGTGATGATGGCATAAGACTAAGACCGATCTTGATGTGTCAACTCCAACGTGCGTGACATGTTTGACGACATTGAAGATGGCGTGTGAGTATGGCGAGCATAGAAGCAGCCTTGCCATTGTTGCAAATTGCAAACTGCAACCTACACACTGCGAAATTCGATGTGTAAAGTCGATGCAGCGAGGAGGAAATTCTGGCGGAAAGAAATTGAGATCTTGGCGTGGCTGCTATGGCTTCATTCACGTGGTGGTTGCCAGATTGCAACAGATCTGATCTCCTGTGATCGAGGCCTCCATTGGATGATGCTATGAAAGATCAAGAAGTGGGCCGCTTGGTACATGAGCTCTGTGATTGGGGTAGCCCGCTGAAGAGATCAGATGGACTCAAAAGGTTGAGTTTGACATTGTTGAGCAAATGAAGTCACAAATGCCATTCTGCGGAAAGGGTGGACGACCCAGCTGAAGAGGAAGGTTGGGGCACTGAGCATCAACGCAACGCTGATGGCTCTTTCCTTCGCAGATCACGAAGCTTCGGAAACAGAAAAGGGTAAAGGTTGTTGAAAGCGATCAGAAATTACAGGGATAGGCAGCAGAGTGCGGCTGCCTTTGCAAGAAACTTACCAGTATACGTCACCTGTGCTGAGTTGCCCGACAAGATAGCCATATTGAAGCATTCAATGAATCAGATAGTGTGAGAGGTGGCTGGGTGGCTGTGAACATGAGTGTCATATTGCAAGTCGTGAGTGATTTGAGGCGGAATGAATGTACCGTCGTGGACGAAAGCATCATTATGCCTCGCAGAGTCTCGGATCAATACCCAATGAGACTTGGACATTAAGATGGGAAGAGGCTGGTGGACTGGCTGCATGGTGGAGGTTTTCGCTGTAGGTCACCTCCTCTCCTCTCAAATTGACAGAGTCAAAATCTCTTTTGAAAATGCGGCGTCAAGTTTGTGAGGCGAGGGGAAAGATAATTGGAAGTCGACGCCGTTGAATGGTTGCAGCACCTACTAGGCCCGTTTGGGGCTGATGCTGCCCGGCCTATGGGTGCACTGAAAGAAGGCTGGGGCGGTGCGTGCGGTGGGCAAAGTTCGGAGGAATTGACTTCATCGATGGATGAGATGGCGAGCTCAGTTTGCGTCCCATTGGCGGGGAGTGAGATCTGACCCGATTTGCAGCGATGGAGCGTCGAATTGGAGGTCGTCGGGCAATCCGGGACTTGACCTACCGTTTTGGCTTTTGCCGTGTGGCACCATCCGATCCACATTGATGAAAAGGATAGAGTCTTGCCTGCGCAATGATCTGCAGTTGATTGTCTCCAACTCAGCGACCGAATGCGACAGCGAGGGTGACCGTAACGAAGAATGCGAGTGCAGGATGATGCGCCGACGAGTAGCGCGACTGTCATCGACGACTGCAAACACTTTGTATGCAGTGCAAAGCAGTGCAGTGAAGAAAGCAACTGGTGCGCAGCTGACTTTGTCGTCCAAAGTATGATAGAGGGATGTGGAGGGAAGAGGTCTGGTTCGGCCAATCAGGCGTCGTAAAGTTCAGCCTCGTCTGGTTCATATATCAGAGATCGGACGAGGCTCCACACCCCTTTTTTCTTCTCCGCCGCCAGCCTTGCAGCAAAGTTTTCGTGGAAATTCTTGTAGGTTGAATGCCATTCGATAGGCAATCTGACTTTCCTCTCGCTGAATTGGGTGGACTTGACACTGCGTGGCCCTTCGAGTCGCTCATCGCTTCAGTAGCTCTGCGAGCAGGTTAGATTCTACGCAGCTTTGCTCAGGGGCTCACTCGTCCGGCAAGAATTACCATGGGCAATTGATCGATCGCCGGAGTCGGGTAGTATGGCAGGTAACCTGCAGTGGATCTGAAGGTCGTCGGCTCATGAGATCGCCGCAGGGAAAAAAACCTTGGGCTTGGTTCGTTCGGTTCGCATGCTCGTTCCGTTCTCCGCAGTTGAACGGCTTCTCCGCAAAATGGCTGTCGCTCCGTTAAGGTTTTGACCCTGCAAAGACCTCATTGGGTTTGTTAGGCGCAACTCCATATATCAAATTCAGCCCTCAGTCTAGCCTCGCCTCGCCTACCATTTCAGCCAGTTCGCTGTGCCTTCAGTGATGCCGTTGCGTCAATCGTTGAATAATACTGTAGACGGAAAGCCTGTAGTCAATGTCAGCAACTCACTGGAGGGCAGGAGAACGATCCTTCGCTTGTGCTGTCTCTCCGCAATGATCGCTCCGCCATCGCCGACTTGTCCTGCTGTACCAGAGGAGATGAACTCTCCATGTTCTTACACAGCCTCGCTGTACCGCTCAATGCTGCACCTTCTTTCCCCTCTTCCCCTCTCAACCAAGCACTCGTTGATGGGCCCAAGATGAAGCCTCGCTGGTCGTTCAACATGCCTACGGTTTCCTGTCTTCCTGCTCGACAAAGTTTTCTCTGAAATGATCACCGTACTCAGCCTCCCTGTGCCATAGAATTGAAGCCCCATCTCCTCTCCTGCCTGCTGTACCGCTCAATCTCTCGCCTCACTGTCTCGTCTGCCTGTTGAACCACTCGTCCTGTAGCTTCATCGGCAGAGTCAGCCTCGATGTACCATAGAACTCCCTCTTCACCCATTCGTCCACCGGCTTCATCTCTCTGATTGACTTCAGTTGAGAAACGATATCCCCTAGCCTGCGTCGAGTTTGCAAAGTCTGATCTGAAGCTGGGTTGTTCTGGAGAGGCCTCTTCAACTACTTATAGCTGCTCTTTCGGCCTTCAATACTTCTGGCCTTCTCTTTGTACACACACACCAAACACTTCTTCCACTTGTTGATTGACACCAGAGCTCCCTTGACCAGCAAAGCTTCACTTGTCTCTTGATTCTTGACTCATCACACTTCATTCTCCTGACTCTTGACTCTTGACACCAAGAAAGCCTCCCTGATCATTGTCACTCAACACACTCAAACCCTCTTGACACCAGAGCTCTCCTGACAAGCATTGTGCCACCAAGATCACCTTGTACATTGTATTTGGAACACTCCAGACCAGCCACCGACCACCACTCCTCTCTACTCGAGAGCACGGCAGGCACCAGATCTTCACCAGCATTTTTGCACCAACACCAAACTCAAACTCCCCGAACACACCATCTGGATCGGCATTCAGTGCAGCGGCATACTCCTCACACACAAACAACTCGGACCGGTATTCCAGTACAGCGGCGAGTTTCCTCCACACACACAAACCTTCCGGACCGGCATTCAGTGCAACGGCTGATACCCCCCAGCCACCAACAAACCTTTTTTTTTTCTCGACATCTTTTTTCTCCACGATCTCCAACATGGGCTGTCTTTGCAGCAGATTCTCCAAGGCGGCCGAGGAGCCGACCTCCCTCCCCCTCCCAACCCCTGTCTCCGCCACCCCTGTCCCCGCCCCTCTGTCGTCTCCGGTGGCCGATTTCGAGCCAACGCCGGAGCCAGAGCAAGCACCACCACCACCAGCTGCACCAGCAGCAGCAGCAACAGCACCGCCACCGCCACCAGAGACGGACCTGTCTTGGAGAGGCTGGCCAGGCCTCCTCAATCACGAGGAGAGGGCCGCTGGCGTTGTCGTGGGCGCACGCCCACTGTCCGAAGACAGCGAGCCGGGACAAGCACCGGCACCAGCAGCCACCAAGCCGTCAAGAAGGAAGAGGCTGGTCAACTCGCTCTTCCGGTCATCAAGCCGGTCATCAAGTTCCGGGTCGTCCAGTTGGACGACAGTCAAATGCCGCACTGAGACGGAGGAGTCTCAGCCACTGCAGGCACCACCGCCGCCGCCGCCACCAGCCAAGATCCGACGCAAGCGACGGGGCTCGAAGAAAATCTTCCGCTCGACAAGCACCGACACCTCAGGGTCGGTATACAGCCAAGCCTGCTCGACCAAGAGCAGGTCAACAATCCTGTATCACGAGTCGGAAGATTGGCCAGCGCCGGTACGATGGCCAGAGCCCGAGCACGATCCCGCCGCGCCGGCGATGCCGGCTGTCAAGATCATTGCCGCCACCGACAGCGAGGTGGCCGAGGAGGGACCCATCCGGGGTCGACTGCTGTTCCCGCAGTCGTTTGAATTCTTGAGAAGCGAGTGGTACAAGTTGTGAGGAGGAGGAGGAGGAGGTGGTAGTCGTCGACGACACCACACCAAAGAAGTCCCACAGGTAGACAACAACCTGGGGCGAAAAAAACAAAGAAAAAAACCACCCGGGCAAAAGACTTGGGGGTAAGAAACCCTACAAAAAAAAGAATCTGATTTTCATGGGCGGCGTTTGGGGGCGTTATAGGCGTTATAGGCGTTGGAGTTTGGGCGTTTGGGAGTTTGGGGGGGAGCCCTGCGATGAGAGGCACCTTCACGCGGTGCAGGGTGTGAGTAGCAGCTTCGGCTGTGAAACCAAGACCTCTCTTGTAGATATAGGCGTCTGTTAGGTACCTGCAGTGCTCCTGCAGTGTTGGTATAGGGCATCTCTGGTGTTGACAGAGGGAGACTTGGGATGACTTGATGGACTTGCTGTTGGTGGTCACCGTCGCTGAGCAGCTCCCTCACTGCCTACAATAGCTTACCTTAGGTGGTTGTTGGCATTGCTGGAGGTGTCTACATGAGAACCTCGACGCTGTCGCCGCTGCCATCATTGTCATCGTCGTCGGCTTCATAGAGCTGCAATACAAGTTGCTGCTGTCATTACCTGCAATGCAAGCGTTGCTGCCATCACCATCATCACCATCATCATCGCTGTCTTCGTTCGTCCTTGTGATTATCATCATCATCGTCGCTCTGGTGTTGTCGTTGTTGACCTCGTCGATGTCAGTCCTGCTGTTGCTGTTGCTGTTGCTGTCGTCGAAGAAGTTCTTGTTGTCGTCGATGTCACTTGTCACTCCGCAGGCTCTCTCGCCGCCCTCGTTGCTCTCGCTGCCCTGGCACGTGACAGATTACATTCTACCGGCAGTATTTCTCAATTCTTTCTTCTACGCAGCAACATTTTCTTCCTCACCGCCTTGAAGCATCCCTGAATCCCTGAATTCTGGATCCTTGCCATCTTCTCTCCCATCTCGCATCTCCATCCGTCCACTTGCTCGCTCTCAACTTCGGTCCTGTGGCAAACCTCAACATACAACTCACCATCCTTTGTCGCTGCCATTATCCGTTGCCGACTTCACGCTCGTTACACTCATTCTCAATAGATTGACCAACTCTCCTCCTCTCCCACCTCATCATCTCAGCTTGACAACCCTCTACGCAACCCCCCTAATAACACATCAAACATGACTTCGACCACGATTACACGCGAGAATGTCACCACTCTATTCCCCGATGTCCACACCCGCCTCATCGGCGCCGACGCAGCGCCCAACACGACCCCCGACACCAACGGCACACCCACCTCCTCCGACGACCTCGCCGGCTACGATGAAGAACAAATCCGCCTAATGGACGAAGTCTGCATCGTCCTCGACACCGACGACATGCCCATTGGGTCTGCGTCCAAAAAAGCCTGCCATCTGATGACCAACATCAACCAGGGTCTTCTGCACCGCGCATTCTCCGTCTTCCTCTTCCACCCGCAAACCAAGAAACTGCTCCTCCAACAGCGAGCGAGCGAAAAGATCACATTCCCAGACATGTGGACGAACACGTGCTGTTCCCACCCGCTCGCCCACCCCAGCGAAACGGGCCACGGCGATCTAGCCAGCAACGTGGAGGGAGCGAAACGCGCCGCCCAGCGCAAACTGGGCCACGAACTCGGCATTCCTGCATCGCAAGTGCCCCCTTCCAACTTCGATTTCCTCGCGCGTATCCACTACCTCGCACCTTCGGGCGGGAAATGGGGCGAGCATGAGATCGACTATATCCTGTTCATCGAGGCTGATGTCACGCTGGACATCAACAAGAACGAAATCCAGGATACGCGGTGGGTCAGCCCCGAAGAGCTCAAGCAGATGTTCAAGGACGTCGAGTCGCAGTCGGGCAAGGACAAGGCGCTCAAATTCACCCCGTGGTTCCGCCTGATTTGCGAAGGAATGCTGTTTGAGTGGTGGGACAAGCTGGTCGAGGGTCGTCTGAGCGAGGTTACTGGCGAAACACAGATTCGGAGAATGTGAAACGACCAGTAATGGGTGTCAACTGGAGTTCGTTGGTGATGATTTCAGAGTGTTCCTTTTCGATCTTCTCATCGTCTCGTTTCTGCGCTACTTTACACAAAGCGAACATGGCGTTTCCAGGCGCACAAGAACTGAGCGAGTGTGTCTGGTAGATACACCTCCAGAGAAATTCCGTCGAATCTGACCCTCGGGGTCCGCAACAGACGACATGACCACACACTACTATGTGCTGCATTGACCTGATTGTTTCTCAGATTCGTTGTGTCCTTGCTTGTCATTTGGTATATGTCTCACTGATGAGATTGCTCGTTGTCCTGCGACTTGTGACATTCCCATGGCCTACTGAGGCCGGAGTAACGTTGCGTCGACATCCCCAGAGATAGCTCTGTACCTTCCTGCCATCTTTCTAGTGGAGGGGAGTTTAGACCGTAACTTGGGATAAACATGTGAGAAGGCTCTACGATCTGACTGGGACTGCAAAATAGATAGCTTGAACACTTTTTGATTCGGAATGAGCCTCTATATCTAAGACATATCATTAAAACTCCCAAACCTGAGCAGCACTCACTGTGCACTAACATTAGACCACCACAGAGCCGAACTCCACACATCTCTTTGCAGCCAGATCTATTTTCACTGTACTAGTATCGGACAGGAGCAGAGGCAGGCAAACACGTCTTTCTACTCACAAACCGCCTTCCTGGTTCCTGGCCCGAGCCTCGTCGACGCTGCGCTGCCAATCCGTACGGTAGAGATAGGTGAACTCGATGACGGCGACCAGGCCCAAGGCGATGGCGACGCCGGTCCACAGGCCCCAAAGGCCCCAGCCCAGGCCAAACGCGGTGCCGAAACTGATGGGCATGGCGATGACATAGTAGCAGAACAGCTGGACGTAGCCGCCGACCTCCTGGCGGCCGAGGCCGCGCAGGATGCCGTTGCAGTTGGCCGCGAGGGCGTCGAAGAGCTGGAAGGCGGCGCAGAGCGGCAGGATGGCGGAGACGACGCGCACGACTTCCGGGTCGGACGTGAACAGGCGCGGGATGTAGTCCTTGAGCGTGGACAGGAGGGTGACGTTCATGATGCCGACGAAGAAGGCGGCGGTGAAGGTGACGCGGGTGCTGACGCGGGCGGCGTCGGCGAGCGTGGCGCCGATGAGGTTGGCCACGCGCGTCGAGCCCGCGATGGACAGCGGGAAGGGGATCTGGAAGGTCATGGACGTCAGCGTGGCCAGCACCGACTGCGCCGCCAGCACGGTGGTGCCGAAGTACGACGAGGCGAAGGTCAGCACTTCGAACGCCAGCACCTCGGCCTCGATCATCACGACGCCCGGCAGCGCCAGTTTGACCATCGGGCCCCAGTTCTGCCACGCCTTCCTGGTGAAGCCGTTCCAGCACGACATGCCGGTCTTGGAGCAGAACCGCACGTAGACGAAGAGGCCCAGCGGGAGCAGGTTGTCGGTGATGGCGACTGCGATGGGGGCGCCGATAAAGCCCCATTTGAACTTCCACACAAACAGCCAGTTCAGGAATGCGTTGAACGGGGCGCAGATCAGCAGCACGTACAGCGACGCCGAGAACAAGCCTTGGGCCTGCACGTACCGTTTCCCTGCTTCGAACGCCGCGTACCCCGGAGCCCCCAGCAACACGACTCTCAGGTATTGTCCGGCAAGTCTGGCCACCGCGGGCTCGGGTACAATCACCATGAGAATGTTCTCGGCGAGGATCCAGATGACGGCGATCGGGATGGAAATCGTCCAGAGGAAAACAACCATTCGCTGCATCTGCAGGCCGACCAGCTTCTTGCGTCCGGACCCGTACGCCTGCGCACAGAGCGTGTCGAGAGACGTCGCGAGACCCTGGTAGATTGCATAGCCGGTGATGTTGGCCGACATGGACGCCAGGCTCACAGCGCCCAGCTCGATCGTCCCGATGTGGCCGACGGTGAAGATACTGGCCACGGTCAAGGAATACTGCAGCAAAAATGTCACCATCAGTGGTGCAGAGTAGCGCGCGATCACTTTCGCCTCGCGTTGCCATGTGGTGTGGATCTTGCCGGCGGCCACCGCCTCTTCCCATTTCGCATTGATACTGTCAGGGTCGTCGTGTCCGCCATAAGGCAAGTTGGGGTCTCCCAGTAAAGGAGAAACTTCAGAAGCGACGTCGACGACACCGTCTGATCCTGAGGCAGCCTCTTCATCTCGACTAACCTTGCGGTCGCCGCCAGGAATAGACAGGTAGTTGCCGAACAAGCTCCTTTTCCGCCCACTGTCTTCGGCCTGGGGATGTTTGGGTGGGATGATGTTATTGTCCCGAAGGAGACTTCGCTCCTCTTCCAATGCTTGTTTCCTCTCTTCTTTCGACAATCGGTCATGATCCCGCACTATTTGTGGGAGCACGGTGGCTCTATTTCCTGCTCCTGCAAAGCTGGGTCTCCGGTACGATCCCACAAACGAGTATGCTCCTCCGCCAGGGGCAGAAGTAGAGGGACGTAAAGTCGAACTCTCGGATTCCTCGTCCTCCGAGATCGCGGCGTCGGACTCGTCCTCGGCGATGTCTCGCGCCAGAGATTCTTCCACGATCGGAGACGTGCTGGGTAGAGAGCTCGAGAACACTCGGCTGGTCATGCTTGCGACGCGATCGAGCGTGCCGCTTTGTTTGGATGGCGTGGCCATGACAGGATATCAGATGTTTTTTGGGAGAGATACGGCGTACTCCGTTATTCTTGACACATCCTCAAACAGAAGACGGCGTCGGCTGGAGGTGAGAGAGGAAGAGGTGTTCGCATATGGGCTTTTTCTGTCTGTCAATCATCAAGAGCGGCGGTGAGCACTTGAGGCACAGATAAAGAAAACGTTGCAGGCTGGCGCGAAGATTCACTGATAAAGCTGGGGGCGAACCCTTGTTCGCTTCAATGCTCATCGCTGATCTGCGAGCAACTTGAAGTTGAGTTGTCGCGCTGTCGGCTGGACTGGCCATATCGGGTTATCGGTCTACGCCTCGTCAGACCAGAGGTACAATAGGCGACGATGGCTGTGGTCACAAATGTGTTGTACTCTTCGATACCAGTAGTCTGAGTGATCAAGACTTATAGATATATCGCATGCAGAGTTAGTAACTGTGTATGTGCTCCCAATAGCAGCATTTGGTGTTCGTCTTCCAAAGTACAGTCCCAGCATCCGCATTGAGCAGGATCCGTGCGTCATTTATCCATCGCCTGCAAAAGTCCAACAACCATCGATCAGACTGTCGAAGATACATAGATATTCTTTTTTGTTATTGTTCAGTCACATCTTCGGTCGACGAGTTATTGTTGTAAGCGCTACAGACCATCGGACCATGTCCATTCCTTCAACACCCGCAAGATAACAATCTACCTACCCCTGGTGTTTCCACAACTTGAACCCTACCACGGGTAGACCTATGGCACCAACAACGACAACGATCACGGCCGAGCCTGGCACCGAGGACGCCTGGCACCTGCTCTACAATCCCTTCAGCCGTACTATCAATGTGGATGAGTGAGTCTCCCAGATGGAGATGCAGATGCAGATGCAGAGCAAACTAAATCCAATGGCACCAGGATCCATGCAGACAGTCCTCTCCAGCTGTTCCTTCAGCGGCCTCTCTATGCTCCTCTCCTCTTCTCTAACGTGACGTCGGATGCGAGAGATCATTGTGCCAATGAACGAACCTTTCTATCCTGGCTCCGACTGGCCGTCTACATGGCAGTTGTCTCGGTGGCTATCTTGATCAACTTCCATCTGAAAAACCAACCCAGCCGGCTCGAACAGAAACTGTCCCATCCGCTGGGGATTCTCTTCTGGGTGCTCTCTTTGGCCTGTCTTGGAAGCGGACTGGCGAATTACATGCGCACGGTCGCCAAATATGCGGAACGGCGTGCTCTGGTTCAGTCAGGAATCAAGACTCAGCTGATCTTCGGGGTCGTGGCCACGGCTATTGTCGCAGCATGCGCCCTGTTTCTGGGGGCGGAGGCACAGGCGGCACGAGAGAGGAGAGGAAATAGTTGAGCAATTCATTGATGGCTAGGAGACGACCAGGAGTGTAGCAGACTGTATCCCTTCATTCTCTTATATCAAGTGTAGGCGTGGTAATGTTGGCCAGATAATAGTATCACCTGGCAGTTGACGTCCCCAACAGCCTAGGCTCTCTAGGCGTCGTGCAGTGCTAAGTATGCAAGTGAGACACGCCTATGGAGCCTAAGAAGCCCATTAGTACCACCTAGATAGGTGCTAGTGGTGCCTAGGAGGATAAGTGAGCGCACTCATGGTGTCATGCTTGGCGCAGGTGCTGACTCGGACGCGTCTCGCCGTCCCAGTTCGCGTCAAAGTGTCGATATTCAAGTTATTCGTTATTATTGGTCTTTCGGTCTTGCATCTGTCAACTTGAGCCGCAGTCAAAAAGCAACCTGAACCCCATTGCATCCCTCGACCGCTGCCCTCAGCACTGCATGACTTGACCCTGGGCTTCAAACCGCAGCCTTGTTTCCTGGCTCGTGAGCCGTTTGTTCATCATTTCTCATACTCATACTCCAGCCCTTCGCTCGTCGCCTATTGCCATCACTTAAGCCATGGATTTCTCCGGTCAACCAGACTACCCCGCCGACTCGGCATACAGTCCCCAGATCATCAATGACCACGAACAACAGCAGCAGCAGCAGCAGCAGCAGCAGGAAGAAGACACCACAGTCGTTCAGAATGGTCACCAGACCCATACTCATACTACCACTTCACCCGTCGACAACGAATCGAACCAGAGATATAACTCCCCCAGTCTGTATCAGCAGCCGAGTTCACGGCCAGGCTCTGGAATGGGTGCACATCAACAAACACATTCCCAAGAAAACAGACATTCACAACCCCCACCACAACCACAACCCGCCAACAAGAGCAGTGTGGTCATCAAAGTTGGCATGGTCGGTGACGCTCAGATAGGGAAGACAAGCTTGATGGTTAAATATGTCGAGGGCAGCTGGGACGAAGATTATATCCAGACACTAGGTGCGTGCTCAGCCTGTCCTGCCTTTCGGGCTTCTACCTATTGCCATGGACCACAAGCTAATCCTGGTGTTTTGGTGCCTTGAAGGTGTCAATTTCATGGAGAAGACCATTTCAATACGCAACACCGAGATCACATTTTCCATCTGGGATCTCGGCGGTCAACGCGAATTCGTCAACATGCTCCCCCTCGTCTGCAACGACGCCGTTGCCATCCTCTTCATGTTCGACCTCACCCGGAAGTCCACCCTCAACAGCATCAAGGAATGGTACAGACAAGGACGAGGATTCAACAAAACCGCCATCCCCTTCCTGATCGGCACCAAGTACGATCATTTTGTGAATTTTCCACGCGAGGATCAAGAAGAGATAAGCAATCAGGTACGTCGTGGGCCATAATTCAATTCGACTCTTTTCTAGCCAGCTTGAACTCGGGAACAATAGAAGTAGGAGGTCAAGATCAAGCACCAGAAGAACTAACAGCTGCTGCACAACAGGCCCGAAGATTTGCAAAAGCAATGCGCGCCAGCCTGATCTTTAGCAGTACCAGCCATAGCATCAACGTGCAGAAGATCTTTAAGATCGTCCTCTCCAAAGCCTTTGATTTGAAATGCACCATTCCCGAGATCGAGAATGTCGGAGAGCCACTGCTACTGTATCAGTCGGTCAATTGACGGTAGCGCCAGCTTGCACCAAAGAGAAACATCAATACTTCCCAAGCGAAGCAACAAAAGTTGCACACCTTTACTTACGCCTTGCCTCGACAAACTACCTTTCCCCCAGCTTTGACACCAACACCATCGACAACCACACCACACCATACACACTCATTGGACTCCGATTTGCCTGGGTTGGGTTGAGAGCTTTCGCAGGGACCGAACCCATCGCAACCGCGACCAATCTCTCCGTCCTCCCAACTTGATCATCATCATCAAAGCGGTCCCCCATACCACTACCTCCACCTCGAGTAGTGCCACCAGCCACACCCCCTTGACCCCGGACGTCGCACCTTGTTAGAATTGAAAACATCATTTACCACTGTCTGATCAAGTTCTGTACTCTACAGTTTCGCCAGGCGCCGGTTTGGTTTCTTCGGTCGAGGCGGACCGGATCGGAGCATATGTCCCTTCATATCCCGAAGCAGGCCGTCTCTTGTCCGGTATGCACGCGGCGCGAGAAGTCTGCAGCGACAGCAGGTATCATGTGGTGTGCAGGGAAAGAATGAATTATGAGACCAGCGAAAACCCTCCAATTGTGCAGAGTAGGAGGCTAGTTGCTATCAGCGGTTGACGATTGTTTTTGCTTCCCAGGAGCTGAGAGATAACCGAGAATCCAACCCAAAAGGAATGTTGATCTTGAGACTTTGTCACTCCAGTGAAACTGAGTATCCCCATTTGTCCAATGGGTAGGGGGTAGGCATGGGAGAATCGTGAGATCCAGAGCTCAGCTTTAGGTACAGACGATCGCAACCTGCGTGAATTCAAAAGAGTGCAAAATCCTTGACATTGCTTTTCGGTATTTGTTTTGGTTTTTAGACAATTCCCGCATCGGGTCTTTGAGAAATTCTGGTCTTCTCGGTCTGTCCTGTCACAAGACTACAAAGGTAGATAGGTGCTTTGCCGTCACCTCTGCTCTCCATGCTATGCCAGGTATGCCGAGATAGGCACGCCATATGCTTTTGTCTAACGTAATCATGGTCATCATTTCAGCCGGGAATGGATGCATGTCACAGACGACACGGAGCCGCCTTCCTCTCCAGTTGCTCGCGTATCCGTCCGTGCAAGATCATTCTTGTATTTCACCACCGGCGACGGAACAAGTCCTCCACGCCCTCGACGTCCCGGTTCCCAATCTCGGCCTCCTAGCTGCTCTCCGAAATTGCGGTCCGCACCATGGGCCCAAATTCCTTCTTGACGTATTCAACGTAGCCCTTCCACGGCACCAGCTCGCCGCTGTTATCGGTGCCAGCAGAGGGAAACTTGCGCTCCAGCTCCATGGTCTTGCGAATCACCGCCGCGTTGGCTTCGTTCACCTTCTCGATCTCCTGCTTGACCGCGTTCTCCTTGATCTTGGCTGCGAGCACAACGCGGAATTTGTCGGCAAGACTGGACAGGCGACGGCGGGTCTCGTCTGGGTCGATCGCGGCCAGGCGTCCAAGCATGAGCAAGCACAGAGTGCGGATGTCCTGATCATCTGTGATGCCGTCCAGAATACGATCGAAGAGCTTGGGGATCGGAAGATGCGGGATGGCGCCCGGGCAGTCGAGCAGTGCATACATTGTCGCGTAAGCTGACTTGCGGACGTCGAGACCTGCATCTTCGTTATGCGTAAAGGGGCCGATCTTGATCACTTTCACCAGTTCGGGCTTAATGCGCGAGTCCTCGATGACTGGCGGTAAGAGTTGCGCAATGTCTGGGATCACGAGCTCTGGTTTGTTGTGGATAGCAGCGTTCAAAGTCGTGATCGCCAGGCGCCGGTTGCCTATGTCTGTATCACCCAGCATCGTCTGCAGCATGGGCGTCATCATCTTGACAAGGAGAGCGTTGTAAGAATTACTGGCATCCCCCAGCGTGAATCGGAACGCAGAAATGACTGTGCCGCGGATAGCAGCATTCGGATCTTCCAAGGATTTGGCGAGCTCTGGGACGTAGTTGTTCGGGTCAATTGTTGCAAGTCGGCCAATACACTCGGCACCAACAGCACTGTTATCTTCTGCCTGTGACACAGCAAACAATTTCTGCCAGAGTTCAGGTGCAAAGGGGCCCATGTCTGCAAAGGTGCTGTCGGTGTGTTCGAGAATCTCTTTGAGGGAGTGCAAGTATAGATAATCCTGAGTCGACGACTGCCCCAGGCTGTGCAGAATGACTGGCAAGCATTCGGGCACATTGTTGGAGCTGGCACTCCCAAGTGCAACAGCAGCGGCAAGTCGAACTTTGTCGGACTCTGCGGACAAGCATTGGATGAATGTTTCGATCTTCACGGGAGATTTTGAACCCAATCTGAACCCAACTTCACCAAGGACGGTGAGTGCTAGGCAGACAGCTCGGACGTCCTGAGACGTCTGCAACTCTTTCAGGAAGTCTGTTATCGTGACACCCAGGTTGTCCCCACCGTAAACGAGTAAGGTACCTATAGCTCTTCCGAGAACCACGGTCTCACCCGCCGTGCCCACTGCCAAAAGTCCTCTCATCAATGGAGCTCCCACTCCGTGTTCACCAATAACTTTCACCACGAGCAGGTAAGCACGCAGAGGTGGCCCTTCAAGGCGGGCTTGTGTGATTTGACATAAGGCGGAGACGACCTCGGTGTTGACGAGAGCCTCGGCGTTAGTCGGGATGATCTTGGATAAAACGACCAACGCTGGTGTCAACAAATGCAGGTCGTTCACAGATAGCAGCGGCATCAACAAGGCCTGCAGCTGCAGGATAGTTGTCGTCTCGTACTGGGACGACGTCACAGGATTGAGAGAGAGAAATTGTAGCGACTCCAGGCATGCTCCCCGAAGAGACCGATCAGCTTTGCGGAGCTGGTTAGCCATTTCGAGCGAGACATCTTGAATCCAAGCCGAGCCGATATTATCATGGACACCCGCGGCCTCACCAATAAGACCAATAGCCCTCGCACTGGCCAGTCGGGTGGTTTCATTCTTCAATCTGTCGTGGAGTATACCAAGACTCTTCATCCTGGCAGCACTAGACAGAAGTTGGGTATCAGAGGTACGAGCAATCAGAACACCGAACACTTGGATAGCACGGTGTCGGACTTCGAGGTCGGCATTGTTGTCAGTCACTCGCTCCACAACCACGTCCCAAAGTTTTTCGATATGGATGGCATGGTCTTGGTTCGCAATAGGTAGCCGGGGAGGAGTTAGAGCTTTGACAAATTGTTCGATGGTGCCGAGTGCTTCACTGGCGACCTTGTAGTTCCGATCGCGAGCAATGTCAATCACGGGTGGTATGAGAGCGATGACAAATGGAATCAGCACCGTGGTACCATTAGTTTCCGCAATGGCACTGATCAGCGTGAGTGTTTCAATCTGGAGGTTGGCGGCCGTTGCCGATGTTCCTGATCCCGCACCGCCGGACGAAGGAGCTGTTGAAGGTTTGAGTGCGTCGGCGACAGGGTCTTCTAATTGCTGTAGATGATCCGACAATATGCCATTTCGCGCCAACGTAAGGGTCTTGAGCATGACTACAGAGGCGTGTTTCAATGACATGCTGGCCTTCTTCCACAGCTTGCAAAGAGCCTGCACAATCTTGGGCACGAGCCCAACAAGGTCCGCTTGAGGGCCTCTTGGTGGAGAGGCAGGGACGATTGGCGGACTAGAACGGCTTGTAACCAAACCTCTGAGATCTGGATCTTGCCGATCAGCTTCGCTGTCCTGACGTCGACGCTTTCTGGTATTAGTTGGCGCAGCGGGATCGTCTCCTGCCGAGTCGACTCGTGTAAGCGACTGAGTGAGGCCGGTGCCGGCTTTTCGAATAAGTGCCGTGATGGCGGCAATGATCTCCAGTCTTACACTGTCCTCTCGCTCATTGAACAGACGGGAGATCAGAACTGGCGCAATCTTGTCGAAGAGAATGTCTCGATCGGCTGCCGAGACTCCCATGATGATGGTGTACAGAACCTTGGCCGCACAGCGTCTGACTTTCCAGCTGAGGTCGTCGACGTCACTAAAGGCATCTTCGTCGTCCAATTCCGCGTATTCATCGTCGTCGTCGTCGTCCGGAACTTCTTCTGTAATACCATCCTCTGAGGTGTTGTCCTGAGTGCCACCCATCTCCAGATCTTCCAAATCTGCAACATTGGGATCGTACCTGACATATCTCAGTGCGGCATCAATGGCTTCCAGTAAATGGGACCTCATCTCCACGTGGCACGACCCTACAAGGGCCTCAAGCGATACGAGCGCTGTCTCACGAAGCTCTTCTACCTCCGGATCAACTTCGACATCTTCTTCTGACATGGATGTGGTAGCAGACAGCTCATCCTGGCTGAGAACTTGGAGGACGTATGGAACGGCGTCATTAACGTACGGTCCAAACTTGCCTGGACTTGAACGTGCAAGTGTTCCAATCGTGGCAATCAGGAATCTCCGGTGTTCGGTGCTCAGTTGAGGAGTCTGGAAGCTCCGAGTAAGAGCCGCCACGAAGGAGCTGATCTGTGCATCGTTGAAATGGGGTATCAGTGCGCCAATCCCAGCAAGGGCTCGCTTCTTGACCACTCCTCCTGCCTGAGGGCTCTCAATGATGCTCATGACAGCTTTTGCTAAAGCCACCAACTCCTGCTCTTGGAGCAGAGATCCATAGCACTTGACAATCTCAATCATGACATCCACGGCGTCGCTGCTGTAGCCCTTGTCCTTCTGCCTCTCCAGCAAGCCCGTTGGGAGTTGGGGTGTAGGCTTGTTTGACGGCAGAACAACATGTCCCACCAATCTCGGGATCAAGACTTTGCTGACCGCGGCATATGCGTCTTTCACTTCTGGGCTAGTCCCTCCGGAAGGTTGTGGTTGAGGCAGTGAGGCAATAAGGGTCCGCAGGGCTGTGGTAGGTATGGAAATATCGATGTCGCTCTTGGTAAGGTCGGTAAGTTTGTCAATCAAGGGCGCGATTATATCACCCGGCGTGCGCGCAGCAAGTGGTCCAACGCTAGAAGAGGTTAGCAGAGGTTGTCAAGTAGAGATCATGCGACTTGCCATTTCAATGCCTGGTTCTGGACTTCGCCATTTTGATCGGCCAGCGATTTGAGCAGTCCTTCAATGATTCTGGCCGCAGTGTGTGTGTCGTTCCGAATGTACTCGGAGGCCGGGGAGAGGAGAATGTTGGCGAGATCACTAAGTTGCATGTAACGAATGTCCGGATCAGGGTCATTGATCTTTGAGAGTAGTGATGAAATGCCCTGCTGGGCAGCCGACCGGTCTTTGGCCATCTCTCTCGAAGGAACCAAGCGGTTCTTCAGCGGATGGAGGAGACAATGTATCGGATGTTTTTGCGTTCAGAGTCGTGGAATAAGACAGATCACAGCATCTGGAATATGGTGGGTTCAGAACGCAGAGACGAAGCGTAAAGCGTGGTCTCGTCGAGGCTTTGCAATCTGGATTGGAGAATTGTATGAGGCACGCTTGAACGCAAGACGAGGATAAAGCCGTCCACTGCCGGAAGTAGAGCAATTGCAGGATAGAAAGAGTTGGCGTGAAGTACAGCCGGCGGCGAGTAAGTGGTTGCTACCTAGATATTTGTATTCAAGGTAGTCTTGATACTCACTGTCGGTGCTGCAGGTGGCATATAGTAGTAGTATTGTCACTACGTACCTACCTAGGACCTAGTCGTGCTATAGTAGGTATTTTGGAGGGGTGCACAACATGCTCCATCTTCGGCCAATGACGTTGTTGTAGACAGTCATTGCTTGGCTTACATAATGTCGTTCGACCTGCCCTTTCGAAGGGCATCTGACTCAGCTGGGGAAGCTCTCCCTGCCAGTTAGCTTCAGGTACACACTAATTAAAGTGAGCTCGTATGATTACCAGGGACTAAGGTAAAAAGGTATGATGCCAGTGCTGGAGCTTGGGTGAACGTTGGAGCCCACTGCTAGTACCACCACCATCACCTGCTACTGACTGCATGCTCCGGAGCTCTCTTCCATTCGATTCCCGTTCCCTCAATTCTGTTTCCCAACTTATTCCGCTTTCCTATCCTTCTCAATACATTCTGTCCATTCTGTCTGCGTTCCCATGGTGCTACCAAAGTCTTCAGCCCTTCGGGGCAGCATCCGGTCGTTCACTCTCAAGAGAGTTGGTGCCCAAGCCCGAACAAACTTACGTGCGGTCGGTCGTCGAGGCTACGCAAGTGAGCATGGGGAAACGAAGAGCAGTGACCTGCCCTGGTCAGTCGATCCTCACCGCATACCGTCGGTATTGCACACGATACTAACAACACATGTAGGATAATCGGCTCTGTCGCCGTTACGGTACCCGCCGCGACCTGGCTTTGGAGCCAAGGCCCCACGAAGTCTGACCACGGCCACGCCGACGAGGGTCACGCGGAAGAAGAACCAAAAGAAGCCACCGAGGAACAGTCCTCCCAGGAAGAGCCTGAAGAGAAGGGCGAAGATGCCAAGGAGGAGGGTGGTGACGAGGGTGGAAGATCCGAAACGAGTGAGGAAGAGTGAGTGCCTTCCATGCAGAGTTGCTTGTGCAGGTTTCGCGGCGGGTAGGCTAACGGATTTGAAGAACCACCGCGGGTTCGCTGCCACCGGGCGAAAGTAAAGTCTCAGAGAAGCAGGGTGACAAAGGAGTAAGGTCCATTCGAGGAGACTTCTCAGGTACCGGCTTACTGAACGATGGCAGGCTAAAAAAGATGTCTCTGGCGCCAGCAACCCATTTATGTCCGCTGATGAGGAGAGCAAGAAGCCTGAGGGAATGGCAGCTTCGGCAAAGATCACCGGTACAGTTGATCCTTCCCGACCAACTAGCGGCCACAAGGGCAGCGGCGAGACCGACGAGAAAGGGGAAGATGACAAGTCCGACAACTGAGCTGAGACATCTCTCCCCGACCGGAACTACGGTTGCTGTAGCATGGTCAATTGTCACATTTACACACGGCATTGGGCGGCTCCCCATAGCTTTTGTTGAAACTCTTGATATACCTCCAACCCACCAAAATCGCGAGCTGCATAGCAGATCGCAAACATGTACAGGTAATTTCGGCCTCCAAACACCGGAGCGAATGGGCCTCTCGATGAAGCAAAACAGATTGGTGCAATCCCGAACTGTGTGGCTCTTCAATTTGGATCTTGCCGAAAAGAGCTTGCGAAAGTCATCTCCCCCCATTCGATTGATCGTAGCGCTCTCCTTTCCCCCAAACCCATTTCGCGCCATCCTCCTTGGAAAGCATAAGTTGTCGATAACAGCCGCAGGCATTTCCGACACAGTGGGCTGAGTCATTTGAGGCCTAAGGTACCTTAGAATAGGCCATCTTCACTCAAACGCCCACACCGCTCGATCTATGCTTCTCGCCTGGCTTCTGCCGACTATTTATGCCCAGTCCACCAACTGAACCGACACGGTATCACGAAAAGCTCTATCTTTGTGGAGTTGCGTCTGATTGATCCCCGACTCAATCAAAGTTTGCGTGAAAAATGCGTGTCTACAATCGCCGTATGACGAGCTCGATCCTTGGCCAACAGAATTCACCCAGACTTGGACTGATTCCTCTGTTTTCCGTCCATGCCGAAACGAGTTGTATAACCAGTCTCTCCTGGCGATGTAGAGGGAATCCTGGCTGACTGTTCTTCCACGGATTTGGAGGAGCTCCCACTTCACGTGATCTCCAACTAGATCCCAGTTCAAGTTCAATTCCTTTCAACGCCAAGCCGTCATCTTTCTGCGCCCCTTTTCCCTGCCACTGCAGTGATGCAACTGCGCTCCGAGTCCTTCGCCGCAACTGCTTACATGTAGTCCTTGCAAGGTACCTGCTTACTACTTGACCTACTGCCGACGACGTACTGCTGTTTTTGTGTTCTCGGTGACAAGAGAACGAGCCTCTATTTACGCAGTGTTCAGCAACGTTCACTTCTGCTTAGGTCTGCGCTCGACCTTCGACCTGGCTGCATAGCCTCTCACGTTTCGCTCCGTTTTCACCATGGGTCGCCCACGTCGAGCATCCAGTAACCTCGGGGGCGACCCTCGAGGGGACACCAGTGCACCAGCATTTGCAACCATGACCCAGAGACCGCCATCACAGCCTTCTGTATGCGCAACCCCTCCGCAACTCCTCCTCTCGTCAGTACGTTTTGGCGCTAACAGTCTGCAGGCAAGTGAGAACATGAAAGACCTGAAGCCTCATTCGAAGCGTCGCAAAGCTCGGTCGGCGTTCCGCAAATGGAGACAGCTATCCTTGCGACACACTTGGATCAATCCTCTCATAATCATGGTGGCCATCTTGATTGCATATTCGATCAACCCAGGCGAGCAAAATCCTCTTCACCAAGCCATTTTCCTGTCTTACCCTCTTGGACCGGATTACCCGGGCGGACCGAAGATGTATGGCAAAGGGAAAGCCGACATTGCATTTGTGGCCTTTTACACAGTGGTGTTGAGTTTTACAAGAGAGTTCCTGATGCAAAGGGTCATCCGGCCGTTGGCTCTCAAGTGCGGCATCAGGAAGAAGGGGAAACAGGCGCGGTTCATGGAGCAAGTGTACACGGCGGTATACTTTTCCATTTTCGGGCCCTTTGGCCTGTACGTGATGTCGAGGGGCCCTCTTTGGTACTTCAACACTACAGCCATGTTTGAGGGATTTCCTCACCGGAAGCATGAGGCGTTGTTCAAGGCCTACTATCTGCTCCAAGCTAGTTACTGGGCTCAGCAGGCGATTGTCCTTTTGCTGCAACTGGAGAAGCCGCGAAAAGACTTTAAAGAGCTGGTTCTCCATCACGTCGTGACTTTGGCTCTGATTGGGCTAAGTTATCGCTTTCACTTCACGTACATGGGCATTGCCGTGTACATTACCCATGATATCAGTGATTTTTTCCTAGCGGTATGTTCCTACCTCACCTCTTTTTGGTTTATGTCCCCGGCTAAACAGAGCTTTCAGACGTCCAAGACACTGAACTACCTCGACCACCCCCTGGTGGGCCCATACTTTGGTCTTTTCGTGTGTGTGTGGATCTATCTCCGTCACTACATCAACTTGATAATACTGTGGGCGACCTTGACCAAGTTCCGCACCGTTGGGCCTTATGAGTTGGATTGGGAGACTCAGCAGTACAAGTGCTGGATCAGCCAGATTATCACGTTTGCCCTGCTGGCGTGTCTTCAGGCCGTGAACTTGTTTTGGCTGTACTTGATCTTCCGCATCGCGAAGAACTATCTGACCGCGAATATCGCGGTCGATGAGCGTAGTGAAGATGAGGACGATGACGACGAGGTTGAGGCCGAGGCCGATGCCAGTGGAAAACAGATCGCTGGGGACGAGTCGAAAATGAATGGGACCAAGCCTGTCGTCCTTCTCAACGGTGAACCTGTTGAAGGGCAGCCGAAGCAAGACACTGGCAAGGTGCGGGAACGGAAAAGGAAGGCTTGAAAAGTTGGGGGAAGATATTATACTAATACTTGTCTTCTGTTGGATGCCGTTCTGTCACGAACAGAGAGGCCGGGTCGGCTCCAAAAGGCGAAAGGGGTATTGGGAGCAGTCTAGGAACGTCCTTTCCACTTCAACTTCGATGGAAAGCTGTTTTAAAAATTTGAAAATTTTGTCCAATCTGGTGCATTTCATCTCTTCCTCGAGCAGACCAAGATTGGGGCTCAATCATCGAACCATCGTTTTGTCTCCTACCTCAGAAGCTCCTTTTCGACTCAGCTTGACCTAGAAACGACGAAAAGCCCCTCGGCAGCTCTCGAATATCGACCCGTCCTCAACTCCAAGCGAAGAGAACACTTGGGTAGATTGAGCCACAGCTCCATGGCATCAGGCAAGGAGGGAAAATGGGGAACTGCAAAGGGGACAATCAGCGGCCTCTCCAGCTGCTGTCTCGGCGAAGGCCTGCGAGGCGGCCGTCAGCAAGAGGAGGGTGCGGTCGTCTCTAGGCAATCAGAGATGTGGCATTCTCACGGCCGATACACGCGCCCTAGCTTGGACTACTCCTCTGTCGCTTGCGTATCGCCGGGTTCGCAGCATCGGATTGACTTCTGACCATGCATCGATAGCACAGAGTTCTGCCGATCCGTACGGCTCCCAGAACGCTCTCGCCACCGCCGTAATGCTAGCCGACCGCACCCTGGAGACGGGCCGTAAGACCAAAGTCCAGGAGATGAAAGATGGGTGCATTCAAAGACCTCGAAATGCCATGCAGACTGCGTTCACTGCGTCTGTAGATGGCTCAACACAGGGTCGGTCATTTCCGCGCCCCCTGAGGTATCACATTTGTTAAGAGAACAATCCAACAGGCCACAGCGAGATCTACCGCGTCTGCAAAAGTCGCCGCCGACAGACAGCACGAAAGCAAGTGATGCTCGAATACCTTGTCACCATGTTCCCCACGATCTCTGTCCATGTGGGGTAGACGAACTGGTCTTGGGCTACAAAGATGCGCAAACACCAGGAACCGGTCTCCCTAGCCTCGTCCTTTTCTAGTCGACAGACATCTGACCTCCTCTGATGTGGAGAAGCTCCAGCTCTCCTCTCACCAGAGGAGAGTGTAAGCCGCCAGCAGATCTCCAGCGTCAGTCGATAGGAGGCTATCCGGACGTTCACAACGAGCCACGACAAATCACCAGTCCAGACTGCTCGAGGTTTCCCCCACTGTCTACAAGATCATAGGTATTTCAATCCGGCAACACTCATTCGACTGCTCGGCCATTTCCGTCTGTGTGGCTCTCCAAAGAAGGAGAAATACCCAGGGAGATTCTGAGGTAGACAGTCGGCAGTTGGCTGTATATGGAAGCACATCCTTACTACCAGCTACGCAGTCCCCCAGGGTCATCAATCGGCATCCATTGTCGACGCAGAATTCCACGTTAAACATATCTGCCGTCGCCACAGGATCCTTGTCAGGCCAGTCCAGGTCCCCAACCCGCAACACAACATGATAGGAGATCACTCGGGCAGAGATCGTGGGGCTTACGAGACCTCCCTACATGTGGGGCATTTGTTGTTTCGTCAATGTACGGGGAGAGGCCGTCCAGCGTCGATGTCTGAGAGCGAGGCTTGTCCATCGTGGAGCGGCGATGTGAAGGTCTTATGTGCAATCAAAAGGGCCAGTGGTGGGAATCAGGAGTGGGTGGCTACACGACATCAGGCTTCATTTTAAGTCAACAACGCGGAATTCCAGGATCAATCGCGAGATAACCATATTATAATGACGACCAAAGTGACTGAGGAGACGGCGTCAACGCAGTCTGCTGTTGTCCTTGTCTGGAACGTCCTGAACACGCATCCCTTTCTTCTACTTTTCGTTCTTCTGTCTGTTCGACCGCTGTACAACTGTTACTCGTCACCGTTGAGACAGTTTCCAGGCCCATTTATCGCCTCATGCACGAGATTTTGGAAAGGTCGGTCCCGAAGCGATACGTTGATCATACGTTCTGCCATGGCTAACGTCAGGTCATAGTTTGGAGTGTCTGGACTGGAAAGAATGAGCAACATCATATTGCTCTTCACCAAAAATATGGTAAACTCTGCTTGAACCATGTCTCGTTCCTATCATAGCACCAGGCTGACACTGTCTTCAGGACCGGTAGTAAGAGTTGCGCCAAACGAGGTGTCGTTTTCGTCGCCAGATGCTGCTATCGAATTGTTCAAGACAGGGAAAGGGTTCCACAAGACCGACTTCTATGGTGTTTTTCCGCCGCCTGAGAACCCCGACATCTTCACTGAGACCCGCGAGTCTGTTCATGGCATCAAGAAGCGATACGCTGCCACCCCTTACAGCATGGCTTCGATGATGCAATCCACGCCGCGCATTGAGGAGACGGAGAACCTTTTGATCTCGAGACTGGACGGATTCGCCGACGGTAAGACAGTGTGTGATCTGGGAGACTGGCTGCATTTCTTTGCGTTCGATGTGAGTCGAATGCAGTTCTGACTTATGGCTGGGCATCTAGAAGAATACTTACGACGGATCTGCAGGTCCTGGGCGAAGTGGCCTTCTCGAAGAAATTCGGCTTCCTCGAAGCAGGGCTGGACGTGGATGGAGCCATCAAGACGATAGACGATTCGCAATGGTACAACGGCATCGTCGGTCAAGTGCCATGGATGGACCATCTCCTCCGACGAAATCCGCTCTGGCAATTAATCCCATTTCTCTCGACGAAGAACGCACTGGTCACCCGAACGGCCCTGGGGCAGCTGGAGAAACGCAACAATCCGCAGGGCGAGAAAGTCGAGTATCGCGATCTGCTGAATAGTCTGATCGAGTCCCAACGTCAACATCCCGATGCGCTAGGACTCGGAGATGTGTTTGCGATCGCCCACGGTGCCATTTTCGCCGGCAGCGATAGCACAGCGAGCACCATGCAGAGCTTCTGCTGGTATGTGCTCTCCAACCGACGTGTCTATGACAAGTTGGCCAAGGAGATTCTATCGGCCGAGTCTGATCTGTCGGAAATGGTGGCGTACAACGAGGCACAAACCCTGCCGTACTTCCAGGCCTGTCTGAAGGAAGCCATGAGAATCGCTCCCGCAGTCGCACTGAACATTACGAGAAAAGTGCCGCCCGGCGGAGCCGAGATCAATGGCGTCAAACTCCCCGCCGGCACGGCCGTCGCGGTCAATGGCTGGGTGTTACACCGGAATCAAAATGTGTTTGGACAGGATGCTGACGTCTATCGACCGGAGAGGTGGCTGGAAGGAGACAAAGAGAAGATCAAGATGATGGACAGATGCATGTTCCAGGTGAGTGAGTCATGAAGCTCTTGAGGCTGAACATCCGGATGGGATGTCCATCGCCGCAGGGTGGGAATCGTTTGTGTGTGTGCTGTACGGTGCTAACATTGGAGTCTTTTTTGAGGATGAACAGTTCGGCGGCGGCTCCCACGTCTGCATTGGTCGACACCTGGCCCTGCTCGAAATGAATAAAGTCCTGCCCCAGATCTTCCGCCGCTACGATATGAGACTCGTCAACCCCAAAAAGCCGCTCGACCACCATTCCAGCTTCTTCGTCGTGCAGTGGGGGCTGTTGGTCTATTTGAAGCTGAGAGACACGGCGTAAACACCGAGATCGTGGAATATTGATCACTATCCTGGGCTGGGGCAGCGGTCGTGCGGTGGAGCGGTCGTGGGCTTCTGGGAAGGAAGATGCTGGTTTTGTCGTTTTGGACACGCTGTGCAAGGCAGAGAGCCATGAGGAGGAATGTCATCGCTTTAGTTCGAATCTCAATGGTGACGGTCGCCGGGTCCCGCGGGTTGTCTCATGGCCTGCAGAGATATGCGCATCACTTTCCATGATGGACGTTACACTAGGTACGGAAGAGAGTCGGAAACAGAAAGGAAGGAGGAAGTTATTTATTGCCGCCGACGCTGCACGATACCTACGATGCCTAAGGAGTTTACAACCGAACAGTGGCTGATACAGCCCAATCCATTCCAATCCAATCCCAAGATTCCTGATATACCTATACCTCTACTTATAGAGTAGAAGTGAATCCAATGGGGAATCCAGAACCGAGCACCTTGTGTCAGATTGGCATAGAGCATAGTACCTAGTCCTCCGAGTGTATCTTACATGAAGCGAAGGAGCACAAGACAAGACAAGAGACGAGATAAAACATGACATGACGGGGCTGGGAAATGCTGATGGTAATGCTGATGCTGATGGGCACTGAACATACTGATTACTATATAAGTCTGGCCCATGTCATCCACCTTTTCTATCCAAGGCACCTCAGTCAAGGCAGTTCAGCTACCTTCCACCGTGGCTAATCCCTTGTCTTGCCTCTCTATCTCTGTATCGGTGTCTGTGATGGCACTGCCTTTTCAATACCAATACCATCCCATCACCTGCTCTCCAGTACACCTTAACTGGAAGATTGGAGACCAGCTTTTCACCTTTCCAACATCCCAGCAATTGCCGGGCTGAACTCCATTGGAATAGTAACATCGCACCAGAAGCATGAAGAGTAGGACTTCTGTTGCCCACCAAACCATGTAGAATCCTTTCGCACCACCATCCTGGCGGTGTACCCAAGCCTCCATTACCTGCATGTACTAGAAGACAATGATAATATTAGGAGTAGTAATAAGCTGATGTTCTTTTCGTCGTCGTCATAAACGCCGGTCGGGTAACTCCCGAAGAGGAGGGTCCAACGATAGAATGGTCATGTCTCGCAAAAAAGGTCGAGAATAGTAGTTTTTTTGGTGGAAAGTACCAGCGCAGTCATGAAATAAAGACGTGCGCCCGGCCAATCCAGTGCTGGCCTGGATTGATAGAATGGTCGTCAACAGTAATAATGGGGCTTATGGTGTTCCGACTGTAGGAAGAGGGATGTCGGGACATTGGGTCATTTTGATGTAGGTGGTAAAACACGGAGGGTGAAATAATGGGGTCATGAATCAAATCGTGACCACGAAGGTCGAGATCATCAATGCAGCCACGCTGACAAAAAAAGACCACGGTTGGTGACTGACGGATGAGGCGCCACTGGTGCTGCTCGATGAACTGCTAGCTGCGGAAGACGACGCAGTCGGGGAAGAGACAGATGTGGTGGTCGACGAGCCCTTGTGCGAGGTGCGGCTTGAATCGGTGGAGTTGTTGGAGCTGGTGTGAGCGACGAGGGGGATCACTTTGTTATGATATGCGCGGATCAAGGTGCTCGCCTGTTCGGCCAGGCCGTACGTCGAAGCCATCAAGTGAGCAGAGAAGGCGATAGGTGGCACACTGGCGTCGGCGACACGCACGTTGGCTAGCCCGTAGACTCGAAGGTTGGCGTCTACCACGCCGCCTTGATCCAAGGGAAGCATGGCGCAGGTCGAGGAGGGGTGGAACTCGGTGAAGACACCGCCGCGCATCCAATCTTCCCATTGCTCGTCGGTTTGGACGTCGGAGCCGGGCCAGGTCTCTCCTGTCATCTCGCTACTCAAGGGCTCAGCCTCGCCGATGCGCCGCGCAAGTTTGATGCCCTCGCGGAGGATCTGGATGTCTGTGGAACTTGGGTCAGCCACCGAAGTAATCTCAACAGAGTCAAGGTATGGGGACGTACCAGCGGGATGAGTCAGATACTTAGGGTCGATGACAGGGTAGTCCAGGGGATTGGATGAGTTGATGGTGATCGTGCCATGGCTGAAAGGGTGCTGTAGAGCGGCGCCGATGCGAATGGCGCCATCGACGTTGTTGCCGATGAGCAATTCGACCAGACCCGTAGGGCTGTCGACAATGTCGTTGGCGGTCGTGTCGTAGATGGCCTTGTAGCCGGCCACAACTCCAGTGTCCGAGCTTGCGCTTTGGGCATATTGATCGAATTGGCCCAGGATATTGGTTTTGAGATCGCCCGCAGCGTTGCCGAAGAGCACGGACGCGTTGACATACGCTACAGCCGAGTTGACGTACGAGAGGAAGATCGGGTCCGTCTAGAGGAAAAAATCAGCATCCAATCAAATGGTATCCTGGAATCGGGGGATCTGACCGTCTCCGTGCCATTCTCGGCGTACACAGACCCTGAGGTAGGCTGGTCGGTGCTCCATTGCACGGTGACGCTCTTAAAATTAATAGTCAGCAATACGAACACATCATGATTGTTCGAATTCTGCTCACCACATGATCTTGTAGATGCTGGCCAACACCAGGCAGCTCGGCCACGACTTCCACTCCCGCAGCATCAAGGACATCTTTAGGCCCGACGCCGCTGTACATGAGCACGGTCGGACTGCCGATGGTACCGCCGGCCAGGATGACCTCTTTCTTGACCCCAACGGTCAACTTGGTTGCGCCGCCGTCGCGTGTGTATTCGACGCCGCTGGCTGTCAGGTTGCCTGTGGGGGAGGACGAGTTGAAGACGAGTCGGGTGACATACGCATTGGCAAGCACATCGTAGTTGGCACGAGGCGGGAGAGGATCGAGATATCCAGAACGGCTGTATGATCTTGTCCAGTTGGTCGGGTTGATGGAGGACGTTGCAACATAGGCGCCCCAGTTCTTCCCGCCGTAGGCATCACTGGTTACGGCCACGCCGACGCTCTCTGCAGCAGTGGACCACTGGCCAACATAGGGAAAAGTGCTGAGGCGCCAGTTAGCCACAATGTAAAATGGGACGGAAGGTATTCCACGTACTAGGCAGGCCACGTCGTGTGAATAGGGCCGTTGGTTCCGTGACTCGAGGAGTCCCATGTGATGGCATCTTCCTGGACAACTGCGTCCACTGGAGGACTGAAAGCCTCGCTCTTTTTCATGGCGGCGTAGAACGAGTCCCAGGACCAGTTCTCGGCGCCGTCCATATCGCCCACCAAGTCCTGCCAGGCATCAAGCTCGATCTCGCCCGGTCGGTTCATGTATAGTCCGTTTATGGCGGAACTGCCTGTTATCGTATCGTGTCAGCACGCCCCTTGAGCGCCGGACGGGGAAGAATGGCTACGAACCTCCAAGCACCTTCCCTCGAGGCCATTCGCATTCAGTGTTGTTCGCGCCAGGTTGAGGGACGGTATAGAAATCCCAATTCAGATCTGTTGGCCAGAGAGACTTGTAGTATGCATTTCCGGGAACATCTGTACCATTGTTAGACACCGAAAGAGATTTGCAACCCGAGAGTCTGTCGGGCGCCTACCTATTTGATCTTGATATTCGGCTCCCGTGCCGCCTGCCTCAAGGACAAGCACTGTATGGTTCGAGTCTTCTGACAGACGGGCGCCGAGAACAAGGCCCGCTAAGCCTCCTCCCACAACGACAAAGTCATAGTCGTCGGAAATGTCGTCGACTACGTTTCGTGCCGAAAGTCGATGCGGTTCTGCCTCTGCCCAGGTGTGTGCTCGGGGAGCAGCGAGTGTTCGCTCTGCCAAAGCGACAACTGCCGCGGCAGCCAATAAGTCGCGTCGCATAATGTGTCGAGTGTCAGAAGGGACACAGGGGGCGCAAACTGCAAAAGGGTGTATGAAGCAAGAATGCAGTATTAGTCTATATACAACGTGTAAGAGAAAAAATCAAGAGCGACATAATCGGCTCCAGGTAGTTAGATATATTGCTACATGGGAGCCTCTCCACGTTCCACGCGTCCTCGGCCAAACCTTGAGTCAAGGCAAGACTGATCGCCGAGGAACATATGGATTTGAGTTACCCGCTGTTCGAAGCGTGGATAACCCATGATAGCAATATCGTTTAGATAGTGTTTCGTGCGCTGGAGTCAGGGGTCTTGTCCAGGGCTGATCCCTGATCTCGTCGCCTGATTGGCGCCCGGGGGAGCATGAGGCTCTACCAACTGGAGCAAGGTGTAAGCCACAGTGGACCGTGCTGTGGAGGTAACAATCTTATTATGGAGACGTGTCTCTCTTTCTCTGCCGAAACACCGAAGGGCAAAACATGACAGGACATCATTGTTGGACGGGGTACGGAGAATCGAGGTTCCAGAAAGACCCTGTCATAGCTCCTTGTGTGGATGGCTGGGACGAGTGACCTGGTTTGAAGACGTCCGGCGGTTCGTTTTGTATAAACCGGCTGGCCAGCAAGAGTCGACATCACAAAAAGCTGGATGTCGAGTGATATAGCCGGGAAGACGCCAGCCGTCCCCTAGTACCAGCCTCTCAGAGCTAATCGCAGTCTGGCATTGTTGTGGTGTGCAGCACTTGACTCTGTACCTGCAGGCATCTTGTGCAGTGGTTCGTGTTTAACTTTCGCTGTCTCGCTTGCGGCCCGCCAGCTTCAGCTGCCATTGGGCTTCTGCTGTGACTGTTGTGCAGGGTGGGAACCGTAAATTGACAAGAATAAACTGGCATTTCCGACGAACAGTCAAGCTTTGATTCTGCCTGCATAGGCCTTGGTGTTGGAGAGGTTGGAGATTAGGATGGTTGAGTTCCATGGTTGCAGGCCAGCAGGTTTTGCTGAGAATCGAACCTGCAAGATTCTAGCTTACCTTAGGTACCTACAGAGAAGGTGGCTTTTCTTAGTAAGCGGCTGGGCAGAGTGGCACGTGACCGAGGCCAACACGTGATATACAAAGTCACGGGATCTGCCAAGTTCGGTCCTTGCAATCACGTGCCCTTCGGCGCCATTCGACTGCCAGTGCGCGAACCCGTGGACCAGTGCATGGAATCTTCATATCTGCTTCTAGAGTTCTACCTAAAGTACAACATAGCAGTCAAGATTCGGTTGCTTGGATGGTTCGGTAGACGTCGTCCACTCTTTCCGGCGTTGGCATAATCTAATCCGCCATGGCGACTACAACGCAAAATCCCCCCAGCTCTACGTATGTCTGACAGCCCCCCCTCCTCATACTGTGTATGATGGTTGACGAACTAACACTTTCGCCAGGGTATATGTCAAGAACCTTGAAGAACGCATAAAGATCGACCAGCTCAAGGAAGCCCTCACCGAGATCTTCTCCGAATATGGCAACATCATTGACCTAGTGGCCAAGAAGAACCTCAAGGCCAAAGGGCAGGCGTTCATTGTTTTTGAATCACCCGACGATGCGGCCAAAGCCATTGAGGAAGTCAACGGCTTTGAGCTTTTCGACAAGCCGATGCAGCTGGACTTTGCGCGCACCCGGTCTGACGCTACTGTACGAAAAGAGGAAGGCGATCAAGGCCTGGAAAAGTGGAAGCGAGCGCGTTTGGCGGAGAAAGAGCGGAAACAAGCTCTTGAGGCCACACAACAGAAACTAAAGAGACCTGCGCCCGCCACAGGCGCCCAGGAAGGAGCTGGTCTCACCGCTCGGCCTGTGAAGGCGGTCAAGGGCGCCGGCCTCAAGCCTTCGGGCGCGAATGCGGCCGCCATCATCCCTGACGAATATCTACCCCCGAATAAGATTTTGTTTATCAGGGATTTGCCGGACAGCTACGATGCCGATGGGTTGTCGAGGATATTTAGCCGATTTGAAGGCTTCAAAGAGGTCAGAATGGTGCCGGGAAGAAAGGGGATCGCATTCGTCGAGTACGAGTCCGAAGCCGGTGCTATCAGCGCGAAAGAGGCCACGGCCGGAATGCAGCTTGGGGATGAAGGTAAAGGGATCAGGGTCACGTATCAACGAGCATGAGATGTTTTTTCTATTCATGAGAGAACTGGTAATCGTGCAGTACAGTGGAAGGGTGCCAAAAGTAAGGTTGTTTCCTTGGGGGATAGTGGTTGTGTTACTATGACACTTGATACCCATGCATGAATAGCGGGTTTTGGCGTTGACGGGACATTGTACAGCACTGCAGAAGGCCACAGCGGCTGTCTTAAAAGATGACATCCTCATCCTCTTGTTCGCCCAGCACGTCTTTCGTCTCGACATCATTCTCCTTATCGCTTACACCCTTGGCCTTGTCTTTCTCTCTTTGATTTTGCATCTCTGCGTCGGCTGCTGCTTGATCCCTTTGTTTCTTGCCCGAAACCTTCTTCAGTCGGTAGAATTCTTCTCGGTCAAGTTCGTCGAGTTCGGAGTTGATGTCTAGGGATCGTGAGCTCTTGCTCTGTGGCAGTGGTTTTCTTTGACTTACATTTGATAGTGTTCTCGGTTCGTGGGATGATGACATGTTCAATGGCATTGACTAGAGACGTCAGTTCCGAGTTCGAAAGGCAGACAACCAGGTAACATACCTCGCCTGTTAACAACCTTGATAACCTCGTCCAGAATCGTGAATGCTGTCTGCAAACTGGCCAGCTCGACCAGCGTTTCCACGGCTCGACTGTATGTTTCTCGGCATCTCTGCACCTGCTGACCTCCTTTGCCGAGACCAGTCAAGCCGAAGTCGTTGATCTCGTCAATCGTGTATCCCTCAAACTGGGGTAGATAGACACCCGAAACGTTCTCCTGCTTGGTCCTGATTCGGAACCGGGCCGTCTTGACAGACTCTTGGATCTGATACTGAATGTCTCCACCCACAGCATAAGTCACCTCAGCCAGGGAGAATGCAGCAATTTGCATCACCCGGCCCATTTTCCGCTTCGCCTCATCGATTCGTTTCAGGATCTCTGCATTCTCTTAGTACGGTGGTCATTGTAGGAAAGCACACGTCATGCAAACCTCGAAATCGTCTGTCACAATATTAGCATAACACTCCCACAGAACAGGATAGACACATACTTTGTCAAGGCCTCGCTTTTCCTCTTGAGCAAACTGTGACCGGTCTGAGCACCCTTGAGTTTCAGGTTCATCTGACCCAACGCCTGTCGCGTGGGAAAGACGGCCTCCCGCTGTTGAATTCGTCAGTGGAGCTCATTCAGAGAGATTCGTCTGTGCATACCCCTGCTCCTGCAGACATGATTCAAAGAACGTCTTTGCGACGTCGTGTATCACTGATTTGGCAGTACAGTCGAAGGAAGGTGGTGGAATAGTAGCTCAATGTCACAAGCTTGACGTAGTAGACATGCAAGGCTGCGACTGCGATTGCGACTGGAACTGGATGCTGATAGGACGGGAACCCCGCTAAAACTCTAGTGCGTGCTCGGCGGAGCTGCCTATCTCAAACTGCGCCTAATTTTACGCGGTTCACGAACTTCTACACGGACACAGAGTGCAGAGATATATCTTTCAGCAGCAGCAAGTCAAGTCGACAATGCCTGGGATCATACGCCAGCCGTCTCCCCAGTCGGCTGTCCCCATGGATGCCTCAGCGGTCGGCAAACCCGACTTTTACCTCATCGCCAACGAAGATGCCGTCTACGAACAGGATATCTTCCGCAACCCGGAAAGTGTTCGACCATGGCTGGTTTACATCGACTACAAGATGCGCAATGGCACCATCCACGAGCAAGCATTCGTGCAAGAGAGGGCATGCATACAACTACCGCGGTCATACAAGCTTTGGAAGATGTACCTCGACTTTCGGATCAAGCATCTGAAGAAGAAGAACCCGGTGAAATACAGGGCAGAATATAACAAGGTCAATGCGCTCTTCGAAAGAGCGCTGGTTTTGCTCAACAAAATGCCTGTGATCTGGGAGATGTACCTCTCATTCCTCCTGCGACAGCCCTATGTCACGAGAACCCGACGGACGTTCGACCGCGCGTTGAGAGCCTTGCCAGTGACACAGCACAACCGGATCTGGAAGCTCTACAAATCATTTGCCAATTCTGCGGGAGGCGAAACCGCGGTCAAGATCTGGGCTCGCTATGTCCAGGCACACCCGGAAGATATGGAAGATTATATCGATCTGTTAGTTGAGACCGGGCATTACCTGGAGGCCGTGAAACGGTACATCCAAATCCTGGACAACCCTAGATTCCGGTCCAAGCACGTCAAAAGCGAGTTTCAGATTTGGAGCGAGATGGTGGAGTTGATGGTGAACAAGGCCAGAGAGATTGGCGACAGTTCGGTGTCTGGATTTGATCCCGACACCATCATCCGGAGTGGGATAGAACGGTTTGCCGATCAGCGCGGAAAGCTGTGGGCGGGCCTCGCAACGTACTGGATTACTCGAGGAGACTTTGAAAAGGCCAGAGACGTGTTTGAGGAGGGCATTACCAGCGTTATGACAGTGCGCGATTTTACCATGGTCTTTGATGCTTACGTGGAGTTCGAAGAGTCCGTCATCTCCACTCTGATGGATGCCGCCTCCGCCCGAGCCGGGAAGGGGATCGTCGACGCGGAAAAGGACTTTGACCTCGACATGAGAATGATGCGATTCGAGCATTTGATGGACCGACGTCCATTCCTCGTCAACGATGTTTTGTTACGGCAGAATCCGAACAATGTAGTTGAATGGGAAAAAAGGGTTGCTCTTTGGAACGACAACAAAGAGGAAGTAGTGCAGACTTACACGGACGCCATCGCAGCCATTTCGCCTAAGAAGGCCGTCGGGAAGTTCCACGAGTTATGGTTGAACTACGCCAAGTTCTACGAAGAAGAGGGTGATCTCGACACAGCGCGCATCATTCTCGACAAGGCGGTCAAAGTCCCCTATAAGTCAGTGGCCGAATTGGCAGATACCTGGATCGGCTGGGCCGAAATGGAACTTCGAAACGAGAACTTCGACGGCGCAATGAAAGTCATGGCCACGGCCACAAAGGCACCTAAACGCAGCACGGTCGACTACTTCGACGAGACGTTGTCTCCGCAACAAAGGGTGCACAAATCCTGGAAGGTATGGTCGTTCTACGTTGACCTTGTCGAGTCGGTCGGCTCCCTGGACGAGACACGAGCCGTCTACGACCGGATATTCGAGCTTCGGATAGCAACGCCCCAGACCATCGTGAACTACGCCAACCTCCTCGAAGAGCACGGCTACTACGAAGAGTCGTTCAAGGTGTACGAAAGAGGCTTGGACGTGTTCACATACCCGGTCGCCTTCGAGCTATGGAACCTCTACCTCACAAAAGCCGTGAACCGTAAACTCGGCATGGAGCGGCTCCGCGACCTATTCGAACAAGCGTTGGAGAACTGTCCACCACAATTCGCCAAGCATATCTACCTCATGTACGGCGATCTAGAGGAAGAACGCGGTCTGGCCCGCTCAGCCATGCGCATCTACGAACGCGCCACGCGCGCCGTGTCCGACGAGGACCGTCTAGGCATGTTCGAGTTCTACATCACCAAATCGGCATCGAATTTCGGCCTGACTTCCACACGTCCGATCTACGAGCGCGCCATTGCCGCCCTGCCGGACAAGGAAGCCAAGATCATGTGTTTGAAGTTTTCCGAGATGGAACGCCGTCTGGGCGAGATCGATCGCGCGCGAGCCATCTACGGCCACGCGAGCCAGTTCGCCGACCCGCGCGTCGACAAGGACTTCTGGGACACGTGGGAGAAGTTCGAGGTCGCGCACGGTAACGAGGACACGTTCAAGGAAATGCTGCGCATCAAGCGCAGCGTCTCAGCCCAGTTCAATACCGACGTCCAGTTCATTGCTAGCCAGGCTGTCAAGAGGAGTCAGGAAACTGCCGCTGCGGGTGCGGGTGTTGGTGCTGCGAATGGTGATACTGGCATTGCCACGGATGGAGACGATGCTGGGAATGGCGGCGGCAAAATCAACGATGCGATGGCCACGCTAGAACGCCAGGCCCGTGCGCCTGTCGGCTTTGTCCCTGCTAGTACGGGACCTGAGGGTGGGAATAGAGCACCGCCCAAGGGTGGTGACGGTGCCAGCGGCGGTGTCGACGGTGCTACGGGAGGAAAAGGGGGAGCTGTGGCAGCGAATCCGGATGCCATTGATGTGGACATTGACGATGATGATTAATTAAATGATATGCTGTGGGATCTTGTCCTGAATGGACAAAACAAAATGTGATGTGATACTTGGTTTTATATTGCTGCTGCTACTGCTGCTGTAGAGGTGGCTGTTGCCGTTGACTGCCTCGGATTGTGGTATTCATACCGTTTTGGTTTTCATACGATCCCGACCTGGTTCTGGTTCTGGTTCTGCTCTCTCATGCTCCTGCTCCTGCATCTGGCGACTCGCTCAGACCTTTATGGACGAATGATATGTTAGGCCCGGCACTGAGAAAGGCTCTTTATGTTCTCTTTCCTGTTGGGTCAGATGTCAATCTGGATCATGATAGCATGGGCTGTGTCCCAACAGTCCTGACTCCAATGTGACCATAGTACATGGGACAAGAATGAAGGACCAAGAATGAAGGACCAAGAATGAAGGACCAAGAATGAAGGACCGAGAATGAAGGACAAGAAGAAGAATGACTGGATCTAGAAGGACGCCTTGTTCTGTAGGCAACGAGTCTTCTCCTTGGTATATGTATGTATATGTATATATTTATATTATACATGTTAGTAAATGAAAGTACGGGTATCGGCTGTGTCGATATTACTTGATAGGCTGATTTCCATGCTGTTCATGTAACTGAACGCCTTCTGGGATGTCTACCAGAAGAACAATGGCAGCTCTTCCTCATGGCTCGTCCTTATAAAAAAGGGATGGAATATGTGTATAGGTGTATATTGTCTACATCTCATACAACGCACACTTATATGTATGTATGTATGTTTGTATGTATGTACATCGAAGTTACGGGACTGTGGAAGATGTACATGTACCCAAGGTAGGGAGGTAGTGAATCATGCAAGGTTTGAAGGACCCAGCTCCATTCCATTTTATTTATTCCCACCCAGCTTTTCCCTATGCAATCCACCTACATACCGAGTATAGTCCTACAAGAGCGGTCTATACCATCTCTTGCCTGTCTTGGCTGGTACCGATGAACCCGGTGAATGCAAAGCTAGACAATTCAAGGTACAGATGAATATACACCCTCTTATTTCGGATAATCCTTCACATGGAAACTCTTCAACTTGACGAACTGATCGAAGCCGAACCGACTAAGCGTGACACCCTTTCCGGAATCCTTCCAGCCAGTCCACGCGAGGTCGGGACTGGGGTAATCGGCGCGGTTGACAAAGACCGTTCCGGCCTCGACACGACGGCTGAGCTCCTCTCCCGTGGCGACGTCCTTGGTCCAAATGGACGCGGTCAATCCGAACTGCGAATCATTCATCAACGCCACAGCCTCGTCGTCGCCACCGACTTTCTGCACAGGGATGACGGGACCGAACGTCTCGTCGCGCATCACCGACATGCTGTGATTGACGTTGGTCAAGAGCACGGGGGCCACGAAGTTGCCCTCGGCCGGCAGGGACGAGAAGGTGGCGTTTTCGGGAGTCTCGTCGACGGCGCCGGCGGCTTTGGCCTCGGCGATTTGTTTGAGGATGGCGTCTTTGGAGCGCGCGGAGACAACGGGGCCGATATGTGTCGACTTGTCCATCGGGTCGCCGAGGCGGTAGTTTGCCAGCACCTTCTTCACTTCCTGCACGAACGAGTCGTAGATGTCGGCGTGGACGTATACGCGCTCGACGGAGCAGCACGATTGCCCGGAGTTGAAGATGGCTCCGTCGACGATCTCTTCGGCGGCCCATGCAGCGTCGACGTCCGGGCGGATGTAGGCTGGGTCTTTGCCGCCGAGCTCGAGGCCTACGGAACAGGATACTCGGGACGAGGCGATGGATTGGATGGCAATGCCTGCCGCAACGGAACCCGTGAAGCAGATGTGGTTGACGTCGGGCGACAGAATCAACGGGCGCAGATCCGTCGGGTTGCCGCAGTGCAGGTATTGGATGACGTGCGACGGGAGGCCGGCGGCGGTGAAGATGTCCACGATGTGTTCGGCGATGGTGGGGGTTTGCGGCGATGGCTTGAGAATCACCGCGTTGCCCGCCAGCAGCGCCGGAATCAGACTGTTCACCAGGATCAGGTAGGGATAGTTCCACGCGAAGATGACCAGCACCGCGCCGACCGGCTCTTTGCGCAGGTATCGCTTGAACCCGGCCTCGGGTTCGCCTGGAATGTCTTTGCCCAGTACCTCGGGTGCGATCTTGTTCAGGTATTCGGCGCGCTTGACCGCCGTGCTGATTTCTTTGCCTGTGTATGCGATCGGCCGCCCCATCTGTTCGGTGATTTCCCGTGCCAGCTCATCTTGTCTCTGCGCCAGGATCTCCAGTGCCTTGCTCACTATCTTCTGTCTGCTTTCGAGTGTGGGATGCGATTTGCCATACGATTTGAAAGCTTGCTGCGCGGTGGTCCCCAGTCGGAGGATCTCGTCTGGAGATAGGCCATGGCGGGTGAGGACAGGCTTGTTGGTGGTGGGCGAGATGGTGGTGATGATTTCGGCAACCATCGTAGCGGAACACGGGGTCGATGATAAGGAGTCTGACTAGGAGGTACAGGGCAAACGAGCATGAGGAGAGCAGTAGAGTAGGAGAGAGGAGAGTAGAGTAGAAAGCAGCAATGTCAAATGAAGGGCCGTCAAGGCGATATCGCTCCGACGGCGACGTACTTTTGGGTGTTCCGTCGGCCATTGTCCCGCAATTGATCTTTTGGGGAAAGAATGCCGCACGAGGCTCGGCCGAACGCGCTCAGCCTCGTCCGCCTCGACTTTCCCCTTTGAGTAACCAGTGCTTGTAACAGTCAATTTGAAGGCTTTAAGTTAGGGTTCATCCATACTGGACTACAACACGAGATATTCTGATGCACAGAATATGCCCACAGTCTATGTGGCTTGTGGCATCCGCCAGCAAACAGGCTCCGCCATACCTGGTCGCTCCATCATTTGGGTCTTCAACACTCATCAAGGGCGCCAGTGCATATCATTGCTCCCTAGCGACACCATTCTCCTTGCAAATCTTGACCAAGTCTGACAGGGAGAAATATTCCTTCCGGATCTCTGCAGCATGTCGGTCATGAACCACTCGGCCGTGACGTGCAGAACATGGCGTAAGTTCCGGAACCGCGGACCTGTTTCTTCTCTGGGTACGCCCAGGTCTGCCTGATCCTGACTCCCTTTGCGGCTTTGCGCCTGCTGTGGGATGGTTACGAGATGCAGGAGTACCCCTTCTTCAGTAGACTCTTCAATGTCCATGGCCGTCATCTTCTCGTTGCTCGGGCGGGTCCAGCTTGATCAGAGTGTCTATTCTCATAATGGCGATGCAGGCCTCAACGGCACTCTTGAGCTGTTTGACCTTGCTCATGCTCGGCTCCAACACGCCCAGCTTGACCACGTCCGCAACTTTGCCTCTGGTCAGATCAAGACCATAGTTTTTGTATTGTTTCTTCTTCGCGAGGTCCTTCTCTCTCTCGTTGGCATCTCCTTCCTGGACCCGCTGGCTCAGAGCATGCCGAACGCGCAGCTGCGCCACCAACTCCGATGCATCTTTGGCCGCATTGACCGCGAGCGTTTTTGGAACAATAAGTAGAGACTGCGAAAACTCTCCAATTGCAAGCTGTTCTCGGGACGATACCGTCATGGCGAACTCCTCGAGGTAAATGTGCAACGCCGTCTCAACCGCACCACCTCCGGGAACGATGCTGCCTGACTCGAGGGTTCGCTTGACTGCTGACAATGAATCGTGTACTGACCGCTCCATCTCGTCGAGTTGATAGTCGTTTGATCCTCGGAGAATGATGGAGGCGGAGGAGAAGGCTTTCGTCCCCTTGATCAGAATGCATTCGTCGTCGGATATCCGTTCCTGCACCACTTCGTCGGCGTGACCAAGGAATTCCTTCTCGAATTTCTCGTCTCCGTTCATGTCGGAGAGTGTGCTGATCAAGGTCGCGCCAGTGGCTTTTGCTATCCGTCGAAGGTCTTCCTTCTTGCATCTCCGCACGCCCATGCAACCTCGCTCCACGAACAACTTGAGAACAAGATCATCGATGCCTTTGGTGGTCAAGACAACGTTCGCTCCAGACTTGAAGATCATTTCAATTCGATCCAACACAATTCCAGCTTCTCTTTCCCGGATCTTCTCCAGCTGGTCCGGGTCCTCGACCGTGATCTGCACACCAAGCTTCATGCGTTCCTTTTGCAAGTTGATGTCGAGGCAAGCAATCTTTGCGTCCGTGATTCTTGTCTTCATGGCTTGTGATGCAACTGTACAGTTCAACGCATATCCCTTGACCAGTATTGACTCCAGGGCGCTCTTTCCGTGTGCTTTTAGAATATTGACAGCCTTGACAGGGTATTTCACCTCATTTCGTTGAGAGTTGACGGACTTGACGGACTGCATGGCATCGACCACCATATTGGCAAAGAAATCTGCATCTGAACCAATAATCTTGCTAGACATAGAAGTCTTTGCAATGTTCACCAGGCTTTCCCTCCCCAGAGTTTCCACTTTTGTGCTGATGTTTTCCTGCATGTATTTGACAGCCTCCCGTAGAGCCAGACGGTAACCCGTGATTATGACCGTCGGATGGATCCGGTTCTTCATCAGTTCGTTCCCCCGGCGTAGTAGCTCTGCGGCAATGAGTACAACGGATGTAGTGCCATCTCCGACTTCCTTGTCCTGTTGATGCGCAAGATCGACCAAAATCTTTCCGGCCGGATGCTCGACGTCGAGCAGACTCAAAATCGTAGCGCCATCGTTTGTCACTGTAACATCTCCGATATCGTCCACCATCATCTTATCCAGACCAGAAGGACCGAAGGAGGATTTCACCACATTTGCGATGGCCTGGGTTGCGAGGACATTTTGCTCTCGAATGTCCGAGCCGCTGATTTTCTGACCTCCGAGGAATAGGGTACCCGCATTGCGCGGAGCTGAAAGCATGCCGGCCATCGATGGTCAGCCTTCCGTGGATTTGTATGAAATACTAAACAGTCTCTTAGTTCGTAGAGTTGGGAAGTCGAGACAGGTTGGAAGTGTATGAAATAGTAGGCACTGCACTCGCACCGCAGCGAAAATCGACACTACTATCAGTCCTTGGTATTGACTTGCACCCGGCGAATCGCGCCAAGCCCCAGCATCGCGGGGCGGTCTGATTGTCTGCGCAAGTCACACACTGAGTCAACGATCAGCCACTGTTGGCATTCTTGTCCCTTACTACTACTACCGTGAAGGCTCCTTAAGGCGCTGGAGAGAAATTTGGTGTGACTCAGTCGCGCCCTACATCTACCACCCGGTGTCCCAGGCATAATGTCAGACCCGCAAGAAACCCCCAAGGTCGAGCCGCAGGAAACCCCCAAGGCCGAATTGCCCACCCGTGAGAAAGCACCAAAGACCAAGGCGGAAAAGAAGATGGAGGCCAAGGCTAAGCCTGAGAAACCAATCGGCAAGGCAGAGGCGAAGTTGCCTCAAGGGGGGAAAGGAGGAAAGAAGAAGAAAATGGAGGGAGCCGCCTTGATCGGGATCGACGTGTCCAAGGACGTCGACTTTTCCGAATGGTATCAACAAGTCTTGCTGAAGGGAGACATGCTCGACTACTACGACATTTCCGGATGCTACATTCTCAAACCTGCCTCGCAGTTCATCTGGGATGAGATCCATGCGTGGTTCGATGCCGAGATCAAGAAGATGGGCGTCAAGAACTGTTCGTTCCCCTTGTTTGTATCCGAGGATGTGTTGAACCGCGAAAAGGAGCATATTGAAGGCTTTGCCGCCGAGGTGGCTTGGGTCACCCACGGCGGGAGTACCAAGTTGGAGAAGAAGATCGCCATTCGTCCGACGTCTGAGACCGTCATGTATCCTTACTACGCCAAATGGATCCAAAGCTACCGTGATCTGCCTCTCAAACTCAATCAGTGGAACTCGGTGGTGAGATGGGAATTCAAACATCCTCAACCGTTCCTACGGACTCGAGAGTTCCACTGGCAAGAAGGTCACACGGCGTTTTTGACGGAGCAAGAGGCGGGCAAAGAAGTGCTTCAGATCTTGGACCTGTACGCCACGGTCTACGAACAACTCCTTGCCGTCCCTGTCATCAAGGGCAGAAAGACAGACAAGGAGAGATTCGCTGGAGGGTTGTACACGACTACTGTGGAAGGCTATATTCCAGCCACCGGACGGGGAATTCAGGGAGGTACTTCGCACTGCCTGGGACAGAACTTCAGCAAAATGTTCGGCATCACGGTGCAAGATCCGAATGCAAAGACGGAAGAGGAGAAGAAGAACAACCTATTTGTCTGGCAGAACTCGTGGGGGTTGTCGACCCGTGTCATCGGAGTGATGGTCATGATCCATGGCGACGATCGTGGTCTGGTCCTCCCACCCCGTGTTGTCGAGGTTCAGGTTGTGATTGTGCCGGTCGGAGTGACGGCCAAGATGACGGAGGAGGACAAACAGGCCTTGTACAAGGAGATTGAAGGGCTGAAAGAAGTGCTCAAAGCGGTCAACATTCGAGTCGAGGCTGATTTCCGTGAGGGATATTCTCCAGGCTGGAAATTCAACGACTGGGAGCTGAAAGGTGTTCCACTTCGTCTCGAGTTCGGTCCAGGTGAAAGCAAGGGTCATTTCGTGACAGCTGCCCGACGAGATCTCCCCAAGGAGGAAAGCAAGAGTCAAATCGCCATTACCGAACTGAACACCGCCGTCCCTCAATTGCTGGACACCATTCAGAAGGATCTCTACGATCGCGCCAATGCCAAATACAAGTCGCACATCAAGAAGATTACTGACTGGGAGGAGTTTGTGCCGGCACTGAACGACAAGAACGTGATTCTGTTGCCTCACTGTCTTACGGAGCAATGTGAAGACCAGATCAAAGACATGAGTGCTCGCAAGGCGGAGGAACAGAGCGGTGTGCCACAAGACGAACGGGCTCCCAGCATGGGAGCAAAGAGTCTGTGTATTCCGTTCGACCAGCCAGAAGGCATTGAGAAGGGAGTGACCAAATGCGGGAATCCTTATTGCTCGAATCTGGCAGAGGCATGGTGCATGTTCGGCCGGTCGTACTAGAACAGATAGGATGTGTGGTGACCTAGATCTTCAGGCACTTGATCGAAGGGAGCATGAGTGAAATGATGATGATACCTCAACCATGCACGAAGAGAGCCAGCCACCAGCAGCCAGCACATGTTCCAGCAAAGCCAAGTGTGTCTGTTTCCGATCTCTTCAGGTTGCTTCCAATCTCTTGCTTCCAATGCTTATCGAACCTCGTCCCGATACGAATCACTGTCAACTGCCCGCGGCGTCCCGTAATCCAATGACAAGGAGGCACACCGTCGTCCAGCACTATCAGGCGCTGCTTGGCAGGGGTTTCATGCCTGCGGTGAGCAGGAGCTGATAAGTCGTGGCGGTCTGGATGGTGATACACTTGATGCAGGAGTGGTTGTAGACGGTTGGGCTCGGGGTCGACGATAAGGGAGGGATGGAGAATGCCAGTCATGGGCGTCTGAGGAATCGATACCGAATCGACGCCACCTGAGATCGAGATGTCGATTGGATGAATACAGAGACAGAGTAGATACTCACAGACTCACTTTCTGGCTCGAGCTCGATCTTGGGTCATTTTCACTTTCCAACCAGTGTGAGCAACGCAATGGTCAACGTGCTGCTACTAATCCATTAAATCCTCTAAAACGCGGCGATTGCCCCTCGTCGTCTCCATCAATACGTTGCTCCATCTGTTTCTCCTCCACCACTTTTTGTTTCTTCACTACATACTGTCTTGTTGGTAAACCACCACCGTCAGTCCTGTGCTTCGGCCAGGTGCCAGGTGCCCGGTGCCAGGTCCCATTCTGAATACGATTCCTTTACTTCTCTAGAGTTTGTCTATTTCTCCTTCGAGCCTAACGTCGATTGAAATTTTCCCCTTCCTCCTCTGCCGTCGGCCACTGCATGCCAATGCTGGCTCGACGGCATCTTTTCAGAGATGGGCCGGCACCATCATCTTCCTGAACACCTTTACATTTCTCGAAACCTTGCTCCCCCTGGTCCACCGCAGCCGCCTCCTTACTCTTTGTCCTCTGCTTCTTCTTTCCTTTCCGTCAAGTCTGCGATCTATTATACTTCGTCGGCAGCTTTACTCCACGAGACCAGCCGTACCACTGTGCTCGCAGTAGGCGATCGCATTCCTGGCTTCAAGACCTCTGCTGGTGAGCACGCGACTCAGCCCTTTCGTGCCGTGGTTCGCAAGAAAAGGGTTCAAGCAGACCGAAAGTGTTCTGACAGAATCCTGAACAGCGTTCTTCAACACCCTGCGAGCGAACCTGTTCCTTGATACCGATTCAACTCCTCCTTCCCTTTCCAATACCCCCGATACTCTACGCCCGGTCACCATGTCCTCTTCAAGCCCGCTTCCTCCTCTTTCACCCTCCCCGCTGGCTCAGTCACCAGAATTTCTCCAAGACCATACAGCGCTGGACTCTAGGCAGGGGAGTTCGTTATTGGACTCCATCCCTGAACTGACCACCAAACACGCCATCTCTGAAGACGACAAAGTAGAAGCCTTGCACCTGCTCGCGGATTCCGTGGCCCAACAACGTCAGGTGGCGGCCTCGGCCGTGCTTTTCCACCCTCTGACTCTCTCCACACTGATATTACTTTTCGGCTTGGTTCACCAGAGCCTCTACAAGGGATCAAACTCGGACTATGCAATCATCGGGACGACCTCTGCAGGAATTCTGATGGCTACGCTGATCACCATCCGCTGGATGACCAGCGGGTATATTCAGGAGGCTGAGAAGATCGGGACATGGAAATGGTTGAATCAAGGACGTAACGAAAGTGATTGCAGTGCAGTCGGCGAGGAAGACGAGGTTTTACTGACGTGGTTCGGCGACGAAGTCATTGGCACTTTACTTCTACGTGGGCAGCGTGAGCCTCCTCCGTCAAGCTCGGGTAGTTCGAGTCCGAAGAAATTACGCAAGAATCAACACGTCAAAGGCGTCATTCGCGGCTGGACCGTGAAACGTCGTTACAGACACAAGGGCATTGGCCAGGGTCTGCTGGAGGAAGCGGTGCAACTGTGCCAGCGTAAAGGGTGGAGTGGGCCGGACTTCGCAGACGACCATGCCAACAGTCGCCGCGTTCTTCCGCAAACGTTTCAAGGCGGATTCGCCAAACGAGAACGGCTTGCCCGAGAGATGCTGGAACGAGTCAAAGACGAGGCTGGCCAACCAGTCTCGGGTGGAGGCAGGAAGGGAAAGAGATAGATCAGAAGGCCTGGAATGGCGCCGGGGCTTTTGGGCGAGCTTCTATTGTTGCTTTCTTCCGCCTTGGAGTCAATGGATCTGATGTTTCTACGGCATACAAGTGTACAGACACCCGGTACGGAGAGGTATGGCTGTTTTCTAGGACCGATGATACCACCATAGAGAGGATCACAGGCTCGTTACACATTGGTTGAACGATGCCACGATATAGAAGAAATGCTCATGCATAGCATTGAGTGCTCCAATCTCCCCTGTACAGGTATGAGCTATACGGAGTAGGAACTTCGGAAGGGCCTGAAGTTGTCGCATGTATCCTTTCACACTTGCTTGGGACACTTTGCCTCCTACTAGTAGCCGCCGCTCATAAGGCAAGATCGCATTTCCTGCAATGGTGACAACCGGCATCGTTCAGGATGTCACGAGGCACCATGCGCTTGTCAAGCTGGCGAGACTTGGGCAAAAAAAAAAACCAAGTCCTTGGAAGGCAATGGACCCGAAGCCCAAAGCATCCCCGAACGGCGTTCTAGATAAGAAATCGAAAGTACCTAGGTAGAAAGTAGCATTTCGGCCTGCTAGAAAAATGAAATGTTCTCCTCGTCCGGGCGAGCGCACGCTCATGAAGTGGAAGTGCTCGCATGTAGCAGACCACACGGGTCAGTCAATAGTGTTACAAGAAGTACTCCCCGACAGGCTTTTTGGCCGGCATGCCCCTCGTGCCCTGAGGGGCGGCCTCAAAGACTCTATACCGACGCCCCGGGGTGGCCAGATTCCAAAGAACGCCGCTGCCGCCTCCAGAGCCATCTCCGCCGACAGGTTCCCGACGGCCCTGGTCGCCGTTGGCTCGGGCGATACAGCCGCCATGACTCCCATCTTCGCCCAGCTCCAGGATCGCAGCGACGTTGCCGCAGCGGTAGCAATAGTTGGGGGCGGACCAGACGGTGACAATGGTCTTGTCGAACATTTCCTTGTAGCCTTCCATGACCAGCTGGTGGGCGCGGGCGACCAGCGACAGGTCGTTGTTGTGGTTGAAGTGGCGGACGATGTCGGCTCCAAACAAGAAGCCGGCTCCTCGGGGAGACAGACCCCAACCTTCGATCTCGTCGGGATCAGACCAGAGCAGGTCGCACATGGCGCCTTCGTGAGGGACTTCTTGTTTGCGATCAATCAGCCGGATTTTGTCTACCGTCTCGATCAGTGGGGAGAGACCGCCATGGACGCAGAGAACAGCTCCTGTGGTCGAGGTCGGGGGTGTGAAGAGAGATGGTGGAGATGGTGAAGCCTGAGAAGGTAGACTCGATGCAGGATGTTCGGGCGGTGAGGGGACATCGACGTCTGGGGCAGGAGATATCCGCGAGCCGTTGGAGTTCTGCGAACTGAGTGACATGCCGGCGAACTGGCGTCGGAGAGTCTTGCTCAATATCTCGCCGTTAGCGTTGAGCACTTCGGATTCGACGTCTTCGTCGTCCGGCGGGAGTGTCGACTGTGTGTTGTTGTCGTTGTAGGAGTTGTTCGGGGGTGGTACGTCTGTGGTTGCGCCCAAGACCAACGCCCCCAGGGCGAGATAGTCAAAGACCTCGCAGCAGTATCGCCACACATTGGCGCTGCCGTATTTTCGGATGCATTCGTCGTAGAAGCCGTACACGGTGGTGATCTGTCTCGACTCGTGGTTCCCGCGGATCAGAGTGATCCGGTCGGGATATCGGACTTTCAGGCAGAGAAGCAGGAGGAATGATTCGAGCGAGTAGAAGCCGCGATCGACAAAATCCCCCATAAATAGATAGTTTGTGTCTGGGACGTCGCCGCCCACGCGAAACAGTTCCATCAAGTCATGAAACTGGCCGTGGATGTCGCCGCATATCGTCACCGGGGCATGCACCGACACGACGTTGCCCTCTTCTATCAGGATCTCGCGCGCCTTGTAGCACAGTTCGCGCACTTGGGACTCTGGTATAGGTCGGCACGCGCGCAGTTGCGCGATGGCTCTGTGATCGGATTAGACTCGTGTGCGGAGAAGCCAGGTGGCATGGTGTTTGGTGTTCGGCTTACCTGTCAAGGTCGCTCATCGCAAAGCAAATGAGCTATGCCGGGTAGTTCTGCACATGAGCGGTTGCTTGCCAGCTGATCAAACTGCGTGGCGTCGGACAAATTTGCAGGCAGCCGACAGCGTCGATGATCGTCTGCTGCCTGATGGCACGGTACTCGCTTTGCGTTATAAGGCGTGGTCGTCCGCGGACAAGAGAGGAGGAGTGAGACGTGACATTTCAGATGCTGGCCATGCCGGGAGAAGAGTGATCCAGTAGGATGGAAGACGCTACAGGTTGAGATGCGACGACTGCGACGCAGTGGCGGTGATACAATCTAGATCGTAGATCGTGAGAGAGATGTGGAAATGATTAGATAAGATCTGCATGTACGGTGAAGTAGCTGGTCTACTAAGGTAGCCTACGATCAGTCCGGCAGAGTATATATCTCCCCACGAAAAGCCCTGCGTTGATTGCAAGGCTTCCAATTGGAGCTTGCACGCTTCCGCTCCACCACGATTCTGAATGCTGGACTCGGAGGAGCTTTGATGATTGCAGTTCACTGTCCATTTTCCTCCTGTTGAACTGTTAAATCGGTCTGAAGGAAGGGAGCCCTCGGGTTGGAGTTGTCACCGTCTTACTTTGACTTGCGCTGCCGCCGGTGTATTTCCAATTCTCCTGATGCTTTGGCTCTGAGCCCGCGTGACGCTTGTACAGTTCTTTTTTCCTGGGGAGGTCGGCTTCGAGCTGCTATCCAGAAAACATGCCTCCTCATTTACATCCTCGCTCGACGGCGACATCGACGCTTTTCGCCGGCACTCTCATCGCGTCTTTTGTTGTCGTTGGCATTCCACACATTTTCCCCTGCCCTAGACCACGGACGGGCTATGCGGATGCAGAAATCCAGTTAGACGAGGACGGCAGACCCATCCGGCGGAAGATGAGACGAGCTCCGAAGGAGGATTCGTCCGCATCGTCACCGAAGCAAGAGTCGGCAGGTCTCACAGAGGTGTTGATGAGGAACGCGGCTGCACGGAAAGGCTTGACACAATCGAAAGACCTCGAAGAAGAAGCCGCCCTGTTCCGAGACCTGCAGCGTGAAGCAGAGGCACTGGAAAAGGAGGCAAGAGAATGCCCTGTTCCGAAGCCTAGTGGCGTGATTGGACGGCTACTGGGGTTCGAAGACAAGAAGCTGGTGGTAGATATGGACGGGAAGAGCTAGCGGATACCGTGGAATGGATTTTCACGATCAGAACATGGGAGAGGAATCATCACATGGCTCATGGCTTCCAACAACAAGGACAAGCTTCAGCCGATTGTCAAAGATGGGCTCCACCTGGACGACTACCCCAACGTCCTCGTCTGAAGACGAGGCTCAGTGGCAGGGTGGATGGAGGGATTCATCGATGTTGCCAAATGCCGAGGCTGATTCTACACATCACCAAATTGAACATGGCCTGGGGACCTGCAAACTGACGCCGACAAATGCTGTATCCGGATCCAAGAAGGTTTTACCATCCACGTTGAGCAGCTAACAACTGTTTCCGGACTCGATGGCTTCATGCTGTACCCAGAACGGAAGCAGACTTCGGCAGGAGATGTTAGGTTCACGAGGCCGGATCAGTCTGTGGATGAAGTGCCACCACTCCAACGTCCATATACACGGAGTACGGCCGTCGCCTGCGCAATGCAAACACAACGCATTGCGTTCTATCAGATCTAATCTCCACCATGACTTCATGAGCAACTGCTGGTATCTACACCGCGGAAGCCGCTGGGCAAACAGAGTTGGTGAATCGATACTTGAAATTCTACGATGTCGCTATAGAGTCCTCACAAACGCACCTCTAACGTTCAGCTGCATGGAATCTCGAATTGTCATAAACAGCTGCGCGCTCGACACACTCTAACCTACAAAGTCCACCACCGGAGTCTCAGATTGCAATGGTCATATCTCTAGGTTTCAGCGAATATGAACCTCGAGAGTGAGCTATTGGAATTTCCGGGCAGGCTATGGCCAGCCCTGCTCAGCCTCAACAGCTGAACCTTCTACTCCCGCTTCTTCAGCCTCAGAATACCGTGGCCGTACCTTGCGGTCGATATCCTGCACCTGCAGACGCAACGTTCAGAATGGCTGTTGACAAGGTGGTGAACAAGAGCTGGGGGTTTAGGAGAGGAGATGTCTGGCGAGAATAGAAGAGATTAGGAACAACAGGAGGACCGGCGATGAACATGATGAACCTGATGGACAATGTACACACTAACACAATTTCAATTAGCTCCTTCTGTTGGGTTCTATACTGACAAGATTCGATCCCTGGCGTCTCTCCTTATTGTATTCTGGCTTGCTTGGACTTCCCTATCTGTTTTGTTCTAATCTGTTCGATAGAGCTCCCGATCTCCAAGAGCAAGAGAAGAAACTGACATGACATGGTGCGAGAAAAGCAAAACTAATCAAACACAGAGCAGGCATGAAACAGCCGGCAAGACAAACCCAACAAGACTGATTGCTCTCCAGCGGTTCATCTGGTGGTGCTTCCATCCAACCTTTCAACAGTGATCAGTTGCACCAGTGGTCCATCTGGTCTTTCCAGTTGTTCCTCACCAATGCAATCCAAGACACTGTCGATGTCAGTCCGCACACACTCTCAAATGGCTTTGCTGTACAACACAGTCCTTGGTTGTCGGTCCTGAATCCAGTCTCTCGATCGAACCAACTCAGCCCTCACCGAGCGCTTCAATCCCTCCCTCACATCAACATCAACGTTGATGCTTGAGACCACTCAATGTATCTTGACACCAGTCTTCCAATCCAGTTCCCTGGCAATCCGGGTCATCCGATCAAACACGGGCTTCCCAACAAACCGCCAAAAGCCACCAGCACGAATACAAGTCTCTCTCAACTCATTCTCATGTCTCTCCAAATCATCCTTGATCAAGGTCTTGAGAGTGGCGACAATACCAGTGACATTGGCGGTAGTGTTTCCTGAGCCAGAAGAAGAAGAAGCTTTAGTCCCACCTCCACCGCCGCCTCTTTTCGCAACGCCATTGCCGCCTGTAAAAGCCCCAGCGCCACCTCCGGCCGAAGTCTTGATATGAGCCGGATCGACACCGAGTTTCGTCAACACCGCAACCAAGAGGTATTCTGTTTCCTCTTCGTTGTCGTCAAAGTCATCTCCATCGACACCGGCACTGAATCGTCGTTTCTTGTGATTGTTCTTATGAGCGCCACCGCCGCCATTGTTCGTCGCCGCTGCAGCCGATGCCGCTGCCGCCGCCACTGCCGCCGACTTGCGCCTTTCGCGATCCGACTTTCTGCGCTGTGCGATACTCAGCAACAACTGTCTCTTGTGGTCTTGCATGTGAGACATGAACCCCATATTGCGCTGGATCACTTCTTCGATGGTCTTGTCTGAGGCGAGTGGGTGGGTACTCGTCGTTGTTGCGGCGCCGTTGTTGTTGCCATTGTCGCCGTGCAGGATCTTGGCCACGACAGACACATCTTCAGAGCGGACGCTGATGGCGTGTTTGGCTTGGTTCTTGAATGCTTTCGACTGCGACTTGGCTGCTTTGGCGGCCTTCTTTTGAGCTCGGATCTCCGCTTTGGAGAGTTTCGCGGCTGTGCGTCTCAGGTTGGGCGTTTCACTGGTCGTGCTGGCTGTCGTGTCTGTGACTGTCTGGGTATCTTCTGTGTCGTTGTCGTTTTCGTCATCATTGTCATGGTTGTCGTTGTCAGGATTGTGGTCATGTTCTTCATGTGCATTGTGATTGTCGTACTCATTAGCATACTCGTTGTGGTTGACATTGGCATTGGCGTGGGCGTTGTAAGCTTCCTCTTCTTCCCCTTCCTCTTCCTCTTCAGGCACTGCCTCGAACGCTTGTCGGTCGTGGATGGCGGCTTGCACCGGCAGGAGTGCTTGTGCGCGAGGGATGTTGATCGGAAGTTCTCCAAGACCCGGTCGAGACTTGGCTTTGGATCTGCTGGGCTCTAGGTCGGCAACTGCGGTTCTGTATTCGACGAGAAGTTCTGCGATCTGCAGAATGCGACATGGTCAGTGGTTCTGGTTCGATTTCTGACAGGCCGCAAGTTGACGAAGAGTGCAGCGTGGGAAGGCAAGTGGAAGCAGATGAAAAGCAGGGCAGGATCTCGTGTGACATCATGCTCGATATTTGAGAACCAGGACGAAGGACATTGAAGTCCAATAATGAAGAGGACATTGCCGAAGCTCAACAACAATGATCAAGAAGAGGAAGAGGAAGATGTGAAGGACAACAAACAATGAACAAGGCATGAGTTGTGATTGTGAATCTGGAAGCAGTGCACATCGGTAGGTCATACAACGTTGACGAAGAGAGTCCAAAAAACAAACAAATCACAAACAAATCACCCTGCATCACCTCCATTTCTTTCTTTTCTTTTCACTCACCTTTCTATGTCTGTTCTCATGCAGCTCGTCCGCCTGGATACACGAGAAACAGTTGTGACTGGTGCCAATGGCATGCATGGTCTGATGGTACCGGTAGCATGGGATCGAGTGGATTCCGTAACAGCTCTGGCGGGCCTTCGGGTTGCTCATCTTCATTGAGCAGTGGAAACAGCTGTGTTCTTGTTTGATTGGAAGATGGATGAGTTAGCATTCAGCCATCAGGAGACAACAATCGGCAAACTGTGGTTGGGTCAAACATTGACGATGAGGATTCAAGGAGCAACGAGCAACATCCAACAGGCGCTTCAGCATTCGACATTCAACAATCAACATCCAACATGCAATATTCAATATTCAGCACTCAACTTTCAACATGAAGCATGAAGCATGAAGCCACCAGACAGCGAACTATCAAGGCATTTGTGGACCGGACGAGGCTGAACGTCAACATAGGGGTAAAGGGGTCAAAGGGGCAATTGGGAAGTTGAGTGTTCTTTCTCTTCAGGATACACTTGGTTCTGATTCCCTTTCTTTTCTGTCTTTTTTTCTGTGCTGTTTTGAGTTTGTCTTTGCGGTTGGGGCTTTGTGTGCATTGTACGGGGTGTGTTTTCATTATATCATGCCATGTCTGTTGTACTTACCAAGACCTGAAGCTGCTTCCCATTTGAAAGGCCCATTGGGCGCGGCAGGATCCATTGTGTCGTCTCCTTTCAAATCGTTTCGTTGCGGTTCGACTTGGCTTGGCTGGATCATGTGATTGCGGTTCAACAGCCACAAGCGGGTTGTCTGAGGGTTTATGGTATGTTGTATGTGGATGCTGAGATGTAAAAGTGTGAAGGCGTGAGGTATGAGATGCGAGATCTGCTGCTGACGATGGTATGGCCAAGGTAGGTAGTTTCTTGTCTGTCGTCAAGTCCCTCGTTGTTGTTCTTGTCCGTCCTTTTTATTCTTGTCCTCAGCCTTGCTCTTGTTTTTATTCCTAGCCTTAGCCTTGGTATGATTCTTGTGCCTGTCTCTGCTGTTGTGTTGCTGTGTTCACAAAAACCACTGAGAGCTGAGAGCTGAGACAGTTGATGTTTTTGTTCTGTTTCTGTTTCTATCTTTGTTTTGTGTCTTGAAGCAAGGAGAGACAGTCTTGGAAGAAGACACGAATGCCACACTGACTGGCCAACTTGTTGAGCTGAGGGAGGATCGATACCGGCGTTGATGATGATGATTGGATGTTGTGATGGTGGATGACGATGACGGCGATGGATGAGGATATTCGTGTGACGAGGACGGGGACGTTACCGGCGATATCCAAACTGCACCAACAAAGCGATGGCCCAGCCTACAAGGCTCGAGAGTCGAGAGTCAACGATGGCCCTGTTCGATGCACCGACAGCGCTTAGCGATGCGCTTCCTGTCTATCCTGCTATTCGCCACTGACGACGATGTTTCGTCTTGTCTTTCGATCTCTGATGTTGATGCTGGTGGTGTTGATGTGGATGTGGATGTGGATCAGGATCTCAGTCTCACTCAATTCGATTCGCAAGGTCCTTGACCCAATCCCTCATGGCGCAGGATGGAAAGGTCAGGTATGAAAACAAAGACCAAAAAAGCCAGCAAGCAAGACACGAGACCTTTCCAGCTCAGCCGCGACAGTAGGTAAGTCAGTCTGTTAGTGGATGAATGGATGAATGGATGAATGGATGAATGGATGAATGGATGGATGGATGGATGGATGATAAGACAAGCAGAGATGGAAGAGCCGAGACAGACACAGGTACACGAGAGGAGAGGAGATGCGAAGAGAGGAAAGACAAGATGAGGACAAACAAAGACACGACACGGCGCACGACAACAGACCACGCCAAAAAGGGATGGCCACGCTTCACAGTATATGCGCGAGATCCGAATCGGGGATAGAAGGGATATGTTGCCATAGGATGGGATGGGAAACTGGCGCGCGGTGAGAAGTGAAGATTGGGATATGGGGGGGGTGACCATGACTGCGACTGCGATTGCGATTCACTGGCTGTGACTTGGAAGCGATGCAGTGAAGGGACAGTCGGACTGCGATTCTAGCCAGGGGGGACTGAACGACTACAAGACAAGAGTGACGAACAGTCGAACAGTCGAACAATTTCCTATACTGTAGGTGGTGTATGGATGGATGGACGGATGGATAGATAGGGCAACGGACGGAGTGGTCTACAGCGATGAGATTGAGATTGAGCTTGAGCTTGAGCTTGAGCTTGTCGCTGCTGGAGACTCCCTTCGAGTGGTAATCTCGGTCATCAAGTCGAACTGGACGGGAGAGACGGGAGGGGTGATTGATATTCTGGATATGTCCAAGAGCAAGCCGTTGTTTGTTGGGGTATTAGGCATTGGGAGGACATCAAGCAAAAAAGATACTTGATGGGAAGTTTGGGAAGCGGGAGGCTGCCCTGCATGAAATTGATCTCCGGTTCGAGAGAGGATATCTGAGAAAGGGGACCCGCCGTAATGTTTGCTGAATTCGACAGGGCACGGTATGGGCGCAGAAGGTTGAGACGAGGAGATGAAGTGAGGTGAGACGTCGGAGACCGGTCCTGAAGAGCAAGAGAAAGAAGAGATGGGCAGTAGCATACGGATGGATGGATGGGTGGTGGAATGTAGAGAAGATCTCGAAACCAAGGATCATGAATCGATATCAGATCGGTCATGGACGTTGCTTCGTATACAGCAGTGCGAGGATGGAGGTGGAACTGGAATGCCGGTCAGACGGCAGTCAGTGGGTGAGATGCTTCCAGGACATGACGAAACAGAAACAGAAACAACGGTGAGAAGTGACAAGTAATAAACGTCGCCGTCACCAATTTGCTCATGAACTGTGTTGAAGGAAATGTATTGCTTGGATATGGTGAGTAGAGAGTGACTATGTTGCTTCATGTATCCATCAGCCTGGCAGATGTCCATTTTTTATACCATATACCATACTGTTGCATTCACGAATTTCGATATCAGAGAGCAGAATTGTGGCTCTCGCCATTTTCCAATGTACCATATGCAGATCGTAGAGAATGACGGGTTGCTCTTTGTTGCTTGTTCGAATGTTTTGCCTATCGATCCGTGGCTGAGAAGACGTCCTTCATGCCCCTTCGTAACTGGCTCTCCTTCCTTGCTTGTTGTCGGTAGAAGACGAGACCGGCGTAGGCTATTCATTGCAATGATCCATTTCTCTGAGATCAAGGGCATATTCTCGACACCGGGTTTGCTTCGGCTTCGGACATCAACAGCACATCCAATTGAGCATCCAATTGAGCATCCAATTGAGCATCCAATCCGGCTGGGCTAGATCGGTGAGCAGTTGCATAGGAACGGATAAGAGATAGTCGTGATGCGGATGGCCGCTGCGAAGAAGGAGAGAAGAATGCTGTGGACTCTGCACCAACGCCGAGAGAAACTAAATTAGAAAGAAAATAGAAATGTTGGATTCGTCAAGTGACCGGAGTTGGGACGACGTAGCAACAAAACATCTTCAGCCTGACCGCGGGAGAATTGCATCGAGAGCAGATACCCGTACCCACCCATCAAACATATGTCCAGCCAGTCACTCGGTGCGGCCATCGGTTTCGCCTGGCGTGGTCGGTCTGTTAGATGGACCCAATCTCCTCCAGCCGTGCCGACTAGACGGCAACATCCCGAACCAGTCTGGCAGTACACCACACATACACGTAGTTTCGTTGATACCAGTTGACGAAGGACTTGCGGCCAGCGATGCGGGGAACTGTGGCCCAACTACCACCGAGACAGATGTTGTGTTTGCCATCGAAGAAATCCGCTGTGTAACCGGGATACAGGTCCATAGCCTTGAAGCCTTCGTATGGCGCCAAAGGTGTGCTGGTCCATTCCCAGAGCCCACCCAGGTCACTCTGGCCACAAAGACGTCCACCCTCACCCGTGACGGGTGTCGGATGCCAGTGACGGAACGCGACGTCGCGGTCAGACAGATCAATGAAAAGGTCGTTGGGGTTAAGAGTCGTGGATGGACCCTTTGCACTATCGCCATTGGCGACAGCGCCGTTGGTCCTGGAAGAGTAGGATGGCGGCGTTTCTTCTACACCTTCGTTGGAGAGATGCCTAAGTAGATCCAGGTTAGCGGGCCTCTCAAAACAAATGGATGCAAATTCTTGTTTCTTACCCGTTCACTGCCGAGATCAACACACTGGGGACTTTTTCAACCGTCCTCTTCTGCTCTTCGACATACTGGTACAGGCTTCTCGCCTCTTCGAGAGTCGGAATACGTCCATTCGACCAATGTGCATAGGCGGCCAGTTCGTCGTATGATGCCATAACAGGCCAATCGAGGACGTATTTGAGAGGGACTGGTCCATAGACTGTGCGAACAGATTTGTCCTCAACGAACGAAGAGCTGGCCATATCGAGGACGTCTCGACCATGGCCGTTAGTCCCGTTGGCGCCATTGACTCCATTGGTGCCGTTGGTGCCGTTGGCATGACCGTCCATCTTGGAGGCGATCCATGATGCTGGAAGAGTGCCCTTATGGGTGACTTCCAGGAAATGCGCATATTCGCCATTGCTGATGGGTCGACTCTGAGCCTCGAATTCTTTCACGGCCACAATGCGCGATGGTCTTTCGTTGTCCCAGCCAAAATAGCGATCCGTACCGAGATCATCCTCGGGATCATCCAACCCAATGGTGACTTTGCTTGTGGGAATTCTGTGCCACTGATTCTGCACACGATTGGAACGAGCTTGTGACCCCAGAGCTTTAAAGTCGGGCACTTGTTGTCCGGGCGGTGGCAAAACTCGCTCACTCTGAAGCAACATATACAAGAAGGTCTCCAGATGCATGGCTTCGTGCTCATAGGCGAGCCAGAGACCGCGTCCGAGCTTGTGGTCGGTGTAGGCTCTGCCCGAGTTAAGACTATCGACAATTCGTTCTCGAACCCGATGTTGATAGTCCAGGACGTCTTTCAATGGGGGCCAGGTGTCTGGGATCTCGCTATGATCATGGCACACCTCTGGATTGTCCACATCTGCGGCCAAAAGCATTAGCAAGGTTGTGCACAACCACTCATGTCATCGGTGTTTACCTGGGTCAATTCCTCGTTCAAAAATGGACGCATACGCGGCAGGGTCTGTTGGCTTGTCTGCGGTGGCCTTGATATAATGGATGTCTCCGGACGAGTTAGCATTCTCCCTTGAAACCTCCAGCAGTTGTCACTCACCTGCAAAGGTGGGAATATGACCCAGGTAGAAAATGAGGTCGTTTCGCAACTTGATCGGCTTATTCAACAATTCATCTCTAGGAACCATCGACTTCGTCACGACATCCCAGGCCACCCAGAGCTGTTGCCAGTCGTTTAGCGAAGGGACAGGACTAGCCGCATATTCCAGTGGCTTTGTTGGGAAGTTGATTGTAGCGGGAGACAAGAGATGGAGGACTTGAACGAAGTGCGTCAGCAACAGAGCCTCGGACTGTTAACAGCATTCAAACACGTACAATAATCATTGCTCTTGTTTCCGTATGCCATCTGCGGGATCAGGCCAGCGGCGTGCCAAAGCTGGTCACTTTCAGCCTCGGAATACTTGTAGGCGTCTTCCAAATGGATCTTTTCACCCTTGTGGAAGGAAAAGTCTGGGGTCTGGATGTCCTTCAAAGGGACATAGAATGCCTCGTGCTTGTTCGCCTTCTCGTCATACTTAGTCTCGATGTGCCATTCGTCCTGCTTGAAAGCCTCATAGCCAAGGACGACGTTGGCATGGGTAAGCCCATTTCGGTAGAACTTCTCGGTGACATGGTCACGGTCGTTGTAGGCCCTGAAAACCCGGTCGGGTTCTTGACAAGCATCTACACCAACAAGGATGAGATCGGAGGGGGATAAAACATTCTTGAAGGAGGCCAGAAATTTGGCAGCGTCCTCTCTGGAAAAATTCCCAATGGAAGAGCCCAAGGTCATGACACAGGTTGGCTTGCCATCGGTGCCTGATTGGGCCAGCCATGATAAAGCATCATCGTAGGTGCCGTACAAAGCGTGAAGAGTGACATATTGCCAGTCACTGGTGTCGATTTGGGAGAACGTGCGCTTCAATTCGGACAGCGAGACATCCAATGCATAATAGTCGAGATGCTTTTTGGCAACCTCAAAAGCTCGTAGTAGAATGCTCACTTTCCGAAGATTCCTATGCCGCACATCAGCCATGGTCTGTCATTCATTCTCACCACGAGGGAAAAGGGAGCACACCCGCTTCCAAGTTCCACAAGACGGGCGCCGTCAGGAAATCGCGCGACAATGTCGTTGGCATGCGTTTCGAGTGATTGAATCTCGGCATTGGTGAGGTAATAGTCGTCCACGTAAGTGATCTCCTCAAACAGTTTCAAACCCTTCTCTAGAAATATTGTTTAGTCGGTCATCTCAAACATCAAGAACCCTCTGTACCATCATAGAGCAACAAGGTCGGAAACGTGCGCGGCTGGCCCTGGGGAGGATTGAGAGAGCGACGCAGCGTCTCGAGGAGCGAATGGTCCGAATGGTCATCCCGAATATCAATAATAGGCACCCCGTCAGGAGCGTGGGCAACCATGATTGCGAACGGCTGGTATCTGTTCACGGGCACGACAGATACTCTGGAGTATCAATAGATGCTGTAACAGGGAAATTGGTTGAGATATAGAGTTGGATGGAATATGAAGTACTGCAGACTGATGCGTGCCAGAGCAAGGTATAGCTATGGAAAGGCCGTCGGATTCCACGTAAGGTTAAACCTCCCGGGTTGCTGAAGCCTTTCATCGGGAAAGGTAGTTGATATAGGCCAATAACAGACGACAGCGTCCTTGTTCCACCGAATAGTAGCTGCGTATTCGGCGTTCAGCGAGCATTCAGCGAGCGGCCGTTTTGACATCGAAGCTCCTGCGTTTGGGCCTCATCAGCCTGTCATCGTAGGTTCCTGAACGGCGACGGCGCAGCGATGGAGTAGTCATGGGCCCGGAGGACCCGGGTATCTACCAATGCTTTGACGCTGATGACAATTGACTGTGGGGACGGAAAGACGCATGATCTGTCAACAATCGCCCGCCGCTACACTCGGTTCGTGGAGAGGATGGCATGACACTCGGCCGACAGAGCAAGGGGAGATCAGGAACGAGGGAGGAGAACGATATGTGATTCGAGTACCAGCATCGATCGAGTCCAGGCCGTATATCCAGGCCGACTATTGGCGAACGGGACGTGTTGCCTGTTTGACGGAGTGGGCAGGTGGATAGACGGGTGAGCGACTGAGTGAGGGGATTCTGTTTCTCTCTGCTGACCATGACGACGAGACAGGAGGAGAGAAGACGCAGATTGGAAGAAGCGTATACGGGCTGCAAAGATGCTGACGAGATACAATGGTCTAAAGGTGCGGAATATGTAGAAACTAGGAGTTGGTGACGACAAAGTGAAAAACAAGGCGAATGAGAGGCGGCTGAAAAGAGGAGAGACTGGAGCTGTTGACACTCTGTAGGTGCTGCTTCTACCATAGTTGGTACTAAGGGCAGGCTATAGGTACCTCGCACCTACTAGTACTGGCCTACGGGTCTTCTTCGGTAAGGTTAGGTAAGTTTAGGTGCCTGTACACAGTAGATATCGCAGGCACTATTTCATAAGATGGCAGAGTGCAGTCTGCAGCCTAGATCAGCACAAGAAGGAATTGGAAGATGCTCTCTAGCTAGGTGCCTACTAGTAGGTATCTTGTACCAGCCTATTGAAGAACCCCGACACCAACAACGGCCAAAAGCTGCTTAGAGATTTGGCCTAAGCTACCTTAGTTATCCGTTGCAGTGGTATAGGTACCTGATATCACTGTTGCCCCTATATCGATAGGTGCATATAGGTACTACTAGAAGCCTAATAAGTGAGGAGTAAGGTGCCTGTTGGGTGCCTGAAACCAGCCACGGAACGGAAGAATATACCTCCGCATTGTTTACGTCCACCGCAATGAGACACGATGCAACAATGCAACGAAACTCTCAGCTACATGATTGTCGATGGACCGAATATCGTCGTCGCTCACAGTCCATCACGACATGTTACTGACGAGTACTTACAATGCACCAGTAGTTCGTGTCTAGATACGCGTCCACAACCAGCATAGCATCGCGACTTTGTATCTTCCTCCACCATGATTCTCTTCATTGCTACCAATGCTCCGCCTCTTCAGTCCTCCTGACTGCGCCCTCCATAACCAACCAGTCCTCTACCAACCATGTCCAAGTCCGGGAACCTGGCCGCTTTGCCGGCCATCCTGAACCCTTCTGAGTCGCCCACGATCTACTATGCTGAAGACCCTCCTTACCTACCTCGCATCCTCGTCTTCTACTATCCCGTCCAGTCTGTGGGTTCTCTGGCCTCGACCTCCCGTATTCGAACCACCATCCTCAGCGCTGCCGGTTTCAAGAGCTATGGCGCTTTTTCAGTGGCCCCCAATAGCAGCTACTACGCCGCCGTCCATAAGTTGCCAGAAGACAAACAGCGAGACGATGTTTCTCGAGGACTCGCGTTCGCCCTCTGCAGATACTTCTCCGAGGTGCCCACGGAGGTCAAGAACGCCATAGCGGACGAGAACTTACATCACGGCATTGCGCTGAAATGGGGTCAAACCCATGCCGCCCAGGTGACCTGTCGAATGAGCAAAGTCACAAACCCAGACGAGATCGTCGAAGCCCTCCGTCCATTCTCCAAAGAACGTCCCCCGAGCCCCCAGTCGCCGATAAAGCCACTTGCTTCGATCAGGAAGACAAGGCCGTCGTTTCTCCCTCAAGAATCTGGAAACCACGGAACATCTCGCGCGCCACATGCGTTCACCCCCTCGAAGCGCATTCCTAGTATGCAAGGGAAACGGTCGCCGTCTGCGTCGACACCGACGAATCGCAAGGCCAGTACGCCGATAGCCCCGAGATACTCGTTGGAGCAGCTTGAGTCATTACGATTCAAAATGTGTGAGTTCGTGGATACGGAGGACCGATATATCACCCGCCTACAAAGCCTGATAGAGCTGGTCACTGACCAAGGCCGCACGCCCAAGTCGCTGAGCTCTAAATTCACCGGCTCACGCAATCCTAAGGCTGTCAGTGCCATGATCCGGTTTCCGTCACTACTGGACCAAATCAGAGACCTGAACCTGGCCTTCTTGGACGATATTGAAACAGCGCTTCAAGCTTCCGAGGAGACTGCTCTGTCTTTTCTTGAGTCTGCCCAGCAAGACCCTCGGCTGCTCCAGACGGCCAAAGACCCCATGGGCATCTACGGCTTTGCCAAGGTTCTGCTGAATCACTTTCCCAAGTTTCCGATGCCATACCGAGAATACCTCGACCTCCATTCCCAAGTCGCCTCCAACCTCGACCAATTCCTTAAAGAGGGCACCACGTCGATCCAACAAGCACCGTCCTTGCTTATGGAGCCAGCACAGCGTATCTCGCGGTACGGCCTGTACATCGACACCATGCTTCCACACGTACCAAGCAACTTCACCGTGGCCATCCGCACGCTCGAGAAAGCTCGCAAGATCATTGCCGAGATCTGTGAGATGGAGCCTGCCGCCTCGACCATCCTCGACTCGTTGCGTATCGAGCACGAAACGCGGAAGAAAGGTCTATCCCCGACCAAGCTTCTCTCAGGCTTGACGCGGTCCAACGGGACATTGAGAGAAGCACCATCTATGACGGGCAGTATCAGAGATCGTGACGGACCTCGTCTCTTCCCCAGTCTCGGCAAGAGTCTTAGCCGGCGACACAAGAGCCCCAGACCCGGTCTGGCAGGTATTCTCTCCGAACAGGATCCCGAACAAGTCAGCAACATGTACAGCACCAGCGGCGGACAGGCCCGCACCGACGAGAACAGACCCCTCACCTCCAGCTCCGGCTTGTCCTTTGGCTCTCTGCATGGTCGAAGACCGCCGACCTCCGGATCCACCACCACGAACCGCTCAGCTCCCAGTCCCAGTCCCAAAGCTCCACTCCTCAGACCCGCCAGTAAGACCGGCAGGGGAGTGTCTCCTGGAGCCGGTGCAGAGCACTACCGGGCCGAACTGTTGCGCGTCGAAGAGGAGAATTACAAGTTACTTCAGGAAAATGCGGAGTTGAAACGACTGATCCGGGAGTGTAAATGTGGTGGTGCACAGAGGCGGTGACAATGACAACGGCAAACATAAAATGCTACGGAGACGGATTGTACTACACGGCACTCGGCCCCTGATTCGGCCATTTCCAGAGGGTCGATGAGTATCTGTTCGTCGCCACCTTACTGCCGTGTTGACCTGAAGCTGGAGCTGGAGCTAGACTTGGATTTCGAGCTGGATCTGCGGCTCTTGAGGCATGGGGAAAGAGAGAAGAGGGTCATTCACGGCAAATGTTACGAGTTATGAAAGAAAGCGAAGGAATGAAATCATCACGGTCACGACTTTCTGTTCAGTCCCTGCACTGCATGGGATTTCTTCATTCAAGCCCGGTGCGGACACTTGAAGGGCGGCAATTGTTCAGCGGCCATTACGGCTTCAACCTGGACCTGCGGTTATCCTTGTTTTGCAACAGGATTTTGTATTGTATTCTATTTGTATCATTACGACTCCATGAGAGGGGTGCTCCAGATATCCTGCGGTCCAAGCAAGGCATAGTCCCACTGCATGTTGTCTCATGTCCAATTAAAGAAAGAGGCTTTCTACGACATACTTACCACTCTCGTGTGGACAGTCGTCTCATGAATCCCAACCGACCAGTAGGTCGATGCGTGCCATCCCAAATCCTAACCACAATGCAGAGAAAGAGAGAGCTGTGAGCCGTGACCCGTGTAACGATGCGTTAGACTGAACACCCCATGTGAAATGCAGGCGGCAGTTGCAGTTGCACATTATCTTCTGCGTCAGCCTCGCTCAGGGGCACTTTCCAGATGTAGACAGTATACATGGACACTGTTCGGAATGTGATCAAGAAGACATAACATAGAGGGTACTCCTTACTCGAGGACACTCGTGATATTCTTCATGGACACTCGTATTCGCCTTTCATAAAGCCACTGCATCCTGTGTTTCTGAGAAGATACTTGTATTCGGATTCTAGCTATGTTATTCTTTTCTTTTCCTTGCAGTCCTGGACGCGGAAGGAAGGGGCCCGGCCGACAAGCAGGCAAGCAGCAGATCCAACACAGAAGCCCTTAGCCACTCTGTCCCCGTTCCCTTGGCCGCGTTCAGTCCAAGGTATTCCAAGTTCCGAACAATAGCACAATCAACGACTGGATTCGATGTTGGGCTTCCTTCCTCGTCCATGGCGCGGTACTCATACCCAAAACAGACACGAGACCTTGGACATTGAGAGACCGGTATGGACAAGTCGAGATTTAATCCCCAGTCCACACAATAGGTTTTCTCTAGTGTATTCGGTTACACTTCCGATACACTGTCATTCGCTTCAGGATGCGATCCTGCACTCAGTCGCGGTGCTCACTCCGCCTCGTCGTCGTCGTATCCCTTTCTCACTTCGGCCCAGCCACTCTGGTATCTCACCAGGTCACGATCAGTGTTGAGCCGCAGCGAACTAGCTTGCTGAGCATCCTCGCGCCAGCATCTTGATGTATAGTCGTCGGCTGTGGTGATCAGGTTACCGTTGACCGTCCACGCGACAGCCGTGACTTCTTTGGCGTGGCCATTGACCAGCGCAGTGCCGTGATAATAGATGGGACAATCGCCGTCGATGGCTTCCATGGGCTGCTGCTGTTGCTGTTGCTGTTGGCCGAGCGACCTCGATGACGCAGTGCGCGTGAGTCGAGGCTCCGGCCGAGAACTGGCATTGGCGCTCCTCGATACGAGAACCTGGGGTGTCCTTCGCCGCGTGGCTTTGTTGAGGTATCGCTCATCCGTGGGAAACAGGACTGCACACTCCTCCCTGGTTCCCGTAGCTATGATCTCGGTGTTGTCCTCGGTTCGGTGCCGCACTGACAATTTGTCGTAGAAAGAGGCCAATCGTAGAGCCGGGTGTCGGAAGCCATACAGTGGTCCCAATCCGTGGCCGGCACTGCGCGATTGTCGGAAAGGATGAGAGGACGTCAGCGACATCTCAGGCGCCCCTCCCAGCACCAAGTGGGACGTGGAGTAGGCGTATACGGTATGATCGCGGCACAGCGAGTATAGTCTCGCCCCATCAGTGCTCATAGCGATCGAAGTCACGCCGAATTGTCGGTGGTCCTCGTGGCTTTTGGGTTCCAGCGTCGCGGACACCGGTGTGGGCCGTCCACTTCGGGACTTGTATGATGTCCGCATATCCCACAGCTTAATGATGGCATCGTTCTCCGAGGCTGTGGCCAGCATGTACGGCCGGCTCGCGCTGATGAAAGCGCATGTGGTCACTGCGAAGTCAGACCGCGCAGATACGGGTGTTTGCTTGCGCTTGCCCTTGGCTTTCCCATGGAGGTCAAACGCCGTGTGTGCGTCCCGTATCTGGTTCAGACAATCGACCGTTGCACTTTGGCACAGGAATGATTCCGGTTCGCGGCTGAGGTTCTTGTGAACCCAGGAACCCGTGGTCTTCGCACACCGCAGATCCCACAGGCATATGCTGCCATCTCGAGAACAGGTTGCGAGGACATTGTTGCCAGAACCTGGCTGGAATTGTACACGTTTGATGGACCCAACATGGCCTCGCAGAGTGTAGGTCGATTGTTGCTGCTTCATGTCTATGATTCGACATGTTTGGTCCCCGGACGCCGTCGCTAGCAGACTGTCGTCCGGAGAAAGTTCCATGTCCATAATGGCGTTGTCATGCGGGTACATGGTCATGAAGATCCGATTGTATGGGATACTCGGGTCTTCTGCGTCATGGATACGCACTGTACCTTCCTCATCTCCAATCGCCACTAATGGGACTGTTTTGAAACCGGCAGCGGAGAACGGCAGAGCTGACAGAGGACCGAACCGGTTATAATGGCATAAATCGTCTGGGGAGCTGTAGAAATTTGCAGTCTCATGTTGCCAGAGGTTGCTGTCATTGCCCTCTGTCATTGTTTTCCTCCCCTCAATTCGCCTCGATAACAGATTCGCAGACGAGCTAATAGACCGGTAGGGTATCAGACGTGGAGGAAATGATCTGCTTCCCGGTAGCTCTTCTTCTGTATCCTCCTCCTCATCCGTGTCGACACAGCCCGAGGCATGTTCATTGTTGTCCGCAGGTGGTTGGCGCTGTCCGGACTGAGAGTTTTCTTGACTACTCGAGAAGGCACTGTGATCCTTCTTGATTGGAGAAGACGGAATCGACGGGATTGAAGAAAATGAAAGCTTCCGCTTCTTTCGCGCTCGGTTGTTTTGGTCGTCGAGAGGAAGGTCTAGAAACCCGCTTGCGTGAGACCGGCTGTTCAGGCTGGCTGCGGACAGGTTCTGTAGAGCCTTGCGGGAAGTTCGAACGGCACGTTGTGCATTCCGAGGCCTTGGAGTGAAGAACTTGGTGAACCGTTTGGGAGTGACAGAGGGATTCTTCTTGACACGGCTACTTCGACGAGGACTTCTATTCTCATCGGGTTCGACAGCGAACGTGACCCTCTCTGCTGGGGCTGCTCGTTCGGGCGTACAATCCATGACTGACGTGAGGGATTGATTTGGACACACACCGATGTTGGGGGATGGATTGAGTCGGTCACCAAGCAAGCATGATTGTTCGAGGCTAATGGGAGATGTATGGTGCACAGAAGGATACAGAGACCGTGGAGGCAGATAAGAGTGGCGATTGGAGAGACAGAGTAGGTACTCTGTCGTAAGCAATGAACAATCTCCCAGCTGTCGCGAAAGAAGATGCCAGCCACAATCGCGCCTCGCGTCTCGCGTAAAGTGAGTGCGCGGAACGCGTCGAGCTCGAGCGGGAGACGCATCAACAAAGCAGGTAAGCCGAGCTGAGCTTCTCCTCTCCGCAGCCGAACATGATTGGATGCTCCGAAAGCGCCTCCACTAAAAAGTTCCCAACTTGAAATGTAATAGGAATCTACTCCAAAAAAATTCATGTCTGGAAGATTTGCTTGCGCAAGAAATTAAGTCTGTGGACGCTGATCTGAATTAAGAGCAGGGCAACACTCTCGTCGAGAGTCTTCTGATACCCTAGCCTTCAGTGAGGCCGTCGCAATCTCTCGATATGGCTTCCGCAAAGAGAAAACTGGCGGCCGAAGAGGCCTCGACCAAACGTGGAACCAAACGATCCAAATCCGACCGCAAGCCCGCGACCGTCGATGCATCTCCCAAGCCTGATAAACCTGATCAGAACCAGAAGCCAAAGGCGGCCTCTGTACTCACCAAAGAGCAACCCGCTTTCCCTCGAGGAGGCGCGGGCTTGCTGACTCCTCTAGAAAGAAAACAGATCCAAGCCAAAGCCGTCCGTGATGTTGCAAGGGAACAAAAGCAGGGCAAAGATCTTTTCGGAGAAGAGGGCGACTCCTTGAGTGATGACAGTGATGAAGAGCTACTCTCAGATGTTGATACAGAAGTCAAGAAGCCTACCAAGAAGCATCGGAAGAAGAAAGTGAAGTCTGGGGATGCTGCTGCTTCTAGCGAGCCCGAAGTTCGAATCGAAGGTCTCAGCTATAAACGCATAACCACAGGATCTTTAATCCTCGGTCAAATCATCTCCGCGAATGCCAGAGCATTGACTGTCGCCCTACCGAACAATCTTGTTGGATATGTACCGTTAACCTCGATTTCGACCCAGCTGAGCGACAAGATACAAGGATTGTTGGCTCATAACGATGAGAAGGACGAGACTAGCGACAGTGAAGAAGATGAGGATCAAGACATTGCGCTCTCTAATTATTTCCGGGTCGGACAATATCTCCGAGTTGCGGTTACAGCCACTGAGCAGGACAAGACTGGGCCGAAAGCGTCCACACGAAAACGGATCGAGTTGTCTGTCGAGCCTGCTTTGACCAATGTCGGCATCGATCGTGCGAATCTAGCAGTCGGTGCCGCGGTCCAAGTCGCTGTGAGCAGCATCGAAGACCATGGATTGGTTGCTGACCTCGCTCTTGAAGAGCAAACAGTCCGCGGATTCATCCCAAAGAGCCAACTGCCTGTCAACCTCTCATTGACGGACGTCAAGGTTGGCGCTGTCCTTCTCTGCAGTGTTATTGAGCTCGGATCCAATAGCCGTGTCGTCAAACTTTCGGCGGATCCGTCCAGATGGGCGATATTGTCCAGCGCTCCTTCAGTTGACACGTTTCTTCCTGGTGCGAAGGCAGAGATTCTGATCGAACACAAGACGGATGTCGGCCTGTCAGGGAAGATCATGGGTTTACTAGATGTGACCGCCGACCTTGTCCACTCTGGCTCTTTCAAGGACAAAGAGGCATTCCTGGCCAAATTTGACATTGGCAAAAAGATCGTCGGACGATTGATTTGCACATTCCCACTCTCCGATACGAAGAAGCTGGGCTTCTCTGTCCTGGATAATTTGTTGGACATGGAACCCGCCACGAACGTGGATGCTCAGGCGGATGGCAAATTGTCTTTATCTTCCATTGTTGGCTCGGCATCTGTGATTCGTGTCGAGCCCGGCCTTGGGATTTACCTTCAGCTGGCCCCCGATATTGTGGGCTTCGCACACATTTCACGCTTGTCAGACGAGAAAGTGGACTCTCTGTCCGAAACAACTGGTCGCTTCAAACTGGGATCCGAGCACAAGGCGCGGGTGATCGACTACAATCCTATTGACGATCTCTATCTGGTGTCTCTCCAGAAGAAGGTACTTGAGCAGCCTTTCCTGCGGTTTGAGGATGTCCCGCTGGGTGCGGTTGTCAAGGGCAAGATCGAAAAGTTGCTTGTTGGTACACACGGCGTGCGAGGCTTGTTGGTCAGTCTTGCCGAGGGGGTTAACGCCCTTGTGCCGCAAGTCCACATGTCCGATGTTGAGCTCAAACATCCGGAAAGAAAATTCAGAGAAGGACAAACCGTGACGGCAAGAGTGCTCACGACAGATCTGGTAAGACGACGTATCAAGCTGACGCTGAAGAAGGCTCTGGTCAACAGCGATCAGAAGCCTTGGTTGCGATACGAGGATATCGAGATTGGCGATTCGACGGTCGGGACATTAGCCAAAGTCGACCGGCTTGGGGCTGTTGTTCGATTCTTCGGGCCCGTTCGAGCTTTCCTGCCAGTTTCCGAGATGAGCGAAGCATACATCAAGGATGCAACCGAGCATTTCCGCGTTGGTCAGGTCGTGACGGTCAGTGCAATCAGCGTGAATGCGGCGGAGAGACGCCTCACTGTTTCATGCCGGGATATCAACAAATCCAATCCATCGATCGAGTCTTCCCTGTCCACATTGCAACCTGGGACCATTGTCAAAGGTACTGTTTTCGAGAAATCGCAGAACGACGTCTTGCTCCGACTAGAGGAATCTGACGCGATTGCACGGTTGACCATGGACCATGTGTCTGATGGTTCCCCAAAGAAGAGAGAATCCGCGTTTCAAAAGATCCGAGTTGGTCAGAAGCTCGATAACGTGCTCATCTTGCAAGTGCTACCAAAGCGGAGATTGGTTTTGGTCTCCAACAAACCGAGCCTGATCAAAGCGGCTCAGGAAGGCACTCTCCTCAAGAGTTACGAGCAACTCCAACAGAATGCCCTGGTGACTGGGTTCGTGTCCAACATCACCAAGGATGCCATTTTTGTTGGCTTTGCGGGTGGAATCAGCGGAATGATCACAAAAGCCAATGTGCCTGTTGAGACGGAGCAAGAAGAAGATTTTGGCATGACCAAATTCCAGTCTGTCACAGCTCGAGTCCTTTCCATCGACTACAAGGGGGCTACGCCGCGATTCTGGCTGACAATGAGGGAATCTCCCGTCAACAATGACTCGAAAGCGGCCGCAGTCGAGACAGTCAAGGAAGTGGCACAACTCACCAATCCTGTCGATGCAGACCTTAAGACCATCAACGATCTTTATGTCGGACGAGTCACCAAAGCTCGGATCCTTTCGGTCAAGGAGACCCAAATCAACGTGGAGCTGGCGAAAGACGTCCAAGGTCGTATTGACGCATCCGAGATTTTCGATGATTGGAAAGACATCAAGGATCGCAAGCGACCTCTCAAGCAGTTCAGTCCGAAACAAGAATTGACCGTCAAGCTACTCGGAGCCCACGATACGCGGAACCACCGATTCCTTCCACTGTCCCATCGAAATGGCAAGAACACTGTCTTCGAACTTTCGTGCAAGCCCAGCACTGTTGCAAGTTCCGACAAGAACATCCTCAAATTGGAAGATCTGTCAGTCGGGTCATCGTGGCTGGCATTCGTCAACAACATTACGGAGAACTGCCTGTGGGTGAATATCTCTCCATCCGTGCGAGGCAGGATCCGCGCCACAGATGTGTCCGACGATCTCTCGCTCGCCGGGAATATGGAGAAGAATTTTCCCATCGGGTCTGCCCTAAGAGTTCATGTGCTCGCTGTTGATCCTGAGAAGATTCGCTTAGATTTGACGGCCAGATCGGATGGTCTGGCCGGTTCCCTAACGATCAAAGACATTTCCAAGGGACTGGTGCTCCCTGGTCGTGTCACCAAAATCAGCGACCACAACATTCTGGTTCAACTGAGCGACCAGACGGTGGGTGCCGTGGACTTGATCGACATGGCGGACGACTACAGCGAAGCAAACCCAGCCCAGTTCCAGAAGAATGAGGTCCTCCGAGTGTGTGTGCTCAGTGTGGATGTCCCGAACAAGAAGATACAGTTGTCTACCCGACCTTCCAAGGTACTCAGCTCGTCAATCAAAGTCACCGACCCAGAAATCACATCTCTCAAACAACTTGCCGTCAACGATGTTGTCCGAGGATTTATTAGCAATGTGACGGAAAAGGGGGTATTCGTCACTCTTGGACATGGCATCACCGCCTTCGTCCGGGTGGCCCATCTGTCCGACAGCTATTTGAAGGATTGGCAGGACCAGTTCCAGCGCGACCAACTGGCGAAAGGAAAGATCATCATGGTCGATGAGGCATCTGGTCACGTGCAGATGAGCTTCAAGGAATCGGCACTGGACCCGAATTACAAGGCACCGCTTACATTCAACGATCTGCACGTGAGGGAGATCGTAACTGGCAAAGTCGTCAAGGTCGAGACCTTTGGCGTCTTCATCCTTGTCGACAACTCGGAGAATGTACGTGGACTGTGTCATCGCAGCGAAATAGCCGAGCAACGGGTGCAGGATGCAACCAAGCTATTCCAGGAGGGCGACACGGTCAAGGCCAAAGTGCTCAAACTTGATCCGGCCAACCGAAAGGTCAACTTCGGCATGAAAGCGTCCTACTTCACTGATACAAATGAGAGCGACGCAGAAAGCGAAGCCGGGTCGGACGAAGAAAGCATTGGAGCGGGTGGCGCGCCGCTTGATCAAGATGAAGATGACGACGAAGAGATGCACGATGCGGATGATAGCGAAGAAGACGAGGCTGGATCGGAGCACACGGACACCGATGACGAGGACGCAGAAAGCGCCGACGACACGGACGACTCTGACGCAAGCGAGGAAGACGAAGAGGTCGAAGCCACCACTACTGTCCCTGCAAGCAGCAAAGGTCTCAGTGTGGGCGGGTTCGACTGGTACGGAATGTCAGCTGCACCCAGCACGACCGCGACCAAACGAGCAGCTGAAGCGTCCGACTCCGAAGGCGAAGCGGCCAGCAAAGCCCCGAGGAAAAAGAAGAAGCGCGCCGAGATCCAAGTCGACCGAACGGGAGATCTGGATGTCGATGGCCCGCAATCCGTCGACGACTTCGAGCGCCTCCTCCTCAGCGAGCCGGACTCGTCCCTGCTCTGGCTGCAATACATGGCCTTCCACCTCGAACTCGGCGACGTCGAACAAGCACGACAGATTGGCGAACGGGCGCTCAAGTCGATCGGACTGGGCCAAGAGGCGGAGAAACTGAACGTCTGGATCGCGCTGCTGAACTTGGAGAACGCGTACGGCGACGAAGAGACGATCGAAACGACATTCAAACGCGCCTGCGAATATAACGACCCCGAGGAGATCTATTCGCGGCTGACCAGCATCTACATCCAGTCCGGCAAACACGACAAAGCGGACGAGCTGTTCCAACGGATGCTGAAGAAGTTTGCCCAGGACCCCAAAGTGTGGATCAACTATGCCACGTTCCTGTTCGACAGCGCGGGCGACGCCGAGCGCGCGCGCGCCCTCCTGCCGCGGGCGCTGAAGACGTTGCCGAAATTCACACATTTTGACGTGACCCTGAAATTCGCCCAGCTGGAATTCAAGTCGGCGCGAGGGCTGGCGGAACGGGGCCGCACCATCTTCGAGGGCCTGATCAGTTCGTTTCCGAAACGGGTGGACCTGTTCAATGTCTTGCTGGACCTGGAGCTGAAGCAGGGCGACCAGGAGCAGATCCGGGCGCTGTTTGAGCGCATCTTCGCTGGGAAGCTCAAGCCGAAGCAGGCCAAATACTTCTTCAAGCGCTGGTTGGCGTTTGAGGAGGCCGAGGGAGATAAGCGTCGGGTTGAGGCCGTCAAGGCTCGGGCGGCCGAATGGATCCGCGCTGCGGGAAAGTCAGAGGTGGATGTTGTTTGATGAGAGAGTGGGCGAGCGAGCTATACAGAGTAGCCTAGGGTCTCGACTCTACAGACGAGATTAAAAAAAGGGTCCTGAAGAAGCTAGTTAGGGGGATAGACAAATGGAGACTACAAGACTACTGTTGTCGGAAAATGCCGACCTGTTTGTCACCTGTGGACTACCGAATTATCTGTATGTACAGAGTAGATGGGTTCATCGCTCAACACAGACATTTATCGTACAGAGTCCTGTGTACAGAGTAGAGTATAGGTAGTGTTGTGGATTCCAGGGGTCCAGGCAATTTGTACTACGTATTGTGGTGGTACGAATATCTCAAGTATCTCGTTCTCGTGGTCGGTTACCCAACAGGGAAGTACATATTCGACTAGGAAGGATATAGCGACCCTCCTCAGCCTGATTTCGGGTTTCTCAACTTTCGGGTTTCTCAACTGCAGTGCCGGGTTTCGTACAGAGTCCGTAATCTGCTCGGGTCTCATCCTCCGTTTCGCTTGGGGGCGGAGTAGAAGACCATTCGGCTTTCTCGCGCCCCAACGAAGAAGGGAAAATCACCAAATTGGGCGGCCCCGACTCAGTTTCCGTTTCAGGAACCATAAAGTTGGTACTAGGTATTACTATAGGCACTCGTCTATTAATATTAGTTGTATTTGTGGCGGAAATGTCCGTTGAATAGGGGACTGAAGAGGAGAGCGAAAGGGAGTGGAGTCTATAGTGGTAGTATAATGGCATTCGTAGCTCTGTATACAAACACAACATAGCAGGAAAGGGGTAGTGGTAGGAGGAGATAGAGAAGATAGAGGAGATCCCTTGTCTAGACATGGTAGCTGCGTAAGTTAGGTAGGTGGTGGCGGTGGTGTGGATGGTCGGGGAGGATATGCTGTACTCCGACAGCCTTGCTGGGACAGACATAGGCATAGAGGAGGTCTGGACTCTTGTCTATCTAGAGAGTAGCTTGATTGTCTCCCGTCTGGCTTGAATCCTCATCGGAACTTGATTTCCTTACACAAGCATGGAAAGGGGTGATTGTGATTGTGATTGTTTGTTGAAACCATTCGTTTTAGGTACGTGCAAGGTACTATTCTAGGCTATTCTACACGAGAGTCTAGTCCTATGCAGACCACCTCGGGCTGGACGGCCGAACCACGCATCTGGGTATCTAGCAATAATGGCGTCCACAAGGATAGGACTTGATATTTATTCCTTGTCAAGAAGGGTACGTACATCCGTACTCAACAGGGTCCAGAGTGACTGGTGAGGCGAGTGTTGCGTAAAACAAAATCCATGCTAGCCGAAGAGCCTTGTGAGGCTGTTTGTGCCAATAATAACATTAGATGATAATACTCTGGACCACCTACCAGCAATGGCACAGCTGTTTCCTCATCAGGTTGATGGATACTGTAGCCTGCAATTTTCTTCGTCGAGTTTCGCCGACGGCGAACCGAGTCTCTTCCTCTGACAAACTTGAAGTGGAGAGAGCACAGACAGAGAGAGAGAAGAGAGCCTTGCGGCAAAATCATCGTTTCGGGAACGGAAATGGCCGAACATCGACCATGGTCCTTCGGCGCTGGATCAAACTGGGAAGCTTCGATGTGTCTTCCATGACCCACTGTCTGTGTCTGCCACTGCTTCTGCTTCTGCTTCTGGTGAAGTCGGATCGGCTTCCGCTCTCGCGGGAGGCTCACCGCGGTTTCGTTTCAACAGTGTTTCTAGTCTCTAGTCTGGCGTCGTTTGAGGTCCCTGTGAATCAGCAATTCAGAGTCACGTACCTAGCAAAGTGGCCAGACAAAAAAAAATGTACCACAGAACCCTCTGTTTCAACGTGTTGTCATCCAAGTGCAACCCTCGTGTGCTCATGATTCAGATTACTCGATAACAATTACCAAAGACCAGCTATTGACGTAGTCTCATCCTGTTTTTTCTTCCCCGCTGTTCCTGTTCCTGTTGCTGTGGCTGTTCCTTGTTACTGATGTTATTTCCGACCTCGTATGTCTGATCTTGTGCCTGATTCCTGTCAAACGACACTTCCCCTCAAAATCAATTTCGACCGGTCCGAACTATCGGCCACGGACCGTTGCCGTTCTGGGATAGAATGATAGGATGATAGGCAGATAGGCGGATGGCCGATAGCCTGCAAGATGATTTCAATCGTCACGGATCCGACCGGGTGGTAACAGGAGAAGGGATCCACGATCAAGTGGGACGTCGGGCACGAGGCGAAATCTCAGGTGTATTTCGATTTGGTAAAGGCGGGAGACTTCCTGGCCAACCGAGCAGGTCAAAGCGAGACGAAGCAGAAGAAAAAAAGGCGCGCTTCATGGGGGGCGCGAGGGATTCGCAGGCGGGAGAATGTTTCCCGGGCTGAGAAGGGCCAACGAAAGTAAATGCGCGGGTCATGCTGCGTCAATTAACCATCATCGTACATGATTTCCCGACGGCCCCGCCTATTTAGTAGTAGGGATTCGAGTTACGGGTGTACGCACCGTGGAGGCCAAGGGGCTAGGGGCTATACGGTTAGGTGCCACGATTCGCTTCGGGGGTTCCCTAGGTGTGATTCAGGCCATCTAGCAGGTCGTTTACCCCTGCCCTTTCAGGCGTCTGTCTCTGTAATGCTCGCGCCCACGCTCGCCAGCTGCATTTACCTGCCAGTCTGTACATTCCGGCCTCTCTGACGCTAATCGCCGCCGCCGTGGATGGACATCGCATGGCAGGTCCACCAATCATTCCACGCTGATAGCCATCTCTCACCCTTATCTTTCCCCCTGCGTGCACACGACCACAACCACTCGCTCACTCGCTCACTCTGCTCTGCATTACCACACCCTCCTGCCTACTACACTACTACCTCCACGGCGATACCGTCAGCTCGATCGATCACCATTCCCACTGCTACTCTGTATTCTAGATCTAATCCTATCCATGTCGACCGCATGATGCTATCCTGTTCATCTCTCCCACCACCTCATCTTCCACAGTCTTGACCATATCGTCACTATCTCGACACCTCCGACACCCACTGCACTGCATACACCACCCCAGCCTCAGTGTCCTTGTCGAGCCAACCCTATTCGGACATGACGCCCTAGAAGTTGCTTTTGAGGCTGAACGCCCTATCTGTGTTCCTGGCCGACCAGACACCTACTCTGTACACCATGATAGTCCCTCGCGTCTTTGCCCAGACGCAACTGGGCCAAAGACGACCACTCGACTTCAACGAGAAAGATCCATTATCCAGAAGGAAATCAAGAGACCTCAGCTCGGCATCCCGGTCGCCTCCGCGCTCTGCCCTCTCCCAGCGTCTTTCCAAACACCCCTCGTCCTCAACCTCCTACAAATCCTCCTCAGATCCTGTCAAGATCCCAAACCGCGCTGAGGGACAGCCTCACCTGCCTCCCCATCGACCCGGGCCTTCGTCAATCCAGACCTCAAGCGACAGCTCGAGTGCCGCGTCTCAGCCGCTGTCGAAGAGAAAAGATTCGGTCCAACAGATCCTGTCCTCCACAACTATCCCGGTCCGGAGGAAACGCAGGCCAAGAGCAGGTCAACGCCTGCCCGATTGTGACTACGTGGCGGATTTCAGTAAACTGCTGAGGGACGATGTACAGCAGGGCAGAGAGGCCAGCCCGTCAGGGAGTTGGGCCAATCCACAATTCGAGAGTCTGTTTGGCACAATCGATGGACTGATGGAGGGACAAATGATTGTTGGGAGTGAAGGAGTCGACGAGGGCATCTTGTCCAGTCGGTCTATCTCGACCGAGTCGATGCCTTCCCTGGCGTCCCGGGACGACTACAGCACCGCCGATACCGCCAGTATCTCCCCTTCCACCGTCAGATCTCCATCCGAACACCGATTCCGCCAAGTTGCCAGTTCAGAAGACTGCAGCAGTCATCACCCTCTTCTGCCACTGGAGGACGAGGACGACGACAACTATAGCGGTGCCACCACGCCTGACCTGGCCATATCACCTCCATCCAGGCCCAAGCGCAGATCCGTGCCTGAACGACGGCCGACGTCGTTCAAGTCGAGTCTCACAGCTTCGTTGAAAGCACTCAAATCCGCCGCGCAGACGGTATCGACTCTCGCCACCACTCCGCCGCTCGTCCAGCCGGACGACTTTCTGTCGCGATCCATCTTCGACTTCCAGCCTGCCCTGACGGATGACCGCCGTCCACCGCCGTCGGATGAGCCCCCGTCCGCCGCCCTGCGGAGGTATCTCAACCCGAACATCTTCGTCCCGCCCGACTCTCCAGCCCAACTGCATTTCTGGGTCGAAGAGAAGAGGACTCCGTCGCCCTCGTCAGAGGAAACCAGGCCGAAATTGAAGATCAAACGAAAATACCAGAACCAAAACAAGACCCAATCCCAAAGATCTTCACCAGTCACCGACGAGCACGGCCGCATCCAACAGCCCAAAAGCAGCACCGCCCGACTACCCCCGGTTGTTCCACTAGCGACATGCATCCCATCGAGTATCCGCACCGCCCACGCGTCCAGTCCGCCCATCTGGCTAGAGCCGGACGGCACGCCGAGCAACAAGCACCGCGCCGCCCAGGCTCTCTGGGAAGAGGAGGTGTTGAAGGCAGAAGGCCAGCCCCGACCGCGCGAGCCACGCGAGAACAGGGATTTCCTCCGCATCTTCGTCTGTGAGATGAACATGCGCAAGTGCGGCAAACTGAGCCTCGACGCCGTCGGTCATGCCAGGCTATGGCTGCCGCCGGTGGACGAAAGAGGCAACAACAAAGACAAGTCTGACAAGAAGACCAGCAAGGCTGGCAGCGAGCGATGGGCCATTTTGTCACCCGACTCTTGAGGAGAGCGTTTGCTAGAATATCGAGGACTTTCTGCGGCTAGTTACGCGAGAGTGCGGATTTCTTTTCCTTTTCTTTTCTCTTTTTTGGCCAATATTGCTGGCTTTTTTGGACCACACGCAAGCAAGCGGGCAATTAAAGCGACCGAGCAGGCGAGGGGGGTATATACGAAAGAGTTCTTGATGCAGTATTATCAGCATCAGTATACACAATACAAGCTTCGGCTTTGCTTTTTCTCTGCTTGACATTGAATTATTAGTCCAATACCAACGGAGTAGAAACTGCAGGATCATAATTTACACTGTATACGGTTCAACCGACGAATCTGCGGTGCTACGAGATGTCTTCGCCGAGATCGAGCTTCAAATGATAATATGATATGATATGCTGTGGATAGACAAATTGGTATGTTATATAGGTAATTCATCTTATCGGCGACTGAGAAACATGAAATACTAGGTAGTTAAGTAGGTAGCTACCTGAGGCAATATAAGGGAGGTACGGTAGTACCGCAGCACGTATAAAAGTATATATATGGGTGTCTGGGTGGTGGATTGGTAGGTAAGTAATCAATTATCGCCTATTATTTGACAAGGCTTTAGAAGTCTCATTCTCATTCTCATGATCATCATCTGAAAGAAATCATTGAATCACCTGGCAACATACGCCTCCTCGTCGACTCGAGTACTCTCACGCCAACAAGTCCAAATCCACTCGGAGCTCACGATATGCGGGATCTTCCGGCCCTTCCAGCGCGCCACGGCTTTGCGGAGACCAGGCAGATCCGACGCGGAGTGCGCGACGATATGCGTGATGGTCTGTCTCTCGTTTTCGGAGAGTCTTGACAGGGTCGAGGAGGGAGGTCCAGACCTGGAATCAGACGCGGGTTCGGACGATGGGATTACCACCTTTGCTCCGGCAAAGAGAGCAATGTTGCGGATCGTAGTGACATCCACTGCTTCGACGGCAGCGTTCGAGTCCAAGTGGGACATCGAGTGTGATCCGTTCTGCTGTCCCTCTTCCGCCTCCGCCTTCACCTTTGTCTTCGCCTTCGTCTTCGCCTCATCTTGCGGCGATTGGTCAGGTTGGTCAAAGTACAAGACCAGCCCGTGAAACATATACCCCTTCATGTCGAGGTACTCGGGGAACAGCTCGGCGAATTTGTCCTCATCGTGGATTTGGCTGTCGTGGATATCAGCCATCTGATCCATGCATTTGCTGAGCTCGTCCACGCTGGTGTCGCGGGCGAAGCTGTCTCCGTAGTCGTCCACGTTGTCGGCATATCTGTCCTCCGACCCCGTTGGCACGAAGAACAGATGTCGCTCCGGCTCCATTGGCAACACAGCCTCCGGGTATCCTCTGGCGAAATCCTTCCGTGCTTGGTCGATACAGTCGAATATCCACATCGGCTTGACCATCTCCTTCTCGCCGCGCTTCTCCAGGCTTGCCACTTTCACGGTCCGTCGAGCAGCAACGCAGATGGTCTCTGCGACGGCATTATGCGTCTGGACGATCTTGCCGCCGTGGGCTTTCACCAGCGCCTCGAGTTCGAGCTTCGATGTCTTGGGTGCTGGCGATATCGACTCGGTCATGATATAGAACGTCAGCCCCTCAAAGACCTTCCCGCCAGGACCATCGGGCAAGGAGGCATTGTTGACGGCTTTGGCGTTGTATCCGGCAATGGTTATGACTTTCTTGCGTGGTGCAGGTTTCCGCTGTTTCTTTTTCTGGTCATCCACTTTCATCGCCTTCGTTTCCTGCTCCTTCTCGATGTTGTCACGCAGGTCTTTGAACTCTTCCAAAGACAAAGCGGTCCGCCAATCCCTGTCTCGGCGTAGTTTTTTGAACCGTGGGAACCGTAATGTCATACCACACCCGTAATCCTCACTTGTCGTCACTTGGGCCGCCTTGACTTCAAGCACCAGAGAGTCTTCAGGTTTGATCCAGACATCAGGCTTCTCTTTCTGGATGGTGGGTCCGCCTCCGAGCTCGATGTATTGCATTGGAGGCCTTTTTGCATCCCAATCGATCCATTTGCCATCTGTTTCGTGGCGAATGGTAGCGTAGTCATTCGCAGTCATGCCACCCCCGACCTTGAAGAACGAGACAAACTTTTGTGACGGCTCTCCACTGTCGAGCTCGGCCTCGCTCTCTCTCCGTGTCTGACTCTGTGTGGGCCGCTGACTCTGGCTTTGGATCTGACCCTTGTAACCAGCCGGGGCACGTAAGCCGCAGAGAAAACTCGACAACTTCCCTCCTCGCCGGCCAGAGCCGTAAAAAGCGCCGATGATCAGACAATCAAACGATTCGCCAAATCCAGTCATATACTCCGGCTTCACTTTCTGCCAGTCACCACTGCGGTCATCAAGACGGTACGCAGATCGAGGACTTTTGAGCATCAACCCTTCCGAGGCCTGGGCGACAACTTCACGCAACTCGACCTCGACGTCCTCAGCTGTCCTTCCAATCTTGTAGTCATGGAGTTCCAGGCGACGAGGTACAGTTCTGACACTCGCTTCCAGGGCTTTACGACGGTCTCGCAGAGTGTAGCGAGTCAGATTTTGCCCATTGAGGAGAAGAATGTCGAAGACACGGAAGAGCGGTCTCTGGCCTCCCGCGAACGGATTGCGTTGCTCAGCAAGAGCGGCCGTTTTCAAGCTGCCAAAGGGGACCGGTGCGTCCTGTTCGGGATCCCACGTAATCATCTCGCCATCCAGAATGATACTCTCGACATCCGGCCTGAAAGTGTTTTTGATGAACTGGGTCAGAGCGCTGGAGTCGTCCTCGAACCCTTCGCCATAGAGATACGTATAATCCTTGGCTTTCCGCGACCAGAACTTGAAACGTTTCTGTCCTGGCCATGATTCCTCGGTTACCATGTGTAATTGCATGCGTTCCCCATCTAGTTTCTCCTCAATCCAGAATTCGTCGTCTTCATCAGTGGGCCGCAGTCGTTGGACGATTTTCTGGAGTGACTCCTTTTCGTGTTGGGCGAGTTGCGGTTGGAAACATGACATCAACATGACTCCCGTCTCGTCACCTTCGAGACGTATATTGGGATCGTACAACTCCCAACATACCCGACGCAGGTTGCTGGACACATTGAACAGCGTCTCAGCATCGGGGTGGAAGATATGGAAGAACGTCTTCTCCGTCGCCCCAACTTTCATCTGCCGCAAGATGATCCGGATCAGCCACATAAGCTCTTCGGCGTTCATTCGTCTGTAGAACTCGGTTAGAATGTCTAATTGGCCTTCTTCCTTCGGCGCCGCCGATAGTTGGTCTAGAAGGTGGTTGACTTCTTCGATACTCATGTCCCCCACGTCAATCCTCATTGGCCGTTTGGAAATGACTTCGTAACATCGTAAGGCGAAATCTCCAGCGGATTTGCTCTGGCCAGGGATTTTCCAGTGGAGGAGATTGAAGCCATCCTCCGAATTCTTATCAATCTTCATGATCTTCACCAGGAGTTTACCAAGTATCTTCTCTTTCAGACCATAGACGCCGCGGTCTCGATCTTTGTCGGGAATGATGAGACGGAACGCTGGATAGAAATCTTTTCCCACGTCTCGTCGCCATCGAGCGATGTATCGTTCAATGATGGCTCGACGTCTCTCGGATGGGGATGTACTGTTGTGAGCATTTGGACCTACTTTTCTTCGGTTGGTGGTCGCCGCATTTGGTTTGTTCGTCCTGTTTTCAATGAGAGGATTGAAAAGGTCTTCGAAGAGGGTGTGGAATGGGAGTGTTGGAGAGTGATTTTGGGGCCGATTTGGGTATTCTTCGTCTAGCTGTCGTTCTGTCTCAGCTGGGTCGTGGGAATGCCCATGCGTGGAGACGACATCCATATCTTCATCGTCCGACATGTTGGCCAAGGCAATCGCCTCTCAATTTGGGAAGACGGTCGGACGTGCTTCATGTGCGCATCGCGGTAACCATACGCAGTGCTAGGAGAGATGTTCATAGAGTTGACCTACTCCGCAACCGGGAGGAGAATTCAATGTTTCTCTGTGTCTCTATACAAATTCATCTGTTCAGGCGGCGGCGGGGATGAGATGGAAGTCGGGAAGATAGTACGTCACATCCCCCAGGTGCCACACGCCACACGCCACACGCGCGCGTTGAGTGACGCGCCGAGAAGAAACGCGCAGTCATGTGGCCACGGTCGAGTCTTCGGATGACGGCGGACGATCATTCACCCTGCGCAGTTTTGAGGCTGACAACCTGTCTACACCAGGTACCGACTATACCTACAGACTTACACTTTGCAACCTCCCATCATCGTTCCCTTCTCCATGCTTTAACTCTAATGACCACAATGAGAGCCGTCTTGTTACAGCACCCTTACTAAGCAGAGCGCGACTCCTCACGCTCGTTTCTGTCTGCGTTGGATGCTTGCGCATCTCTGTCTGGCCCATGGTCTCATGGATTGATGACGGAGAAGCAGGCACGGCGTCCACCTGTGGCGCCCAAGCCCTCGTTCATTCACCAAGATGCTACTACAGTAAAGATCTCTCCGCTGCCTTCGCCGGCCTTGCAGGGTGCTACTACCGCCTTCGGCCCCGGACCGGTCAAAGTCTCCAATGCCGTATCTTCACATAATCCGTCGACAGGAGCATTGCTTGCTGCAACCGCCGCGGCCGGCAAGAGGCAACAGGCGCAGCAACAGGCGCAGCAACAGCACTGGCAAAATGCTCCGAAAAATGGCCTGGTCGCTCAGCTACAGTCATCGGGATCCCGCGGTCGCCAACCTGCCACTAGAAATGAATCATTCGCGGCTAGCCAGTCCTCCCCGTCCCCTCCAAAGGCTCGTTTCCAGCCGCATTCTCCTCAGTCCACCACCTCTGCCGTTGCTCAAGTGGCAGCCTCGGCCGCAACAAGTCCCGTCCGCCAGCCCGAATCAAAAGAAGACTTGACCTCGTTATACCTCCCTGGAATTGAACGGTTAGATGGAATGCGCCTGCGTTCAAGAAGCACCAGCAGCGTGCAGAGCGATACGGTTCTGTCTGCTCAAAGAAGTCCGGCCGCACTTGCAGGGGCCATAGCTTCAATGACCAATGCTCCAGTTCAAGACCGAGGACAGATCGAGGACAAGCAAAAGACTGATTTGAGCGGCATCTCACACCTGTTCTTGTCACCATCGCACCCTTCCACGGGGTCAAGTCCATCTCCTTCTCCATCTGGGACAGCGGCGGCCGCCGTGGCGACTAGGAATGCTGCTGCTGCTGCTGCTGCGACCGCGGAGGCGAGGCGACGAGAGGAGTCTGTGTTCGGCGAGAGTAGGCTGAGTGACTCGTTTTCCGAGAATGTTGCGTTGTCCCCATCACTAGCGAAAGGTTCAAGCTGGCCAGAGATCAAACTGACTCCGCCGGAAACCAATTCGGATACGGATTCCGAGTCTCTCGACGATTATGAGTCTGCTCCGGAGACTCCTCAAGAGCCACGTTCAGCGCCTGTCCCGCTGAGGAGGCCAGGCCGCGCGGCAACTGTCGCTCAAGAGAACGCCAATGCTCACAACGCCGAGGCTCCCATCTTGGACGCTCGTACCAAAATGACGGCAAGCTCGCTCGCCGATGCAATGGTGGCTTCGTCACTAGCATCACAGCAATCTGCCTCGCGCGTTGCATCCCCAGCAAGAAACGGCCAGCCGCCACCTCCACCTCCGAAACCGCGCCGACGATCAAGGTCGGCAAGTCTATTCGAAACTGGCAAACCACACCTCCCGTTCCTCGGTCGTGGCAGCGAGACGGCGCCACAAACACCAAAGTTGCCTCCGCGCAAGCAAAGGCCTATGAGGCAAACAATGCGGAGTCCATCGCCGGACCATCGTGAAAAAGACGACGAACCGGCCAAACGAGGCCGCCGACATTGGCGACGCCATCCCAACATGCACCATGAAGGCGACCGCAAGAGATGGCGCGACCTTGTGACCGACCGAGAACGCAAACGGTACGAAGGAGTGTGGGCGGCAAACAGGGGTCTTTTGGTCGATCTGGACCTCGCCATTCTCGAGGCCCTGCAGGAGCAATCACAACATTCACAACAACAACAGCAGCAGCAGCAGCCACAACACCCCGCCCACAAAAATATTGTGAATCCCGCCGATTTGGTGGTCAATGTCGTGGTGCGGGATATCTGGGAGCGCAGCCGCCTCCCCAAGGACGTTCTAGAAGAGGTCTGGGACCTCGTGGCCGCGCCGGGAGCCACAGCCGTGAACCGCGAAGAGTTTGTGATCGGCCTGTGGCTGATCGACCAGCGGCTCAAGGGCCGCAAACTGCCCGTCAAGGTGTCGCCGAGCGTGTGGCAGAGCGTACGGCATCCGCAGGGCGTGAGGATTCGCAACAAATCGATGCACAAGTAGATAGGTGTTCTGAGTGAGATACCCCCGGCCTAGGCCTGATACTACCTAAAGGTACCTATGCCTACCTTAGATAGATTATAGAGTAAATGCGGGATCAAAGACATGAGTGTCCTCGGAATCAACGCATCTTTCTACCCTCCCTATCACAATTGCATCAATACCTGTAGTGAACGAAGATAACTTACTTAGTAAGGTCATGTCACAGTACACAGTACACATCCATCAATCAATGAGTGAGTGATTGACGAAACCATCATACTAGGGTCGCCGTGGAGGCTGACATGGGATGAGATACCGTGCTTAGGAGGGCAGCTGCTCATAAGTACTAGAACTAGTAGCACTTTACTGCCCATGCTACGACGATGATGGCCACAACTTACAGAGGGAGGTAGGTAGGTAGGTAGGTACCTATATATATATATATATCGAGGTCCACAACGTGACAACATGACTTGGCTACAACACAGGCATACTATTAGAGAACTCTTGGTGGAAGGTCGTCCAAAGTATTCTGAACCTGGGTAGATGGTTATTAGGTATGTATAGATGTCGATATGTAGGTAGGCAAGAGATAGTTTGGTCAAAGCTTTTGATCGTATCAGGGATATCAAGCTCCTAGAGATTCCAAATGGAATAATATACGTAGTAAATTGATCAATCCACACTCAAAAAATGCAAGATCAAGTTCGGCTGGGGTATCAAGATTCGTGGGTCACATCAAGTAATAATGTACAGTTGGGTGGAAAGGTAAGGCATAATCGTCTCGTCGCCTCGTCACCTCTTCCCTTTCGTTGCTCTTCCTCTGACTTCTCCTGCATCGACTTCCTTTCGTCCTCGTCGACTTGACTCATTCGATCTCTCTTATCGTGGCTGTGACAGCCAGATGCGGCGGAGATAAGGCCGATCTCGAAACAGGAGTTGTCCGAAACTAGGTCATGCGCCAGCCGGTTTTCACCGCCCGTGTCAGTCTAGTCGGCGGTGTAACATTGAGTTTCTTTTGGACGGCAGGAGATGCTAGAAATGTTCAAGTTCAAGTTTCATGACCAGTTTGGAACGCGCGGCCCAATAGGTTGTGGCCGGAGCCCGCATACCAGGACTTTGTCAAGTTGGCTCGGAGCGTGGGGTTGATGGTGTCACCAACAGAGGTCGGCTAAATTGACACAACCAATCAATGAGCATCATCGGTAGGAGAGTTTCCGATCGCGGTCGGATGTCCAGATCCAGGATGATTTCTTGGTTCTGTTGTCTCATCCATCGTCAACAATCCGTTGAACCATGGAGAGAGGAGTCGTAGCTTCGTAACGTCGTAGCACTGAATGCTTGGATGGTTGGTAGGTGGGTTGCATGCTAGAGATGCAGGACTTGTATCCCTTCAATCATCTTCGTCGACCTCGACAGCAGTCTCCTTGACCAAGATCGGTCGCGTTTGGCGCCAGCTCTGGCTCTTGTATTTGTACAGCGAAGCGGTTGGTGGAGGAGGCGGTCGGCGGTTGGGACTGGGAATCGTGGACTTGGACTCATGGTCTTCAGAGTCTTGAAGAGGGTCGAGTTGGATGTCGTGAACATGATCGGTATCACTCTCAGATTGATGGTATTGGTAATCCGTCTCGTCGTCATCGTCGTCGTAGATGGCCACTTCGCCTAACCTGACAGCGTCTTCGTCCTCATCCTCGATGGGATCTTCGAAGGGGTCGGAATCTGTATCTGACTCGGAGTCCACGAGGACTGTTTCGGAGGGCTCGGCGACTTCTCGCGACCAGCGACGGATGTTGTCGACGATGGCGGCATGGGCGACAATGCGGTGGAGGTCGGGGGTCGGTCGACGACACTCTTTGTCGAGTTTGATCTGGGAGAGGTGGAAGACTTTGTAGGCCGTGACGGCGGGATTCGTCGAGGTCAACATGGTTGACATGGTTGGAGGTCAATGGTCAAGAGGTTGATGAATTGCAGAGGAGAATTGATGCGGTGATATGGATGTGATGCCAGGCTTCCAAGTAGTTAACTTGAATTCCAATGAATCATGACGGACCAGAAGAAACAAACACACTGGCACCAGAAACCGGGTTACGTAGGCTATATGGGTTTTGCATCAGCCGTACAATGCAGTGGACCGGGCGGAGCAGGGCAGAGAAAGAAGCGAAGGAAGACGGCGGAAGAGAATAGCCGGCCGGAGATGCGGGATACCAGAGTGGCAGTGGCAGTGGCAGGTTGGCAGGTTGGCAGGTACCTACGTCGCATCGTTAACGACAAAAGTCGAACTCTATGGGCAAATAATACTCCCTAGAACAACCTAACTAGGTCCTAGAACACCTGGGGAACAAGGATTTTAGGGACTAGTCGTACAGAATATTCGGTATTATTGGATGGCTGAGGACGCGAGGCCCGTGTGGTCATGTCATGTCATCATGTGAGGCTGTACAGAGTAATATGTAATGAATAATCTGTCAACGCTAAGGTACTAGATGCTAATCACTAATAAACTTGGGCTCGAATTTAATGATTGAAAAAATTTCCCACCTGTCGATTCTTCCGGAAGACACGGCTGTTGACACAGGGCTGACGGGCAATCGACTCGCTATTTCGCTGTCCTCGCTACGTTCGCTACGTTCGCTACGTTCGCTACGTTCGCTACGTTCGCTGTCCTCGCTTAGGAAGTATCATGAAGTAAAGTTTGCGTGTTGCAAAAAAATTAATCCCCTCGTCCCACTCCACGGTATTTTCCATGCTTTGAGTCAGCACAGCTTACCTGCTACTACTCCTCTGCAGCGAACTCTTGGATTCGTACACTGCACTTCATGCAATGCCGGATGTGACGAGCCGGATTCAGTCAGTGCAAGGATCATGCGGCTGATCTTTGACGATATACAGAGCACTCTCTATGAAGACAATGAGCAAACGAGGCGGAAGGACTTTTCCGCTACTACGATCCCACTTCGATTCATGGTGCACGAACTACGTATTGATCCAGCATCTTCCGCGGTAAGGGGCGCAGACTGCGGAGAAGATTTTATTAGCACCTCCTACTAGCAGCGATTCGACGCTTCTAGAGATGCGATGCAGCGATCGGATCCAGATCCCAGGTAACGTGACTGCCTTGGTACCTAGATTCATGCCATGACGTCGAGATGACCGATGACTTCGACAGTACTACTCTAGAGTAGTATGTTGCTTGTAACTACCACCCTATCACGTTCTTGATCGACGGGCTACGAGTATGTCTCCTCACTGCATGACAACTGCTTCCATTCCCCAGCTCGCCGTGGACTGCGTTTGATGTGCAAGGTACGCAGTCCGAATTCGCTTCGACTTCAGCCCCATGCATGCCATCCAGGTGCTGGGCTGATTAAGGTATATCAGCATTGCACAACTGTGAGCATGCATGATTACCTCACGTAAGTGCGGTAAGTGGCCTGAGTTCAAGTTGTTCCCTTCCATCGTACCGGTGAGGCCGGGTAAATATCTCCCCAACACAACCTTTCGGTTTACGTTCGGAGTAACAATTCCCTCCCTCCATCATCCATCCCCCGGCCGACTCGAGTCATCCACGCGGCTTACTCGTACATCCGGTATCTGGGACCTTGAATCTCACTCAGCGCGCTGTTCAGATCCCATTCTAGCAAAAGCCACCTCCAATCACAAACCGAAGCCCTGGATTCTCGGTTCCGAGCTCTTCGCAGTATACAGTCAGATGCAAGCTGGAGACGCAGAAGAGACGAGGGAAGAGACAGTTTGGATACAGCAACAGAGACAGAGCCTGTGTCTCCCCATTTGCCTTAGATGACTGCGGAAAGAAGAAACAAAAAAGAAAAGATCTCACTTCATTCATTACTTCATGCATCACTCATTGTCATCATCACCATCATGCATCTTGCCTAGTGGGTTGCTCAATATTCATCGAGCATTAGGACCTTCAGGACATCCCAATCCAATCCATACATCCTGTACCCTTGGACTAGTAGTACATATCATCATCAAACCTCATACTGTTCTGAGCCTGCATTGACCGGTTCTTGCCCCAGCCGAAGTCTCGATTGGATCCCGTGCCCGTGCCCGTTCCCGTTCCCATGGACATATTCATCCCTTTACTCGTCCGTCCCCACCCGTTGCTGGTCGGTTGATACTGGCCGTACCCGATGCCGCCACTTCCAGGTCCGGCATCATACGCAGCACCATATTGCGAGTGCACTCCGCCGCCCATATAGGCAGGCGAGTTGCCATTGGTATTGGTACGGCTTGCACTGCTGGAGTTGTCGGGCATGCCGTTACCGGCCCCAACGCCGCCGCCGCCCGGGCTATCCTCAAAGAACGACAGATCTAGAGTGCCCCAGTCCTGCTGGGTGTCGCCGTCGCCGCCGCCCCAATTCTCAAAGCCCATGGCCAGCTGGCTCTGGTCCTTGAAGATCCAGTCCTGCGTCTCCTCGATCAGGCTGTCGATCCCGCCAAACAGTCTCGCCGCATTCTGCGTTTCGCCCACGTTGGCACCCGACGCAGTGGCAGACGCGCCGGCCGAGGAACTCGCCATGCGCGCCAGGTGCGTGTTCCAGGCATCCTGTTGCGCTTTCGTCAGGTATGTCAAGTTCGACGCTCGCACGCGGTGTGGGTCACGACTCAAATCCGCTGCGGTGGACGGAGGCATCGAGATGTTGCCGGACGACCGCCGTGTCTCGATTAGGTCGGAGGGCGAAGGCGCCATCGCTGCAGACAAGCCACTCGACATGACCGGTATGTTCATGGATGGTTGCCGGCGACTTTGTTGCCGCTGATGTTGAGAATTTCGAGCCATCAGGTCTGGTACTGGCTGCGAACTGATCTGCGTGGCCATGGTCGCCAGCGAGCGAGGTGAGATGGGCGAGGGAGCATTTTCGGCTGCCAGCCCCCACTTGTTCCGCACCCGCGTATAGACAATCTCGGCTTCTTCAGGCATTTCAATGTTCCACCGATCCGCGCACAGTCGTAGCACTCGGAGAGTGCGTCGCGCGGCCGTCCAACATTCACCCATCTCCTCGAGGTGTTTGACGCCGTGGATGATGTCTCGTCGCGCATTCTTGTCCGGCAGATTCAGGAGGTGGATCGTGCATGCCGAGTGGGTAATATAGATGGCGATGTTGCATATCTGACGCAGACCGTGTGTGCGCTTATACAGCCGCAGCAGTTTCGAGATGGCCGCAGCACCCTGTGTGCAGTATTTCCGTGGCGACACGTGTGCGGGAAGAGGCGACGTCGTTCGGGTATACTTCAAAAACGGCCGGTACAGATGGATGTACAACAGCTGGAAGAACATGCTGATGTGGATAGCGTCAGTTTCAGATCACGGTCGGAGCTCATCTGCCCCCAAAACGTCGTCCAACTTACTGCATCAGCAACACTTGTGGCAACTGGCCTTCCCGTGGCTCCATCTCCGCGGGCAGAGCTTGCTTCCATGCCTCCAGCCGGGTATGCAAGTCAGTCAGCCGTTTGAGCTCGGCTTGTTTCGTCAGCGGCTTGTCTCGTTGTTGTGGGTTGTAGAACGAGGTCAACAGATCGCCCGAGATCTCGGCGAGTTTGGCCAACTGCAATGCCACCGCTCTAGTTCTCGCCGGTTGAGCATGTGTATGGACCACCCCGGCGTCGGTGTAGGGCGACCACACCTCGCTATCCTCGGACGGGAACACGTCGGGCTTTTTGACCGCCACATCGGGCATCTGCAGCTGCGGTTGTCTGCCTAGATAATTCGACCAGCACCTGATCACATTAGTTCAAGAACAGAGCAGAACAGAACAAAACAGGTCGCAACATACTTGTCGAACAAGAAACAACCGGAGAAGGTGATCCGCCTGGCATCAATATCCTCATCGGCCAGGCGCGAGGACTCATTGATGGGAGCGGCATCGACATTCAACCCCAGATCACAAGCCATGCGGAAACTCATGCCGCTGTAGACCCAGCCTTTACTTTCGCGGCCACAGCCGGCCTCTCTGACCGACATCAGCGCCAAAGCCTGGACGGTGCAGAGTTTGGCATTGGCGAATTCGTCGTCCTCATACAGCAATCTCTTGGACTCGGCGAAGAAATGGTCTCCCGTCGTGGCCGAATCCTCGGGATCGGCCCTCGCCTCGGGTCTCGTCGAAAAGTGACATCCCAGGGCGAGCATGACATTGACCAGCAGCGGCGAGCAGTACTGCGACGACTTCCCCGTCAAGAAATCGCGATAGAACAGCTCCTTGGACAAGGTGGTGAAGAAGGCGTAATGCCAGCAGAAATACATGTTCATGAAATGCAGCACCAGCTCCTTGTCCTGCGTCACCGTCGTCCACGACAGGATGGCCTCTTCTCGCGGTCGCACCACATGACCTGCAGCGAGACTACTAGCCGCCGGGTTCCTCTGCTGTTCATATTCCTCGGGGAACCAGATGAGATTCGACGTTCCCCCAATGAACTTGACCGACCCGTCTAGCATCAGGTCGCCCATCTTGCCGGAAAGCTCGGCCTCGAACTTCGGAACCGCCGCCAGCGACTGGTCTGCGCCGTAGACGGGCGAGTCGGGCGCATCTTCTTCCAGACTTTTCGCCTGCGCCTGCGCCTCGGTAATACTGCCCGCCAGCTCTTCGAGGCTGTCGCACGTTCGGATCTGACGTACCAGATCCATCACGTCGTCTTCTTCCGCGTTGAGGATGGCCTGGATCAGGATCTGCAGGGTCGAGTTCTTGGCCTTGGAACTGTCGATTTCCTTCTTGTACACGCCTTTGCGCCGGTGGTCGGTGTGTGGTGCGTATTCGCATTCCGTCAGATAGACGGATGCGCAGGCGGCGCATTTGGGTAGGTTTCCGTCGCATTTCGATTTGCGCTTGCGACAGGCTACGCATGCCGTGCTTACGCAGCGTCTTTTGGAGGATGCGCTGCCTCCGTCCTTGTCCTTGTCTTTGTCTTTGCCTCCATCTCTGCTCTTGTTCTTTCTTCTGGCCGAAGTCGACGTCGGAGCTGGAGCTGAAGCTGAAGCCGAAGCCGAACTCGTGGCACTGGCGCCGGGTTCTGTCCCTCCCAAAGATCGTTGAAGCGGAGAGGTTTGCTGAGCCGGCTGTTCTGGCTTCAAGTTGATCTCGTCGTCCATCGTGGCATATAGTGTAGTGTATCTTATGGATTTCTAAAACATCGAGTTCGCCTTATCGGGACATGGAGGTTTTGAAGTCTGCGGGAGCGCGGTGTGAGCATTGACTGGAAGCTATCGTGCCAGGCGAGTATCGCATTGCGGTGGCCAATTGTTGTCGTTGTCGTTGTCGTTGTAGTCTAGTCAGATGAGGGTCTATTGGTGGTCAGGGAGAGTTCTTCTGCGATCAGGGATTTGATTCAACGACGCCGCAAAGAGTACAGTCCGGAACAGGGTCGTATGAGGCTGGCTTGAGGCGATCTCGGCGAGCGTAGAGCAGGGTCTGCGAGGAGGGAGTCCGTCCGTGGGGAAGGGGGGAGGAAGATAACAGGGACGCGGGTCGAAATCGTCGTATCTTGCAAGACCTACTACGTACTAGGAGTAGGAGTAGGTAGGTACTGATACTGAGAGTGCGGCTTGGTCAGCAGTCCAGATGAGTAGTCCCTACGTACATCTGCTCGCAATGGGTCTCGGTCTCAAGCCCGTTAGTATCTGGTATTTCTCGACGGACAGAATAGCCCTAATAAGAGCAGATCAACGACTGGAGTCAAGAGCGCGGGGTGTGTGACACAACATGAGTACTCTAGTACCTTTACTTGCGGCTCCTTAGGCCTATTGAAATTTTGAAGGGCGCCTAGGGCCTCTACCAAGATCTGGCGGTGCCACTTATTTCAAGTTTGTAGGGTAGCCATGGCGATCGCAGTCTGCAAGCCGGGCCTCTTAGCCTCTTGATTCGCAGCCAGAAAGAAGATTACCAATAAATCACGTCTGTTAGGCCCGTTGCACAGGTTGGGGATCCAGGCCGAGAGCTCTCAGAGATATGCAGATGCCATTCCTAGTACTGCTCTGTAGCATCGAACGAAACAATAACGGGGCACAAGGGGCATATTCTGTTGGAATAGGAAAAGAACAACGACAAGTCTGCAGGCTCTGTTGTAGAAACAATTGTTTGTGCTGTCTTCTGTCTTAGAAAGCTCCATGTTCCTCATGCCTGTCCTGTCCTGTCGTGAAACATCACAGGTATAGCCAGCCTCCTTGCTCACCCACGCGAAAAGGTATTCTCATAATCAGCCAAAAGAAACCCCATCTTTGTTCATGGCGGTACAGATCCGTGGGATCTCCTTGAGGTCTTGTTGTTCCAGCTTCGTTGCAAGATAGACTCTCTTCCTAGAAAGTAGCCATGGTTCGCTGAATCCTGAATCCTGAATCCTGGGTCCCGGCTCGTCTCGTCGTGCTATGCCTACCCAACTCAAGGCAGTCCCAGCAACGCCTTACTATTCTCATAAACCACATAACTAATGCTGACGGCCGGAGCGACTTTCAGAAGGTTTGGCGTGACTCCTTTGAACAAGCCCCTGTATCCTTCTCCTTGAATGGTCTTCACAGCCACATCCCAGATGCCGGTGTAGGTCGGTGGATGTAGAATGGTTCCTTGCGCCTGCAGTCTCGTGCGGAGCAGGTTAATCGGATACACTGCTGTGGCGCTGATGGCTCCCGACGTCGCTCCAATAAATCCAGTGACAAGGTTGCTCATGTCGACGTCGTCTTCATGGCATCGGGCCAGCTTCGCCTTGCGTGCTAGGACGAATCGCTTGCAGTTTTCGAAAATGAACAGATCGATCGCACTGTAAGGGAACATGCCAGCAAGACCCATGCCAAGTCCACGGTAGTAAGGCTTCAATCCTCCTTGTTTCCACATTGTGCGTGCCGTCTGAAAGATGAGCGCGTTTCCATGCAGGCCGCCAGCAACTGTGTCGCATTGCATTCGACTGTGACAACCCCCGGGTTAGTAGGTGCGCGACATAGATCGGCAAATAGATCGGGAGGATTGGGTCACTCACAATTTGAGGGTGTCGAGCGGATAGACCAGGCACTGTGAGATGACGCCTCCAAACCCGCCGGCAAGGAATTGTGAAGTAGGTCGAAGATGCTTTGGGTCGGAACCTTCAAATTTGGCCAGAGCTCTCTTCGCAGCCTCGTAGGCGCCAAACTTGATCGCTGATTCAGGCATGACCTTGATGACATTGAGTCCATTGCCGGCGAACAGACTGCGCATACCACCCGCCGCCCATAAATCCTTGCAGGCGTCGATCAACGGCCGGCCAAAGTGCCTAACGGCCTGGAAGGGAGCTCCCTTCTTTGCCGCTTCGACAACTGCTTCCTTGGGGTTGGTCTGTGCGATCAGGTAGACTTTGAGCCGATCCAGCGGTGCAGTCGCGGTCCGCGAGATCATGCCTGCTAAGCCGCCAGCTATGAAATAGCCTGGGGGCGGGAGAAAATCTGTCAGCATTGTCAACTTTGTCAGACACTGACTCTGCGCAAGATTGTTGGTACGAGAGGTCGAGTGCTTGGCATGGGAAGAACATCTATACCCCGGACAAAGGTAACATGCGGAAGGTCGAATGAGAGGAACGTGACGCGGAAAAGTCACACGCATGTGTTATTCATGGGCAGCCTTGTGTTCGGTAAGTGTGCAGGGGAATGTCCCTACCGAATCCTTTCAGCGTGTCATTGATGGTGACATCTCCCTCTTGATTCACATTTCCCGTCGCAGAATAATAGCTGAGGACCGCCCCAAGACTGGATCGACCGGCCGGCAGAAAGAGAAGGAAATTCCTGAAACCACGTTAGACATAGCGACCGAAAAAGGCTTGTACCGGATTCAAGACATACCTCCATTCGTCAAACGTGATCTGCCCATCATGGTTGACGTCCACCTCATCAAAGAACTGGTCTAGTTTGGCATTGCTGATTGTGATGCCCGCCCTGGAAAAGGCCGACCGCAGCTCATTCTTGTCCAGTCCTCCACTGTTGTCTTTATCTATGCTTTGAAACAGCTGCCACAGTTCCCGCTCGGCATGTTCCACAAACGTTCGGAACTCATTGTACTGGATCCGGCCATCCCCCGAGGTGTCGACAGCATCGACGACATCGTGAAGGAGGTCGTCGGCGTTCTTGAGAGGGTGGTCGATGGTGCGGAGACCTTTCTTCAGGCCATGGAGATCGAGATGACCCTCATTCCGTGTGTCCAGAGTCCGCCATAATTCTTGAATCCGCTGATCGCGGTTCTCATGGGACTCTCCGTTCATGCTACCCCTTGTGTAGTAGGAACTGCGGCTATCTGTGAGGGAGCATGGCTGTTGCAGTCCTCACCAGCCAGGCTGTTGGGGGCGGTCGTTGGGGTCGGCTGTGGTGCAAATACAGATGTTCGTGAAGAGTGGAAAGATGAGAACCTATGCACCCGTTCCCAGAGAGAAGAACCAAAAATGGAGGGTTTGTGGAAGGAATTCAAGCAAAGGATGTTTTTGTTGTAAGTGGAGCTGCAAATGAGGTTCAAGTTTCGGATGTTGGGCGTCGCAGCCCACTGATGCTGATGCTGCAGTGGTCACATACAGAGCAGACCTTGAACGTGACACTCTCCACGAACCAATAGACAGGCAATTGGACACCTTGTCGTTGGTTGGTTGGATGGATAGTAGGCGACGGTGGGGTTTGTTTTCTCTCCTATAAAAGTCTCTGTGGCGCGCACATCCCGGGATTACGTAACCGGGAGGCGAGCCTTGCCAAGAGGGATACTAATCACGTGATATAGGATTCCACCTCAAAGTCGTCTTCGTGTTGAAAGCTGGCATCAACCTCCTGTGATACTCCACGTGCTTGGGCTCCCTTTGCATGTCCGGCTCCTCCAGGTGTTCCTGCAAATGACGCCAAATGCCGTTTGTCCGGACTGGTAACAACACTGTTTGACTCACAATGCGAAGGTGAGGTTGCTGTCACCAGAGCCAGAAGCAATGGCTGCTCCTCGAGAACTCCCTACGCGAACTGTCTGCACGACGGCATCCCAAGAAACTTGAGAGGGTCATAAATACTGCAGCGCAACATGGCCGCCAACTACTGGACGTCCACGCAGCGCAAATACTGGACATTCACGCCCGAGAAGCTTGCCGAGATCCGCGATGACTTGGACCGCCAGGCCGCCAAAGCCATCGAGCAGCACCCGTACCCCGACCGAAGACTCATGTTTATATTCCTGCGAGATCGACTTCTACAGCTGGCTAAGCGCCTGCCGTTCCGGCAACAATGCGTGGCGACGGCATTGGTCTACCTGCACCGATATTTTCTGTCGACCCCCATGCAGAATGTGAATTTGTATCTGCTCACGGCGACGGCGTTCTATCTTGCGTCAAAGACCGAGGAGTCGCCTCACCACATTCGCCTGGTCGCCGCCGAAGCTCGACAAGCGTGGCCCGAGTTTGTGCCCGGCGACGTATCGAGATTGGGCGAGATGGAGTTCTGCCTCATCTCGGAAATGCATTCGCAGCTGATCGTCTGGCATCCCTATCGGTCTTTGATCGCTCTTAAGGAGAACCAGGACCTCAAGCTCTCTAATGACGAGCTAGGCCTGGCCTGGTCAATCATCAATGATAGCTACATGACCGATCTACCGCTGACTTGTGCACCGCATCTCATTGCCATCATTGCCATGTTCCTCGCTGTGGTTTTCTTGCCAACCGCAAAAGCAGCCGGGACCTTGCGCCCAATATCTCATGACACTCTTGCCAATCCCGACTCGGGCCCCTTTTCTTCGTTAGTCGGTCGCCAGGCCCTCTCGGGCTCTTTCAACGCCGTGATCGGAAATTTGCAAATGTCGAATCACCCGGGGTCTCAGACCAACCCCGCTCCTAATGGCAAAGCTCGAGCCTCACTCAACGATTCAAGTTCGCAGCGTGTTGACAGGGAGAAGACCATCGCCGCCATCAAGGAATCCGAGAAGCTGCAGAACATCATGAGGTTCCTTGTGGAATCGGGCATCGACATCGAACAAATGATCGAGAGCACTCAGGAGATGATCAGTCTGTACGATGTTTGGGAGCAGTACAGCGAGAAGAGCATTAAGGATACTGTTTCTCGCTGTCTGAAATCCCGCGCTCTGGATAACTGAGGGCTCCTCTCCAGGAAAATCGTCCTGGAATATATACTTGTGTTTTGAACCGCCACGCGCCATTTCATGTCTTTGCGGCGTTCATTCCCGCCACGCCGAGTTCCTTTCGAAGCTCGAGGACTACGGGTTTCGTCTTGGTGACGGGGCTACTCCAGTCACACGAAGCGAGGGTTCGACTGGGGGCTTCCACATACAGAAGGTCAGCAGCAGTATTGCGAACCTATGCACCGGCGTCAGTCAGCTTCTTAACTTGGCAGGAGGGCCAGTTGAAACTACCTTTGGCCACCGATGGAGCAATTGGCGCGTTAGTTTGTCCAACGCCCTGGCTCGAAACTTTTCGGTCGTGATGAGCCTTGAGTAGAGATTCAAGGAGGCCTCGATCCTGTGAAGACTGGACGAGGGGCCGTGCAGTTTGTGCATGATGGTCCATATATCCTGCGCATTGTTCTCCGGGTCTGTGATTAGCTGGGACGAGAAGAGACCTTGATCCATCATGAAGCAGAAAACCCCAAGCAGAGGCACTACGTGACGGTCGTCTAATGGAGCAGCGAGCTGCTCCAGGATGATGGATGAAATTGGCGTCCTAAGATTGTCACGTTCGTCAGTTTCCAGAGACTGCAGGTACCAGACTATCGCGTTGCTGGTGGCGCGACAGATAGATTCTGTGCCTGAGGTCGCCGAAGAGATGATGCCCATGATGACAGGCTTGCGTGACCAATCCAGGGTGAGCAGTTCCAGAAGCTGTTGAAAATATGGGATCGTAGATATATCTTCAGGATGCGGAAAGGTACTGGCAAAGTTAGTCTGCGAGCATCACGCATGGCAGAGAAGTTACCTACTTCTTTAGGTCTGGCATGCCTGCACGTGTGTGCCAATAGCTCTCCAAACATCTCCATGCTCGAAACCGCACATTGTCCAGCTTTTCCGCTGCCAATTTCACAATCACCGGCATAACCGTGTCTAACAGGCCATCCATGATGTGAAGAGCTGCTTTGTTCGCGCGTAAGGCGTCTACCGCCTCGAGACTCTGGATTCGGAGGAGCGAGCCGATGTCTCCCCTCTGGTCGTTGGTATAGTCAGTCAGTCCGCGGTAGAGGGCATCTGCTATGCTGGTGGCATCCACTTGGTCAGACCCTGATGTCTCCATGTCCCGCAAGATAACACCAAGGGCTTCCATGGCATCCACTCTGGTCTCTATCTTGTAGCTTCCACTGACGAGACTGATGATGTATGCAAGAATCTTCTGGCGGAGCTCGACGCGTGGGTCTTGCTGAGCAAGATGGCCGTAAATCAAGCTCAGAGTCCTGATACGACCTTTGCTCGTCAAGGCCGAGGGCGCTTGCTGGCTGGCATCGAGCCAGTTTTCGACCATTGCGACCGCTGACTCGGGCAACATCAGCTCGAAGAGTTCCACGTTTGCGTCGGCGCTAGCTTGAACCACTGTATCTCTTGAGCCTGCCACTGTACAACGATCAAGCAACAAAGAAGCGGGTGACACCCACTCTTGCCGCTCCTTGGAGCGATCTGCCTCTGAAGCCGAGAGGCATTTGCATGTGATGCCTATCAGGGCACAAATCGCTTCCATTACAAGCTCCAGATCAGCCGATACCCGGCCATCCATTTTACCTGTGAGTCTTTCCAGGCGGAAGAGCGAGTTGCTGTGGTCAAGCATCCATGATGCAGCTGATTCTGGCTCTTTCTCAGTGACAGACTCCACTGCTGCGGCTAGAGCTAAAAGCAAGCCGTGTCTCGAGCCAGCTGCGCTTCCGATATTCGTTGGCTTCAGATCAAGAAGCTGGCGAAGAATGAGTGGAATGAGAGATAACGCCTCTGACAAAGGAATGGTCTTCGTTAGGAGCCGGGTAGAAGAGGCAGCCCATCGCCGCTGGTTCACGTCTGTGGCCCGCGCACCTCGCCATTCCAGGAGCGCTGACAAGAGAGTTTTGTGGTACATGGTGTGGAGAGCAGCTGCTTCGGGAGCAACTTCGATCATGGCTCGAGACAGCCGTGCCACTGCATGGTAGTCGACGATTTGTACCAGAGATATCCCGTTGAGGATCGTGTCCGGATGCCGTCCTATGAGCTCTTGGAGCGCCGCGGACGAAGCTCGTCGAATATTGCCTGAGGGATCCAGGCATGCCGAGATGACCATCTTGGCAGCTATCATCTGTAAAACACTGTTGCATTCTGCGAATTCGGGATGCTTTGCTTCGACGAACTCCGAGACATGCACGAGGCTCAGCTCTTCGGTGCTATATTTTCGAGCCACTGCCCACAGGCCGAAGCAGGCGGCGTCGCGAACACCAACACCAACAGAAGTCCCCACATTCGATCGCTGCTCGAATTCCAATCCCAGTATCAGTGCCTGAATGATTTCTGCGAGCAAGTAAGGCGGCGGCGCACGGCGAAACAAGAGATGAGCCAGAGTCAACATCAACCCATGCCAACGCAGTGGATCTACCGCAGATATGTTTTTTCTCATCTCACCCACCTCTGATCGGGCCTTATCCGTGATGGGAACGAGTTGATGGCTGTGGCGGTCTTCCAGTAGAACGTGTTCTTGAAGACATGCAAGGACTGCTTCAATGACTTCCGCGGACATGTCAGCATCAAGCTTGAGAGAGACTACGCTGAGCGCCTTTGCTGCAGACATTCTGACCGGTGTTTCCTTGTCGCTGAGCGCGTCGAGGAAATACTGGATACTCTCTTCAAGCATCATGTTCAACTGTGCTTCGGGAATGACGAAATTGCTGGAATCTAGCGACATCGCGTGAGTGAGGGTGACTCTCAAGATCTTTACAATCAATTTCCTGGCAGGAGCAGAATCTCGAATAGCGACATATTGGGTCCCTGGGTCGGTAGCGATCTTCAGGACTGCTCCAAATAGCTGTTCAAGATACGGAGCAACTTCGGTGTCTGAGCCAGAATTGGTGATGCTATATATTAGCGACAAGAGTCCCAGCGCCGTGTAAGGACTGCGGACCACCAAGTCCGCGTCGGAAAGCAGCCTCTGTGTAGCATAGTGCATGAGTTTCAGATGCAGATCGTGCGCCTGCATATCTTTGCGCAGACACAACCGCACAAGGAGGATACTGGCCGCTTCACGCTCTTTGCCCGAACTCTCCAGCTGTGGAAATGCTACCGATGTAATATCACCTGCAATGCCTGGAAGATTCCCAAGAGCCTCAGACAAGACCGGGTCAAGCGGGTGGTTGTTGGAGATTGACATGTTCGCAAGTTCGAAAGGAGCAAGCATCAAGTGAGATAGCCACAGCATCATGATGTAGCGCTCCTCCCAGACCATTCCCAGAGACGAAGCGTTCCAGGTTTTGAAGGTTGACAGCATAGGGGCCAGGAATCTGGGCTCGTTGTTCAAGAGGCGTACAATGACCTTGTAGCCTCTGACCTTGCAGAATGAATAGAGCAGACGACATATTGCCCGTGGCAATGGGGACACAGTGGCTATGCCATGCCTGGAGGACTGTGCATAGTGATCGCCGGACGTTGTGATAGAGCCAACGAAGGCCTCGCTAAGAAGCTGAATGTGGTTTGACAACTCGGGGTCGAGGAGTTGAGGCCATTCTTGGAAGCGGTCGAGCTAGGTCAAGTCAGCAAGGCATCACACGTGGGCGGTCCATGAAGGAGACCAACAAGCAGCCTTAATTCCTCGCATTTTGAGTCAATCACACGCAAACGCCGTGTTTTCTTGGGGGTGTTGACCAGCAGCGGCAGTTTGTGTCCTAGCTCCTGCAGGAGAGTGCCTGATGCCTTGTATAGTTTGACATCGAGGTCCTGTTCCGCAGCATCCATGGGAACAATGCTTGCGGGTACCTTTAACGAGGCTAGAAAGGAGACGGTGGATGGAGTACGTGCCTAGGTATTACGGATGTCATGAAGCCGAACTCAGATGGGCGACACGGTCATGTGATCTCATGTTGACCTAGTCCTCAAACAGAAAGGTCCCACCCTATTTTAAGCTTAATCTGATCTTAACCCCAGTTGCGGCAGGCACGGACTTCAACCCTGAAACCTGGAGTGCCGCATGCAGCAGTTGCCAACTTCAGAGTTGCGGTGTCTGCCCAACTCTTGTGCTCCATAGCACCGCCGAACAAAGAAGTTGGTCTCTAGCAACGGAACGGTCTTGCCTTCGTGCACTTCCGCACCTTCAACATGGTGCTCTGTATACGGGCGAAGGCTGCGCCCTGTCTTAGATCTGTTGTTCACAGGTGGACTGCCTCTTGTCAACTTCCTGCTTAAACTTAGGCCAAGTCATCCCATGCAGTGCCCATCCGTCACAGACCATACCACAACTTGATGAAACCCTACAAAGAGAGGACTGTATCTCCACTACACAACGATCATGTCGAGATCGATCTTTACCTCCACGTTTCGAGTCCTGTCCGATTTCCTCAGACCTCCAGTACAGACTCCAACCCCGAACTCCGCCGAACTACAAGGCTCCGCTAGGCAAGTGGACTTCGACGACGTTGTTGGCCAGCAAGCCGCTGCAACACATCGCCAGCAAGGAAGAAAGCGCAAGGCTGAGGAAGGTGATCTGGAGGTGCCGCCATTGAAGCGTGGGATGATTGAAGATCGACACCCTCTGCGCCCCAATGAAGACAATCCCGGTGTAGACATGACCCAACATGGAGCCAACTCCTTTGCAGCGAAGAGTACTACTGGGATGCGCAAAGAAATAGAGCGAACGTTGATGCCACCTCCACCTACACCCCACCGATTTGCCAACTACAGACCCGGGCAACGCGGGGAAATAATGTCAAAGCCGGGTATGACTACGTGGGCCGATGAAGATACTATGTCGTTTGCGTCCTCTGCTTTGAGAAGGAGAAAAGTCGAAGACATGGATGACCATGCTATGGAAGACGCAAGAAGGCATGCCGCAGCCATCAGGCTACCCCCGAGGTCAGGAATCTGGTCGCAAACGGAGCGTGAGCTCTTTTTCCATCTTGCCTATCGGGGATTTGAAGCACTGTTACCTGAGAACTGGATGCTTGACTTCGATACCCTACCAATCAGTCTCTTCGCACAGGGAAACGCCGCAGGTGTCCCGGTCATCCACAACGTGAGAGACAATCAATTCCGAGCCTCCCATGCTCTACGCCGACTCTTCGAAATTGGTCACGACGTGCGTGACCGAACTTATCTTAGTCCCGGCTCGAGAAGAGAGAAGGTTCTCGAGCGGGCGGTTAAACGGTACCTGTACTGGGCGCTGACGGATGTTGGACTGCGACCTTCGTCAAGGTCACACCAGATACCCGTCCATGCCTTGGTCACTAAACGCGCCGGTCTTTCTACCCTTCAAACACTGGAAGAGATAGCCCTAAAGCTACACCACCTTTCGCTACGGCATCAAAGGGCTCGGGGCCTCCATCACAGTATTGAAGACGAATCACTGCATGCCTCCAACGTGGACGAGACTAGAGTCGTTGCTGACGACGATTCCTCGCCGACGCTCATCGGCCTGGTCATTATCTCCTCGGTCATTGCGATCGTGACACTCAGTCCATTTTCTGTTCAGCCGGCGCAGCAATCGATTCGTCAGACAGCCTCACCACCGGGTTCCGAGCCTGACATTAACTCCTCGACTCTCGATGCTTTAGACTTCAACCCCGATAGGTTGCGGATTATTGCAGAACTCGATTTCAGTCAGCAGGATCAGGATGTCTGGAACGCTCTTGGGGTAGCCATCGTCGCAATGCAGATCCGGAAAGAGGCTTTGAAGGCGAATGCTGGGTTATCCTACGACGACATTGGCGGAGCAGGTGGCGATGCAATGTCGATAGACGGGTCAAGGTTTGATGATATGGATGAAACGTTTGGGAGTGCCTCCAAAGCCGAAGCCGGAGTGGACGATCCGGACCTCTGAAAGGAATTGGAGCGGGCGCTTCGACGCAGAGGTGGGAGTATGTGCAAAGGGCTATACAAGTCGATTGGAGGTTCAAAGATGTACTTTTTCGGCTTAAGTGGTGGCAGGCCTTAAGACTACGGTTCCTGGGCGAGGGGGCTGAACTGGACCAAACAGGGGTTGAGACACGAGGAGCAGCCAGGACGGAATCAAGCAGATTTTCCTTTGTCACAAGAGATACCCAATACAGTTAATGTTGATGCCTTCCTGACATTTCTTGCGCTTTGTCCACAATCCCTAGTGGCCATTGAGTATTTGGTTTCCCGCGCAGAAGAACTCCAGAATAACACAAATCATAGCCTCGTAACCCGCCAGCTGATGCTTCATGGCCGGCGCTGTCGTAGCCGGTGGAGGAGTAAATCAATGGCGTCGCCACCGTCTACTACTAGAGCCTACCAGATGGCCCCGACGTCGTGATCGAACCGCGAGAGCTCACGGCCACCCTCTTCGACCTCTTTGCGGGCCTTCATGCGCATATAGAAGATAGGACAATCCCTGGAACTGCAGAGGACCTCGGAGTGCATGCTGCCCTGGCAGCGCTGGCACTGGGTCCAGAGACGGCTGAAGCGGACCTCCAGCTCGCCGACCTTCTTGACGTGTTTTGTGTAGAGCTCGCCGATGCGCGGCCTGCAGTTCTCGCAGACGGCGCCCTTGGCCTCCTCTGCGCCGACCAGCGGCTTCTTGCAGCCCATGCAGGTCTGGGTCTTCTTGGCGAACTTCATCAAGCCGCCGAGCGTGGGGGCCGCGACAGAGATGGAGCGGGTGTGGTCGCCGGCCAGCAGGGAATTGGCGCGGCGCTCGCCGAGGATGGGCTCGAAGATGCGGCCGAGCGGGTTGGCCAGCTGGTTGTCGAGATAGTATTTGGTGTCAATGGGGACGTTGTTCTCCAGCACGTAGATCGGGTCTTCGGATTTCTCGTAGTTCTTGCTGCCTCCTGCGCCCTTGACAATCACATAGGCCACTCGGTCGCCCAGCGCGGGCGCCGACCCTGCGTCGCGCTTCTTCATGCGCTCGGCGAGCTCGACGTGTGCTTGCTTGGCCGTGTAGTCGCTCTTGCTGAGGGCTTTGGTGATGACCAGCATGCTGAGGTCGATCTTATTCTGCAGCAGATTGGCGATCGTCTCTTTGACGTAGTCCTGCGCGCCGTCCAGGTCGCGATCAATCAAGATTTTCTTCAGCACAGTCTCAATCACAATCTGCACCAGTCGGCAGTTGTCTCGACGGACCGTTTCGATCCCTTTGGTGTCCATCTTGTCGTACTTGTCGGGGTTGGTCCAGTACAGACCGGCATATCTCTTTTTGTTGATCAGCAGGTACGGGAAGTACACCTTCTCGAACTCCAGCTTGATGGGTTTGATGAACTTGGCCGAGACATAGTCGGCGGCTTCTTGTCCCAGGGCCATGGTTTTGGAAAGGTCTTTTTCTCCGAACTTGACCATGACCGAATCGGTGTCACCGTAGATGACCTGCGCGTCGTGAGAGTAGCCGTTGGCGATGGTGTATTTTGTTTCGACTTCATGCTTGGTTTTCTCAATCATTTGTCGCCCGTAGGCCGTGGTGCTGGAGGCAATTGCGAGACACGGTAGTTTCCCCACCGTGGCGCCCGTGAGGCCGTAGACAGAGTTTGCTGATACTTTCAACGCCAATTGACGACCGTTGAGCACTGCCTTTTTGAAAGGGTCCTTCTCAACAGCGAGCTCCTTCTTCGCGCGCTTACGTGCACCCAACAACTCTTCCAAGATTTGGGTAAGCAGTCCTTTCCGGACCTTTGCAGTGCAGAAGAGGTCACCGTTGGGCGTCAATATGTAGTCCTCATCCTTTTTCAGATTGAGTTTCTCGATGATGTTCTTGTTCAATAAAGTGGTGTAACACAAGTTGTGAGCTTGGATGATGGATGGGTACAGTGATGCAAAATCAAGAGTCGCAACAGGCACGTCGTAATAGCCTCGAATCGGCTCGATCACGGTGGCACCTTCATACTGTTCGTCCGAAGCCTTCGTTAGAAGGTTCGGGATGACCAACTGTTGCTCCAATGCCTTTCGGAAAAGCTGACTGATGAATTTGACTTGTTGACCACGAGATAGCAGATAGTTGAAAGGCACACCGGTGACTCTGGCCATCTCGGTGTAGTTGACCAGACACATCAACTTGTCCATGAGACGTTGTGGCAAATAGGCATCCTTGAGACAGTACACGGCTAAACGTCGTCTCGAATCTGGCGTGCCATTGAAGAGTTCAGTGATCATGGTATGGTGGACATCCTCCTTCTGCTCTCCGAGAAAGTGAGCACACACGGAGTTCAGGGTGTAGCTGCGCAACTGATGGTCCCTCTGGACGAGCTGGAGTAGATCCAGTTGGATGCGCCCGTTGGTGTTCGTAGCCTTGGTGTCACGGTTGCCCATCTGCTTGCTGGAGAAATTGGTGTCTTTCGCTTGCGACACCACGCTCTTCAGCCGCGACCAGTATGGAAACTTTGACAATTTCAAATGCTTTGCTCGATCGAGGAGATATGGGAAATCAAAGTTGGCGATGTTGTACCCGATGATGACGTCTGGGTCGACCTTCTCAAGGAAATCCCTCCAGCCCATGAGCATCTTCGACTCCGAATCGTACTCGTAGATTTGCGTATTGACGATCAAGCTGCAAGTGTCCAGCACAAAAACATTGCGTACGAATGGTCTCGAGTCACCGTACTTGGTCACCACGTTTGCGATTTGGATGACAGGATCTTGGTTGGCTTCTGGGAAGATCCCTTTGCGACCGGCGCATTCAATGTCGAAAGACAGAATCCGCAAGGGAGCCATTTTAGCCCACTCGCCTTCGTGCCCATGGGCGATCAAGTCTCGGTAATGACAGTGTGCCTCGATCTGGCAATTGGACTGACGTTCGTATTGAGGCAGGACATGGTACTTTTTTGCCGGGACCTCGACCCAAGACATTCCAGCAACGCCGGTATCGATCATAAATCGCAGAACATATTGGATGATGTCGAAAGTCAAGATCTTACTGTCAACGCCCTTCCACATCCCTTTGTAGTTGGCAGCACCGTCCTCGATCGAGGTCCGAAGCCTGTTGATATATTTGGGATCGGTCACTGTGATTTTCAGATAAGGGCTCTTCTGATTGCCCTGAAACCCATACAGGTTCTCCCGGAGCACCATTTGCACGGAATGGATGACGGGTTGATGCTGAGCCAGCTGAGCCTCGAGATACGCCTTGTAACCCTCCACATCTTGCCGCTGGAAGCTGACGGGTGCCGCGACGTATAGATAGTGGAGGAAATCGGTGACATGGAGGAGGATGGAGTGTCCAGTCTGTCACAAAGTCAGTTCAGTTGCGTTGTCATAGATGAGCGATATAGACACACCTCTGAGACGCCAAACATCTTCAGCGTTGTCTTTCCACCGTGCAGCGTACCCTCTTCAATCTCTATCTGTTGGAAGCGCAAGGCGTCTCTCTGAGGATCGAAATCGTCCAGGCTTGGTCGATCCCATTGCTGGTCTTTCTCGGCATTGCTCTGTTTCAACCCGGAAATATCCTGGGTCATCTTCTCCAGCACTTCGGTCTCAAACTGGCTCTTGGGCTGGCTTGAGCCCAGCTTCGACCTGAAGCCATTGGGACCTGCCTGAGACGACCCGAAACTGACATGCGGACCATTGCCGTTGAGCTTTCGCTTCTTTGCGGAGGGAGGGGACTTGACGGCATTGTGTGTATTGGTGGCGTCCGTAAGCACTCTCTTCTTGGCCTGGTCAACCACACGTCCAGGCATGATGGCGGTTGTGTATTCAAGGTGAGGACAAGAATGGCAAACGAACGGACAACGGTATGGGCACGTACTAAGAGTGAGTGTAATAAAGTCGCGCCTCTGTCGCGTCAGGACATTTGCGCGTCATGCTCTAAAGCAGCGACTAGAGTGGGGTCAATGTTTGGCCTGTTTGGTCTGTTTGATTAGTTGGCACCATTTACTGCAGTGGATACTAGTATTTCTCAATTGGATCTAGTGTACTTTTCACATGCCCCTGTCTCTTCTCTTGTCTGACCGCCTTCCCCGTTGATGTCTCAGACGTCCTCACATATCACTCTCTCCTCTGTCACAATCACCCCAGAAAAGAACAGTGCATTTACGTCAAGAAGAGAGCAAGACGATACTAGTCAATTCGAGCCTGAACTCACGGTCACTAAGCTCTTCCTCTTAGACCAATATGGCGGACGATCTTGCAGTAGACAAAACCCCAGGTTTCAAGGTGGGGGAGAAGAAAACACTGGACGAATATCAGAAACTGGGTGAGTGCCACGGTCATACCCTACTCGCTGTTGTGTCTCCTTCATGCACGACCCTGCACATTGACATACGTCTTTGTGAAGCCAAGCAAAGGGCTACCATTGGGATGGAGGATTGTCTAACACCATACTTTTCTCCCATTACAATTGCACCCCCTTGGCAGCCAATCCCGTCCATAGACTCGTCAAGTCGAAGCATGACTAACTTGCCCTGCAGACCAAGAAGATGAAGCCCTGAACAGATGGAAGGCATCTCTCGGCCTTGCCACTGGCAAGTCAATCTCCAACCCCAATGACCCTCGCCTGTGTATCATCAAATCCCTCGCCTTGGTAAGTGACACGAACGCGCTTCAGTCGACGGCAACCAACAAACAAGCAGGAAGTCGAAGGCAGACCAGACATCACCATCGACCTCGCACAGCCAGGCGCCCTCGAGACGCTGAAGAGCAAGCCATTCACCATCAAGGAGGGTAGCAGATACCAGATGAAAGCGGTCTTTGTCGTCCAGCACCAAGTTCTCTCCGGTCTCAAATATGTGCAGTCCATCAAGCGGAAAGGAATTCCTTTGGGTAAGGATCAGGAGATGATCGGCAGCTATCCTCCTAACACCGTCGACAAACCAACATACACCAAGAAGTTTGCTCCGGAGGAGGCTCCTTCAGGTATGATGGCTCGGGGCCATTACGACGCGGTCTCTCGTTTCGTCGACGACGATGATGTGACCCATCTCAAGTTCGAGTGGTCCTTTGATATCGCCAAAGATTGGAAATGACCCTGCTAGTGGATGGCGAATGCCTGGACCTCGACTTGCTCGATCACAAAATCTGCGGCAGGCGATATGCGAACTTCTCATAATTTGTCTTGCGAGGTTGTCTGTGACGAGGGAGGCCTGTTGGTAGCTATGCTCAGAGATGGCTCGATGCGGGACTGAACCTGCAGGCGTGCTCAACGATCGAGATGACTCAATGACTAGAGAAAGTATTCAATGTGAGACCCTTGACCATCCTTTGCTTGACTCTGCTGTTGCTGCTGTTGCTGCTCGTTGCGATGCATGTCGTTCTCCGGGGCTGCATCGAAGATGTTGAAATACCGATCTCCGGCGTCGCTCACTTCCAGCACGCTCGCCAGATTGCCACATCGGTAGCAATAGTTGGGGGCACTCCAAACAGTGCTGAGCCGGTCATCATACAGTATCTGATAGCCTTCCTGACACAACTGATGAGCCCGAAGGATATGTGACATGCTGTTGACCTGTAGGAATTTCTTGACCACATCCCCTCCAAACGTGTAGCCTGCGCCTCGTGGTGAGAGGGAGAATTCGTCCCGGTCTGGATCCGGGTCTGACCAGACCAAGTCCGCCATGGGTCCTTCATGCGGTATCTCCCGATATCTATCAATGATCTTGATCTGGTCGATTGAATGAATTGAAGGTGACAGGCCACCGTGGACGCAAAAGATCTGGTTGTTGATGACCACGCTCAAGGTAAGGAAGTCAAACATGTCGGTGAAATAATGCCAAACATTAGCATTGCCATATTTTCGTGCACATTCCGTGTAGAATCCGTATGACTGTGTGACACCTCGTGATTCATGATTGCCGCGGATGAGATGAACGCGCTGGGGGTATCGTAACTTCAAGCAGACAAGCAGGGAAATCGTTTCGACGCTGAAAAGACCGCGGTCAACATAGTCGCCTGGTGTTCTGTCAGTTTCTGTCGTCTCACTCTCGCTGCCATAGTCATACCGAGAAAAAGATAGTTTGTATCTGGACAGAAGCCTCCAATCTTGAAGATCTCCAGCATGTCAAAGAACTGGCCATGAATGTCTCCAACAACTGTCACCGGCGCAGAAATGTGTACCACATTGCTCTCTTTCATCAGCATCTCCTTTGCTTTTGCGCATATTGCTTCGATCAAGGACTCGGCCAGGAGATTCTTCTTGTAGAGTTGGGAGATGCATTCGTCAAGATCGATACTGGCTGTGAAGGACAATAGTTAGCGAGGAGATCCCATCGCGACTGATATAAACCTGGACCTAAACATACTGGGTAACCCAGGCATGACGACGGACTGACTGTCAAGGCGGAAGTGCTAATGTCGCCACGTTGAGACCTCCGGGTGCGATCAGGGAAAGTTCCTCGGCGAACAAGAGGACCTGCGCTGCTCGGTCATGGTGCTGGCTCAGAAACGACGAGGACTCGTTTGCGCGGGAAGACAGGGTGAAACCTGTCAGCGGGAATACAGACCAGGCATTGCTTTAAGGTGAGAGAGCGAAAGTAATGGACGGTTGTGTTTGTTAGCGTTTGCGCAGGGAGAATTAATAAAGAATATGTGGTTAGTAGTAGTACTACTATAATGACGACGCCGCATTCGCCGCAGTCCAAAAAGGGGCCAAATACACTTTGACCTCACTCGCTTCTTCTCTGTTATATATTCCTATCCTCTTCAGTTGCTTCACCATCCAGTGGAGTCCACCGCACTGTTATCTATCAGCCCTCCTGACCTTGACTATGGAGGCAACCGTCAGCCTCTCTGTGGTGTGTGCCGTGATGAAGCACCCCAGGTTTGTCAAGTGCAGTTTCAACCACTCCACGTTATGTACAAAGATCTTGAAGGACAACCATGCTCTGATGCTCATTCTACCTGGAGCACTCCAAGTGCCAGACTGGTCACCGTCTAGATGACTTATGGCGGCCTCCTCATGATGAACAAAAGCAGACTATGTGCCCTTCACCTACAATTCCCTATTGTCCTGTTTTTCCCTTCACTCAACTCTGACCTTCACTTAAGTTCACTGGTTTTTCACCTCTCCTCACCCAGTCCCCTGTGTCATCCCTTCTTGTTTTTTTGCATACCTTTTACAGGAAGTGCGTCGCAGAATCCTATCTCTTTTCATGAATTTGTTAAGCTTGCACAGCCAGGTTTATTCTATCGCGACAATTCTCCTCTCGTCGTGTTCACAATGGATCTGAAAACCTACCTTGCGTCAGAAGACTGGCAGAGACGCCGTTCAGCAGTCCCCCAGCGTGGCCTTACAGAGCCGTCATTCCACCAGCCTGCTCTTCGGTGGGATGGTCATGATCAGCATCACCCTCAGAACTATGAGCGCGATTCTGGTAACAATGCGCTCCTGTACTACCAGCAAGTTCAGCCGTCCCCGGATTTCCATGGCGGCCACAATCCACAAGCGCATGCAGACCAAAATCACCAGTACAATCCACAAGCGCAGGCAGACCATGAAGACCAGTACAACCCACAAGCGCAGGCAGACCAGAATCACCAGGACATTCTGGAAGCAGCGCCATGGCAACCAGAGACGCACCAGGAAACCATAACTGAAGTTTACGAAGCAGAGGCCCTCGAAGGTTACAATGATCCGTACGCTGAACTTGCCCGTCTCGACTTCCTATTGCCTAACCCGACTCTGCACTTGAACTTCATCCCAATGCCGCAGTCAACTCAAGCACCAGGTGCCGCCACGGAGGCAGCAGATTGGTTGGAGTCTCAGGAACCTCACTTCGTCCCTCAATATCTCCACGATTTCAACGAGAATGCCCATTTGCCGCCCATCGGCCAGGGTCCTTTCTTGCAGTTCTATGCCAACGACCCGGTGTTCGTCCAGACAGACTCGAACGGAAACCTCTCAGCCAGACACCTTGAGATTCGTGATGGGCCGATTCAGCACGCTCGCTTGGCTCCCACTCCTTCCAACCACGACCTTGGAGGGTTTGTACCCAACCACGCTCTTCAAGGGTTTGCAGATGCTGGTCAGGAACATCATCGCCAACTCGTGAATTCTCCCATTCTTGTTCAGCCCTACGACATTCGCTACCCTCCTCCGCGGGAGACCCTGCCTGCTTTCTCGTATGGATTCGCAGAGGAAGAGCAACGTCCTGACGATCAAGTCTACCCGACCATAAACAGCGACGTGGAGCAGGTTGCCGAGAACAGAGGCAGAGGCAGAGCTAGAGGCAGACCGAGAGGTAGAGGAAGGAATAGGACCAACAACAACCGCCAGAACCGACGTCGTGATCCCGATGAAGCGTCGCCAGATCGTCGATCTCGATCGCCCACTGTCGCAAACAGCCCCCCTTCCTTCGAGAACCGTCACCGCCCATGGAGAGCCCAACTAGGCTGAGAGCGAGCACATATCAATGCAAGCTCTCGCCTGAATGATCAAGACGAAGGTGATGGAGATATGGCTGCAACGCGATCCGAGTGACTGAGGAGAGGAGAGAGCACAAAGGAGAGAGGAGCGAAGCTCCAGTCACAGCAGGGGATGTCAGCAAGCTTCTGAACCGACCAGTCGGTATCACAGACCCAGCTAGCTTATTCGAACGGACCGCTCTATGTGCTTAGAGATGTGGTCTCAGGATCATCGAGCTGATCGATCTGAGAGATCATGGTCGTCTGTGGTCGTCCATGTCTATCACGCAGCCCAGACTCGACCAAAAAGTGTATGATGTTGTCCAAGCGAACGGCGGTAGTAGACCGTCCACATGCAGATGCAGATGCATGTACTCTTCAACTCTTTCTTAGCTAGCAATCGTTCAATGAAAAAGGAAATCACAAGAAGAGATCCCACCAACCTAAAGTAGACTTCCCTGTATCGAGTTGATTCTGCCTCTGTTTCGCTTGCCTTCGAAGGGATGTTGTCCATATTGATTACTACAGTGCCTTAGGTACCTTCCAAGGTTATTTATTCACATTACCATGTACTAAGATAGTACTACGTAGTATGGGTCTTGTAGTAAGGTACTGAACTATGTGTCGTTCCAGTATATCCCTCAAACCACCACTCCCAGAACTTGTAATTCAGGATTTATCATGCGAGTAGTATCCTCTCTATAAAGGGCAGGTCCATTCAAGTAACGCAGATCAAGACATGCAATACAGACAGAGAGAACAAACACAACGGTGGACCTTCCAAATATATTGACACTTTTCTTGTATGTATGTATGTATCTATATACCTACCTTCCATCTCCCACAACATCTAAGCTTTTTAGTTATCACCATTCCCATATCCACTGCGCACTTCAACTCTTCGATAACGGAACTCTGCTCTCTTTGGAAAATGAAGTCTCGCCTCCCGGAACATGGTTCCTGAAACCATCTCTCGCCTCTTCACGTCCCCGGGGGTGTAGAGAGAATGTATTCCTCAGTGATATCCCCCCTTCACCGAGATCTAAACTCTCGTCCGAAGTGTGATGCAGCCTCAGAATCACGATTTTCTATGCATGACCGTAGCAGCAGCCTATAGAAAGACAACCTATCGTCAGCACGAGAGTCCGTGTAACAGATGACCTGAAAGAGGGTGTACGATTCGAAGGCCGTTCTGAACGAGAAGACTCTGGACTGTTTGCTTCTTTTCCTGGTCTTCGCCCCTTTTCTTCCGTCTCCATCTCACAGATGAAGCTCTGGGACAAAAGGAGAGCAGATGGAAGGCAGAGGCAACGGAGCCAAAGGGATGTGAGGATTGGAATGAGCCTAGGGATCGAAACTGACCTGATGATTCGGAAAGATCAACGTATCTGCAATCACGACATTTTCTCTCCGGCCGGCAGCGAAGACGACCACCTCGGCGATATCGTCCGGGGTGAGTGGTTCGACGCCTTTGTAGACAGCGTCGGCTTTGGATTTGTCGCCGTAGAAGCGGACAACTGAGAATTCCTGTCAATGACAATGACGTTAGTATCGGATCACAATAGAACAGTGTTTCTGCATTGCGCATCGCTTTTTGCATGGTATAGAATCCAGCAATGGATTTCTTGACACAAATATGCAGCATACACCATACACTTACTGCCATAGACAGACAGGCAATGTATATGCTTGAAGCAAGGAATATAGGGTTGTGCAAGTATCTAAGATACCTTCCCACACAAGGGTGTAACAGAAGTTCGACACAGGAGATAGGAGAAAGAAACACCGCCGATATACAAACCACAAACAAACAAACAAACAAAACTTACCGTCTCAACCTGGCCCGGATCGACCTCAATAACCCTGATCCTCGTCGCAATCAACTCCTTCCTCAAGGCATCAGTGAACGTGCGCACAGCCGCCTTGGTGGCACAGTAGATACTGCCGCCAGGATAGCCCTCCCTGCCCGCGATGGAGCCGATATTGATGATATCGCCGCGCCCGCCGTCCGCGCCGTTCAGTTTCTTCTTGAAGATCGGCAACACCGCCTGCGTCATGTTGATCAGCCCCGTCACATTGGTCGCCCACATGACATTCATGTCTTCAGCCTTGATATCCGGGGCCTGGTCCACGCCCTTGACCAAGCCCGCGTTGTTGACCAGGATGTCGATGTCCCGAAACTCTTCAGGCAGACTGGGGATCAGGTTGGCCACTTCCTGCGGCTGGGAGACGTCGAGCTTGACAGGCAAGACCTTGACGCCGGATCCGACTTCCTTTTCGATCGCCGAGGCCACCTCTTTCAGCGTGTCGATGCGCCGCGCCGTGATGATCAGTTTGAGGCTGGTCGGGCTGGTGCGCGCGAATTCCTGTGCGATGCTGCGCCCGATGCCGGACGAGGCGCCCGTGATCAGGATCGTCTTGCCTTCGAGGCGTTTGCCCATGGCGGTGATGGAGGAGGACATGTTGCGCTGGAACGTCCGGGTTTTGGACGATAATGCAGACACAGATACAGAGACTGGTAGGATAGTGTTACGTCTCGTCGGCGACCGCGGGCGTTGGCTGAAAGAGCGGGAGAATGGTGGGAGCTTCAAGTTCTTCGTGGGTGGAAGCGTGTGCGGGGAAGTTGGACGGAGGAGGAACGAAGACGACGAGGAGAGTGCGGTGACTCTGCGGGCGAAGATGGAGGTGGAAAGGACAGCGGGATGGGGAGGCATGTACAGCACAGAACAACGTGCAAGAGAGAAGACGACAGATACGAAGCGGGAAGTAGAAAGACCTCAGACGATCGAGTGCGGGTATCAACAATTAAACTAAGTCCATGTGATAGCCGCCCTCCTCTCTACCGATTGAGGCACGGTTGATAATGCACCGAGGGGAAATGGGGGGTATTCTACTCTGTAGCTATCTCTCTAGCTATACTCCCAGTCTGTCAGAAGGCCGAATTGCAACAACTGGCCAATCAATTCTCCTTATCGATTGTATCGGCGACAAATCCGCAGCCTCGTGGAGCACGTGATGATGTCGTAGCCGTAGGGCGGTGGTGCTATTGACTCTAGAGTATCTATCAGGAGAAGATAACGACAGTGAGAGAAGGTAGTGGAGGCTGACACGTTCTACAAGCCACACCAGACAGGTCGAACAGACTACTTTTGTCCAAGAAAAGGAACATGCTCAATCCGTTATTCTCCCCGTACACCCTCCAGTCCATCCCCTGACTTGAACCCGGGTGCCGATATCGCAAGATGCTCGAGGCCATCTCGGTACAGCGCAGCATACAGAAACTCCCGGCTGATGACCCAAGAGCCGTGGCTATGCATTAACTCGTAGTCTTGCACGGAAACACCATAGTCGTCGAAAGAAGTGAATCTCTGCAACATCACCCAAGCCCTAGTCTGCCCCGTTGACCCCATCAGGCGCACATGTACCACAGACGAGGAGCATGCCCGGCTCATATGCATCGATACCTGCTTATTCGGCTCTTTCCCCTCTCCCCAAGGCGCAGCAGACGACGCACTTCTATACCAGACAAAAGCGCGTCGTGGGTGTGAGTTTATAGGAACCCGGATTCCGAAAGCAGACGGGCAATCTTCTCCTCTTCTCGCTCCCGTGGCTCGATCTTCAAACTCTCGTTGTACAGCTCTTGGACATTCCGGGCACTTTTCATGTTGTCGGAAATCCACTCCTGCAACTCGGGCACCGGATTGAGGCTGTAAGGCACGTTTTGGTACTGCTGGATATCTCGAATCACTTCGGCGGTTTTGGTCCGTTTGGAGAAGTTGATGAGTTCCGTGTTCTTGACCAGCGACGCAATCCCATCCTCGATGAAAATCAAGTCGGTCAGATAGACTCCCAAGAAGGGAATACAGGGAGGTGTCGCAGCGTGCAGCGTTTCCCGGTATTGCACAAAATTTTTCGTCGATGAGATGAGTTGACGCATCGACTCAAGCATCGCCCTCGTCTTCGGGTTGACCGCTTGCCAGGTTCGGTTGAGCCGCAGTATCGGAGCGGTGCCGAAGGCCGACACGATTGCCGTCACGGCAGAGAAATTGTTCAACACTCGACATTTCTGGCGGGTCAGTCAGAATCTCACGACGAGAATAGATTGGGAAAACTCACCTCAGCGATGGCCACAAAGTGTTTGATCACCACCACCCTCTTCTTGACCTCGGAATGGTGCAAGATCATCTCCGCAACCCAGTTGGTCAACTGGTTGGAATGCAGGATCAGGGCCTGCACGTTCGGCGCGTTCTCATTCTTCTCCGACTTGCCCTTCTTCTCCCATGTCTTCGCCAGGCATTCGACTGGCTTGATCTTCCCATATAGCCGGGATTCGATGATGGTCAATTGCCGAGCAAACTCCGTAGGGTCGATGTCAAGGAATTTCATCTTCTTCATGTTCCTCGGCAGGATGGGTGCAGGTGCGGAATTGGTGAGCGTGAGAACCAACTTCTTGGACGATGTCTCTCCTCCTTTCATCCGCTGATCCACTATGTTTACCAGCACCTTGGTGGCCATTTTGGTGCTGGCGTACGTGCTCTTTGCGAAAGCCGCGATCTTTTCAAGCAAGGCTTTGCTCGCATCATCATCCGTCTCCATCCAGTACAACTCCAGCCACGTCTTGAGAATATTCAGCACTCTGAAACGAACCGGCTTTTGTTTGTGCTCCTCCCAAATGGAAAATTCGTCCCGCGTCAAGCCAGCCGGCGGCTGTAGGTTGAATCGTTTCACTAGGAGCTCGAACAATTCCGATGCACTGGTGAACGACCGATATGTGAGGAGGAAGGTGGTGGTGAAGTTCGTATCAGGCCGATCATGACGAGTCAGCTGTTCCACCAGCCCGGTGAGCGTGCCGCTCTTGACTTGATGCGGCTCGGTTCTCTCGTCGTATGTCACTTCATCTGCATGGTCAAGCCGGAGGTACCACGGCACTTCATCTGAGGCGCTAGAATCCATGCTACCAGCTTTGAGGTGAGTCAAGTTCGGTGGGATCTGCCCGAAGAACTGTCGCGCCTTGTCTTTGGTCGGAGGCCGACGGAGCTTCTCGGACGCGGTGGAATCTTGACCCAACGTGTACGACTTGGATTGACCGACATCCGCCAAAGCAGGGCGAAGATTAGCCGCCTGCACAGAGTCGCCTCTGAGATGATGACTCTGGTAGGTCTCCCCTCCGTCCGTCATGCGGTGATCTCGCTTGCTTGTCGATCCGCTCGGGTTGAGGGACGTCGCCGGAAGCAGGACCTGTAAAGCGTACCCAATGCTGGAGGCGTGCGTGTCCAGTTGCTTGCATGCGCCTCGGACGTTGTTCATACGCGTGTCCAACGACTCGCCTCGAATTTCCGCCCACTCATCTGGGAGCGGTGCTGTCACTGCCTGGCAGGTAATGATCAATTCACCGATCGCATCGTAGGCCTTCTGCTTCTGTGCCCCAAAATCCACCAGCGACGGTTTCTGAAACACGTTGCCCAAGGCCGACAAATCGATTGACTCGAGATGTGTGATCCATGGCCGGAAATGCTCGATCACGACACTCGCCTCTTGACAGATTTTGTCGCCAATTGCGGACTGCCGTGCCGGAGTCACAATCTTCTCGGTCAACACGAGTGACTCCTCTAGCCGGCGGATGCTCGCCACCAGGTGCTTCTTCAACTCTTCAAGCCGGTGTAGCAGATTGGCGTCAAGTGGCACAGATGGACGGGATCGAACCTCTTCGTTCGAATCCATAAACGAGACCTCTTCCAGATTGGTCCTATTCTCAATGTTGTGATCCCGCCAGTTTCCTCCGACGTGGCTCCCCAAGATGAACCCGGGAAACAGCCGTGGTATCTCTTCACCTCTCTGTTGCCGCGCCACCTCGACGTACCCATAGACGCCATTCATCACCCCATCCGCCTCTTGTAGACATTTTGTTAGAGCGTCCGTACCCGGCCAGTCGGCCGCAGCAATGTGGGAAGAGAGGACCAGCTTCGAGAATTTGGACATCATCTCACGGAAGTGAGGGTAGAGGGCTTTGTTGGAGGATATGATGGAGGGAACCCCAGAGTGATTGTCAGTAGTGCCTGAGCCTGCGGCCAGAAGCATTCTCAGATGATCCGAGATGTCTTCTGCTCTCCGGACGTAATCTGCTCGAGTTTGGGTACGAATGGCATGCCGATAGGCGTCAACCGCAGTTCGCATATTCTCTACCAAGGCATTCCAAGTGACTGGCGCCGCGGTCGTATCATCAAGGAAGTACCTCGCCATGGGAGACTTCGTGATCATCGGTTTTGGAGGTACTGTGAAAGAGGTGGCTGTGGTTCCTAGGGGAGGCAGGGTCATCGAAATACCGGTCGAACCAAAGGTACCGGTGAGAGTATTCGGCACTTGACCGCCCGCCTGTCTGAGGGCGCTTACATCGATGGAATCCATAGAGGTGGAGGTGGAAATGCTACCAGAGGTCATGGAACCCTTTTTGCGTGAAGAGACAAAAGATTGTTCACCGTCCGCCTCAGACGCGGAACCATCATAATCCTCCTCATGCTGCCCGTACCCTCCAGCCATCATTTCCGGCGGCGGTCTTGTCTGTTCCGGCACGTGGAAATGGCTGCGCTCACGCGGGCCAGTCTCTTCTGCACTCGTAGGTGTCTCTAAAGGCAGTTCCATTGTGCTGACCCCCGTCAAGGTGTTGAAATAAAACAGCCTGCCATCCGGAGTCGCCTGAGGGACCCAAAACGCCGCCTCTTCTTGCATCTGTGTGCTCCCTCCTTCAATCGGTAAATCGGAGTCTTCATCTTGCGTATGCCCGTCGGAGTCCTCCTCTTCCTCATCATAATCTTCCTCGGTTCCTGACCCGGTACTAGTCTCGCTCTCATAGTGGCCTCCAGCGCCGGTCTCCCTCAGCTCGTTGGGATCAGTTATCTGCGCAGTGTAATTGCTGGGGAACCAGCCCCGAACATCGTTGATCACACCATCCCACCAGCCGCTCTCCAATTGTGTCAAGACCTGAATGATATCCCCCTGACGAAAACTCAGGCTGGTATGATCATCCGCCTCATAATTGTACAGCGCCCGGACATATATGGGCGGAGGAGGTGGTGGCAGGTCCGGGCTCGCAACATAGCCGTTCATAGCAGCCGCCTGAGCAGCACGTCGACGTGGCGAGAGGCCACTCATGGAAGTTCCTGACCGTGGAGCGGATTGTGCTGGTCGGGCGGGGCCTGTGTATTGAAAAGCCGCGGCAAGCGTCGATCCAGACTTCGTGGACGGTTCTTGTTGTGAGGTCGAATCTTGTGCTACTCGGCGGAAACCTGACATTGCTCGAGGTTTCACCGACGAGCATCGATTTCAAGGCCGGTATCTCGCGTGTCAGAGCACAGCGAGGCAGGCAGGATCTGCATGTTCGACGGCTGTGCTATGCGGGCGAGGGAGTGAGGCAGACTACGTAACGCCGCCGATGGGTGTCGTGGTATGGGAAAGAGGGTTACGAGAGGCTCGACGATTGAGAGCGAAGCACACGAAGTCTTTGGTCGACCGCAGTGGCAGGCAGGTGTCAGTCCGTTGCACGAAGAGGGGTGGAGAACTGATAGGCGCCCGGTCGAGGGAGAGGACGGACACTCGAGTGGTCGACTCGGTAGGCGGCTATCTGCAACAGTTCTACCAGTATAGAGACAGCAAACAGTATTCCTGTCCGAATAGGACGACAGAGGGTCAAAAAGGGAATGGGGATGGCTTTCGCTGGAAGGACGGATCCAGCCAAAATAACGACGAACATGGAGATCAGGGATTGATTTGAGGTGAGGCCAGTGAGATGATGCCTGACCGGGGGGGTTGAGTCGGTGTCTTGTCTTGTCGTGTCTGTGGTGGAGAGCGACCCCTACCGTAGTACTACTACGTACTAGGATGAGGGCATCGGTTTCTCTCCTGCACTCGCCTTCTGTTGCTTGCGCCCGACCAACCTATCCATCTGTCCATCTGTCCATCTATCCATCCATCCCTCCCACCGTTGACTGGACTGACCACAGAGTACAACACGCCTCATCAGCCAGTATCCTCCATTCGCACCTCTTCTGAGCACCTTGCATCTCGGAACCCCGATCATATTGGCCCCTTCTCCGCCCTCTACTGTTGCACGCTTTCACCCAGCTGGGTTTCAATAGTTATCCTCTCGCAGTCTTCCTCCCATGCTCTCGCAATACTGGCACCTCGTCTCCTACAGATTTAGACGTTCTCAGCCGCTACCTACCTAATGCTCGGATGAATGCCGAGCTCGCAGCGTGTGTTTGTCCTCAACGCAAGAATAACTATTCGATAATGCTGAAACTGCCATTCCCCAAGCCTTCCTCTTCAGCCCTGTTCGCCAGCGTGACTGGACAGCTAGGAGGGGCTCGCGTTGCTGACATTCCCGTCAAGTTTCGATATGCCCCCATGGCAAATGCTTACTTGAAGCGAACCAGACACATCTTCTCAATGGTGGTGTGGCTAGACAGTTCGTTTCATGCTTCGTCAGCCACAAACAACCGGAAGCATAGACTCCTATGGTATGGCCCAGATCTCTGGAATAAGGTAGGCTGGAGTCCCAGCAGGGAACTTCATAATGAACCTAAGACCCAACGAAGCAAGAGGGGAGATCTCGCCAGGTCTATATCATACGCCAGCTTTTGACAGTCGCTCCAGACACTGCGGCTCAAACGCACAGAAACGAAGAAAAGCCGAGCGTGAGCCACGGAGCTCTCTGCAGCCAGGCGAGATATAGACGGTACCCTACGATATTAGCATCTGGCAGCGCCGAGAACAGACCGCACGAAACATTCCTGGTCGCAGATGGCAGACCAGACTATCAATGCTTTCTGACATGATGAGCTATCGTTCGAACGTCAGGCCGGTCTTCTGCCGGCAAGCCGGGAACTCCTTCTAGAGCCGCATCAAAATCTTGCCGCATCGACACTTGGAAGGCACACAGTCATGGAAGCATGGAAGCTCAATTGTCCACTAAAGAACAGTAAGACCTTCAGGTATGGTCAATTTCTGTCTGGACGGCACTGAGGGCCTCTCTGCTGCCATTAGGCAGGGTTGTGCACCGTACCAAGGACGGCCCTTCACTTCATGACAAGATATTCCATGCTATTGGGTGCTGAGATGGGTCCTCGCGGAAGAGTTTATATCGGTTGGCTGTTCTAAAGACACATGTGCGAGAAAACAGAAATCTCTATGCCCTGATCGATTCCTAACAGCGTGCTTTACGGACCCTTTCGGAATTTTGGATGATGCGCTTGGCCCGAGAGCTAACACGGTCTGATCTAGAATTCTTGAAGTAGGGTCGACTCCTAGACACGGTAAGCTACTAATTCAGAAGACATGGATCCGACTTTGCACACATTTCAGGACAAGACCACCGTCAATACCGCAGAAGATTGCCAATTCGCGCTACGGACGACATGGTCATCGGTATTGGAAGACTCGCCAGTGCACCACGATCAGGGAAAGCCTTCAATTCTTACCGCATGGTAGGTCGTCAATCTACGCATTTGTGACGTTGTTGAGACTCGACACAAACTGGACTGGACCGACCCGACCCTGAGGAATCGTTCTAGATCTGCTGGCTGAAGAGGGTGTGATTTGTCCAGGCCCCTCGACATGGAATTGTGCACGTGCAAGAGAAGGAATGCCGCTGAATTCCTACCGCTACACGAGTCGGTAGACAGCAGGTTCCTACACGGTTCAGATCTCCCCATGGCTTGAGTACACCGGCTCCATCTTACTGCTCCTGGCCGCGCCGAAGTCAGTTCCCAGCTGCCAACGATTCACCATCAAAGCCCAAAGCGAATGCCGTCTCCTTGTCAATTCTCTACCAGATCACTCTCCACCTTCGAGACATGGTAGCAGTGATCAGAGCACTCCAGCTGAGAGAGGACATCTTCGAGCATAGAGACCAGGTCTACCGTGGCGTGGAGTCATGTTCCGTGTCAGCTGCGTTTGTCATGACCTGCTCCATCTGACATCTGCCACGTCAGAACTGGCTACAGCAGCACATATCCCCCTTTGCATTACATGCGCAACCCATCAAGCCACCTTACAAAATAAGTGGCACCGCAAAAATAGGGAAGCAGCCTGTGAGGTTCACATTTATTCAATAGGCGTTCCCCTTACCCTTAGGTGTACCTACAACCTATTGAAGTTTTGAAGGCCGCCCTACCAAGATTTGGCAGTGCCACTTATTTTGTAAAGTGACTTGCCGAATACCGATGATCGGGATGTCTCTTTGCGTGGGCTGGCCTCTTTCACCTTCATTTCCATGCTGCCTTGAGATATCAGCACTTACTTTTCTGCAAGATATAGATCTGTCAGAGCCCTCGGGATTTTTGGATGCTGTGCATTGTTGCCTAGCACGCGGGGATGAAAGGCCACGCCGAGGATGTAGCCGATCGCAAAAGGCAGAGGCGCTGTACAGTTCGAGTCAAGATCTGGAAAGGAGCGGTTCTGGCGGTATAGGTTATGACCGTGATGAACAATGTCCACGGTGGATTGGGGCTTGCTTCTTCACGCCCGTGTCACCCGAGTCGGTCCTTCTTGAGCCGTGCGTGTCACCTTGAAGAATTTCGCCACAGGAGAATGAGAAAGACAACAAACTTGCCAACCATATTGATATATACGCTTCCGAAGTAGGACTGCGGTTCGGTTACCAGATGTGAGCCACTTGGACAGCTGGACGGATCGATGCTCCAGGTATTCAGATCTTCGGATGGACCAGAAATTAGGTCAACGGTGACAGGGAATGTCAGGACGCGGCGCATAACAATAATAAATAGCGGCGAAGCTTCTCACGAATGCCCATGTTCTGACATATGTCCATCGACGCAAGCTAATCCATCGTCCAAAATATGTCAAGAACTCGCCTCGAATATCGGATAGGGTGGAAGATGTCCGACCGTCTCTCTCATCGTTTGCATCTTTGCTCCCTGTCCTTGGGCGTGTCTGGATGCCCTCAATTTTGTCCAAATAGAACAGCCGGTCGATGTGAGGGTTGCTGGGTCGGCACATACCCTAGCTACCTGCTTCACGAATGCACCTCTGTTTTTTCAGTTTCAGGGAATCCAGGAGCAATCAGGAAGACCCCTCGGACCCCTCGTTCACTGCAGTGTTGAGACATTCCGTGGGCAGCAGCCGAAAGCTACCTATCTATCAGCAGATAACGAAGCGAGATTCGGTCACCTTCTCGAATAGCACCAATGGTGGCCGAGGACTAGGTTTGGAACATCAATGTGTGATGCGACAATTGCCGGAGATTGTTCAGACTTCAGGATGAGGTTCTTGGGCAGGATGGATGTGAGACTCCATAACAACTTGCAGGTGGGTTGCAGGCGGGGACACTCTGGCTTGCCGGCTTGTGGGATCCCGGCGGCTGTCATTGACGCGGCGTCCGTTGTGGCCCTTAGCCCCCTTTCCATCCTGGCTCGGGGGCCCTTTAGGTGGGAGCCGTGCATCGACTGGTGGTGGGGGCTCGCTAGCAACTTGGACCGACGGCGCGGAACCGACCACAGTAAGGGAGCGGCATGCCTTGACTGGAACGGTCCGACTGCATAACCCAGAGGCCTTAAATAGGCTCATAAGGGCACGCACTCTTGCGAGACCACGTATTGCTCCGGCTTGCTGCGCATATTTGTCGATAAACATCACTTCAACCCGGAGCAGGTGCCAGATTGCGCCGGGTTCTCTTGATATCTAAAGATGTCTCTGACTGCCGCCGTCGCATCATGGATCATTTGGGCATCTGGTCGCAGCCTCGGTGTTCGAATCTGTACTGGCTCGACCATTCGTGTCCGAGTCCAGAAGACCAAGGTTGTCGTCAGGGCCGCTTCTTGACAACACCGACAATTTCTCCCTCCGACCCCAGACGGCCAGGTCCACCAGCCAGTTCTTGCTCGCGAAGTATGATAGCTCGGATGATGGCGTAACACCACCATTGCGCGGATGCGAGAATGAGTCTCCCTAGGTCGAAATATCAATACTACCGTTGGTACACTGGCATGGTCTGAGAGGAACGGCCCTTCATCATTGCTTCATCACATACTCTGTAGAAAAGGGTTAAGGGATATGCTTGACAGCGGACTAAGGTGGTGGAGTGGTGTTCCCCACCAGACTGTGCGGAAGTCTCTAGTGCTGATAGACGTGTCCAACATCGATCATGGCGTCCTGTACGAGCTGCAGGCCTCACAATCAAGTTGAGCCCCCCCGGAGGTCAAGAAGCTGGCTGCTGCAGGAACATGGCCAAGGCGAGATCCAAAAGTGCTGACGATCTTTTTCCGGCCAGGACTCCCGCCACGATTTGCGTTAGTGACTTTGACCTTCTTTTGTAACAGGTATCATGGTCTCTTTTGATCATCCGCTATGAGCTTCAGTCCTGCACTCAATGAGCATCAGTTGGTTTTGGCCTATCCAGTAAGAAACGGACCCGTGGCTTGTCGCACGTTTACAGTCGAAGGCAGCATTTTTGGGCGTCACGCCGGTTAGCCAACGGCAAGCGTGGGTACGGACCGACGCTCCTAGGATTGACTGATGGCCGTGGGCGGGTGGCTGGGAGACGGGTTGTCAAATCGATTTTCAAGATCCCGAGCTCTCCGATTTCCACATTCTGCTGCCAGTCTTCACATCACGTTTTCGCACCTATCACCATTACCACATCTCGTAGTCATGGAAGCCACCCGCATACCCGGCACTTTCTGTACACACACATGTAGACGGCACAAAAACATCCATGGTTCGACTGGCTCGAACTCAGATGATATATGGGTGGAATAGTACCACATAGTCCAGAGATGGTGGTTTTCGAGAGGGGCTTGTGGCAGCGATGATTAGATCCTTAAAGCTGGCCAGGGATTGACACAAGATCCCGGAAGTGGCAGAAGCAGGCCGGTTGCTGGTCACCGCCGGAAGGAGGGTCGAGGGGTTTTCTCGAAAGTGAAGAACAGGGAAGAGGTGGCACTCGAAGGGAGGGACGGAGAACGCTAGGCATCCAAGGATTCGACGTCGCGGGTCTCTCGCGCTGGGCGTTGTGACGGTAATTTTTCAGGGGCTTGAGGAGGGCGAGCAACAAAGACCAAGGCGAAGGCGAAGCCGAAGGACAGACGAAGGAGGGAGGGATGCCTCGAATGTGAGCGCCTCTCAACTCTCGTCTGCCCTCCCGCCCCTCCTTTTGTTTCTTTTCATCGCACGCACGCCTCCTCTTCTCGCCCTGTATGAACATGGTCGTCGCATCCATCTGTAATATCATATTGTTATCGAGAAAGACGATGGCCGCCTAGGCCAGTGTTCGTACCCGGTTTCCGCCTGCTGCAGCCGTGGAAAAGCACACGTGATCTAGCCTGCGCTCTTTTGCCAATCGAATCCGACTCCCTTAGGAACGAACCCCAGCGAGCCACTGCAGCGAAAAGCCCCAAGCTGCAAAACTGCCACCAACTTGAACCTCAACTTGCCCTTTTCTACGATCGAACTCGTCTGGCGCTACTTCTACACGGCATGAACACGGCTTATCTCACCTCCTTCAACCATCTCACTCTTGAGCAAAAGGCTTGCGCGTGGTCGGAGGACTCTTAGCCTTCATTTGCCAGCCATGGCCCAGCCCGATGCCGCCACCGGCTCAGACGCTGTCAACACGACCGCGACAACGGCAGCGCCCAAGAAGCCTGCGTCGGCACCCGAGAAGAAGTACAAGTGCCAGTACTGCAACCGAGCCTTCAGTCGAAGCGAACATCGGAGTCGACATGAGCGATCGCGTAAGTAGAGCAACTTTTTTTTGTCTTTGCGACGTGGGGCAATGAGAAAGACCCCGCCATCACCATCCATCATCATAAGGGGGGAATCATCCTTCAATACATCTCAGCTAACCTTTCATCCCTTGATAGACACCAAGGAGCGCCCCTTCAAGTGTCAGAAATGCCGAAGCACCTTTGTCCGTCGAGATCTGCTCTTGCGTCACGACCGAACTGTCCACGCGAAGGATGGCGGTGTGCCTTTGCAGTCTGAAAGCAGAAAGAAATCGGGGACAGGTACAGGGACGAAGACGTCGCCCTCAACGGCGGCTCCGTCAAAGCCCTCGATCAACATCGATGCTGGCACGTTGGAGCAAATAGAGGCAAGCAGCGATGGTATGCTCGACCTTGAAACTGCCGCCATGTTGATGACAGACTTCCAACACAAGGCGGCAGCAGCAGTGAACGGCCATCTCCAGAACGGCGAAGGATTCACCCCCAGCTACTCTCCGGACCGCAGCTCTCTCCTCGAATCTTCCGACTATCTCAGTGGTCCCCACAGCCTACCACATATGCCCTGGGACACGTTCATGCCACAAGGACCGTCGCAATCGAAAGCACATTCCATGTCGAGCCTGTCTTCGCAAGACAACCTGTCTCAGCCACCGTACGTCCACATGGGATCCATACAGCCTCATCAAACGCACCTCCCGCCCATCATGGAACGTCAAAACTCGCTCGGCAGCTCTCTTCCTCCGGCATTCCCCTCGTTGGCGGACACTTTCCCGGTTTCTGGAACCCCGACACCAAATGCGCTGTCCCCATTTCCCTCCATGACTGGCCCTGTGTCTCCGGTGAATTACCGCAAGTCGCCAGGTCCCGCCCAACCCCTTTCCCTGCCCAAAGCTCCACAGTTCAACAATGAGGACGAAAGAGCGATCATTGCTAACCAACTAGGCGGGGATATCATTCTACCACCGTTGCCCTCCATCAATCTCTACCTCACCACGTACTTCAACTTGTTCCACCATCACATGCCCTTCCTCCATCCCGTCACATTCCGCCCTGAGAGCTCCGAGCCGGCTCTGCTCCTGGCCATTTTGTCGATTGGAGCACTCTATAACTTCGAGCAAGAACAAGCATATCTTCTTCATCACGGCTCCAAAAAACTCGTGAACCAATTCCTGCAAAACAAAGACAATTTTGACTCCCGCAAATGCCCACTTTGGACGATGCAGAGCACCCTTCTGAACATGGTCTTTGAGAGCTGGAGCGGCGGTTCTCAAGGATTGGAATGGGCATGCTCTATTAAGAGCTTGCTTGCTAATGTAAGTCAATCGCACGACTGTTAAGAGTCTCCTGCTGACCGAAATAGATGGTTGCTGGCAACAAATATGAGCTCAAGCTTCGAATCGATGCACGTTCGGGTACGCACCCGACTCACGAAGAGTGGGTTGCCGAAGAAGGATGCCGGAGGACCTACTATGCGGTCTACATATTCTTTGGCATGCTGACTCTTACCTACAACCACACCCCAGCCATCAGCTTTAACGAATTTGATTCGTTGCCTCTCCCATCATCAGAAACGCTGTGGAACATCGAACCCTCGGATGAAGAATCGTGGCAAGACATCTTTGCAGCTTCGCCAACAATAACTGTACGCGAGGCGCACGATAGCCTTTTCCAAGGTGATCCAGCCCGCTACAGTGCTTTCGCAACTAGGGTGATGATCAATGCCCTGTTCTTAGAGGTCTGGAATCTGAGAAGGAGCTTCGAGTCATTGCAGGACGTTGTTTTGGAATGGAAGATTAGAATCGCCTTGGAAACCTGGGAGCGATCTCTTGATCTGTGTGAACCCGAGACCATTGTCGTTCCACTGTCCACACCCCACAAAAGCCATCCACTCATCTTCAACTCGATGGCGGTCTACCGAAACACGCGGGCTTTCCTTGAAGTGGACCTTAAGAATGTCCAGGAAGCCTTGCGGTACCACAACTCTTTCGAAATTGCCGGCGCAATGACACTCTCCCGAGACAATGTCAAGCGGACCAAGGAGATGATCAAAGTGGTCGAACAATGCTACGAGTGTATGGAGATCGTTGCTATGCAGGGCATCAACTGGGTGACGAAGACTTCTGCGACCAACTGGAGCATTGAATTCCCTCTCTGCGGTCTGGAACTCATTACGATTCTCAGTCTGTGGCTATATCGTATAGAGCATGACGACCAAGAAGCGACCGAAGAGGAGCTCGCCATGTACATGAAAGTGCGTGGGTTGTTCGACGACGATGCTGTTGATTCAAACGGCTCTCGTTTGAGCTCTACAGTCGCGCGGGTTTGGGGCACTATGCTGGACGGCGTCGTGGTTTGGGGGTAAGTGGCAACTTGAACGATGCTGACCATGAAATGTGCTAACATTTTCCAGTATCTCCAAGACCATGGGTGAATCGTTCAAGCTACATGCCCAAGCTCTGGTTGGATATATTGATGAACTCCCCATGGATCCCGTCACAGGCATGCCGCAGGTCACGGATCAAACCATGATGGGCATGGAAACAGCATATTGAACTTTTCTTGCGATTTACGACACAACTCTCCTCTACATCCTGCATGGCGATCTTGGGGTGTCATTTTCTGCAGTGGCAGTCGGCGTTCAAAACGGGCATAATCAACTTGACTGTTTTTCCTTTTGTGGCTCTCTTTTCCGCAGTCTTGTCTCCGACACAAGATACCCGCCTCTTGCAACCGGACATTGCCCCTCGATGAAGAGGCCATCATTCCTGCAACGCGGTATGATCACTGGGTGATCATTTATCTCGCTCTACAACTACCTCGAATCCACCCACCCTCACGACCACTTACTATCTAATCTTCTCACATGATACCTTGTGCGCTTAGAGATACAAGACTCTTGTCTTCCATCACCAATTCCCTCTGACGACTTGCTGCCCGGACAAGAACTGGCCGAGGTTTCAGATTCGGCCAGCGGGGGACGTGCCTCATGAACCTTCGACCTCTTTTCTTTTCAAATTTTTCTGACTGACACGGCCGCTTTGCTGGTTTTGGTTTTGGATTATTTTCTGTATAATAGTGAAGGACGGTGGCGCTGGGAATGGAAAGAATTGGCTGCGTTTGGCAACGGCACCAGGACTGCATACTATGTTTAGGGCGACTTCAGCTTAATGATAGCAACACTGCAACTGCTCCAATTGCTTTTTCTCATGATTCTCATCCATGTTAACGTAGTCAAGGCTCTAAGTGTTCAGTCGCGGTCGAGACATTGCCATAGACTTGACAAAGGGGGAGGGAGTTTGCGGCTTAAGGCGGCAAGCAGCCCGGCCGAAAAGGGTCATGGCTATCACCGCCTGGCAGTGCACTGGACCGGCTGATGAGGCCAGCCTTGTTGGTAGTAGAGACAGATATACCTCGCTTCCCTTCATCAGCTCTTCGGCAACCGGCTTGCGGCAGAAAGTCGTATGGATTTCACCTCACATATCTGTTCAGTATCATAGATATTTCCCCCGTATCTCTCCCCCCCCGAGCGCTGTTCACGAGGCTGTTCCTCTCTCGATGACCTCATCCTAGCCGAACCCCGATCCCGCTGTGCACGCACGACCATCAGTTAGTTGATACCTACCATGGCACCGTCGCCTACAATGCGGAGGCTCCTCAAAGAGACGGCGGAACTATCATCACCCTCGTCGAATCCCAACCCAGCGTTCTATGCGGCGCCTGTCTCGGACGCAGACCTGCACGAGTGGCACTTCACGCTCCTCGGCCCTCCGGCCCCTTCGCCATACGCAGGCGGACTCTACCACGGACGCATCACACTTCCCACCACCTATCCGCTGAAACCGCCGAATTTCCGGTTCCTGACACCGTCCGGTCGGTTCGAGGTCAATCGCGAGATCTGTCTGAGCATATCAGGGTTCCATGAGGAAACGTGGATGCCGGCATGGGGCGTGCGGACGGCACTGACGGCGCTGAGATCGTTCATGGCTGAAAAGGGGTCGGCCGGCCAGGTCGGCGGGCTGGAAGCCAGTGCGGACGTACGGATGAGGTTGGCCAAGGACAGCCGGACGTGGAGGTGCGACGCGTGTCGGAAGTCCAACGAGACGATCATGCGTGAGTGGTGGGACATCTGTCGCAATGCTGGCGTCAGCGTCGATGAGGAGGATCTCGGGCTCGAGTCGCTCCCCGAGGGGATGGCGTTGGAGGCTCGAGATCCTAGCGCACCCAGGCCAGAGGGTGGTGCACAGAGGCAAGCAAATAAGGAAACAAGTCCACAAGTCCAGCACCCGTCGTCTACACCGTCTCCACCATCAGCGACATCACCAAATCACTCCTTACCGTCAGATGCAGACGCAGACACCCTTCGTTCGGACGGATCCTTAAAACCCCAGAGCCTGTCCTCCAGCCTGCGGCCGCGGTCGCAGGCTTCTCTGCCCTTGATCCCAACTCCGTCGGCCGAAGCAGTGCAAGAATCCGCCGAAGCCGTCCTGACGCCGTCCGACCTGGCTCTGCCACCACCTTCCACAGACTCCTCACGACCACGGCACTCCCTGATGTCTAGCGTCCACGCTCCACCAACAGCGGCGGCCAACGCAGCAATCGCAAGAACCGCCCACCCGTTGACGCTCCAGCGTGACCAGACCGTCACGATCGACCGCGCCATTGCGGGGGTGTTTCTCGCCTTGTGTCTGATGGTGCTGAAGAAAATCTTCTACCCTGCAGGCGGGGCCGGGAGTGGTGGTGTTGACGACTTTTATCTGCAGCCGGAGTGATGGATGGGGCTCGTTACGGCTCGATCGCTTGCCCACGGTGACCATCTGAGAAAGCATTCTTAGCAGTATAGAGGACCGTGAGGAACTCAACCTGAAGCCTCCCGTGAAGACTCGCTTTCATCCACAAGAGCATGGTTTAGAATCCTGTCCCAGAGTGCTCCTACTTGATGCTATCCATGAAATGCATAGCTCGCATACTACTAGTATTCGGGTGGCATTTGCCCAGATATCTAGATGTCTTCCCACTCCATCCTCTCAGCCTTGTCGCCATGTGTTTCAGCCTCAGCCTCAGCCTCAGCCTTAGATCTGGGGTCACGGGGTATGCCAAGCGGATGATGGTGGTGTCTCTTTCCTACTACTACTACTATAATAGCAGTCCATCAGCTCCTTCTTCTACGACACCCCTTCCTGTCTCTTTCCCTGCAGTGGGTGATGTTAAGTCGGCGCTCATCCCAGCGGATATACTGCAGGCGTTCATACAAAGAGAAAATTGAACACAATGCTCTGATTGCTCCCTCAGGTCTGTCCGCAGTGATGCTCAGCCTCACGAACCAGCAGGCTGCCGAGCCAAGCAACCGCCACCTACCAACTCAGCCTTGCTCGACAGAGACCTTTGGTCGTTGGCCATGACAAGTTTCTATTACTTAGAGAGGGTTCATCCACCAGGCCATCAACCATCTAGCAGGCCACTTTTTGCTCTGGATTCTGCCTAGACATGATGGTTCCAGCTTTCGGTTTCGTTTCAGCGTAGGCGACTTCATAAGTGCCATTGGTAAGCACATCATCGAGGCTTCTGCCGTCTCGTCTCAGACTTACATATTCCAGAGCTTTGTGCCAAAGTGGGAAAGGCCCTCAGACCGCCGGCGGTGCTTCAGATGACTATCAACATGCCTTAATCGAACTCGAGGGTCTTCAACTTGCATTGGCGCGGCTACAGGCGCTTGAGCCGACCGAGAGCAATGTCAACCAGGTCAATGCCATCCGCGGGATGGCTCTGGCGTGTAGGCTTCCATTGCAGGAGTTCCTGACCAAACTCCAGAGATATGAGGCTCAACTGGGACCGCGGGCCGCTGGATCACTCAAGGCAGGAGGGAGGAAGGCCAAATGGGCGGTTTTCATCACTCAGGATGTGTACAAATTGAGGGGGATGGCGTCTGCGAAAGTCTTGAGTATCAATCTGTTGTTGGCAACCCACGCTTCGTGAGTAAACCAACCTTCTCCAAGCAAGTCGCTCTGCTCACTTCCTAGGGAAAACTTGTCTCTGTTATCCTCAAGTAGGGGTACTCGACATACAGAGGTTCTAACAAAGATGGACCAGCAAAGATCAGAGCTGGCCGACTTGTCGGCAAGTATCAATTCAACCAGGATGGAAAATAGGAGACTGCAGGAGGTCGGGACTGCGACCATGCATCAAATCTCATCAAATCTCGAAAATCTCAGCGAATCATCTTCAGAGTCCGGGATGAAGCTGGATAGCCTCACTCGAGACGTTCAGTCGACCAGATCCTCCCTCTCCACTGTCTCGATAGTCCTGATAGAGGTCTCAACCAACATGAACGTGGCACAGACAAGTATCATGTCGCTCCGAGATATGGGGTCACAGATAAAGAACCTTTTGCTCACTTTTCCCATCGAGCTTCGCGGGTACCTGAGGGCTGTTTTACGATACAACATGCAAATGTATATGACGCTGCTGGATATTCAACAAAACATTGCGACAAACCCGACACAACATCTCCAGTCGATTGTCAAGTTTGAGGATGCTTTGGGCGTAGTCCGAGGATTGCCTTATGAATGGTTCAAACATTGGGAGGTAAGAGATATATCTCTCCCCATGAGGTGCCATTCGACTGACCAGAAACAGCCGTTTGAAGGGCTCCTTCGTTCACAGTTTCAGCACACTCCTGGCGAGGACAAGGTGCGGGAAGGGAAGTATCAGATCGTACATGCAAAACGACCTACAAAGATGATCAACAAGGATAATTGGAGCCATTGCATTGCACCAGGTGCAGAGATCCTCATGCTCATCATTATGGAGTCCATGTCCTGGCATGTTACTTCCTGCCCGTGATCTACTTGTGACGGAAAGCCGAGCATAAACTCTTCGGGGACGATGCTGGGTTGCTGGTGAGTATGGACATCAGCCTTTCTCGTCTGTAATGACCATTATACCAGCCCGAAATGTGGCTTAAAGTATCTGCCGCAGACACTTCTCGACGTGTCGGATCAGGCCGAGAATATCTCCGACGCCACTCAGGTGCAAGAGAGCCAGATGATGGAAGACATCGCACTCTTCGGCGATCGCGCCCTACCCAAAACTCTGGAGGAGGAACTGTTGGGCCTTGATGCCATCGATTCCATCCAGCCAGGCCTGAGCGTTGAGTATTCAGCTTTAGCCAGGAAAACAACGGTGTCATCGCCTAGGAAGGACAAAGTGATGCCAGCATTTAACGGCCATGCTCGAGCTGCTACACAGGTCTTCCCGGAGAATCTGGATCGTGGCGCGCACAAGCAGATTGTTGAGGTTGAAGACAGGGATCAGTCCTCCAGCAGTCAACCCATCGACACACCCCCAGAACAGTTGGAACAGGCCGATAGTCATGCCCCAGATGATGAGACCGCGGAAGCTCCCCCGATCGTGAAATGGCTGCAGGAGATCACAGCTCCAGAACTGCCCACCACTGTCCTTGCAAAGCAAAGAGAGAAAGACCAAGCAGAGCAACAAGCTTCGGAGAAGGAGGCCAAGGATGTCGAGGTCATACGCAATGTTCTTATCAGCAATGCTCCATGTCCGTCGCAAGGTCCTGAGCCAGCTAGCGAGGGGATGCCGTTTGGAGCCCGGATCTACTACCGGAACATCACAGACCGATACCCAGATGTTCCCAAGTACCTTGCGAGGCGCCTGGCGAATGCAAGCTGGGACAGAGCCAACAAACTTGCGAAAGTCAAGTTTCCTAGCATGGGAGACTTCGAGGAATATTGGCGCGAGGGTGACAACGGGGCTGACGACAGTAACGCTTCTACTTGGGATGACTTCGATATTTTGGAGTCAGCAGCCCATCCTGGCTACGATCTTTCCGAAATACGAGTACCAGTGCATCGACTGGCGGCCGAGCTGGCCGAGCTAGCTCAGATAGACTGCCCAGAATGTCCTTCGTCCCTTCATGATAAGAGGTTGTATTACTACCATGGGCATTTCGAGCACTCTACCATGGCCGATACCTGTCCGATATGTCCAGCAAAGGCCCAGGACCGTCGTGCTTTGCAAGAGCACATCTCGAAAGCACATGCCAACACCATCTGCGCCGCAGTTACCAAGAAACATGTCGAAGAAGAGGAAACCCGTGTTGCTGCGACAGACGAAGGGCCCCGCTGGCCTTCCAAGTCGGTGGCGCGGAGTGCTTTGGAAGTTGACTGTATGCAAAATCAGACGATTCAAGTGTCTGACTTGATACGACAGAAATCTCTGCTGGAGAGAAGAAACTGGGAGAAAGCTTTCTTTCCATACACTGCAGACGCAATGCGAAGCGATAGTTTCGAACGTGAGGCAGATGTAGACGGCTATGGTCACGACTCTGGCGAGGGCTCCAACTATTGGACTGGTTCACCTCGGCGCCACAGCCGGCCAGCTTCCTTATATTCAAGCAGGAACAGTTCGCGCACGGAAGCGATCACTTTGATGCGAGAAAGCGATCATTGGACGCCAATGACTTGTTTTCCTTTTCAGGATCTGAGGATGGAGATGACTTTGACTTCCAGCTCCCACCGCCACCTATTCATATGAGTATCAAAAAGCCTTTTCTCTGCTACATCTGTGGCAAACAGGTCGCAATGAAGCGCAAGCGCGAGTGGAGGCAAGTATGGCCCCTTTTGTCGTGCTTTAAATTGGCGGAAGGTATACTGATGAGTTCTAGGAAACCTGTTCTCGAAGACTTACAGCCTTACTGTTGTATTGTCGACGGCTGTGCCGACAAGGTCACTAGTTTCTCGCAGCGGCGAAAACTGTTAGACCATCTTTGTGAGAGCCATGGCTGGATCATCCGAATGCCAAACTGTCCGGTTCAGAAACAGCTCCGTTGGGCTCGGCACCGACTTTTGATGCCACCCAACACTGACCAGCCTGGAGTTGTGGTTCCAGGTTTGTGCCCATTTTGCCAGCAAAGACTACAGATTCGCCCAGTGAGTTCTGTCGGCACCTGGGCCGCCACATGGAGCTCATTTCATATGCTGTCATCTCCAAATCCTATGAGCCTTGGACCTTCTATGACGACAGTTCCTCAGACAGTTCTCTTGTCAGGTTCCCTCGACGTCGTGTACGAGCGAGACGCAAGAAGACGACGGCTCTCAAGTCCAATGCCTCAAAGGCAATTCCTGGACGAAAAGCAGGAAGTAAGAGAAGTCGCCATGTTAGCCCTCCGAGACGACCCAGGCCGAGAGCACGATCCGGCTCGCGGTCGTATGGCTGGAGGGAAATACCTCTTGCTTGCTCAGCGGGATCTTCTCCTATCCGCGAACAATGGACGGTGGGATTCTCCCAGGCAGACACTGGCAAAGGAGGTAATGGGCTTGAGTCAGTTTCATGCACAACTCGATCTGAGAAGGAAGAGACGATGCTGGTCAGCCGTGATTACAAGGCGGAACCATCAACAGCAACCAACGTCCATACAGCTGCAAATGGGGATGGGGATGGGGATGGGGATTTTGTACCTCCAGATATCTCAGCAGCCAAGCTATCATCACCACTGTGGAATCCCTGCCGGACCATTTGTCTTGTTGGTACACCAGCCGATATCGTCATCGATAGTCCACAAAGAGTCGCTCATCGATTCGCCTGCACGATACAGACGGCCGAGTCGATGGCCCAAGCCTTGGATATGCATCCCAGCTCCGAGCTCTTACTTGTTAGTCGCAGTGCCATACTCCAGTCTCCTCCATCGTTCAAGAAGTCCACTGCAAAGACAGGCGACAAGTCTGGCCCTGACGGCGAAGCTGGTGGCGCAGCTGGTGGCGAAGCCGACAACAAGACTGGCGTCAATGCTAAGGGCAACGCTGAGATTAGCCCTAACAGTCCTGAGACCACTGCTAAGGGCAAGGTCAAACAACATCCAAAAGTCATTGTACTAGTTGGTCCCAAGCCGTTGAAACAGATCGTCGACCTGTCTTGGGCTGACCTGATCGTCCACGGGCCTCTGGGTACGGATTCTCTCCGATTCTATCTGAAGGGATTGTGCAGTTGGCAGTTTCCGAATGAGAACGCGTATCCAGAATCTGCGTCCGGACTCTGGTCCTGATTCGGATCCGGGGTTTCAAGACGTGAGACACAAGGCAAATAGCTCGGCGGAGGTCCAGGTTTAGATACAGATCTCAGACACCCGCCGGCGAACGGAAGTACATGAGGATCTGTGAGGCAGCTAGCTAGCTGTACGAAACAAAGATACTTGGATCGACAGACGCAGAACATTGAGCTATATATATTATATGTCACGGATTCGGGAGATGATGTTCAGATCCCGTCGTTTTCTTTCATCACTTGGAAGAGGATGGACTGGAGGATAGGATGTAATGGATTGGAATGCAATGGGCTGGCAACTCAGAGCTATAGGTACAATCATGACATGATTTGCTTTGTTTCTGATATCCTTGTATACTCTACTACACTATATTACGATGATTTACTGCTTCCTCCACTCCACATGAATTAGAAGAAACCGACTCTATAATGCAATATAGCAACACATACTCATACATATACAAATAGAGAGAGAGAGAGAGAGCGGGAGGCGCCTCGAGAGACCTTGGGAACGGGAATCTTAAAACAAACAAATACGGCTTACTGCTCGGCATGCTATGCAAAACAACAAGGATAGGCACAAAAAGAAACCCAGATACGAGCGTCCAAGGGAAACCGAGAAAGAGAAAGAGAAAGATATAACAAGACCAAGACAGGAGAACGGAAAGAGTCTTGGGATCGACTCCGTCGTGGGAGCGGCAGAAGGGTTTGCTATCGAACCTCAGAAAACTTGTATATTCCACACACACATGACCCTCTGATTCGCATGGACGTTCGTGTAGGCAGGGGCCGGCCCTCCTTTCAGCACTTCAGCACTTCAGCACAGCAGCACAGTGGTGGTGGTAGCAGTGACAGCTCCAGCATCCATTTTTCGAGATACGGTTCCCATATCCAAGATCCGATCTCAACTATCTCAAGTCATTGCTGCCGCTGCCGCTGCCGCTGTCGTCACCGTCGTCGTCGCTGTCATCGCTACTGCTGCTACTACTCCCACTCCCATTGCGGTGCACTGCTCTGGCATGGTTGGTACCACCAGATCGAGTCACCTCGGAGGGATTTCGTCTCTGCCTCCTCCGACCACGACCACGACCACGTCCGCGTTCTACTGGAGGATTGCGCGTATGGTTCTTCTGATTCGGAAGGTGTTGCAAGGACATTGCGTTTTGAGAATAGACGCCTCCTATGCCAGAATAGTTTCGAGGCGTATTGTCGTTCTCGTCGCCGTAAAAATAGCCGTCCTGTTCCAAGGTATCGTGGTCACGAGGATAGTCGTACTCGCGTTCCCGGTCCGTTTCGTACTGCGAGTAGTAATGTCGAGGAGCACTGTCACTGTAGCCGCCGCCGCCTCGGATCCCTGTCAGACCATGGCCATTGCCATTGTTGGGATCCGCCACGGCTGCGAGTCTCTCTTCTTTCCGCTTACTGGCTTCTTCCTGTGCAATCATCCATTTTTCACTGACTTCCCACCGCCAGCCGTCGCCTGTGGTGTTGCATACTGGCAGCCACCACAGATACGGCTGTGGGCCAAAGAGATGAGTCAAGTTCCGGCGCCAGCCCAAGTCGAAAGCGTTGGGCAGTGTTTCGGAGTCTCGATCATCGAGGTATTCGGCATACCGAGTTCTTTCTCGTTCGGCTTCCATGTTGGAGTAAGTCCGCCGCAGGGCTTGAAGGGCTGGTGTTTCATGATTTCGCTGCTCACCGCCACCACTGTTATAATGATGATCGTCGATATAGGCGTCAGAATGCTGCTGAGGATGACGGATGGTGTTATAGGCACTCGGCACAGGCGAAGTGTGTTCTTCGCCTTCTTCGAATCGTGAAGCACCGGGGACAGCGTTGGCATGGAACTCGAGAATCTGCTCGCCAGCGCGTTGTAGTCTCTCGGCGACTCCTTCAGCACTACCTCTGTGAGAATTCAACCGTTGCTCCTGTCGATTGCGCTCCACGCGCTTCCTGACGCCGCTGAGATACCTCGTCTTCTCGAGTTTCTCGATCGTGGTCTGTCCTTTGACGCAGAGGTAGATATGCCAGCCCGTGAACCCGGTCAGCACCAAACCCATGATTCCGGCGATGACAGCCAGAAGAATAATGTTCACGGGCGCCAGGTCATCCAAATATCCACTCTCCTCGAACAGTTCCTTCCACATCCACCAGGCCGAACTGGCGAAACAGGCCCAGCTGAAGAGCGATATGTAGATCAGAAACAACACGAAGGCCTTGTAGTTGTGCAGTCCGACGCAGGTGGATAGCCACGGACAGTGGTGGTCCATCTTCAACACGCATCGGCCGCAGGTCGAGCAGTGATGCGTCCGGTCTGGCTTCGGGGTATGGCATTTCTTGCAGTACCTGGGCGCTCCGGTCGACGACACGGTGATGGGTTGCACATCACTCAAGTCGGTCGCGGAGGGCTCGGTGGTCGGGAGGATGGAATAGGTTCCCTGTGCCAGTGTTTGTCCTTTTCTCCCTCCCTTTTTTCTCCATGCGCCCCTTGACGAGGAGGGTTGCGTCGGTGATCCAGGGTCCGTAAAGACCGCAACGGTATATGACAGATTCGCCAGGCCGTAGAGCAGAATCCCGAGCGCGCAAATGCCCTCGATCAGCCACCACACATGTCTGGACCGGCTTTTTCCAAAGCCTATTGATGCCACTACCCACACCGCCCATGTTGACAGACTGTAGACGAACGCGAGGGGGAAATAGGTGGCGACCGCACAGCATCCACGTTCACATTTTCGGGCGCATGACCGTAAGCGCCGGTTGGAGGGCGTCGGCGGAGGAGAAGACGAGGGTGTCGAGTATGAAGGCATTAAGGACGGCGAGGACGACGGAGAGGAGGATGAGGATTCGACGCAACCGTCTGAAGGAAGTGCAAGAGAATGTGATGCTCAGTCAGGAGCTTGTGTCCAGCAGTCGGTCATCTTGAGGGGGGTGCGGACATGGCTGCGCGTAACGCCCGGAGAATGAGAGACTGCCAAATGATCGCAAAGAGAACGAGAGAATGAATGTCCTTCCCTAAAGTTCTGGCAATATTTCTACTTGTGTCAAGGTGGTAGTAATGTAGGTAGGCAAGGCTGTTGACCCAGATCAGTCTTTTGGAACGCGGGTCGAGGATCCTATATGCTTAGGTAGTTACGTAGTACGTACTGCAAACGATCTGATTACTAGGCTGTCTCTCAAGCCTCCTAAGCCTTGCTTTTCTTGATTAAGACATACGTACTACGCACCAACAAGCCGTACCTGGTGTCACAGGACCGATCACAATCTGCAATGGATTGTCACTTATATAACTACAATGCACGCATGAAAGCTCACGCCTACCCGGTGGTCGACAGTGACAGTGACAGTGGATTCTATACTACAGGTACGGGTACTAGTAATAGTGTACTGGACCGGTGGAAAAGTACAGTGGGGTTGTGCAGCCTGATCTGCTTTTGAGCATCGAGTCTTCCATAAACCAACTTGAGGGAGGGAGACTTGTCCATTCTTCCATGATTCCCCCACAAAGAACCACTGGCAGCCAGGTACGAGCCGACATCAAAATGGCCACAGACGTCGTCCTCGAGACGACCATGGTATGAAACCTCACCATATATCCTGTGTGTGTCTGTGCGTGTTCCCATGCTCATCACCTTTTCTAGGGCGCTATCACAGTCGAGCTCTACAAGGACCACGCCCCGAAAACCTGCAAAAACTTCTCGACCCTGGCGCAGCGAGGGTATTATGACAATGTGATTTTCCACCGCATCATCCCGAATTTCATGGTCCAAACCGGTGATCCCACTGGGACAGGGCGCGGCGGTTCCAGCATCTACGGAGAGAAATTCGCCGACGAGATCCATCCCGCGCTGAAGCACACCGGTGCTGGGGTGCTGAGCATGGCCAATAGCGGGAAAGACACCAACGGCAGTCAATTCTTCATTACTTTGGCCCCTACCCCGTGGTTGGATGGAAAACATACAATATTCGGGCGCGTCAAGAGTGGGATGAAGGTCGTGCAGAGGATGGGTCTGGTCAAGACCAACAGTGAGGATCGACCTTTGGAAGAAGTCAAGATAATCCGTGCGAGAGTGGTTGAAGGTACGGAGTAAGAGTGATGGTCTTGCTCTTGCATCGACGATGATGACGCGCAGCTTGTCTGAGGACGAGGACCTGGACCTGAGGCGTGGTGATATCTGCGAGCAGACTGCCACGGACTGGAACCTCGAACCCCGAACAGCCCCGTCTCAGTCTCTTGGACGGAAGCTCCCAGAAGTCCCGCAGCTGGAGAGATAAGGCACGAAGAGTCTAAGCCGTCGAGTTGGTTGCCAAATCCTTCTCTCGGTTGGCCGAAACGACTGGTCGGTGGCCTTTGTCATCATATCGGAAGCTATGGACGCGCTCCAAGCCCTACTCCAAGTACCCTTCCGCTGTGGCCGTTGTCACTATCACGGCCCTCCAGAGGACCGCGATCTACATGGTGATATATGGTCACGCCGGCTCTGCTCGCATTGATCTATCATCCAGCGTCAAGCGTGAAGGGCCATGGGAGGCATACTATGAAGCCCACTCAGAGAAAGGCTTCGAAGACGCAACCGGCCTCGACGCCTATGCACATCTTCCCATGGGCAGATTACAGGCATCGGGGTTTTCTGACTCTGCCAAATCAACACTGGCAAGTGTCTCTGCGACCGTTATCACCCATTCACTGCGAAAACCCAGGCTGGGGAGGAAGAGGTGTCTGCATGGTACCATTCCCCCTGACTCAGGCAGGCAGAACCTCGAAAAGGGTCGTCTTCTAGCTGACATTTCGCAAATCTCAACCTTCCACTTGTGCTTTAAGCCCAACCTGACATTGTTTTCTCGATATGGCTTTTCGGTCGTCGATGCAGGGGCCTGCGTCGTTCTCCTTTGTGATTTGACCCAAGCGAGAGCACCCAGCACGTCCTGACCGTACAGCATTGGATTGTGATCTCCAAGGGCGCTTAGCTCTCGTGCGGGCCCCTCTGATTGCGACATGTTTCATTATATCGCTCTCCGATCTAAAGGGGCAGTCTTCTCTCTGGGAACGACTAGATCCAAGAATAGATTGTGCCCCTATACAGCCTCGTCTATCAGTCAAGCCTCGTCTCGTCCGAGGCGCTCCAGTGATCTAGGGGATGTTTTCATGCAGTATCTATCTCACCGTGCTATTGCTCGCCATGCCTCATCTGAGTGGGAGGCAATCTTAGTCAAGCTCAGAATGCTGTGAGATATAAAGCCTTTTTGCAGGTGTACCTTACGTCTCCATCGTGAGCCGACAGCTTGATCGACACTGGGCTTATTCAGGCATTCTGTAGCATTCGAAGCATCAAGAGGTCTGAGAAACCGTCAAATACACGTGGCGTATGTATGTTCCTTGTGGTTTGCTCAGTATGCCCGTCGAAGGCTGCTGGATGCTGTGCAGAAAGGGGCCGATCGTCCGGGAGAGGAACCTGGGGTTTGTGACTGGGAGGAGACCCTTGACCCTCGTGAAGGTGCGAGGTGCCAGTGGTTGGTTGGAATGGAGGTGAAGCTAGAGATGTAGCTTGCAGCTTGCAGCTTGTCACACTTGGGCGGCAAAGACGGCGACCTGCGATTTGCTCAAGGCGCAGGCAACGACCTTCCACTCCGAGTCTCTTCTACTGCACCGTCTCTCACCATCACCAATCATTCCTTCTACTCTGTGACTTGCTCTCAACTAGGACTCGGTCCGCTCCAGGTTCCACTGCTCTCACTAACACTGCAGTCCAGCATGTCGCCCTTGGCCTCGCTCGAGATACATGCAACCAATGTAAACCCTCGTCGAAGCGCTGGCTCTATCGTTCAGGTGCTGCAACCTGTGAGATGGAGGACCCTTTGTCGAACACACTGAGCCCATGGCCTCGTCACTCTCGCTGCCCTCGACCGGGAGCTTCTCAGGTTTGTCCTCTATCCGCCGATATCACGGTGAGTAGCGGGATATGCTGTCCCTACACCCGCGCGCATTGTTTTCATCACCAGCTATCCTTCGCTTTCCTGCGAACTACTTGTCCTCCCTCGCATGACTCGGGTGTATATCGTGCTTTTCGGCCCCTCCCCCCTCCTTTACAACCAAAAGACGTCGTATCTGCGATCCTACGTTTCCTACATTCGCTACCTTGACATTCAGTCCTTCGAGAGAGCAGGCTTTCTCACTCCAATCCGTCGCGAAAAGTGCAAATCTTCTACGCTGGCCATTGAGTGGTCGCGAAACACATGACCATTCGGCGACAACACCATTTACATCCACTAGATTCGGTCGAAGCAACAGCGGGTCTGCGCTCGACCAGAAACACGACCTTCTGCGGGACATCTGCCTGGAAGTGCGAAGACAACCGGCTATCTGTTTATCCTGCACCCGTGTACGCCGTTGACAGAAGATCTCCCAGCCCTCAGATTTGGCCCAAGCATGAATATGCCTTTATCGTCGACGGAAGCTTTGAGTCGGTTAGCTGGCAGAGACGGAGGAACATGGTTAGCGATAGAGGAATCGATGGAAGAGTTGGTGAAGAGAGTGAACATTCCCATTAACAGCACTACACCTCCGCCTCTTCAGGATGCGATCCGGCAAGACCCTTTCCACGCTGCGGGAAAGTATGGTCTTTTGTTCGTCTATGTGGGCATCATCCTCGTGGTTGTGTCGACGTTAATGCGCATGTATTATTACTGGGGCGACAAGATCCGGACTGCTCTGTACAAAGAGGAATATATCAATTCGGCATCTGCTACGAGCCCGCCAGGATTCTCGCCACAGCAAGGCTACTACCCAGGATATCACGGTTATGTCGACAACGAATTACCGAGTGCCAACACGGAGGGCTCGACGAGGCATTTCTTCCCGGCCAACGGACCGTTGACAATGGAGAAGCCCAAGCAACAAGCAGCTATGTCCGCAATTGCACCCCTCAACAACACAATTGCCTTGTTCAGATGGATTTTCTACCGACCGGTCCCCGCCCTTCGGATACGAAGATACACGTTCACATTCCCGGCTCTAGGAGTTCTCGTGATCATAACTATCTCTCTGACTGCCTCAGTACTGTACTGCTTCTTACCGAAACCATTGTTCTACGCCTCGATGGCCTATGGATCACCCCCTCTGGCGGTTCGAGCGGGAATGATGTCCGTCTCCCTGCTACCCTGGGTTGTCGTCTTGGCTACCAAAGCAAACCCCATCTCATTTTTGACAGGAATTGGGCACGAGCGACTGATCGTTCTTCATCGGTGGACGGCTTATCTCTGCACAGCCCTTGCAATCATCCATGCCGTCCCATACTGGTACCAGTCTGTATCGGATCCTGATGGCTTTGCGACGTTCAAGCTGTATTTCCGCCAGCGATACTACATCTTCACCACTGGCATTGCGGCTATCGCACCCCTGCTCTTCCTCACCCTCCATTCACTTCCATTTCTTCGAGCAAGGATGTACGAACTTTTTGTCCTTCTCCACATCCCCGTCGCGTGGGCCTTCATTGGTCTACTTTTCTGGCATTGCCACAACTATCTTACCTCCTGGGCATATCTTTACTCAACAGTGGTGTTGATGGCCGTCTCCCTGTTCGCCCGTCTCTTCTTCGTGAACTGGATGAATCCTCTGCGGGCCTCATGGCTCATTGGAGAAGAGTCTGCCGTTACAATTTTGCCTGAAAACGCCATCAAGGTCACAATTCCGACGCAGAAGAGATGGCGCCCGGGCCAGTATGTGTACTTGAGAATGCCCGGTATCGCTGTGCTGGAGAATCACCCCTTCACGATTGCCTCTCTGTGCAGTCAGGATTTCCCCTCCGAATATGGCGAACAATACAGAGACATGACCTTAGTGTTCAGACCATTCAGCGGTTTCACTCGCAAGGTCCTCGACACCTGCCTCAAGAAAGGTCCTTACAAGACATACCGTGCTTTCATCGAGGGACCATATGGAGGCATGCAGCGACAAATGGCCTCATTCGATCAAGTGGTCTTTTTCGCCGGAGGAAGTGGCATCACTGCCATCGCAAGCCAGCTCCTCGACTTGATCAAGCGCATGCGCGACGGCAAGGCCACCACCTCGAAAGTCCACGTCGTTTGGGCAATGAAGCGGCCAGATATTATGGAGTGGTTCAAAGAGGAGCTACGAATCTGTAGAGAATGTGCTCCGCCCGGATCAGTCCAATGCCACTTCTTCATCACCGCAGCAAGGCGCCATGTCCCCGTACCAGTGCCTGCACCCAGAGAACACCGGCTCAGTGGGATCCGTGATAAAGTAACCGACGCAATCCACAGTGTCGGAGCCGGAAGCAGACGCAACTCGGCGATGGCAATGGAGCCCGAGTCGGAACTCAAGCGAGAGTGTGATGATACCATCACCGCCCTGCCACAGGCATACCTCGCACCGCCACGCCATCCTACAGCACCTCTTGGTGCGAACCCTAATGAGACATACTACCCGCCGCCTCCGCCCAAGGAGCATCGCGTGTCAACTCTATCCCAAGCCCAAATCGACGCCACCCGCACCTTTGATTTCGGCTTCCCACAGACCCCGACCAAGTTCCAGAAGAACTTGATGCGCTTCGCCTTCCTCCCCACCAACGTCACTTCACAGCGTCGAGACGGCTGGCGGACGGAATACGGACGCCCTGACATTCCTTACATGCTCAAAGGGCTGAGTAAGGAGTTTGGTCGACGCACCTGCGTCTATGTCTGTGGCCCGCCGGAGATGAGAACAGATGTCTCGAACACGGTTGCGAAGCTTCAGAGCGAGGTCTGGAGCGATAGTGGGAAGGATGAGATCTTTCTTCACGCCGAAAATTATGCCCTTTAGAAACGACACTCGGGAAGGCAGTGGGTCACACGCAGTTGTCGGCGGCCTCGAGTCTTGGGTCTGGAGACTCAGTATCGTCTATGTTGAAGTCCAGGGTCTCCCGCAGTGTCCGTTTGTGGATGTTCAGGGATTGCACAGCATGAGGGTCAGTTGTGGTGCACATATACCAATATTAATGTTGTATCAGGAGAACAGCAGGCCATGGCTTACGATGGGGGCACTTTCCGACGGGGGCGGACGAAGATTATCCGCCTATCTCAGCGTCTGTCTACGCTCGCTGATTCTATCATTCCCTATCTGTCATTCTCCCTCTTGATCTTCAGCTGTTGACTGCGCCTGATGGAGCATTTCTCAATACCCTGTCCCTTGCTTATATGTCGTGTGAGGTGATCAAGCCTAGGAAGCAGCAGGCGAGAGGGGAAAGGGAGAAAGGGAGAAAGGGAGAAAGGAGCAGGGAGAGAATGATCCCAAGAACTGAAAGCTTTTTCTCCGAGAAGATGATGGGAAGGTACTATTAGGTACCGTAGCTTCCCAGCGGTAGCACCATTGGATATCACTACGAATCTATAATAATAGAGAAAATCGAAAATCGAAAATCGAAATGACTCGTTCTTCAAACGAGGTTGTTGAATCTCCCCCTAGTCGACACATCGACCAGAAGAGGTACTTAGGCATTCTCTTTCATTCCCTTGGATCTGTGTCTCACAGGCCTGGACCAAGGCACCGGGCTACTCCCCATATCAATGCAGAGAGGTGAAAAGGTAAAAATAGACAGCTAGCAAGACTGGATACAGAAGCACGCATGCCAGTGGGTTCTGCTGGTATTGATATTGGCTGGACTAGTAGTAGTCAATCTTGCGCCATGCCATGGCTCGCACATAAGTGTCGACAAAACTCAACACGGGGCCTATCGAAACTCGAGAGTTCACTCACAGCACTCCCATATCCCCAAACGCCCAATACTCTCGCCGGAATTACGCACGATACAGAGCCTTCTTTGTCTCTTCCTCTGTCTCTGCCTCTCTGGATCCTTGTTCTTGTCTTTGTCCTTGTCCTTGGTGTCTATGTTCGACGTCCCCTTCCCGAGGGAGATCGCACCTTCAGCAATCCAGCCCTCAATCACCCGTTGCGCCCATACAGCGCCGATAGCGGTCCCTCGGCCTTCGGACAGATTGTAGCCTCCCGAGGTGACGAATCCGATGAGATCCTCGACATCGGGACATGGCGGATGTTTCGTCCACTGGGTCTGCGTGCCGGAAGGGTTGGGGACCATCAAATCGGCCAGTTCGGTGCGGAAATTTGGGATAGGCGTGTCTGTCGGGTCGAGGTACGGGTTGCGTCCAACGTCGGTATCGCTGGGAAGCTGTTCGGGGCCTGCTGCTGCCTTATGCTTGTCTTTGTCTTTGTTGTCGTTGGCGTTGGCGTTGGCGTTGCCTTTTCCGCTTGTTGGCCCTTGTTGCCCTCGTCCTTGTCCTTTCAGTTTACGTCCTTGAGGGGGCCTCTCCTTGGGGATTTCTCCGTCGCCACGTCCAAAGGCGCTGTCTGGCCCGAACTTTGCGATGATTTCTGCAGGCGCGTCTTTCGGGAGGACGTTGATCTTTGCGAGCGATTCGCGCGGATCTGCGTGCTGCTGGCGCGGCAGGTTGAATCGATTGGTCTTTTGCTTCTTGAGCCGGTGGGCGCCGCTGGCATTTGGCACACCATGCTGGGAGGAGGAAGGGTCTAATGCAAGCCAGCGCTCGCGAAGGCTAGCAGAAGACATGCTGGACGAGGACGAGTCTGTGGTGCTGGGTACTGGAGGCCGCTGGGCAGGTGGTGGCACGGAAGACCAACTGGGTGGTTGGGTCGGCGGTGTCGCTTCGCTTGATTGATGTACGGATGATGCGATTTTCTGGGTAGGAGGAGCTGACGGGAGTCGGTATATGCGAGCGGCGGGACTCGGGGTCCCTTTATCCAGCAGCGTGATGCGAACGGTCATCAGAGTGGGCGTGGATGGGAGCTGGACACCCGACACGGTTTTGAGGAGCGCCAAAGCTGCCGACGGCGATAGCTGGGTATAGTTGATTTCCGCGGGAATGCTGGCAGCTCGGGCTTCATCCTCGCTTTCGGGGCTGGAAGTGTTGCGTCGTCGAGATGCTTCTTCCTTACTCGCCTCGGCTGCGGCCTGTGCTGCTTTTCGTTGTCTCTGCGTAAGCAATGGCTTTACTGTTTTCGCCATTGACATGTCCTTTGTCGTTGATATTTCCGCCACGTCGTCGGTTGACGTATTGCCCTTTTTGCCCTCAAACAGATATTCCCAGTCACAGGCCCAGCCTCTACCTACCTCGCCAGTCTTGCCTGGCCCTAGGTCAAGCTTGTCCCATGCGATCCTGTGCTTTGGAGGTCTGCGAATCCACTCGTCGAACCTCTTCTCGCTTTGCGTTCGCTCCCATGCTTTCCCTGCATCAGTGCCTGGCAGATCTCCAGGGAACCATGGCGCTTTGTTTTCGAATGCCAATTGTTGCTTTTCGTGCAGTCCTCCAAACCGCGGCGTCCCTCCTGCGGTCAGAGGATAGTACATCAGAGAACGCCATACCGCATCCACACAAGACCAGGGCAGAAGGATAGTCCACGTTCCCTGCAGGTTGCTGCCTTTGCGGCCCGACACATCTTCTGCTCTTGAGGCGAGAAGCATCACGGGTATGCGTGGATCTTTGGGCGTGGTCGCTGGTGCGTGACCGGGCGGCGCAAGTGCCTTACGACGATTGATCGCTTTCTGTGATGGCAGTGAATTGCTCACCATCCAGCGTTCTTTATGTGACATCAATCTGGAGCTGGACAATTCCTTGTCGGCCGGCCAGGAGACCAAGATTTCGTTCAACTGATTCGTGTCAGATTCTTTTGGCAACTGGATTCGCTTGGGCGGATGGCTGAGCCGGGGGTCGACGATATCAAATGACAGGATAGCATTCTGCGGTAGTATCCCTGGATTGTTGAGCCCCGCCAGAGAAGTCCAGAGAGTCGCCATCAAATCGCTGGTCTCATCGGATCCGTTGAATGGGCGCAATACACCCAGCAACGACTCTGTTGATCCAGGTCCTTGGATTTCCAGGCTCCCAATCTCGAAGCGAAGATCCTCGACCAACACTTGTGGTCTTTGTGATTTAGCGGCTTTCAATAACTGCTGCCAGAACTGTTGACAGGCGGAGGGATGAAGACGTATCAAGAGCAGCTGATCGAGTCTGACCTTTTGCTTTTTGATGATTTGAGGCTCCGAGGGGCCTGTCTGGTCACTCGTGTCGACCTCCATCACATCATCAGCATTTGGTGCATGGGCGGCGCGCTCCTTCTCCTTAGGTTGGATGCACCATATCACTGTGACCGGACTAACAGGTCTTCTCTCGCCTTCTTGTTCATACACCCAGCCCTCTGCAAACCTTGTCCCTGACTTCCACTTCTTTTGCAAGGACGCTGAGAGGCCCTGCGCTTTGAAGCCCAGTGCGGCAAGCAGGTTATCCAATGCATGCTCCGTTCCTCGACAGGCCACGGTAGACATGTAGCTGGTATCCCAGGCTATACATCCACGACTTCCTGCAGCACGATGACTGGGCCTATAGCTCTTTTCCGTTGGACTTAACGGAATTGCCATCCTCCACAAGGGTTTCGTGGGACGGGTCATGTGAGCCCGTTTCGTGTGCCATAGGTGAGTCGGTAGCCATGTTTTATTGACCTGTCTCTTCTTGTATTTCGTAGTAGCATTGGGTGGCTCGGCCAGAATATTTTTCTTCAACCGGGGTACTCGGGAGATCACGACGTGGTTTTCCGGATCCGCCTGCTTCGCATTGGCTTTGGCTTCTCTTTTCTTTTGACGCACAGTTTTGGTCTTCTGAGAGATTTTGCGAATGGCTTTTGCCGTTTCGAGGCGTATTCTCATTTTCCGAGACGGTGTTCGCGTCCGTTTAGTCACCGTTGGAGTATTGTCATCTTTCATCTGCACCCATCCTGGTCAGCGCTGTCAGCACACAGGCACCATCCTTCTCCGCAGAGAATAAGTAGACCGACCTCGCGTTCTGCCCTTTTCCGTAGCCGTCGGGGCACCTTTTTAGCATTGTGGCTGGCAGTCCTTCTTCTCATATGCCTCGGTACTTGTTGGAACGCTCTTGTTGTCAAGCTCTTCCGGGCCTTCTGCATGCTCCTTTCCAACGACCCAATTTCGAATTCTCTGGCTTTGATGAACGAGGCCACGTTGAGTTCACCGTTGGCCGCGAGGGCCGCCGCTGCTGGCTGGACAGGAATGTTTCGAGCATCTTGATTCTTCTGTCGCTTTCGGGCGTTGGCCGACTGCCCTGGTCTATCGAAAGCGAACTTGCGCTTTTGACCGGCCGCCTGGGTAGACGGGGCCATGTCTGTGGCCGTTCTGAGTCGTGCTGTCCTGCAGTGGACGGACGCGTTTTGGGTGCGGTGAGTGTCCGTGTACGAATTTGGGTCGCGGCGCAGACAGACAAATTTCCATTGATGTCATTCCTTGGCAGAGGAAAAGGGGGACGCAGCCTTGTCATACTTCGCAGTACTATTCTAGAGGAGCGACAACATGCCTCGAGGCGGGAGTTGTTATCGGTTATTAACTTGACCGAACTAAATAGCTCGCCGGTAGACGACTTCCCCTGTCTCCCTCTATACCAAGACCACCTCGCCCTCGATTGAGCGAAGTGCCAAATTTCTCCATCCGAGGCTTTTGGATCAAGACAGAAATGAGATGCGGTCAAGCGACCACGAAATACTACTACAACGGCACATGCCTCCCGTGTGGTCAAACAGTCGCAATCCCGACCAGTGACCGTCTTTGGCTTCGTTCCCTGTGCGCACAGCCTCTGGATGCTGCTAGGCAATACATGTGGACAGGCACGAAGCTGCCTTCTGAGCATCATCAAAAATCTGTCCCTCACTGTATCTGGCCAAGATAGGTATCCAGGGTCAACATTCGCGGTAGTTTGATGGCATGTGGAGAGCTGAGAGCAGTCTTCTCCGACTTGATTGCAACATGTTCTTGTATTCCATGTCTGATCCCCGGTATTTGCAGATGCGTAGACAGACTGTCGCCTCCAGTGCCTCTGCAACGGGTTGACAGGGTTGTTGAGTCTTGTATCCACTGATATGTGCTCGGCGAGCTCATCATTGGGAGATTGCCACTTTCCAGAGGTGGGCTTTCCGATGGGGATCTGGAATCTAAAGGGTCAATCCTATCGTGGTGATTGAATGCTTCCCTCCAGCTCGTCTTCCAGACTTCGCTCAATGGTTCAGACCAGAAAAATTGACGCATAGCAGTTTCTACAGACTCCCATGAGCGAGCATCCTCAATCTTTGAGAAGAAGCTGTGGCTTAACCACAAGCCTTCACCCGACAGAGCATGGTCAGTTCTCCAGGAGGTAATCACAATCATCCAGATCCATATTAGACATTGTCTTTCTTCGGGAGTCCAACCTCGGGTGAAAGGAAGTGACCTGGTTAGCTCCTGGCGTGAGCCACGGTATGAAGCGAGTTTGGTATGAGAGTCACCCTGACTGTCCATATTGAAACTGTAGAGGATAATTGCAAGGCATATGTTCTTCTCCAAACTATGTTCGGTGGCTGCTGCCGATTGAAGGCAAGAGCATGCGTCGAAGATATCCGGATAGTCTTGATCTCCCGGTATCGGATCCTTCTCCGTTGCTAGTCCCGATGGTGAGGCCTGCGAGCGCATAAATCTGCTCACTCTGGATAGGACCTGGAGGACATCGATACCCAGACTTCCCCGACGCGCTATGGCCGCAAACCCTGGCGGAAGGGTTGCAATCATGGAAAGAACGTTATCCTGGAATGGGAAGTGAGGGTAGATTCGCTGCTTTTTGCGCTTGGCGAGGGGAAAAATGCTTTCGGTGCCGGTCTCGAGCGTCCAGAAGTAGTCGAACTGGATGAGATACGCTTTGACCAGTCCACGCTTTCCAAGATTGTCAAGCCCACCTTTCATGGCGACCATGAGAGCTAGGCCTTTGCGATTTGACATATCATCTTCTTTATACATGACGTCAAGTATTGCCAGTGCAAGGACAGCCACAAGGGTGCCATCGTCAGGAGGACCTTCAAGATCGGCCAGACGATTACGAAGTATTGAAACAGCCTTATGTCGATGAAACCTTACTTCTTGAGACGGTTTCGTGGTGAGATTCTGGTGTTTTTCGAGATACGCTTGAGACAGTGCGATAGCCCCATGAAAGGCGCTGTCGTGAGAGAGGATAACAGGCAAGGCCCAACTCATCGTAGGATTGACCTGATTAACCACTACCAACATCGGTTGATGGAGAGGTGCGAGCACGTTGGTGTAATAGTCGAGAGCACCCACCACACATGGTGTCTGTTGACCGGGAAGAGAGCTGAAAGGATCGACCCGGGTACCGCTGAAACCGATGTTCAGGGGGAAAGGCGCGGAGTGCCACGAAAGACCCGGTAGTGTTGATGGTGACTCCGAGTATGTCTTTACCTTCCGTCTCTGCTCGTCTTTCTGAGTTCTATCCTCCTGCGTAATGCTCGATAAGCCTTCGGAGCCCTCGTCGTGGTGAGGCAAGGCATACCGGGAATGCGTCTTCTGGCGAATCGCAGCTCTATACTTGCTGGAGATATGCGACTTCACCGCTCGACGGTGTGAAGCACTGTGGGTAGGTGTGTTATAGTTCAAGAAGGTGAATCTCTGATGAGAGGTGTGATCGGGATTCTCCATCGGAGCAACTCACTGCTCATTAGCATATTAATTCTGATATAGCTTGTAAGCGTGAGAGTTGACCCGCAACACAACAGGCGTATCGATTTGACGCTACCGGTGCAGAGAGCAATGTCATTCCGCACTATCGATCGAGGGTGGAGGAAACAACCATATCCGCTCCGTGGTGTTAACAGTGCTGCGTTGGAGGTCCCTGAGGGACCTGTTTGAACCAAGTGCTCAGCTTGCATATAGAGGAGCCTCCGTATTATACAGATGGGGTGTAATCTGCTAGAAAAGAACAGATCAAGAACGATGATTAACCCAGGATGCCTCAATGAATCGGATGCAAAGATAGCAGGATACCAGGATAGCACATAAACTAAGACATTTGGATGCGGCGTTGTGATAGACTCAGGTTCAGGATAAGAATGAAGTGCAGAAGGATAAGCTGAGAACGACTAGTAAGACGCGATGACACCGTAGACAGACCGGAAGGAAAAGGAGCGGCTGAAGCAAGTCATGTAGGAGTGTAGACAGTAGGATTAGGAATGATGAATCAGCCGAGGACAGGATAGATGAGATGGGATGCGATGGGATGGGGGTCTGGGGAAGAATAATGTGGATTCGGCGTCAATAGCCTAAAGGGGCTTAGTGTTTGTTTAGAAGGCATAGCGCAGGGATAGACCCCTGCTACTCGCCAATAGTATTGCAAGTTTGATGGGATTACTAGTAGTCACATAGTAGTACCGGCGACCCAGGCAGCTACAAACCCCTCTCTCTCCTTGTAGCACATGGCACACACTGCAGGCAGCAATGGCGGGATGGTTCTCCGGGCAGTTCTGCACCTCCGTGTTCTGCCAGGCGCGAATGACATTCCTGCTGGATGGTAAGTTGGTACGCCTTGAACCTAGATGTCTTGCTTTACTATGATACCTTATCTACGGCAGGATCAAGGTCAACCTACTACTATACCAGGTCGATTCCGCGGCATGAAGACTTTCAGTCACCAGTCTTCCATCTCGGGCCCTTCTTCCAAGCCCTGGTGGCACTTCCAGAACCCAGCAGAGCTACTGTGTCACAAGAATAGACCCTGCCCGCCGTCCTCCGCTGCGTTACCTGCTTATCCAATGCCTGTGTCAGCTCCGAAAGCTTGGGATGGTCAGCCCATGAAGAGGGGAAAGACACGAAGCGAGAAGAGCTGGCCAATAATTGTCCCACGACTGGGTACTTCTGTGTCCCGCGAACAAGCAACACGCCTGTGACCCTTAAGGTGCTGACAAGCGAAGACTAAGATGGGACTTCTATCCTCTTCTGGAAGTCCAACGAGGTTATCTAATTGGACAGACATCAAGTACAACACATTTTGACTTCCTCAACGTCCGGCCAAAGGCACAGTAACATCCTAGCTGGCCGAGAGACCTTGCGACTATTGGCTACAGATCTGTTTATCAAAGCATCTGTCTGGCTTACGCGAAGAGGCTGATCCTCGGAACCATGTGGCACTCACCTTCAAGTTCGGCCAGCCCGCTGGTTCTTTGTACAAAACCTCGACTGGCGACGGTTTTGTGTCTACAAGCCATTGTCAGCACAGAGTCATCGCTCACAAACACCGAAACTTGCCTCCCTTGAGACCGCCTATAGCACCACCTCAGCAGGCAGCGCCGCCTCGTCCATCCGCTCAGTATAGCTTCTCGAAAACAAGAAGTCATGTCGATACGAGCTTCATACTTCAAGGCCGCCATGGACTCCGGATCCTCCCTGTCCAACTCGCCAGATGTAGGTCCTTACTACTCTACTCCTGCTGACTTGCAGCTTACATTATACAATAGCTCGCAAATGAAATGCTTTCCTTCAGCCTTCAAAATCCACTAGAATGGGGCACAAATTGGGGTCCGATTGATCTCGAGGCCTTCACGGAACCATGGGAATGCGACAGGTCTGCTGCCAAATCTGTGACGTCGACTGATTCAGACAATGCAGTCATTCCCGGATCCAAAATAGTATGTTACCGCCCCATATGGACGCAGCAGTTGCTGCCCTACTCACCCAGGCAAGTGTGGCAACCCGTGGCGCTTTGGCTGACCAAGAACCGTATACATTTAGCGTCGAAGAGCCCAGAATCGAGCTTCTCAGCGTGCGTTCCGCGAGAGGAAGGAACGCCATGTTAAAGGCCTGGAGTACCAGCTCGAGACATTGAACGAGAAACACCAAGACCTCCTAGAATCATACACCAAACAATCCGACATTGCTACGAAGCTTAACCAACATGTGGCGCAGCTGCAGACTGAAATCAAGGCGCTGAAGTTGCGCAACGAGCAGGACTTGCTGTTCCACGGTCCTAGCACGCAATCGCTTTCGCCAGAGAGCTTCGACGCCTTTTCATTCACTGCCGCGCCAGATCCCATGCTTTACGATGGCAACGAGGAAGAATTCAGCCAAGCTCAACCCAGTTATATCGGGCCAGAGTCCGAAAGGGTAACAACTCCTCCAATCTTTGAAGATATCTTGCATGTCTCTTGAGACAGCTAGGCAGCAACTTGGGTTTCCTCATTGCACCACGGAAATTGTCAAGATAGACTGACAAGGCCATGATATGCGCGGCGTTGAGACTTACTGCCCTACTAGTAGCACTCTCCTATCCAGGACATACTGCAAATCCTACCGAGGAAAGTTACGAATGGATATACATGCAGATCATTGTCAATGAGATAGGGAAAGAGTGGCTACGCAGACCCAGATACCAATTTCGAGGAACGTATACGCGAGTATGATAATACTGGATTCGTTTCAAGTCGGGGATGAATTCGTGGGCTCTGTGCCAGTTCTATTCTATCTCTTTTCATATAAACTCTGACCAGATTGCGTTTGTGCATCTGCTGTCAATTCGGCCCTGCAGGTCCGCTGACTTGACCACGCCACAGATTCAGTAGCGCAGAACAGCAAGAAGCCGGAGCTGGAAGTATATGCTCTATAGTTTGGCGAGGACAGCTTCCGCCCCAGAAACCTGTTGTTACACCGGGTTAGAAAATCGGTGGACCATGACTGTTGAAGGGTGGGAGAGCTTGGTCTAGCTTTGCAAACGACAAGAGTTGGGAGGGAGGTGCAACAGAGGCCAGAAATACAGGTTGACGTACCGACACATCTCGTCCAGGTTCCTTCGCCGCGTAGATGACCTTCCCGTGGTCGATCGCCAGGGCGTACCGAGCACACCGCTCGCCCATGTTCCAACCTATCGACTTGGAGAACTTGGTGTCCGGGTCACTGAGAAAGAGCTAGTTTGGGGACAATCATGGTTAGCATACTTTTCGATGCACATTGAACGTCGATTTGTGGCCCACTGCTTGGAGTATGCAGGTGTGATGTGATCTCTCTCTTTCTGTTCCTCTTTCCATCTCATCGCAAGACATCGTGTGCTGGTGCAGGGGTCCCACCCCGAGCCGTCTTCTCTCTTGTGCAGCCGGACGAACACACAAAGGTGGGTATCCGTGTGTTCAAACATCTATGAGATGCATTGGATAAACTCACAATATCATCGTTCTTGACGTTATTGGCCTTCTGCCAGGCGCTCATGACAAAGGGATCATTGTACGCCAGCACAGCGACAATGTCGACTCCCTTGGCCTTGAACTCCGCCAGCTTCTCAATGTATCCGGGCAAATGGCGGGCCGAACAGCTTGGCGTGAATGCGCCGGGGAGGGCAAACAGCACCACTTTCTTGTCCTTCCATTCCTTCGAGGCCGGGTAGTTTTGCGGGATTCCGCACGCGGTGATGTCGGCGCTTTCGGGCGTCCAGGGGATATAGCTACAAATGTTGAAGAACCACAAAATTAGAAAATGGACACCAAAGGACAATATGACCGAAGAGGAAGGAGAGGGAAAGGCAAGGTTGCTGGCCTGTGTTCAAGCGGGTGTGTACTTACGAGAAGACAACGTCGTCTGGGAACGAGTCGCCGGGCTTTAGGCCAGACATCGTGGTGGTATGTAGAGAAGACGAAACGAGGGTTGAGGTCAAGTCCAGAAGCAACAGAGATGTTTCTATTGAGCAAAGCAACTGTTCAGATTTCAAGGTTCAGGAACAGGCGAAGAGAGGATGAACGCAAGCCGATACCGTCGGTACAAATAGGTTCCAGGGTTCCAGGGTTCCAGGGTTGGTACCTTAGAACATTTCTAAGCACGTCCATGATCGCGCAGCGGTGGGGAGGCCTCCGAGAAGCGGCCGTCGTTCTGGGCCCTCAGAGCTGACAGAGCCGGAGGGGTAGCGGTGGGGCATGAGACATTTATCTTATCTTATCTTATCTGATTTGGTAATTGAATCGATTCCGACGTCACTGCCCGCTGCTTTTTGCTGGCGAACACGCCGTTTTTACTTCTTGGAATAGGGAAATCATCTGGACCAATCGATGCTCTCTTCACTGGTACTAGGTCGCTCGCTGACATGGCAATTCCACAGTTCGGTCAGCTAGGGCTTATGTCACGCACGCCTTGACAGCATACCACCCTGGCAGCATCAAATCTCAATGGTTGAGACTCCATATTTCTTTCCGAACAGGCTCTATTCAGGCTCTTACGAAGTGTCAGGATTGGTCGGACAGAGCAAGGCTGAAGGCGGAGAAGGACGAGCTTGGTCACTTCCGGCGGGGCGCTGAGACTGTCGGTTCACTGAGAGATGTTCTGCAATAAGTCAAAGCAGGTAAGAAGCAAGCGAAAATCGGATGATGTTTTTAACCTGGAGCGGTTGTAGAAGAAGTAGTCATCTATATAAGCAGGTTGTGCCCCCCTCATCTTTCTTCTTCTGAAGATCGGTTCTTCCAACTCAAAACACCACAGCCGAGAAAGCAGCCATTATTTTACATCAGAACATTCAGCCTTGACACACTAGATAGGCAGCTTAGGCGACATGGCATCCCTCCGGCCCCCTTTCACACTAGAAACGGCGCGAGAGAAAGTCAAGTTCGCCCAGAACATGTGGAACACGCAAAACCCGGAACAGGTGTCCAAGGGATACACGGCCGACTGTGTGTGGCGCAACCGCGACTCGTTCTTCCGCGGCACAGAGAAGATCATTGCGTTCCTCACCAAGAAGTGGGAAAAGGAGAAGAACTATCGGCTGCGCAAGGAATTGTTCGCTTTCACCGACGACAAGATCGCCGTGCAGTTCTGGTATGAGTACCAGGACAGCCACGACGGGATGAAGTGGAAGAGATGCTACGGGCTGGAAGATTGGACGTTCGATCGGGAGTCTGGCAAGATGCGGAAGAGACAGATGAGCGCCAACGATATCGTGCTCGGGAGGAATGGTGACGGTGTCGCGGTACCGGAAGAGGCAATCGAGGGACGATGGTATCTCAATGGAGTGGACGTTGATGATCAAAGTGTCACGGAGAAACTCACCGAGGCTCATTACTGAAAAGTCCGTATTCGCACTCACTGGAACGTTGACAGGAGGAAGACAACTGGAAAAAGGATTACAGTCACATCGCAACGACAGAACAGAGAACACCGGGGTGTGAGGATTAAGTATATATTCTCAATCTGTATCTCGGTTTTGTTTCCAATATATTCCCCACAACTCCGGAGTTGATACTTTGATCATCAAATCGCAGTAAGGATCGTCAGTCGTAATCACGTCGCTACCCACAAATCATACATATACCGGGAATGCTTTTGCAGGATTGGAGATGATGGCAGAAGATCTTAAGCTATAGCTCGGCAACATCTTCCTCCCATTCGGAGCTGTCATCTCCTCCCTCAACGAGAGGAGCCATCCTTGCCTTGAACTCTTCAAGGTCCATGTCATCCTCGGCAACTCCAGGACCACCGGGTGTCTTGGGTGGGATCAGCACGTTCGGGACCACGTGGATGACACCATCAGCAGCAATACCATCAAGTACACTGACGCGGGTGAAGGCATTGATCTTCATGGTGATTAAGCGGCCGTATCGACCAATGTCAATACTCAAGCTCTTGCCTTCCAGACCCGTGGGGAGATCAACGTGGATGTGTCCCTTGGGGACCATGTGATGTGGAGCAGCAGCCGAATCGAGCTTGTAGATGGCATCCGAGTAGAGGGTGATATTGTCGCCTGCATGATACAGGATCAACGCCTTGAGGTATTTCTGGCCGAACTTGCTGAAGAGGAAAGCGTTGATCTTGGATCCAAGACGTTGGAAGGCAAAGTTGGACGGCGCGAAAAGTGTGCCTCCCTTGTGGCTTGAGGTGTCATTGAAGATTGGATAGAGGCCAGTCTTCTCCAGAGCAAGGTCGAGGGTACTGAACTCCCCTGGCAGGAGAGAAAGAATGTCGACCACCTTAGGCGGCGGAAGGAGAAGACTATCGATGCCATGAATGACTCCGTTGGTGCCAAAGATGTCAATGGCAACAACGCGGGAGTAAAAGTTAAGGGTCAAGCCTTTCAGTGAGATTTGAGTAGAGATCCGCTGTGGCACCTTGCCGATGTATTCAGCTTCGAGAGCAGTCGGGATGGTGCGACTGACCAGCACACGACCTGCTGGGTAGAATTCAGTCGACACATGGTACGTGAGGAGCTTCTTCAAGAACTCCTTGGGTGGCTTTGGAGCATGCTTGGGGATCTTTTCAAACGCTCGGTCGGTTGGGGCAAACACGGTGTAATTGGCCTTTGTACCATTGAGAAGATCGACAAGGTCGGGAAACTCGTCGATCACGGCAGCCAGCTTCGTAGTGTACTTGCTCTTGGAGATCAACTGGTACACGGTCTCATTGGGAGTGTGGTGATGCGGAGGGTGGTGCGGCTTCTTTCCTGGTGGGTGACGACCAGGCGGACCGTGGTGTGGAGGGCCGTGGTGAGGAGGCTCATCGACCAAATCAAGGTCATAGTCTGCAGTATCTATCCAAGCTTCACCTGCAAAGGCATCCTGGAATTGTTCGCCATACTTGACAGCCGTGTCATGGACCGACTCAACTACCTCACTGAACTTATGTTTTGCGCAGTTCGCTGCCTTTGTGAATTCTTCTTCAAGGTCTTCCCAGAAGTTCTCGGCTTGATGGGCTTTGTCCCAGAACGGATGCTCTTTGGGTTGTTCAACGTCTTGATTTTGAATGGACAAAGCCTCGAGAGTAGCTTGATCTGGGATCACGAAAGCTGAGGCGACAGCTGCCGCTGACAGGACTGATAGAACGACTCTCATGGTGAAGGTCGGAGGAGGGCGGAGCAGTACTGGCTCTCTCTCTCTCTCTCTAGATGCGAGATGCGAGATGCGAGATGTGAGACAGAAACCGAAGTAATGACAGACCAGGAGGATAAGAAGGAAAATGTGGCAGCCTAAGGTAGACAGGTGAGATCTTTAGGCAGACGCAAGAATGAGGTGTATTCGCAGTCGAAGTATAACAAGTAATGCAGTGCAGACGCAAGGATGGTGCCGGCTGCAGCACAAGTTGACGCAAGCAGTGCCGCAAGATGTCAGAGGGGGAAGGTCGGTCGACGTAAGCGGGCGGGAACAAAGATGGGGACAGCGGTTAGTACCTCATGATTGTCATGCCATCATCACTAATAACTGTGGCTGGCTGTGAGTGACCTTAGAGAGCTTCTCAGGTTCCCCTGTCGCTTGGATGCCGCTTTCGGCCTGCTAACAGCATTCAGTCCAGCCTCTAACATTGTCCTGTGTAGCCACTCAGACCCTAGTTGACTGTCAAACATCTCTATTAGTAGCATTTAGAGCAAGATCGAGGGCTCATTGACCTCGCATCTCCACCGCAAACGGGACAAGCTGACGTTTACAGAGTCCCGGGGCCTGGGCTTCCAGGAACGGAACCACGTCGATGGTGTCAAGTCTCTCTGTGTCTGCACTGGCCTGGACAACTTTGTTAATAGGAGCTTGATAGTACAGCAACATCACTCCATATCGAGCCCATCGTGTGCCGCATATATGCTGGTGTATTGCAGTGTTCTTTCCCAGCACCTGTGCTGCCAGTGACAATGGCGGCAGCTGGTTGTAGCTGGGCCATGGGGCCAGACAAAGGCAGCATAGGACCTGATACTTCAAGGGAAAGTATATGGCAAGTAGGTAGGTAAGTAGGCTTTTGCTGTCATTTGGGTGTCTCTAGCAGTGTGTCTTCCCTCAGCTCCTGGCTTCGACCTCAACCTGGCCTGGCTGGCCATTTCCCTTGCGGTTGTGTTGATACAGAGCGAGGGGGGAAATATGGTCGGCAACTGCAACTGCAGCTGCCATGGAAGGAATGAATGTCGACTGCGCTACCACCAATCCTCGTCAAACCCTCATCTCTTTCTTGTCCTCAAGCAGCGGATTCAGCGAGAATCCTCGATCCTCTGCTTCTCGAGTCGTTCTTTTTGGATCCTTGCTTGCTACCGGTTTTTGGTTTTTGGCCTCCATTCGACTTACCTAGAAGCATCCCTCCGTGCCCACTGCGCCAGCATTCCTCAGGAAGATCCAATCATATCACAGCCTCGAGTGCCAGGAATCCCGTAACTCGGAGCAAAACAAACAGTATGCTCGCCTGGATTGGTTGACGGGAATGACAATGCCATAGGGTGAGAGTCGGGTGGAGGACAAGAACGAAAGATTGGAAGGAGACCTTAACACAGTGCGCACAATTGACGCGACGACTTCACTACGCAGACAGCGCAGACTCTGTTGCGGGTGCGCGACAAGATCAACACTTGCACAACATTCACTACGCGCGCACTTGTTAACCTCGAACCAACCGCGACCACTGAACATTCGTCTAAATAAATCTGATTTCCAGCGCGACGTTTCTCCCATCTGCGTGACAGCTCTTTGAAAGGCCACAGGTACGTTGAAATGTCAGCTGCTTCTATACTGTGGCTAATTTGCAGTCACTGAGCCTGTTGACCGGTCTCCTCTGGGGAGAAGCTCAAGACAAAGGCTTGTTGATACAGGTCAACATGTCATCCTCCCACAAAGCCAACGATAGGCCTCCCCTCACACCAACACCCTACCAATCCAGAGCTGAGAGACCTATCGCGAAGAGGGCTGTCCTAGGAGAGACACAACCTAAAGCATCGCCTACGCCCGGCACGTCTTTTAGACGAAATGTCGAGCACCCACCTGGATCATCACCGCGTCTGCCGCATCATGAATCTCTGAAGCCTGAAGGCAATCTCTCTGTCCGACAGAAAGTTGCGGGAAAGATTCCAGCCATTGAGAACAAGCGCCTGTCAACTATCGCAGATGAAGTTGCAGGAGGAGCTAAGCGAGACTCACAAGCCTCCACTGTATCCGCAATCGTCAAAGGAAAGAGAAAGACCCATGTCGGACCATGGCAACTGGGAAGAACTCTGGGGAAGGGTGCCACAGGAAGAGTGCGCCTAGCCAAACACGCCATGACTGGACAGGTCGCAGCAGTCAAGATCGTATCAAAGAAATCAGCTGCGCTCGTGCAAAGTGCGAGTATGGCTCGAATGGACAACGAGGACAGCCTAGCCATGATCGCCACTGGGCCTAGGACCATGCCATTTGGCATCGAACGCGAGGTCGTCATCATGAAACTTATCGAGCATCCCAATATCATCAACCTCTACGATATCTGGGAGAACCGCGGCGAGCTCTACCTGGTACTGGAGTACGTTGCGGGAGGGGAATTGTTCGACTATGTCTCAAGTAATGGCGCTCTTCCTGAGGAGGAGGCGGCCAGACTCTATCGCCAGATCATCGCAGGCTTGTCCTATTGCCATGGCTTCAACATCTGCCACCGAGATCTCAAGCCGGAGAACATTCTTCTTGACAGCCAACGAAACATCAAGCTGGCCGACTTTGGAATGGCAGCTCTCCAACCTGACGGCACATGGCTGAACACTTCGTGTGGGAGCCCACACTATGCTGCACCTGAAATCATCCAAGGAGACCGATACCGAGGAGACAAAGCAGACATCTGGAGTACTGGAATCATCCTGTTTGCCATGCTTAACGGCTTTCTACCATTTGACGGCGGAACCTTGCCCAATACACTGCGTCTCGTCAAGAAGGGTGAATACTATCTTCCTCCGAGTTTGAGCGTCGAAGCGTCCGACTTGGTTCAACGAATCTTGCAAAAGCGACCAGAGAAGAGAATCACCATGGACCAGATCTGGACTCATCCACTCCTTCTCAAATACGAGCAATATCACGCCAGCCTTGTCGCCCCCGAGCCTCTCATTTCTCCCGCACGACCATTGAATGTCGACAACCAAGCTAAGCGTGTCACCAAACGATCTGATATCGACCCTGAAATTCTAAGAAATCTCGCGACCCTCTGGCATGGAGAGAAAGTGGAAGAGCTGATCCGAAGACTTATGAACGAGGAACCGAACCATGAGAAACTCTTCTACTGGGGTCTCATCAAGTTCAGAGAAGACCAGCTGGAAAACTATCCGGGCGATCCATTGCACTACTCTGCAAGTGACTATCACCATGTAACCAGACCGGCTCCAAAGCCAAAGAACCGTGGTACCACTGGTCGTGGTCATGCCCGTCGTGCTTCTCAGTTCTCAATCGTGAGCGATGACAATAACAAGCGTGAAGGCTACTACAAGAACCCAGCCACCGCGACAAGCAAGGCGACTCAAAGCAGCTATGATCCCTATCGAGCTTCGAGGACACCAATCACGGAAAGCAGTCAGACTCCTGCTACTGTCGTCGTTCGCCGATATGCGACCACACCTGAAGGGCGATCAGTGAGCTCGGCTTCCAGTACACGAAGAAATAGGGCCATGGCGTGTACTCAAGATGAGGTGCCGGCTCTACCCAGCTTTACATCGGAGGAACTTGAGAAGCTTATCCAGAAAAAGCGCGCGTCGTACTCCACTGCGACATCTAGGAGTTCGCTTTCGAGTGGTAGACGCTATCCACGGATTCGGAAATCAATGAGCTACAAGAGACAAGTTAGTTTCCCTTACCGACGACAGGAACATGCTGGTGTTGGTAAAACAAATGTTCGGCCATTGATGCAGGGGAGTGGCTTGTCGGAGCGACCACAAACACGCAGTACGATTGCTCCCTGGTCGGAAACCCAGAGTACACCTAGCATACCCACGCCTCCACAGGAGTATCGTCCTCGCAAATCCAGCTCTGAGATTGACGTCAAGAAGCCTAGGGTTGCAAGCTACTATTGGAAGGATGATACCCGGAAGGTCAGCGCGGAGTTGGGCAAGATTTGCGAAGAAGCGTTCAATCGGTCTTCCGTCTCTACTGTGAGCGATGTCAGCCCACACGCACCTTTGGACTCGTCATCGACATCAGTTTCACAACACAACCGGAGAGTACCACCAAGCATTCGAGATCGCCCTCTTCCTGCAACCCCGGTCCTCCAGGAGCTGATTGAGCGCCGCCAGAAAATCATCGATACATGGGGAGATGCCGATGCCACCGTGCTTGCTGATATGCTTGCAGCTGTTGACAAACGCATTGACGGTGAATTGGAGAAACAAAGAAGCTATGAGAAACGAGCTGCCTCCGATCCCACCCACAATAGCATGACTGGCAGGTACTACCGCCCTGCATCACCAGCAGATACCATGGAAGATCTGAAACGCAACCGTGATGAAATTAGGGCAGCATCAGATCCCGTCAAGTTCAAGACTCCTCGGCCTCAAAAGGAGAACACCATTCGGCTGGTCACTCCAGATCCAATGTCACCCTTAGCTCGCATTGAGCCGTTAAAGGTTCGCAAGAATAAAGCTATGCCAGTCAATTCCTTGCGCGGTGGGCCTAGGGAGAAGCAACAGGAGCGCGGCGGATATGACACGCGGCTTTTTGCAAACGCTGGATTGGATACTATTGATGAGAATCCAGTGTCGCCAAGGAAGACTGCCCCCCGAAAGTGGTCGTGGCTTGGAAAACGTGCATCAGGAGCACAAGACTTGTTCGAGGCAGCACCTGTTACAGAAACCAACGTGGAGAGCTCAGATCTACATGATTCTCGGGTTGTACAACCGAGTGATTCGACCACTTCTTCTCTGGATCGAACCAAAGCCAGCGAAACCGAGTCAGTCGATGTCGAGTTGAACCTGGAAAAGAAGCGACGTTGGTTCCAGAAAATGTTTGGTAAGTCCTCGAAAGTCAAGGAGAGTCTTCCGGCGTCCTCTTTGGAACATCATATCGTGCGAGACGCGTCGGAAGAGACAGATGGCATTGAGCCCGGGCTTGAAGAAGGTATTGAGAATTACTCGGCACACTCTCTGGCCGCACGGAAAGTCTATCCTCCAGCCACGAGCGTTGATGCTGCCGCGGCCGCGGCGGCTCTTGGTCCTATTGAGGTCAGCCAGAACTGGTTCGCTAAATTCTTCCACATCAAACCTGCGACTCGGATGATCTGTCTTCAGATCAACAAGGGAAAGGCGAGGAAAGAGCTGGTCAAGATCTTGAAAGACTGGCGTAAGTATGGATTGAGAGATGTCGTCGCAGAGCAACGTGGGGGAGCTGATGTTGTGCGAGGACGTGTCGATGCTTGCAATTGTGAGTTTCTTTCCCATCCGTAACGCGTCTCACTCTGCTGACCCCCAGGACAGATCTTCAACTCAAACCTGTTCACTTCCATGCATATTTGTATTCCGTCCTCGAGCATGGTCGCAAGGCCAACTTGAGTATCATGAAGTTCACGCAAGAGAAGGGAGCAGCCAGTAGTTTTTACAAAGTTGTCGATACGCTCGAGGCTGTTCTCAAGGAGAGGAATCTGCTAGTGCTTGATGTGCAGAAAAAGAAGGGCATTGAGCGAAGCCTCAAGGCTGCAGGTTTGTGAAGCAGGCTTCCTGGTTGAGTGTCCAAACTGGAAGAGCATGGTTGAGACATGAGCAGTCGGCGGCTCTTGGTCTTGTGTACAATCCTTGCAGATGCATTGTTGGGGTACTTTCAGATGGATAGGATACAGAAGGATGGGCTGGGCAGAAAATGGTGATGTTTCTCAGGCATGCTAATACGATCCAGGTTATGGAATGGTTGGTGTGCTTTTTTAACAGAACTGGCTCTTGACAGATGTTAGGCGATGGAATGAGTTCGACAGGCAGATAATACCCCCTTAATTTGTCAAACTCGTCAACTTTGCTCAACTTTGTTGCGTGCATTCCGATCCCCTGAGCCTATAAATCACGGTACCCGCTGATAAGGGAGGCTTGAAGGGCCTTGACTGTATGCAACGGAAGTCATATGGTGCTATTTCTATTAGTATAGCCAAGAAGACCCCAGGGGCTGCATGGGAATTTGGGAAAGGCGAACTGTGCCAACCGCTATATCATTCCCCCGCGATTAGCTTTCTACTTTCTGTTTTCTCGCATCTCGTCATGGAGTCAATTTCCTCTGGTCATGCAGAGTTCGTCCATTTGATTGGCTTGTGACAACAGTGACCGACGAGATAATAGGTATTGGAAATGGTAGAGACATGCTGAGGATGTATCACGTTGGCGACCAGTCAGGAGTCAAACAATTAACCCAATATCACATCAGCGGCCTAGTCTCACCAACATCCTCTTTCCTCCTGACCCAACGACGAAAAGTTAACCGGCCAGATATGGACCATCCTCGATAGAATCCGTAGCCGCAAGACTAGGCGGCGCCTTCACAGTCAAACTTAGCTCGTATCTCAGTTGAACTTCTTTATATATACGGCTCCATGGCGGAGGTTGCTCAAGGACGCGTTCAAGATAGAGTTCGGGATGGTATATAGCCCACGTAAAAATCTATAATTCGGTAGTTCATCAAAGGCATATATACAATTAGAAGGGAGTAAAGCAGAAATATGGTCATGAGTAGAAAGAAGCAATAAATGTACTAAATACCAAATATTGCTCATAATGACTGGAGAGCGAAGGGGAGATGGAGGGTGTGTGGTTGTTATAAAAGCGGCGAGCACCTTTTACTCATTATTGACCGGCCAAGCGAGGTTTCCGTTGCACTAGCCTGGAATCGGCTTCAATGAAGCTTCACTGCGCTGCATGTTCATAGGATTCGAGGTTGACCACGAAAGCACCTCAAACAGCGACCCTGCCCCCATTTCCCCTGCATGGCTGTTTCGCGACCTTGTGGCATGTCAGCGTCTCGTATTCTCTGAAGAATTCATTCAACTCCCACGAAAATAGCACCAACCGCCCAAAATGGGCGCAGGTCAATCCAAACCCGACGAATCCACCAAACATGTCTTTGCCAGCGACACGCCCATCCAGTTCTCCCAAGAGTGCGTATTCGACAACAACGCCATCGTGCGCCCATAGAGGGTGGCGCGGTCGTATGGGACGCCAGCTGACAGTCTTCCTAGGTTGATTGATTCTCTCCAAGCATCTTCAGAAGTACGCCCACCACTCTCTCCATGCCATAACCATAGCACCTTGCAAATGGCGGGAAACACCATGCTGACATTGTGATCACCACAGACAAATTCCACCCGGGCGAAGGCTCTGGAGCTTCACATCGCACAGCGCGTGGCCGAAGAGCTAGAGAAGGTTCGAAAGCACGAAACATCGATTCTCGAAGAAGCCCGGAAGAAGATCGCAGAGGGAGACGACAATAGCTCGTCGAAATCCTCTGGCTCCCTACTCCAACTGCCATCGTTGTCGCCGAGAGACTTGCTGAACTCTGAGAACGAGGAAGAGAAGCGGCGGAAGGCCCAGAGCTCGCAGAAGGTGCAGGAAGAAATAGAGAAGCTGAAACAAACGTTGGGCCAGAGAAAAGTCCTCAAGGAGCTGCCGAAAGAAGTGGAATCAGCGTATGTCCACCTTCTAGTTCTGCAGGACCGAGGGAGTTTCTGTGCGGTTTACTGACATGCTAAACAGGAGACAAGATGTTATCAACTGCTTAAGAATAAACGATAGAAAACCGCTCGACTGCTGGAAGGAGGTGGAAATCTTTAAGCGCGAAGTGCGGAAAATGGAGGAGAACTATGTCCAGTCTGTTCTATGAGCGCACGCAGCTTTGATTTTCACCTCCGCGGCGCTGCTCCCGGCTCTAGCGGCCCAGCCAGCTGTATATACTAGGTCCAAAAGGAAAGGAACGGAATAAGATTCATGGAAATACCCAGCCTTTGCAAATACGGTTGCTCTAGGTCTGCCTATGGATACGTCGCCGTTCTCCTCAGAACCGCCCTCGACAACGGCGAGGAGGCTGATAGCTGGGACGTTCATTCAGAAAGAGCACAGTGTAGTGTAGCTATCCGGAGGCACCCCATCCGCGAAGTGACACCATGTGATTCCTGCATTATCCAAACATCCACCACGTTGGGCGGCCGTGATGGTCCGACTTTAGCAGGATCAAAGCAGAGAGCGGCATGCTTCTAGCCAGTAGTTTGACGCCTGGCTGTAACCGTGACTTTCCAATGGTGCCGTTGAATCGTGTCGGATCCATGACGTGCCATCTTGTCGTTCGATCCTGCGGTCTTTTGAGACCGGGACATCTTCTCGGTAGGCCCTGGGGCAAGGAATGGCAAGCCTTGAGATTGTCTGTTTTGACGCTAACAGCCTTTCTAGATCTGCACACCGCTTTCTCTGCCATGAACGCATGGTCCGCATGGTCCCCAAGACACAGTAGTGAGGAAAGCTGAAGTTGTTTGAGGCAAGGTCGTGTGCTCTTCATCTCACCCAGTATCTAGCTCTTTCCTCACAATCCATGCTCCACCGGGCCTCAGCCTCTTGTAGTACCTTTCCATCAGGACGACCCGCTTGAAACCCCTTTTGCCGTACCACTCAAGGGCATCCTGATTCTTCTCCCAAACGTGGGCGTAAATGCAGACCGTGCCATCTTCCTTGGCTATTGAAGACTCCAGAACAGCGTTGAGGAGCATCGTTGCAATCCCGAGACCACGGTACGGTGAGAGTAGCGCCAGCGCTTGGATGTATATCTGCGCGAGCGCGGGCTTCGACAGAGAAGCATTGTTGTTGGGCGAGCATGGCTCCAACCGGCATCGAATCCAGCCGACAGGCTCGGACGAATAAAGAACCACACGAGAGAGCTGGAATGATGTGGGTTCAGACAGAGTCGAACTGAAGAACGCATCGCCATATCGCACAGGCAGAGTCGTGGCGGTGAGACGCTGGATGGATGGGATATGTGCCTTCTGAATGGCTGTGATGACGGTTCCTGGAAGTTGACGGATCTGAATGATCTTGGGGTATTCTCCTTGCTGGCCCAATGAAGACCAGAGACTCGATTCCTTAGAGACCTTCCTGTCGGTGTCACAGGCTTCGGGATTGGGAGTTTTCGCTTCTCCTTGCATGGGTTTGCTGACTTCCTTCCAAGACTGCTGGTGAAGCTGTCCCATCACACCTAAGCCACCTTCTTTGGTAAGGCTGTCCTCAAGCAACACTGTCCCATCCTCGCTATGGCCGCGCGCTTTGTTACTCCGCCCTGTGTTGCTGTCCGGCACGTTGGAGACAGATGTTATGGGCTTGGAGAAATAGGAGAGAAGGGTTTCTTGGGGCATTTTTGACAGGCGCAGCCCATGGCCTTGATGTAATCAAAATCACCTTCCTCTCTGGTCGTTTCGATGGAAATGAAAATAGTGGGCGCCTGTCGCAGCGCCACAAGGCCGCAAGGTGAGAATGGAAGAGACACAAGAACTTGATGTCCACCGACAAAACGCGGCGCGTGTCACGTTCAGGTCGTTCTTGTCGCCCAAGGGGCGTTTTGTGGTCGCGGGTATACCCGACGCTAAACATAGGCAATCGATGCTTGATCTACCCTAGGCCCAAAGGACCCTTAGCGGTCACTAAGCCGCCCAGCCCGCATTTCACAAATGTCATCCATGTTTGCCGCACCCTGCATGTTGCTTTGTCCATAAACACATCAGTTCAGAAGTGAAGCAAATGCTCCGGTGCTGCCAGGTCCCTCCCGTTGACCATCACACTATATTGTGTTGATTCTGGAGGCATCTTCTTTCGTGGACACATAACTTCCTCCGTTGTCCGACCGCCGTGGCAAGACTCTGGCCTATACGAGCACTTCGAGCCATTCCGAGGAACTCTCTCACATCTGACGTCCCTTTTCCTGTCCGAGTCCGAAGATTTGTCGATTGTCGAGTTAATATTGTGTGAATAAAGAATGAATATATGGGCCACGAGTCCGTGAATATAACCACTGGGTGCGGCAATGAGTGCAGGCAGTGAATAGACGGAAGCAAGTGTTGAAAGATACCATTCACCTCACAATAATAGTAAGTCAATATGCGATTAACAATAGGAGGCAAACACCCGGCATGTCTCCTGCGCGTTCCTATTGTGAGCACTCTCAATGGAGGACAGCTATGCGACTTGTACCCCGACATTTGTCTCTTCTGCGGCGAGCCTGCAGGGCATTCTTGTATACACTTACATACCCTTCCCTACCTCTTTCTCTTTGCTGAACTCCGACTCTTGTTCAATCTTGTCTCCGTGCTTCTTGTTCAACATGGCTCCGGAACGGGCATATGTCTCGTTGTTCCCCAACAGCATCATCGATGTCGATTTGTGGAAGCGGTTCTACAATGATGAGGAGATCACGGCTGACGTTCCGCCTCCAGTAAAAGCGTCTGCAGACATGGCTACCTCGACAGCAACAGGCTCCAAGTCTTCTGTCAGTCTTTCTGTTTCAGACCAAGAACAAGCTGTTAGTAGGCTTCCTACGAAGCATACTCCTGATTGCTAACTGTGCCAGATTACATACCTGTTGGACCAATCCATTGAAAGCATTTTACATGATATGCTCCTTGACATACACCAGGAAGAGAAGATCGCTCGTATGCAGACAGCAGTCGTCGAGGTCGAGCAGAAAGCGGAAAAACTAAGGAGTGCTCACGACGACAACAATGCGGACGACAAACCTGTCGAGTCAAATGCGGCCGTTCTCAAGTCTGGACAAGTGCAACTAAAAGGCAACCCGATGAAAAATGTCAAACATATCCGATGTCCTAACTGTCGACTACGACGTCTCCTCTATCCTCGGGTCGGCTTCAATTCTCGGCCTGTGCCGGATCCGGCGGAGCAGTATTGTAAAAACGAACCAATGATTATCATGGATAAGCATGATGTACACGGACAGCGCAAGAAAGGAGTCAAGGTGAAAGGACAGGCCAAGGGCAAGAACAAGAGAAAGAACGACCCAGCATCACCTGCATCCGAGAACTCAGATCCCCTAACGCCCTCCTCATCCATACCTAATGACTCTTTTGAATTCAAAGAGATCGACTATCCTGCTGCCAAATGTCCCAACCGGGAGTCTCACCTCGGCGACCACTGGAAGTCTGTGAACGTCTTTGCCACGCATCTGAATGGCAGCTGTTACCTCAAGAAAGATCGCGCGGCCGGTCGAGAAGCAAACGCAAAGATTGGCGGGACTCCTCGAGACAGCAGAGCGAGTTCGCCGAAAGCAGGAACCAACGGTAACAAGAGGAAGGCAGACGATGATACCCCAGGCGGCAACAAGAAGAAACAGAAGCTTGGAGATGTTAAAAAGAATGAAAAGAAAGGTGGCTCCGGCCCGAGCAGGTTGAAGGAGGTGAATAATGTGGATGATCAAGGCGAAGACAGTCCTCTGAAAGAAGTCAATGGGGACACGATCTCGGTGACGCCAACGAAGGCCGCGAGGGATGCTAGCATGGAGCCAACATTGAAGCTCAAGCTAAAGACTGGGGCTACTGATGGAATTGCTCGCAAAAAGCCGGGCAAGACAGGAAAGAAGGCCTGATATAATGCACCATAGCATACTATCTCGCATAGCGGTGGTTCATGGGGAATGATAGGTGTTGGGCACAATCACGGTTGGTCAAACTGGGCCAAGAATTCTTTCAATAGGTGTTAAACAGAAGATGGGTTCAGTAAATATATTGATATGAGACGCCGGGGGAATCCGGCCGGTACAGCATCCTCCAGCATTCGTGGTTTTAGAACGAGAAGCTCGGCATCGGTGATGCCAAAGATGTTGGCACAGCCGAAGACGCTCATGAAGCAAAACCTTCTTCTACACGTCTATCATAGAGGGTTTCCGTGCTCATCTACTTGATTTATTCGGCCATCATCGTGATTGACCTGAACCATACGCGTGGAACGGCGGTCCGCAGACATAACGAACCCGTTCAGCCGGCCCCCATCCCCAACCAATTCCTGCATCAACGCGCCCACTCCCTCTTCAGCTTTCAACCACTTCAAGAGCCTGGAGGCCGCGGCGTTGGCAGCTTCTTTGGTCGTAAACGTCTCGTAAAGGTCCAAGTCTTGGACCGGCACACAGCCCGAGCGTCCAAGCGCAGTGCGGTCCAGGAAAGGCGTCGCGACAATGATGTACCAGACACTTCCAGGCAAGTGTCTCGCAACCTCGGGGTTCTTTTGCTTCAAAAGCTCGAGCTTCATGATATTCCCGTCCGGCAAGGGGCAACTCAGATGGACCAGGGCGGGCGCCTGTCCACTGTAGACCATCTCATCTAGAGTCCGCTCGGCATCCTTGCTCTTGGCTATGCGGACTTTGACGAGCAATTGCTCAAGTACGTCCTCCAATTTGCTGTATGGGCCGGAAACGGAAACGTCTCGGATATGCGGTGTAGTCGTCTTGATATAGTAGATCACGTCGGGATCGGGCTCGTCGTCGTCATGCTCACCGTCGCTATCACCCTCCTTATCGCCAACGGGACCAGTTCCTCCTTGTTGCTCACGGTCCGCGAGGTCAAAGAGCTGGCTTGTGGTGAGACGCATGGTAGTCCGTCGTCAAACGGGGACTTGGCCGCCGGCAGCGAGGATGGCGCATTCCTTCTTGTGGGTGGGCCAGTCATTACGTTGGCAGGCACGCGAGCAGTAGTTTCGGGATTGACAGCGCCTACAGTGTCGGAGTGCCGGATCGTCGGGCTCTGGGTAGTATTGGCAGCGGAAGCAGTATGGGGTCTTGGTAGACGTCGCCATCTCGAAACTTAGAGAGTGTCCAAGTGAAGTCCGCGGTAGCTGTGCTTGAGTATAGAAGATATGATGAAGTGGTGAAGGGTATCTATCATATGTTGGAGGTCCGATAAAAGGTGAAAAGGTGGTCGATGTGCAGGTGTAGAGATCTATATCACCGCGACCATCAACTTCACATTGTGTTGTTTCCTCAACAGGTGCTCTATATATTTGTCTAGACTGCACGTGAAAGGGAATGGAACAGGGTAAAACTCCCCCTGAAATGCAATCTCCCCCTTGCAGGTACGTATCTCACCGACTCGTGTATATCTATCTGCACTAAAAATGCCAGCCTCCCTACCATGTCTCGGCAGGCGACTTCGGTCTAGCTATCATCACAATTCCGGCAGTCTACGTAAAATAATTATATAACATATACTCAGTCAAAACACCTCCCCATGGCAACGACAGTACCATTGTGTAACATAACTGTTCGAAGCGATCCTGGCGCGCCTAAGATTGTTCAGGTTTGATCGAAATACAGACTGCAGCAGCTGGGCGAGCACGTTGCCAGAGGAGTTGTTCACCGCTCGTCAACCAGGAATCAGTCGGCCAGTCATTGACATTCCTGGAGATACCGTGCAGCCGCCGTTGCATTTTCCATCCCCTGCTTCAGCGCCACACCCAGTGCCAGAGGTCCAGCAGTCCAATCTGTACCAGACTTGCATTCAAAGACCAACCGACATGAGGTATTTGAACCAGGGTTCGCGCCCGCGTCGAGTTATATACTCGGGGTTCCATGAAATTGCTCCCGACCATATATCATCAAGTCGTCGTTATATCGACAGAGCCCTATCTCTCGAACACGTCAGATCTCACTGGATGGATTTTCTTCCAACTTGTATTGATAGGACAAGCTGGACGTGATCACTTGTTTCTACCAGAAGTCAGGATCTGTGAAATGATATACCAAACATATATAGTTTGATGAAATTGAGAATAGAGCACAACTGTCATGTGAATGTCCATTACCAACAAAGGTCAACGACAACAATATAGCCATAACAATATAGGAGACAGGCACTGAAAGAGATCGCGGCAAAATTCATTATCGTTATCGTTATCGTTTATCATGATCAACCCCTTGAAAGATGCCAAGCAGCGCAAGGCTGAGGCAGAGCGAATCGACGTCACGAGGCTGCACCGAAGATGTTCGCTTGGGTCAAGTATTCTGTACATATAACGCAAGTCGCAGTCGCCATCAAAAAGAGTGAATATCGCACTGATCTCTCAACTCTCCCTTTCATATCCCGCGGTTGTCTTTACATATTCATTGTTGCCGATTTGACCAACCAATGAATATATCACGACAATAGCATCCAAGATGAGTGGTGTGGCTCAAGACTTCAAGCTGAGCGCGGTGCTTAGCGGACACCAGAGCGATGTAAGAAGATATGTCGCTATTGACAGCCTTCCCTTGCTAACACTGGGCAGGTTCGCGCTGTTCTACTTCCTGACCCCTCTTTTGCCATCACTGCCTCACGAGACGGTTCAACTCGCGTGTGGAAGCAAACCTCTACCAGTCCTCCCGCGTACGACGGCACTGAATCCTCACACGGCGCACAGTTCAAGACATGCTTAGCATATGTTCCTCCCTCAAAAGAATTTCCTGATGGCCTTATTCTCTCTTCCGGGCAAGACGCACTCATCGAGGCACGACAACCTACCTCGACTGCAGATGTAAATGCAGATGCCATCATGGTCGGACATGCCAATCAAGTGTGTTCTTTGAACGTTTGCGCCCAAGCCAACTACTTTGTGAGTGGTAGTTGGGACAGTACAGCGAAGGTTTGGGAGATTGGCAGATGGGAGGTTGCAATTGATCTACCAGGACATACAGCTACGGTCTGGGCGGTGCTGGCGTACGACCGGGATACCATTGTCACAGGGTGCGCAGACCGAGCAATCAGAATCTTTGACACCCGAGGAAAGATGTTGGCATCCTGGGATGGTAAAGACATTGTGCGTGCTCTTGCGAAGCTTCCTGAGGGACATCCAACAGGCGCCGAGCTTGCTTCGGCATCCAATGACGGCGTCATTCGTCTTTGGACCTTGAAAGGAGACCTCGTTACGGAACTGGTCGGCCACGATTCGTTCATCTACTCGTTGGCCGTCCTTCCGTCCGGTGAGATTGTCAGTGCTGGAGAGGATCGCTCAGTACGGATCTGGCGAGGCACGGATTGTGTGCAAGTCATTACGCTGCCCGCGATCTCTGTGTGGAGCGTCTCAGCCGGTCCCAACGGCGACATCATCGTCGGATCGAGTGACAAGTTGGCCAGAATCTTTACCCGAGAACCGGAGAGGGTGGCAGACCAAGAGACTCTTGCCTCGTTTGATGAGTCACTAAAAGCATCAAGCATTCCGCAGCAACAAGTCGGCCAGATCAACATGACCGACTTGCCTGGTCCTGAATTCCTCCAACGCAAGGCTGGCACCAAAGAGGGTCAAAGCCATATTGTCAAGGAGGATGATGGTAGCGCGTCGCTTTACCAGTGGTCCATGTCACAGCAAGAATGGATCAAGATTGGTCAAGTTGTGGACTCGGCTGGGTCAAGCGGAAACAAGGCCAGCTACAATGGAAAGGAGTATGACTATGTTTTCGACATTGACATTGAAGACGGAAAGCCACCGCTAAAGCTGCCGTACAACGTCACACAAAGCCCCTACGATGCTGCCACGAAGTTCCTTCAGGACAATGAACTGCCGCTATCGTATTTGGAAGAAACGGCGAACTTCATCATTAAGAACACTCAGGGTGCTACATTGGGACAGTCACAACCCGGGGGCGCTGATCCTTGGGGGACAGAAAATCGCTACAGACCTGGCGAGGCTCCAACGTCAACCTACCAACCACCTCCTCCGCAAGCCAAAAGACTCCTACCGCAGAAAGAGTACCTGCCGGTTGTGATCGGAAAGCCGGCTGCTGCGATGGGCCAAATCACGAAGAAGAATGCCGAGTACGGGGGAAGCGACATGAGTCTGTCATCGGACGAAATTCAAAACGTGACTGCAGCTGCCAAACAGCTCGAGAGTTACAACTTCCAAACCAAGCCGTCGTTAAATCCATCTCCAGCCTTTGACTCCGCCATGCCGGCTCTGATAAAGATTGTGACTCAGTGGCAGCCTCCGGCTAACCGCCTGGCTGGCCTCGACCTTCTTCGGTTCATAGCGGCTGCGGCAAAGGAATTTCCTGCCGCAAGTGCGGAAGGTCTGGACATCGTGGCAAGCATCCTGGGCAGTGGAATCTTTGACCCTGAATTTGTTCGGTCAAACAACAAGCTTGCCATGATTGCGATGCGTTTCTTCTCCAACCTGCTCTACGGGTCCTCCACAGGGCGTGACCTCGTGAAAGGCCACCTGGACAACATCATTGAAAGCCTCAAACCGTTGTCAGCCATCGTCTCATCTGACGTGTCTGTGGCAGTCGCGCTGACAACGCTCTACCTCAACATCGCCGTCCTTGTCACCACAGAGAAGCGTGCAGATCCAGACACCAACGCTACTTATGGGCTATCGTTGCTGGAGGAGCTGACCAAGATCCTGTCTACATTCCCAGCAGTCAATCACACCTCATCGGCAAGTCCGTCTGCACAGTCGACAGAGCCTGCATACCGCACCGTCGTCGCTTTGGGCACGGTCCTCGTCGGTCTCGGGCGCGCAGACCTCAAATCAGCGGCGAAGGACATTTTCGATGTCCCCGCGGCGTTGACTCAACTACGAAGCAAGAAGTACTTGGAAGAGCCGAGATTCAAGACGGTGGTTGGGGAAATTCAGGCCGCTCTGCGATGATATGAAGCGGGCAGTTGGCAGTGAGCAACGATGGGTCAAAGCATGAGACAGTCCACTTCTATTTGAGATTCATGCTGAGAAGGCCCTTGTCTTCGAGTGAAAAAGAAATCCTGATAGCGTTTAGATGGCATCTGCATGCTTAACAATGGCGAAATGACCATGACTATGTAACTACGACTTAAGCTTGTGTCGCTTGACCAGGTGAAACATGACCTCAAATAAAATTGGCAGCAATGGAACACCTGTAGGTACTCAGGGTATGCTTGCAGTACTTAGGCATATAGATGGAGCCACGACACCAAATGTGAATATTGTCTATCCCTGCATGTCACGTATCCCAACCTTGTCCATTCTCGTCTGCAAGATGGATGCCTCAAGTGTCGTGTAGTTGAGTAGATACCTCACTTCTCTTCTGCCGCACAGTACGGTCGGGTATTGTACATAACTAAGTCCTCGCCCGGAGAATGATAACAGCCTCCGTAAAAACCCAAAACGCCAACGCTATGTTCTTTGTTTTATTTTGATGCTCTTCCGCATGCACGACCGATTATCGGCAGCTGACCCGGTCGTCGTGAAAATCAGCTCGGCTCAGCCCAAAACAGTTCAGCTCAGCTCAACTCGTGGCCACTTCTGGCGTTGGCGTTGGCGTTGGTGTAGATGTAGATGAGGACGAGGAAGTAGACCGGAACGGTTGTTGCGCTTTCGACGAGGGTTTCGGTTCAATCAATCCGATCTGCGTAGTGAGAGGGAACAAGAAGTCAGCAGAGGAAAAAAAAGGAAACTTCCACACGCGAGTCTTGACTATCTGAGAATCGTCGTGACAATAGCCATAATTTTCCCTTCTTTCTTCGAGTAGGCTGGCTCCTTGGACCAAGTTCATGCGACCATCTGTGCAGATCTTCTTTCTTGCTAGATTGTCCTCCCGCTCCCCAAAGGTCATGACTCACCAAACTAAACAATTTCTCCACCGGCTCAGTCGGCTGCGCCCCGACACCCAGCCAATATTTCGTGCGCACCATGTCGAGCTGGACATCCTTGATTTTTTTGGACGTGAATCGCTCGCCGGTGGGCAGGAACTCCGGCGTGTCGGGCGTCGCGAGCGGCTCTTGCGGGATCGGGTTGTATGTGCCTAGGACTTCGATGGGTTTTTTGCCCCGCGCGGATTTGGCTTGCGCGAGAATGATGTTGTATACTGGCTTGCGCGCGGTGCCGAATCGAGCGAGACGGATGCGGAGGACCATGTTGGCTGTTTGAATGGAATTGAATTCGGCGGTAGGGGGAGGTATATTTTGTACAGATCACTTGGTCAGAGAGTGTATCTCAACGTAGAGGACTGTGTATAGTAGTTGTTGGTGTCAAGTAGTTTGCATTGAATCGGATTGCATTTACCATCTAGTAAGGTACGCATGCGTTATAGTACTACAATTGTAGTCCGAGCATCTAGAGAAATGACCTTGAAACCCCTGTCGGCGTCAAATTGTTTGATGGACTCCGATTGGTTGAGTGGGGGAAAAGCCAAGACGAGTCAAATCTACCCGTTCGGGGGCGGGGCTAACGCCGCCCTACACTCACCCTAGTCTCGGGCGAGCTAGTAGTACTAGTCAGGTGAGCAGTACCCCTGAGGTACTACGTACTGTAGTATATCGAAGTGCGTATACTGTGCAGTGCCGTGTACGGTGAGATGTTTACAGACACAGCCTTGAGATTTGCCGGTTTAGACTAGTTTCAACCATGATGGGTGCGGCCAGCGGCTCCGTTCAACCAGTCTCTCGACCATAGACGATGGGATTCATTCCATCATTCCATCATTCCCAGCGAAAACCATCCTTGCAGATTGTTCATTACATCAATCCCGTCCGTGCTGGGCTCGCCGTCGCCCATGAACATGATCGACGTTTCGTCGTTAAGCCCAGGCATGAGATTTGAAGGAGAATCGAAAGCCATAATGTCATCGTCACCGTGCATTGATCGCTGAGCATAGGCACGCCAGTCCACATCATCGGGCCCGGTAGGAAGCCCTGGCTCGGGGAAGACTTCGTCCGAAGAGGCTCCAAAGTCTCCGTCCAGCATGCCACCCGCGCCTTGCGTGTCCCTGGCTGTCAATGGCCGCGGTGCATGCTGCCGACTGCGTGGAAGCGACGAAAAGGACTTGACCGAGCTCACATACGCGATAATCCTTGCCCTTGCTTCTTTGGCGAGCTTGTAGACCGGGGAACATTCCTGAAGAGCCTTGAGAAGGAATGTAAGACGGGAGTCTGTGGCCGCCGCTTCAGTCACTAGAGATGTTCGGATCAGCAAGATGCTCTCTGGGTTTCAACTTTTCCCTCCCCCCTCTCAGAAAGCATACCTTGCAAGTTCACAATCGTAGTCGCGGCCATGACGAGCGCGTAAACCAAGATGAGTGGAGAACCGAGAAACCCATGTTGGCTGCGGACCTGTCGGATCATGGCAACCACGGCGTCGCATGACTCGGTGCATATCGCTCTCGAAGATTCGTTGAGAGGAAATCCGTGCGACGGCCGGATGAAATGGCGGTTGAGCGAAATACAAATGCTGTGATAGAAAAGGCTTTGCGCATTGGTCAGTGGGCAGTCGGCATCGGATCTTGGGCAAGTCTCCAACTCACTGAAGAACGACGACATAGTTTTCCAGCTCTTTTCCCTGAGAGGTCCATTGGCTCCATTGCAGAGGCTCATCGAGGCCGTTGTACCAACGACTCAGCCTGAGATTGAGCTGTCCCAGCCGATAAATCAGTCCGCTTCCGCCCTCTTCGAATTTTCTTGGGGCGAACACCTCGGCCATGATGTCCTGGAAGATCTTCCCGAGCATGACAGAGTACTTCAACGCATTTGTCAACTGCGGTTTCCGAGGAGGATCAGACGAGGTTGTCTTGGCCGCGATCTCCTTCAGTCCAAACCATTCATGGTCCGGTGGGAAGTTGCTACAGCAGGGTCAGTACCAGCGAGCGTCCGGCGCGGAGAGGAGTGATGAGCAGGAAGAATTACGGCAATGGGACAGTTGGATGGACCGCTGCGTCATTTTCAGATAGAGATACCGGCCGGCCGAGGTAGAGACTGATAAACCTGGAGGAAAGGTGTCAGCCGAATGTTCTGGAAAACAACAGTGACAGGAGCCAGACTTGTCGGCAACATAACAGCCCCAATAGATCCGCCGACGGATTTCGATGTCATAGGTTGTAGTGATGGTCTGATCGGAAATGACCCATTTGCTAGGATCTTGATGGAAGCCTAAGCCTTGAGCCATCCTAAAGGCCATGCCTGTACGTGTACGATGTATCAGTGTTCATCAATTCCGTAGAGCACAAAGGAAAACTTGAGACTGACCCGACAACATCCATCCTAGTGTTGAGTTCCCTTGTCCCAACTCATGGAAGGCCAGGCATAATAGAGCCTGGACACTTGTGGGTTGTGGACTGGCCAGGCCATGCGTGACGATTATCTCCTGGGCACATTTGGCGAGAATGCTGGTTCTCTCGCGGACTTTCGGGTCTTTGGAATGAGCAGCTCCCAGGGCACATATGGCACAAACCAAGGGGAAGGACCAATATTTGCCCCCGTGCGTGTGGCCCAGATAGTCGGCGAGAAAGGCCTCCCGGTACACAAACATATACTGAGGGTACTGGTGCAAGAAGAAGAGCGACAGGGACGTGTTGATGAGGGCGTCGTCGATGCCCATGGCTGCAGCCAGTCGCCTATGGCTCCAAACCTCCGGCCCCAGTGGGCCAATCGAAGGGTTTCCAGCGTAGCCTGCCTTGTCGACTTCCTCGTTGACAAAAATACTGGTAGGGCCATGATATTGTAAAGCGCCTGTAGCGTTGCGTCAGCTCGACGTAAGTCGGGGCACCCACGGTGATCAAGACCTACCTGAAGAGTCCCTCTCCAATGAAATCGCGCTGTCGAGGTTGATGGAGGCGGCAGTAGCATCACCCTGGGACGCGGAGGCCCCTGCTTCCGGTTCGTCCAGATGGTCATCCAGCGAGATCTCGCGCAACAAGGTATCTCGCTCCTCGGCCGAGGCTGACTGCAGCCTCCTGACAAAGGATTCAAACCATGCCACTCGCGTCTCAAGCGCGGACAGGTACTTGTGCGAGACGGGCTTTTTCCGAGCGTCCTGTCTGGGGTATTCGCACGCGATAGCTGCCGCTACACAGTTCGAGCACGGTTGCGTTCGGCTGCATTTGATCTGGCGAGAACCAAGAGATTGAGCTGTTGAAGTTGACCTTGAAATACTGTTGAGATACACTGACCTTACGATTCTGACATCTTCGGCATCTGAAGGGAATGCTTTTTAGCCACCTGGGATGTGCAAGGACAAATGATATTTTCACTCACGAAAGCCGTCGAGACTGATCCATTCATGCTACTTGCAAAGAACCCTCCCCCAGTGACTATCACAACTAAAAGAATGTTAGCGGTACTACTTCTCTGGGGTGTGTAAGAGGCCTGGTACCCTGTAATACAACGAGGCTGCAATATGACCAGCTGTCTTCTCTACGGCTGAGGTTGGGGACGTGGTTTTGACAACAACAAAGTTGATTTCGTGCAGTACCATTTATCTGTTCATTATGGGGATAATGATCGCCCTGAAGTATGTCTAAATCGTATTGGGTCTGTAAAGGGGAGATTGCCAGGAAGAAGACTTGACTGACTGACATCAACTGAGCATGTGGATATTAGGTATGCACGTGACCAAGCGTGATGGTAAAGCAGCGGGTTTTGTATTTGTATTTCTTATTCCTTCTCACAATTAAAGATACACGACAGATGAACTACAGCGAGGATCATGATGGATTGGAATATCTATCCTCTATCTGACTTATCCTACGGTCTCAATCCCGAGACCAAAGAGCAGTTCATTCACGAGGGATACCCTTTTTCAGTCCTCTCTCTATCGACTGGACGAGTTTCTCGACATCATCGACGTTGTTGTAAAACGCAAATGACACTCTGATGCCCAGGCGATAGTGAGACACATATATGTGGTCTTCTCGAAGGTGGCTTTGCCAATCTGGATGCAACAGCTTCAGCACATACAAATGTGGTGCTCGTCGATCAGCATACGGACTTCCCACCACCTCCACCCCAAGTGCCTTGCAACGCAAGGCCAGCTCGCGACCTGATGCGCGAAGGTGGCTTTCTAACCTGTCAATGCCCAGGTCATCCACTATAAAGTCCAATGACGCCTTGAGCGCTGCGACACCGATGAGGGATAGGTTGAGGTGCTCATATCTTTGTGTCGTTTTGTGGTACTGCACGTCAGGATTGGCAATCAGGTCACCCCGAAGGTTTGCAATGGCGCCTGCCCCAACGATGGGTGGTGTCGGTCGTAGCAGTGGGAGCACATCAGGGCTAATATAGAGAGCACCCACCCCACTGGGGCAACCCAAGCCTTTATGACAACCAAACGCTGCAGCCGAAACGTTCCAGGCGGTAAGGTCGAGCGGGGCCACTCCGACGTGCTGCGTGAGATCCACGAGAACGTGAATGCCTCGGGGTCGGAAACGAGAACAGATATCTCCGACATTGTTCATCTGACCCGAGTGAAACATGATGGAAGAGAGCCCGATGGCGATAGTGCGACTGTCGACCAACGGCTGGAATGTGTCGGCGTCTGCGTATGTGTCCGTCCCTGTCGGCACCAGTCGAACTTCCAGGCCAGCGTCCACGAGACCGAGCCAACCATATACATGGTTAGGATGTTCGACGTCCAACAACACGACATTGTCACCCGGAGTGAACTTCAGAGATCTTTGAAAGAGATTCAGACCCTCGGTGGTGTCTCGCGTGAATGCAAGCGAATGCTCTGGAACGTTCAGGTATGTGGCGAGTTTGCTCCGGCTCTCAGAAGTCGTCTGCTGCCAGATAGGCTTGGGATGCGCATGGGTGGTGGCCTGGTCCAGGTATTTGTCGAGTGCACTTCTGACTCTGAGGTTCATAGGAGGCTGGAAAGAAGCGTTGAGGTAAGTGGTGTCTTCTCGCTCGGCAACCGGGACCAAATGTCTGAGCTTGGAGTGCTCAGCAGGAGAGAACGACTCATAATGCTGGCTCGTGAAAGGTGTTTCCCGGCCCAGGGTGGTTTCAACCTCTTCTATCGCAATTGATCCCATATTGACTGCGGTGAATCCCAGCTGGCTCAGGTCTATTGCAGACGCAGTTTGCACCGGAGCCCATGTTTGGTATATATGCGACCTGTAGGGTGGGAAAAGGTGAAATCTGCGGACTCGTTCCAGGACATCAACACTGTTTCGGAGGACGAGACCCGGAAGGCTGATCAGTCTAGATCAGCCTATCAGTCCATCGACCGGACCAGATTAAATTGTACAGGCACTGGTGCCGTGCTGATAGTATTCTGACGCCTGACGGACTTCATCCTCCGTCTTGGGTGGAGACCCACAATATGACCTCCAGGACCCTATCATGATACAGGCTAAGGCCCCGGAAGGCCCCGTGCCAAGACCATGTCCATAATGAGGGGAGTATCAGATAGATACCTATGTACGCAGTAGAAAGCGTTATTCGCACATCGTTTCAACACCATACCCCAGGCTCCACCCATGGAGAGTCCAGCTACACCCTCACAACTGATGCCAGCTTGGCGGTGCGGGACAATCAGATGCCAGAAAAGCATGATAAAGGATAGCGACCTATATAATGAGCGTACAAGGTTGACGTTGCGAGCGCCACGGCTCAGAAACTCTCTGCAACTTGTTCCTTAAGAGTCTATACGCTGGGTAGGCCAATATATAATCATCCACCTATTGCCGACAGAAACCCTCTTCGATAATCCATTCCGACCATGGACGAATACCTGAAAGACCAGGCATCCCATGGCGATCCCAAAGAATTATCGACAGCTGTTAGCAACACCGAAGGCGAAATGGTCGTGGTCGAGGGCGAGCACAGCAACCACCAACATCTCCGGCGCGAGTTCAAGTCTCGTCAGGTTAACATGCTCGCCATTGCCGGAGCCATAGGCACTGGCCTGATCATAGGCTCCGGCCAGGGACTCGCTCGAGGTGGTCCAGCAAGCCTGCTCATTGCCTATATCGTCACCGGTGCTATCATCTACTTCACCATGTCGGCCTTGGGTGAGATGGCATCGTTTCTTCCCATGGATCAAGGCTTCAACGGCTATGCTACTCGCTTTGTTGACCCTGCCCTTGGGTAGATTTACTCTTCTCCCTTCTGAACTCTGCTGTGACCACGTTACTGATGTCTTGAAATGTTCCACAGGTTTGCCACCGGTTGGAATTACTTTTTCAAATATGCCATCGTTCTGGCCAACAATCTGACTGCCGCCGGACTCATCATCCAATATTGGAGACCAGACTTGAATGTCGGCATCTGGGTGGCTGTGTTTGCCGTGGCCATCGTCACCATCAATGTAGGCCATCGTCCACATCTTAAGAGCGATCTGTCAGACTCACCCTCCTATAGGTCTTCCATGTCAGCAACTTTGGCGAAGCCGAGTTCATTCTCTCGTCCCTCAAAATCATCACTCTTCTAGTGGTTATTTTGACCTGTTTCATCGTGGCACTCGGCGGAGGCCCTTCGGGGGACCGAACGGGTTTCCGCTACTGGAATCAACCCGGGGCTTTCGCAGAGTACCTCCAACCCGGTGCGCTCGGCAGATTCCTCGGATTCTGGGCCTGTATGGTCCAGTCGTGCTTCGCATATACTGGGACCGAAGTGGTGGGTGCCGCGTTCGCAGAAACACCCAATCCTAGACGCAATGTCCCCCGTGCCATCCGACAAACCCTCTGGCGCATTGGTGTTTTCTACATTGGAGGCGTCCTTGTCCTGGGAATGGCTGTCCCTTACGACAACGATAGACTGGTAGGAGCGACCAAGGCAAAGACTAGCGCAGCAGCGTCTCCTTTTGTCATTGCCATAAAGCTCGCAGGGATCAAAGTCCTCCCCGATATCATTAACGCCGCCCTCTTGGTGTTTGTCATCAGTGCGGCCAATACTGGTATGTCGTCTTGTTTCTTGCTGGCTGGGACCCCTCTAACATAGTCCTAACAGACGTTTACGTTGGCGCTCGAACCCTCTATTCCCTGGCCAAAGACAAACAGGCTCCCCAGATATTTACCCGCACCACGGCAAAAGGTGTGCCCCTCTATGGCGTGGCAGCGACTTCAGTGTTCGCATTGCTCGCATTCATGAACGTGTCTAAAGCGGCTTCGACCGTATTCGGGTACTTTGTCAGTCTGGTCACCGTTTTCGGCACCCTCAACTGGATTAACATCCTCCTCTCCTACATCGGATTCAGCCGCGGCATGAAGGCTCAAGGCATCTCACGGGCTGAGCTCGCTTACCGTGGGCCTTTGCAACCGTATGGCGCGTGGTTCGCCTTGGGCATGACCGTGACCATCACATTCTTCAATGGTGAGTTTTGACAAGCTAGCCCCTCCATTGTCGCCGCAAGATATCCGTCGCTAACAGCTTCTGTGACTCCCAGGATATAACGCATTCATCCCCGACTTCACGCTCTCGACTTTCATGACCTGTTATATCGGCATTGCAGTATACCTGGTCAATATCCTAGGGTGGAAGATGATCTGGCGCACCAAAAGGGTGCGGGCCATGGCGATGGATCTGACAACAGACAGAAAGAAGTTTGAGGAGGTGGCATTACAGGAAGAGGCCGCAAGGCAAGGAAAACCTGGGATGCTCCAGAGGGTATTCCATGGCAGCAGCAGCGCGACTGGCAGATGGTCCCTGGGTTCAGTGATGCGTCGGAAATGACAGCACACTGTTTCGCCCAGAAAAGACTTTGGCAAGCGTTGAGAGTTAACAACTCCGGCGACCCCGACTCTCCTAGCGACTCCTAGCTACTATAGATGACCCGGAGCAGATAGATTTGATCCGATATTTGAGCGCTTCATTCATTAACATTACTACGCCTTTTTACACTTCTAGGTAATAGAATATCGTACTAGATTACCTGGGTAGTACGATGGAGTCGCTTCGGAGATGGCCGCCAGTTGACTCCTACTACTAGTACTACTAGTATAATAAAAGTAAGGTAATTACGGAATCGGGGGTGGACTCGATATCCGGGTGGAGTCGAAGTCGTTGACTGCCAACGCTGACTTTGGCTTCGTTGTGCGCACATAGGGATAAGATCCTCGAGGTCGATGTTTTGCAATTTCCACGAAAGACATTTCAAAAAAGTCGGGAGATCATCTGCGTGACATACGTCAGAATTTTGCTATACGCCCCCTTATAACTACCACGGTGTGGTAAGCCGAGGAAGATGAGACCCACTGTCGCATCCTCGATCGACTGGTAGTATGATGGCTCAAGCCGTGCTTGAAGAACAGCCTGAAAACTATCCTAGTTCCATCCAAATCTTCCAGCTCAAGTCCAGACACGGACGGTCTTGACTTGACTAAATTCATCTACAGCTGCTTGTCCAAGATCTTTGCCGATCCCGCTCTGCTTGTATCCGCCAAACGGAAGTTGATGGGAGATGGCATTGTAACAGTTCACCCAGACGGTTCCTGCAGCTATCCCTTTCGTGATCCGAATGGCCTCCTTGATATCCGAAGTAAAGACGCCGGCGGCCAAGCCGTAGCAAGAATCGTTGGCCATTTGTATTGCTTCAGCCTCGTCTTCAAAGGGCGCCACCACGACGACTGGCCCGAAGACCTCTTCTCGTGTAATTTTCATCGTGCTCTTGACGTCTTTGAAGATAGTGGGTTCAATGAACCATCCAGAAGGCGACTTTCCTCCAGTTATACATACGGCACCTTCTGCCTTTGCTTCTTCGATCGTGCCGAGAATCTTGGAATGCTGCGCGCCGCTGATCTGTGGTCCTAGGAAAGTGTTGCCATCGAAGGGCGATCCAAGGACATTCTTCTCGGCTCGGGTCTTGAACTTTTCCAGAAAGGTTGCATATATATCTCGTTGAACCAAGACGCGGCTACTGGCGCAGCAGTTCTGCCTGTTCTTGTAGATCAGATCGTGTCACTCTAACAGCTTGATCAAAATCCAGAGCATTCCATGCACAACTCACCCCATATTGTAGAAACACCCCCCGTTCAACCATTCCACAACAACGTCCAGATCTGCACTCTTCAGAACGATGCTAGGCGACTTTCCCCCCAGCTCCAGCGTTGTCTTCTTCAGGTTGGAATCCGCCGAAGCTCGAAGGATAGACTTTCCCGTCTGTGTGCTTCCCGTGAAGGAGATTTTGGCCACATCTGGGTGTCCGGACAGGGCTGAACCTGCTTCGGCGCCATATCCTGGGACAATGTTGACCACCCCTTCTGGAAACCCAGCTTCGACAACCAGTTTGCCAAGGAATAGTGCGGACAGTGGTGTCAGCTCTGCCGGCTTCAGTACGGCGGTGTTGCCAGCGCAGAGCGCCGGACCAAGCTTCCACCCACACATCAACAACGGGAAATTCCACGGAACAATCAACCCACAGACACCCAAAGGCTCACGGAGGGTCATATTGAGCGTGTCAGGATCGGTCTCAATCGTGTCCCCTTTCAACTTATCAGCCAGGCCGGCGTAGTACCGGAAGCACGCTGCCGCGGCGAGCACGTCGGCATCCTTTGCAATCTTGACAGGCTTTCCACCGTCGATGGCTTCGATTTTGGCGAGGATATCGACATCACGTTCGATGAGGTCGGCGAGCCTACTCAAAAGCCTGCCTTTCTCCGCAGGCTTGGTGGCTTTCCACCCGGGAAAAGCTGTCTGTGCAGCTGCCACTGCCTTGTCGATGTCGGCCGCTTTCCCACGGGCGATGTTACAGATCGGCTTTTGGGTAAATGGGTCGATGCTGGCGAAATATGATGCATCCTCCGAGGCGACAAACTCATTGTTGATCAAGAGGCCGGTGGGTTGTGCATACCCGCTGCCATCGGGAAACTTCAGAGGCGTTTGCATTGACCCCATATTCGTTTACCTTGGAGGGCCTCGGGTCTGGCTCAAAGGTATTCCAAAGGAATGAACTAGTTAGTACTTTGGTTTTGTCTCTAATGATCAAGCCTATAGAGGATTGGTGACTGTATTCAGGCGATGTAAGTCTTGGTTCACAGAGCGCTATTATGGATGGATCAAGAATGCACTCCTAAGACGGAGGCGGACTTCCACTCCCGCACGCAGTATCAGGGCGGTACAAACTTGTCAAGCCAACAAGCCGATCGGGTCAGCGTTCCCGTCAGGGCTATTGTTATCCTGTCAGTTGCATAGGCTCCAATCTTTGTCGGCCAGAATGCACGTTGACTAAATTGGTGAGAAGGTGGACATGGCAAGCTGCATCCTTATCTTGGTTTCCAGCCGACGAATACCACGGCACATGGGTTTCGATCTTTGGCGCATCTTTTAGGTCTCAGCAGCTTGAAGTCATGGAACAACAGCGTCAGACTTTGTTATTGGCGGCCCTAGTAATTCGGCCTTAAATCTGACAAAGGACGGTGACTGGAGCTCTAAATGTTGATACACAGTCTTGTGGCTGTGAAAACCCGTACTATCTGGCCAAGGATGTAAAAGATGGGAAAGACTGACAGCACTGGAAAAGTGTATACAATGTTAAGGAGTGAGCTGACAATGGGGGAACTCGGGCTGAGAAAACAGGATATCTATCCAAAATATTCTAATTGTACTTTTCTTCACCTCTCCACAACCAATTCTTACCCCATTCCAAGATATCTCGTGGCCAATCTCTTTTGAGGAAGACAGGGGTGCTGTTCAATCTCTAGGCTCATCGCATTCTTGAAGATTGGTGTACGTTGGCAGTTGGATGCCAGATTTCTCTTCCCACAACTTCACGCATTCGGTATAATCTGCAGTCTTCTCGACACCAGGGAGCTCGAGAGCCTCTTTGAACGTTCCGTGCATGAGTTGACTCAGAGTCGTGTCGATGGCCATCTTTTCACAGAGATCTAGGTTGATGCCCAGGTCCTTGACCAGCAGGGCGAGGCCGTACCCGCTGGAGTAGGTTCTGGTCAAGCCCTCGGCCCTGATGGAATGCGCCGTACCATAATTCCGGCCTGTGCCGACATTCAAAACATCGGTCATCATAGCTGGGTCCAGTCCCATCTTACGACCGACAATGAAGGAGTCGTTGAGAGCTGCGATCCCCGCGGCCGTTATGTAGTTGTTGAATGTTTTCATGACATGGCCACTGCCCAACGGGCCCATGTGGAACCGCCAGCGGGACATGGTCGCGAGCACAGGCTCTGCCATTCGAATGTCTTCAACGCTGCCACCAAGCATGAAGGTAGCCTCGCCGTCGTTGATGCCGTGCATACGCACTTGTGTGACGGGCGAATCTATCAGCCGAAGCTGATACGCTTTGAGGTCATCACCCAGTTTTCGCGTCGTGAAAGGATTGGAGGACGAAGTGTCCACTATTATTGTGCCTGCAACCACGTCAGCGGGCTCTGTTGACCTTCAACGTCCTTCCCAGGGATTTGGGGCACACCACATTCGCCTCTGGGACGCTCATTGCAAGTGTAGACGACGTACCTGGTTTCAAAAAAGGGGCAATCCCCTCCCGACCTAGCAGGATGTCACGAACAATATCGCCATTGGGTACCATGGTGATCAGAACATCCACATCCTTGAAGGCTTCTGGTCCATCTTCTGCCTCTTCCACGGGGAAATTCTTGTTTGCTTCCACAAATTTTCGTTGTCGTTTTGGGTCCGCGTCTCTGACGATAGTCCGGAATCCTCCTTTGAGGATACATTGGCATAGAGGACCACCAGCGAGGCCCAAGCCAATGTAACCAACCAAGTTGATGGGTTTAGATGGAGCCAGAAATCCCATGGCTGCTGTTGATGATCGTACTCGACAGGGGCTGGCTGGTCTACTGATCCAGTACTAGTAGTCAATGAAGCCGAAGTAGAGAAGGAAGCGAAGAGGGGAAGGCAGGAAGAATAAATCATCGCCAGGGTAGAAGAGAGAATGCCCCCATTAATAAATGAACCTTGACGGAAGATCTGACGGAGACTTGGATCAGGCTGGACGCAAAAAGTCCACTGCTGCGCAAATCACGGCTACGGCCAGCCGACACACTTGAATGGCCCATACCCGCAAGTCTCTCGGCTTTCGAGCTAGCATCCTCTTACGACAAGAACCCCGTAAGTCCGAGACGTCGAGGTGGACTGCCATGAGATATCTAATCAGGGGGAAATGGAGATAACGGGGATGGAGGGCGGACTTCCGCCTCCGCTGCATCTCCACTTTTCGACTCTGGCCAATGACAAGGTGCGGCCTCATCATATCCACAAATCAGAGGATGTTAACATCAACTACCATCTTCTGGGAGATGGTACAGCCATCGGGTGCCTCGACCCTATCTGTCTATCTCAGCTTGCTGGCAATTAGCTTCAGCATTCCCTAATCTGGCCTCTATTGGAGAGCTCCTATATGCTGCGCGACAGCGTTGAGCAAGACGACCATACTATAAATTTCGCTCAGTGCCCTAATATATTCTTCTCATTGCAATGCACAGTTTTTGACTCAGGCCCCAAACCTCCTTTGTGTTGCTTTTACAGCCCCTCATCCATATCCACCAATGGGTTCCGAACAGACAAAGTCTGTGGAGGTGGCAAGCATGAACCTAAGCCCAGAAGCGGTGGCATCGGGCGGGACCGACGAGGAAAAAGATTTCGAAAGGCACGGTAGTCTGCAGGCGGGCATCGTGGTTGACCCTGCAGTGGAGAAGAGAGTCCTTCGAAAGTTGGATAGGCGTCTGGCACCGCTCTTTGCCTTGCTCTATTTCCTCGCCTACTTGGACCGGGTACGTTGCATCGTCTCCTGCCGTCGAGACCCAAAGCGAGCACAACGACAGGCCAACTGACTCGGATCAAACTCAGTCAAACATAGGCAACGCAGCTGTGGTGGGATTGAAGAGCCAATTGCACCTCACGGAAGAGCAATACAGCACCGCCGTCAGCGTCTTTTTCGCGACCTATGTCGTGTTCGAGCTGCCCGTCGTGTTGGCTATGAGACGACTACGTCCACATATTCTCATCGCTTCAATGGCCCTAGCATGGGCCGTAGTTACTATCGGCACAGCCTTTGTACGCTCATTCGGTTCACTGGTGGCCTGTCGTGTGCTGTTAGGACTTTGTGAGGCGGGGTTTTTCCCTTGCTTGTCTCTCTATATCACCATGGCCTATAAACGGGAGGAGCAGGTATGTTGCCGTCACCCGCTGTCTTTGAAAGACTCGTCTCCATGTCATTCATGGCAAGATCTAATGCGCATCTTCAAAAGGGTCTTCGACTTGCGTATCTTTTCGCGTCCAGCTCCTTGGCCAGCATGTTTGGGGGTCTCATCGCCACTGGGATCACGAAAGTCGGCGAAGTTGGCAATCTTCAGGCTTGGAGGTACGTGCCTAATACCGTTGTTTTTGAATACTCACCGGTGCTAACTATCGACTCGTAGCTGGCTATACATCATCGAAGGACTGGTCTCCACGGTCATCGTTCCATTCATTTTCTTATTCCTGCCCGACAACCCCAGCAAAGCCAAGTTCTGGACTCCCGAAGAGCATGCAGTCATGGAACAACGTGATATTCAACGCCAGGAGTATCTGGGCAGCCAGGTGTTCGAATGGAAAGAAGTCGCTTCCGCTTTCTGCGACCCGAAGCTTTACGCCACGGCCTTGATTCAATTTTTCCAGGATATCATCTTGTACGGCTTCAGCACATTCCTTCCATCGATCCTCAAGCTCGGGTTGGGGTACTCGAGCCTCCAAGCTCAGTATCTCGGTGTGCCTGTGTACGCCTTGGGTGGCATCTCCTTCTTCTCGGCCGCTGTGCTAGGCGACAAGCTGAGGCTCCGAGGGACGTTATTGTTCTTCATGGACCTCTTTGCTATCATCGGGTATATTCTGCTGCTTTCCGTCAAGAGCTCAGGTGTGCGGTATTTTGCGTGCTATCTGATTGCCATCCCGTTGTATTGCGGTCCCGGTCTGAACGAGATCTGGGTCAACAACAACATGGCGGGACACTACCGCCGGGCTACTGCCATTGGAGTCCAACAAGCGATTGGCAATCTGGCTGGCGTAGTGGCACCCCAGGTCTACAGGAAGGCGCCCTATCGACTCGGCCATTGGGCTTCTCTGGTCTCTGGTATCATCAGCATGTGTTTGATTGCGGCACAAATCACGTATCTCTGGCTCATGAACAGGAAGAAGGAACAGATCCTGAACGGGAAGAGGGAAGATGACCGCAGGATAACAACAGGTGAGAGTGCGCTGGAGTTTAGATATGTCTATTAGCCCGCCGATCTGGCTGACTCAGGAGATGCGATACATACCTGTATGTAGCTTTGACTCTTATAGGGATTTAAGAGGGGGGAGGGGGTGGAGCACTGGTGGGGGTCTATGGACGTCTTCCCGGGCCCCACCAGTAGCTCTCGTCATCTGAAAGCGGGATGATACCAGTACTACGCTACGAGCGCGTAGTCTCGTATTTCTCAGATAGCTTCATACTATAGCACACATACAGCGTATATATAGGTGTACCTTGTGTACCTTCATCTCCACACTGCTATTTCAACGTCAAGTTGCTTTGCTTTCCTCAACTCGAGCGACAGCTGTATGGACGTGCCCAGATCGGCTAATGCTGTGAGCCAACACATTAACCAGTAGATGTTCCAACATATTCCACCGGACAGGACATCTTACCTTGATGAGTTCGGCGACAGAACTCGTGGAGGAGCGTCCCTCCCTCTCGTAAGCACTACATGCCCGTGTGTCTTGTAAACACTTTGGTGACTGAAAGCCGATCGACAATACACAGATGTGAAAGGTGTCGTCGCCGCAAGGTCCTTGCCCCCTGCTCTGCTTTGCTGGGAGACCTAGCATCTGATTGACCAAGCAGATCAAATGCGACCGGCTCAAGCCCTGTTCAGGATGTATCAAAGTTGGCATAGAATGCGTGCATCCTGCCTCGAGCGAAAAACAGAGGTAAGTCGATAAGACGCACAACCCCACCCTCACTCCGTTCTGGATGCAGGCTGAGTTGTGTTCGATGATTGTCTTCACAAGACCCGTGCACAGGCGCCACGTCAGAGCCCTTGAGTCTCAGGTCGCTTCACTCGAATCCTTCCTCCGAAAGGTGGCCTCGGCCGGTCAAGCTGAGAGAGAGCAGATGCTATCGGCGTATGCATCAAGCTCAGTGGCCGACCGCAACCAGTGCACGAGTCCTTTGACTGCTCGAAGTCGATCCGGCCAAATGCGCAACCTGACCAGCAGAAATGCCTCCCAATTTTATGGAGGAACCAGCCTCTTTCAGATGCATCTTTCGGACGATTGGTCGGTCCCTCTCATCAGCGCCGACCAGCAGGCTGCTCAGATTGTGCCACCGCGAACAACACTCCTGGCCTCAGATGAGCCCGGGGGCTCCAACTACGATCCTCACCATGAGGTTTGCCGTCACTTGGTCAAGACCTTCTTCCGACAATCCTATCAGTACAACATGTTCATCTATCGGGAATACTTTCTGCGCGACTATGACGCCGGCTACGGTCGATATTACTCGGATCTTCTCTTGTACTCCATGTGCGCCACCAGTGCACCATTGTCTGAAGACCCCGATATATCCGCTCTGTCGAATACGTTTGTCCAACGAGCCCATGCGCTTCTGTATCTGACGCTGGAAAATCCCGATCTGACGACTCTGCAATCACTGATTCTGCTTGGCCACATGGACATTGGCCAGGGCAGAGCATCCAAAGGCTGGCTTTTCTGTGGAATGGCATTTCGTCTGGCGCATGAGATGGGCTTGCACCTCGACCCCAGCAACTGGGCACAAACCTCCAAATCTCCGGTCGACCGCGAGATCTTGCGTCGGGTCTACTGGGCCGCCTTCGCCGCGGACAAACAGCTGAGTCTTCATTTCGGACGGCCTCCCGCCCTCTATCCACATGAGTCGGATGTACGCAATGCCATGCGTATTCCCTATCCCGCCGAATGGGAGAGGCTGCTTGATACCTACATCTCGCCCGGGAGTTCGACCACTGCCTATGAGGATGGTATCGCGTTGGTTGCCTCACTGATTTACCAGATTGAACTGGCCAAGATCTTTCATAATCTCATTGTCAATATCTTCGAGAACAGGAGTCAAAACAGCACCGTTGCTGCAATGACGGCTCACCAAATCCACGTGGATATGACGAACTGGCTCTCCAGGCTCCCAGGAAAGCTACATTGGAACCAGTGGACCGTTGGACGGGTGCCTTCATGCGTTTTACATCTCCAGTACGATTTCTCCCACCCGTTTCTCTCCCTGTCTTCCCCTTCGTTCCCTGGTTTCCTATCGACTAATACTTTAAAGTATGTTGTTTCACACGGGAATGATAATCCTTCATCGGCCTCCACGAACTCTCTTCGGTGACCCCAAGATTGCCACGAGCGAAGACACCGAAATTTGCTACCAATCCTTAGAGGCGATCCTCCGCCTTTTGAGGAGCTACGCGCGGCATTATCGATATGTCGACCTCCCTCTTGACGTGATGCATATCCTGTCAACCGCAGCCGCCACGGTCTTGATGAAGCGGTTTTTCAACAAGGCCCAGTGGACCGACATCGAGATATCCAAGCCGCTGTCTTTCCTTCTCGGCGTTATGGACGAGATCAAGGTCAAGTGGCCGTGCATGCTTGAGATTCGAGAGAGTATCACCAGATCCATCTCCGAACCCCTGGCGGATCCTGAAGTTGGGCCGGCCGGTGAGATCGGACCCCTGTGCAGTCCAGAATCCGCGCATGAACTTCCTGATGGTCAGGATGACCAAAGCACCACGTCAGCCGGTGATCTGGGACTTCTTATGACAGAGGACTTTTTGAGCGGCCATTTCGAATGGGACGAGTTGCTCCTGTCTTGAAAATGCCCCACTTGTACATCAATAATCGTGTTGTTGTTGTCATAACTCTGGTGCGGTTGCTGGTCGGATCTAAGTCAGCTTTGGGTGTAAAACCTCTCAGAAGATTGCGCGCCGGAACAGTACATGGCTAAAATGGGCCTCCGAAGTCAACCCAACCAGAGCGCAGCAGAAGTCACACTGTCACAGTCTTCTTTGTACTGGCCATTGAATGCCACACACTAAGACTTGGATAGTACTACTGCTAGTACTTCTTTGGCAGTTAGAAGAAGACATAATATAGGGGACGTAGAAGGGAAAGGTATATATACACTCAAGCCTCTACTACTAGTAGTACTAAGTAGTAGTACTAGCTTCCGCCGGATACTCGTACTTTAAAGCGGCACGACATACCTCCCCATATAGCTAAGTTGCACGTGCAGACTCCCTTAGTAAGCTCGGGGCCGATATTCCAGATCCTCGTCATTCGCTGCCAAGAATATGACGATATGCTTCACTGCAGTCAACTAGTACATGATGCTTTCAATATCCATATCCATACATACCTGCAGTACGTCGTGGTAGGACTCTGCACCTCGACCATACTTGTGTATCACCGAGAGCTCATCGTGAAAGGATTGAACACAGTAACTCCAGCTTGTGAAGCGGAATCCATCTCAATTTGCAGACACCTCTACGAATCGTCGTGGGTCCATCCCAATCAGAGCATTCGACCCCTTCCGCTGTCGTTCCGGTAGTACTGATCCAACAATCCTCTCTAATCATCTATCCAAGGACGACCACGACCATCTACATCTTCTGCTCTGGTCACGGTTGTCTTATGCTTCGCTCCTTCGTCCCTAGAAGAGCAGTAAGGTCAATCCTCACAGCAAGAAGATTCTCCAAGATGGCATTGAAGGTTCGTCCCTTTCTGATTTATTGCCCAAAGCTTCCTTCAAGGTCGTCCGTCCTTTTGTGTCAGCCGAATCTAGACCTTGCAGACTTTGTGAGTATTACTAATCTCTCCGTCCTTTGAAACATACAGACTCTCGGTGCCAAGAGTGCAGCTGATCTCGACAAAGAGCTCATGAGCGAAGATGGAGGCTTTACCATTGATCAGTTGATGGAGCTAGCGGGGCTGAGTGTTGCAGAGGCTGGTAAGTCGTCGACCGTTGATCTCGAACCCCGAGATTGCCTTTCCCAGAGGCATGATCCCGGGATGATGAGGCTACATCCTTGACTGACATATACTGATTTGACTCGAATACAGCATACCGAGTCCACCCGCCATCCAAGGGAAAGAATGTTCTTATCGCCGCCGGACCTGGCAACAATGGTATGCAGATAGCCCCTCCTTCTCTCTCTCTCTCTGTCCGCTTCTGTTTCTGGTAGCTTACCGTCCAGCAGGAGGTGACGGCCTCGTCGCCGCCCGCCACTTACACCACTTCGGCTACACACCACGCATCTACTACCCCAAGCCCACGAACGCGCCGATCTTCAACGGCCTCCAGAAACAACTGCACCATCTTCACATCCCGTTCCTGAAATCCCTTGAGGACTTCACCTCTGCGCTTTCCAGCTCGGACCTGGTGATCGATGCCTTGTTCGGCTTCAGCTTCAAACCGCCTGTCCGCGCGCCGTTCGACACGGTCTTGTCAGCGATAATTGACAGCAAGAAGCCCGTTCTTGCCGTGGACATTCCGTCATCATGGGACGTCGAGGGTGGGCCGCCAGAAAAGGGCGAGCTAGGCAGTGAATTCATGCCCACGTACATGATCAGCTTGACCGCGGCCAAACCTTGCGTCAAGTGGTTCAAGGGTGAGAGGCACTTTATTGGTGGTAGATTCCTGTCGGCCGACGTGGCTGGGAAATATGGCCTGGATGTACCGCCGTATGAGGGTGTCGATCAGATTGCCGAAGTGCCTGTCGATATCTCCGTGGAGAAGTTGTAAAACATGGATGTTGATGGACTAGGATCTCTGGACACGAACAAAACACGACGTACGATATCATTTATGCGGACCGAATTATTGCTACAAAATTCAATATGATCATAAAGGAAATGTTTCCCTGATCGAGATCCTCTGGTGCCAATTTGTGCTGTTCAGCTCGTAGCTGCATGGATAGCTTCCGGAGAGATTGACTTCCGGTAAGCCCGGTAGTCTACTTAAGAGTCCGGTATTTACAACATGGGAACATGGGACCAATCCGAAGTTACAAGCGACGCGATCTGTACGAAGATCGCAGCCTTGCCGAGCAGGAAATTAAGCGCTTAGTCATCATGTCAGCCTCGTCAATCCGCGTGGACCAATGCTATCGGCCCGTTCCGTGTCATGAAAGACACTGCAGTGCACCCCGGACTGTAGAAGAGCACGGATGTCGAGTCACTTGTTTCCCAAAGATGTATGATCAAACTTCTCAATTTCACCGTTCACGTGTGCTGTGCTAGTGATTGCGGCTCTACAGCCTCGTTCCATCTATTCCTAGTAGTGGTACTGGTAGTAAGGTGACCTGGCGATGCAGTGTGGCACGAATCAGGTTTGGCTTGGCAGCGTTTGTGGACTGCAATCACATCAATGGGCAACTTGAATGCTAATGACGCCTGACGCATGGTCTAGAAGCTCGCCTAGTCGCAGCATCCAACAGGATGCATCTCGCTATCTGTAAGGCAGGAGAGTCAGAATCATCAGCCTGATTCCCTCCCTCTGTTCCAACTGCCACCAAGTTCGACGGCCTGATTGTCTGCTCTAGCAGCGTTGGACCACGAGTCTATAACAACGTCCCATCCCCGATGCTATGAACGAGGCCAGTAGCACCAGCATGCACCCGAGCTGAACTCCCGCCGAGACCATACCTTCAGTTACTATACCACGCCTTACGCCATTGTCAACGGCTATACGCACGATCGTCATCACCGACGACTTGTGACTTGCAGGAGACGCAACAATGGACCCGGGCTCAATACTAGCGATTGCCTCGCTCTCATTCCAAGTCTTCGGCAGCTGTGTTCAGGGGTTCACGTTACTCTCTCGAGCGCACAATCTCGGCAAAGACGCCTCCCTGCTCCAGACGATGTTGAATCTTGAAGAGTATCGTTTCATCCAGTGGGCTAGGGAGGTTGGATTGATTGGTGATGAGGCTGAGGCTGAGATCGAGGATGAGGATGAGGATGACGAGCATGGAATCCGTGACAACGATACCAAACCTAGCAATACCAACACTGACGCCAAACCGAACACAAACACCAATACGACAGACGACAGGACTACTATTCTTTCTTCTTCAATCCTTACCAGCAACAACAACAATCTGAACCGCAGACTAAACCACGCTCTGGCCTCCGAGCTCATGGCCCAGCTCGAAACCCTACTCACGACAGACCAGCTTCGGAAACGCTATAACCTGGTTTTATCTGAGCATCCCATGACGAAAACGCTGGAAGAATCAAACACTCCGAGTCCGACTCGAGGTCAGACACAGGTTCAAGGCGCTAAACTGAACCAGATATCTATACCCACCACCACCACCACCACCAGTCCCGACACTAACACTAGTACCTCGACAGTGTCAGGAACACCCCTCGTGCTCCAAAAACTGGTTTCCGACCGTCTTCGCTACCGGATCCTGGCGCGCGCCAACCTCGTCCAGACCAAAACCCGCATCCCTCACCGCCTGTGGTGGGCCGCGGTCGACAAACAGAAATTCGAAGCCATGGTTCGCGACGTGCGCACACTGGTCGACGGGCTGTGGGCTCTGCTCGACCCGATACAGCGGGAAGACTCGTCGGCGCTGCTGAACCAAGTCTTAGCCAATGTCGTCCGGTTGAGCAGAGATGTCGGCGAGCTGCGCGGGTTGCAGTCTAGCATGATGTCAGCGACAACAGCGACAACAACAACATCAACAACATCAACGTCAACGTCGACGTCGACGTCGACATCGACATCGACGAGACCAAGAACAAGAACATGGGACGACAGTGGTCGTGATTCGGCCGCGGCTGTTGCTATGGCTGTTGATTTGAAAGTTGCCAGGATCGAGATTGAGGATCTCGATCCGGAGACAGAAACGACGAGCAAGATGAAAGAGAATGCTGGGAACAGTGATAACACATCGCAGGCCTTGTCGTCCTTGACGTTGTCTTCTCCTTCTTTTCCCTCTTACAGGACGAAAAGCCCCACGGTCGCGGCAATGATGGTGGAGTTGCCCCCTATCAATCGAACTCTACTCACAGACGTGGTCCCGGTCAACTCGTCATCGTCATCATCATCGTCCTCTTCATCTCAGGTCGCTAGGGGCATGTACGACAACAGCCCCGTGTGGCTGGAATATAAACATGTCCCGCGGAGGTTGAAAGGTAAACTACTCTCCCGGGTGAAGGGTTTGGCGTTCCTTCTTTCGAAGACGACAAATCCGGCGTTCCATACCCTGCAGTGTATTGGGTTCTTCGAGGATGGGGAATGCTTCGTTTTCGTGTACAAGTATCCCAGCCGTTACAGTCAGATCTACAAAGACGGTGAGGGTGAGGGTGAAAGTCGACACGGGGTGGCCGAGACAAGTGCAGAGAGGAGGGCCCCAGAAATGTATGGAGAGCCAGATGGAGAGAGAATGATTTCCAAGACGGATATCCAGACAACTTCTGCAACTTCGAGCACGAAAGCCGACCACAGTCATCATCAACCTCAACCAAAATCTCTGAATCAACTAATCTACGAAAATAAAACGCTCAAATCTCCCAGCGTGACCACACGGCTCTCAATCGCCCTGCGGCTCTGCAGCACATTACTGACATTACACACCGCAGGGTGGCTGCACAAGGACTTGCGCTCCGAGAATGTCATTTTCTTCTTGGACGACAAGGACCCGACAATCCCGCAGCCCTACATCACTGGCTTCTCCTTCTCGCGACAGGATTCGCCGGCCGAGATTTCCGAGCAGCCATCGTCCGAGCCTCAGGCCGATATCTACAGACATCCGCATGCCCTGGGTGAGCCGTCAACCTCGTTCCAGAAACATATGGATCTTTATAGTCTTGGGGTCATCTTGGTCGAGCTGGCCGAGTGGAAGGTGCTCCGACATATCATCAAGGATTGTGTCATGATTCGTAAACACGGAGGCCACAGTGGTGGTGTGTCTCTGAATGATATTGCAAAGGTGCCGAACTATTTGATCGACCGTGAAGTCGCGACTGGTCAGATCAAATATCGTATGGGCGATGTATATGCACAAATCGTCGAGGTCTGTCTCAATCATGGCCTGAGCTCGATGGATGCTGCACCGGATACTGTGCCAGATCTGCTCCGGATGGTTCAAAGGTTGGAGAAGTGCCATATCTGAAAAACCGAAAGAACTTGTCCGAGCCAAATACCGCGGACCAGCATGTATCTCTTCTTGAAGTGGCTAATCTCTCTGTCATCGTAAACGACAATTGAAATCAAGACTGATGGAGTCTGGAACGGCACATTGATCGAAACCAGTCAATCGACTGATGGCTGTGATGAGACGCTGAGATGGTTCATCGCTTCTCTCGTAGCAATGATTGCCTGTCTGGCCTGCAGAAGATCGATAATTTCCGCGAGGTCTTCCATTTCGTCCGAGACGATTGCCTGCCAATGAGTCTTGACTGAATGCCTTGCACATGTCTCACTCAAAGTCACCTCTCTGAATTCATGCTCTGGAGACTTGGACCTTAGAGACCTATAGCAAGCATCACACAAGTCATGGTCTGGACAGATAATACAGTGCCACCTTCGACCGGGTATGGGGGCCCGCTGACAAGGCCCATCGCATATTATACCATGATGCTGAGCACTTTGAATGGCCAGATCAAGTGCCGTGTGCCCGTCATCGTCCTCGATTCTGATGTCGAGTATTTCATGGCCTAGTAGCAACTCAACAGCCCTTACATTGACGGCGTCAACAGCCAAGTGAAGTGCCGTCCGGCGAAAAAGGGCGTCACTCGTCCTGGAGTTGAGGGCATCCTCGGAGTCGCCGAAATGCTGAAGCAATTCGTGCATTATCTCGCGGTTTTGGGCAAAGTCATACTGTCCTCGCTTGATTGCCTCTAGCAGTGACGTTCCGTCCGGGATGCGATCATAGACACCTCTGTACGCCCAAGCGGCTCGATGCAAGGCGGTCAATGATCTCTCTGATTCGACAATAAATCCAATGCCCTTCTGCGTTCCTGCATGCTCTTCGGCGAAGGCAGAATAACGATTCAAAATGAACCGAATTCGTGAGACAGAATCGCGGGCTGCCGAAGCCACGATGTGTCCCAGGATCGTTGTGGGATACTCCAACGATATCAATCCCGAGGAGACGCACATGGCATTCAAGTTTGCGCCGTGACGAAGAAAAAGTTCAGCCAGGTTGAACGCATTGTTCTTCACAGCCACCAGGACCGGTGTCTCGATGTCTTCGCCGCCTTCACCTTCCATTGGAGCATCTGGCACAACGCCGGCCTCGATAATTCGCTCCGCAAGCGAAACGTCACTGTTGTGGGCGGCGTGAGCGTACGTGTGAAGAGCACTCCAATTCGTTTTAGTATTGTCAAATGGATTCCTGCTCCTTGCCTGAACATCGGCACCATTGGTGACGAGGAGGTCGAACATATGTCGGCGATTCCAGCGGACACATTCTAATAGTGGCGTACGTTGTTCGTCACCGCAGGGCATATTGACGTGTTCGCGGCTGAAGACGCCGTATCGGCGGATTGGAATGTCGGAGTCGTCCTGTGCTCCCTCCTTCACTCGTTCCCACCCGTTCTGAAGAAGCCGCTCGGTCTCAGGAGCGAGTAGATACTCCACGGCCAGATCGTGGGCTTCGGCCACCGCATAATAAAGCAGTGTGTATCCAAAAGACCCTATTCCTGTAGCGAAAGATGCGCGGTGTGTCTCTTCCAACAGATAACCCATAGTGCTTTTGAACCGATCCATGTACTCGGTACCATTTCTCAAAATCATGGAGAAGATGTCTGAGCTGTGGACAGCGCTCCGTAGGAAATGGAGATAGGTGAAGCCTAGCTTCTCTTCCTTCATCGCGGTGACCATCGCTTCAAGACACTCCTGATGATGATAGTGTGCAGCCCACTCCATTGGTGAAGGCTGGTTCACTCCTTTGTCTATGGAAACGCCGGCAGTACCCGCGGCACGGATTAAGAATCTGATAATATCGGGACGATTGTGGTGAACTGCCCAGGTCAAGGGTGTGCCCGGGGGTAGGACATCGGCGTCAACACCAGAAGGAAAATTGCCGTACTTAATTGCTTCTGTCGTCAGCAACCGTGTGTTGGCACCTTTGGAGACGAGGACGTTTCCAACGTCCTCCACCTCCTCTTTCTCGAAGGAGATCAGCCAGTGCAGAGGCGATTCTTTCGAGATTGTCGCAATCGTTGGGTCAGCCCCGTATTCCAACAAGAAGTTGACAACTTCACGATGTCCAGACCGACATGCAGAAAGCAACGGTGTTTCGCCTACATCATTCAATTGGTTCACAGTCAGGGCAGGAAAGTTGTCCAAGAGGGCTTCGATCGCTTGGGTCTGCCCACAGCTTGCGGCCATGTGCAATATGCGATCACCACGCTTGTTGACCCTGTAATCGGCTATAGCCCGTAGGTTTCGAAAGTTCTGTACCAGAACGGTGGTGTTTTTGAAGGTGTTCATCCACTGAGGAAACCGAAAATCGTGGATGAGGTCGTCGTTCCAGAACGATGCTCCAACCCCTGCCAAACCTAGCTTTAAGATCTTATGGGTTCGGTCGGCCTTTTCGGGTGCAATGATAGTCAGGTCGCACAGCGCAGCTCTTGACCCGTCAAGTGCCCTGTTCTCGATCATCCTCAAAAGCTGCTCGTCAGTAGAAAGCTCTATTCCTGACATTCTGGAAATCCGCCACGCATACGCTTGTGATACTTTGTGTCCATATCGTGCCGCGTGAAGTATGAGACGCCGTGCTTCAGCAGGATCGGGTTGGGTTCCGTATCCGTTCGTGTAGAAGGCGGCAAGTGCGAAGCACTCCGGCAGGTTGACCTTGTTCTGGGAAGCATTCAAGTCCGCTCTTGTACGCAATCGCTCAAACAGAAACGTCTGGACAGAAGGTTGAAGTTCTCGCACTGCTTGCCAGGACATCAAGTGGTGCTAAAACGGGTCAGTGATGGGAAAACAAATCGTAGCAGAACACTCACGTCGAAGCTCCTTCGCAGGAGTATGTCGCCATCCACGACGCTTCACCCCGAGTCAGCGGGAGTGTGACGGATACATGAAATTGCTGGTTCCTTGCATGGTTCGGGGGCACAAGGCGCACTGAGGGAGAAAAGAAAACGAGATTATACATACTCAGCGTCCTGTTGAATATCGTCAGATCTATTTAGAAGAGACATTGCGCCTGCAAGGTCTCGATCGACCGGATTCCGAAGCACGCATCTTTTCAAGACTTCAGCGACCTTGCCGTAGAAAGGATCCGACAATGCAGCTGTAATGAGTCCTTGCTTGATCTGTCCGTGAAGTGGCGTATTGGACATTCCATGCTGATGCAATAGCCAGTAAATGTACTTGATGAAATCGATGGCCTGGAGCATTTTCATCCCACCTCCGGCCAAAGTGGTTTGTACCTGCTGTAACATTTGCACCACTTTCATCATGTCAGGCACCGAGCCACCAGCGAGCTTCTCCATGGCCGAGAGTACCCAGCCAGGATACCATTCACCAAGATCTGCCTTGGCTGTAAGCAAATCTTCCCTCTTGAGACGCTCGATTTCATCCGTCAAACTTGTGCCTCCTCCAGAGTCGCCACAAATCACATGAAACGGACTCATACCGTCCATGGCAATGCGCCATACCGTCAATCCAAACGAGTACACGTCTGTTTGTGCGAGGAGATGGCGGGGGATAGCCGCGATTGTTTCTGGCGCTCTCCACGGGGTTGTACCTCCGATACGCACAGGCTCAGTGGATGCTAGGCCAACAATGGAAAATCCAAAGTCACCGAGCTTAGCAACATACTTCTTCTGGGGGTCAGAAAAGATCAGAATGTTCTCTGATTTCACATCTCCATGGATTATGCCGCAGCGGTGGAGGACCTCGAGACCCCGTCCAATGTCAAGGCTGAGATTCCGCTTTGTTTCAGAGGGGAGGATTTCCTTCGCTTGCAGTGCTGCCAGGTTGCCATGGTCAGCGTGTTCAGTAACGATAACGGGCAGCCTGTAAGATGGGTTGTAAGGGTTACTACCCCAGCCCAAGGCGAGCAGGGTTACTATATTGCGGTGCTCGTAGAGAGGCGGATGAATCAACGCATATAGCTCCATCAGAACCGAGTCCATAGCTCTTCGATCTTTTGCCAGCGGCTCCCCCATCTCATTAAAGGCGATCTTTGCCGTCTTGTACACCAGAACTCTCTCGTCATACTGGCCCTGTCTCGTTGAAATTGTCAATCCCATGCCCTTCGTCTCATAGTTAATGCCGCCTGACTTAGGCACCCTCTTGTAAAACACTTCAAAGGAGGCACCATGCCCAAGATAGGTGGACTGGTCGATGGCTTGGGCGCCGAGGAAGAGTTGCATGGCCGGGCGGGTGACAGAGATCTCGGCTCGCCTTGCGAGGTAGACGAGGTCAAATATATTCGGCACGAAGGGGGCAGCATCTTGACTGTCAGAGAGAGGATCATTCGAGGGCGCAGTCGGGCTGGAAGAAGCAGGCACAGATGTATCAGGACGCCCTGAAAACGAGCTGGACATGTCGTCTTTCAGGCCATATGGCGGTAGGATGCAGCACACAGCAGAACGAGAAGACACCTACATACGATGTCAGTAACAAAGATAGAACAGTATATGGACCGACAGCAAGCCGGTTGAATGGGTCGATTCAGCTTATGTCTTGGTCGGTCCCTTGCAGCCAGCTAGCAATACTTTGTGCTACCAATGTATCTGCGTTAAGGAGGTGGGAAGGCTGAGCGCAGTCCATGGCCAGCTGTGGCAATGCAGCCTGAGACCGAGTTACACTAAAAGGTGGTAAGTATCGTACATATTTGGGGCCAAGACTTCCTCCAGCTGAAAAGGAGCTCAAGTTGTAGGGTTCTTGCTTGCTTAGGTCTGCGCAGTCTGCACCTGTGGCACTCGCTACCTTGTTAATTGAAATCATCTCATCTCCACGGCAGATGGTTCGGTTTCAGCCTCACAGCCTTGTGGCCATATGTGAATAGTTACGTAATCTGTAACAAAGAACTGTTCCGTTACAGGATTCGAGTAGATTTTGGGGGAAGGACAGCACTGGGATTATACTCTCATACCAAGATATCTTCCGTACAAGGCATATTTTCTTCGGTTGCCTGGTCATCGGCGGGCTATAGATACATACTACGCGCGGCAGCGAGGTGCAGAGAAAGACAGCGACAACGAGGTCGACGGTGTAGAAGTTGGCTATTGTAGTAGCATTATGAACACTGAAACAACAAATGCAAGCCCAAGGGCCATTTGACAACGCCTCTCCTTGGGGGCGGTCAAGTTCCAAAACGAGCATTGAATTCGTCAACATAGAATCCTCCGCCTGGCTCGCCTCTATGATTTCCTAATAATTGGCGTGCTCGACATCAGAGCCCCGGGCTTCATGCTGAACGTGAAACGGCCGGGCAATCCAACGGATCTCCAGTCCTTGTTGGGGGTCATCCTCTTCTACCCCTGAAGGCAGACTGTCACCGATGATCGGTGCTTTGCATTGAAAGCTCATCGCGTCGTTGGTCTTTGAAGCGGTTCAACTGCGGTTGGTGATGTATTCATGGCAACGATGCACCGGATGAACCTTTAAGCTCAAGAAAGAGCCTCCTTGATCTTGGCCTTCTGAGCTGCAGTTAACGTCTTGGGAAAGTTGACTTTCACCTCCACAATGAAGTCGCCTCTCTCGCCGGGCTTCTTGCTGTTAGGCATGCCCAGGCCTGGGAACTTCTCTTCATATCCAGGTGGGGTCGGTCCAGCACCCGAGACCTTCAATTGCTTCCCGTCAATTGTCGTCACAGTCCTCTGCCACCCGGTCAGGGCTTCCTTCAAGTCTAATTCAATGGTCGTCCTCAAGTTGTCACCCTCGCGAGTCAGTGTGGGATGTGGTTTTTCGGAGACAATGAAATGCAAATCCTGGCTGCCGCCCTCCTCCTGATCGCCGACACCGGAGAATTTTATCTTGGAGCCGGCCTTCAAACCAGGCTTGATGTCCATTTCCAATATCTTGTCCTCTGTGGTTCGCTGTCCCTGGGGGTTGTACGTCTTTCTCTTGATCTTCATCTTCTTGTGCGTGCCCTTGTACAAATCTTCTAGGCTGACAGGTAGCTGCCGTTCGACGACACTGACCTCGGGGGTCTGTGGTCTGGGTTGAGGTTGTGGTCTTTGACCGAAACCACCTCCGCTCCTTCTGGGACCACCGCCCCCTCTTCCACCGCCGCCAAAGGCACCACCCAGGATGTTGAAAATATCGTCGTCATCTCCGCCTAGCCCGCCGCTGCGGCTGAAATTGGAGAAGATGTCGTTAGGATCGGAAAAGCTGAACCCTGAATTTCCGTTGGTGCTGAAGTGGAAGGTCCTCGCTCCACCACCACCACCGCCGGCGCCGCCTGGCATTCCGCCGAAACTGAAGCCACCTGGCATGCCTCCGGGGAAGCCTCCTCCTCCTCCAGGCATGCCACCTTCAGCACCAGGCGGTGGAGCTTGACCTCCTCTTAGAAGGAATTCTAATCCATATTGATCGTAAACCTTCCTCTTCTCCGGATCCGAGAGCACTTCATATGCTTGAGACACCTCCTTGAATTTTTCTGAGGCATTCGGGTTGTCCTTGTTCTTGTCGGGATGCCACTTCAAGGCTGCTTTCCGGTATGCTTTCTTGATTTCATCTTGAGTAGCAGTGGGAGAGACGGAGAGTGCATCGTAGAGCTTGGTCTCTGCTACCATGGCGAGTTTATGTTTATGATTGGTCGAATGTTGAACGTGATAGGGTCGTAGGTACTTTTGTGCAGGAAGGAAAAGAAACGAGCAGGAGGTAGGGAGAAATAGGGCGCAGTGGGAGGTACGCAGTGACGGAACGAGGCTGCGCTGGCGAGAGGATGAGGCAGGATAGCCGGGCTGCGGGATTTAGTCTCGTGAACGATAGAAGGCTCGAGTGAGATCCCAATGCGTCTGAGCAATCACAGATCCGATTTTAGCACGAGACTTTGCATTGAACGAAGGGAGCTCGCAGAGGTGAGGTACTAGTTGGGATTGTGTGGTGTTCTTCAGAACTGGGCAGAACATGGGAGACAATGCGACGGGCGTGGAATGACGCATCGGGGCCCAGCAGGCAGATTATCTCCGAGTGGAAACTACTAGAACCTTCTATTCTGACTGGCTGCTCCTGAATCTCAGCCTTGTCCGCATCACACCCGATTATTACCATCAGAATACAGAGTATGCTTGGATCACGGTTATTATTGTGTGTGTTTGATATTTGTTGAGCACCAGAACAATAGTTCGGTTTCTATGTCATCAGGAAATCTGGGAGCACCGGTCTAAACATGCGGAGCCCCCGCGCATCACCACTCGCATCGTCCATGCATGCCGCCTGCTCCAATGCCACGCGGGACTTTGGTCTGACTATCTCCACCTGGCTTCCACTGTCTTTTTCTGAGCCAGAGGTCTCAATGCCATAACTCCGGCGAAAAGGGCCACTATGGTGAGGACAAGTTGACCTTTGTTGAACCCTTTCCCGAGGACATCAAAGGCCATACTGGGCGCAATCTGTGTGCCAAACACGTCGTGCCCAAACGCGAATACCACACTCGTGCTCTCTAATAAACTTGGTGACGCCAAGATCTTTCGAATCCCCGTCACGTCTCGTGAGTGTGTCAAGAGAAACTTTGGGTCCAATTCAATGATTGGAGAATACCGCATCAACCCCTCTTCTCGCTCTGTTGCCGTGGGATCGCGATCCACCGGTCTTCGTGCATCCAGTATTTCGCGTGGAATACCAATGACTGCATTCGAGTTCGGTAAAGTTGCCAGCACCTGCCGCGATGTGATGCCCTGCGCAGTCTGCGAAACGGCCAGGTTGGAGATAGGTTCTGCGATGGCATAAGCCTGAGAGATGACGTGTGGTCTAACGCCCGCATCAACCGAGAATTCGGAAAAGTTTGTACGAGAACCCAGAGGTCCTCGATCATTTGGAATTGACGACTCGTAGAGCTCCGAAATGACAAGTTTTGTGGCTATACCTTCTCCGGCCGGATCTTGACTGGTGAAGGAATAGGCGAACCAGTTTTCTGAAACAACAGCAGGAACATCCGTACCCGGGAGGATACCCTGGTGTGTTGCAGTATCAAGGACGGCACCAGTGACGGCGTCAATCAAGTAGACCGTCAAGTCAGAATGGTACTCGGCGATCAGGAGTGCCACGTTTGGGGAGAGATATTTGTACAGAACGGATCTGTCACCAAGCACCTTCCCGATCGATGCCACAGGGTCGTGCTCCGCCCGCGCTACAGCATTGATGAACTTCGAACCGTCCCGCGGCGAAAGGGTCCACGTCTTTTCGACGCCTTGACCGATGGTCCAGCCGAAAGCCTTGCCATCCTCGCTGATAGTCACCACCGTGCTGCCCTCTAATGGTTGTACGGAAGCGAGATCCTCGGCTGGGCGAGGCGTGCCATCAGCTTCGACGGTAATAATCGCAGGTGCCGGACTGCCAGGAATGCGGACCAGCTTCGAGATGCGCGCATGTCCAGACCGATGTTCAATGAGCTGGCCATTGGAAGCATTGACCACAATCAAGGCTCCGTCAGATAGGTAGACGTGTGCCTTTCCTCCGTCTATAATGATGGATTCCATTTCGGCGCCTGTGGACATGTGGGAAGCAAGATTGATTTGCCATTTTAGAGCGCCGCCGTCTGTGACGTCCAGTGCCATCAGTTCTCGTCGAACGGTGCCAAGAATAACCGTCTTGGTCCCGACCAGACTTCTGCGGGCTGTGGCATCAGATTCTGGGGATGGCTTGAGGATGTTTTCTGGGAGCTTCTGGAGATGACCGGGCAGACTCATCAAGTCAGCAAAGTGTCGTTTGATCCGGTGAGTGTAGGCAGTCAAAGGATTGACTGTGGATTCGAGATCGAGCTCTTCAGCCAGAGCGTCCGGACCAGCATCTTCGGCCCAAGCTGCAGTGCTGGCATAAGCTAACATCTCCGGCCTTGTCCACAGTAGCTCCCCGTTGCGTATCAACGACCAATTGCCACTTGGTGTTGTCTCCGCCAAACGGACAGCAAAGCTTGCTTGCCCCTTGCTGATAACCTCGGCGACCACGTGAGAAGGCGTGCTACCTGAGGTTGTCCCAAAAGTGGTTTTCGTCCACCGCCCAAGTTGGCCGTGGGACTCAGATGAGTATAGAACAACCTCGGATTCCGTGCTACGGATGAAGTATATGGTGGAGCCGCTACTGGTGGCAGCAAAGGCGCTTTTCTCTTCAGTGGCAGGCAAGAGATACGCTCTCGTAGCTTCACCAGATTTGACGTCCACGTGATATACTTCTGCCCATTGGCACGTCTTTCCCTTGATATGAAGGAGAAAACGTAGTGGTGCAGCAGCATCACAAGCATGATGCACGGTTATTTCTTCGATGTTTTCACCCTTGTCATCGAGTGTGAGGGTTGCAGCCTTTGTATGTCCCAGAAGGTTAAACTTCACCGACCTGGACGATTTGTCGGCGGAGATCATGAACGGGGATTGTGCACACGAGGCCACCGAATATTGCCCGTCAAAAGCCAATGCTTCCAATCCAATCGCGACGCTGGCCTGACCAACCTCATGCCCAGTAGCACTGTCTAACGTGGCGACCTTGGCTTTGCTGCCGGCCAAAAGACCATGCGACTTCGTAACATAGTAGACATGTTGCGTAGAAGCGGCAATCGAGGCGGAGGATCCGAGGGTTAGACTTGAATCTTCGTAGTGCCATCTCGCACCGCTTCCATCACCGGCAACACGACTGACGATCGCATGAGCGTTAGAATGATCAGGATAAGCAAGGACCAGGATGTCTTGACCGATGTCATTCGCGCTTGATTCTGCAAGTGCGATGGCCTGCAATCCATGGACCTTGGTGCCTTCAGGAACGGTGTAATCCCACACAAGGCGCCCATTCAGGGCATCCCAGCAAGCCACCGTTCTGTTGTATCCGCTGATGATTTGGCCGTCTCTTTCTCCTGCAACCAGAAATGAGGTAGATGCATTATTCGTAGGATGATCCGCGAGGGATTGACGCCACACCAATGACCCATCTCTAGGGTTCACAGCGCCTAGGAAGGCTTTGTCCGAGATCGTGTAGAGCAGGGAAGCATTCGTAGATGGCTGTGGTTTGTGGAAGAAGGTAGCATGTGCCTGAGGGCTTCCGAGGAGGGCATGGTGATAATCGATGTGGAAAGCATCGTCGGCGAAGATAGCAATCACTGGGAGGAGAAAGGACAAGAGAACGGAAAGAACCCCATACCCCCTCATCCTGCACTTTGAGCCTCGATGCTACGAGTAGATCCAATGCAGGGCATAGAGGTTGTTGTGAATCCGTCTCGTCTGAAGGGCTGGACAACTCTGTGGACTCTGGAAGATACGCAGCCTTACTTTCAGTCTTCCAGTTGTCCGCAAGAAACCCCATGTCACGTGAATTGGATTGCTTTGTGCTAAGTTACCTGCAAGACAGGAGATAGTGTCTGACGACAACAATCTCCGCAGAATAGTGGGTGAATTGTTTGTCAGACTTGACCCCTTTCTCACGTGTACTGGCCACTTGGCAGACGCTAAACTGTTCTCGTCGGCCGGCTGTTAGTACCACCTCGCAGCGTCAATCTGGACCGAACTTGATCTGATTTCACGAGTCGCACCCTTTCAAAAGCATCGTCGAGGCAATCCGTAAACACGAGAGACCGCCATCAACCACGGCCATCTTTCCATACCACTCCCTCATGAAGAATCGAATCTGCATCTGCCCGGTCCACGACAATTGCATCCAAGCTGTCAGCCCCGAGGCCTCTTTGTCAGAACCCCACTGACTCGATCATTGCACGCGAGCAACCCTCCTCCCTCGAAGTCTCCCAGTCTCACCTATGATCGATGCTTGTACGTCCCAAAACTTATCCCAAGTTACCCTCCTTCTTGTGCACTCGCCGTCTAATTAGACCTGCAATGATATGCTGATGAGTGAATTGTTCTCAGGCATGAGCCAATTCGGAAACCGAGGCCCGACATATGACGGGTCTACGCACCATCAGCAATCTGTTCCCGTCCTTTCACGGATCGTTCCCCAACCCTCTACGGTGTAAGCGGTGTCTTTGAAAAAGGAGTCGCACCTTCCGGGCCAGGCGCATCTTTTCCTTGTCCTCCACGACGCCCCGATGACGACTGCGGTGGCATCGCCTCCCAACTTTCAGAATATCTCCAAGCTTAATTGGAATGGTGTCGGCGGTGCTGGTGGAGGCTTCTCGGCAATGAGCACTGACGAAGTGTCTCGCATGTTCCTGCCCCAGCGCAAGACGGTGCACAGGAGCAGCTCATCCTCATCCCTTTCGTCCACAAGTTCTTCCGGTTCAACAGTCACACTCACACAAAATGACGCCTCTAGTGAGGCAGGTCATGGAGCGAAGAAGAAAGCGAGAGGAGGATTTTGGCCGGTGTCAAAATCAGAGTCTACCGCCAGTGTGTCCAATGCCCGAGCAAATGGATCACTTCAAACAGCCATCGGCAATTCACTCATGGGGGGGAAGGGTTCAGTGCAACCCGCGCTCCCCAGTCAAAATCCTACCGGATTAGCCAACGGAACCCGGATGGTGAATGGACAATCTATGGGTGAACAAGGAGCGATTTTGGCCTTGTTGCCTATGAATGGCACTTTCGAAAGAAAGCAGATCAATTTACCATTCTACCCTGAAGTTCTGCGTATTGGACGGCAGACAAACGCAAAGACCATGCCCACTCCTGTGAATGGTTATTTTGATTCCAAAGTGCTGTCACGCCAACACGCCGAAGTATGGGCCGACCGCAGTGGGAAAGTCTGGATCCGGGACGTGAAGTCCTCCAACGGGACATTTGTGAACGGACAGCGGCTTTCACCCGAAAACCGTGAATCTGAACCGCATGAACTTCGGCAGCATGACACCTTGGAGCTAGGTATTGACATTGTGAGTGAGGACCAGAAAACTATCGTCCACCACAAAGTCTCTGCAAAGGTGGAATATGTTGGACTTCCGGGGGCCTCAAACAACGTTCTCGACCTCAGCTTCGGCGATCTCGACCCATCACACGGCGGCGGACTACTCCCGTCACCTGTCAGCTCGCCTATGATCCATTCACGCAGTCGCCCGGGCGGTCCAGCAGGCAGTGGACGGGTGTCGGCCCCTTCTAGTGTTGCCGGAAGTCAGATAAGTTCGGTAGCTCAACAGCGGCAAATGAATTTCTGGGGTGCACCCATGAACGTGGAACAGCTGGTCAAGACACTCTCTGTAAGTGGGAAACTGATTTTCTCTCAATGTGTGTACTAACCAAGTTCAGAGCGAAATGCGCACAGCAAAACAGCAGGCGGCAGAACTTGAACATGCAGGTTCATTTCTAAACGCGATATTGACGTCTGGAGAGGAACCCTCCAAGTCTCAGCCACAGCCCAAGGAACTCGGTTCTCAGAGACAATCGAATGGACGGTCCAAGGCAACCAAGGTAGACCATGTGGCCCGCTTTGCTGACCCCCCAGCACCTCCGCCGCGGCAGCCCTTACCTGAAAAGCCGGACGGCTCAAAAGCCAGCCCTATCTCGACATCATTCACCAATATTCTGAAGAGGAGCGACACAGCCAAGCCCACCAATACTTCATCTCATTCCCCAACAAACCCTCAAAACAGTCAGATGCTGTCTCTTATTGAAGCGCTGTCAATTGCCAAGAAAGAGCTGGATTCACAAGGGGCACGAGTCAAACAGTTGGAGGATATGCTCAAACAAGAGCGTTCGGCCAGAGAGGACGCCGAGGAGCGAGCCCGCCGGCTTGAGCAGCACGCTGCATCCCGACCTGTCCCATCAGTGCAAGAACAACATGAGTCTGTTGCACAGTCAGAGCTCGTCATGACACCAATGAACCAATCTATAGAACACGAAAGAAGCAACGGAGTTGACAGGACAGATGGTCTTCAACAGAACCTGGACCAGGTGTTGGGAGAGATGCAGAGACTGAAAATAGACGTTGACAATTTCAAACGACGTGCCGAGACAGCCGAAGCGGACGCCGTCAGCGCAAGGAAGAGTCTTGCAGAGATGATTCACAGACTTCGGGAAGAAAATGAGAAAGAAGAGGCGTCTCAGGATAAGTCCAAGAAGCAACGTTCTCTAGCCGAGTTGGAGGACGACGCAGAGGTGGCTGACATGGATGAAACCGAGTCCAACTCGAGTCCCGCCGTGAAGTGGCCTCTACATGGTAACGGCCACGTTCGAGCACCAAGACTGCCGGATCATGTCGAGCGAGCCGTTGCTACTGTGCTAAGGGACAGGAGTGGCCAGGGAGACTCTCTCGCCCAGTCTGCTCCATACGTGTCGATGCTGGGCGTGGTCCTGATAGGGGTTGGGTTGATGGCCTACCTTAATTCGTGGCAGAAGTCCGAGAGATGACATGCCGGCATTGGGGAAGTTCTCTTCGACGAACATATTTTCTTTGGGCAATGTTGCATGCATTGCAGCATCGACTTGGTGGTCATTCGTTTCCCCTGCAAGCATGGCATCAGTACATGACGTTCCGACTGGATTTTGGCGATATCGTTGGCGGGAGTCGTGTCAGCTGTTCTTGGAGCAAACAGGGTTGTTTATCATTTTGCTACAATGTTTGCAAGGCGCAGGTTCGAGCAGTCGGGAGGTTGACTTATTTTGTTTTACAACAGCACCGATTCACAAGTGCTGGATGTGATCTATCACGGCCACGCAAAGGGCCAGGGCGTAGTATAGTCTACACTTCAAAGGCAGTTTGCTAGCATTGTCCACCGCAAGGCGTGAGAGCAGACCTGACCAGGCACTCTATCTAGCCCACGAGATGAGTTGATAATGACACTCGATGAAAGACGACAAATCATATCGACAGCAGTACTCCCGTAACTCAGCAAGGAGTGGGCGAGAATCAATTGGAACTTCCTGCTGAAGGATTGTCTCTGTTCTTGCAACATCTCTACCGAGTCGCTTTTCCTCTTTTTGTCCATTACTTCTCTTCTGCTGGAATGCCTTCATATTGCGCCAATGCCGACCTCCGCCGAAGTGAGCTTCCCCACTTGAACATCAAGTAAGGGATTGGGGCCATGATGGTCGCAACAAGAGCCAGAATGAGCCCTGCATATTGACTGCCGACGTTGACGAAAAACTGTCTTGCAAAGAGGGGCGAAACTGCACCCAGAACATTGCGAAGGGCTGACTGAGCTGCAAGAGCCGATCCTGAATGATCCTCTCCGTAGCAATCTGTCGTATAGCTATAGCAGGACTCAAAAATGAAGAAGATCCCTATAGTAATGGGAGCAAGGGCCACAGTCGGTGCAACCCAGGTGATATAGGAGTACTGAGTGAAACTGTAGACAAAGAGGCCGATAGGAAGAAAGCCGGCACCGAACATGGCTCCGTACAGTCGATCTTCAGGGACAATGTCTCGCTTAGCAGCAGACTTGATCTGGTACCAACGGCGCATCTGCAGGAAATTCGCACAATAGCCGATAGTGACACCTATACATAGCGAGATGTAGGGAAGCCCTCCTAGTAATGGTCAGCCGCTGCCACGGGTAGGGAACTGACAATTGAGATAGAAACCTACCGATCCCTTGGCTCCAGCCTCGCTTATCCTCAAAAGTGATGGGAATCACGGAAAGGAAGAGAAAGGTGACAAGCCAGGCAAACGCAATCCAGAAGCCGAATAAGAAAACAACGGGTTCAGTCACTAGCATGTGGATAGCCTTGACTGACGACTCGTGCAACAGTTCCTTCACACCTTTTGCTTCCAGATCCATATGGCAGACGAAGTTGTCTTGCCCTGTCGCAGCGGCAGCGACTTTGGCACGTTTCTGCAACACCACTCCTCCGCGAGTCTCGGGAAGCGCAAAGGTGATGACAATGAGCAGCGGAACACTGGCGAGGCCTTGGATGGCTTCCATCCACCTCCAGCCAATGGTCTCGACGATAAAGCCGGCATAGATGGGAGCACCCACTGTTCCGAAGATGGCCACGAACGAGAACAGGGCCATCGGCCTTGCCATTTCGTCCGGGAGGAACATGTCGGAGAAGGTGCCTCCAACGAGGATTGTGCCCACGCTGCCAAACATGCCCAGTAACGCCCGACACACGAGGATGGTGGCAATGTTCTTGCCCAGACTCAACCCAATGAACATGATGACGAAGCATAGGTAGGCGCCAACATAGACAATTCTTCTGCCCGCGAGTTCGCAGAACGGAGCGAGAAACAACGGCGCAATCGCACATGCGAAATTGAATGTGAATAACCCCAGTTGTCCCAGCTCGTTGGACACATGCAGGTCCCGACACATGTTCCCAATGCCAGAACTGTACGCGGTGGTGGCGAATCCAATAAACAGCGTCATCAGACAGAGCAGAGCAGCAATGAACCGTCGTCGAGCTCGTGGCCAGTTGAACGGGTTCTCCGGGTCACCAGGCGCGAACGACAACACCGTAACAGGTCGGCCATGTTTGTCGAAAGCACTCTCGGTGTAGGTGAGCGGTAGATCCTCATTGATGGTCACCGTCGACTTCTCTTCCTCTTCAGTATCGCCCTCCTGTGCCTCTCGATATTTTTGTATGAACCGGCCGCCGACAATGCGACCTTTGGACGTTGCGGGGCTCGCTGACTGATTTTCTGAGGCCATCATGGAAAGGGATATTCTTGTAGGCTGGGACTGCGAGGTCCAAAGCAGCCGTGGGGCTGGTCGCCATGGATATACACACCGACTCAGATACTTGCCTCTTCCGGAGCTCCAGTTATCAGAAAACTTTGATCTGCCTGGTTGTCTGATATGTGATCCAGAAAGCAATCCATATTTGCCATACCTACTGGCTGGGAACCCCTGCCCGGATGTGGTCGGCGGTCCACGAAGCACCGATCAATTATGAGTCTGGGTATTTCAATATCAAGATACGTACTGCCAAGCGATGACAATGCGAGGTTTCATTGAAAAAGGGTCGTCATGAGGGATTGGATATCACCACACCTACTGGAAGAGCGTCTGGAGACGCGTTGCACAGCCTGATGATCCGCACCAGACCCATTGCTTGGTTTATCAGCGTCTGAGATTTTGATGGCGGCGACTTGAGTCAATATCGGGTTGTCAATATCGCGAACATAGCGAGCATAGTGACCACAATTGCTCGAAACGATCAATCACTGACAGTCAATATCACATGCGATCCGATCCAGCGGCGGGTGGTCTGAGTGCTATTATTGTTGATTGATTTGTTGAGTAGACTCATCGCAACTCCATCCGCCAGGAACTAGGTTCTTGATATACTTTTGGACCGGGTATTCGTCGGCCATATCCACGGTTATCACTTCCGCGAGGCCCGTCATCTGGTCGGGAGTTTGAAATGAACGTCGGTCACCATGTTGCGGCTGCCATTTTCTAATTCTTCCCTTTACTAGGTAGTAGTATGATAAGATCCTGGGTGTCTCTTACTGTGTGTATATAAGGTACAGAGTACAATCTCAACCTGATGATCCTAGGGCCGTTTATGGCTAAACTACGGATGTACCGCTCGCTTATCCGACAAGTGTGTCCATAAGAGACTAGTGGCAACTACCGATAGGGCGGCGATGGCGTTCTTCAGAAAAGGGTTTAGCAAGGTGCAGTTTTTCACCGCTTCCCATTGGTGCTCAATGAACATCCACCTCACCTTTGAATATCATAAGCTGAGGTCAGGTACGTACTATCACAGAACTAGCTCCTACTCTGTATGATCCGCCGACGGGATGACGCAAATTCGCGCTCATTTTCCCTGGACCCTCAACGCTCAATGTTCGGCGTTGAAGATGTTTTTTTGGGTCCAGTGGATGAGTTCACCACCATGTAGGACTGGCCAACGGGGGACCGTGACTACAGAGTTCGCGCGGAGGGACGGATCTCCTTGACCACTACTGTCAGTGCTCTGCAGCTCCAGCATCGTTAAACTGCGGTATTGTGTTGTACTGCGCTCCGTGTTCCTGGCCGCTTTGCAGGAGAGTTACGCTGACTGTCCGCGTCAATGCCCACGGGAACTGTGCTAATGCCCAAGTGGCACCGACAGCTGGGCGTAGTGTGCAGAACATGCCGCATCGAACGACAAAAGCTTGTGCCGCTGAGTGTGCTCCAGAGACGCAGCTATGCAACGCCTGTCAGCACCAGCGGAGGTTCTAAGGATGACGGGAGAGAAAAGGTGGTCATCTTGGGAAGCGGTTGGGCAGGTTTGTATCTCTGCGGTCCGGGGTAGATGGGCATGCCGTGTTAACAGCTGAACAGGCTTCGTCCTATCGCGCAGACTTGATCCCAAGAAATATCGCGTCGTCGTCATCTCGCCCCGGTCCTACTTCGTGTTTACCCCTTTACTAAATGACACTTGTGTTGGTACACTCGAGTTCCGCAACGTACTCGAGTCAGTGAGAAAGAGGAACGGGAAAGTGGAATTTATCCAAGCATGGGCAGACGACATCAGTTTCGCCGACAAGACGGTCACGGTTGAGCCTTCGGTGTTGGATCCAGACGTGGGCCACGCCCTCACCGGCCCGCGCAGATCCTATGCGCAGCAGTCAACTCATCACGGCTCTGGCTTGCCCAAAGGGTTTATTGCTAAGGATGTGCAGCTCGGCGGGACAGGCAAACAACAAGCTCCGACATTCCCAGTCAGGTACGACAAGTTGATCATCGCCGTGGGCACCTACAGCCAGACCTTCAACACCAAGGGCGTCCGGGAGAACGCATACTTCCTCAAGGATGTTAAAGATGCCGTGGCCATCCGGCGGAGGATCCTGGAGCTATTCGAGCTCGCCCGGTTGCCCATCGTACCAGAGGAAACGAAGCGCTATCTGCTCCATTTCGCCATTGTGGGCGGTGGTCCAACCGGCATGGAGTTTGCTGCGTGCCTCTCTGACCTGATCAGAGAGGACATTTCTCGCATTCATCCGGAGCTTCTCCAGTACATCCGGATCAGTCTGTACGACGTGGCGCCCAAAGTGCTGCCCATGTTCGATGCCGCTCTGGCCGATTACGCGGTGAAACAGTACAAACGACAGAACGTCGAGATCAAAACGTCTCACCATGTCGAAGAGCTGCGGAAGGGCTTCCCCAATGATCCAGAAGCAGCCAAGAACCAGGATGCCCAGGTGCCGAATCGCGTCTACACGCTCCGGACGAAAGAAGAGGGTGATGTGGGGATCGGCATGTGTGTCTGGAGTACCGGGCTCATGGCCAACCCTTTCGTGGCCAAGGCTCTCGCCCATGTGCATCGGTATCCTGCCTCCTCGGCGCACATCACGCATGGCGATGTCACAGAACCCGCCGACCGCCAATGGTCGATCCAGAGAGATCCAAAGAGCGGTTCGATCTTTGTGGATGACCATTTTCGGGTCAACCTCATCGCTGATGCTGCCGAGGGCGAGACAGCCGAAAACGCTCCCAAGGCATATATGAAAGATGTCTTTGCCGTGGGCGACACGACGAAACTGATGTCCGGCGCCCTTCCTGCCACGGCGCAGGTGGCCAACCAGCAAGCATTGTGGCTGGCCAAGGCGCTCAATCAGCACTCTGACCCGGAGCCGTTCACGCAGACGCCCGGCTTCACGTTCCGGAATCTGGGCGTCTTCACGTACGTGGGCAGTGCGAAGGCCGTGTTGCAAGGACCAAACACCGACCGCGAAGGCATGGCCAAGGGTCTCAAGGGCTGGATCGCTTTCCTGCTTTGGCGTGGCGCCTACCTGACCATGACGCTGAGTTGGAGGAATAAGTTCCTTGTCCCGATGCAGTGGCTGGCCGTGAAACTGTTTGGGCGCGACATCTCGAGGTTTTGAGCTTCGGGGGTTGGATTGAAGTTGAAGAGCTTGAGATCCGTCTTGAGGTGACGCACCTGGAGGCGTCGAACTCGCTGTAAGAGAAAGATTCACGATAATGAAGAGATAGATATGTCTGAGCGCCATCCATTGTATATAGATCCTTATGTCCCCAGGCAATACAACATCAAGTGTCACGTCTTCGCTCCCCATCTCGGTTGAGTCTCGTTCATTCTTATCTAGGTACTTAGGGATGCTACTGTGAGATGCTGCCCGCTATCAACTCTTGGGGATGACATGGTAGTCGATTGCTCCAGCCCCGTAAGTCCAGTACGGTCCTCTCATCTGGTGTGTTTGACCACTTGTCGACTAGGAGAGGATTTACTCATAGAACTAATATCCATGGGCCAGCCAGGTAATTGATTCCGGTTATTCCCCAGTAATCACTTGCTATTCATCAAGGTATCTACATAGTAGAGACGTATGTGTAATTTACCTAGTAGGTCCGTCTGGAAATGATTCTCTTCGTTTAAGTAAGCCGCCTTATCTATTCTACCACCGTCAAGTTGGCCACCAAGTCCGGATCTGTCACTCGTAATTACTATCACATATCGTGGTCCACTGAGGTGTGTGATGCGGACGAGACGGGTGTCGCTGTAGTGCCGAGCCTGGGAGATAAGGGCGAAAAGGAAACAAGAGGTCAACCACGTACGCACAACTTCCAGAATCGACCCAACCTGTAGTTGAAGCATCCGATAAGACAGCCTGTGATACCTACCTGGTACTTACTTACCTAACCGCCCAAGCTGCGACTACAGAGTTACACGACGTGACAAGAGACCGTGGAGATACAAAAAGTGGTTAGGTAATCTCTTTCAGGGATGGTTGGCCCAGCCTCGCCCAGCTTCCTTATCGGGACTAATCTCCACCACTATCGGGGAGTTCTCCTATCTTCAACCATAAGTAGTACGTGGTTCGATTGCTTGGAAACGGCGGGGCCAGCAGGAACAGCCGAGAGGGGTTGATCGATGATGGGGATGTACCGAATATCATACACGATCGAAATGATATGCCCAATTGCTAACATGACATTTAGATATTTCAAATTTCATGATCTTGAAGCTGATAGAGAAGAGCCGGTCGGCTTTATATAAAAGTACCTCGGGAGCGGATACCGATTCATGGTTATACCTTCTAGTGACTGTACTTCTGTAGGGGGTAACCTACAACGATTATCAAGCTCAAACCACCTGTACGGGAGATATCGTCTAAACTATATCTAGTACAGTATCTATCTCGTAATAACATATCTACCCAGGTAGTCCAAACATCCATCCTTGAAATTCGAATTGAGGGGGGCCAACGTGACGACCTGAGTTATCGGTTGATTGATTGATTGATCGATTGAAGCTTCGAAGAGCTCCCTGCTTGCTTGCATCCTTGGCCTTCAATTCCGAATTGAGAGACAAAGCCGAGGAGACTGCTCAAATCGGGTACGAGCACTGGTCGAAATACTCATAACACCCTCGATTTCGCAAAGTGGTGAACAGTGTGCCAGGACTATGTTGACAAAGAGGCGATCTTTTGATATCGACCATTGATTGCCCTAACTTGACACGACTCAGGTTCTGTCAACGACTCCACACTACGAAATCCAATTCCACAAGACCAGCATTGATTTGTGAGAAGGCCGCCGCGCGACGGTCAACTTAACAATGGGTTGGGAAGAGATCGCAGCCGATAAAAGGCAACGCATCGAGAAATCCATCCCGGCCGAATGGCGCGTGGATGTGAAATCTATCGTCGGGCCAGATGAGGTCTCGTTCATGGATGTACCGGTCAAAAGTGGTCTTTTGACACCAGAAGAACTGGCCATCACGGGGTCTTCGGCTGTCGAGTTGGTCACGAAGCTTGCGAAGGGGGAGTTGAAGTCGGTGGATGTGACACTGGCATTTTGCAAGAGGGCGGCTTTGGCACATCAGGCGGTGAGTATCTCCTTGATCCTTGAGTAAAGCATTTTGCGTTCGAATAGCGTCCCTTTGCTTTGATTGTTTCGATTGCATACGCCTTTTTTTGTGGGTTTTCCGTCTTGAGATTGACACAGCGGGATTGCCAGTGACAATTGCCCTTATGAATGTGGGTCAGTTCTGTTACTGATCTGATCTGATCTGATCTAGGTCAACTGCGTGTTGGAGTTCTTCCCCGAACTTGCTCTGGCCCAGGCGAAAGAGCTCGATGAGTACTATCAGCAACACAAGACCACCGTGGGCCCGCTCCATGGCCTGCCCATCTCGCTCAAGGACCAGCTTCGAGTTAAGGGCCTCGAGACGTCTATGGGATATGTGGCTTGGCTTGGGAAATATGACAAAGAGGACTCGGTGTTGACGGCGCTGCTGCGCAAGGCTGGCGCCGTCTTTTACGTCAAGACAAGTGTCCCGCAGAGTCTGATGGTTTGCGAAACCATCAACAATGTCATCGGTCGCACGCTCAATCCACGGAACAAGAATTGGTCTTGTGGAGGCAGTTCTGGCGGTGAGGGTGCTATTGTCGGCTTCCGGGGAGCGGTCATTGGTGTTGGAACGGATATTGGTGCGTACCTAAGGCTCTCTCCTTTTGTTTTCTTTGTCAAAGATACCGCACAGCTTCTTCTGCTACTTGTCAGTTTTCGCCAGGCTAACATGATCGTGATCCGGCTTAGGCGGTTCAATCCGAGTCCCGTCCGCATTCAACTTCCTTTATGGCATCAGGCCGAGTCATGGGCGCATGCCGTACGCAAAAATGGCGAATAGCATGGAGGGACAGGAGACTGTTCATAGTGTTGTCGGACCCCTCGCTCATTCGGCCGACGGTAAGCCTTAATTTACGGGACATTGATATTCGTTCGCAAAAAGTGCTGATATCCTTTCCTTCAGACTTGAAACTGTTCGTAACCTCCGTCCTCCAACAGGAGCCTTGGATGTACGACTCCAAGGTCATTCCGATGCCATGGAGACAGGCGGAAGAGGACATCATCACCTCCAAGCTGCAGAGTGGAGCGGGTGGGCTGACCCTGGGGTTCTTCAACTGTGACGGAAATGTCAGATCGCCGTCCCTTACCTGCTGTTGAGGCATTGCTGACGTCGTGCATAGGTTCTTCCCCATCCTCCTATCCTGCGTGGTATTGACATGGTGGTATTGGCTCTGAAAGACAATGGCCACACCGTGGTGCCATGGCAGCCTTACAAGCACGGTTATGCAGTAGACTTGATCCAGAAGATCTATTCCAGTGACGGTGGCCAGGTAAGTTCAACCTCTCGCCTGAGAAAAAAAGGTCAGAACCAGTGGCAACGAGAAGCTCACTTCTTGCCGTCTAGGATATATTCTCGGTTTTGAAAGAGTCTGGAGAGCCCGCCATTCCCAATATCAAAGACCTGGTCAACCCATCCTATCCGAAATTGGACATGAATGAGATCTGGGAAGTGCAGCGCCAGAAGTGGATCTACCAGATGGAGTATCTGGAGCAATGGCGGCAGAGGGAGGCAGACCTTGGGAGGGAGATCGACGCCTTCATCGCCCCTATCACTCCCACCGCGGCCGTTCGCCATAACCAGTTCAAGTACTACGGCTATGCGAGCGCCATCAACCTTCTCGACTGGACAAGCGTCGTTGTACCAGTGACGTTCGCCGATAAAGCCGTGGACAAGAAGAACACGGACTTCAAACCTCTGACTGAGATTGACGGTGTCGTGCAGGCTGAATGTAAGTGGTTTCGTCGGATCCGCTTGCTTTCCTGGTTGATTGGGCAGTCACTGACTTGACGTCGGAATCTAGATGACCCTGATGCCTATCACGGTGCCCCTGTCGCTGTGCAGATTGTGGGCAAGAAGCTGAGCGAGGAGAGAACGTTGGCCATTGCGAAGGAGATTGGACGCCTCCTGGGGAATGAGCTTACGCCGTAGCCGGAGATGACGGACGTTTTATCATCCTCATCGTAAAGATTCCCTGATCTATTTTGCTTTTACTTACTTCGTCTTGGGATCAATTCGGGACATGCGGGCTTACCCATTCCTTTGGGAAGACGAAAGCTGTATATCAGGTCAGTAATGAGTAGTTCAGGAATTCAAACCGCAAATCGATGCGAAACCACAAATTTCTTTCCTCTTATTCTCTCAGCCCTTCACCTCGGTCCATACCAACAGATAGAGGCGCGTGCCCGAGCCCAGATGGTGTGTACGAAAGTAATGACAGTACAAGGACCAGCAATGGATTTCAAATTCGCACAGTATCTCCATATTATCCAACACCGCGGACAGATGTTGGCGATATCAAGGTATTAATGACACCGAAGATAAGTCCGATACACGGCTGCTGAAGCAGCCTACTGTCAACTGATATTGGCTGGCTGATATAAGGAATTGAGCACGTGATCCGATATTAAAGCGGCGAGACCTTGGCGAGATAAGTCACTCCAGCGATTCCACTTGAAGTTCCCTTCAAACACTGCACGTTCTATGGGCCAATCCGCTCTGAGGGGCGATGTCTCCGCCCTCGGAGGGAGCTGTTGGATTACGACGGAAGAAGCGTGTGTGTGAAAGATGTCGGCGACGGAAGCAACGATGCGACTTTGAGCAAGAAGCGTCTTGCCGCAACTGCATCTTAGCAGGCACCGGTACTGAATGAGCCCTGAAACCGACAGGCCGAACTAACAACCCTCACAGAATGCGTGACAGCTACTCCGGATACATCTCTCTTGAATTTGGGTCAATACAGCTCTCCAGGTAGCTGGCAGCGGTCCGGGTACCCGCCGCCTCCGGCATCGGATGTTGGAGATGTTGGATCCCATCAGGCCCGGATCCTTTCATCCCATGCCGGCACTTCTCCCAGTGGAGGATATCAGGTGTCCAACGGTATCCTCGAGATCGAGGGACAGAATTGTATGAGTCCGGGAGATCAGGTCACCGGGCGGCCAACTATACTATCAGGCTTCACCAACGAGACCTTGGCGAGCGAGATCTCGATCCCCACGGCTGCATCTTTCTTTCGTACCTACTGCAGTGTTATCCATCCACAATACCCGTTCCTGGATATCAGGGAGTGTGGAGACTATTACCTGCGGTGGAAAGCCTCCTTGTCGGGTGGTAGATTGGGCGGCTGGGCCGCTTTCTTTGTCAACATGGTAACGTTATACTTTTTGACCAGACAGCCTTCACCTATTAACCAAGTAATAGATATTTGCGATCGGATTGCTGATCGAATCCAAAGCTGACAGTGCCCCACACCATAAGTATCAAAATCTCAAGTCGAGAGCGCAAGCCGAGCAATCCATCATGGCAGATTCTTCCTCCACGGCACTCATTCGAATGCAAGCGATGCTTTTGTCAGCAATGCTTGCGTTACATGCCGAGAATACCTGGCGAATCGCACACGTCAGTGGAGTTATCATGAAGTTTGCTAGTCTTCACCGATTTCATCGTTTGAAAAAAGTCCCAAACGACCCCTACAATACGATGATGATTAGAGTGTGGTCAAGTGCGTACACGTAAGTACTCATTGCCCTTCAAGCGTTTTCGAAGCTTACAATGTGTCTCAAAGTCTCGACCGCTCAGTCAGTTCAGCACTCGGTACACCCGTCAGCCTTCCAGACATGTATATTTCATCTCCGTTGTACGAAGACGGCCCCGAAGACGGCCCCGAAGACGAATGTCCCATGCCCTGGCTCTCAGATTGTGCGCCACGAGAACGCCCCGAGTTATTTCCCAACCTCAGAACATTTGCCCACATTTGCAAGATAAGGACTGTACAGTCCCTGTTTATGCATATGGTAGAAAAGGACGACCTGGAGGATAGCGTGCCCTTGGAATTGCAAATGCACATGCTGGAAACATTGAGGAAATGGGAGCAACCGGACGTCATAGCAATGCACAGGTAAGCTAAGACCTCGTGTTCTTCTGATGTCGGCAAAGCGTTGCAATTGTCATACAAACTTGTCGTGCCCCATGCCCCACGCCCCACAAAGTCACACGTTACTGAAAGCAGTGTTCTAGTATTGCAAACACCGATGGATATCACAGTGCACTCTGGCTTCGGCACATCGGCCAACTCACACGACTCTCCATCTGCTGGGTCAACAAATCCAATATTCATTCATACATAGCCGACACTGCGTTCAAAGCGAGTTGCGAGGCTTGCACCAGTTTCCGATCCTTGCGAAAGAAACGACAAATAGCCCAGCCCTGGCTCGTGGTGAGTCCAGTCTCGAATCCAATCGCGAACAACTAACGCGCGCTAATAAGAGTAGGTCCTGTCGCAATTTAGAGCTGCCGTGACCTTGTGGTACATACTATGGGCACGGGCGGTTCCTGTTCCTAGAGAGGCAGATGATGCCATCCGAGACTGCGGTGCTGTCCTGGCCATCTTTGCAGATCGGTGGCCAAACGCAGAGTACTACCGTGATTGCTTCGAAATCTTGGCGGTGTCTATTCCCCGGAGTCGACCACTGGGTAATCTGGAGAAAGATGTACGAGACAAGATAAAGGTTCTGGTTCACAAGCTGGACGAAATTGGCATTCACCGGACGACCTCAAGAATGCTATGGGAGATGTCTGCCGAAAATGATGACCCAAGGCAGGTATAAGTTCACAGTTCGGCTGATACCATTTCCTCTATTGAGGTATTCGCGAACCTACAGTTTCCACCTGAAGAAATTCTGCATGCCTTCCTTCAGAGGCGGAAATAAGACCATACTATACTGGTGGTGTGGCAGGGTTTGGTGTGTGATTATCGAGGCGCCTTCGGTAGTGATCTCGGTGGCGAATCAGGACGCACTTGGCTAGCGACGATGACGGCGACTTCACTGTGCAAACGCACGCCTCACCTCACTGTCGACGCTAAACGGCGAGCATGTGCTACTAAGGAACGGGCGTCTGAAAGCATCCTTGAGCTGTCAAACCCTCCAACACAGCCTCGACGATGCTACGTCGAATCGTTCGAAAAGGACGGAGAGGGATGAGCGTCGATTTTCCACTTCCATTTCGAACGGTGATTCGAGATCGTACGAAATCCCACGAAGCATTGTGCTTCTTTAGCCAGTCGAGGCCGAGGATAACATCATATGCGTCCCAATACCGAGTGCTCCTTGTCTGCGTCTCGAGTGTCGTTCGAGAAGGGAACACCATCGACCCAACCAACAACGACTCCAGTGACTCGGTAGATGAGGTCGATCGAAGCAGATCGGAGCGTTTCTCCACGGTCGACATGTCATGCCAAGCGCATACATTCTCCAGATGAGACGCCGCGGGACAAGGCTCGCAAGGCGAGAAAAATCGCTATTCATGATGGAGAAGCTCTGTTTTCGCCAGACGAAGGAGGAAGGAGTGGTGAGGTCAGCATTCAGTGGAACGATTCAACGGTATGCTAGGCGAGATCCTCACAAAACAGCTAATGGACCAACCTGTGATCCTTTAGGATGAATATTTGGCCTCGGCACTCTCCGCAACGCGAGTACGAGCCCACACAGTCACCGGTATAAGCCCATATAAGCTTGTTTATGGTCTCGAGCCTAGGCTTATAGGAGATCAATCCGATTTCGATCTAAAGAACCTCAACGCTGACTTTGCCTCAAGGTTGGAGACCTTGTATACGGTACGTCACGAAGCAAACAAACTGCTCGTCGAGAGAGGATTATACTCCTAGAAGCTTCGATCTTCGCGACTAAAAGCAACGGATATAGGCTATAAGGAGGGAGATTTCGTGCTTCTACAGAATGAATCAAGACAGAAGTTCGAACCTACCTACTTTGGACCCTTCCGAGTGCCATCATGGATCGAGAGAAGATTGCACTAGTAACCTCCTACTTCGAAGGATCCGCGGGAGCCTGGTGGAACCTCATGTACCACAATTCGAAGGATCAGGCCGATACCACGCCGATCCTCATCGATTGGGAAGCATAGAAAGAAGCTTTCTAAACCCAAATCGGAGACGTCAGGACCCAGGAACAACGTTGAGACGAGTTCGACTCCCTAAGGCAAACTATAACGGTCTAAGCCTTCCGGCAAGAGATCGAAACCCTCAGGTTGTACCTCGAAACCCGTCCCAGCGACAGCGAATGCCTGCTCGTTTTTAAACGAGGCCTTAAGCAGATCATTCGAAACCGAATTGAGTTCCTTCCGGTTATCCTCTGCCCAGGATCCAAGGCTGTCTCGACACCATTGGCTACGCTCGATGGCTCTCGAAGATGGATCTCACCCAAGGATACTATCAGGTACAAATGGCAGAGAGAGCAGTCGAAAAGACGGCTTTCAATACCCGTTCCGGCAAATATGAGTTTATGGCGATCGGTGGAGCGGTTCGATGCTCGCATTCCGGATCATTCAAGCATAGAGGATCGTCGGAAGCTCGTCTTGGAGGCGATTAGAGAGTTGACACGATGGGCGGAGGATCCATTATACAAGCCTAAGACTTTCGACGTCCGTCGAACTCGTGTTAGAATCCGAAGATCAGAAGTTCGCGAAGAATCTCCGACTCCTGTGGCAGGCCGTCGACAGGGTGTAGCGCCCAAGCTGTCTGCGAACAAGTCCTCCGTGAAAACAATTTAAAAACGCGTGATGCTAGCACGTGACGCGGCACGTGATATCTCAGGAGTGGGCCTTGGAGTGCATGACTAGCATTGCATCTTCATAGACAAGGCACTTGAGACGACACCCATTTATCGACGACATTGGCGTCGGTCGAGCAAAAACCGACTATGATGGCGAAGAAGTTGCCCCCGGCATTCGTCGCCTAGTGCTCGAGCATATCCAAAACCTCGATAAAGTACTCTGTGATCTTGAAAGAGCAGGAGCAACAGTCTCAAGAGAGAAGTCACAGTTCTGCGTGAGCGGCATGAAGTTTGTTGGGTACGTCTGCGATGCACGAGGACGTCATCCTGAGTACTCGATGATCGAGAAGATCGTGAACGGCCGTCCTGCCAGAATGCTTCGGAAGTCAAAGGTTTTGTTGGACTCTGCGTCCAAACAACTCAGCTTTTTCATCGATTTCTCGACCACGCAAGTCACCATGGATTGCGAAGACGTGGCCTCAAACGTTGAAAGCGAACAACAGCCGATTAGCAACGCCTTAACGCAAGTCGGAGACCTCACTTTCGAATCAACAGCTGAAACCTTTGCCTACCTGAACAACCCTACTCCTACCGAGCGAATCGCAGCCTGTGAAGAACTTGCTGAGCGCGTAACGAGCAAACAAGACAGCACCTTGCCGCGCAACTATGAGGACGAATTAACGAAAGGGCTTGCCAACTTAGTCCTTCCGATTCGTGCTGAAATGCAGGGAATACGGAATATAATACAACATATAATGTCTAGCGGACCACGTCCTTAAGGCGACGGAATGCGCGATATGAGACCACCACCGGGAGAGCTTGACTGTTGGTAGACAAAGGTTTGACTGACGGCAGCACTCCAGGAGGTCTGGATCATTGGCGAGAGCGAGCCATCGCACGAGAGATAGCTGCAGGACTGCACATTCCTCGGGGCAACGACTCCTCTTCCTCGCCAGATTCGTCATCTGTGTCGTTCAGCAACGCTTCTCTTGAACATTCTTCGCCAAGACGGATAGAAGATACGTGCGGACCAGGCGGGTTCCGTGCTCTCCGTAAGTTGTCGATATGCTCCTTTTTACTTATTCCACGAGGAAAGCTCATAGGCATGGACTGCATCGGATTCTCAGGCTGTGGCCCGAAGTATATCTTGCCGTCACGGTCGAGATGAATTACTCCTTGAGTCAGTATTTGGGTGTACGCCGAGTATCTTACTTTGGTATGGCCTCTCTCGCCACAGAACGGGCCTTACCTTATCAGCTTTTCTTTTGTACAATATGTGCACGCGCACAACAGGCTCGCCGTTCAGCCGTCTTGCACGTCGAATCCACCGATCCCACTGACCGGTGAAAGGCATGTACTCGCTCTCTGAGCTCGACGGAGCGCAACTGCCTGGGACGTTGCAGGCAACCGATTGAAGAGGTTCTATACTAGGCAAGATTTGGAGAGAACTGGCCAGATGCTGCCAGATCTGGACGACGAAGATGATTCGATATTGTGTTTCTAGCCGACGAGGCTCTACGTGCTCTACTCAGTGCTATTTGATATCCTCCGCGAGGTGCTCGGCGCGCACAACAAGCCAACGCAGCGAGCTCTGTTCCTTTAGCAAAACACCATGCGCACTCCCAACGGTACGCGCGGTCGCTAGCCTCAGTACACCTACCTTATGAGTGTAGCCAACTCCACCCACTTCAGAAAAATATTCCAGAAACTTGTCGTCGACGGAGGCCCTGAAAATAAGTCTCTCACGAACGAGCTTGCGGACAGATACAATATTCGGCGTGTGGTGGTGTCAGGATATCATCCACCAGTAAATGGAATGGTGGAAAGGGGGCACAAACCTATGGTAGACGCTCTTAGTAAAATATCAAAAGGAGGAAAGAAATGGCTCAACCACTTATATGCTATGCTGTGGGCAGACCGAACCACGGTGCGTACAAGCACAGGAATGACGCCGTATGAAGTTGAGTACGCGGATCGTCCAATTCTGCCCATTGAACTTGATGTTTCAACCTGGAATGTCATGGACTGGGATGAGGTCAAATCCACGGAGGACTTGCTCGCCACGAGAGCGAGAGCGCTCGAGAGAAGGAAGACCTCGATGAAGCACGTCTCCATCTTCGGAGGATGCGAGAGCGCGTGGTAAGGTGCCACGGTCTGTTTTTCCGCGAAAGACGGTTAAGAATTCTTTAAGGGGTCCTTGGTGGGCGAGGATCTCATGGAATAGAAGTCCATTTCGAAAGTCACCAGTACAAGAACATCGACAATGATGAAAACGTCTATACAGAAGCACCCAAAAATCCGCGCCTCCCCAAATCTTGTAACCTTGTACCCTTCCCACTCGTCTAACCGATGACTGTGTTTCTGATCCTCGCGTACCATCCTGGTCCGACTTTTTCTTCCTCATTATTCTCCAGCCAGTCTCTTCTTCCACTAGTAAGATCTGCTTCGGCAGGAATGATCCATTTGGTTTCTGTGGAATCATACGAGTTAGCAAGAGTTGCTTCTTCCTCCGCGTGCCAAACACCCCAGAAGATCAACTTACTGTGCCAGAGCTTATATCCCAGATAGAGGATAATGAAGAGCGGGATGACGAGATAGGAAAAGACGAAGCCCTTGACATCGAAGGGTGTGAGGATGGTGGTGTAACCCGAGATGAGCACCAGGAAGATGTTGGCGCCGAACAGGATCCAGGCGACGTAAGGATACCCCCAGGCGACGAACGGGAGCGAGGACGTGGGCATGTTCTGTGCCTTCATGGCGGCGCGCATGCGCACGTGGGTCAGACCGATGAATGCCCAGGCGATGAAGGCGGCGGCGCCCGAGATGTCCAGCAGGTATGTGAAGACATCGCCGGCGTTTTCGGAGATGTTCAACAGAGAAATCAGGCCAAACAGGTTGGACAGGACGATGGCGTTGACGGGGACGCCCCGGGAGGTGGTCTTTGCCAGGAATCGTGGGGCGCGGCCGACCTTGGCCTGGGCATAGATGCAACGACTGGCGATGTAGATGGCCGAGTTGATGGACGAGAGCAGCGTGACGACGATGATGGCGTTGATGAGGTTGCCGGCGCCGCCCCAGCCGGCCTGCTCGAGGGCCACCGTGAAGGGGGAGGACGCGGATTTGGAGGTCGCGCTGAGCAATGCGGTCGAGTCCGACGGCACGATTAACCCCGTGAAGAAGACCATGCCGATGTAGACGATCAGAATGCGCCAGAAGGTCTGCTTCAGGGCCCGCGGGATGTCCTTTTTCGGGTTGCGCGACTCGCCTCCCGTGATGGCCACGGCCTCGGTGCCCGAGTACATGACGGCCGCGAGCACCAGGACCTTGCCGAACCCGTTGATGCCGTTGGCGAACGGGCCGGGGTCCGACCAGTACCGGAACCCGATGTAGTCGCCTCCGATGGCGCCGGTGTCGAGCAAGCTGTTGGTTTTGTCAGCACAGATCCTGTGTAGGGCATTTAAGGGGGTGGAGTGACTGCTACTTACATGGCCACAAGATAGAGGGCGAGGGTGACTGCAAATTTGAAGCTCGCCAGCCAGAACTCCATTTCTCCGTAGACCAGAACTCCGAGCAGCGACGTGCCCATGAAGAACGCCCAGCAGATGAGAATCCACGCATAGTTGGGCAGTTTGGTCGTCCAGTAGGTCAGGATCAAGGCCGCTCCGTTGTATTCGTTGGCAAGAATCGTGATCTGGATTTTTATTAGTGAGCGAGCGAGAGAGAGAGAGAGAGATTTCTCTGTAAAGGGGTAAGGCAGGGCAAGGCAAATTTCTTTTCTATGGGAGACTATTACTCACCCACATATACCAGTAATTCCAGCCGAGGGCGAAGCTGAGCGCGGGATCGACGAAGCGGCCGGCAAACTCGTTGAAGGCGCCCGTCGACGGGAACAGCGTGGCCATCTCCCCCAGCGACTGCGTGACGAACCACACGTCCACCCCGATGATGATGTACCCGATCAACGCACCCACGGGACCCGAATAGCGGAGCGCGAATCCCGTCGCGTAGAACGTGCCGGGCCCAATGACCCCGCCGAGCGCGATCATCAGCAGATGGCGAGACTTGAGCGCCCGACGCACGCCGTCGTCGATGATGTCGCCGCCGCCGCGGACCTCGGTGATCTCTCCATTCGCAGATTCAATGGTCGGTTGTTCCGCCGTGGCATTGATGTTCATGTTTTTGCCCTCCTCCATGGTCGTAGCCTTCCCGTTCCGAGGATGATGACGGGAGGAGTGTCTGCTCGGTGCTTGTCCAGGTAGAGGATAGTAAATCCCCCGGTGAAAGACTGAAAGCAGTACAGTAGTGGAATGGGAAATGTATGGGAACCAGGAATTCACATCGACTGCCACATTACATGCCAGTGCGGGAATGAAGGATTCTCAGCTCCTTTTACCTCTTTATGAAAGAGAGCGGCCCCCTTTTAGTAGGGGCGCATCTTCCCACATGGCCGTCCGGTGTGGTGTTCGTTATCTTGAAAGGTCCAGATTGACGCCTTTTCGGCCGTGGACAATCATGTCGACCACTTGGCCACCAAGTCTGATAGAAGCTGGGGTAGGCCGTCGCCGACCGTTCGCCGAGATAGAGTTAGTGCCTCCGAAAATGTGCGATGGATGTGCGATGGATGTGCGGTGGCCTATTACCTTCTAGTAGGAAGTATGTTTTGGTATGGAGTGGATTCCCGGATTCTCTGGTGGAGCTTCTTTATCGGACATGCCAGTGCGAGCCAGCAATCTTGGAAATGCTTTGCAAAAGGCTGATAGTGGCTGATCATATGCAAGACGGAGACGACACAAAGGTCAGTGATATGGTTCCCATAGATAGCAGCATGTCATTATCACGCCTTCAGCTTTGAACATTAACGAATGGTAGGTGAGAAAGAAGAGTCGTTAAGCGTTCTTTTTTTAAGGTTGCGAGATAACATTCATCACTATTTTAATGTTTGAGTTCAGATGAGGTACTCCATCTCACAAAAATCAATCTCTTCAATCGCTCCGAATGTAATCTCATACCCGACTTTCGAGTGCAAAAGATGCCACCTTGGTAACCAGATACTCCTCGACGGCGACGTCTTTACCGGCTTCCTTGCCATAGCCAGATTCTTTGATACCCCCGAAAGGAGAATCTGCTGCAGATATAGAGCCTGTAAGACATACATCAGTAACTTTGGTAGTTGACGCTTGCATGGAGAAGAGTCTTACTGGTATTGAGCCCGATCATACCGGCCTCCAGATCCTCCACTAACCTGAAAGCTCGGTCGATGTTCTTGGTGAAGACATACGAGGCCAGACCCATCTTTGAAGCCATGACATTAGCGATGGGGTCGTAGTACAATATATGGCGATGGAATGGTACTCACACTCGTGTCATTCGCGGCTTCAATGGCTTCTTCCTCCGTCTCGAACCTGTATAATGTCACAATTGGTGCAAATGTCTCTTCCTGAGTGACACGCATTTCCTTCGTGGCATCGAGGATGATGGTGGGCTGGAAAAAGAAACCAGGCATATCTTTAACTCTGTCACCACCGAGAGCTATGCTAGCTCCGTGCTTTCTGGCATCCTCCACCTGTGAGCGAGCCCTGTCGAGACTCTGTGGAGTGGTGACGGGTCCCATTGTCGAAGACGGGAGGCTGCCGTGACCAACGACGAGCTTGGCAGTCCGTTCCATGAGGATCTCTGCAAACTGGTCATATACATCGCTTTGTACGTATACCCGATTCGCACTGATGCAAGCTTGTCCGGCGTTACGCCACTTGAGGTTCATGAGTGCTACGAAATTCATGAGTGAGATGCCTCCAGTATCAGGGAACGACCCATTTCCTCTTACCGTCGGCAGCCTGGACTAGGGACGCATCTGAGAAGATGATAAAAGGACAATTCCCTCCCAATTCAAGAGCCACCTTTTTCATCCCATCGGTGCATAATTTCGCGATCAATTTCCCTATTCGGGTCTATGAACAACACGATCAGGGCGCCATGTCTCGGTTGGCAAGAACTCTTGTGACTTACAGAACCAGTGAAGGTGACTTTCCTAACAAGCGGATGGTGACAAAGAGCTTCGCTCACTTCGGGCGTGTTCTTGAGACTCGTTGGCAAGACATTCAAGACTCCCTTAGGAAACCCGCCCTCTTCGGCCAACAACGCCAGCGTCAGCACAGACAGGGGTGTCTCGGGCGACGGTTTGATCATCATGGTACAGCCAGCGGCGAGCGCAGCACCGGCCTTTCTCAAAATCATACTGTATAGCAAACAGTCAACGTCGATAATGACGACTTGTGTTGAGGCAAGCCACTCACGCGACTGGATAGTTCCACGGGACCAGCGCAGCGGCAACGCCGATGGGCTGCTTGACCGTCATGACTTTCTTTCCCGAGACGGAAGAGTCGAAGGCGGTGCCATGGATCCTTTCGGCCTCGCCGGCGAACCACCACGCCGCACTTTGAGCGTAATCGATCTCGAATTGAGCGTCGGTGATCGGCTTTCCCGTCTCGTACGTCACGATTTGGGCCAGGTCGTCCCGGTGCTCTCGTATGAGACTGCCCCATTTCAACAGACATTGGTAGCGGAAAAGGGGACTGAGTCTTCTGTAGCCGAGGAACGCCCGGTGGGCAGCCTGTACGGCCTCTTCAACATCAGAAGCGTCGTTGTCTGGTGCAGTGGTCCACGGCTGGCCGGTGCCAGGATCTATGTATTGAGGTCAAAACCGTTATGCATACTATTAATTAATCGGGAGCTTTTTGACTAACCGATCACATCAAATCGTTTCCCCGATTTCGCTTCCAACCAGGCTCCATCGACCAGAGATTTGTTCTGGAACAGCGCAGGTTTGTTCAACTGCAGTTTGGGAGTGAGATATAGCACGTTGTCGACGGCCGCCGACGAGTTCTTTTGATAGTAGTACCTTGAATGTCGGTTGTTCGCCCATTTTATTCCGTGATGGCCCTGGGTCAATGATGATACGACTGACTTTGTGGTCTTTTGTGTTCTGGGAAGCTAGTCATTCTGGGACCGAAAGACAAAGAGCTCAGAATTCAGACTCTTATCGTTGGCCGGAGATCTATCCTTTCAAGAGACTGAAAGATTTACAGAGCCCGGGTTCCATCACAACAAGCGTTAGTAGGCGGGGATGACACTCCGTTGGCTCTACTCGGAGGACATCTATCATTCTGGCGGAGGCGGTTCCGGAGAGAATTGTTAGCCTTGTTTCCTTATTGTTCGAGATCTCACTTGTAGAACATCAGATACTATTGAAGACATTGGATGGCATGTGTGTGAAGGCGAGACGTGGTGGGGCTCAAGTATCTCATTTTCGCCGATATTGATGCCGCCACTATGGTATGGCATCGGGGCTCAGTCCGATGAGACCACGATAAGCACGCGTCGTTGAACTCGACGTGCCGGTGGGTCCCCTTAGCTATCATTTTTACATACGTATCATTCGCAGAGCCAAGAGGCCGATTGATGCGCATGGCGTGTTAGTGGTGCTGCTCCACTCTGGGCGGGAAGCCGATGAGAAAGATCCATTACTGGCGAACTGGGTTGGTCTGGCCAAGCTGGCAGCATAGCTGTGGTCGTTTTGTACCACAGCGATGGAGTAGAAGACTTCTCTCCAGGAAACCCACGATGAGTGCATTATCATGAGTTTGAATCGGCCTCATGCTCCCCTAGTGGCGCTATCCCTCGGATAGTGCTCCATTCCCTCAGCAGGGCAGGAGAGGTCTCAAATCTGACAAGCCATGCCTTCCCTCGATGTTGAGGCCACCACCGTCCCTTCCTCCAAGCAACCAAAACCTCTTGCGTGTCGACGATGCCGACATCGAAAACAAAAGGTGAGGATGACATGAAGGAGACTCAGGGACCCCCGTCCTGATCTACGTTTTGCAGTGCACCGAAGCCCGGCCCTGTGAGAACTGCGTTCAGTCAGGAAATGGTATGATACCACGAAGAAGACAAGTTTCCCTTGTAGTCAATCAGCACCCTCCTGACACAAGGAACAGAATGCATGCCCTCTGAGCCAGCCGCTTCTTCTTCCGGCAGACCGTTCCCAGAGCCAGGGTCTGTTAGCCTATATATATCCGGGATGACAAGTGGCTTGTTTCAAAATTCATGCTTACTTGGCTATACAGCTATGTCGAACGACTGGAAGAACGCGTGGCACAACTTGAAGCTCTCATTCCTCGAGAGAGCCTCGATCATCTGAACGTCGCCGAGAAGAACCCCCGTGATAAGACGCGATCGGCGATACCCTCACACACCCAGGCTCAGGTAAGATCATTGTAGCCGTGCCCTGAAGCCAATCTTGGTCATCAGCATGTGCGGATACTACAACGAGTGGGAGCATTGACTCTCTCCATGTTTTCTTAGGAGCCTCTGCCTTCAACCCACATCGCACAGCCTTACTACTTATTAGGTGAGAGCGTAGGTGGCCCAATCGAAGCCACCACTACAGCGCCTCCGGTCACAAGCATTACAAATAACAGCTGTTCTGCCAATGTCGTCCATGATACAGACCTTTTCGGCACACTGTCCGGCATTTGGCCGAATCAAACTCTGGCCGTGCCAGACGTTCCGGAACTGGGCGAAGACTTGGAGCGGTTCTTGATCCAGACCTATTTCGACATGGCTCACACCCAATATCCCTTCCTGGTCAAGCACGAATTCATGCAATGGGCCGAGTCGTGGAAAGCCCACAAAGATTCTCTTCCTCAAGCATTGAGATGGAAAGGCTTCTTCGTGAATATGGTGGGCCTTCCAGCAGAATCCCCGCTCTGTATACAGCAAAGTGGTCAAACGCTGATGAAACTCTTTTGTCAAAGGTTTTTGCCATTGCTTTCCTCATGACCAAAGCTCGGATGAATGGGCCAGTCAGATCACAGGTGAGGCAGGCCCTCAATCAATCAATCATGCCCTCCAAGTCAAGCACCCCAATTAACAGGCAATCATTGTCAGGCTTTCTACAACGTTGCTACAACAAAATATCTACCTTTTCTAACAACATGGGCCAACCCCGTTGTCAAAGCTCAGGCATATCTCATTCTCGCGCTCTATGCTCTTCATATGCCGTCCACCGAGAACATCATTGCCTTGTCCTCGTGGACCATCCGATACTGCGTGATGGCACAACTTCACCTGGCGGAAACCGAACCCGCACCTGTCAGCCGTGACGCTCAGATCCAGATCCAAGTCCGTCGGAGAGTCTTCTGGTGTGCCTACACTCTCGATCGCGCCGTCTGCAGCTCGTATGATTTCCCGTGTTGTGTTCCGGATCACCATATCACGGTAGCGGTGAGTACTACTGCACACTTAGTTCCGGAAAGTTGCTTGTGCTGACCAATGACGCAGAATTTTGCCAACGTTGACGACGACGAACTCTTTGTAGTCGCCTCGTCGCTGGCGCCTGGCTCGCAGATGGTCGGGTCCAGTGGCGTGACGAACGTGTCTTCGGCTCTCCACATCTTTGCCGGTCGCAAGATCGAATCCGAGATCCAAGAGGTGACGCTCGGCAAGGATTTCGTGCCACATTCGGAGGAATCTTTCCGGTGGCGGTCGACGGTGCTGGACAAACTGAAAGAGTGGGATCGACTTTCCAAGGCGTCGTCGGACCTCTCGCAGAAGGGGTACGTGAGCCTGCCCTGGCTGAGCATGATCTACCACTACAACCTGGTCACGCTGTACCGGCCCACGACGAGGGCGATCGTCCGCGGGATCGCCGGCGACTGGTCCGTCCAGGCGTGCAGCCAGGCGCTGTTGTTGTTCCGCAAGTTCCAGATGGCCCGGGAGATCGCCCAACCCTGGCTGGGCTTGCTCACGCAGTTCCAGATCGGCGTCACGCTGTTATACTGCTTCTGGGCCACCCCACCCCAGCTTTGGAGGGACTCCTACCGGTCGGCCGACGTGCCAGACGCCGTTCGGGCCTGTTCGAGCACACTGGCCATCTTCGCCGAGCGCTGGACCGAGGCCGAGTGCCTGCGCGACGTCTTCGAGACCCTGGCCCGCGAGATCCCGCTCGGCGAGTCGTGGCCCCGACCCAAACGCATGACGCCCGCTGGCGTCGCCACTGTCGAATCCAGCCTCCCCCACACGACCCAGGTCGTCGTCCACCGTCCTGTCCTGCGCATGATCCGCGAGATGGCCACCGAAGACTTTCCCGTCGACGATCGTCCCGTGATGCAGGAAATGGACTTGGACGACGACAACCCTCCGCCTTCGTCCGCCATTCCTGCTCTTGCTCCTGGCGATGATGATGGCGGCGGCATGGGCCTCCAATGGGCGGAGCACAGCTTCCCCGGTCCCGATCACAATTGGAACGATATGCCAGCGTTCCTCAACGACGATTTTATGTCGAGTTATGAACCATTCCATTATAAAGATATATGATGAAGCTTTCACAGCTGTTTCTATGAATGTGTATGTGTGTGTGAGACAGAGATTCAGCTTTGTTTCAGACAGTCAGGCCACCAAAAGAGGTCCATCAAGCCACAGCCCCACGTCTTCTTGTTCGCCCTATCTACCTCTCTAAAACATCAAATTCCCATACTTTCGTCAATCACAACTTGGAGTCCTTTGGCTCACAGCAACCACTCCGTTCCTCGTATAGGACGCTGTGGTTGGTTCGCTGAGTGCTCTGCGGGACGTCGAGGGCCGGGTTCTGTTCGAAGAAGCCGCTGGGCTTCAGGCTGACCACCATGGTATCACAGGGCATGACGGGATAGTCCTCCGGGCGAGGGTTGTGGGTCAAACTGATCGAGTGCCACAGGACAATATCCTCGTTATCGACCTTGTCCCCGCGGGCAGCCCAGGTGCCGACGTCGCCCGCCTTGCCGCCGACCTCCTCTGGCAGTGACTGGTAGGTGTAGTCGCCCGCGGCGTAGAGTTCGCCGTCTCGATACGAAGTGACCCAGAACGGCTGGGTGGCGTACTTGGCGCGTCTGGCGTGCCACGACCCCGGGTGAGCCAGGAGCATCTGCTTCGGGGCGCTGTGGATGGCGTACGCCACGGGATGCCCAGTCACCTTGTTGATAACGGACGGGTTGAGGATCTTATGCACCCGGTTAGGAGCGGCGGCCGACGGCCCCGATGTCGGCACGACGTGTTTCTTGGTCACGTAGCCGACGCCGACAGGGTTGTTCTCATCCAACGGCATAGCGACCGAGTCCTCCTCCATAAAGCTATTCCCGTCTCCGTCGATACAAGGATCGATTCGTAGGGCGAAACAATGCTGGTGAAATGGAGCCATAACTCCGTCGTTGACATTCGTTCCCCAGGGAACCTGGTGCCCAGGGGCGATAGGCACTGTAGAGAGAATACCAGTAGCCTGGATCCTATAATGGAGACCAGCGGCTTGGTCGAGGTGCCACATAAAGATATACTCGTAGTTACCAACCGTGATGATCGTCTGTAGGACAAGGACGCGAGATCGTGTAATAGATACCGTCTGAGTGGCACTATTTGTGTGTTTCCAGCCTATACCGTCGTCGATTTCATGCATACATATCGCATTGGGCCTTTCGACCACTTTGCCATTCGAATCGCTAATGGCGAAGGAGAAGTACTAAAAATGGAGAGAAGCTCTGGTTAAGGAACAGTACAAGTGGGTGGAGAGAAGAACAAGGAGGAGGAAAACACACCTTGATCAGACCCAAGCAGTCACAGCCCAGGGCCAGATTGTTGGCGGCAACACCGGCGCCGACGTCGCCAACGTCGAAGACGCTCTTTCTCGAATACGGCGTCCTCGGATCGCCATACGGGACAAACATTTCACTCAGGCTAAGACGGTGGAAAAGCTCGCGGCCATCGTAGGTAACGTCGTGGAGGATCATACCCTCGCGCCAGTTAAAGCCGACCCGGAAGCGCCACTTCTGCCAGGTCACCAGGTAGCCGTCGACCTTAAAGGAGGCGCCTAGCGGCTGGTGTACGGTAAGCGGTTTCAGGTCGGTCCGCTTCGCTTCGGTCTGTAGGTCGTGGTGCCACTCCTTAGGGGTGTGCGGGATGTACTTGAAGTCCGGGTCGATGGAGTGGTCTGAGCCGACTGGCAGACGCACAATATCGACGAGTTCCTTGGTGATATAGTCGACGATAGGCGAGAAGGGCAAGGGGTGGTCGTAGGCATTGGAGCCCGGGTGCGAACTGTCCCTCGCGTACAAGTAGCACTGTGCCTGGCGCTGGTCGCGCTGGTCCGAGTCGCGCCCGTACGGCCAGGTGTCGCAGACGACGGTGAAGTGGGCTGGCAGACCGTAGCGTTCGATCTCCTCCCGGACCCGCGGGTGCCTGAGGCAGGCGTCCCGGACCTCGATGACTTCGTCCATGTCGGCCTGGCCGTGGTACCGACCGTCGACTTGGACGGCTTTCTCCAGCTTCTGCGCGTCCAGGTCGACTGTCGCGAGGAACAAGTCGGCCGTGCCGCGGTGGTAGTACAGCGACGAGGCGCGACGCACCAGTTTGGGCCCGACCAAGCCATTTCGCTCGGCTACGAGGAACTTTCGCAACTGCTTCCTCGGCGGCTCTACTAGAGTAATGTTCTTGAAGTGCACGCTGTGGTCCGGGTTGGCGTTCTTGATCAGCATCGACGTGATGGCAATCTCCGCCGGCGTCAAGGGGTCGAGAGGATGCATGGGTTGTGATCTGAGAGCCTGAGGCTCGTAGTGAGACAAAGAAACAGAAAACGAACAAACTGTACCACTGACTCTTTGAGGAACTGAACCACAATAACAGATGACTTGTCAATGACCCAGATCCAAGTGCTTATGTACCTTATCATTCTTCAGAAGATATGGCCCTACCTTAGGTCAAAGCCAAGAGGGGCTCACTCATAGGCCAGGCCAACAAGCGCTATGCCGTGGGTTGTGGGGTTTTCGGAGCGTCGCCATGCTTCACCCCGATAGTGGCCGTCGGGGGCTCACCACGCCGACGGAGTACTCCGTAAGAAGATCTTCTTGACAGGACTCGTGAGCATCAGAATATATACCTAGGTAGTAAGCAGGCGATGCAGACAGGGCTGGGGCACTTCCTACCTGCCCCTTAGTAGGCAGGTAGGTATGTACATGTACTTTAGGTTAGGTGGATTTCTGTGCTCATCTTGTCGGCAAGATAAGAATACGACTTATCGATTGGTCAATCGGAAGCTCTATCACGTGGTCTAGAAAGGCCTGGCGTACGGAAGCGAGTTTATCCGGACGTCTTCGCTCCTGCCGAGTATTCTCCTAGGCGCCTACTATCCTTCTCCTTGCTATACTTGGTTTACTCTGCTAATAGCTCTTTCCTGAGTGCGCTATGGATTGTTCCGTTCTGTGAGTCTTTTGTCGAACGCTCTATACTACATAGGTAGGTAGAGACCCCTAATCTGTGGGTGAATAACGTGACCGTGTCACGTGCCAGCCGCCGCCTGAGATGCTGGTTACGTATACGGCCGGGGCATGAAAGCGGGCCGGAGGCAGCGGAAAATCCAATGCCGGTCACAGCAGTCGTATCGTATTATTACCCAATTGTACAGATTGCGACGCCGGGGCCGAATAATACGGGAAGTTAAACCTGAATTGTACTTTGGCAGGCTGGTCGCAGCCGCGGCCACAATCCACGTTATGCCTCTATACAAAGGTGTCCGTCTGTAAAGCTACCTACCCTCAGCAGAGCCCAGGACAGAGCAGAACACCACCAGACAACCCAGTTCCTCACGAGTGAAGTACCTATCCGTGTATCTCCTAGGCTGTGCAACCTCTCTACCGCCAATACTCATCTGCGACTCAGCGACCACATCCCACCAGCCTTCAGCGCGCAAGTCGTCATCCTCTCGCGATTCCAAGATCGACCGATACCATCGACCAATTGTGGCAGAACCGCGAAAGCCACTTCTCTTCTCACTTCGACTCGAACCCTGTCTCTGCTGTTAAGACTGAGCCTTAGGTCGCGTCATACTACACACTGAATAATGCAGTCGCGACAAGATTCACAGTAGCCAGCCCGCCTGCCATATGACGGCGCGATCAATCCCTCTCCCGCACACCACTCACCATGAGCTCTCTTCTTCACCCTATCCATAGCGCGAGCCAGAAGTGTCGTCCGAAACATCAAGTCCTTGTCTTGAAGTGTTATCCCAAATACCAGAAAACCGTGCAGGAAGTCAAGCCCAACTCGTCCGAACTGAGCTACCTGCTATACTATGCGAGTACGCGACGACACAAGCTTCAGAAAGTGGGAGCCTTTTTGGAGAAGAAGAATGCCAGCGACGTTTACAAAGGAAGACTCGGGTACGATATCTGACTTCTCTCCCCTCTTGTCGGGACCCTACTAATTGCGCGCAGAAATGTTCAGGTCACTCTTCAAATCCTCAGTGCCATTATCGACAAGGCTCCCCGCGATCTCTCTCTCTACTCCCGCTCGGTCCTGACGATCCTGGACTCCGTCCTCCGCTCCAAAGATGTGAACATGGTGGAAGAGACCATACCAACGTTTGAAGCCTATTGCAAACATGTCGATGCCGCATCTTTCAATGCGGATCAACAACGGGCCCAACAATACTTGTCCATCGTACAACTCTATGCCAATTACGCGGCCAAGTCCAAGCCCGTCGACAAGAAGGCTGGCGACTCGATCCCGCTTTCTATCAGATGGCGGACGGTTGGACTGCGCGCTCTACGTGCGGTCGTGGCGTCGGAGGCGCTCGCTACTGAGTCGGCTCGACAGCTCAATATGGTCATGCCGGTCATTCTCGAGAACTTGTCGCTAGATGAAGAGAACATTCTGGCCACGCTGCAACAACGGGCCACAACCAGTGAGAGGCTGGACGATGAGCTTGCCCGACGGCGGCGCACGAGTCTCACAACAGTCACCACGGTGGATACGGTTGATGGGGACCCAGCTACGGCCGTCGAAACCACTGCCGGAGCGGATAAAGTTGCTGAGGAGGAGGTCAGAGCATTGGCTCTGAGATGCTTAAAGCAAATATTCTCTGTCGGAATCGGTAGCACCAGAGGTCAAACTCGCTTGGCCACCGCTTTGACCTTGAAATTCATCGTCTCCAAAAGCCCGCCTCAGCTGACGTCGCAAAAGGCAAACGAGGGTACCTGGGCGACCTCCTTGTTCGAGACCATCGCAAGATGGACACCTGTGCAGGATCGTTTCATCATCGTGCTAACGGCTATGGAAACTCTCGTACGCACCCCTATCACGGAAAGCTCACTCGAGAAACAATTGGTCCTCGCCACGATGATTGACTGGCTCTTGAGCTCCAATGTGAATCTGATTGGGCTGAGTGTGATGGATGTTCTGCTGGGACTGATCCACCATATGCTACTGCTGCTCCAACTGGGTGTCTCCAACACTCGAATCATCACACCTCAGCGCAACGATACTATAGGCATTTTTCGTGAGGTCAAGGAGGCTTTCGATCCCAGCACAATCGTTACCGGAACCGAAACAAGCCGCGCTACCCCTAAGGCCGAACTGACAGCATCGCCGTTTCGGCAATCGCTCTTGCTAAAGCTTCAAGATTGTATCGCCTCGCTGTCCAATCACATCTACTACACCGACCAGATCACAGACATGCTCACAGCAATTCTGGCCCGGTTAAAGCCCTCCCCTCAATCAGATGTTCCCACTTCTGCGGCAGCCATCAACGATCCAGCCGCCGCAGCAAAGGCGATCGCAGAGTCAGCAAGCATCCACGAGGACCCTAATACATCTACATTCTTTTCCTTCCATACCGCGAGGCTCACAGCCATGCAAGTCATCAAAAAAATCCTGGTTCGTGCTAATAGCAAGCACAGCACTAAAAACGGCGCAATTGAAGCACGTGCTCGTGTCGGAATACAAGTTTGGGAAGGCACACAATGGCTCCTGAAGGATGAGAAGAAAGACGTCAGATTCGCCTACGTCGATGCGCTTTTGACCTGGCTCAAGCTGGAGACCAATAAAAACGACATGTTCCTGCCTAGGGATGGTTCCAGGAAGCCTTCACAGAGTAAGAAGAACACACAGCTGGCGGGCGAGGTCAACATGGCCAAAAGAGCCGTCTCTGGTGCGTCTCGGAGAGAGACAAAGCCACCGCACTCAAACTTCCTGGCCCTGCTGCATCTCGCCATCTATGACGGCTTTCTGGACGACGCCGAGGATGAGCCCAACATTCTTCTGCTATATCTGTTGTTGGCGAACCTGGTAGAGCGTCTCGGGGTGAATGCGGTCCGAAGTGGATTGCCGATGATTCTTAAGCTGCAGGAGACAGCTCTGAACGCGCAGGTGCTCTCCACGACGGGAAGAGTCAACGTAGCAACTGTGGTCCATGGGTATCTATGGACTATTGCCGAAAAGTTCGATTTTGGGACGAGCGCCGTTAGCCTCGAAATCAATGCGGAGATTTCCCGGAGAAAGCGGTTTGGGGTGTGGTTCGACAAAATCAAGTTTCCTGCCTTATCCATCAGGGAAATCCGCAAATTTCCATCAGTGAACGAGAAAGCCGCAGAGTATATTGGAGACGCCGTCGAGACGATCAAGCCTTTCTTGTCTGTGTCTGCTTTGGTTGACGAAATTGCAGCGTCCTACGACAATTCTCTCCTCACTCCGCCAGCCTCACCACCTACTTCTCCTGGTCGCCTCTTCTCTGTGCCGACGCTGGGGTTTGGCTACGGGTACGGAACTGCTCCCGCCCTCAAGCCGTCGAAAGAGGCCCGGCTACCACAAAAAGTCAAGGATGAGATGAAGGCGGGCTGGAGCAGAGATGCATGTATCGCTGCTATCGAGAAGGAAAATGCTGCTTCCATGACAGGCTCACGGACAGGCGCTTCCTCCGTCCCGAGAAATCATCTCCATGTGAACGGCGTTCGCAAGCGCGGGTCTGCAAGTGGCCAAGAGTCCCCCGTCAACGCCAATGGCAACACAACCCCTACATATGGACTGGTTAGCGGCTTGGGAAGTTTGACAAGAACTAGAAGACCAAGTGCCAATGGGTCGCCGGCAAGAGAGCCTACAGCTTCTAGCCGAGATTCCACCATGAGAGTCAGCGATCTCAAAAGAGTGCTCTCTGGTTACGCTGCGGGCGCCAGACAACAAAGTCCTCTCCGGCGAGCTTTAGCTGGGTCTCGAAGAAGTAGAAGAAGCAGTGGGACAAGCAGTATGGTCAGTTGGGACGAGGCCGACGACCGTGATGGTTCAGTCCTGGCCTTCCAATCAGGAGGGAGTCAAGCTGGCGCGGACAGCCAGGCTACAGATACAGGCTCTCGCCCACAGACCTCAAAGTCAAACAACCTTGCTGCCGCGCAAGTGACGGAGACTACAGATAGTGGCAACACCCCTCCGACCGGTGCCAATTTCTATGATCAGGTCACCAGTGATATTCCGCCTGTGCCTAAGATCCCTTCCACCCTCAATCTCCCCGGGACTTGGCCTCGGGATGCTTCGCCTGCCCGAGCTGCCGATTCGTCAAAAGACGAGGCCTCTTTGGGGCCACAAGAAGCTGGCATGACTCCTCGATCGCAGAAGACGACAAACAGCGGGCGGTCCCCTCGAGCTGGACGAGGAAAGCAGGAATCGCTGAGGACATCCCGGCCTACCAGCAGGAGGAGTCTTGTGGCGCCGTCGTTTGCCTCGAAAGATAAGTTCGACCTGGATTCTTTGCTGGCTGGAATTCCCTCAGGTGGCGTTAATGGAGGGCCGGACAAGGAAAATAGGGGGAGTCGCTTAATACGGCCGCCTTATTAGCGCTCGGGCAGGATCTCGGTCGGATGCTGTCCGTAGCAGCTTCAGCCCATGCCCTGGCTGACTGTACATTAAGGACAAATAGGATCTTGGGGATTTGTGTACAGAGTAAAGCCATAGAGGCACGTACATAATGTAATTTCTGAACCAAGCCGGAACTGATCGATTGTGAACCGAGCAAAGTCCGCATCGCTCTCCTGTGCCTTAGTCTCCATGGTCGATTATATTTCCATTCAACAACTCTTCTCCCGTTGATTCCCAGCGGCAGACTGTTATAAATGGGTGCAGAGAGCAAAGGGTCGAGAAATCAGAAGTCAAAAGACAGCCGGGGACAGAGCAGATAAAGCGGCATGATCAGTCACAGTAAGCATTCCTCATTGGGAAAGGCTTGGCCAATGAGCTTAAAGGCGGCGAGTTGGGCCAACAGCAACTTGAAGATCGCGATATTGTACAATTCATTCGTCTGTGTTCGACCTAGGTTCTACAAATCAAGTAAACGGTGGCCTCACATTGGTCATTGATCATGATGACTGTGACGACAGATCGTTCACGATGGATGCAAGTCTCTGCCTCTTATCCACGGAACCCCCTAGCATGACCAATCGATTGATCTTGAGCTGGCAATGAACTATCCAAGATCTCAGATCACTTAGGGAGCATGCGTGATCCAGTCCATACGGTGGGCGACCTATGAAGAAGAATACGAATCTTCCAATTCTCCGCTGCGAGGAACTACCTCAACCATGGCAGTATCGTCCGGACCGGACGTGGTCGACCCGATCAAGGCATCGACTCTCCTCAGCCTTGAAGGAGGAGGATCGCTGCGACAACCAGCCACTACCACACCACCAAACCCAAGAAACCGAGAGATTCGAATTGATGGATTGAACAATAGACTGGCAGCCGTGTGGACTGGTGGTAGGGTGGTGGGTGTGGGCTCGTCCGGTCTCAATGAGGATGATGTTGGTCAAGAAAAGGTGAGCGGCACAATTCCCTACGCCCAGCTTCAACAGGGCCTGCCTCCCTGAATAGCAAGACCTGAGCAACTGACTGTGTGTTTGTGGTATGCAGACCTTGCTAAGCCTCCATATTGTTGCTGCTACGCTCCTGGGCGATCATGCCCGCCGTCAATACACCAATCGTCAGTTTTCGATCAATGCGTCAGTTCCTCTACCGCCATTGCCGCCCACTGTGTACACGGTTGTGCCTCACACTTACCAGACCATTCCTCTTCTGCATGCGTTACTGGCCGAGAAGCTCTCCGACTCTGCAACCGCTGTTGAACTTCTGAAAGACGTGCGCTTACTCCAGTACTTCGATTTCGCCGGTTTGGCTGAAGCCCTTAGCGAGGTCAGTGAAGAGATTTTCCAACGAGTCAACAGCGGCAGCAAAGAAACCTCCAATGGCAAGGTCAGGGATGTTGTACTAGTCCAAGGTCTTGGGCATGCAATTTCAGCCATCCAGCGAAGAAGTGGACTTGTACAGGCAAACGCACTTCTTGCCGGTCTCGTGCGAAACATCACCCAGCTTTCGCGGATGTCGCCCAATGTACTCGTCCTTGTAGATGTTAGTGTGGAGACTGGCTGGCCAGCAAGCGGAGAAGCAAGACAGGATGCTGCCAAGTCGAAGAGACACATTGCTGGCATTGAGCTTGACTCTGCCTTTGCCAGTTCTTTTGGGGAATGTTTGAGGATGATCTGTGGGCATGAAACCCTGTCAAAGACTTTAGATGTGGCATTCGACACAATGGTCGTGGTGCATGATGGACTCGGGAGAGCCGATGGAGCAGTAAGAGCCCGGAAGAAGGCCGGCCGACGCATTGTTGAGATCACGAAGGATAGAATGGGCGACTTGTCGGGTTTCTGGGGGATGTGGTCACTGAATGACCCCTGAACGACAGTCGAGCAGCTCTCATCCCAGTCATCACAATGGAGTTCGCCTTTCAAGCAAGTGATCGTCTCTACAGTTGGACACAGCCCAGCTCGACCTTTCCACAGTTACGTCCAGGAATATCAGCAGCCTCGCTCCTGCGACGCTTTTCGGTGGCAGGTTCCTTCCTTAGCAGATCTCAACGGCCGCATCACACAACAACCAGTCCATCCCCGGCCCACCTTCATCATACTCGCGATACACACGGTACGAAGCATACATCATGGAGCTACTCTTCCTATTTTATGTTCTTTATGTCATAACAAGCCTTGCGTTAGGGCTGCTGGATCAGGAGTTTGTGGATTTGAGCCATGATTACTTTCAGGTCTCCGCCCGATCGGGAGTCCCGGCCATGCATGCAGCATTACTGCCTCCATCGGGAATGGTGGTCTTTCTTGACAAGGTGGAGAACTATTCCGAGCTGCGTCTGCCAAATCAGCGGTTGGCCTATTCATCACTTTACGATCCGCAAATACGCAATGTGAGCCCCTTGGCGGTGACAACAAATCCCTTCTGTTGCGGTGGTACCTTTCTTGCCGACGGACGACTAGTCACACTGGGAGGAAATGCGCCTTTGCCGGAGCTTGATCCAACCGTTGGAGACGGGTTCGATGCTATCCGCTATATCGGAATGGAGAACGGGGACTATACTTGGGAGGAACCTGGGAACAAGTTGGCCTCAAAGAGATGGTATGCTTCCGCACAGACGATGGCAGACGGCACAATCTTTGTTGCTGCTGGCAGTCTGAATGGACTGGACGTGCTCAACTCTAGCAACAATAACCCCACATATGAGATACTCGATGTCAATGGTCTCAGCAATGGTCGGAACTTTCGAATGGACATCTTGGTCGAAAACATGCCGTACTAGATGTACCCGTTTCTTCACCTTTTACCGACCGGTCTGCTTTTCATCTTCGCGGATAGGTCATCTGAAATCTTTGACGTCGCTCGCAATCGCACTGTCAAAAAGATGCCCACAATGCCGGGCTTGCACAGAACCTATCCAAATACCGGTGGCAGTGTGATGCTCCCATTGCGCATAGGAGATAACTACGAGCCTGAAATCATGATCTGTGGCGGGGGACAGGTCCAGGCCTCAGACAGCCTGTGTGATGCCTCTTGTGGGAGGTTGAAACCAACCAGCCAGAAACCAATATGGCAAATGACTGCAATGCCGCAACCTCGGGGCATGGTAGAAGGAGTTCTTCTTCTCGACGGGAATGTCCTTTGGATCAATGGATGTCAGGCGGGAGCACAAGGGTTCGGACTGGCAACTGCCCCAGCGTCGGAAGCTTTGATCTATGACCCAAGGACCAACTCATGGTCGGTCTCAGGAAGGACGACGATCGCTAGGCTGTATCATTCTGTTGCCATGATGCTTCTGGACGGGACGATACTGATTGCTGGAAGCAATCCAAACGAACAGCCGCTCCTGGAAACTGAGGTTGAAGTTCACGATCAGTCCAAAGCATTCCCGACAGAGTTTAGGGTGGAGATATACACACCGTCGTATCTGAGAGGAGACTATCCTTCCAGAAGGCCCACCAACATACGACTATCGAGCTTGGAACTGCAGCTTACGACTCACTTTTCCCTTGAATTCGACTTCCAGAACATGAGCTTGTCCACTCTGGATGTCATCCTGTATGCGGGTGGGTTCGTCACGCATTCTCTGCACATGGGACAGGTAATGGTCTACCTTGACCATACTGGCTGGGTAGATGCTGGAGATAACAGCAAGAGGGTTGAAGTAGAGATGGCTGATGGAATCAAACTTGCACCGGGACCCTACGTGGTATACGTCGTCGCAAACGGGGTTCCAGGGGTTGGTCAGTTTGTCACGGTGAAGGTGTAAGATTGCTACTTATGTGGCCGGCTATACGCTCAGAATGAGCCTCATTTATAGGGCGAAAATTATCTGCAGCGTCTGCTGCCAGGCATGGCTTAGGTTACCTACAACAATCTCATGACTATGGCTTGCCGTATGTTGATGAGGATGAAGCTGGCAAGGCTGCGAGGGCTGGTTCCCCAATTCATTGAGCGTAGTTTAAGCCCGCCGTACACTATTTACGGTGGATCATTAAATCCGAAACGTAAATGTACATGGATGTCACTTTAACACACAGCACAACGTACCTCACGACGTTTCCGGTGACCATTGTGCCAATTGATGAATGGCCGAAGACGCGACGACTGCACCTTCGAGTCCCTTGGCGGGTGCCGGGGCGTCTGCGTCTGCTTCTGCTTCAGAACACAAGTCAGTCCCGCGCCCAGATTCCGCCGCGCAGTCTACTACCGTGCCGTCTGGTAATCCTGCAGCAACAACAACAACCACAAACGAAAACACCACTACTGCTATCACCATGCCGACTTCACCCGCCGCCGCCGCGGCCACGGAAGCGTCTGGCCCAGTCGCACTGGATTCTCCTCTGCGAACGACTCCCATCCACCCATCCGTCCCGTCTGTCAAAGTGCCAGACACAGCCCTGACTACCGAGCCCAACACGAACCCCGTCACGCTGCGACCCTTTACCGAGGCCGAGCTGGAGAAACATGGGTTCGAGAAACTGCGAGAGCAGATCGTTGGCGCTTCGAAGTCGGGCTCGGGTAAGGGAGGATCTGGAGTGACGGAGAAACAAAAGCAGGAGATTGAGCGCATCAGGGAGGAAACCGCGGCGTTGTTGAAGCAGAAGTTGGACGAGAGGGAGACCAAGGTCCGCCAGATTGAGCGGGAGATGGAGGTCAAGGCGAAAACTCGCGAGGTTGAGAGGAAGGTGTTTCAAAAGAAGTTTGGGGCGGGGAAGGATCTGTGATGGAAACATATTCCAGAGTGACATGACTGTCGACTCTTTGGGAGGCTAATGGCTATTGCAAAGACAGGACGGGCAGGAAGGGCTTCTAGAAGAACTTCGGGGCTGGCAAGCATCTATCATGGAAGCATCCTACGGATGGCATGACCATCGATTGTCTGGGAGGCTAACGGCCATCGCGGAAGCAGAGGAGGCAGAGGAGGCAGGAGTTTGTGTGGATCGAAGAGATGAGAGCAATGGCCACGATGTCTCGCTTTTTCCTTTGGCCTACGGCTTTGCTATCAGCGGCGTCTGATGGACGCTATACAGAAGAGCCTGAACACCGGCAAGAAACTCATGGTGTCTTCATGGGACTATCGGAGGCAACTCCTCCCTTGCAAACACTTCAACACCACAACGGAGCCATCCCTCACCTCTCCGTGTTGGTCAATTAGCACAGCCGCTCCATCTCAAGGGTCTCCCTGGCTCCAACCGCTGCCTCCTTCGATCCTGCATCCCCAGAGCGTGAACCTCCGACTTCCTGCTCAACCACACAAGACCAGCTTCAGGTCAACACTATCCTCGCAATCATGTTGTTGGCCCCAATCATCCGAGGTGTTGTACGCGGCGGTACAAAATTCCTCATCAGCCGCACACTTGACGCTAAGACAGTTGCCATCGGCGACCTCCTTGCCATCAACCTGCGGGATCAGAGTCATCCCGTACTCCTGGAACGAGTACTTGATCGCAATGTCACCGGTATAATCCTCATAGCCGCCCTCGTCGGCCACGATTTCTTCATCAGAATCCTCCAACCACTCTGCCTCACCAGCATCGATCATGCTGAGGTCGTACCAAGTGCGCTTGGACCCTTGGATCCACGTGTATTCGAATTGCACGGGCGACGTGTTGTCCGTGTCTTCGCGCCAGATCTTCCAGCTGACGCCCACCTCAGCGTCATGCTCGAAGGAGTGCGAGACGCTCTCCTCGGGCTCGAGAGTTTGGTACACCTCTTCCAGTGCGCCCGTGTCGCCGGCTCCAGTGCCGTGGACAATGGTGCTGTAGACGGTGAACGGGCATGCGTTGTACAGTGTCGCTTTACCTGCAGTGGAGCCGGTTTCGTCGCGCTTCCTGGTTCTCATGCGCCCACCGACAGAGTCCTCGGTGACGATGGGTGCCAGGACCTCTGTGGGAGAAGCGGCGCCCAGACACACCAGCAAGCCAAAGATGAGGGTGAAGATTGATGCCATCTTCGAGAATCCAGAGCTGAAGGCCATCTTGTCTCAATGATGGAGTGTTGAGCCGTTGTCTGTGTCTGATGAGCTGGTGAAGGGCCTAATTCAAGATGTCTGCTATGCTGGCTTGAGTCAGATATCTCTCTCGAATGTGAAAAGATGTGCTTCAGGGAGGAAACTATACTATACCTTGGAAGACAAGACGCAGAGATGTCTCGACCAGATTCGGTAGTTGCAGAGACCTGAGGCAAAAATCACTTATAGCATCACGACAGATGCTCCCCTAATATATCTTTTCAATGGACTAGAAAGAAGCACAGTCCGAAATCCGTTCCTCCTCACCGCCCCCGAGATCTGCGAGACTTACATTGTAACAATCATCAAGGCCGGTGCTGTGGCGGTTGAGTTCCTTACAATTCCGTAATCTACATTCCCGATCTTTGTGAGATCCAAATAAACCTTCATTCTCGTGGTCAATCATATTAGACGGCGGATATTACAGATTAGGAGTGTTTGTGCATCGCATTGAAAATGTCGATCGTCTGCGGTCGGTCTGAAGATCAGACGCGCAATGCTAAGCAGGTATCATAGTTATGTTGAATTCAATGTCGCATCGCTCCGGAGAATACTTGCTTCGGAGGTGAATATTACCAGGCGATCCCAAAAGCTTGACTACATTTATAGTTTTGATCATAAATACTACTAGGATCGGGAGACTTTAAAATTTTAAAACTTGAAGGTAGGTAGGAAAGTTCTTACATTTCGCTTCCGACGGAAGCCGATCAGGGCTGATCGGGCGTTCGGATTCCGGAACCCCTGGATCTGCGCAGCCTTGCATGCACGCATGGATCGAAGCTTATTATGTAAGCGACATTCCCCACTCCCACAACTCCTGTGCTACCAGCCTGTGCAGAGCCAAAAAGATGTGTCATACCGTCCGGACAAGTTCTCTGCGTCCCATGGAAGGGAAGTGAATAAGAACTGCGGACGACAGATCTCAGACTTCAAGTCCGACTTCATTATATTATATTTTCCGGAGTTGACCCTAACTCGTCTGTCTCCCTCCATATAACGTGCCTCTAACAGCGTCGACGGCGCTCAGTACCTAGATGTTGACATGTATATTACGGAAGCACGAATGGGAAGGAACAATTGAAGAATGATGGTGTCTATCTCCTATTATACGCGCCATCTAGCAGGTAGAGGGTCCTCGACTCGTCTTCATCATCATCATCATTGGACACTGCACAACGGTCACAACGAGTGCGACCAATCTCAGTGTGACAATTGATCGCTTCGGTGTCCTTCGGCGACCGCGGCAGGAACACGGGGGGAACTGTAGACACGCTCCCACAGCTCGTCCAACCGATTGGTGTCATCAAGGTTTTCTGAGACCTGACGGTTCTCGGCGTACACGGCTGCCAGCCCTTCAATCCTAGGTATTGTGCCTAGAGATTTTGGACCTGTAGACTGGAGTTGATATCTTGACATAACCGGGAGTCCACCCAGTTCATGACTATGTCTCGCTCCGACCAACACCAGCAATATCCATACCAGGGGCCTCCATCATGGTCATAACCGTTTCTAGTAGGAAGGTAGGAAAAGAGGTCGCTGGCTCGCACCACAGATTGACTCCGTCTAGATCATTCTTGAGACCAGATCTGGACAGTTGGTCGAGCTCGCTTGAATACCATTGAAGCGCGCTAACTCGCAGACAAGTGTGAAGATTCTTTCGCACGATCTCAGCTCGTTTGCCGACGGCATGATCTTTTGCCATTTCTGTGGACAGGAAAACGCTCCGCCAGTATCGTCTTCGGAGTGGTCGACGCCGTCGAAGTATACTTCGAGGAGGCTTTTGACCTTTAACTTGTCCAGGGACGTTGACTTCCGGGATTTCATATACTTCAACCGGTCCTTTGCGGTAGTTGCCCGCTTTTTAGCACGATTCGCCTCCTCTTTCCTACGAGCGGAGGGCATCGGACCTAGTGAATTAACATACCGCTCCCGGTAGCCATCGACGAACGTTGTTCATTGTTCCATGGAGAGGCCAGCCCACTTGAGGCGTGTACACGTCATTTTGGTCTCCGCAAACGACCTGGCTCTAAAAGCTTGCTGTGCTGACATTTTGACGCCGTTAGGTGGCTTGTCCCACCTGAACGCACTCCCCTTCACCCAGGGGATCATCCAGGTGAAGATCGAAACCCCCAGATCCTGCGGCCTCCATCTCTTGTCGGGGAGTCGGGGACCTAGTCATCTGCCTCGTCTTCCAACCACGAATAGACGCCCAGATCGGAGTTTGACTACATATGTACGGTGTTGAATGTTCGATTTCTTCGAACTGGCATCAGCTTCGGCGACGACTGAATGGGTGGCGGAATCAATGTCGAGATGTTCTTCGAGTATGGCTCTGCCTTTCCTTTCTCTGAAGAGGAGATGTTGACAACATCACACCATGTCAGTGTGCCGTCGTTCCCGCACGACGCTCCTAACACTGTATCATCCGGCGACGTTGAAAAGCTTGTGGCATTGGTGTTTGTTTCCCTCTTCCCCCGGACGTCGAAGCCGTGTGTTGGGTTTGATATAGTGCAATAAGATCAATGAACAGGTTCGATAGGTAATGATACCCTCGCCCAGCAGCCTTCCACGACTGGTTCTTTTAGACTGCGACGCCTGACGGAGACTCTGGTTGTGTACTCGCAGGCCGCGATAGTATTGGGATTTCCGATTTCGACTTGGTCATCTGAATACTGTTGGTACTGATGTTAACGCCGATGGCTAGACGACATAGTCGCCCCGCCTCCTCTACTACCCAGCCAATTCCGGTGTCAAGATCAACAATTATATGATCTAGCTGTAGCTGTGCTACGTCGATGAAATCAACAATATCGGTACGGTGGTTGGCGTAGACCAGATCGTACTTGAAGATAATCAAGTCGCACTACATGCCGGTACTCGAGGCGCGTTGAGTCGGTATGATCATGGAATCTCGCTGAGGAGAGAGACCGTCGGGATTTGGAATACCAGTCTTTGCATCATCTCCGTGAATGGCGTATAGTTATGGCCGGTTGTTGACAAGAGTGTGTCTACCAGTGTCTATGGCAAGTACTTTGTGTTATGCCTTTCAGACGTCGTTGCTTGTGGCACGGAAATCCCTATAAACTGCTCTTGGTCGATTTTAGGACCGCTGAAGAGTTCTCCATGGTATGTGGTGCTGTAGAAAGCGGTTATAGAAGAGCCAGAGGAGCGAAAGTCGCAGCTGTCCTTTCGAAGGTTAAGTCGCGGAACACGTATGGGTAAGAGTTTGCGGTGGACTCAAACACTGACCCTAACCCTAAAACTCTCTTGCGCTCTCAATGATTTCATCAGGCTCTGGTGGGACTATCGCGATCTTCTTCCCAGAAGCAAGAGTTTCAAACTCCTCGTCTGTCAGATAGCGCACTTCTGCCGCTAGCTTGTCTCCGAAAGAGGGCTTTCGTTTGCTCCCATAGTAGTTGACACAGAATCTCAACTGAAAAAACGCTCGATACATGTCGTCAGGCGTGGCCAACCCCCATTTTCGTTCTTCGGGGAAGTTGGGGTTATATGATTCCGGGAATAGGTTTCGCTTGATCATCTTCTACACTTGTACGTAGTAGATCGCGCGCGGGAAGATACTCTTGTTCTCCCGCGCTCCATTGAATCCGGAAAAATATAGGTTATTGATTGTGAGTTCAGACTTGTTTAAGACTGTGACGAGATTGGCCCCTAGGGGCGCTATACGCTTGCCCTTGCTTACCTCTCGGAAAATAAGATTGGTGGCAAAGGTTGACTTCTCGGTGACACCGGGGACCAGAAAACCTACATTCTTCAATGCGACAAATGTTCTAAGATGCATCGCAACCCAGGCATGAACGACATCTTGTTCACGGCTTCTTCGCGATCAAGAAAATTGAATGATTCTTCGGTCTTGGCATCTTGGATTTTCGGCCCTCAGATGAAACAACATCACGCCAAAACCACGTTTGCGAGATGCGTCAATCTTGGCGAACAGCGTCCTGTTAGGGTCGGCATGATGCAGAAATCTGTTTTCTGTCAGAGATTCGATTATGGCGCGATATGATTGTCGCTCTGCCTCAGTTGGTTCCCATGTAGATATGGCTGTGTAGGCTTTTCTGTTCTTGCTCGTCATGCCTGATTCTCGTCCGCTTTGATCATTTCAGTCTTCCTCCGTCGTAGGGGCTCGATCAGCTGAGCGTAGTAGGGAACGAACGTTCGAAGCTATCCCGTCATCCCATTGAATATCTCGAGAGCCTGCAGGTTCACTGGGAACTTGAGGTTCCGGATATCTTGGATGCGCTGGTCTGTCGTGCTCAGGCCCAATGGTAGGCATCTTGCGCATATTTCGGGCCTGGCGACCAAAGTCCACCCGTCTCGTTCCGTGAAGTAGATTGTCCATCGACACGTTCTCTCCGCCTGGTCTGATGCCCAGGTAGGCTTCGACGTCCTCTGACGTTTTCTTCCACCATGTCTCGAATTCGGAATGGGTGTTCGGTTTCGGCCTTCAGGATAGCTGTGCTCAGTGCGGCTTCGAATCGCTTCCATTCTTGGTTGGCTGACGCCTCTGTTGGTTCTGGGAGTCCTGCAACCTTGACTATCACCGTGCAAGTCGTAACACGCTGGCGCCGTGAGAATCGTTCGATCAATGCAGCAGACAACTTGTCAAAGTCATCAAGCATCTCGTCGTCTAGTCCAGTGTACTAGGCATAAGAAGTGCCTCTGAGGTGCGAGACAAATTCCGCTGCGAGGGCTTGAGGATTATCCAAGTCACTATCAAACAGGACCCTTGTGCCAACATAGGAATTCTTGACTTGTTGTGTGAATGTGACTAAGTCCACCGAGCCTTCTTCTTCAGTCATGGAAAGAATCGACTAGGGAGACCCCTTTCTTTGGGCACTCTTGATATTTGGCGAATGACATCGTAGGCAGTCGGACGCCATTTAGTGGCTTCAGAATTTCCCGTATACCTTCTTCAATATCGAGATAGATCCCTCGACCATGATGAT